GGAGGCAAATAGGTCAAATAACGACGTTGTAGGATCCAGCATGTAAGACTGGCGGTGAAAGGATGAACCAAGCTAAATCGTACTGGTGAAGAGTAGAAGCTTTCTAGTTGACGAGAGCGGGCGAATCAGAAGGGAGATAGAGCTGGTGGCCGGTTTAGCGCGTATCCCAAAGGGCTGTCACACTTGGTAGGAGGGACTATTGAATCCTTCACCACCTTCTCCGCAACAAGCCTTATCTACTCCATACTCTTCCTAGTCGTAGGAGAGAAAAGGCTGAAAGCGAAGCTAAGCTCTGAAACATGTCAGCATGCAGTGTATAATGCAAGCACTTTAGGCTTTTCCACGCATGTCCGTTGGATGACCGGCAGATAACCTAAATATATCTTCAGCATGTCAGTGTGCGCAATTATTCAACCCTCCGCAGTTATGTATTGCGTAGTAAACCGTTGCATACAGCATGTCGAGTAACCCCTCATCCTGTAAGGTACGGCGCTTAAGCTGCGCTGGTATGCGAGAACCTATGCGGAGTTCGGATTAGCGTAAATAGATTTGTAGACATCTGTCTCATGCTCCTCCGAGATCCGAGACAGAGCTAAGTGTCTATAAGTGTACGCATAGTATTACACGATAGATTCGTTGGCTAAACCATTTGGTCTCTTCTTTGATTGTTACCAAAGTTCCTTGGGGTCTCTAGCGGTAAGTAGGCTGGTAACATGGGTTATGCCCCCTTGTTACTTAGTAGTGCTACGCCTTGACGATGCATTCGCTAAATTAGTTCGATCAAGTCATGTGGCCGTCTATATTTGATTAGCTCAAGTGCCTATCTCAATAGATGTAATGGAGCTTAAGAACTAGAATGTAGATGTCATGTAATTTTTGACAGTAACGCAGGTATGTATTGAACAACAGCCCTACATAGAAACATCGTGAGCTAGTATCGTGATGACTCGGAGACTTAATGAATTATCCGAACTAAGCCTCGAGATGTGGTCTGAATTGGTAGCGAAGGTCTTGTTAATTGGATTAGAGATGGGTCACCGGAGGGTCTACCCAACTTTGGATAACGACAGGAAGTGTGGTCTGGTCGTCTTACATTGTGAACGAGTATTCTGTCACGGGAGGATGTTTGAAACCATCGTCAGCAAAATCTATCATAATTCATCAACGATATCCAGAACAAGACCTAAGTCCTATGTACCTACATGAAGGGTTTCTTATGGTACTTCCTAATGAAGAAAAAAAGTAAATGTAGGCCCTCTTACTATGTATTTCGTGCATAGGATTTGTCTCACTCCGCGCGGACATATGAGATCGGCATGAGAATGTTCGGTGTTCGGTCTAGGGTGTTGACAAGGTAAGTGATGGTTTGCAGAAGTGCTTTGACTCTAACGGGACTTCTCGGCGGAACCACGACAGACCAGACAGGCTTGGTTAAGCCGGCCGTAAATCAGAATATCAATTCGAAGATGATGTGCAATTGTTTGCGCGTCGATTCTAAAATCGTATCATATGCACCCCGGATATCGACGTGGCTGAGTTGCTAATTGTACCAACGGTAGGATGTGTTTGGGTTGTCTGGAGACGAAATGATGAAATAATTTGGATGATGGAATATTCGGTGATTATTTCTTTGGTTAAATTTTTGGAGAAAAAAAAAGGAGCTTGGGCCAAGATTTGAGGTGGTACAGCTACAATATGGCTCGTGCTTTCCCAAGCTAAGGTAGGTACAACTTAATTAGGTTTAAGCTGGTTAAAGCTTGGCGGATTAAATGGGATCTGCTGCGGTTAATTATGGAGTCAATGTTAGGTAAATCGAGAGTGAGTTTACACCCAGCGTGGTTTCTTTACTTACCTAGTTTCTCTTTAACTTAAAATGGATTGAACCAAAGTCCAATTCCTTCTAGGTTGCATCGCTATCTACTGCGTAGTACGCTTATTCAACATTTATTTCGCCATGAAATTGCGCGTCATGGTATTCGTCCAATCTGCATCTAGAGCCTCAGGAGTCTCTTTGCTTTGACCGCTACTTCCTACTTTTGACTAGATCATTTGACCAAACGCTCTCAACAGCTGTCAACATCATAAGCGAACAGTTGGATCGTAATCCCTTCTGAATTCCGTAAGATCATAGGGGAGGGATCATAGGGTCTAACGAATACTCGATATGAGTAACAACTATGAGTACCTATGAGTATGAATCTTTCGGGGCCGACTATTCCTACTTACGCCATCCTTATGGGGCCTTCTGGGAACTAGTCGAGCGAGGCTCAATATACTAGTCGACAAGCCAATAGAGACCATACACGACAGGTCTAGGCGGTTTCGTCACCTGCAGGTTAGAAGCAGCAATAATTACCTAGTATTCAAATCTTTCAAGTAGCCTCGATCGGCTACATACCATTCTCCCTGCCGATTCGACAGATACGAGATCTTGGTAGCTTACCTGTCACTGGCAGACAGGGTACCGTAGTTACAACAGGAATCAGGAATTCAAGAGGATTAAAAACTCCCGGACTATGGGGTCTTGGGATTGACCAATAGTCGTTCAGATCATCACCGAACTGCCAACGGGAGTCAGAACCTCGACAAGTCGAGCAGATCGGGTCACAATTGGACCGAAGCTGAATACGCTGTAGGTACAGCACATGAAGCACAGCATACAGACGCTTTGTTTCGAAATCCTTACTACATTGTGCATTTTGATGACGTACAGTAAGTTATACCTCTGCATACGAAACAACAGCCGCGGTTACACTGCGAGACCATATCTTTGCTTTTTGGGGGTCATTCGTATTGGTCACTACCTCCCTGTGCCGAGATTGTGGCTTGCTCTCGGTTCTAACACAATTGATAGCCGAATAAGAGATTACCTAGAGACATCAGTCAGGAGACAGTCAGGAGGCTATCGCATCTTGTCCGCTTCAGGCAAGATCTTTCTTGCTCTATTAAAGAGCTTGCATGATACTAAAGCTTGCACACACGGACAAGGCCAGCCCGGTACGTTGGCACCAAAACACCATCAATCGCTCTCGCAGCGATGTGGGATACACCGTAGAAATCAGGACAGGACCGACAATGGTTCCATTCAACCTACTTAGCTTGCCTTAGACCTAAGTGGGAAGAGGTCAGCGAAAGGCTCCGAGACAATAGCACATACGATCGACGAATCCCACACTCACGATAGGAAGCACGTTTCTTGCACGTTGATGCTCCGAGTCAACTTTAGTTCACATTGGTCTGTCGAGCCCTGCCTTACATACCTAATGCGTGGGAATGTGTAACCTGGTTCCCACAGGTTGTGACAGATACCGCTGCGAGGATCCGTTTTCGGTAGTCGAAGTAAGGTAGAGGGGAGGTAGACAAGTTGCTCAAATCGGTCATTGAAGCCCTGCGATTCGTTAGACCAGGACAACCCCTCCTGTACCTCGTCTGCCTCCCCTCTGCCTCCCCTCTATCTCCCCTCTGCCTCGATTCTACTGGCTGCCCTTTGCGCCTAACTCGACTGAGGTTAGTATACACATATCGCCCCACCCATCCACGAGGTCTGCACAAAGTGAAAAAGCCATCTCGAAGCTCTGATTCGCCGATGCTTGTCATTTATGCCTCGCGTACCTGAATCTTAGTCGGCGCCCTATGAGGAAATAATTCCACTGGATCCTAAAGTCGTTCCCAAAGAAGGCAGGCGAAGAAGACTTTTGGCCAAGGTATTGTCTCAAGAAGAAAAAGAAAGGCCGTGAACACATGGCACCATCCGGTCCTTGTTCCTGAATACCTCGACGATGATTGGCCCCGCCCGAGCTTGTCATTGCCAGAGATTTAGAATTGGCTTCCGTACGAAAGTTCGTGGTTGTGTTGTGGGAATGCGGGAATGTCATACAGCTACATACAGCAACCAGCCTTCGAATTTCATACATACATATCCAGAAATTCCTTGCTGTCTGTGCTAATAGTGCAGTACGGTACGAGATATGGATATCGGTACGGATTTCTTGCGAGCTAACCTTTACGGTCGTGGGGTCTGACCATGAATACAACCCTGGCTAGGTTCTCTATTATCCGAGGGGCGCCAACTAACGCCGCCCCTGTCCCTGGTATCATGTAAGAAAGTATCATGAGGTGCAGCAACAGGAGCTCTACAGTACTGCAGCGATCGCCTGCAAGCCAAAACCCAAGGTCCAACATTGTTTAATAAGGTCGAGACGCTGCAAGCTGCAAGCCATACGAGAATTCTTCTAATAAACAACAATTTTAACGGGCATAATGGTATTAAGGAAAGCAAGGCTGCTTATCCGTGCACCTACATACCAAGTTTCAACCACCGTATTCCAGCTCTCGTCGATCGTTGTGGTTTATGGGTTTATGGGTCCTGTATCAGTCAGTCTCTGAATTATACCCACATACACTGTTCTCGAAACAACCCGCTCGAATACACCTGGAACTCGCAGGCTCCGCGTATTAACAAGCTTGCACCTCTACTACCTCACCTTACCTCCCCATACGTACGTACATATGCCCAGCAGGTCCACTCCCCTCTAAATTACAACCACACACCCTCTTCGGCGGGCGTTACCCACATTTCCTTACGGCATGGTGTGCTGTTAATCCTCGTAACGCCGGACTAGGTGGATGCTCTCCTCCTCCACGAAGTGGGAATATCAAGATCTCCTTGCCCGTCTCCCCTCCCTCCCGTTATTTCCCCAAGCGTTGGGCTGTTTTTCTTTGCGCACGGCTTCGTTTCGTCAAGAAGCATTCATCGACCCCGGGTATAGAGCACACGCTCTTATACAGATGGGTGGAATACTGTAATTTCGTATTTCACCAGTCTCTCGTTTCAAGTCTCGCTTTCTACTACGGGGAACTGTCCCTTCTGGCTGAAGGGGCATCGGCTTTGTTGTAGAATTCGATATCAAGCTGGCACTCCCTGTTCCAGCCGCGGCCTTCAGACCCCATCAGGCTATTGTGAGAGAGACAACTTGCGAAGTGTTAGTTAATTTTCTTACCGCCTATTTCCCCCTGCTATTCTACACTTGTCGGGTTTTATTTTTCCTTGCGTTCGTTTTGTTTCATTCTACGAGTGATTCATGACAGCTGTGGCGGGCCAATGGCTGGATGTGACAATTTGCGATCGTTTGCGCGGTGGTGAGCTTTGATAGCTATTTGGACCAGCTGGGCTGAGATTGAACAATTGGGACGACCGCAATGAAGTTTCTCACGATCTTATTCTTACTCGGCTTACCTGGCGTAGCACGAACTTCGCAGCTAGACGCTCGACAGGTCACCCCAAGCGGGAATTCTTCAGTGACTCTCCCATCGCAGAGTCCAAGTTCAAGTTCGAGTTCGAGTTCGGACTTAAGTTTGAGTAGTAGTCAGATTGGTTCGTCACGGGCGGCGGTGTTATTGCTTATAATACCAAATATTCACCGAATGAGTTTGCTAATTTATTTGAATAGAGTCTACGGCACCTTCACTGGTAGCCACATCTACAACTACTTCAGCTACTACTACTGCTGCTACTACTTCAGCTGCTTCCTCAGCTACTTCCTCAGCTACATTTACAGAGGTCACCACCTCATCTAGTCTTACGAAGCAGGAGCGTGATCCACAAGATCCTGATGTTACGACTCCAGGACCGCCTCCCGCGCCGGCTCCTACATTTCTAACTTCACCTGTGGAAACGACGACCCCTGGAGATATTCCTGCTAGTTCAGCAACGACTTCAACATCAATTAGCATTGCAAGCACTACTGGCACGACGACACTCGCTTTTTCTTCACCAACTATTATAGCTTCGCCTGAGATTTCTTCAGCCCAGCTCACGACTGTCGCTACTACGAATACGAACCCTTCTCCGGTGGTCTCATCTCCATCGACTACTCTCATTACCTCCAAAACCACCCCGAGTGTCATCAGATCATCATCATCACCACCACCACCACCACTACCACCATCAACTGAAACATCTGAAAGCATTACTACTACCACTTCTAACTCTAAATCTATTTCCTCACCTACAGCAACAGCCACAGCTACAATGTCTAACGTAACTCCGACGCCGAGCAGCGTAAGCTCAAGCAATGATGGGAGCGGTACCTCAACATTAACAATCGCACTCAGCACAATCCTAAGCGTCACAGGTGTAGTTTTGATCGCAGTAGCAGCGTATTTGTGTACAGGAAACAGGCGGCGAAGATTACCTATGTTCAAGATAAAGAGGGGCATTACGCCGATTGGAGATGATGAGATAGCAACGTGGAAATCGAACCGGTCAGCAGAGAAGGTGACGGATAGGTATACCACACGACCGAGCCACTCGCAGAACCCGTCTACGGCAACATCGACCAGGAGAGCACCGAGTGTGATTCAATATCACAGTGGCGGACGACAGTCATACGAGGTGGCATCACCGAGATCATTTATTGACGGAGGAAAGTATAGCTTTGATCTTCCGCAAGCGCCCGGGGCGGTTTTGGCACGAGCACCGAATGCACGATCAGGTCTGACGGACGAGGCGGTTCCCGGCGACGATCCCTTCTTACCTTCCCCGAAGCGACACCCGTCGAGATTGCACAAGCTACCACCAAACTCGCCGAGCTTGCACGGTAGGACAAAAGGATCTCGAAGTAGTAGTCTTAGGAGCTACGCCGAAGCTGCATGGCGGGATGGTCTAGAACAGAGCTCGTCTCCCAGAGTCTCAAGCGACGCCCATACGCGGACTCACAACCGAATTTACTCCAATTCATCGATACCGCCTCCCCCGAGGTTGTCATTCGGTGACAACGACCAATTGACCGGTCTATCGCCGCCTCCGTCACGGCGGAACGACAGCACGATAGGATTGGCTGTCGGGTGAAGGGCAACGATCTGCCGTCAGTTTCATCATCCAAGCTCACCATCCCTGCCGTCCCACGTTTTCTCATGTTTTGGGGATTAACTGGGGTTCAGCAACGAACCACACCGAAACCGAACAAGCATTATTTTCGTCTTGTTTCGGAATTTTTTCCCTTCTCGAAAAAAAAGGCGCGGGCTAATGAGATGGTTCGGCACGAATATCCCTGCGTCCGTTGAAGAAACACTACTGCATCTTCAGCGGTTCGAAACAAGAACGCGAGATCCGTGCGCCCATTCGCCATATTATCGAGGCTATGCGTCTGCCTCGATAGGGGCACTCCCTACTATCAATCTACCTACATACCCCCTTCCGCCCGAAAACAACTAAACAAACGAATCTTACCGGCCTGTCAGCAGCACGGCCATATCTCATTTCACCTGTCACATCCGACGACCGCATCACTCTTACGGCATTTTTTTTCTTTTCCGTTTATAACCTCCCTACGACTTTACGTTCATCACGGTACCTCTAGTTTAGTACCCAAAGCAACAATTTACGTCCCCTTTAATCTTGCATTTGTTATTTGTGTTTTTTCTTCTTCTGACAATGGAGTTTTTGGAAACGTCAAGTCGCGAGAGAGACGCGAGACACGGAGGATATACCCCGGATTTTTTTTTGTGTTGTGTGTTCCGAGATTTGGGAGGGCGAGAAGCATTATGGCCTTTCCCCCGGAGGAGGGAATTTGAAATTGGGTCAGGTTTGTGTGTTTGAGAAGAGGCATTCTTGCATGGATTATAGGGCACGTTGGCAGGCATATTCACCATCATCATCATTAAGGACATGACGACGTTCGCGCGGTGCGAGGTCTAAGGGGTAGGACGAGGGATAGAGATGAGATGCCTTGGGCAGGTTAATCGGACTTGGTCTCCTTACCCGGGGACCAGATCCGGAGCTCTTGGCTAGGCAGGCTAGACGGAGGACAACGGTACAGGACAGAGGGAGGATAGGGGAGGAATGGATACACTTAGCGGGATCCCAGTTCCCCAGCGACTACTATGTATTAGCAGACGCAGATTCAGATTCGGAAACGTAAGTAGCTAGAGCTACGTAGCTTGTAGTTGGCTAGAGGCTTGCTGCGACAGTTCAATTAAGACGTTTAATTGAAACAAGTAAAACACCGTTCATCTCGGCACTTTTCCTTTCTCGCGAGACCCGTGTCTTGTCTACTTAGGTAGGTACCTCTACGCCTATTACTTAATGCGATGCCGTGATGCTGACGCTGCAGGTGGTGGCGCCGGCACTTAATTTTACGTTTTCTTCAGCGATCTCCTTTTTCGGGTCGAGCTGTAGGTCTGCCTACATGCTTACCTACATATACCTGTGCCTGCTGTACCTGTACCTGTATGTAGGTACATACATACCAAAGTTGAAGTGCGAATAGGAAAAGCCGGACATTACTCTCCGGGCAAATTTGCAAGCACGTTTTCCAGGTTTTTGGCAGCGTGAGATTGCAGTTCACACTTGACACCTGCTAATTATGCTGCTGTGAGGAACCCAAGACCTAGGGGGGGAAGACCGGACCGATGGTCCCCGGGGATCTCATCTTGCGGGATCGCGATTGAGACACGGGTTGGCTGGGTTTATCTGGCCAGGCAGTCTAGAAGGTCTGCTGCCACGTTATTGCCATGGGAAAATCTGGATATCGCTTTTCATGCATGCTGTGTGATTAATGAGGTGATTAGGTAGGCAGGTAGGGGAGGGTGGAGGGTTGAGGGTTGGGTTAGATTGATTTGAATGGGAATGGCCTGAGTAATCGGGTGCTCTCCCCTGTCGTCGATCAAACACGCACACACCCCCGGGACTTGCTCGGGGCGGATTCGATTGGGGAGGGCAGGAGGGGGGGGTTATGCCGAGAGATTCCGCTGGTTGATAGGTTACTTATTTACTGGGTGTTTCCTGGTCGTTACTTGAAACATACAGATGAAGATCTAAATATGGCGTCGTCGATTAGCTCTGAGATTAAGCCTTTCGTTGAGCTGATGCGATGAGATGTTCGCTCGGGTAGATTGAGATTGCTCATCTTAGTTGATTTGGAATGAGAGCTAAATATAGATTGTTCTTGGTTGAATTTTATACATATAATATCGTTGGGTTTTCGTGTGTAGACGGGTGGTGATACATGTGTGTGTAAATGTCAATATTCTTAACTTTTATGTGAAGAGACATCATAAAAGACTGATAAGAGTGTCATTTCTTACTGATAATAATTACAATGGTACACGATAATCTATATTTTCTTAACAATACATACATAGGTATATACCTGTGTATGTAATTAAATAGTATTTGGACAATTGAATATTGGATAAAAGTGGTGATGTCGAAGTTAATAGAAGAAAGTAAGGAAAGAGGTACGGGGTACCTTCCCTACTATATTCTAGGTCCTTTACGCGTCTCAGGCGCGTCAAACGTGGGGCACTAGTACGGGCTAGGTAACTCTATCTCCAATTTCAACTTTATCAACTTTATCAACTTTAATTGTTAGATTAGATCGTCAATTATTCAACCACAATTTGCTTTTTGCGATCCAATTGAATTACCAGCTTTTTAACTTCATTGTTCAAGCTACCGACGCCATCCAGTGACCTTTCGCTTACTACATGGTCCTGTTTTGTTAACATTGTTGCGCGACGATGCCTCCTCGAAAGAGTGACAATGCTCGATCGAGCAACGTATCTATGGCCCAATTTGCCTACGATGGCTCTGATGCCGATGTTTCTTCGAATGCTCTACGACCTGCAGCTGGTAATACGTCTGTCCCCTCGCGATCCAAGCCTACACCGTCTATAGAGATGGATTCCCAACGACCTTCTACCGATGGCGCGCCTTCAGCCGAGAAGGATAAGGAGAAGAAGGATTCTAAAGATAGCAGCCGGGACAATGTAGCTATAGAGGTATGCAATACGATCATATAATCGCGTGTAGATTCCAACTAACGAATCGAATTAGGACCTCAACCTTCCTAAGTCGATTATTACTCGTCTCGCGAAGGGAGTTCTGCCTCCCAACACACAGATCCAAGCAAATGCCGTCCTCGCCATGTGCAAAAGCGCTACGGTGTTTATCAACCACTTAGCTAATGCGTAAGATCTCCATATCTATCTAGATAGTGACATTTTTGACTGATTTACTGGACACAGCGCGAACGAGAAGACGCTTAGCTCCAACAAGAAGACAATTATGCCTGCCGATGTCTTCGATGCGCTCGACGACATCGAGTTCGAATTCATGCGCGAGAGACTCGAGGCCGAGTTCAAGAGTACGCAAACATTATTCAGTATAATAATATGGCACTATAAAGATCACTAACTCTACCCCCCGTAGAATTTAACGAAGTTCAGACGACCAAGCGTAGCACCTACCGTAGAAAGGTCGCCGCCGCCAAGCGCGCTGAAAAAGCCGCTGGTGCGGACCCTAACGCATCCATGGTATCGACCACGAGCACGGCCGCTGACGCTACGGATTCGGGCGCCCCACGCGCTTCCAAGAAGCAGAAGCCCAACGCCCGCGACGACTCAGCGATGGATGTCGACGGTGACGTCACGGTCGAGACCCAGGAGCAGAGCGATGCCGAGACAGAGCCGGAAGCGGAACAGGAAGAAGACGAGGACGAGGAGAATGAGGCTGAGGAAGAAGAGGAGGAGGAAGAAGAGGACGATGAGGAGGGTGGGGAGGATGATCCGGATCGTCTTGAGGAGCGAGAACCGAAGGATGAGCAGGACGATGCGCTCGACGATGGCGATAGTGATTGAGCGTTGTGTTGTGATATTGGATGTGGATTACGACTCTACTTTGCTCAACTTTCCCCTTGGGTCTCCGACGGCAAACCGTCTTGGCAGGCCTCTTGTGATGTTACTTGGTTGCGAGGTTGAAGGCATACCTCAGGTCCAGGGGCTAATTGGCTTAGCTGGGAGATTCTATTACCCACCATGCTGTCCAGGGCCGGAATCTTGATTCTTCGTCGCCGTACGCGGGTATGGATATGAGTCTGGAACTAATGCTGAAATTGAAAAAGGATCGCTTGCTAGGATTGGGCGAGTTTGGGTCTAGATACACTTCACACTCCGTTTATCACACGATAACACGCCCCTATTCCCGGTAGCTAGGGGGTATAGGATCACAAAGTGATGACCTAATGAAATGACTAATGAAAAATCTAGCTATGCGCTCGCTGTATGTGCTCCGATGCTTGCCGTGCGTATTAGACCGAATTGACACCCGCCTGTTGTGCTTGCGTATACAGAGAGGGGAGAGCTGAAGAGCTCATAGCTCATCACCCTTCCATGATCACCGTTGCAGCGGCGTGACTGTTACCTTGAGGATTTTCGAAACCTACCTTCCTTTACCTTACCCTCCAAGTCTTCTCGCCAAGAGGATCTGAGCATATCTTGGTTTACTGTATCAGTTTGAAAATTTCGGTAATTATATAGTATGTAAGTTGCTGCTAAGTCACAAGTGCTCTAGTAAAGAGTTGTTGTTTCTATTACCTAGGTAGTTTATGTGTGTGACTTACTGCGTACTAGTTACGGGTAGAATGTGGCCTGACTCTCATCTACACGGCTAGGAACCACAGATTATACTCATCGGTACCACCGTTATCGAATAAGCGTTAGCCCTTGTTAGAATAGAGTATACAGACCCGTTGTTAAACACGCCCCTCAACATCGAAGCGCCGATATCGAACTTCTTTCCTTTAACCCGTCTTCCCCTCTTTCCCCTTAATATTCCAAATCACAACCCTCGCTATGATTTATACTAGCAACGATAGGTACCCTCGTGCAGCAAGGCCAACGAAGCTGGACCCACGATACTAAACCCCGGCCATCCTATACACTCACCCATCACGCACCTATAGAAACCCAGTAGATAGGGTAGTCAGCAAGCGCGTTGACTAATCGAACCAAAACCTCAAACCAAACCCTCCCGCATCCCGGATCGCGTCCCGTCGGCACCCATGAGCTACAGAAGCGCCTCACCCACCACCTGCATGCACTACTTGAGCGACCCTACTTGTCGCTAACAAGGTCGAAATCCGGTTTCCAGCCACATACACATCTACTTACCTATAGGACCAGTCCGGCAGTCATCGACACATACATACCTAGTACCTACCGCCCTGCATCCACGATTCCACAAACTCCACCACACAACCCAAGAAAGCCCTATCTTTCAATACCTCACCATTGTGGCGTCCTGTGTATCCCAACCCACGAAATTCCCGAACTAAACCCAGGCACAGGGACTATCTACCTGGTACCTATGTGCCTACCTACATACCTACCTAGTACCTAGCTGCGAAGAATCGTGCCGTAGGTAAGAAGGTACCTAGGGTCTAGCCCATGCAGTATACTAACTCCGGACTCCGCTCCGCGATGCATTGACATCCATGACTTGGCTGCTTAGGACCGATTTGTATCCATACCTACCTACCCAGGTACCTATTACTAGCTTACAGCCTACATAGTACATACACCTACATACGTACGCACGTAAATACAAGTATGATAAGTATGTAATACTAGTGGTGGTGGTGGCGGTAGTTGTGGTACCTATCAGCCAGCCCAGCCCCAGCCTAGCAGCAGCATGGTGGAGATTAAGGGGGCGAGTTAATGCTGACAAATAACCAGGCGCATACGCATACATAACCCAGACATACATACATAACATAACACACGTACGTACATACATACACATACGTACCAAGCATGTAACTAGTCTACAAACAGACCATCTTACAAAAACATGCGTAACAGCAATAATTTCGCACGCCGGGACCGTACAATCAATCATTGATACAAGGGTATTAGTATAGTAGCAGTAGTAGTATCAGTGTACCTAACTTACAACTCCACCACCACCACCGCCGACGACGGCCGATATATCCCGGCCTAGCTAACATACAGTTCAGTTCAGTTCAGTTCAAGTCCGCATCAATCTCGCCCGGGAACCAAGAAAAAAAGGCTGAGACACCTATATGTACTGTACGTGCGTACTGCTCGTCAGGGTTAGACACAGCGCAGCACGGACGACAAACTTCGAACTCGACGAGCGACTGAGAAACCAGACACCTCCTCCTTCCTTCCACCAGACATCTCGAACCACTCCCCTGATATGTGCAACAATAAAACGCCCCAATTATGCAGAAGTGAGTAGGTAGGTGGATAGAGAGAGGGCAAAAAAAGAGTCGACAAAAAAATGACTCTCGACTCCGTCGCTCATGCAGCCGGACGTATGAATCTGAAGCCGTACAGTGAAGAAAATCTTCGCGAAAAAAATAAATGGGTAACCTCGCTGCCGTAGTCGTATATACACCTCCCTGCGCTAAGTAATATGTTATTATTGTTTTTTTTTTTCGCTTGTCCCCTTATTAACATCTCAGATTAACCGTGTTATGTTCGTGAGGTATTAAGGTCCGCTGTTGGAAGAGCCGGGTCCAAACTCTGATACGAGATCATCGTAGTGCGTAGAGGGAACCACGGCTGATTCGGACTCCGCTCGTGCCCTCCGAACGGACTCCCTCCTAACAGACTCTCTGACCTGCGCTCTCCTTGCGGACTCTTGAGCGGCCTGCATGCTGGTAAGAGGAAGCGACCTGTAGCTCGTGTTGGATGATTGTCGATACATCGTTATCGGAGATTCAGCTATAATATCTTCGAAGCATGGTGGTGACGCGGGTTCGCTAGGCAGCGCGCCCACATCCTCGTTCTTTTCAGTTACCAGATCAGAAGGTAAATCTTCAGGAGGCCAGTATTCCTAATAAAAGCCGTCCGCACTTCCCTTACTTCCCGCCGAAAAAGGATGTGGCGTGCTCGCCGAATTACTGCTTGTATCACTAGGAGTAGGCGGTTCAACGACTTGGTTTCGGATGCACATAATCCACTCGTGCTGGAGGAGCTCCACCGCGCTCGCCCTCTTCTTAGGATCTCTGACGAAACATTTGTTCAAGAAGTCGATCCCCGTCACGCTCAGCTGATCCGTGTTAGGAAGCTGCGGGGGATTCCCTTGAGCAATATTGTACATGATTGCCCATTCGTTATCGAGGTTGGACCAAGGTCGACGACCGGTAACCATCTCGAGAATCACGCATCCTAGAGACCATACGTCCACGGCTCCAGCACGACCCGGATTCTCCCCTTTAATAACTTCGGGAGACATATACATAGGTGTGCCGGTCATCGACTTGTTGGGCTTTGTGGCAGCGAGACCATGAACCAAGGTGCGTCCTTGGCGAGCGATGACTTTGGCGGCACCGAAGTCGACATACTTGATGACACCATTGTGATCAAGGAGGATGTCTAGGCAAGGGTTAGTACGAAAACAATACAACAATGAATATTAGAGATAGAACTTACTTTCTGGCTTAATGTCGCGATGAGCGATGCCACTTTCATGTAGGTATGCAAGACCCTCAAGAAGCTGCAACGCGTAAACCATCACAACCTGCTCATCCTCGATCCGACCGTGTTCCAATAAGTTAGCCAATGAACCACCCGAGCAGAATTCCATGAAAATGTAGACCCTGTCGCGATGAACCTCGATACCGTAATAGGAAACGACGTTGGGGTGATCGAGAACTTCTAGAACACCCATCTCGTCTTTGATCTGCGTAGCGATCTGAGGTATCAATTTGGGGTCTTGCAATCTGATCTCCTTTACTGCCATAAGATGGCCGGTATCCAGGTTCATCGCGGCGTATACATTTCCAAACGTTCCGCCGCCGACGAAATGTCCTTGTTGCCATCTCATGGTTACGTTGGTGGCAGACGATGATAAATATGCTAGCGATCGGTCGACTTCGTTGGAAACCTCTAACACTCGCCCAAGTCCCTGCCTCTCTTCAACAGTGCGCCTCTGTACCTCGTCGATAGTAGCAAGTTTTTCTAACCGCTGTTCCTGCTTATACTTGGTAGCCTCTTCGTCGGTGAGCATTCTATTCTTATCGAACCTCTTGAACTGTCCAACGAGAGCCTCGATTCGCTCCCGTTCCAGTTGCGCTGCTTGATTGGACTTGGCACCGAGAATATCGAAGTGTGAGATAAGAAGTGACATACATCCCGAAACTTTGGCTCGTAGTTTTGAATACTCGTCGTCACCGAGCCCTAGGATGTGTCGACCTCTCGTCATGCCCATGGCAAATTCCAATGCTGGTACAGCCCAGCGGAAAGATTTGCGATCGGTAACCTTACAATCGTCGCAAATAAAGCTGACCCAATCTAAACTGAGCTTGGTCAGCTTCATATTATTCATTTGCCGTCGATTACTGTCCATATATAAGAGCGATCGCTGCCCAAATTCCGTCGCAAAGACGAAGCATGTCTGGATGAGGTCTTGACAATCCAAACCCTTAGTTTGCTTTCGAATGACCTCAACACTGTCCATGAAAGTATTGGATAATTTGAAGCCGACCTTTCGAATCTCAAATAGTCTGGTGTTGACCTTGTGGAGATTTGAGCGTGCTTCTACGATGAGATCGAGATGCATATCGATCGTGTCTAAGAAGCGCTTCCTTGCATTTGCCAATCGCCCTTGAGACCCATCCGCAATAAGGCGCATTTGACCTAACTTGAGATCTATTGATTCAATGTTTAGGGATTGAGTTCGTCGATTTCCAAACCAGTGCAATGGAGCTTCTGGGCGAAGTATTAGTATGTACGGGTTTGTGGGATCCTCGGCCCTCGTCAGCTCATGGAAGCAGTTTCGTAGTATTGATTGGACTTCCTCGTCACGACCAGAAAGGGCTGGTGACGCGATGATTTGGATGCCGTCAACTTCGTCCACCAGGAAATGACCAGTTATCGAAAAACGTTCATACAACGTCTTAAGTCCCTCGGCACCGAGAGCGATGCTTATATCTGATGCGTTCTCATAGTGCTCGCTCAACATCCTCGAGAAGCGTTGAAGCATCCTTTGCCTCACTCGTACCGAGTCTAGCATTTGCGTGTATCTCTTACTCATATCATCCGCGCTCTCCTTAGGCTTCCTCTGTAACTCGCGCTCGAACGTCTGGCTAAGACGATTCAGAGCTTTGTACGTGAGATTGCTGAATTGTTCGGCAACTTCGACGTCGCCCCCAACAAGATGCCGACCAATCTCATTGGCGAATTCCCATTCCTGAAACAGGACTTCAGCCTCTTTGAAGGTGTTTTTGTTCCTGCTGAGTTTCCAATTCAACATCTTGAAGTAATATTTCAGGGCGTCGAGTACGACCTGGTCGAACGACTCATCGATACAAGGTGGTAAATTCCATCCGGGTTGAGGTTGGGAGACCATAAGATTCTCCTGCTTGATTCGAATCGCGAGTTTCAATAGGATCTCAAACTGCGAGATCATCTGGTCCTGGAGGATAGGAGTTTGTTGGGTAGTCTCTTTCATTTTTCTCGCATAAGCGACCCTGACCTTGATGATTTCCTCAATTAATCGCGACGGAAAGCTGATAAGGGTAAGTAATTCTTCGATATATGGAGGGAGATGTCGCTTATGAAAAGCCGCCGAGTTCATAATGAGAGTTTCTTTCGCTTTAGCAATCGTAGTCGAGATCGGCGTTAACATGCTCCTTCGGATGAGTGATTTGGTCTTCAACGCGTTTTCCAATGTCGCAGCCTCGTCATCTTCGTGCAACGATCTTAAGCTATCTTCTTTTAACAGACGATCTAGGAATGAGGTTTCGTCACTTAAACCGTTGGTACTCGGTGACCTCTGCCTTGTCCTCTGGAAATCCAGATCATCATTACCAACCCATTTCTTCAGGATTGATAGTTCAGTGTTGATCATTTCATTGGTGTTATACCAGGACATGACGGCATCGTAAGCTTCTTGGAACGATTGAGACGTGACCTGCGAGTGCGCTACTCCCAGCATCTGCCACGAGGGATAAAGAGACTCGCAATTTTCAATCTTCTTAACAATATCCCGAACTTGCTCAATGGCGGGTTTACCGGCTGCGGTCTCGCCTTGCACTTCGAATCGCGTGATTTCGTCGACGGTCCGATCAAGGTTCCCTCGCGCCTCCTCGACTACCTTTCGCTGGACAGCGAGAGAGCGCCCGGTCCTTTTGGATCTGATTCCAAGCCATAATTCGCCCCTGTAAGTAGATTTTCCGCCTTGTGATTCAGAGGTTCCGATAAGTCGCTTCTTCTCTTGCTTTACAACATCACCAGTCAAGACTGCTGCTAGCATACCATGCCACTCTAGCCTCTCGCGGTTGACTGGATCTTTAATGTCGTCTTCGGTGGGTTGTGTATCGTCGATTAAATTTTGGAACATAATAGTCTCGTCGTTCGGGAATCGATCGTCGAAAACACCTTCCGAAGAAGGGGTCTCGCCCTCGGACTCTTCGTCAGAGTAGTCTATGCTAGGAGTGTAAGGGTCGAAGTATCCATTAGGAGGTCGATCCTGACGCATCATGCGCAGATAAGCAGGTTCTTGGTCGCGAAACTTGTCGGCGGGATCCCGCCTACGGGATCCAGACCGGGTCGAGGTAGTGATGAATGACGGCGGCTGCGGCGGTGGGCCCCTCATCGGAGCATATGTGCTGGAAGGAGTTCTCGTAACATGTGGCCTTTGTTGCTGTTGTTGCTGCTGTTGTTGGCGGCTCCCGACGCCATTCGTGGCAGTATTGGTGTTGGCTTCGCCAGCAGATCCCCGTTGTCTCACGGTATTATTAGCGACCGAGTTCAGAGCTAGCGATGTCATAGAGCTTGAGAGACTGCTATCTCCATATGGGGGAAGAGAGCCTAATTCGTCCTGGCGCTCGAGCTCGTGAGCATAATCTTCGGATGAGCCCGAGCCATCGGAATCGGTGGAGATAGCAATGGGTCGCGGATTTTTGGCCTTATCTTGAACCAGCTCAACCTCGCTGGGGGAGAATCGAACGGCGCGTGGCGATGTTTCGGCGGGCATGTTGGCAATTAACGAATGCAACTCGCTGGAACCGGATCCAGAGGTTCTCAAATTGGTCAGTTTGTCATCCGGGGAATTGACTTGAATAGTTCGAATTAAGCTAGACCGAAGTTGCAAAACAACAGATTACCTAGGATAGACAGGTAATGTACCTAGGTAGGTGAGTAGACGAATAGGTGTCAATGATATTAATGAGCGACGATGGGTATCGGTGCTCGTTGGGTCGCAGTCAAAACAAGGTCGCCAAGCAAAGTCAGCTATTCACGATGGACCGGGCCGGGGTAATCCATGAGGAAAATACCCTTGGACTTTCAAAGTGGACGAATGTGGACGAAAGTGGACAAAAGTTATTGACTCGGGCTCTGCAGGTTTCCACGCAGGTTTCCACTTCCACTCAGTCGGGCACTTTCATATGATTCGACTGAATTGATCAATGCGATAAGGCGATGAGGAGCCTCCTTCCTACATGTGATTTTATTTAATAATAATTAAATGCATTAAGTTCCCAGATCGGAGGCTGACGTCGTCTTAAAAGGATAATGATTGAAATTGATCGAGATTCTGGTACGGCGACGGTGACCTCTCAAATAAAGTAAGGCAAGGTAAGGCAAGGCAGCTGGGTATGTAGATGGTCAAAAATCAAGATAAAGGTGACAATCACTTATAATAACTCTGCCGATTCAGAAGCTTGCATAAGTGCCTTTTGTAAAGTTGAAGCTAAACAAATTGTAGTACGGAAAATTTCTAATGATTGGTTGGGAGTTGGTAGGAGTAGGTGGGAAAATCATTGGGCAACTAAACCTTCCTAGGCTTGGGAAGTGCTGAGTTGGAGCTAGAGCTCCGCCGCCGCTGCAGTTGTCGCTGTATTACGGGAGAAATCTAGTGGATGATTTGCGCCTGTGACTGCCTGTGATAGGGCAAAAGTCAAACTTTCACAATCTCTAGCTGCTCTAGCTGCCCTAGGTGCTCTAAAGTTTTCTTTGTGTAGCCGTTTCAAAATGCGTGAGTGCAACATCGAACGCCACAATTTGAACTGTCGATTATGAAATATTACGGAACAAGTTCTCCGAATCTTGAACGTCTGAGTACCAGGTACTTCACGATGTAAGATCTAGATAGCGTTGGAGGTGCAGAATTGACTACAAGTTCAGTAATAAAGGATTCTTGTCATTTGAATCACACCATGATAATTACCTAATGACCTGTTAAAACTGGAAAGCCAAGGATTGCAAGAAAAGGCTACATGTCGCTTATTCCGAATGCGGCAATCACCTTACAATTCAAGCTCTTTAAGCCACAAGATCACCGATCATCACACTGTCTAGCCTAGTAGCCACAATCAACTTCCCCAATTTGTATGTAGCTGTGTGGCTGCGGAGGGGAGGCGATTTCTTTCTGTACCCCTCATCGCGCAAAGACGCGTGCTGGAACTTGCCCTACGAATTTAGCGTTTTGTGGAACAGTGACCATCCATTCCTCCCTTGGCGCATTTTAAGATTTACCAGCAATTAAACTGGCAACCTGCAAGTACACCGTACCCTTTTCGATATATCAATTAAAGATTCAAGATCTGGTGCATTCCGCACTACGCTACTTACCAACCTATAGACCAATCCATGATAGAATCACTATTATTTTCATTTCTTTTCATTTTCCTTCAAGCTCATTAATAAATGGAATCTCATTTAGGGGTTCGGTATGTCTTCTAGAGTTGCGCCGGTTGCGTCGCGTCGGTCATCTGGCGCGACTCTTCCAAATCCTCCACGCAAAGAGCTCTTGAACTCCAGTCACAACAACGCCGACATTAGCTCGAGCCAGAAATCTAACAGCGCCGTTGAAACTCTAGAAGACTTACTTAAGCCTTCAATTGTTGTCAAGGTAAGTTAAATCACAATATTTCTCCTTATCTACTAGGTAGTTATTATTAAACCAATTATAGCCGTATCCTCCAAAGCTGTCTATCCAACCACGAAGTCTTCAACCATTAATGCTCCTCCCTCGAGAACACCTCCAACTATCATACCTTGACCTGTCTGTACCTCATGGAACCTTCGAATACTCTCGCTCTTTCGAATCAAGTATCAAGATTCTTGATCTTGAAGGCCGTTTCGGACCTCGCCCTGTTGTTCTCATCGCTCGATTAGAATCCGACAAGTCTATCTACGCGCTCGAGAGGCAGAACGGCGGGTTATATAGTCTCTGCCATGTTGGCTCTTGGGTGGATCTCCAAGACCTCGAGAAGGTTGCTACGGTCTCTTTACCCCAAATAGTCAAAAAGCCGACTAGTACATCGAAAGACTCCCAACCTCCCGCATTACCTCCATTAACAACTCCTCGCTTGCACCATGAGACGAAGAAGAGGAGGCTTGCGATCGAAGCTTTGGAGTCGATAGTTAAGAAACCCGTGAGACCTCGTTCGGCGTCAAGTACATCCCAGCTTCTACCCCTGGGGCCACCTACCCCTGGGGAGACCGGTACCGAAACTCAGGTTGAAAGTGCGCGTATTCTTAGGGATGAATTACCTACTGGTATACTTGAGACTCAAGGGGAAAATCAAGCGGCGAAGATCTCCGAAGTAGATGATACGCTTACTGCGCCAACTGCAGGAGCTATATTCGAGAATATCCGAAACCAATACTTTGAGTCCCTATACCTCTCAATGGTAGGTTCTGGCGATATATTTTACTCCATTTATTGTCTGACATTAGTAGGGTTCCCTGGGATACTTCGCGAAAGGTTCTCTATCTCGAGCACGTGCTGCTTTTCACCTCGACTGTGATGCGAACCTCGAGATGAATGACCTGATAGGTTTCTTAAGAAGCCTTGTCATGACGACAACGCAGCTCGACAAGAAGTACCGTGAGACGATTCCCGACATAATAGCCAAGATGAAGTCTCTATTTCACGATTCAGACAGCGAACATGCCAATGCCAAGACTAAGAAACGGAAAGCTAAAAAAATGAAGCTTGGCAAAGATGGCCTATATCCGATGGAGGATGACCGTATTAGAAAGTGGTGGGGTATCCGTAAACCGCAATCTAAAAGGGACGAAGACATGACGACAACTGATACTGAGTCTCACGAGACCAAGCTTCAAGTAGCCTGGCTACGGTCGAGGGAAACCCAGCTACAAATGATCATCATCCTCGAGATTCTCGCGTTAGAGCCATTGGTTGCATCTCGAGACGAAGATTCTCAGCTCCCAGGCCTACCCGGTCCCGAACCGGCTGCGGAGGCGCCCAAGGAAGCCCCTCCCAAGAAAGGCAAAGGCCGCAGTAATCTCCCAGTACTTGTCGATCTCCATGCGGATCGGTTGTGCATCTGGCAGTCTACTTCTCTGGACGGGGTTAAGTTCCTCGCCGGCCAGGATAGTCAGGAGCAGAATACCCAGAAAGCCATTGACCCTTTGAAGGACTTTTGTGTCGATATTATCGTCCCATTGTAAGCCTACCTTAAATTACAGTTAAAGAGTTATTTACTGATATTTCCAAAGCTTCTCCGCTAGGTTACCAGAACAGTCTGATTCCATTAGCCGTAAGTTGGGCGGGCCGCTTATGATGCCGCCCCCGCCCAAACCTAAGGTGAAGCCGGAGCCTGCGCCGAAATCAAAGCCAAAACCTGGCTCGGCAGCAAAGCGGCCAGTGATGTCTAAGTCAAAGGCTTCTAAGTCACTCGAAAATGTTCTTTCTAGGGAATCTGAGAAGCATCGGCGAAGCATGTCGCGTGGCCCGAGCGGAGTGATCGCCTTGATGAGATCTGCCACCACTCCCATGCTAAAGCGGGAGGCTAGTGAGCCGCTGTCTTTGAAGAGCATACCAAAGGCAGATTCAACTACGCCAAGAGAAAAAGCCCCGCGCCCGTTGACAGCAGCGCCGCCCAAGAGATCAGATGAGAGGGCGAAGAAGGAAGCTCTGGTTCAGGCAGAATTGCAAGATGCCATATCTACACTAAGACGCCCTAATAGAGAAGTCGTGGGCAAGGATATGGCGGAAGCAGCAGAAAGACGAGCTAACACCAGTCTTTCCCAGCTGAAGAGTAAGTTGAAATGAGCTTTATCTTCTGCTTTGACTTGATACTAATTTATCTACAGAAGCACGAAAGCCCACGCAGCATACACGCCCCCAAGACAGTATAGTTAAAGCCACACCCGTGGGGAAGCGGTATAGAGATGTTTTTGGCACGAATGCCAATCACCGACAAACTCCTCGGGGACTGGGACCCAATGAACCAAGCAGCACTCCATTTTCCTTAATTCCTTCTTCGGGTATAAAAAAACGTACCCACGAGTCAGCATTCGCTCTGGAGAGTTCGCCGAGCATTACACCATTTGCACATATCGCAGCAACTCCAGCGAAACAATTGACTTTAAAGCAGAGCTTCTTGTCTGTACCGAAGCCCAATGACGAAGACATTCTTGCCTCTTCGCCTCTTGTGTCTCGGAAGTCATCATCGCTATCATTCCACGATAGCGGGATTGGGTTCGATGAACTTACTGAAACGCCTATTAAACCTCGCGCTGTCCCCATCCCGTCAGACGGGATTGTAGCTGGAACACCAACCAAGCGGAGGATTCTCGAATCAACTGCTGCTAATAACAGTAGTAACACTAAAAACCCCACCGCCGAGCCGGCTAGGAAGCTTTCGATCTACGAGAGGCTCGGGTGGGATGATGACCTAGACGAACTTGGCTAAGAGCTTGTAACGAGTATTGGAAGGATTTATGGAAGAGGAAAGTGTAAAGAGTTGCTTCTGTACATGGATCACGACGGATGACGAAGCGATATGAAAGCATTCAAGGCGTTGAAGCATTGTACTGTTTGTACCTACATAGAGCATTTCGGAACGGGCATAGCAAGCATGGCATATGATACACCTAATAAGCATGAGACTTTGTTTGCTGCTGTTGAACTTGAATTTTGGGACAATGAGACTTAATGCATCCTTAATAATAATATTACATCTACACCAACGTAGTATGCCGTCTGTGAGGACTTTAACCATTGGTCCCTTATTACAATTGTAAAAAAGAAAACCTTAAGATTTCAACCCATCCCACTTTACTCAAAGCGTGTTTATAGAAGTGATTATAGAAAGCTCCTACAACCTTAGGTACTTTACCTACCTATACTCTCTTGACCCAGATTCTTTTATCCGTGAACACGCCTTATAATCATATTTATTATGTACCTATCAAGGCGTCTTAAAATTTCCGATCTAGTAAATATATACACAAGAAGCAACCTCCCCTCTCTTTCCCCCTCCCCTAAAAACCAAGCTCCCTAACAAACCCCTCAGAATTAATAACCCCACACCGCTCCCTCAACAACTGCTCCCTCACAACCTTCCTCGCCCCATCCCCATCCACAGGCGAAAACCCCTCCTCAGGCCCTCCCGCCACAAACACCGAAAACGAGGCATTCTTCCCCCCATCCCCTCCTTTCCGAAAACTAGTTCCGAAACCCTGGAACGTATCTGTGTCTTCCGTCCCCGGAACCCCGAGACTCGCAAACGTAGACCAGGACCGCGAGCCGCGGCTCACGAGGGCGTAGTCCGCGGGTGTGGGGGCGAAGGGGTATCCGGCTGTGTCCCAGTGACTGATATTCCCGAACACGTAGGCGAACTCGCTGGTATGGATTACGCCTAGGTCTGCGGGGGCTTCGTTGAGGTACGCGAGGATGGGGTCGAGGATCGTCTGGTTCCATTCGTAGAGATACACGGAGTTACCTGCTGCGGCGAGGGCGGCGCCATAGTACACGGGTTCGCAGACCATGAGGATGTCGCGGAAGATGCGGGCCGTGCGGTGGAATTCGGCGGAGAGGGATGGGGTGGCGGTGAAGGAGGTGGAGGGGTAGAGGGATAGGAGGGCGTTGAGGTTGGAGGTGGAGAGGGAGGGGAGGTAGGAGGATAGGAAGGATTGGGTTTCGGCGGGGGTGGTGATGCTGGTGTCGGTGAAGAGGGCGACGTCGTCTTGACACCAGCCCATCATTACGTCTACGTTAGCGAATTTGTGCTCGGCGATTAGTTGCGAGGGCGCGAGGGGAAGGAAGTCGCCGTCGACGGTAGGGAGCCAGATGTCGCCGATGTTGTGCGCGATGTCGTCTCCGTGCGTGGCTTCTTCTGCCGCTTCCAGGGTCTCCATTGATAGCCCGCGTAAGCATTCGACTGTTTCGGGAGAGTGGAGTGCGGTTGTGTTGCACCCGACGTAATCAACTACCGCTTGCATCGCGTTAATGGTAAAGTTCCCCGTGATCCCGGGTTCTAGGGCTTGGCTCTCGCAGATGCCGCGCTGGAAGGGCGCCGGCTTGCTTCCGCCGAAGGCCATTATCTGCATGCCAACGGCGAGTCCTAATTTTCCGGTCAGATTCTGGATTGAGCGTAGTTGGAATTGGGTGCTTACCGCCAGATGATTGCCCAGAAATGGTAATTTTTGAGGGATCGCCGCCGAAGTTCTGAATGTTATCACGGACCCACTCGATGGCAAGGCGCTGGTCTCGTAAAGCGGCATTCTCCGACCCTTCTGAGTTCAGGGCGTCGGACTTTGCAAATCCCCAGACTATATGCGGGACGCGCGTTAACAATAGTCGTGACGCACGTGGCTTGATATACTCCATCATCACTTACCCCCAAGACGATAATTCATAGCAACATGGATAATCGGAAGCCCATTCTCGACGGACTCAAGGATCATGCCATCCGGTTGAGTCACGAGCTCGCTGTTCTGACCTGTCCAAAAGCCGCCTCCGTAGATATAAACTAGGACGGGTAGTCGGTCCTCTGTAGTGACATTGGTAGGCCTTATAATATTTAGGTTCAGGCAATCTTCCGAGATCTCGGTGACATTGCTTAAGGTGAGAGGAGGGAGACCCTCTCCTAGAGGTTGAGGGCAAGCTGGGCCATAGGTTTGTGCGTTGATGGTGCTCCCTGATTTGGGTACGAAAGCTCGAGGTGGTTTAAATCGATTGGCGCCACTGGTGTCCTGGCCATAGGGGACGTTTAGGAAGGCTTCAACTCCATTGCGGTTAAGTCCTTTGTAAGTAACATTGTTTTTCGTGTCAACAACTGACGGGTTGCTTGTAGTCGCGACCACGCGGCCACAAAGCACCAACGTGCCGAAAAAGGAAGGTGGGCGCATGACTGCTCGTTAACCACCAAGATCAGGCCTTAGAACAGCGTTGAAGCCAATGTTGAATCTCAGGCAGAGTGATCTCTCCTTAAATATCTCTTCTTGGCATCCCCCAGAACATGAAGGTCCCAACAGAGGGTATTTATCTAAGGTAAGCAGGTTTCTAGAAGTTGGCAGTGCGTAATGAACCCCTGTAGCTCTTATCGTGGGATTCCCGAGCTCGGTCCCTAACCGGATGCGGAACGGAGGTTGTGCCACGTCTTTCAGCTCCGAGGAGTCGATTGGTAAGGAGAAATGGTAAGGGCGAGTTAAAAGGAGGGATCAGGGCTGGGTCAGCTCTCAGCTAGACTTGATATGCATTGGATTCCGTGCCATGTGGAACTAATCGCTGCCTTCCGTGTGTATGTAAGCATTAGACATGCTCGTATCGTATAGACGGATCATGCGGTATTAACTTGAGTTGAAATTGTTGAAATAGTTGAAAGAAGACATTTCTATTATATATTAAATATATTCCTTCGACAAACCTGTGCTGCGCTAACTGCAAGCTGAACTCATAGTGTTGGTCATAGGTAATCTCAATAAATGTCTCTAGGTAAGGGACGGAATCTAATAAGCAGCCTTGGAGGAAGTAGAGCGCTGAGGGACCCTTGAACTATGCAAGGGATACCAACCAACGTTATTCCATGACTTTCGGGATGTGCCGTGCAATACCGTTTCATTTTAACATCCCGCAGTTGCGAGATTCGCTATGCTGGTATTTTATCGATATCTGTTACACAACAAATTGTGGCTTGTTGGTCTAGTATCTTTTGAGTATTAACAGGTAACATGTTGCATCTAGTTATCGGAAGATGCGACTGAAACAGACGTGGCCTTAAGTCGGGTTGATACATGTTACTGGTGTTTATGAATAAACATTCAATAAAAATAATTGATGTTCGTCATAAAGTAACAGTCTGATAACCTTCGTCTTGGCAAACTAAAGACAGAGCCGCAACTTCCTTTGGCAGGTACTTAGCTGGTGATGATGAATAATCCATTGATAGCATTGGATGTAACTCGGCAAAACGGGGCTATAACGGGCTCCACGTGATACCAACCCACACCACACAATATAATGTTTCTTAGCCTGTTGAATATTCATCAATCAGCGGGGATAGCTCAGCTGGGAGAGCGTCAGACTGAAGTCAACTTCTGTTTCTCAAATCTGAAGGTCATGTGTTCGATCCACATTCACCGCAGCTGATAATCTTTTTCTCTTTTCTTTGCTTCATATAATTGGATATTTTTTTGAGGTTTGCTCCATGTACAATTGCTTAGAACTTGGAACTCGAAGCATGTAGACTTGATGTTGTCAAGAGAACATCGTTGCATGTATGCTGCATCATTCGGGCACTACGTAAGAATCAGGGCAACGTTATGAGAAATTTTATAAGGTATCTAGTCAACTAGATAACTCCTTCCATTCATTAAGGTCTGCTATCCCATATGAATAAAACTCAATTATGTAATTGCTCATGTGTATTACATAATACGTTAACCCGTATATTAGATGCCGATCCCCCTCTTTGTCTTTTTCTTCCTTATCAACTTTTCGCATTTGATCACGTTCTCAAGCCACCAGTGGTTTGGGGAAATAGGCCCTTAAACCACTAAGTATGCGGGTGCGGAGTAAATACTTTTTAGTATGATTCCAGCGCTGGGGCATTTCATATCTGTACCAGTTGACCCAGCTGGTTTCTAGACTTGCAGATCCTCAATGCCGTGGAAAGCTTTGCATCTTGGTGAGGTTACCCTTCACGTGCTCAAATTCGCATCGCCGCAAGGGTGTCCATGATGGACGGCGCATGTCGAGTGCGTGGTGATGGCTCTCGGATCAAGTTCAAATAAATCCAACCAATAGATTCGCCGGATGTAGGGAGAAGACCTCTTTTGCCTCCTCAAACTACCCGACCAGACAGGTTGCTGGCAGGGCCGTGGACCCGTTTAAAAGCACCTAAAAAGCATCTAAATGCACTTCAAACTGAGACGCGGCTAGGATAAGGAAGGTTGCGAGCGTCCTAGGAGCCGAGACTCAGATGTTGCACATGGGATGGACCAGGATGGGGTCGAGATTGAGTCTGGGATCCAATCCACCAAAGCACGTTGTCGAATCTGAGCCTCTGATTGGCCACCCCTTGACTTCAGCCAATGTTAGAGCTCGAATTGATCGCGTGCCTCGACTCGACACCTTTCAATGCTTCGTTGACGTTGAAACTTTTCAATATGTCGGACATACTTCTCCTCGACTCTGACCCCTCCCGGAATCATCTTTTTTTTATCATCGAAAACAACGAATTTTCACGTTGGAAGTTCGTCGCTTACATCGTTCTCTTCGGCTTCTAAACCGTGGGGCTATGAATGAGAGTGTTTCATTCTCGCAACATCTACCACACTTCCAGGTTATCTTTCGGCACTTTACGCTTGTGTAACGGCTATTGGGTACCTAAGTAATTATCGCGGTACCTGATTTTCCGCTTCAAATTTGTGTTTTATTCGAATTCAAACGTCGGGATACCGTAGAGTTGTCGACTATTGAGTCCCTCCTTCGACCCACGTTAGGAAAGATAAATCTGCGATAACATTACGCCAATCATTCTTGTTGTGTGACCAGGCGAAGTGATCTAACATATCATTATTCAATATGACACGTCTAAAGATGCCACCAACTCCGGCGTCCTCTACCGAGATCAAAGGCCAGGATCACTCGCATCAGCTATCTACTCTGCAAATGTCTTTCGAACTACCTCCGTCGGCTATTACGCAAAATGCTAAGTCCCAAGCATCCGCTGCATCTAAGACATCACCTGTATCGCCATCTACCAAGACCACATATCCGGTACAACCAAGCGAGACAGTCAAGTCAAGGAGGCGCTCGTCAGCCGCGCAGAAAGAGACGTTTGCTTTACCCCCTCCACCAACGAGATCCCGCAGGATCATTCAAATGAAGCCTCGCCCCCAAGAAGAATCTGTAGAACAGGCGGCCTCAGACAAGGCAACTACCGCGAATACCGGAAAGAATGCTAGTGGCGCCGGGTCCAAGAAGAAGCAGCCATCGGCGACAAGTGCAGCCGGCAGGAAGATTGCGAGGAAGACGGCTCATAGCTTGATTGAGCGTCGCCGACGATCGAAGATGAACGAGGAATTCGCAGTGCTCAAAGGTTTGATACCCGCCTGCACGGGCGAAATGCACAAGCTAGCTATTCTTCAAGTACGTTTACAGAATATCTCCATCGCGTATACTTTTTCATACTAACCTTCACACCTCTAGGCTTCGATTGAATATGTGCGATACCTTGAAGACTGTATCTCGCAACTAAAGGAACAACGCGAGGACCAATCAACAACCCCGGCTCCACCCCAATTTAAACTCCCCCCATCTAACGACGACACATACGACATGGACGAGGACAAGGAAGACGACGAAGAGGAAGAAGGCCAAGAAGACGTCGAAATGACAAACTCAGAAGCTCCCTCGCCTGTCTACACCCAAACCCCCGCCCGCTCCAACCAATCCTCCATATCACCCGCCTTAGTAGCGCAGGACGCGCGTGGAAGACAGCAATCCTACTCATCGGTGTCTACCGAATACCGCCATTACAGCTACAGCGGGCCATCAGCTACTTCTCCCGCTTTTGGACCCCAGGGGTATCCGCAGCATGTGGGGCCCGCGTCCGCGATCACGAGTCCGGCGCTAAGGCCCCAGCAGGAGATCGATCAGGAGGCTTCGGCGGCGTTGCTGATGCTCAATGTTGATCGGAGGGCGGGGTCAGGGTCGGGGTCGGGATCGGGGTCTGGGAGGGGGATGAGTGTGAGGGATTTGCTTAGTTCGTGAGAACAGCAGTGCTGTTTTCTGGAAGGCTCTGCTCTGACGCTTAAGTTGCGTTATTGGTTGGTATTATGGTTTATCGATGGTTGGTTGGGTTGTGCGGCTGTCTGTTTCTGCATTTGCATCAGCGGAACGCACGCATGTGTTGCGGGTATGGCATGGATGTCGCGGGAGGCGGAAAGGCTTTGCTGTGTTTGTTATCATTGGTATCATGGATGTTTACATTGCGGAATAGGGTTGTCGTGCTCTCTTGAGGGTATCCATGGATATATGACGGCGTTAGATTTACTATGTTATGCAGCATCTTGGTATTCGATACTAAAATATGGGGCGGGGGATAATGATACCGATGCATTCTTTAGGATTGGACTCCTGTTCCATGGGGAGCGGTATTTGAGATAGGATGGGAACTGAATCCAATTCTTTGGTGCCCAGGGAAGAGGTTTTGTGTGCCCCCGTTCCCTTGTGATAGTGAAAGAACTCTTCATGATCTTAGTAAGTGCCTAGTTGCTACACCAAGGTCATTTGGTTCCTAACATCTACAAATTTCGAATCCCATCTTAACCTCGTAGTAGATCTTAGGTGATAAGATGTGAGGCGAGTAATTTAGGTAGGTTGAAGATTGTCATGTTCATTCTACATTTAAGAAATAGTGCGCAGTAGATGAAGCGAGTCGTAACTCACTTGAGCTTTCCTAGCTGTCATGTATGCTTCTGTGACCTGGCTGGAAGAGCAGTTTGTTTACCTAGGTAGGTATGACGAATGTTCGTAGTTGATAGGGGGGGGCCGCGGAAGTATTGTTGTATGTGCGCGTGTGGATGATGTAAAACCATGTGATGCTATCGTGGCTCATAGGCGCCGGGCTTCTAAGTGTGGCAGACTGGATAGAGCAAGAGACCGATCTTGACTTTTGGTGTTGCATCAATCCTTATTTATAGGATACCTCGACGAGTGCCGGGAGTGAGGCTTACCTTTTGCTTTATCGTCACTTCGCAACGGCATGCGGTATGTGATTGACATGAAAAGTCCGTAGTTGGACTTCAAAATCTTGAGGATTCATCTCGTTAATCTCACCCGGTCCGCCGTCGCTTGAATCGGCTAATGAGAAAACGGCTCCCATTTGAACGCTGGTAAGGCCGGGCTTCTTGTGCCAATGTATGGTATCCTAATCTCTTTAACGAGCTTCAGAGTAAAGTTGACAACATTGAAACTGAATCGGTAGGATATATTGAACGGACGGTGTGTACACCATCAATAGTACCCCTCTAGATGAAGGCGTTGCGAAATCCTTTCGGGGAGGTTCGGTAAAACAACAGGACTTACGTACTATTTAGAAATTGGGAACAGTAGCACTTCCTTGGTATGATTGGCGATATTCTCTCAGCTAAGGGTTGTCAAAGTTGAGAATAAGAGAGGGGGGCTGCTCACGTCCTGATTTTAAGACATCGGAAGAATCGCATCGAGATTATAGTCCTATAAGCCTTTCTGAACGCTCCCAACATATATGCGCTTAACCTAATGATGGTGCTGTTGTCGCGAAGTATTGATGTCGCTTGCTGTACCGTAGAGTCAGTGGCTGTGACTGGAGAAATGCCTCAATCCCCCTTTTCTGGAAAGTAAACTCTTCTGATCTTTCATTCTCTCCTATCATATAAAAAATGATCTGAAGTATAATTTTTATCCGTATAGTTGTTGGTATTGTTATAAGGTTGTTCAAGAGGGTCGCATAGGTATAGAAATGAGTTTAGTTAGTTAGGGTATGCTTTTGGCGTTCCTCATAAGCTCTGAGCGTACGAAGGGCTATTGGAGTTTGATCCAGTTTGAAAACCCTTCCAAACCGATTTTCATTGTTAGTAAGGGTAACCGGATTATGCAGTAGTTATTGCGTACGCGTAAGGCTTTGCTATTGAACGATGTTAGTAGGTCAAGCCATAAAATGGTGGCGTGGCTCGCCCTTGACTTAGCTATAGAAAATATGACAGATAGAATCTGACTGTTATAACTTAGAAGTTATTATGAACTAGGAAAGCTCAATTTGGCATTAGTTCCTTGGCTAATTGATAGCGAAATCTCTTCCCTCTCGTCCTTCATTACACTGAGTATGAATGAGTCACAGATAAAAGTATGCGTTGTCGTCCACCGAGATAGGTATATGAAAGCCACATATGGCAACCTATTCGCAAACTGTGTCCCCTCGATATCGGGATCTACTGTGATACTGCTGTTGTGATGGCGGTGTGAAAATTTTGCGTGGAACGGGCCAGCCCGCTGGGATCTGCTTTCCAGGCTCCCGTTTTTGAGAATTCGCAATCGTAAGTATGTTGCAATGAATATGTAAGTTCGATGCGCCACCGGAGAAAACGTGCGAAATATAATTCCCTCAGCTTGATGCCCAAGACCTCCCTTACATACAACAACTGGGCGACAAGAAGATATATCGGGTCCGCGACAAGACATAAAAGGCTAAATGATATAAAATCTCGTGTTTCGTGCGTATATCAGGTAATCTTGAGAAGGTGGGTGGTACTGTAAAGCAGGTGATAAAACTTCCACGCTGGCGCACGCCTATGCATGGTCTGAATGGCCGGGTCTCATCCGGGTGTCACGTCGAGACGTCTATTGGCAAGTTGCTTTTTTGAAGGATTCTTAAGTAGTATCTGGTGTTGTATGGAAGCTGACCGAACGAATTGCCAAAAAAATGAAAAGGGCCAAGAACAGGAGGTCAAATAAGAAAATTCCCTCTCGTTAGAGTCGTTCTGCATAGGGCCGTATTAAGCTTAATGTCGTCGCGTCGTATGCTTCGGCATTCCGAATACCGAGTTATAGTACTACCAAGATCTATGAGCGTCGACTTAGGTGTAGACACAAGATTTGAGTTGTTAGTCCACTTGAAACTGAAATAATTGAAGCGATATTTGTTTTGAATTTCCTTCAGAGTATTCTCTTAGTGATATATTTAATAGACGCGCTTAGTCAGTACCCCTGAAAATCCCCTGATCGTGCCTGGATTATCCTCAAGTTCCCGGAACTCTTCACCGGGAAGCTATCATAAGCGCTTGGATGTAATTGGTCTACGCGGCAGAGCGTTCCCCTAATTTGCATCAAGTAATGCCGCCATCTGCAATTACTAGCAGAAAAAAGAATGCAGCTAAAACCACGTGGGCGAATGGATTTCATTCCTGATCTTTTGACCATTCCTGATTTCTGATAAGATTCGACCAAAACCAAACCAAGTATGTTTGGGATAAATGACGTGCATCTTCAGTAGGTCATATGCTACATTGTCTATCGTCAATGCTTCTTTACATGGCAGTTTCCTTAGAATTAGGTTTGTAAATGCGTCATTAGCTTACAGTATTCTTGACTTACGCAATGGTGACCCCGCAATATGAAGATCCAGTAGCCAAGTCTGCCAAGTCAAGCTTGTTTGCTCGTTGCTTGTTTCCGTTTCCCCATTTTTCAGCCTCTTAGTGCAACCCCCAAACAAGACCCACAGGTCCACAGACCCCCATCTTACCCCGAGATGGAGACCCCCACATTTCCGCCTTTACCTGGGTACCAAATGCACAATGACGTACGTCTTGGAGTTGAAGTCTCGTGGTACATACTTGTAACAGTAGGAGGCCTTTCCTCCGCGTCTATTCCGTCAGGTGGAAATGCAGAACTTTCCGATGGAGATGCTTACTACGAGATATGTAAAATGCCTGCTCGGTGCCTAGGTTCGATGACTTCCGAAACGGTTGACTTTTCCCAAAGTCCAGGTGAGTCGATGTCTAGGGCTGTCCGAATGTTTCCGGTAATTTATCAATTCCCCAGCTGTTCGCATGCGCTGCGCCGTCTCCCGGTTCCAACAAATTAAAGATTGTGGAGAGATACGGCGTTGCTGGAATGCAGCGCAACCGAACAATTCCATTGATATGTAACTTCGATGAGATCTAGAGGGGTCCAGATTAATGAATGTGAACGTTGACATGCATTTACATACATGAGCAGGTACATACCAGGTACATCAAGCACCTACCTATACATCTGTATTCTTAATGTATTTTTTGTCGCTATCTGTTCCGGCTACACAAGAATTCAACTAAGTGGATCCTGGCGTCTTTTTTGGGCGGGTGCCATTCTCGGCAAACTGGATAAGCATTTCCTTTAGTCTTGTCCCGTATTACCTAGCAGCCTACTAGTACCTTCAAGGTTCACAGTGCTTACATACTAATTGTAACCACGTACATCTATTTACTCTATTTTCACAGTCTATTTTATGACATCGTCACATCGCTTCGGCTTACAATACGCTTTGTCTCAGCGGTAACTTTACGTGGCAACAATATGATTGGCTCTAAGAAGACCGTGCCGATAATAGCATTCACAACTTCACGTTGACAAAATGCGGCAAGACCCAGTCACCTGATGTCTTACGCCCGGGATCTCGAGGGGAATGGACCGGATTCTGTCTCCAGCTTTTCCCCAGACTCATCCACTACCGGGTCGAGTCCAAGATCTGATTGGACAATTCCTCGACGCTCGGTATAAGACGATATCTGTATCGGCATCCTTGTCGGGCTGTACTGTGCCGGCGTGACACCAATCACCTTTAGACGTCAGGATCTTAGCAAATACATCTTAATGTCTTGAAGTACATAGTAGACTTTTGTATATTATATAAGATTCTCATACCCTCTCCCTTTTGTCTACTAAAATTCCCCTTCGAAAATTTTAGTTTCTTACCAACTTTCCCTCTTTTTACCTATCTACATCTCCGAGTAGAACTTGGGGAGTTTATAAACTTGATTTTTCGGCGTTAACCACAAGATGGCACCTTCGAGAACGAACCAGCCCTACTTTGGGCTGAAAGGCCAATGGCTGACCTTCTGGATCACTGTATGCTATTCTTCTTCGTCTCATACTACCTAGTAGGCAGAGATAACATGAGCTAACATAGCACCTATAGGTTGCTTGCGCTACAGACATGACCTTGTTTGGTTACGATCAAGGTATCTTCAGTATGTTATCACCATACCGCTTAAATATTTACGTTGATGCTTACCTGGAATCAAGGCGGTGTTGTCATTTCTCCTGATTATCTCGACGTCCATCACTTGAATGGTCCGGAGAACACAAGCACACTATCTATCATAACGGCCATTTACACTATCGGTTGCTTCTTCGGCGCCGTCGCGGCGTTCTACATTGGAGAGGCAATCGGTCGGAAGAGGACCATCCTTACTGGTACCGCGATTATGACCGTGGGCGCCATTCTTCAAGCAACTTCTTTCAGTGTTCCTCACATGATCGTTGCTCGTATTGTCTCAGGGTATGTGGCTTCGGGACGTTGTTGGGAGTTACCCGTAAGGCTAACAGGTAGAACAGTATCGGAAATGGTATCAACACAGCTACAGCACCCGTCTGGCAAACGGAAACCTCTAAAGTCCACAACAGAGGAAAGCTTGTCATGCTCGAGATGGGATTAAACATCCTCGGTTTCTCGTTAAGTAATTGGATCAACTACGGAATGTCTTTCGTTGGAGGTGCGATAGGGTGGCGGTTACCCTTGGCTCTCCAACTTGTCTTCTGCATAATCCTCTTCTCTACTATTCCGTGGCTTCCCGAGTCACCTAGGTACGTGGTTTTCCGCTTAGATAAATACTATAGTACCCATCTTCGTTTTTCTAACCTTATTTGAATTTAGATGGCTACTTGCGCACGGGCAGGAGATTGAAGCTACCACGATCCTTGCTGACTTGGAGGACAAACCGATCGATGACCCATACGTCGTTGCTGAGCGCGCTGAGATCATTTATGGAATCGAATATGAGCGCGAGAATGCGATGAAATGGGGTGATATTCTCCGCGGTCGCAGCAAGACTGGAACCAAAACTATTCGGCGATTGGCACTTGGCGCTGGCACTCAAGCTATGCAGCAATTCGGTGGTATCAATGGTACGTGGAGACAAACCTTTTATGTTATTGAATGCATATACTAACTATAATGTAGTGAGTATTAACCCAAGTCTTGATTTGGTCCCTCTTCTAAACTAGTGATGTGAGGAGGGGACACAAAATCTTACGTCCGCGCTCCAGGACAAGCTATGGCGAAGAGTGAGACTTCATGTCCGAATATGGATGCTAACGTTGAGTAGATCATGTCTTATTACCTTCCCACCGTATTGATTGAATCCGTCAAGCTCGACTCTAGCATGGCTCGCCTCATCGCAGCCTGTGCGTCGGTTGTTTACCTAATTGCTTCTTTGATAGCAGCACCCCTTGTCGAAAAGTTTGGCCGTCGAAAGATGATGATGCTTTCAACAGTCATTCAGTTCTTCTGCTTTTTGCTCGTGACCATATTGCTCCACTTCGCGGAGGAGCCGGGTTACGCGCATCAAGTCGAGTTGGCCAAGTCTTCTGTTGTGTGGTTCATTCTCTTCTACGTAGCGTTTGGCTTGGGAATGCTGGGCGTAAGTCTCGACCGCACTCGAACTCATCGGAAAATGCTAATTTGGACTTACAGATCCCGTGGTTGTACCCTACCGAGATCAACTCGTAAGTTCTAGAACATTTTTTATATAAATGTCCTAATTGCTAATTTTATATAGTCTTCCCATGCGTACCAAGGGCGCTGCTGTTGCTACGATGACGAACTGGATCACCAACTTCGCCGTTGTCGAAATCACACCGATCGGCATCCAAAAACTGGGATGGAAGTTCTACATCATTTGGACCATAACGAATGCACTATTCCTGCCGGTCATCTACTTCTTTTACCCAGAGACGGCCAACCGTACTCTAGAGGACTTGGACGCCTTTTACCGCGAAAACCCGCCCTTAATCCTCCACAAGGACCGCGACTCCACCTCGGTACGAAGACCCGAGCGGTTCGCCCAAGCTCAGGGCCGCGACATAGAGGAAGCGGCCGAGAACCTACGGCATCGCGGATCGATCCACGGGTCTATCTTCGAGCACGACGCTACTAATAAGTCTATCAGCGATTGAGTCGCTTAGTTAACGATATTACGATACCCACTGGTGGAGACGGTTCGACGACTGGGCATGGAGCAGGTTTACGAATACTACCTGGCGAACCTTAGGGACCTATGCATGGGCACTGGGGTTTCTTTTTTCTCTCTTCTTTCCTGTACTTTCGTATAGATTTCTTCTAGTGATACCACATTACGTTAGAGAAGTAAAAATTCGATACTATTAAACATATGATGATCTCACGTCTCTTGCTGTATGGAATATAGGTAGGTACTTACCTCGACGTCAGATAACTGCCGTAGCCTGCCCAGGTCCCAGAAGAAGGCCCGATTTAGGAAATCCCCGACTACCCCGTATGTTCGAATAGTTCAGGTATTCTATCGGCGTTAGCGTGCGGACGCCATCCTGGTCGTCGATCAGGTGGAGTAGCCTCGGGACTTGTTACCGCTAGTCGGGCTAGTGCGTTTCCTATACGAGACAATATCGCCGATTCCGTTCTCTTGGTCGGGTGCTCCCGAGGCCAAGATGTAGGTTAATTGAGCTGAGTACGTACTTATCTAGTACCTTTATATAAGAGAGGAGGAGTTGGTCTATGGCGAACTTCAACGCTTGTGTTTACGGCGAGTTGGTTGTGTATACCGGGCGTACGGATTCGAGTATGACTTGACTTGAGATGCGAGATCATCACTGTAACGTGACAGTGAACCCACATATGTACACATGAAGAACCTGGGGAAGTGGGCTGATGGGTCTGGGGTGAAGAATATGGTGTTGGAATGAATGGGGACGTACGGTGGGTCGGAGGGGTTTGGGACCCGCTGCTTCACGTCACTATCGCTGGAATCACTTCCGCATTGGGGAGTTGCTGGAGTTGATGTTACTGTGGATGTAATTGTTGGTTAGGTACCTAGCTAATGCTTTGAACGTCATGGTTGGGTTTGGCTTGAAAGATGGTTTATGTGTCTCGGAGGAAACGCTCCTTGTTTTTGTTTGAGGGGGCGTTGAGCGTAGGTTTTCATGAATTGATACTAATTCCGGGTTTTTCTTCGTTGTGTGAGTATTTACTTGATGTGATCATATAACAGGATTGGATTTTTAACGTTTCGAGAAGAAGTAATGAATATTTTCATTTCGTTGGTTCCAAGTGCGATAAGGTTTAACCACCCAATCGCCAGGGGGTTGAGAATATTGAGCGCCGTGTGCTCGAGTCTCGGAAATATTATTATTTATGTTCGCCTTCATAATCATTCTATTATTTTAATCAGGAATAAATTATTTCCATACCTACCTGGTACAATTTGAGGGGGTTCAATGGATATCACTATTCGATGCTGAGAGGTGTAGGCTAAGTAGGAAGCCAGCTATGAAATGACTTCCAACTATCCCTCATCGTTTAAAAGCTACTAGGTACCTACCTAACGTTTCTTATGAGGATATAATGCTTTCTTTACCTAGATAATAAACATCCGCTAATTTCATACGCGGCTATCCCCTAAAATTGCTCTACAAGCACTAGAGATGCCTAGATCACGAGCTGGGTTTATTAGTTTTTTTTCCGAATAGTCCCTTTTACGTTTATCGTTTATAATGTCATTGATAAGATATTAATACCGTATCTGAATTCAATTACTCGCTATTGCCACGCTCTCTGAGACAACCTAGGTGGTTACTAGGTAGCTGTTGTAAGAACTCGGAAGGGGAGGAAGATTGGAAGTTTTGAATGAATTAGTCAAGGCCGTGCTTCACGGCAAGAATCAATTACATGAATAGACCCTTGTTGGGGTTAAAAATCCGATAAATAGGTATCAAATACTCCTTAATTAGGTAGATACCTGGTCTTTGGGATGGTACCTCTTGGTTGCCTTGTCAAATAGTCCCCAGCAGTTCTATCCATACAAGATGTTCAATATGTAGACGGAACGTAGATGAACTGTAGAGAAACTAAACCATCTCATGGAAAGAGAAATATATATTATGATGCCTTTCTATATGGTGAGAGACCAGGTTAAGATTATCTGGACCATTTGGAAAATCTCGCTAATGACTGATTTGCTACATTGTCACTCAACGATATTCTTAGCATAGAAAATTGTAAAAATGAGATATTAATTGTGTTAATACGGGAATTGGACTAATTTCATATTTAGTATAGACCTATGATTTTATTTCCGTGGCGTCGAATTAATTATTGCTGTCAAAAGGGTGAGTACAATCGGGTGAGTTTCACTAAGATCGTGTTGAATTCCACCACATGCCACTTTACAACCACGATAACCTTTAGGTATATCTCTGGGATTTTAAAGATAGTTTTGATATATAAGTCAATTCAATTAATTCTCTTCGTGGCAATCCCGGGTACATAGTTTCTGCCATTTTTCTTCGTGAGAATATTGTTGAGTGATAAGATGTGAGTCAGGCGTGGATATTTAACTTCTTGCTGTGGACTTTGAAGTATTTTCGCAGAATAAATAGGTACCTTGTCATGTTCTATTTTTACCCGAACTACACTTTCATAAAGCAAGAATATTGGATTTTCCTCGATAGAAGGACGTATTTTATCATCTTCATTACTCGGGTGCGGGCTCGTGCTCCGGTACAGAACAGTCGGCTGGTTCTGCATGGCTGAAAAGCTCCTATACTACCTAGTAGTATTCCAGATTCGTCGATATGGTACAAAAGTTCACCATTTGGCAACCTAGCTAGTTGTAAAAATCTTGTAGATAATCTCTTAGGGACAGTTATATATGGTATTGGCGAAGAAGATGATTGTTCCATGTTTTAGTACTGTTAGGGATTGTTGAAATGTCATATCTCACTGAGTAGAGTTATTCTTCATTATTCATGCTACTTCACCCATGTCGCCCCAGAAGACCACCCTCAGAAATCGTCTCTATAATAACCCATGAGATGATGTCCCTCATATTCGGACCGGTATGCATCAAATTGTGTCAGACTTCACCGCCCTCACCCGAAAGAGACCTCCATCCCTATTTTCCTCTTCGAGGCGGCTGAAATTTTGCTCTCACGCAAGCGTTCAACACCACATCCTTCTCTAATCTGTAGTAAGCCTCCACAGGCCATCACCAAGGTAATGCGCGTCCTCAATAACCGGGCCCTTCCCCTTCTCCTTAACCTCCTTCGTACCAACAACCAAAAACCCAACCGCACACGCCTCCGTCTTTCCCTCCGCCCTCACAATCACCGGCTCCCCCTTCGCCAACTCCCTCGTCCACCTCTCCTCCTCATCCAACCCCTCCCCCTCAATCCCAGGCGTCCCTTCTAAAACCCCACTCGGCAACCTCCCCCCCACGCTCGTGAGCCCAGGCGCCATGAGCGTAGCGCCGGAGAGAACAAAGCGGATGGCGCCGCGGTCGATGCGCAGACTGGGAAACGCGTCGGGGAAGCGGTGGACGAGGCGGAGGTGCGGTAGTAACGTGTCCCCCCCGTGCTGGAAGAACAGAGGCTGCGAGTCGAGCACGTACAGTGTGCACCGGTCCGGCAGCTTCATCGCTTCGAGAGAGCCTTTCTTCGGTAGGATCTCGTCCATGTACTGGTTTAGCAGCGGGTATGTTGTGAGCAGCGATTGCCGCAGCGAGCGCTGCACGGAGGATTTGAGCTTGGATTTTGGGGCTGCGGTTATTCTGTGAGGAGGGTGGTGGGGTTAGCTTCTTTGTCTTTGGTTTGGCTTTGGTTGGGGTTGGATTGGAAGAGGAGGGAAGGGGTGAGGGTGCTGGTTTACTCTTTCTTGAACATCGTGTCGGATTACGGTCAATTCACCAGTATTGTAGAGGTAAATAGGTGTAGGTATTGTGTGTTGACGAGATCTAAGTATGTGGCATGAAGCTTGTGAAAGTTTGGAGGGGCAGTCGATTGGAATGCCCCGCAGTCGCAGTTCAGCGCGGGGCAAACTCTGGAACTTTACCCCCTTGCTCCCGGCTTAGCGGGGCACGCGGTACGGGGGTACCTGGCAGCTCCAGCAGCTCTGACCTTGATGCGCTTCTACTGTCCTCCAATCCTTCCTTACGAAGAGAGCTGGGATAAAAAGCTTCCTAGAATCACACCTAGGAATGACGATATAAGAACTAAAAGTTTTGAGGTCATCAAGGTACTCAGGTACCGTGCTCGGGAACGCACCTACTTGTCGGTTATCTAAGGCTAAGTGACCAACACGTGACGACCTCGTGGCGCTCGACCTGCCCTGTTTAGAAGAAATCCCGAGGAAACCGAATACGTCATTGCATACGACGGCTGCGAAACATTAGTACAAGTTCGTATCTTAGAATGTTGCTTGCCTAAAGTTTATAAGAACAGACCAAGAATATATCTGCCCCTCGTCTCTTTGACAACTTTCATCTTCAACTACCTACAACAACTTCACCTCAACGAAATTAATACAATAAACTAATTTCAACTCAATTAAATCATACTAAACAACAAGCACAATGCCTCTCGTCATTCCAGGTATCACGGATAACTCCAAAGACAAGACTGCGGACTGGACGAGCAAGTTATTGGGCAAGACCGTGTCTGATAATGGACACAGCGAGACGGTGTGTAGAATCTCTTTCGGGCATCATCCTACCAATAAATATCAATGTAAAGTAACTAACATAACAACCTCTAGAACTTCTGCAAGAAGGATCTCCCGCAGGAATGCCGTATCATCGAGCCGGGAATGATGGTAACTCGTGATTTCAAGCCTGACCGGCTCAATGTCCACGTCAAGGACGACGGCACAGTCCACCACGTCCAGCACGGCTAAGCTTCTCGTACGACGATTTTGGAGTGTTATCCGACGAAGCGCGACCTTATCAACTGAAGATACTGATAGGGACAGAACTATCGTTCAAGATCACGGGCTTTGGATTGGAGGTTTCGCTAGCCGAGGATAATTTGTGTTATTAGTCTTCCTATCCTTTAAGTATGAGCAATGAATAATTATCTCTTTCCGAGTAATCTGATTTGCGCTTTTGAAGATCGGAGTTTACGTATTGGTTCGCTGCAAGATGTTGATCTCTGCGAGTAATCGTCGGCGCTTTCCGAACACACCAACTTCAGCGTCGGCGTAGCCAATTATGGTACCCCGCATTATCGATATAAATTTCAACTGGCAAGACAATTTCCTTCTGAATGATTCAGTTGACGCTCTGTATTTCATCTGTTTGACCATTACTCATACCAAATGGGACATAGTCAGCAAGAGTCTCAATACAGCTAAGCGAAATGATTCTAACCCAGCTTGTGATGTCGTTCCCGACATGAAATGCCATGTGAAGTGGTAGAATTGGAACCAGGATATCAATCCTACGCATGATAGTCGAAGAAGTATCAGGAAGACATCTCCTTATTGGAATTTTCCTGTGTCGTTAAATAAACCCATGTCATTACAATTTCTAGAATGGCAAAACGAAAAAAGTGCAACCACCGCTAACTTCGTTGATCTGAGCCTTGGTGGAAAATGTCCTAAATCCTAGCCGAGGATATTGTTGCGAAGTGTACAATGAGACTTCTCAAAACTTTGAAAGCGCCCCCCCAAACATCATATTCATTTCTGATGGATCAGACGTGTTGAAAGGGCTTCTCATTTCCGGAGGTAGCGGTCAAGGACTCTCGCTTAAGCGGAGTAGTCTCAATAGGAAATATGTTGCGACTTGATTATATTCTCTCCTTTTTAACATGAAAAAACTTGTGTCATCCTTAAGGCAGGAGGTCGTGTAGGTATTCAACAACGTGGATTTGAAGATGTTGTCGTGGCTTTAATGAATTTACCCTCATAAAGATCGAGTTTTTGGTTTACTGGCTTTTACTGCGTTTTTTAGCTAATGCGATCTTGTTGTATAAGAGATAATATAAATCAACTTACATGTATTTGTAAAGAATTCCAACCTATCCTTAGTCTCTGTCCTTATCCGCTTGTACATTATGAATAGCTAAGCAGATAGGTAAATAGGTTAGAAAAAAGAGAAAATGGTGAAATATTCCATATTAAAAACATCCTCCCTAGAGGATGCATCATTAACACCGATGCCCGAGGTATCTAACAAGTTTCATAACAGCGTATTTCCAAGTTTTGAACTTCAACTATGCCAGCCCGTCCATCGCCCTTCATGCTCCGCTTTGTCTTTCTCAGTAGGTACCTCTTAGTAGTGTTCCATGCTTATAAACCCGCCACGCGGGTGATTCCCATCTTTCTCCCTTCCCATGCCATGCTATCCCATCACACAATGCATATGCCCAGCGCTCAAAATCCCTCTCCCTACCATGCAAACTCAACTCAACTCATCTCACACTTAGAACCCTCACTTAACCCCTAATAATGACTCCGATCCGCAAACGGATTCCCCGGCGCAGGGCTAACCTCGCGCTTAAACGGGCCCGCCGGCTCCTCGACCGGCGCAGCCGGCACCGGGGCCTCGTCAACCGCGAGCGCGGCGTTCGTCTTCGCGATAGCCGCAGCCTGTTTCTTCGCGCGCAGCTTGCGGTCGCGGCTCTTCTCGCTGCAGGCGAAGAACAGCAGGGTGCCGAAACCGCCGGCGAAACATATCGCCATGAAGATGGTGATGACGAGTTCCGCGGTGTCGAGGCTGTCTTTGCGAACCATGCAGATGTCGTTGCCGCTGCTGTCCGTTTGGCAGATGTTGGTGGAGGCGCAGACGGAGGTTGTGACGGTCGTTTCGATGCAGGCGAGCGTGGAGCCCGATGCGGTGCCGGTGGATTGTACGGGGCAGTAGGAGGATGTTGTTGTGGTTGCGGTGCTGCATTGTAGGCCGGTGGAGGTTGCTGTTGTGGCTGTTGTGGTGCCGGTTGATGCGGCGGTTGTGGTTGCGGCGGCTGCGGTTGTAGTGGTGTCTTGGGGAGCTATGTTTAGGTAGCTCTTGTTAGTTTCTTTTTCCGCACACGCTTTTCGTATACCTATTCATGTATTGGATTTGGTGGAGGGACATTTCTTACCTGGTAAAGCTTCCGGCGATCTCCGCCTTAGCTCGGCGACGGACTGTCCCTTGTCGCAGTTGTGAATGAGGAAAGCTGCTTCGATGCCCGATTCAGCGTTCGTGCATCCGGCGTTCCGGAAGCACCGCTCTAAGTCCCCGAGCTCGACGTATTCAGGCACGCGTTGAAAACAGTATTCCAAAAGGATCTTGTCACCGCAAGCAGCGGCTGCGGAAAACTTGCCGGCGCTAATGTGGATGCATGATGATCGATCTGCTACTGTAGCGCCGAGCGATGATCCCGGTAGAAGTAGGAGGGGTAGGAGAGTCGCTGGTAGAGATGACTTCGAGATACGCATTTTGAAGAGGGTTGATGTGAGGATTTAGAAATAAGATGATGGCGATAGGACGACGGAGGTAAGAATGGGATGATTTTCTTCTCCTTTCGGACTGAGCTGGGGACGAGACTCAGTTGAGAGCTTGATAGTGTAAGTTACCCGAACAGGCAAGTATCGTCGATATAGGGCAAAACGTTCAAACCGAGCTCTCTTGCTAAAGAATAACTCTTGGTAGATCGACGTTGACGATTCCGAAGTCGGCTGTTAGGGTTTTATGACTTTCAGCTGAGAGTAGACCCTATTCCGCTATTCCGATGTCTTGTCTTTCTCAGGTTTCAATCGTTTGGTATGGATGTAGATCACACAGACAGCAACACAGCAAAAAGCAAGTAGTCAAAGCCCCAATAGCACTTCGTGAAACCACGCAAAAGCCCTACGTACCGAAGCTGACGTACGAAAGACGACGAAACAAGAAGAAAAGAAACTTCAGAGAGCTAAGGGAGAGAAAAAAATGGTTGGGTCGACGAGAATGAACGGATGTACGGCTGAATATGTACCGGGTGAGAAAATACCTGAAGCGGCAGTCCAGATGCAGCTAGGCCAGCCAATCTAGCCCCGTCACGATGCTTCTCAGGGTAAAGGGTCTAATGACTAGGGGGGGAGCAAAGCTACATGCAGCTAGCTGCTACGTAAGTACTTCTGCGGACTTACAGCTCTTCTTCCGTTGGTCAGAATCAGGGTCGGGTAGCGACAGTTAGAACGGGAAAGGAACTAGCCGATACCAGTTAAATACTACATAAGACGCGTACATAAAGACGACGTACCTAGTAACGTACTTCATACCGGTACTTACCTACCTAGGTAGATTGGGAGGGAAATGAGATTGAGGCTTTGGCTGTTTGGTAAATTGAAATCTACCTGTATCTACAATTGTATCTATTTTGGTAGGTTGGTTGCGTTGCGGTGCTTACCGTATATGTGTGCCGCAGTAAAGCAAGACGGCGCAGCCACCTAGTTCTCCTTCGTCTATTGGTCGAGTTTGGAGAAGATGAATAGACGATCCAATTGGAGTTTAGAACGGGGCGGGTTTGAAGGTAAGAGACATGAAGGATTTGAATCAAAAGATAAGCGATCTCAGGTGCTTGTCAGACGAGATGTATCGAATTCCGTCGTACGAATCTAGCAAACTAGGAAGGTCTAAAATGAAGCGGACTGACAATAGAAAGTCTTCTAAGTTCTAAGGTTACGCTGATCTAGCGATACTCTTCCCAAGTCAAGCTTCGAGATCATCGTCTCGAGGTAACGTGGGACTGTTAGGAGGTAGCCTATGCGATAAATTGTATCGCACATCGCCATCGCTTTAATGGGTTCATGAATGGATTCCGAATGGATTCGTACATAGATTCGTACTTCGTACTTCCCGTCAATGCAAAGACCGAAAATTGCAAATCGAATGGCACCAAGTGGAAAACAAGTTAAACAAGCACCTTGGAGACCCCCTTTTTTCCCTTTTTTTCAGCTCTTGCTCCGCAAATTTGGGTCCTTGGCAATGCTTATTCGCATACTTCCCGGTAGATGGTAGATAAGTTTGATAAGTTCTTTACAGGGAATATTCTTAAAACATATTAACTAGATCAAATTGAGTAATTTAAGGCTGCATCCCCCTTGCCCTGCTGAAGGCCTAGCACGTAAGCAAACGTGGCTAAGCCGACGCATCCGCCAAAAGGGGTTTAGGCGAATAATAACGTAAGGTTGATTTTCCTAAGCGGAAAGGTTCAAGCTCCTCTTCTATTTCAACTCCAAAATTCGCAGAGAAAGTTGAGATGGCAATAAACATCCATTATATTCAATTCCATGAGGTGTTTGTCAAACTTCATATGTCAGTCAGTGCTGGCATGACACTCTACCTATATACATATCATAACCCGTTCCAACTCGCAACTCATGCTAGGTACCTAGGTAAGTAGTTGTGTATTTGGACCTCACTAACGAACTTCTATTATCCATCTTATTACGCAGTAGGTTGTCTCACCAGTGGTCCACCCATCACACTACTCAGCTTCTTAGCAAAGTCTAGACTCTCCGTCGGGCACCTGACGACAACATCAAAATGGAGGAAACCCAAATATCCATAGGAAACACATTGCAAGAACGAATCCCCACCAATTTCTGCTATTTGCCAAGGGGGTTAAGAGACCCAACATAAACGCCCCAGAGCGCACTTCTTCCTTGCAAGCCACAAACAAACTCGGTCCCGCTGACTGAATAGGATATGAATGCAATTTATCTTTGGAAAGGGAAGATCTGCCAAATCAACAAACGGATTCCCTGAGACTACCTGAGACCGAGAGAGTTATCTAATTGACAGTAGCCTGTGGACAACTTGTCGCGAGTCGCGAGATGTTATGGAACAACGTTCCCAAAATACTGAGTAAGATAACCCATGTATGTTCGGCACAGCTGGCAGAACTCGACTCACCTGCAGCGATGGCAGGAGAGAAGACCGATAATTTACAATCCGAAGCCATGACCTAGCCTGTTTCCGGGAACTTAACAAGACGCATGTCATTGCCGCAACTTTGCTAAAAGATCCAACCTACTAAGTATCTACCTTTTCACGGGAGACGAAACTTACTCCAAAGCCGACAGCATTGAGCATATTGCAGTAGAATTCAATCTGAGTTGGGACATGCCGACTTCACATTCTATCTGCGGTACCTATTTAGTATGGCTTTTGTATCGTCAGTTTATATAACCTATGGCTTATAGACTACCTAATTCGACGAACGAAAGACCCGTTACGGTCACGCGTTAAGACCCGGAAACCCTGGCACATATTCTATGGAAACAGTTGCCAACTCGTCAGCGTCCGCCCTTCGGACACAGAATGGGAATTTGAAGACGGCACGCCCTGCCAACAGAAGATAGCAACGCCGTCGGTTTCGCAAATGAGCTTGAAACATTAACCGAATTGTCAGGATTGAAGGCTTATAACATCCATGACACAGACTACGATGTCGCATGTGAAGAATATGGAGATCTGAACCTTTGGAACAACCGAGACCGTGGAAACTTAGGTGTGTTGACCTTCGAGCTCTTATTAATGAATAAGGAATGTATATGCGACATGATGGGGTTGCAGAATCTGACTTCTACCCTCTGAGTGCCCCAAATAAGAGACTATTCTCTATCTAAAGCCGCAACCTTAGAAAATTTTCATAAAAGGAGAATCGCAAGAAGCCCTGCTCGGGAGGAAATCAATCAACAAGCTATAGCTTCAACCCGGGGTTTGGCCAACCTTGGTTTTCAATCGTCTAGGTCATCACTGTCGCGATGTAGGTCTCGGGTAAGCACCTAAGTACAGCAAGTGCGCCAGAGCTATAAACGAGCGCCGAACAACATGAAAAAAGCCTAACAGAACATTTCAGTTACGCATTATATCAATGATACTCACGTAATTAAACACACATAACCAATCGATCGATAAGCCCTCATATGTCATGATGCAGGACTAGGAGGTAAAAAGTAACTCTTCTATGATGAGCCCTCGACCCCTCTTACCGCTATCAAATAATAATAACCCCCTAAGGTCTTTCGTGTCTTAGTGAATTGATGATGTTATTCTCAAGTTCTATTTTAGGATTATTAAAATAATAAATATTTTCTTATGTCTTAGGTAACCTTTTAGCTAAGCTACCTGGAAAAACTCAGATTCTGACGCTCAGGGATATGTTTTTTAATTGGGGGATCAGGCCTCGGGTTGATGCTAGACACAAAAACAGGGGACAACGACAATTTCGTCTGGGGAATTGATGTTGGTGTTATGCTGGATACATGAACTGGCGACAACGACAGTTTAGTTTGGGGAATTGATGTTGGTGTTATGCTGGATACATGACTAGGTACTTAGCGATACATTTTCTGTTCTTGTCGACGTGTTTCTAGCAGGAAACCCCATAGTGACGGGTAAGCTTTTTGCTTTTAGTTTCATTTAATTATATCGATTGTGTTCCAGGTTACCTCCCCTAATACGAAAACTCTTATCCATTCTTGCGGAGACTCGAAATCCCAATCTTCCTTGTTCTTCGAGAGATTTCGTAGCTTTAATAGCTGAAGCCCTTAAGGCTACACACTTGAGCCACGCACCTCAAAGCCTATTTATTATTCGGACTCCACGAAAAAACCTTTAACGACCCGTTAAACTTTCATCTTCCCCTTTCATTCTTCGTCCTAACTATTTCTTAGTTGGCGGTTGTATGTTATTCCTCGTTGTTGTGAGGGCGACGGGAGATCGGAACTTGTCGGGGGAGGTTTTTTTTTATTCGGGACGGTGGGCATTAATTCCACCTTGTTGCTGAATGAAACCTTCGGTTTCTACTTTTCATGAGGGTACCAAAATGTCAGGGTTCTCAGTCATAAGAAGATAGATAATGGTTTTCGTTATGAATCGGAAGGCACGGTCGAAGCAGTCTTTGAACTTGTGCGTGTCGATTATCCATTCTGCATTGTACTCGGGAAGACGAGAAGCAGATCGGCGTGTTCTTAGGTACTTAGACTTGTTGTCTCGTATGGTCTCGTGGGGTCTGGTGGTGTTGATGCTTCTAACTCGAGTTCTTTAGCAAGTTTGAGCTCTTCCAGCGACAATTTACTCTTCTTGTCGTATTTATCAACTAAAGCCGTAGTGCTTTGTATCAGGGTTTCTCTCGGGTACCATCGGTCGTATACTGCTGACTATCCTTTCCATCTGACAAGATACTCTTAAGGTTAGCTTTCTTCCTTGTCTATTTACTCGAGGCAGAGTCTGTATAAATGACTAATGAGGTTTGAAAGTCATAGGTAAGTGAGGTCCTTTCAGAAATAAAAGTGATGGGGTGGAGGCAAAGAGAAGCCTATATATATTATGGTGTGCGTCGACAGAGTGAACAAACGAAAGGGCGGCTAGAATAATGACATACATACAGGAAATCCAATGAGACCTGGCTTAGGCAACCATCTCCTAAAGATGCTCACTGGCGATTGAGGCTCGTAGATGTTTCGTGAGGTCGAGCTCGTGCGCGAGGTATCCGATGCGCTCTAGGATTTTAAACGGGCCGAAATCTTGCTGGCCTAATTTGCGTCCGAGAATCGCTGCTATTAGAATATTGTAGTACTTTATGGTCGATGTTGGAGAACATAGGCTTGTGTTTCGCCTCCCTCTGGGTCCAGCCGCTAACAAGTCTCCTACCCGTTGAAAAGTTCAACGACCTCGTCACAGGCTCAAACCCAGCCCAAATCTGGGCAAGGACTGTCAACAACAGCCCTCTTTGGCCTTGCCTTTCAGTTTCGCTTCTACCTCTGCCTTACTGGGTAGTACGGATTGGATCCCACGGCGTGTTGATGAATATGCGGGGCCTGAGGCATCGTTTAAGGATGCCGATTCCGAGCTCGAGAGAATTACATCGGAGCTGCTGGGGGAGATAATGCCAATACAGTTGGACACTGCTTCCGGCGCAGGGAAGTGATCATAGGATCGCCCATGGCTCCCCCGCGTTTATTCCATCCTGAAACTATACCTACCTAGGTATGTATTAAGAATAGGTAAGTATCAAGAACTTGGGATAAACCGTGATCTAAGAAGAAATCGCCAGCGAAGGAAATAAAGGAAGGCGTCGACAAGCCTAATAGGAGTTGAACCTAAACTTCCTTGTCCCTTATCCAGTATCCCCGTCTGTTTTCTCGTCTTAGCCGACAGAATCCCAGGGTTGTCTCTCTTAATGACTACACTCGACCATCCATTGGTCATAAAAATCTCCATGTCCCGATGAATAATTCCGTTTAAGTTCTGGTTATAAGTATTCATTTGTTCCGAAATCTTGTTTGCGTTCCTCGATCAGCCAGAGTAGATCAAGATCTACCAGATTGTATATAGTAGTCGTGTATCTTGTAGGTCGTTCATGTGCAAAGAACAGCAAGAGCGGACGGCCTCCATTGCCCAGTCCTTCAAGTTTCCGGATATTCTTCGCCTGTGTTAACTATCGTTAAATCGTCCAACATCTTTGATCAAATATCTGCCGGCAGAATTCCCGACGGGCAATCAACAATAGGCGAAGTAGTGCCTGAGACAGTGCCTCACCTAGGACACTAGTAGGAATTCGGAGTCGATGATTGTTGTATTAAGGATATTAGATCCTACATTGTGTTTGGTGCCATGATTCGTGAAATTGTTTACTCGTTCGATCTCAGTGTAAGAGCGATCGTGGACATTCCCTGCGCTTGCCTTCTCACGACAAGGCAACTGGCGACAAGCCTCTACTAGCTCTAATCGATCCATGAAGGCGTTTTGCACATGGGAATGATTATCTCCCCGCCCCTGGTCGGGATGAAGTTTGAAGCAGGATACCTGAAAACCCGTGGATTTAGCCAGGGTTATTATCGAGAGGCGATGGGCAGGTTTGCTGCCATTGTCCCGAGGGTTATCCTTATGAACCCATACGCGAAACTACTATCCAGTTCGGCGAGGACCACGAGATGGGCGGGAGGGCGTGTAAACGCCCTCGTTTAATCCGCTGTGTTTTATGGTGAGGTAAGCCTAGGTGCGCTTCCTTTTTAATAGTCTGTACGAAGATTAGTACAATGTATTAGGATTCATAGACAGATCTTTACCTCGTGTTGAAGAATGAGGATGATACATTTTTGTTATCAACCTTGTTAACTGTTTATGGGGTTGATATCTTCTGCGTCATCAAGGCCTTCTCGCAAGTGCAGTGCGATATATCGATTTTTGCAAGCCAACAAAGCGATATCAAGGGATTATACTGGTTTAGAAAAGGGTCGTTCCGTGCCGTTAGTAAAGAATACCAAGTCCTTCCGGGTTTCTTCTCCGCATCAATTGCCCCAGCCTACTGGAGCATTTCGGGAGTTGTAATATTGTTATCTGGCTTTCTGATTGTCTTTGGGTATCTTATGTTGATAAATAAAGGTTAGTTGATGCTTTACTAGGTTATTAGGTTGTGAAAGAAAGGTTTATGTTTGAACAACGAACGTCTCCGACGATTTAGATTTTGAATTGACTTAGTGAAGAGCTGGGAGCATGATAATAAAGAGGTAACCTTGGAACTCATTTGCGGGGGTGAGCAGATTTTAGACTTAACAGAAAGTGCTCATGCATTTAGGGTACGTGGCTTCTAGATTTTTAGTGGCACTCGAGGGGTTTTTTAAATTTAACATTTTATATGCTCAACTGTAATTATGGTTCTTTATATCATCCGATCATGAGACTGAATAACTGGGAGCTGCTATTAGAAAGAAATGGGGCCAATAGTAAGTAGAACTACAGAAAAATCTCTCACCGTACTGGTAAGAGTTACTAAAAAAACATGGTAGGTAGAGCTGTAGATAAACCCAATTGAAATAACCGGATGTTTATTCGGAATTCTGGGAACAAATTTACGCAATTATGGTAGCATGCCATAGCCGGGATCTGATGTGAACCTGGAATGACATATTAATCGCCGTGAGAATTTCGGAGTCGCTCAAGCAGAATTTTGAAATCGTTGAGCTGGCTTTCACAAAGAATGGACCCTCAATCCTTGATACCTGGGTAGGTATTTATAAGAGTGGCCATGGTTAATAGGGAAATTGTGATGAGTGCTGGTGAGTATTTGGTGACTCCCCATTACGTAGGGCTCATACCAAGATATATCTTTTGCTACATTCAACACTTTAGTTGGCACCATGATTGCACTTAGTGCTTCAGCTCAGCAAGTTTGCACCTTAAACATACAGTACTCTACACAGTATTCCAAGTTGCTCTATCAGATATTCTTCCCAACAAAATCGTGTACTTTTGGGGATTGAAGCCATATAACAGACAATCGACAAAAAGGGCCAAGATCAAGCGACCAAGCATATCGATCACCTCATTCACAAGCACATATTCAACAACAAATGACACAATATTAAGTATGAATGCTCAACGAAGATTCCCATTCATAATAATGACCCTTTCTCAAACGGTCCTAGACTCAGCGAGGGTTCTAACGCCCCCTCTTGCACATGTATGTTATCCCCAGCCCTGAAAGCACAAGCGTAGGCGTAGGGTAAAGTAGCAGTGGTGGTACTAGTAGTAGAATTTTTACTCAATGGCCAACCCCGCTCAAAGGCGGGGAAAGGAAGAAATGCGTGTGTGGTCGGGATGCAAGACCAGTACATAGCAGAGTAGGTAAGGTAGGTAGGTAGGTTACAAGTGGTAGTGATGGTGTCGGCGATTTGCCTGTCGAATGCTCACCCACCGACGGCTGCACGGCCTCAACCACACCAACATCAACAACAAAAAAAGCGGTACAGTGAGAAAAAGAGAAACTCTAGCGGATAAAGTGCGGACTCACCCCCGACTTTTTCGTGCAGAGTAAACAGTAACCCCAACACAATCCTAGCATCTACGTCGACCATTCCATTCCCTCTTGCTAATACTTGCGGTAACCTGACGAATTACTACCCGGTGTGGCGTCCCTCGGAAGCCTCCTAAGCTCTCTGGATCGGGACCGCGTGGTTAGGCGGACTGGTGCCTGCCACCAAGTTACTGATACCTCCTGTACCAGGAGCTCCTAAATTCTGTTTCAACGTGGTCGATCTGTCGAAATGGATGGCGATGATGTTACCGTCGTGGTCGCGTCGGATATCGAAACTTCCACCTCCATTATGGTCGTTGCCTTCGGTTTCGCACATGTCCAACAACTCCACCTCGGATATTGGCTCTTGTCCTGGTAGACCGATGGAGCCAATATGGGCTTTTATGGCAGGTAAGTCTATGTACCCATCTGGATCCGTGGTGTGTATTTCCAAGTCTTTGCACGAGCTTATAAGTATCTGACGAATAGTCACGGATCGAGGCTGAGTTGTGCGTATTCCTGGAGGTGGAGCGAACGCGGCATTCGATGGCCACGCTAGGTTGGCAAATCCTGGAGGTGGAGAGAACACATTTGGATGACCCCATGTATTCAATGACGAACCGACGAAAGGATCTATGAATGGCGCGCTTGTAAACGGTGGCCGGGCTCCGGGGGGAGCAGTACCTCGGCGGGAAGAGCCAACGCCCCCGAAAGGTTCGTCCGCATCATCGAGGAGAGCACTGCTGCCGAGATGACTACTTACATCGTCAATATCGGCGGATAGATCATGACTCCTTTGCCCATGAACCACGCTTCCAGGCCTACCAATAGGCGTTGGTAGGGTTGTATCAAATGAGGCGGACGCCTGACGTGAATGCGACGGAGGATGTCCCGGCGCACTTTCCGGAGAGAAGCCTTGATGATGCATGCCGGGAAGAGGTGGTTCCGGTGGTTGGTGAAACCCGGGCGGTGCATGTGGTGGCATTGGGAAGGCCCGGCCACCCATAGGACTAGGCGCAGACAGACCAGGCGGTGCTGGCAGACCCATGGGGCGAAAGTTTCCAGGGGGTGGGTACATAGGATCCATCCGGTTGAAGCCTGGAGGGAACTGCGGTGGTGGCATTCCGGGCGAATACTGCATTCCCATTGGTAGCCCCATGCCGAACGGCGTCTGATGCGAACCAGGTGGACTCTTAACGCCTGCGTGCAGAGGAGATGCCGGTTGGATGGTAGGAGGTCCTCCACCCATTGGCCCGTTAGCAGACGTCTTTCTCGGTGGGCCTATGGGTCCTGGACTGGTATGCGACGGAGTTAACGTGTGCGGTGACGCATTTTGGCTGGGACCGGAAGCAGAATGGGAAGCCTGGGAAACTGATCTTGTTACTTCTTGAGAAGCGGACCGAGGTTTTATGGGTGTCGGAGCCATAGGTAGAGCAGGTGTCGCAACAGAAATCTGGGGAGACGGATAACTAGCTGGATACTGATGAGGAATGGCGGGGATCGAGATCGGATGCTGTTTTTTTGCCGGTTGGGTCGGAATAGGTGCAGCAGGTGTCGCGACCTTAGCTGCCGTTTTCTCCTTTTCTTCCTGCTTTGACTTTTCCTTGGCATCCCTTTCTGCCTTAGCTTGAGCCGCCCTTAATTCCTTATCCCTCTTATCTTTCTCATGCTTCTCTCTCCTTTCTCGAGTCTCGCGTTCCTTCTGCTCGCGCGCTTCTTGTTCTTTGCGTCGTTGTTCATCCTTGACCTTTTTCTCGCGCTCTTTCGCTTCGCGGACTTTTCGCTCTTGTTCTAGCTGCTTTTCCTTTTGCTCATGAGCGCGTCGTTGTCGATCTACCTCCCTTTTCGCCCGTTCCTCTTCCTCGGCTTTCCTTTGCGCATCTTTCTTCTTGCGCTTCTCTTCTGCCTTGAGCTTGGCTTCCTCGAGTTTTCTAGTCTCCTCTCGTAAGCGTGCGGCGTCTTCGGCCGCTTTGGCAGCATCTCGCTTAGCCTTTTCCTCAAGCTGCTGTTGCTTTTTCTGGGCCGCCTTATCTTTTCGCTTCTGAGCCTCCTTTGCTTTCTTGGCCTTTTGCTGGGTCTTCTGTGTCTCTTCCTGTTCAAGTTCCTCAAGAAGTTTTTCCTGCCGTTCCCTAGCGACTTTCTCTCGGTATGCTGTTAAGACTCTCTGCTCGAACATGCGCGCAGCAAATATCTGAAACATTCGACGGCCCTCTTCCATGCGCTGCTCCTCCGTCATGGTATCCTGTGGAGAATTAGCTAATGACATGTTCCTATAAGATTTCTGCTAAGTACCTCTTCCTCTTCGTAATCTTCGTCTTGAGTATCATAATCCTCTTCTTCCTCTTCGTCCTCCTCAAATTCGTCTTCCTCCGGAGGAGCGTGGTTGTGAGGATTAGGTATGGAGGCGCCGTTTACGCTATGGCCATAACTTCCAGCATAGTGTTCTTTAGAGTCTTCCTCGCGGGCCATTCTTCTCTCGGCTAACTGCTCCATCATCTCAATGAATTTTTTGCCATCATTTTTGAGTAGATCGTCTGCTACAGTAAGAATACCGCCTAAATCATGTTATTCATATACGTTGAATTTACGTATGAATTTGGGGGACTCCAGCTTACCTTTGACCGTGAGACTTTGACCGAAGTTGAAGAAATCAGTGGGATACGAGTCGCGTGGTATATCCTCTGGCTCATCATCGTCCTCCTCGTCGTCCAAGCCCTCGACGTCACTATAATCCTCAACATCATCTTCGTCGTCTTCGGGGTCTTCGGGATCGTCTGAATCCACGTGTTCTAGCATACGACCACGGGGCGGATGGTGGTTCGGATATCGAGTCGGTGGAGCTCCGGGAGGATGTAGACCAGTCATAGGACCAAACCTTTTGGGCGAAAACATGGGCGGCGCATTCGGGTGGTTATGAGGCTGATTTGCAAAAGATTCTAGCTCTTGATAATAAGCATCGTAGAGACCCTCCAACTCTTCCTCGATCGCCGTTCGCTTACGTCCGCAGACTGCGCAACTACACGTGTGTTTTTGTTGCTCCTTCATCTTCTTGAGGACAGCGTCTTTCTCTACCTTAACTAAAGATTTACGTTCATCCTCGCCTAAACCTAACCAGAACTGTTTTATTCGTTCGCGTTCCTCCGGGCCGGATGTGTTCCATATCTTTTCTTTTGATATGCCAGAGGGGTGACTGTGAATCGATTCTTCACTTAAAGCCTTCTTCTTCTTTTTCTTAGACTTCTTGGATTTTTGCGTAGATCCATTTATGCTTTGGCTAAGGTCATCATGGCCATCGTCGCTTTCGGTTTCCTCACCCCAATCTTCACCGTTATGGGTATGGTTATGGGATAGGTAGGCATCGTTTAGCATAGCATTATGGGAATCATGCACACCCTTTCTATGCGACCCAGGCACGGCGGGCAGAGGCGCACTGCTCGTGGAGGCCGGACTAGGGAGTCCATTGGCAGCAGCCTCAGCTTGTTCGGCAGCAGCCTTAGCGGCAGCTTTCGCTCGGCGTTTTTGCTTTTTGCGGTTCACAGGTTGCGCAGGGGGTACATCGACGACAGGAGGGGGATTGGTAGGGGCACCTCCTTTCGAAGATGATGTAGTTGTCGGTGATGGCTGAGCAGGCGGAGTTGAAGCTGAGGATTTAGGAACGGAGATATACTTTGTTCCATCCTTGTTCGTATATTTCGCGGTGGCCTTAGGAACAGATGGCGTAGGAGCCTGTGTGGCTGGCTGTCGGTTGCTATTTTTCGCAGGCATTCTACCTAGGTGTCCGAAGGGGTATCTAAAGGGAGGCGATTTATGACGCGAATATAGTCGATGGAGTCATGTGCGATGTACTGGCAGGAGAAACTCCAGGTCAAATAGCTCGATATCAAAAGTCACTTGTTCGTATCAGTAGGATCAATGTTGGAAATCAGATTGCAGGCAAGTCTAATGGTTGGATGGGTATCGGTGCTTTGTTTGGCGAAGCCAAGTTCGCCGTCGGTGCCCCTCTCCAAGGTGGGAAATTGGCGACGGGTCCGAATCCTCAGCAGATGCGGCAAGTTTTATTCTAGGGTATTGTCTCTGCTGTAGCCACGTAAATATGTTGAAGGTCAAGCGGAATAATGTCCGGAGTGGTGGCTGGTCACCGCGGGAGGGTTGTTTGTTGGATCAGAAAACGTTAGGCGTAATCAGCAAGAATTTGGTTGTTGGTGTTTCTAATTCTTAAGAGTTCTAAAGTTCTAAAGTTCTGGCTTTTCCTACGTCGAAATCTCAGGTACCTAGGAAGGCAGGTACAATCTCCAAAGTAGTACGCACCTTGTGATTGGGTGAAATGCTTTTTATCGATTGGTTCTATTGGATCGGGTCCTTCTCGCTCCTGCCCAGCCTGGTAAAAACACCTTACGTAAGGTAGTTAAACCGCTGTGGCCGCTATGGTAATTATATGTACCTAGGTACCCGTTCCCACAGCCTCATCCTCATCATGTCCCTCACCTTCATCAGCCCTCAGTTTTGCCGGTCGGTCAACGGGCAACAAACAGTGGGTAACTGCAACCTGTACCTTAAAGTCACATGATCTTAATGCCCCTCCATCATTTCAAGGTTAGGACTGACATCGAAGCTGGGCAATTGGAAAATTGAACATACAAATACCTACTTACATCCATCCATCCATCTGACCCATCAATTGAAACCAACATTACGACACCTTGATGGCTTGAGTTAATCCTGTTATTCCTGACTACATCTGGTTCTTTTCTCTCCTGTTTTTCGAGTTCGAAATGGGTGTCATAAGTCTAATGGGTATTTCAATCGATTGGATCTTACGGAGTAAAAAGCTCGAATTTCAGAATCTGTGCCACTGGGTCGTCGATGATTTAGGCAAGTAGGGCGAGGTGGACCAGCAAGGCGAAATATCTGTCAGAAAGATAAAATTTGCCTTCGCATTCTACTTACTCGCTTATTTAAGCTCAGTATAGGAACTGTTATTCCATTTTCAGATGTCACTGTAGGCCGAACTCAGGTCCAGGATGCCTCTCCACAACGCATTCCCCCCCAACGCCATGTGCTGATGGGTCCTAAAGGGGTTACATATTAACAACCCCAAAACATTTCTACAGTTTCAGCATTACTCCACGACTTTGCAACAGAACACAGGTGTAAAATCTAGACCCTGTGTTTCCATACCTAGTAACACCGGAGATTGGAACGCCCTGTCTATCGACGGCGAATCTACTCTGTATTCAACAGTTCAATAAGGACCGGTCCGTTCATAACTGGCTAGTATCACTAGTATTACTACTAATTATCACTAAAACTTTCACAGCACCACAGCGCTACATCGTCATCACTGATGAAATCAACAAGTGTACCTGACGCGACTTGTCAGAAGATAGACAGACGGCATCAGGAAACACTAGTGCTATTAGCTACTACCGACCCAATCATATCGGATCGATGCTGTATTGTTCGATATACATATCTATCTCCATGATCTCCCGTCAAGTGGTGCGGTAGGACATAGTCATGATTATTACTTGACAATTGGGTCGAGAAAGGGGATTGTGGGATTGTGCAGTAGAGATATGCACTACCCAATTTTTTTCATGCTGAGACATGCAGCCCGTTGGGCGATCTTAATCAACTACGCGCGTGGGGACGGAAGCGGTCAGGTCACCCAGGTCCAGCTTGGATGCGCTAACTTGATTTGAGTCAAATTGATTCCTCGACGTCGACAAAACTGGACGAATCGGTAGCTTAAACAGTTCGTCTACCGACATAGGTATTGAGATAGGCTATCAAACACCGGGAGTCACCCAAGCGCCAAGTTAACAAGTCGAGGACACAGGTTGCGTAGTTTTGGGGGTCCACATCAAATCATCAGATGAACTCCGCAACATACATCCTTATGTATGTGATGCCGGTTAACCCACTGGCCGAATGACGAACAAGTCGAGTCTCTCCTTTCCTAAATCCCTACTGGCTCCCCGTGATTCTACGATCTAGTTGTCTGGCTGTCCGGCGGACAACTCAGTCGCCAGTTATTAATTGGCGTTCACCGGTCCGCATCGAGTTATATCAAACCAATCGTGCTCAGTCAGGAATTACACTTGCGAGGTGCCTTGTTAACTAGTTGATGCTGTGGCACTGTCAGATGAGTCTGGTAGAGCCGGAACCTTTGTAACGTAGCAGCCTTTGGCGGTTTAGCATGTTTACAGCTAAGTGGCGGCATCTCGCAGCTTTTGCACCAGTTTTTGCACCGGCTTAGTATGCTGTGTGTTGTGCGCGTTGGGCAATAGTTATGTCCATTGAGCGAAGTATGCTCTAGCACATCGAGTGAATCCCTTATATAAAACGATCAAAAGTTCAAACGTGGTTCTCCTACCCTACAACTAGTTACCTAACTTATACTCCTAACTCTCCCTAAATGTCCCTAACTATCCCTAACTATCCCTAAATTTCTTGGGGCTGCTAGGGTATATTTGTTTAACACATCTGGGCAGTTTCGCGTCCCGGTAACGGATTTGACCAATAACATCGCCTTATTTTTCAAGCTGAATCCCAAGTTACAGGGGGTAACAACACGGACTAAGAACTGAATCCTTTAACGGAGGCCTTAAATTCTACCGCGAAGCCCGGCTCTTCCTAGGCTTTGCGCAGGCCGCTCGTATTCAAATAATTTTTCTATCCTAAACATATTTCAACTAACCGGATAACCAAGAAACTGGTTAAAAGTAGGAATTAAAAGAAGGATCAAGAAGAGAAGTCATCTCATTATCCTCGGGAATTCTAGAAAGGCCTATATCGACGACGGTTTATTTATTATCAACACCCGACGCGGAGACTGTTGAAGGTCACTCAAAGTCCGACTTGGGGAGACTCGCGTCGACTTTTTAATCAACCATTGGAGGCCTATCCACGCTTACTTACATTACACCACCCGCGAGGTGACGAACCAGACACTGGGCACACCGACAACAAACTTCTTCTACTTCGCCAATCTACGCGTCAAAAACGCAAAACGAGTCTGAGAACTCTGTTTCCTATTTCTGCGACCAAAGCAGACGACGAGAACCGTACCAGAGTCTCGGAATTGACATTATCATTCGCGTCGAGCAATGGCGAGTTCGAATCCGCAGAATGTCATCCGTAGGTACGTTCAATTCGACCGACGATCCTTTTTCGGCTACCTTCGAATCGTCACACCCACCACGAACGTTTCCCCTCTACGCTCGTGATATGTTCTAGCCCGGCCTTATGGAGGCGCGCGACAACCATCTCGCGAACCCCTACCATCGTCGGCTACTACTACACTTGCTTCGCACCTGATGCACCTAAGCATTACTAATCAGATTTATATAGGAAACTAGTCATCATTGGCGACGGAGCTTGCGGCAAGACCTCTTTATTGAGCGTCTTCACATTAGGGTATTTCCCAACCGTATGTCAACGTTTCCTTTTCGCCTATTCATTCCTCCCCTTGATCCTTTGTTGCATGTACCTTGCTGACACGTCATACATAGCACTACGTAAGCAGACCTTTAGAAGGACGCCCTACTAAGAAAGTAGACGAAACTAACGAATCGCTCTCCCTTGCTTTCTCAGATCCCGACCGTATTTGAGAATTATGTCACAGACTGCAGAGTAGACGGCAAGTCGGTACAATTGGCATTATGGGATACGGCAGGCCAAGAAGACTACGAACGACTGCGGCCACTCGCATACTCGAAGGCGCACGTATTATTGATAGGGTTCTCGATTGAATCACCGGATTCACTTGACAACGTGAAACACAAGGTCAGGATTGACCCCTGCCCCTGGTGAACATCATGTCCCAATTTGCGAATCCAAGCCGTGGCGTCCCCAGAAAAAAAAAGGAACAAAACAAACTAAGAAAAACAAGAGCAATGAGAACCCCAGCTAACGAGGAGATAAATAGTGGATAGAAGAAGCTACGGAGCGGTGTCCAGGTGTCCCAATCATCCTGGTGGGCCTGAAGAAGGATTTGCGCGACGATCCGGTAGCCGTCGAAGAGATGCGCAAGAAGAGTCTCAAGTTCGTAACGGAACGGCAAGGCGAACAAGCGGCGCAGGATATTGGTGCGCGAAAGTACCTCGAATGCTCGAGTCTTAGCGGCGAGGGCGTCGACGACGTCTTCGAGGCCGCAACCCGCGCTGCCCTACTCACATTTGAGAGAGGGGAAGGTTCCGGATGCTGCGTCATATTATGAGGTATTGCGACACGACTCGACACGAAACGGCGGTTTAGAAACGGGGAGAAGGTGACGAACGAGTTTCCCGCGAGACGACTAAAAAGGGGTGTATACCGGAGCCGGAGGGAGTTCAGCGGGAATGGTATTCTGGATACTTTGCTTTCCTTTGTTATCATCTTGGAATATGAGAGGAAGAAAGATGCATGAACGGGGGACGAGATGGTGGAGGCGCCGCTAAAAAAATTGAGTGCCGGAAAGAAGCAATAGGGGGGAAGGCTGAGATATACCACCAAATCTACCAAGACCGAGGCGAAAACTGTTTGCTGGGACCTAACTAACCTACATTACTCTACGTACCCGGCAAGCACCACGACCACATTATCTACCTATATGCATATCATATCTACATACCATCTATCGAGAGTGTCGAAGAGATATATCTAATGCGACACCTGGACTTTCGCTCGCCTACAGATGAAAAAACCACCTGCACGATTTACGAGAGCCCCTATGCTCTTTTATCTGTCTATCTAGCCTGGAACAGACTGAATGAATGAACCGGTTAATGTGGAGCGATCTTGAGAATTTTGAAATAGTTCTATTGCGAAGACTCGGTCACGGATAATACCTAGAGAGGCAAGCGCTGAATTGAAGAAAACACATTCACTGTGATGATGATAACCCTATTTCCACATTCCTAGAATACGCTCGTTTTTTCTCGTCCCGGTGGGCTCGCTCCGTTTACACGCATGCGCGGAACCTGCTTCGAATATCGAATCCATTACCTATTACTATCAGGTTTAGCAGGTTTTGATAAACGAACGGTATCAATTCGCCTCCTGCTGCTCCGTAAGTAGTAGCTTACCCCCCCTTAATCAGGAATCTCCATACCCGCGGCTATGAATCGGGTTTTCGTATCTAGATGATCGAACGATCGGCTTGATTTCACCCTCTCCACATCTTGGATCGCCAAGACTGCGTGGCGAGGTGTGCGGAGAATTAAGCGTGGAATCAAGGTGAAGGCGAGATCGGTAAATACAAATCCAACACCTAAATATGGTACAATGTGTAGACATGGAGGTACGGTTAGTATGTATGTTGCGCGCACGTATGGCTGTGTATATATGTGTAGAGCAGGAGAGCAAAAGTCTAGTCCCATGCATCCGGATTTTTCCCAGTCCCCGCATGCTCGAGAATGATCTATAGTACAACGCCCCCCTAAACTTAACAACCAGCATTATCCTGCAGCTCAACCACTACCTACATGACATAGACACACGTAGTACGTAGAAAAGCTCACGACCGCGTCCATCCATGATTCCAAGGCTCGCGCGCCGGCGTCTCGGTCTGCGCCCTCGCGTACTCGATCGGGATGCCGCCGTGCCCGTAGATGCCCTTCTTCTCCATCGCAACACGGTACAGGTATCCTTCCGGCCGCGCGCCCGGCCCGCTCATCTTCCGCAGTTCTTCGCAGGCTGTGTTCATCGAGTTGTACATTCTGCGCGTTCATCTAATGTTAGCAACTATAAACTTATCCCCATTTAAACCCTACGTGGTAAAACAGAGGTAGATAGATAGAAAAGAAAAAAAAAGAAACTCACCGCTCCAACTCCCTCTCCTCCCTAACCCGCTCCTTCCGCTGATACAGCAACCACGCCCGATGGATCGTCCAGTGTCGCAAAGCGCGGTTTCGCGCGAATCGCAGCGGCGCGGGGACCGCGCGCGGCATCGACGATTTGAGGTTCACGATACGTGGGTCTGGGCCTTCGCCTTTGCCTTTGCCGCGCTTCCCTCGCCGCGTCGTGCGTCCGCCTCCTTGGCCTTTGGATTTGGATTTGGATTTCGGGGAGTTGGGTTTGGCGTTTTGGGGGCTGGTTGTGTGCAGCATTTGGCAGGAGGTGGTGAGGGATGGTAGGGTTATAGCGGTTGAGCGGGTTGGTGGGAGGGGAGAGGTGCGTAGGGGAATGTTGGTTAGGGGGGTTCGGGAAGGAAGCCTTGCGAAGAGGCTGCGGAGGGTGGGTGTGAACATCGTGGGCGAGGGTTGCCGAGGAGGCGCTTTCGGAGTTGGAGATGGTTTTCGGTGGTTTTGGTCCTATTGCTGGCTAGAGCTTTCACGGGCTCACCATACAAATTCTGGATTTTGACTGATACCGATTCCGTCTTTTTTTTTAAACAGGACCAAATCTTCCTCTCTGTAGCCAATTTTACTTTCCCTGAAGTGATCGTCCGTCAATTATTCCCCCTCTTCGATTTTGCACTCCCAATGGTATGGCTCGGATCTGACGTATCGTAGCGCGCGGTCGAGACCGGTTCCAGGGAGTACAGAGGCTGTTCGGGTACGTATTTCCACAACTTGGAGACCGTACAGTCCACGCGATTGTGGTATCGGGCTGGCCGTCGGGATCGTGTGAATGTCGAAAGGTTGAAGCTTCAATTGCGATTTGATTGTTCAATCGGCAGAAAAAAAGAAAGGTGGATCAACAATTTTCCCAGCCCGCATGGCTTTGGTGGGGGGCTCCAGTTTTACGTCGGCGTGAATGTAGTAGCGGCAGCGCGCGATATGATTGGTTCAATTTGGAATAGGGGGGGAGCATGCGCAAAAGGTACCAATTCGATGTAAAGCTAAGATATTCATCAAATTTAATATGGAATTGCAAAAGTAAAGTTATTCTCATTGCATCGGCCAAGCCTTCCATTTGATCAGATGAAGGATGTCACTAAATGCATGACTTTATAGTACTGAGAACTTTGGTGACATTTATCCCAGTTCTGCATGTAACGAACTATATTTCAGTGTTCTAAACGACGCAGACATTCTCCTGCTATTTTTTACGTCTCCAATTGTTGCTTCCGCCACCAACTACATTCGGTTCATTTCGTCTCCCAGGTCTACTAAGGATTCGTCTGATAGATGTTCTTCTTCGGATTCATAGCGACGGTCTTGGCACCATTGAACATATTCACTATTAGTGAGTCCATGCGCAGTCTTTCCTCCGACAGTATGTCTATCGATGAAATCCACGCCCTTCTCCCCGCGAAACACATACTGTATAGCAGGCTCTCCTTTTTCGTCTTTAAGGCAGCATTCCTTAGTGACTTGCTCGGGGCTAGTCAGTTTTCTATAGGCTTGGTTTGGTTTGGTGGAGATGGTCGCCATGATGAGCAATGCGCTGCTGAGGCTCTTGCCCACTTCACTCGGTAACCCCTTATTTCTCCGAAGGTTGTACACGAGCGTCTTCCATTGCGAGCTTGGCCAGTAGATCTCTTGGAGCCTCTGTTTGGGCAACAGCCTGATCGCATACAGAGGCATTTTAATGTTGACGATGATAATGCCACTTATGTTATCCCGATGCTTTATATAGCAAGCGTAGCTTACTGCGACATCATGTTGAGCTGTGAAGTATAACGCTGATCCCTGAATGTTGCTCTTGAAGCCCGTTAGCGAGTTTGAAATCAGTGGATGTATGTTTATAACTTCTCCAGTGACATCGTTAAGCAGCCCTTCGGCACGACCTCTGTCGATTCCTTTATATATCGTAACAAAATTCAGGTTGTCTTTATCCTTTGAGGTAGTAGCATTCCATAACATTGAGTTCGAGGTGGCGTTGGTTAATGCTTCATTCTTTGCATATTTTGCACCCTTTCGCCGTGATCGTTGCGCAGCAAGTGTTGCTGCTCTCCAATACGAAGTTTTTTTAACTTCTTCTAGACCACGGTATCTCAATTCCATGGTGTCCGTAACCCAAAATAGACAAGATTCCGACATGCGAATATCTTGAAAAACAGGATCCATGATGTGTTTTTGAACTTCGACACTGATTCCGCAGTCGTTCATGAAATCATGCCAATCTTGATCGCGGTCTTCGAATGCGTCTTTTACTCGTTTATTTTTCACGTGGTTGGTAGCAAAATCGATCAAAGTTATGGTTCCTCGCTTTTTCTCCCATTGGCCCCAGATGTATGCTGCCGTTTCGTTATTGAATCCAAGATGCCTGAGAGTGGCCAGTGATATGAGATCCTTTGGAATATTGTAGAATTGCGTTGAGGATGTCGCGGATGAAAAAGCATCTAGTGGTAGATCTGAATATTCTTCGTCGCTCCATCTATTAAGCCGTCGTTTATGAATCATTTGTGTATCGTCGTTGCTGGTTGGGCTGAGTAGGCCTGACGCAATGAGATACTCTGCGTCTTTCCTCGTAAGAATAGACATCTTCGAGTATCAGGATGTCGTAGGCCAGGTTTACCTATCAAAGGAATTGGTTGTTGCGATTCCAAATTGGTAACCTCTTCGTGGATGTATCATGCCAGTTTTGGTACGGCGAGTGATGATATTGCATCGATCGAATAAGTGATAGAAACTGTTGAGATAGTTATAATAGATCAATATGGCATTTATATCAATATTCTAGTCTCAGGTAAGAAAAATGTGCGGCTTTCGAGTGGTGGTATTGTTGTTTTCCCACTTGCTAGGTCTAGGTATATCGTGGCGGATACACGGGGATGACCGGTAGAAAAAAGAATGATCATGCGTTGTCAAAGGAAGTAAGTACAGTTATTCGTTTCACGTTGGCTGTTTTTACTTACTACCTAGGTACCTACCTGTTATTTAACATTATCTTACCCGTGAACTTTCTTGATCAAGACGGTTAGATATACCTAGTTCAGCTTAAGTGGGAGCTTTGGCGTCCTGAAACTTAGAGTTCGAGGGTTCAGACCATAAGAGACACCGATGATAGACCTAATTCCATGTAAGTCGAAATAACACTTGGACTTTTATAAAATTGCAATCTGGACTGAGCACTGAGCCATCGATAGAATCGATTTCCAAGGCACTGGCATTAGAGATACCTAACCTCTGCATGACCTTAACGAACGGCTGGTCTTGTTAAGTAAATCAGACAATTTATTGACGATGATCTGTAGATGTTGGTTAATAAGGCCATGATGTGGGCTTTGAAGATGGAAAAAATGATTGTTGGCTGCCCGGGTTAGTTGGTATATTGAACGTCCGCGCAAGGGGTCATCACTAAAAACACACCGCTGTTCTTCTTTCCCCGCTCATCCCGAGTCGCTGGTTGACTCACGTGAACTAGATAATGAATAAGTCCACTTGAGCGATTGTTGTTAATCCATTTCATACCTGCCATGCGAATTTCTACACGATGCCTATGTGGACCTGCGATTTTGCCGGTTGCTCAAAAGCGGCTGTTCGTGAACTTGGCGACTGTGTATTATGCGACCGCCATCTATGCTCCATCCATCTTGAGCTCGAATTTCATACTTGTCCAAAATGGGAGGTGAGTTCAATTTCTTGTAACATATGTTGCACTTGCTAAATTTTGTAGGATGCGGATAAGTATGATCTCCTAGCTGGAGTTGCTGAAGAAAGAGAGATTACGGAGTTGATCAAGAAGGTCAACACCTCGGCTCTTGCGGCTCGAGCAAGTGACTTGCGCCAAGGGATACCTTGCTCAATTCCTGCACTCCGGTATGACAAAGCTCAGCGAAACTCCGTGATGGGCGGTATGAATTATCATATCGAACTTCGTTTTGACGACGGTGTAAAATGGATTGCCCGTATCCGCAGGTTTAACGCCACATCACCTCCAGCAGAATTGAGAGACCATATCATCCAGAGGGAGGTCGCCACTCTTAAATTTCTCGAGCAGACCAGTGCGCCTACTCCGAAAGTGTTTGATTTCACACTAGACCATGCGGATAATCCTGTTGGAGTTGGCTATATACTGATGGAGAAGTTGCCCGGGAAGCCTTTATTGGAGGTATCTCGAACGAAAGAACAGATGAAAAGGGTCATGGAACAGTTGGCTGACGTATTCATCGAACTTCACAAATATCCTTTCAACCGTCTTGGCTCCCTCGATAATCCAGGCGATTCTCACGTGGGTGCGCTCGCTCGGGAATCTCTTACTGACTTCATACAATCCGAAATGCGCACAATGGGCCCCTTTTCGTCAATGGAAGAATATCACAAGTCTTCGCTTCAGCTCCTCCTAGATCAGATCCTTCGCCAGGAGATGTACTCTAATAGGGCCGTAGATGCGTATCTGATACATCGATTTCTCCTCGACTTGGTCCCATCCGTATTATCATCGGCTCAGGATGATGGGAAGTTTTATTTGAAGCATGCTGATGATAAGGGAGACCACATCTTGGTCGATGAAAATTTCAACATTACTGGAATAATTGATTGGGAATGGGCCCACACTGCACCTCTATCTCATGCGTTCAACTCCCCGTTAGCTATTTTTGATGTAGCTGAATTCTATAATGGCGTGAACAATCTGAGCGACAATGAAACTGTCTTTGCACGCATATTCGGGGGAAAAGGTCACCAGGATCTAGCAGACAGCGTCTGGAAGGGTAGATTGCAGCATAGGTTCAACTTCTGTTGTGGTCATAATCTCGAGGACTGGAGCGGGTTCCTTGGTCTTTTTCAAGGGCTTCGAAATGCTGTGAAAGTAGATGATGGTATGGACTGGGATGGTTGGAAAATCGCTGCCTTAGATCGCTATAAGGACGATGCTGGCTTACAACTCTTATTACGTAGAAAAGGAAACACCTGATGCTCTAATTTTCAAATTAGAGTGATCTAAATCGTATGGAAGTTAGAAAGAAAGATGTCGCGAAAGACTAAAACTAGAAAACGAGCGTGAGTGTTTTTAGACTGCGCAAGACCTTATGTAAGCGAGACGAGTGGAGAAATGCTGTGTAATATTCTTAGTAATAATATGACAAATCATACGGATAGTTGAAAATATGCATTGCTCCAATGAACCATATTTCTTTTTTGAACATATTAAACTACCAAAGCTTACATAATTAGCTTATTCATCAGCTTACTCATCATATTTCTAAGAATCGCATAAATGTCAATAATTAACGGGGTATGCATCTAACAGGTTCTCCCGAAGTTCATCCGTCAAGGTAAGTGAACATCTCCCGTCTCAGTATCCCAATGTGACGTAAACTCCCAACTCAGAATCTCAACGATGGATCAGTCAACGCAAAGAAACCCCCCAAAAGGCCACGCGAGAACTAAGTCGGGCGTAAAGTGTAAGTACCTAGATCACTAAGCATTTCTGCATCTATTTCAAACGTTTATCTAAGCGGAAATGTATACCTTAAACGGACTTCGGCAATTGCGATGGACGGTTGATAGGCTATGATGGGCAGTTTCCATTCCCATCTCAATGTACAAAGTGCTGATTGCAGGTGCCATCAACCTATTGGGATACGGAACCCCCCACGTCGCGTCGATCCTGCTTTCTTCCCTTCTCACTCACCTCATCTCCTCCATCATCCAAGATGAAGCTCATGAAAATGAAATCGTAATGTCTTTCACTAACGTATTCCGAACCCTAGCCTCTCGCCCCAGGTCCTCGACCAAAGGCCCCCTCGACGCAGATGAGTAAGCTTAGTCATCACACTTACATAAGTATCAAACAGTCCAGCTCACCTAGCACCACAGCATCCCGGCCCCCCTAACATCCCCCATCCCATCCCAAGCAGCCCGTTTCACCAGCACCCAGGCCGCCGGAAGTCCAAGGAGCAGCCTGAACCTCTCCCGTGCATCCCCCGCCCCACGGTCTCCCGGCCCGCGCTCTCCCGCCTTACGCGCCACCACCCCCATCACAACAAAAGACTTCTCCTTCCTCCTGCGCCCGGAAATCTTCCACCAGCTCTCTCCCCTCTCCATCCCCGCCCCCTTCCGGAACCCCGCTCGCCAGCCCGCCCCAGAAACCCCTATCCCGAAACTCCTCCAGCAAGGCCACTTCCGCGCGGCCGCCATCGCCGCCGTCCAGGCCCTTACTTCTAGCCCCGTGAGCGCCGTCGCTGCGGCGGCTCACCCACCCGTCGACCCGGCGGACCATGCGCGCGTGTTCGAGCTGCTGTACACGCGCCTCGCGTGTCTGTGTCTCATCGACGCCACGTCCCTCGCCGCGCAGGAGTCCAAGGCCCTCGAGGACTTGAACTCGGCGTTTTACCTGGACCCGCTTACGGGCGCGCACTTGGTTCCCTGGGAATTAAGGGTTTTGGGGGTGAGGCTTCAGGCTATTGGGTTTGGGGACCCGAGACGCGCGGTGATGAGTTATTATGAGTTGGCAAGGGAGGCGAGGATGCAGGCTGCGAAGGCGGCGAAGTTAGGGGATGAGGGGAGGGTTGAGGGGAGGGTTTGGAGGGAGAGGTTGGAGGAGCTGGGGGTTAAGGTTGCGGGGGCGCTGGTTGAGATGGATGACTTGGCTGGGGCGGCGGAGCATTTGGGGACGCTTGGGGATGGGGATGGTGAGGGGAGGGGGAGGTTGGGTATGAGTCGGGCGCTTTTGTGGTTGCATTTGGGGGATGTGGAGGCGGCGAGACGATGTGTGAGGAGTGTGGAGGATGGGGGTAGTTCGACGAGTGAGCGGGTTGTGGGTGCGCTTGCTGATATGGCGGATGGAGAATATCAGACTGCGCTGGAGGAGTGGCTGGCGCTGAAGGAGACTATGGCTGAGAATGGAGAGCATGATGAGATGGTCGGCGTGAATCTGGCTGTCTGTCTTCTCTACACGGGGAAAATGGCTGAGGTAGGTTTCTGATTACTGTAGCAACACTCTTCATTCATGAGTACTAACGATTTCAAGGCCAAGGATGTTCTGGAAGGTTTGGTTGAGGCAGGCGATACGTCTCATACGCTTCTCTTCAATCTAACGACCATGTACGAACTCTGCACCGACCGACACAAGAACATCAAGATGAAGCTGGCGGAACGGGTAGCTGCTAAGCAGCCTTCGCAAAAGGGATGGGAGAAGACGAACGCGGATTTCAAGTTGTAGGTTAGAGAATATTTGCATCATCGGGTCATATCACGGTAGCTTATAAGTTCTGTTTCTGGGAGTTTGGTTTTGGTTGGTAGAAGGATTATCAGTAATATGTATTTAATTATGGTAAATCCGTTTCCGCGTGATATTTAACCTGCGGCTGTATGTAGGGTAGGTATGTAAAGTATGTCCATGTTGCTTCACTGCTACCTAATGTGAATGATGACGTCTGGGTAGGATGTCGAGTAATGTAGACATCAACAAACGTACGGTAGCGTATGAGACGTCTCGAGTACTCCCTTCAGGAGAGACGGGAATGGAACCACAGTTCCATGTGCGTGACAAAAGAAAATTATAAAATGAGGGCCAGCGGCAACCACAACCCAAAAACCCAACCTGTATTCTAAGATGGAGCTCCGTATTGGTCGCATAGCGCCTCGGAAAGATCTTGATCCACTAAAAGTTTACCCCTTCAGAAGGGGACCTGCTGTATTTCTAGCAGGGTTTTGCACCCTTATACGCTAAAACCCTATTAATAGGCGCTATTTGGTGGGACTTCCAATTGAGAGCTTATCGATACGGGGGACATCTGCCATTTAACCCTCTGTGCTTGCTGCTGAGACTGGCGGATAATGATTCCCCGGAGCCACTTCGGTTGTAGTGAGTAATAATTGATAATTGTAGGATATGAAATTGCGAGCGACAACGTGATATAGTACATCAGTCGTCGATTTGACACCATAGAAGTGAGATGATGTGTTTATGGTAGTAGATGTGGACTCAGGGATTGTGGCTTACTATATATCATCACATGGTGATGCTTCTGTATCGTTGAATTTTCTCTGATTCGTATAACCGGTTCGGAATGTGCTCTCTGTAAATTAGGGCCATTCACAAGACCATGTCTCGCGGTATTTTCGCGGAGCTGCTCCCTGGGCTGTAAATGCATCGATAGCTACCTAGGTAAACTCTTGCTCGTTGTTAGGCCGATTCATTGCTGCTCGGCCGATCAGCAACTTCTACTGCTGCCGTTTATGATACCTGTATGTCGGTATTGTCCTAGAAGAGGAGGGAATTGTGCGTTCTGTGCCGAGTCATCGACAATCGAATTACGGTAGCGAGCGGCGAGATCCAAGGATGGTTGATCTTTAACTCCGCGTAGAAGGTGGAGACATCCTTCAACCTGAGCATGTTGCTGACTATACAGAATGTCGAGAATCTTTCCTCGTAGATAATAAGAAAAGTTCTAGGTTAAGAACCGATATTGTGTGCAGATGTGCTGCGCTATGTGTTGCGTGTAGGTATGCGTGTCTGGGTATGAAAGAGGTGAAAATAGGTATGAATTCTGTTGGTAGGGCCAGGTATAAAGCAAACCGCGGTTAATCAATGCAAACAGAAGATGGGAAAAAGTGATGTAATTGTTATGTTTCATAGTATTTATATATAAATAGCGGCAATGCAATTATGCCAGGGTATTGGGGATCTTCTCATGACAACCTTACGTTGTCTTCGTTGATATTTCTCAACTGCATCAGTGGAGCTTGGTTGAAATGCTCTGTATTTTCTAAATCTTTGTAATTAGGGGCCTTATGCTTGAGCACCCTTTCGGATACGTGTCATGGATGTTGTTTCTTGCTAATAGCATCGCCGACCTTCTCCCAATTGTCCACGACGAATTGTTTTACTCTCTCTTCATTATAGAACCCGCTTGCGTCGCGCAATGGTGTGAGAGGGCGTATACCCAAGCTGTAATTATCTTGCATGATGATTTTCTTGAATGCGCTTGCCACCTGACCGTGCCAGCATTTATCGCTTATTGTCTCTTCTTTACCCTCTGGTATTTTTGGTGCTGAAGCTTTGATCACGTTACGCCAGAGCGTCTGGCGTTGTCTCTCCAAGTTCCATTCCCTGAGCCGGGCTTCATATATGTGTCGGGTCCCAGGGAAACACTCGAAGGCTTCCGCGCGAACCGAGTCCCGAGTGGCATTCTGTACCGCGAATAATCCTGCATTTCTGCAGGCAGGTAGAAATTCATCAACCCATTTTCTGAAGACCGAGCGGGAGCTCATGCGGCGACGATCATTGGCCTTAAGTTTACTCTTGTCGACCTCACTACTCTCGGTGGACGCATGTATATCATGTTGCTCAGGCCGCACCCAGAAGAGTCGGCATGTTGTCGCGTACCTAAATAAGTCTTCATCTGAGGCGAATGGTTCTTCCCATTCAGTGCCGTCATACTTGAGGCCAAGAAAGGTCAGAATTTCAGCGGGGTCTGTGGAAAGGAGGACTCTGGCTTTTTTCTTGTCTAGGCTCTCGATCTCAGGAATGCGTATATATAAACCAACCTCGTCGACGGTGAGGCCATATGGGCGGATTGTGCTTCCAATGACGTTCCACAAGTCTCCATGAGCATGTTTAAACTAATATAAGGAGACATGCTATCAGTATATGTTTCTTAGGCATAGCGTGTACTGTGTTTTTGTGTATTGGTGAATCCATGGAATTATATTACTCACTAAACTCACGTTAGCTACCTCATCATATGGAAATGAAGGTTGCGAAAAGAACCTGACGTGACATAATTGTGTATCTACCTACCTAGCATCCATTGCAATTGCTCTATGGAGTCACAGAAGTGAAGATCAACCTGTATATATCGAGTTGTTGCGCAATTGTTAGAGTCTTGCTCATCCTTTATGGCTTCCCGAGGGAAGTCATTGGGCCAAGGGATGGCTGTGATCATAATTCCTGGCTGTTCTTGGTACCATCGCTCGGCATTCAGAAGTTGTGCCGAAGATACAAGAGCATTATGCATCGAAGAAGGTGACTTATTTGAATTGCTGTCAATGGGACGTGGAAATACGGAATTTCGTTCCCATGCTAAGAATATGTCGACGTCACCGTAGTCCGGCTTGGCAGGACCTGGAATAGGGGTTGCAACGACTGCAAAGAGTTCTTGGAGTTTGGCATGACATTGCTTGAGCACATGCTGATACACATTTGGAGGCATCCGCGGTGTGTACAGGGGGTTATCCCCAGAAGAAAAAGCCCGTCCGCCCATGATATCCGTTCGACTCGCTCAGAATATGTCTTTTATACACCAGTTAACGGATAGGATATTGGGAGCCCGAAGCAAGGTTCGCTGAGGGGAGATAGGGGTTTTGGATAGTGCATAAAGAATGCAATGAGGAAGCAATTGGGGCTTTAAACCAAGATTATATAAATTGTTGGGGAGAACCTGGATAGGATGGTGCTTCGGTACGTAGCATGCTTCCAAAATTGTAGATACAAGTCTATGAATAAAGACAGAGATAGAAATAAAGGAGGAAAAGAGAGGAAATATAAAATAGTGCATTTAGAGATCGGATATTATGAAGAAAGAGTGTTCGTAGTTTGAAACGGTTGGAGGAGTTAGGCGCCCGGTGCCTGGGTACCGACATAGGCAGGTACTATGTACCTACATATTTAATTTGTCTCAATACATACCGGGGAAATGTACCTCGTTTATCATGGGAGCGATGTTTTTAGATAGGGTAAAATGTGAGAATTAGGATATGAGTTTAGAGATTTTCTCATCGCCATCTTATAAGAAACTGCTTTATGTTTGTGTCTTTCATTTAAGAGTTTATTCACCGATATGAATTGTAAACAGTCATAAAAGATTAGTCATAGGTTCTATTTAAGAGTCATATATCATTTTAGAAGGTTTGGCTCAGGCTTGGCATGCCTGTTACTTGAAATCATGCTGTCTAAACTGAAGCGTCACTAAAAGGAGGCGGGGTAACCCCTAGGTAACCACCCCACCTTAAGCACCCCAGATTGCACCTAGACCATTACCAAAAATGAGTGAAGGTGCAAATCTTGAAACTTCTTCATAATTCATTTCGTCGTCGTATAATTAACCTAATAGTTGTGCCAAATTATCCAGAAATGTCATCGATTTTGAAATCCGGATACAACAAGTTCCCGAGCGTGTTGGAATCCATGACTCACTCGTCCCTTGTATACTTAGAGCTTTGCCGCCATTTCGACCCGTATCTCAGCACCAAGATAGGGATTGGGGCAAGAAGAAGACTGGCACCACCTAACATCGATAAGCCTCCTCCGTAGCCGAATTTGTTCACGAGCGGTTCTATGGCAAGAGGCAAGAATGTGCCCGCTAAGCACCTCATCACTATCACAGCGGTCATTGCGGAGGCCGCATACAATCCAAAAGCATCCACGACATACGCATAAAGTGGCAAAAACCCTAGCATGAGCGTGACACCAATCCCGATAACGGAAGATAGAACCAGTACGGCTGAGGCGTGAGTCTGAATAGACCATCCGTAACATGCAATGACGAGGGGTAATGTGATGCCGCCGATAATCACTAGAGGTAGTCGATACTCGGGCCTTCCTACGCCTTTATTGGAGTCGCGCAATTTGATATAAATCCTATCCAAAGTTAGATTGCAGATGATGAGACTGAAAGCCGAGCCAATGCCTGTGTATGCATTAGTATAGTAAATAGCAGTTATTGGGCATCGAAGGCCGCGCTTACTGAAGGTAACAAGTCCAGATCCGGCGGCAGCAGGCGAGAAACCGTACATCGACTGGAGGACGTCGGGTAGTGTGGTCGCCGTTATATAGAAGTATGTGAAAACAATCGACCCGAATAATGACAGCGCTTGTAAAACACCCGAGCCAGCTAACACCGTAAAAGGGCGGGTGATAGCGACCCATATCTTTTTGGCCTTTGGACTGTCATCCATATCGTACACGGTCCGTAGCGATGCGTTACCGGTTTCGCGCCGGAGCCTCGCCGCCTTTCGCCTTAGGATTGGGACTTTGTATGTTTCGCGGAATAAAGTCAAGAATACTACTTCGCATGCGGTAGCTAGGATCACGCTCATCCACATCGCTTTCCGCCATCCCAGCGTCTCCGCGATCGCCCCACTAATGGCTGGACCGACTGCGCCGCCGATCAGCGGTGCGAGCTGGATCAGGCTCATTGCCGAACCTCTCTGCTCTGAGATAAACATGTCGCCGACAATTGCGGGGTTTAGCACGTTAGATGCTACGGAAAGCCCTGTTAGAGTTCTCGCGACAATGAAAAGAGTCGTGCTCTGAGACAATGCTGCTAGGACAGTTGCCACGATAAACAGAGCGTTCGCAGCGTTCATAACGGGATAACGCCCGAATACTTCAGACAGCGGCGCGATGAGCAGGGGTCCTGCAGCCTCGCCCAGTTCCCAAATGGTCACCAAAAGCACGCTTGCTGATTTGCTAGAGTGGCCATGGTCAAGGTCTTCCACGATACGTGTGGCGACCGGCACGACCGATATACATGTAAATGTTCTAGGAGAAAGATCAGCATGTGTTACCCAAGAAGGAGATGAGGGTAAGACACGGACACTGTGAACGCCATAAATGCGAGTAACGCCACTATCCCCCACTTGTAGGCCTGTGGCCATTCCATGGGGTTTTCCGCATCGCCATCGGGATCGAAGTCAACAATGTCCTTGCTCGAAGGGTCGTCTTCTCGTTCTACGTATACGAGATGGGCATCTTGTAACAATGGTTGGGTTTCGTCCATAGTCAACTTCTCAAGGTGAAGAGATTGGCTATAGACGATAAATGATAGTGAAAAGGGAAAATTAAGGGGGAAAGAGAAAGGGACGAGGTTGAAATAGAATACGTACTTACTTATAGTTCAGGACCGCTAAATATTATAATGTTTACTAATCTGAATCCACTATGTAACGCCCTTGGGGTCACGACATCGGACGCTGTCAATTGCGAAAGTGGAGTAACACGCTAAGCCCAGGTAGGTATCATTCAACGGGCGCCTCCATTCAGGTAGGGGTAGGTACCTAGGTAGGTATACCTGGTATGAATCAGGACCTGCATTTATTGGATTGTACATCTTATCATGAGAATTATGTCTCATCTTTTAATTGTCGAGTTGTCGAGCCGTCGAGTTCTCATTGTATACTCTTTAGTTACATATCCCCAAGCATCGAATTCGTATATCCATACCACATAGACGCATGTGAAAGTTTTGGAAACGTAATACTTCTCTAAACTACACGATATGCATAACACTTTGCTGGCTTTTATTAAAGTCATCTTTATCCGGCTCAAGGCAAAGCGAGTCAACCGAGTATCTTGAACTGGTCAACTGAACAGAAAACGTTGAGTCCAAAGCAACGGCCACGGGATCTCCGGAAGGCGTAAACATTATACGGGGCGTTAGTTTACGATTTCCTCTCTTCCTCGTGGGATAGTTCTTGATGTTATAGTACAATAAAAGTACGTTGAATATGCTGGCACATTGGTTAACTAGGAGGTAGGAAACGTCATATTAAGGGATAATGTCTTACGCAAGATTGTTCCATAAACACATAACCCACCAGAAATACCTACAGCCCGAGGTCTCACCTATATAGCACTCCTTCATTAGGCCTAGCTTAAACATCATCGTAATGGATGTGATGGCGAAAATCGTGTCGAAAACTATGTGTATGAGTACGTTGATTTCGGGTACGCCTCCGCAATCTATATCGAAGATTTGTATGATGCTCCAGAAAAACACGACGCCGCCCTGGCCTAAGTTAGATTGGATCTCGAGTAAGAAGATTGATGCTTCAATGACGTACAAGAGCAACGTGATATGTCCATATAGGATACGTGAAGTCGAAGGACAAAGAAAATATTCCTACGGACGCTACCATTCGCGCAAGTCTTATGACTCTGTCGATACTGCAATGGCGTTTAAAACATGCTGTCTTTCGTAAGTTGGTTGTTATACCGCTCATAAAACGTCGATATCTATCGCTGCGGATTGGCGGATCCACTATATTTTCAGCTGCCTCCGAAGAGTTCCAGAAAGATAGGTTCCTCATTCCATACTCTTCGTCCATTCTTATCCCGAGGGTCTTTTCTTAGGGGGTTCGATCCTGGCGTAGTAGAAAATGCTAAATGTGTCTCTATCATCATGACCAGTTTGACTAGATTTGATGGGCTGACAGTTGGTCATCCTGGACGAGGGTAGAGCATGTCGTTATTTAAATCTACGAAGATACATGCCTAGGTGCGTAGTCTATATTCCTGTAGAACACATTAATGGAAGACCCCAGATCCCTTACAGACACTCCGAAAGTGACTAATTTAGGTAGTATATCACTTCCTGATCGAAGAGGTGGCTGAAACAGATCTTAAATGTACCAATTATATCGGCAATTTCAAGGAAAAGGAATTGCATTACGCAATCTGTCGTGGTACACAGCATGCCGTCAAAAATAGAACTTCTGGTAGCTGAACTCCGCTGCATGTTCTAATCATGCAGTCGGATTTCAATAAATTTCGTGCACCCTATTCTTTCTCATCATGTATGAAATCTCATCTACTTACCTAGGTAACTAGTGGATGTCTACCTAGGTATTCTCGGGTATTCTCTATCACTCTATCATGATGGGCGGCATGTTCGATTTCATGCCGAAACAGAGGTGGCGGCGTGCCGGGATTTTCAATCTTGGTCTAATCTTTCTTTACGCGATAATTCTTCTTATTTGTCTTGCCGTATCTCTGTCACGGGGTTCGTCACTCTATTCAACTACTATTGTCTATGAAGGGATCTGCCAGGAAACGAATCGCCTTGACCTTGTCTTTCATTTTCTACTCAATCTCATATCTACTCTCACTCTAGCATCATCTGGGTTCTTTATGCAAATACTAAGCTCGCCATCCCGCCAAGAGATAGACCGTGCCCACCAGCAACTCAGATCGGTAGATATCGGTGTCTCGCCCATCAAGAATATTCGCTTCGTTTCTCTAGTGAAATCGTTAGGCTGGTTTGTCCTTTTCGCGAGCTCTATACCGATCCACCTATTCTTCAACAGTTCAGTTTTCAAAACAAATTACCAAGGCTCAGATTGGAGACTTACTATTGCATCGAGTGGTTTTGGTGCCGAAGGAATTGAATTCTTCCCACCTGGGGCTAGCCTAGCGAATGCTGGAGTTCCATGCCCAGGGTTAGATGAGCTAAAGTCCAATGATTCTCACTGCTCATTCGGCAACATGGAGTATGGAGAACATGTAAACCTCACAGAATATTGGAATAAGTCATCTCAAGTATATCACAACATCACAAACACCGCGATGGAGCTCAAGAGTTGGTACAACATGACGCCCCATGCATGTCGAGAAGAATACAGTTCTTGTAAGCCAAGAAGGTCATATAAAGATGTGGTCGTTGTCGTAGACACTGGTACTGACAACCAAAATGGATGGACGCGATCACAAGTTTTCAGCGATCCGGATAATTATTTGGGGCCGGTCTGGGATTCTCATATACCACAAAACGACATTAATTCCTTGTGGTACTCTACACAATGCATGGATTGGATGCCTACATCTGTGATAGACACTGAAGGCGTTTTAAATTGCGCCAATACCTGTCAAGTGGCCCTTGGAATTAAGGGGTCCATGCTATCGAACATATCTTATTCCGAATCCAATTGGACGATCACCACACCGGAAGAGTACATGCCTCCCTGTGTTGCTACAGAGCAACAGAAGTTAGGCTACAATGAAAAATTTAGGGAATTTGACGTAAAATATTGCCTTACTCAACCATCAGCAGCACATAAGTGCCAAATCAGACTATCTAACCTCCTTCTACTCACTACGATAATATGTATCTTATTGAAAGTCGGCATCTGTACAATAGTCATCTATTCCCTCTCTCAGGTATCATTAGTTACACTTGGAGACACGCTGGAATCTTTCATTACGAATCCAGATACTGCAACAATAGGATTGGGGACATTCGATATCCACGATAGCCATCGGCTGCAATTTGGGACACGCGCGAATCTAGGACCTGATGATCCAACAGACCTTACCGAATCGGTAGTGCCTCGTATATGGCACAGAAAAGCCAATAGACTTGTATCAGCTCTTCCGAAGTCTACCTTATCCGGCAGCTACGTTCCTATCTTTCTATTCATTGGTGTTGGCGGCTATTTCGCTTCTCAAATATACCTATATGACGGGTTGAGCTTGTAAGCTACCTATGAATATACCTATCTATGACGCACATAAAAAAATCTGGAACATTAATGTTAGATTAGCAAAGGAGCCTTTGGAGAATCCGACTCTCCCTATTTTATAAGTGATTATATCAGCGAATATGGGTTTTTGACTACTCTAATACTCGCCAATATACCGCAATTCATACTATCATACTGCTTTCTTTCATATTCCTCTATGTTCTCTCGCCTGCTAGCCGAGAAAGAGTTCAATTCATTCGGTATCACACCACCAAAACCACTCCGTGTATCGTTTCCCACTGGCGAACAAAATTCAACGTATTGGCTTCAGTTACCGTATACTTACAGCTTACCTCTACTCACGGTTAGTACACTACTACATTGGTTTGCGTCAAATTCCATATTTATATTTGTTAGCCAAGGAGGTAAGATCCGGAAACTTCATCTGTCCATTCCAGCCACTCATGAAAATATAGGTTATTTAACAGACTTCTACGATACCTCTCAGGAACGCAATTACGATTGGGGATTGCCTCAAGATGCAACTGCTGTCTTAGCATTATCACCGCCTGCAATCTTAGCATTCTTTGTTACATGTATAGCTATAGTATTTATCCCTATTCTGTATGGTCTCAGAAAGCTCCCGGGAGATATGGTTGTTGGGGCATGCGACTCCTTGGTACTCTCAGCGGCTTGCCACTCGTACATATCAACCACTCCTCGTCAAGAGCCTTCAATAGAAGATGTTAACTTGGAAAATTATAGTAAGTTGAAATCAAGAACCTTCTTTTACTAAAGGATGTACTAAATTCAGAAGATGAGATAGGCGATACAGATGAGCAACGATCTCTACGCGAACTCTCGAGGAAGAAACTTTTATGGGGCGTTACATCTCTGCCTTTAGGTCTAACTACGATGATTGGGATAGAGAAAGAGGCGATGCATTTGGGTTTCTGCGGTGGAGATGACTATCTGCATGGGCCTGTCGATGGCGAACAGTATGCATAAGACTGATACGAAGTACCTTAGATTAGGACTGCACCTTACCATCGAACCGTGTAGGCAAAACCAAGACTTTATTCTCAGCATCTCAAATAGTCCAGTAATCCATATATGATATCGAAGCAGCCGGAATCGGTGGTCAGGTAGGTAGGTAGTTAGGTATTTGGTAGATAGAAGTTGCCTCGTGGAAATTTACTTAAAACGTACAGTATCATCGCACAAAATATCGCCTGCATTGTTATATATATAACATACCAGCCTGCCTACAGAAACAGCTTTCATTGGCGATAAGGTAGGTAGCATCACCTTTTGCGTGCGACTGTGAGGTAACAATGCATGATGCAACGTCTAAGACCCCCAATTCCCCTGGACCGGTCCCTGTAGACAACGTTCACCCCTAGCCCCCGCGAATATTGTAATATTTGGTAGGATACGACTTTTGTAGATATATCCGCGTACTTTCTTGACCATGATAGCTCCTATTTGCTCATACTATGCATCAAAGCCTCTATTCAAGTCCAAAGGCACCTGATGTATCATTTAGACCCCGCGGTTGACCCTCGTCATTTACGCGATTTTACAACCCAAGATTTTTCCATGTAACACAATTCTTTCCTAGTATGTAGTGGTAAGGCAGAGTTGAATAAATATGAGTAAGCATCATTGAATATGAAAATGAGTACGAAGATGTACTGGTAAATATAATATCTTAATGATTGAACTTCTTGTTCATCAATCCGTCCTACTCGGTCCCAGCGACACATACAACTGATAGTACGAGACTGCGAAGAAACAATGACTATCGAAAATTATAGATCGCCTTACAATAGTAAGTGCTAGATGAATAAGACCTACCTTTCAGCTGCGGCGATTGACCATTTATTGATGTTATGATTAATGCTAACACTGTCGACAGCTTACCTTCCGAGGCAGCCAGTATCGGGCATCTCAGAAACTGATTTTAATACTGAGGACAATATAAACCAATCGGTTTCATCTATGACAGATAGCCAACCCGAAAGATATTATAATGATGTATCTTCTGATGTTAGCGACTGTCCTGGATCGGATAGAGGAAGTGAGATCGGAAATAGGCACTCAGAGTACTCGACGAATGTTGCACAGAACACAAGACTGCCTATTCGCGATTCTCTAGGGATCTCGGGATGTCTTATCATCGCTGGGGGAACTCTAGGCAGTCTACTCGGCCTTGGATTCCTCATTTTTCTCTGGACTGCACATGGCTCCAGTTCCGAGGCAGCTGACGCACCTATGGCATGGCGCAAGATCATGCTCAATGGTTGGATGGGGCAAGCTACTACCCTCACGGCTTTGCTCATAAGGATATTTACGGCTTTACAAGCTACAGTATGCACAGCTATGCTGGCCTCCATGTTCCTAGAGAAACGATATGTTCGGAAAGCGGATGTCGTCCAGTTTTCCATCATCCGAGCTATAAATGACGGGCCCCGGAAGCTTACAGAGCTGATATTTTACACGCCAAGAGCTATCTTTCGCATTGAAGCTTTCCTAGCTCTGTTTCTAACACTCGGTAACTTGGCTCTGCAATTTACTTCTACTATACTTTTCTCAGATATACAAGATGCCACTATCGTTGGATTTGGCAGCGCCGTTCAGGTACCCAATTATATCAACCAAGTTACTGATGGGATATATATTCCTGTCCCGGAGCAAGAGTCCCCCACTTATAGGATGTTTGGGGAATTACAATCGAATGCATCGTCTGCTCCTGACTCAAACGGCTTTAGTGATTCTGGATGGAAGCAAAGAGCACTCATACCATTGAGTTTACCAGACGATAGAACCGCAGTTAGGATGTTCCAGGGGGATACAGCGGTCATCAGCTCCCGTGTGAGTTGCATGAGGCCTAATTTAAATGGGACTATTCGTTCCGCTAATACCTCCGGGGTTTCTGATACGCAATTTCACACGGGAGTATTCTATGGGTGGCTATACTATGGCTCAAGTCTCCAAGACTCGCACTCCGATTCGTCATTATGCAACCCTCAAGGTTGCTACCGTTTGAAGTACCAATGCGACATTCCAGCAGAATATAAGGATTTATCGGACACCAACATCAGATTAAACTATCAGAGCGCATTTTGCTCAATTGGGTTCGTCGGCGGCGCAATATTTGATGGACACAATCACGTCGGGTGGCAAGATTCAATGGTGCCCTGGTCGAATCACTCTCTGATTAACTTGGTCTATTCCAGCAACATGCTTGGTACGGGATGGCACGATGTTCAGAATAACACCTACAACATTTCCTCTCTTCCTAGCATCAATGATGGGGAATGGACGAGCTTTGAAATTTTACCGGGCCGATTCCTCAATGTTTCGCTTTGCTTCCTGGCCTCTAGCATGGATCTGAAATACGTTGAAATGAGTGCGAAGGCGCCTCTTCATGAACCGGTCGGGAATTGGTCGATACTAGAAACTTGGGATTCGTCCGACGTTCGAACTTTTCTCGGTGCAGACCCATTGCGCCAAGATCACGCAGAACGAGGCATCCTAACAATCACCGAGCTCGAAGAGCCGAAAAGCAACTCCTCTAGCTTCAACGGCAGCAATATTGGTAAAAATGGAACAATGGTACAGAAGACATACGGCATGCTAGATTGGTATTTCTACTTGATCATGTCCGGAGAAGTCACTGATAAGTACTCGTGGCGAGGATGCATACAGTGCGACTCCTTGGGACATGGAACTCACGCGGGATATTCTATGCTGTTCGAAGATACTCTGCTTAAAACCAACCTGGCTGCCGAAACGCTGCTTTGCTTCACCACGGCCCTTGCATTCCAGTGGTACACGGACTTTCTCTCGTCGCTCAAAGGGACGGTCGAAGTGGATATTGCATCGACGAAAAGTGTACAGACGGCACATCTGTGTAAACAGAGAGGCTGCGGGGGGATTATTTCCGTCGCATTGATAATTGGATTTTACCTTATTACTGTATTCATAACGACGGCTTTATTCATTAGGCAGGTCTCTTACTCGCGACAGGGGAACGTCTGGCACGCCGTATCGCAGCTAATAGGGAACGAGCTGGAAGAGGCTTTAGAGAATGGGAATGATAGGGATGATGATGATATGGGAAAGTGGACAAAGGAAGATGATAAGGATACTCTTGTGAGGCTCGAGAAGGTAGACGGTAGAATCCAGGTTGTGAGGAAACCGGAATTTCCTCTGCAAGGAGCTACTAAGAGCTGGAATAGCTGGCTACCTAAGTTCTCGAAGAAGGAAGAAACGGGTTTGGGGCATGAGTGACGAAATAAAGCTTTGGAGACCAAGAGGGGCAGATACGGAACAAGGGTGTAGGGAATGACGAGAAGGTTCACGACACTTACGATGAGCGGGGGTAAAGATATCATTTGTTCTTCATTTACCTATCTATTCATTCAGAAATTCCATAACGTGATATCCAATCTTCATCAACAATAGACATTCATCAATCATTCCATGATAAAGTTGGCGAGCGAAGATATCCCAAAACACCCCCCACAAAACCTGTATGCAGACTCCAAGCTGTCCCTCCCCCTTAACTCCACGGTATACAAAACCATCTATCACCAAAAACCCACCTAAATCACATCCCAAACCCATATTACACCCCTTACCACCCCAAACTCATTCCCTAACCAACCTCTCCCGCCCCGCCCTGCGCATCAAATGCCCCAGGTTAAAAAACATCGCATCCTCAAAGAAATCCGGACCAACGGGATCATGTGCATGCGGGCGCACCAAATTGATATTAATATTCGGATCGAACGGATTCCACGGATTCCTGCCCATATGGCGTCTAAAAATCTCCGCAAACTCGCCGTCCAGCGCGTTCGGACGCGGTCGCAGCGGGATATTCCCCGGGACCGGAACCGGGACCGGAGGCGGTGGTCTCCGCTCTTGGGCTCGTCGTGGTGGGAATAGAGGTGGTGGAGCGGGCGGGTGCGCCATGTTCAGGAAGGGCATGAAGGCCCGGCCGCCTTCGTAGTTTGGCGGGTTGTCGTGGTACCGACACTCCTGCGTGTGGTGGCATTGCAGGAAGTCTTGCTCGTCGCGGTAGTACTGTCCGAAGCAGAGCCAGCACCACTCGTGGCCGCAGATGCCTTACCATTAATTCATTATTAGTCTCTAGGTACGTAGCTGAAATCATAAAAGGGGTGGGTTGTTAGGTAGAGAACGGGGGAACTTACATGTCACATGATCACACCCGGTGTACTTGTGGACATTCCGGTTGCATCCCGGGCAGGGCTTGGTGATCTCCTTGACGTGCTTCTCGGACGCCTTGTCGTTCTTGCGCTGCTTGCGCGTGCGCCGCTCGTAGTCTTCGCAGGTTTCGCCGCGGTGCCAGGGGACGTTGTGCCGCACGCATATGGAGTGCTTGCATGCGTCGCATTTGCCTTTCTCGCAGCCTGTTGGGTAGATTTGGCCTGAGTTGCAGCGGGGGTTGAGACACCAGAAGAAGTCGTGGAGGTTGGAGAGAAAGGCTTTTACGGCTAGGTTGTCGTATCGCTCGAATACGTCTTTTGTTGCGAAGGCGCGCACGTTTTCGTATTTGAGGAGTTGCGGGCATTCGGGGCATTTTAGACGGTCCCAGGTTACTGTGTCCATGCTTGAGGCTATCCATGCGCCGACGCATTCCTTGCATATTGTGGAGTCGTGTTCGCAGGATGCTGTGATTTTACGCCTGTTAGGCATTTCGGAGACTCTTTTGTCGTCGCTGCATACGATGCACGTATCCGTCAGGGGAACCAGCCATGCCTCCGCCGCAACAAATTTGTCCTCCACAACACGGGGCACATCGAAGTCGATAGTTTCGCCGGGTCGGATATGGTTGCGCCTTTTAACCGGCTTGCCGCGATATGAGAACTTGATGTCTTCGACGTCGATGGGACGATGGCGCGATATACGAGGACAGATCGGCGACATCACTTTGTCTCTTAGCCACTGCTTGATCTTCTGCGTATCCGCGTAGCCATGGGGAGTGCAATACGGCTTTTGACATATGTACTCCTCATTAAAGCCCCGTAAGACGAAGTAGGAGTCGGCTGATACTAAATCGATAACTAAGTGGCGACAAAGCCATCTCTGCACCTTGCGCGCCTCCCAGCTGTTTCCTTGCAAAGACCCTTCACGTAAGCCTCCGACCGCTTTGATCACGATTTGATTCGCATTTCCCACCGGATGGCCCTTGCTTTCGCTAGCGGGCCTTATTAAGTTTGCGATGGTCTCTCGTAGACTACCTATCGAGCGTCCCGCTTCAATTTCCTTCGTGATTGTTTCTATTTGGTGTTTCCGAAGCTTTGCTTTGCCGGCTTTCCAGGATACCCTGAGCGCACCGTTGTCCCCCTCTTCTAATATCCGGTACTGCAGAGATGATGCTTCATCGGGGATTTTAGTCTCATTTAGCCTCTTGCCATTTAAAAAGAATTGGATTTCCGCTTCTTTTTGTGTTCGGCCTCCCTTATCCAGACCCTTATCCAGATACTGTCTCTTCAGCGTGTCTGCGACATGATCTAACCCCCACGACTCCTTGATGCTGATATTGAGAACCCCCCGATTTGTTGTAGAATCGTCGAGGTCAACGAGGTATATCCTTCTTCTTTTTTTCTGGGTGGAATCGTGGTGTTTGGAGCGATGCCTGCGCTCTTCTTTTTGGCGATTTGATGATTCCCCGTGGCGGTTCGTTGAGGATAATGAAGACCATCGTGAAAACATAGTAAAATTTGCCGTTGGGTTGGTGTACAAGCTAGAAATGCTGGCTGCAGCCATTAAAGCTAGGTAATATAGATTTAAGAAATTGTATGTGGCACAATTAGAGTGGTTCCTGTCGTGGCAGCGAATAGAAAAAAGCCAGAAATAAGACAAAATCATTGTCTCATGCGACTAGGGACTCTCGAATCATTCAATGAGAAGTGAGGCTCTAGGAAAATGAGTAACTCATTGTCACCTATCATGTCCTTAGACGTCTGCGGGGCACACGTAAGCTGGAAGTCCTATTAAAGTGTGTGATTATTCAAAGCCAGCAGCACCTAGCGCGCGAAGGTGCGCATTTGTAAAATGTCCATCATCCGTTGATCCACGGTCGTCTTAGGTGCCTAATTGGGTGGCAAGCTACCCTCCTTCGCCCGCTCAGTGTGGTGGCACCAAACACTACGTGAAGAGCCACGTGAGACAATGCAACGCGACTTCATACTGCAACCGACCAGGCGTTTAGCGAACTACCTATAGGTAGGTACTAGGTACGTTGACGGACTGTGATTCGAGGGGACTAAAATTCTAAAGATTCCCCGGAAAGAAGACAGCTGTTAGAATGTCGATACGTCGGCGCATTTCTACAGAGCTTGCATCCCGCCCCCCGTGTCATGCAGATCTCTTGGCACTGTAGTCATTCAGGGGGATGATTCACATCAATTTCGCTGAATTTTGCTTTCCAACAATATGATGTCCGATATCTCCGTTTTTAGAGACGAGCCTGCCAGCCCGCCAACACCGCTCTTTGAGGTGGCTTTTCTCGGTAGTGCGCGCGCACCGACATCTGCAGCATCCGTGGACCTGGTAGTTTTCTATCCCTATCTCTACGACAGGTACCAATCACGCTGCGACACCATCCAAATGAGAAGAGACCCCGCGATCACGTAGGCGAAAGACGCTTCGCGCAAGTTCGAAGTCCTATACACGAACACTTCGGTAACTTATAAGAACAGCACACCGATGAAAGTCATAAGGGCGAGATCATATAACTGAGGATTTGTGATGTGGTATGCGGCGTAGAACCTGATGAAACTTGTGTAAAAGTTCTTCACACCGTAGACGTGGGCTAACAACTGGTGCGGAAGTGGCGCCGCTGGTCCGCTAAACGCCTTCGGGGACGTCGTCGGATCGCTTGTGTAGCACACGACACTATGAATCGCCGCGGATAAGCCATCCTGCAGTAGAATCTTACATTAGTTTGTCCCTGAGGGTAGGATGGTTTATGCAGATGCAGGCTGCCATCTTACGGCGATTAAGAAGTATGGGAGATATCCTTGGTGCTGTGGCAGAATCGAGGAAAGTTGGTCCATTGTGGCGTCTGTTTGAGTAACGGTTATTTGGATGAGTAACGTTTTAGAGAATATCGCAGCAAAGATAAATTGTTAACAAGGACCGCAACGCTAATACCTGTTAAATCAGTATATATTCACTTAAATGGCATCACACATGCACCTAAGAAATACGAAAGTTTCAATACATTCATACACAATTTCCTCATATTCCAGGTAAGACATAGTTAGGTAGGTATGATTCCCTTTCTTATTGTAATAACAATAGTCTTTATTTGAAACTAAATTGATCACAGCTAGATTCTCCAAGGTTCGAATGACTCTGAACGTATAAACAGACGTGCATCATCATATATTAATGTGCCCTGGTAGAGGCATATCACCATGTTACGCTTACTTGCAATTGTAATAGGGGTTAGGGTTAAACACCTATACAAACATCCCCTATTGGTGGGCTTACCATGTTACTCGAATAGAATCGACAGGTCGTCCGCCAACCGGTCAACAAGAATTATCCTACCTCCAGGTTGCACAGCCGGCATAAAGATCCTAATCCAATTAGGCTCGCCGTTTATCTCATCCTCGTCCTCAATACGTTTAGCCGTATACGATTCATAGCTCGTCGCAAAATCGTAGCTCTGTAAGCCAGCGATAACGAGCAGTTTCAGTTTCAGCCATCGGCCCATCTCTCGCGCCCGGCTAATGATTTCGTCTTTACCGATGCATCCACGTTCAGTATTCAGCTCGTGGCTGTAGATGCGCAGATCCAGAAGCACACTTTCGAGCTGTGGCATCTGCGACCATGCAAGCCATATGGGTGTAGCGCGGTCGAGGTCTATAGCCATGTCAAGAGCCTCAATATTTTCTTCACTGATTTCTATCTTGGGATCAACCATGGTACGAGCACTTACATCCATCAATGCTAAAGGCGAATGAACGACTAAATGCCGTAAGAGCTTAAAGATATAAGACTCGCCAAGGGGCGTTATTCGATTTGGAACCGTGGGTAAGTCGTCGTCGAAAGGGAGAAATTTCCGCATGTCTTCTCCGCGGATGGGGTAAGTGTCTTCGACATGGAATAGGAAAGCTTGGGTGGCGAGATCATTTGGGAGCGTATCTTTTGCGAGTTGAAAGACCTGTGTACCTTTTTGATAAAACAGTCTTACAGTCTCGTCATAACACCACTTGTTGAGTGTAAGTACACGATCATCGAGGGCTTTCATGGGAAGTAGGATATGCTCATCTCCATGGTCGAAATTTGCGGTGAAGCTGCTGGACTCGTAGCCAACTCCTTTCGTGTAGGTGACGACTCTTGTTAAGTGCAGCGATCTCTCTACGGTGGGATGTTCTCGCTTACAAGCATTCCAATCAGGTACTAAGAGATCTAAAGCGCACTTGGGTTCCGTGTCTATTGCTTTGTCAAGGATCAGACTAAAGACGTCAAGTGGAAGAGCTGAATCCGTGCCTATAATCCTGTTCTTTCTTTCTTCTAATTCTTCTTCATCGAACTTATACTTCTGATACTGACGATTGATATCATAATCATTAGAATATGCATTTGCAACCATTTTTTTAGCATTGGGAAGATCATTTTCCTCGTACGGTGAATATGTTCCAGACGAATCATCTATGGATTCTTGTTCTGGCCACTTCGGAAGATCGGGGATAGAAATGAGGCCTTCTCTCGCCATCTGCACTAGGATGCGCGCAGCTTCAAGCCCTTCTTGGAGTGCTTCTTCGTTAACTTGCTCTGCTGTTCGTGATCGCTCTAACCACTTTTCTTTACAGATGAGACAGACATACTGAATCCGATTTCCGATCTGATTATTTACTTGACCATGAAGCTTGGTGTGAAAACGTGACGCACATATTTCTTCTGTAGATTCAATATCACGATCTCTAGAATTGTGTTTTTCAACCCGATCGAAAAATTGCTTTTGTCGTTTTATGAAGTCTCCTTTTCCCCGTCCCCCATACAACGCTCTTCTGACTAGAATCGGGGGGGAAGGTCGTTCCTTCATCTGATAACTTATTTTCGTCAAGTAGGGAGCGATAATAAAACAGGGAGATCCCGTGCTAGTATTGATTCTTATATATGCCTGTGGTTAGAGTATTGTTAAAGACAATGCTTTGTGTCAGTTAGGCTTCTACTAATGACAATTTCCCATTGTGGAGGAGCGAAGGGTAATTGTGCTTTTTAATTTATACAATAAGTTAGATTTTTGTTCCGATACCCTTTGTTGTATACATATAATTCCATTGTTTAAATTCAACACTATCAGATACGTAGCACTCAGTATCTACATTGGGCAGTTACGCAAATCTGGGGTTAGGGTTAGGGATAGGGTTCCTCGGCCAGTAGAGGGGTAAATTGCTGACATAATTAAAGATTACCTAATTACCCCGCGGCATTACCAATCAAATATTCGTTATTCATCATTCCAAAATCCCGCCTTCGTCTTACTCCTAAGCACCCCCATAGATCAAGAGGCTTTGGATGCTGATTCCGCCAAAACCACGCCGGTATAACATCTCTCTTCCTCGGTGAACAGGGAACTCGGCTACGGCCATGGCACCGATATTTTTAGCGCCAACTCCAGCTTCAATTAATAGCTGAAAAACCGCACAGAGCGTCTTCCCCGTGGCAAGCACATCGTCTACTACCACCACTGTTGTGTCTCGGGGAATCGCATCCCGGTCTATCTCAATCTGCTCCTCCTTTGATTCGTTGGATCCCGGAGATGAAATATGCGAGGAAGACTTCGTTACGGAAACAGTAGGTGAGGGAAGCTTACCAGCTTTGCGAACCAGCACTAGGGGTAATTTGAGCCGTGCGGCCAACGCCGATGCAAAGACGAAACCCCCGGTCTCGCAACTCACCAGCGCACCGACTCTGGTCCAGTCACCGACTTTGGTCCAGTCAATGGATATAGTCCATTGATAAAAGAAGCCGCCTCTCAGCAAAGATGTACACAGCGCCAGTCCACCCGGATGCTGAGCGATGTTGAGTACGTGGCGGAAATTGATGCCGGGACGTGGAAAGTCAGGCACGAAGGGTACCATATCAGCTAGTTGCTGCAAGTCGTCGTGGAAGAATGGAAGTAGATGATTTTGGGCAAACATTTCCATTCGATCCTCCCCATCAGGTCCGGTAATATTGTTATTGAAGACAAAACTGGGTCGGTAGTCTAAGGCCGTCAAATTTGACCCACCATTGCTTCTGTTTTCACTATCGTCATCCTTGTCGTGGAATCTTCGGCTGCCCTGCCATGGGTTCGGTTCAGCAATCACGCGAACCTCGAGTAGTTTCCGATCTGGAACTAAAGGCCAGAAACTCGGTACCGGCGCTTCGTCTCTCATTCCGGTAATTAGTAACACATCCGCATCCCCGGCTCTACCCACCGCATTCAGAAAATGTTCTTCCGGCAGCCGAGGTCTTCGTCGTACCTGATCCTGGAAAAAGGCTGTCAAAGCTGGCCGGTGTTGCTCCTTGTAGGCGCGGTCCCTAAGTAAGCGATCTAGGTCGGCTCCGGTAGCTGACGCATATTCTCGCTTAGTATCATCGCTTATGCTGACTACATGAGCTGTGAGGTTTTCTTTGGTGCATGCGATGAAAAATGAGGCCCAGAATTGGGCGCAATAATCTTTACCGGTGCAGCTCTCGCCTGTAACAAGAATAATGAGCTTGTGTGTAACAGGTTCTTTCAGTGGGCAGGCGTATGCTAGCACATTTCCGGGGTCAAATCTACGTTTGAGGCGAGTTAGACGACGGAGGTTTGGTCCAAAAGCTCTGGCTGCTAGCGCAGCGTCTCGAGGGTCCGGTCCAAGATCGGCGCCGTATGCCCCGCGACTTAACGGCAACAAGTCCCTGGCGACATCATAGACCCATTGCGTGGCCGCTTGACTAGCCATCTGGGTTCTCCCTTCATTACAAGGCCAGACACCTGTAATCACACATGCGAAATCCCAGTCCCGACAGCCGAAAGCAGTGGCATCAGCTGCCACGTCGCTGACCGCCCCTCCACCTTGAATCAGATGGATGTAGCATAATGGCGACGGACGAGTTTTGACGGCTGCTACTAGTACGTCGGTGATTTCCGCGTCGCCAATATGCTTTAAGAATACACATCTCTTGAACGATGAAGTGCGGCCTTCCCCTTGCCCTCCATATTTCCCAGACATATACATCTCAGTCTTGAACAACTCGCCGCCATCCACAGTCTTGATATCTTGCGCCATCCCCAAAGCGGCATCTATAGAAATAGTTGTCTCAAGGGCAGATTTACCCTCACGGGATCTGAACATGGCTACGCCTAGATGCATCTCGTCGGCCTCCCAGTATAGATATCCGCTTATAGAGGAGTTACGTGGGAGCTTCTTCGCAATATCATCGAAATCAGCGAGCTTGAGCCGTACCTCGCTACGATCGCCCATGGGGACGGCCCAGTTGCGAACCTCATAGGTCGGGGCTGTGTAAGCCTCGAAAACAACGTCGCTTACGATACCAAAGTTAGTCCCGCCCCCTTTTAACGCCCATAATAGATCAGCATCAATTTTGGTGTGTTTTGCGTCTAATATCTTTTCTTGATTTGGCATTTTGCCTACGTGGAGAACCTGGCCAGAATCGAGGCTGACTATTGTTGCGCCGACGATGGCATCACACGCAAGCCCGTGTGTCCTAGCCATATATCCAATTCCGCCTTGTAGCCACGACCCCGCTCCCACGCCTGGGCGAGTCCCTAAGGGTACCGTCAAGCCCGCCGCCATGGCTTTGCCTATAATGTCTCCGGTCGTACAGCCTGTGCCGGCAAAGACTTCTTTTCTATCCGAGTCTTTATAAATTTCTACTCCACAATGACTCATGTCGACCGCAACAACATTAGGCCAGATGGAATGTCCGCTATGGCCCCCGCCGATGATGGTAAGGCCGGTCTCATGTTTCAGAGCCCATCTAATGCAGTGCCCAACCTGTTCATTATCCTCCGGCCTAACGATCCCGGCGGGGCGGTGGGTGCGGCCCTCCCGGCTTCGAACCATCGAGTCCTCACTCAGCAACGGTACATGCTTTATTAAGTCACACAATCCGGTTGCATGCCGGGTAAATGTCACCATCATGTAAGGCGAGCTGAAACAGAGTCGATTTGGGTAGGCGTCCTCACGTCGGCCCAACGTGCGACACAGTTCGCGCCACCCGGCTCGGATAGGCACGTCCACATCCGCTTCCAGCATGGTAAATCCTGCGACGAAAGCGGAAAAGGAGTCTAGTACCTCGTCGTTGTTTTCTACGCCAATGGACCCGTTAGGGAAAAAGTCGGTTCGATGACATACCAATCCATCAAAATGTAGGATTTCGTCATGATGGATAACCACTAGTAATGTTGGTCCCGAATCGCACTTAAGCATTCTAAGTGCTCCCTCGATGTACTCTCTCCTAGGGTTCATATTATATATTCCGTGGCCGAATAAGATGATGTCAAAGTGACCCATAAGGTCCTCCCCGTACTGCTTGATACAGTCCATATCGAACGGCACTCGAAAGACTCTCGGCGGGAACATCAAGCCGGGCATTGGGGATTCCATCTCGGAAGCAGGGCGAAGCCATTCTTCAAGCTGCGTGGCAAACAAAGCATTCGGCTCATATGCAGAGTATGCAGCAATGCCGCGCCTCCAATGGCGGGGCAAGAATCCCAGTACACTCTTCGGGCCAGGATTAATTTCGAGCACCCTTACATCACGCCTATGTCTCAGGATAGGCGATGAGAGCTTAAGCAGTTGTGGGACGATAAATTCTTGAATTGTCGTCCATGCTGAACCATGCCGCAGGATGTCGGCGCCAGCGCTTCTCAGTGCGTCGGGCAACGGCTGTTTCGACGACGATGCTGCTTCGGTGGCTTTCTGCTGAAGACTCTGCCTCAGGGAGTCGATGGTCGCCATGGCAGATTCCGTTATAAATGCGTAGTTGATGAAAGCCTTGCGAACACCCCTAACCTAGTATTGGATAACCTTGGGAAATGTCCATACCGGATATTACGAATTCTTCGGGGTGGAGACAAGCTTGATTTTCAATGTACTCTCTATGTTCACATATCCACCATTACTACTGGTGTCTCGGAACAAAACATCTCCTCCAGGCGACAAGGAGGTCGTTGAAGAAAAAAAGCAATGCCGCGTATCATATGATGCTGATGCCGAATGATTAAATGCAGCTCAATATGCAAATTTGATTTGCTTCCATCAGCCGCCAACATGATATGCTTGTTCCCGTAGGCTAGGTGCCTCTTGAGCGACGTGACAGAAAGTAAACGCCAATCAACGAATGCACCCGCCCTCCTTGTTTTATGGATTCTAACTGCATCTTAGGTACGCCGGCCTCCTCATTATAGCACGGAACAGCTTTGTCTCAGTCCTGACGATTAACGCCACCGGGCTTGCTACCCGGTTAGTACCACAGCATACCGCGGCGGAAAGGAAAGCAGCCACAATACGATTACTCGCATTTCTAGGCACCGGTCGGAGAACTTCCTCGGAGATCGATGCGAAAACCCTTCTTTCAATCTTCCCTATACCTGGTCCTATGCAAATCAGTTGGGCCGGTCTTGTCACGAGACGGAACTAAAAGGCTTGGAGACAACAACGTTGTCATACGAAGAGCTGCAACCCTCACTAAGGGGGTCCAATATCATAGGTACCTACTCGGTAGGTACAGGTGAAGTTCTTTGTCTATTCTATCTCTAGGGCTAGCAACCAACACGACTATCTAGGACCAGTACATGAGGTAAGTAGATACCAATCTACGCATCATATGTATTATATGTTATACCAAATGGAAGCTATTTTCTCCGTTCCAAACCAAGCATAGTATAAAAATGCTGTTGTTCCTTCAAGTTATCCTTTAGTGAACCAATCATACATTGAGTATGCGTCATAGCCTCCGTCCTCTGTACGCCTCTCATCGCCATGCACATATGCCTGCATTCCATAACCACGGCAACGCCAAACGGGTCCAAAACCGCATCTATGGCCTCCGCAACCTGCTTCGTCAAGCGTTCCTGCACCTGGAGCCTACGTGCGAACATCTCGGCGATTCGCACGAGCTTGGATAGTCCGATCACTCTTCTGTTCGGGATGTATCCGATGTGTATCTTCCGGTTTTCCGTGGTGTTAGTCTAAAAAGATGGGGAGCGCGGAGGAGAGCAGAACTTACTTTGCCGATAAACGGCACCATGTGGTGCTCGCACAGACTAAAGATATCGATATCGCGTACGATAACGAGTTCGTCGGTATCGATGTTGAAAATGCCGTCGCTCACGACTTCCTCTACCGTTTGGGAATATCCCTTCGTGAAAAATAGAAGTGCTTCGGCGTAGCGGTCTGGTGTCTTTACGAGGCCTGGACGGTTCGTGTCCTCGCCGAGTATACTTAGGATTCTGCCGGTTGCATGTGCTATGCCGTCTTGGGGATAGTGAATAGTTGTGTCTATATGTTATACTCGGGAGGAGATGTGGTTGTAAATTGGGATGGGATGTTGAACGAGTAGGTAGGTAGGTAGATATAGTTGAAGGGCAGACTTACTTCGTCGGTCGGCGTCACGTATATCAGATGCAGTAAGGGGTTTCGGATTCGCTGGTGAAGGGTTACCGTTGTTACTTGCACCTTCACCCTTCCCAGCATCGGTATTTTTACCGGGATTTTTGGGCATGATGTGTGGTGGCAGGGGATTGCTCGTAATAGGCAGACTCATGACGAAGAGTCCAAGATGACTGTTTAATCGAGCGTAGAACGTAGTCCTTGAGAAACTCTTGTAATATATTGCAGGACTTTGGTAAAGAGCAGTTATATAGTTCCCAGGATGCGCGGCGAGACGTGAACCGAAGTAACACGGAGCGGAATCCGTCCGGTCTCGACGGGGAGGCAATCACCCGCGATCCTGCCGTCATGCCGGCGTAGGGAGGTTGCAGCTGAAATTACATGTGGCCGTTATGATCGAAACATCTACTCCCTCGGCGTTAAGCTGCTACATGGTTGGAAAGAATATACTAGAACACATGCACATGTCTCAGCCACAACAGGTACCGCATATGTAGGTCCCCGGGTAGTTTTCTCGACGTCAATGATGACGACAAATTCTATCTACCTAAGCGCGAGATGAAATCCAACCAAAAACAATCAAGATACGTCGGCGTAAGAAAAGCATCTATCGTGTAAGTTGAGAGAACAAATTCATAATGTTTGGATTGGACTTCTCGGGTGAACATTATGGTAGATGATACATTGAAGGATATCGATATCGATAATAGGTAGGTAGGTACTAAATGATAAAATCTCCAACCGTCCTGTCGTTACAGATGAATATTTAAAGAGGGGGAAGATCGAGTATCCACCTCAACCCAGGATTCTCTCTAATCACGCGGGGGAGACGGTGGAGGTGACCTGCTATTATCAACTAGGTACCTGGGTAGACACGGTCCGGACTCCGGAGGTCACCCTTTTGATTTGTCATGTACTAGGTACCTAGGTACCATCTGATACTACGGTAGGTACCTATTCGTAGGTACCTAGGACCTACCTAAGACCCTAATAAATATTACGTCAGCACTTAGCAACTAAACTTCCAAAGTCTGTACAAAATTGGTTTCAAACCATGCTCCAAAAACATGTTGAACAAGACCACATCATCTTCTATGCTTATTTATTTAAGAATCTACTAGACGTCGAATCTCCCCGGCAATGGTCGGCACCGACCAGTCGGTATCGCCAGGAATCGGTATTGCCAGGGGAGGGTGACATCGATCCACCACGCCGGGTTCCATCATCCCCATAACCACGTGGTAATGGTCGTTCGATAGGTAGCATTGTAGGCTTTTCAACGCGCTACCGCTCTGTACATACAGCATAATACACCCATGATGACTCGGCATTCGACTGCTCGATCATTGATAGCAGAGATGCCAAGCTATCAACTGGCGGTGTACTGAGCCTAATGCACTCGTTGGGATTCTAGCAGATACCACCCCGTGCCCTAGGTCCTTAACGCACTTGATGTTACCAATTTGATCAAAAATACACCATCCAAGGTCGAAATTCTTGGACGCTATCCCAAGTCGAGAAGAATGTTCATGGAACTGTATGATAAAAGGCATGCAAAAGATCCTCGCAGCTTTCGTAGCCCGCTAACTATGCCATATCCAATTTTACGAATATCAGAGAAGACTAGAGAGGACAGCTATAACATACAGCATTGCCTCGTCTTACTGGTATGAAATGGTCTTTTTTTAATTCGAAGGTCGTATCGATCAAATCCTCATCTCAATTGAATCTGACTTAAAGCCAAGAGATCTAGATTATTAAGGATTCGGACGATTACCATTCCCAAGGCATAAATATATCATTGGCCAGCTCGGACTAAACCCTGGGAGTCCCGCCGAGCTGTAGCTAGCGTCTCCGATCTGGCAAGGATATACTGCATGTAAAGATATCTCTCATAAGTTCGCATCGTCTCAGTCACTGGCACTGGTTCAGGTACTCCCACCGAAAGCTGATTAACACTTCTCATATCGAAGATACGCGAAAAAGCATCTCGCTCTTAGTGGTCCCCTCGGATCGGACCCCCTTCATGAGACATTAGCCACCTTTTCTTTTTCGCATCTTGTCTATCCTTATGGCTCGAAAAGGCAGTCGTAAGGTAAGGACAGGCTGTCTAACCTGCAAGTACGTTTCCCGAACCAGCATTTAATTACCGGCCTACAGGTAACAGGTAGCTTAAATTGACGTTCTTAATAGAGCACGCAAGGTAAAGTGCGACGAGGCGAAGCCACACTGCAACCGGTGCATCAATACCGGCCGCGCGTGCGATGGCTACGTCTCTAAACCAACCCCCGGGTTGCTCTGGCATCGACCGCGCCAGCAATTTCAAAGTATTGATAGCGCAAGCGAAGGGAGAGCCCTGCAATTTTTTTGCGAAAAGACTGCCCAATTCCTGTCAGGTGCCACAGATCCATACTTCTGGACCCATCTGGTTATGCAGTTCAGCAACTTTGAGCCGGCCGTCAGGCACTCAGTAGTTGCCATCAGCTCGTTATATGAACAGTTTCAAGATGAGTCCGCGTCTCATTCTGACGTCCAACTAAGAGACAATAGCCTTGCGCTGCAACATTATAATGCTGCCATCCGCGAGCTAAAAACGACGGATAACCAACCCCTGGTGTTACTGGTCTGCATTCTCTTTATCTGCATCGAGTTCCTGCAGTCCAACAAAGAGGCAGCTATTCAACACTGCAAACATGGCATCGCATTATTGGAGAATACCAATTACTCATGGGCGAGAGAACACCTAGTACCAGTCTTCCGACGCCTAAGCATCTTCCCATACTTCTTTGGGGTTGGGAGTGCAGACTTCCCCGACTTAGTCTCCGTGGATGAACCTCTGCCGCCAATTTTTAACACTTGGGCCGATGCCCAAATATCGATGGACAGCATAATGAGCCGGACACTGAAACTTGTGAGGGGGGGTGACATGTACCGGTTCGGAAGTTTAAGATATAAAGGAATACCCCCCGACCAATTGAGAGAGCAAGAAGAAATCGGATATCTCTTAAACGAATGGCACATATTATTCCAGGGCCTGGACACCAGGTCGGGGCTACCGGCCACACCCGTGGCCGAAAAGAACAAGCTTGGGATGGACTTCATTCAAGCAATGTCGCGTGTCATCCTCTCAGTACGCTACGAGACATGTCGAATCTGGTTAGGCATAGCTTTCGAGGCTAACGAAATATGTTATGACTTTCATCTCGACAGTTTCCGCCGAATACTTGACTCGTGCTTATTACTTGACGCCGCCGTCCCCGCCGCCGCTCGGACCCCGACAGCTAAACGTAGTCCGCGGTTCATATTCGAGACGGGCTTCACGCCGATAATCCACTTCATGGCAACAAAATGTCGCGAATATAGTATGAGACTAGAGGCCTTACGGTTGATAAAAGTACTCGGCGTTCCGAGAGAGAATTTATGGGAGGTTGACCAGATGTTCGCAATAGCTCGGCGAGTTATCGAAATAGAGCATGGTGTCTCGTTGGATGGCTCCGGACAGCCTATCACCGCACCAATATATCCTAACTTTCCACCTGATGAGAAAAGGATACGGTTCACTCCAACAGAACCTAAGGCGGCTGTGTATGTTGATCAAAACGGAAAGGAGACAAGGGGATGGTCCGTCGGCTTCATCATGCCCGGTCAGCAAGGCAACTTTTCTATGCATAGCGAATTCATTACCTGCTAGATGTCCTGGTCGCTGACTCGATTTTGATGGCAGTCACAAGTTTTCAGGATGTTATAAGTCACGATGAACCGAATTGGACTGGGTTTCCTTAGATACCCGAGTTTGTTTCCAGTCCTATTTCGATCGAATGATTATTTATATTGATATATATGATATCTGGTATCTTTTCCACATAATGTTTCTCTCGAAGACTTGTGAAGTATTTACTATGCCCCTGAGAATCTATCATTGTGATCTTTTGGCGGTTTTGAGCATTACGTCGGTACGGTGGGGATAGAGGAACGATGCCAGAACCAGCTCCCAGTTTCGTAGCGCTGTGGGTTCTCCAGCAAGCTGCCAGAACGGGAACTCACCAAGACGGGCCCATACATGTGACGTACTATGTTGAACCATCTTCTTCCTTGCACCTCCACCAGATCGAAACAGGTCGTTCCCATAACTATGGGAGCTACAATATGCTCGTATAGGTAAACTGCAAATATCCACAATTTTAATCACCATATTATTACAGATACCTAAGGTAAGTCCCGGCCGAAGTTCGTTGCCGTTCTTATGTCACTGCCGAGACAAAAATGATCATCCAATCCGCTCTACCGGCATTATTCTCGGTTTGTATTGACGTGTTTCAGTGATGGCAGATAGCTGAGGTTCCTTTGCGACTTCGATTGTCTGATATCATTGTACAAAACAGGTCCCCCGGATTCCGGGTCGCTCGCATACCTGTGGTTCAATGGTGCGAGGTTCTACCATTACACCATCGATTCTGGATACATTACCTACCTGTCTTTCTTTTAGCGAACGATGTCGTACAGCGTCCAGCCCGTAACACTTCTAGTTTTCGGTTTCGAGTGTTTATGACGGCAAATAACCCTGACTTTGGGGTGGACATCGCATTGTCAACCTTGGCGGGAAGGTATAAGTAGGTAATCACGATTCTCCATTCCTAAGATAGGTTGGCATCACCCAACATCGAGTAGAGTGATTCAAAGTCTTGCCATCTCAAAGATATTATTATTCCTTCACTACATTAGATCCTAGCCTTCCATCACCTCACCCCTCTTCCTGATCATGGCTTGCTCATACGACCCGGTTGTTCAAGACCTAAAGGATTTTATTTATCGCTACGACGACAGACGTGATGACTTTTTCAAAGCCATCATAAGTGCCAAGGACATAAACAACGACGGGGCTGAGGAGATGTGCCTAGAAAACATTGACACCTTGGAAGATTATTTTCGGTTCTGTAATGATATGTTGCGATGGGTTCCGAGAGTGGACACACCAGGAGACGCCCTCTTTCGAAAGTTATTGGTCTTCTACTGGATCTTTAACCAACCCGATGTCGGCAAATACCAAACCAGTATTATCCCCGAAAATGCTGGAGTCGATCCCAAGTGGCTCTCGTACTGGCAGGTACTCTATGTTCGGACACTCGGTTGCTTCTTGGATACCCGTGAGTCTGCATGTGGGATTGAGAGTTTCTACAGCAATTGCATCTACAATAAAGATGCAGCCCTGTGGCAGGATCGGCCACAAGGGGGGTGGGCGTCATTCAACCAGTTCTTCGCCCGGAGATGGAAGGATATCGACGTTGCGCGGCCACTGAGTCAGGCTGATCTACTGGACGATGTCATTGTCAGCATTGCTGACTCTAGATTTGGCGAGACCTTTCCTGTCGAGGATGGAAATGTCGTTATTATCAAGGGGATTGAATGGCCAATTGCAAAACTGCTACAGAGCGTAGCGGATGACTTCAAGGATGGATATTTCATGCATGCTTTCCTCAGTCCAGCCGATTATCACAGGCAGCATGCACCAGTCAGTGGGGTTGTCTTGGAGGCCAAGGTTATCCCAGAGCTGGTCTATCTCCAGGTCACCAAGGACCAAAAGGCCGGTTTAGTCGCTGATCGTGGTCTTGTGGTCAAAAAACCACTGATGAGTGAAAGACGTCTGAAAGACCTTATTGCCAGCGGCGGAAAAAAGCTAAGAAGCCTCATCGCTGGCGTCGAGAAAGACGTAAGAGCCGTTGTTGCCCCGGATGAGCCCGGCTACCAGTGGTGCCAGACTCGAGGGTTGATCATGATCCAGACCGAGAAGTATGGTAAGATTGCCGTGTTACCGATTGGCATGGCCCAGGTTTCGTCAGTTGTTCTGACGGTGGAGAAAGGCCAGAAGATCGAGAAAGGAGAAGAGATATCGTATTTCCAATTTGGAGGATCGGACGTCGTTTTGGTCTTTGAAAAGCCCGTTGACTTTTCTGTGAAACAGGGTGATAGATGCAATGTGAGGACCAGAATTGCAACTTTTAGGGGGGTTCCTGCGTCAGAGATCAAGAACTGACCGTTTTCTGCTCGTTGGGGATTGACGCGTATGCGTGGGACTCTAAGGATTCGAAGGAAGCTAGGTGCTTTTCTTAACATCAGTATGTTGACACGCTCATTACGTCTCGTATTATAGTCTAGATAATTAGTTGCTACTAGCATCGTTATTGACCCCGGTCGAAACAGCGTAACTCATTGTTCTCGAGAATTCAAAAATATGAGAGGAATATATCGAGAAGATACCTTATACCATAGTTGACGAATGATCACGAAACTGGGTAAGTATCTTAATTGGTACAGGATAGTCATAATAATGGTTTAAGGTGAAGGGAGAGATTGATGATCGTTACCATGTAGAAACGTTGAAGAGAAAGGAATCAAAGTCTTGCAGGTTTCTCTAGACAATAAGGAAATTACAAGGTATCACCCGATAGCCTACCTAACAATGCATTGTCATGAACTATCATCTTTGTTATGACGATACTAACTTCAAATCAGAGGAACACGTTCTTTTACAAACTCCCTAGGTTAGCTAAGCATCGGAAGAATATATCTATACCTAGGAAAGCTTTGAATAAGTATAGCGCACCTGTTTAAACGGTAAGATCACCACTACCTACCTAACATTCCTAATTTGCAGAATATTATCCATCTAAAATGTTTTTTCCAGATTTGAATACGTTTAGAGGGGGGGATCTAATCGCCGGTAGAAGACCTCTACCAAATGAGGATATTCTATTGTCTGGTGGTAGTTTATTGGAATCACATCGTGTCACTCAATATTATTCTAGCGCTCCGATTTCGTATGGGATTGAATTGCAATTCTTGATTCCTATTCTGAATTATGGTGAGCCGGACCCACATCCCAGGGACCGTCGACAAGTTCTCACACAAAATAATGGTGCGCAAAATAATCTCGATCATATCAACCAGCAAGTCCTTTTGGATGTCATAGAGGCTTTACGTGGTGATGCAAGTGTTCCAACAACGACGCATCCTGGTCCCCCTTACCCTACAGGCACATCATATCAGATACTAGACGATGAGTCCAAGGCTGTGTCTGGGATGGATAAAGCGTATGACCAGTGGATTGTGAGTCTTGACAACAGCTTAGTTCCAGAGGATGGTTCATTCCCGGAATATCATGCTTGGGTCGGTATCAAGGTCAAATCCAGCAAAAAAGATCTTTCCGTGGCAAGCCACTTTGATCAGATCGGCAGGGTCATCGAAGTTCTACGTGCCCGATTTCGAATCCGCGTACCACCTACGACGTCCTTCTTCATACACGTTGGTGATCTAGGTCACGACGAAGAATCGTGGAATCTGGGTCCTGTATTCTTGCGCTCATTCTGCACAATGTGGTGGTTTCTAGAGCCTCATGTGATGCAGCTTTGCCATCCGTCTCGTCGCACTCATCCACACTGCCTACCTTTACGTGAGTACTCACGTCTCACGCGTAATCCGTCTCAATTTTTAGGACAAGATGAGATGCCATCATCGAATTACCGATACATGCATCAGCGGATGCAATACATTACCCCGTTGCTACCGCCCAACTGGATGGCAGTTGTCAAAAGCTTCTGGAAAGCAAAGGATGCCGCCACAATTTGCCAAAGGATGACGGTGCCGAAAACCGAACTGCACGAAACGTGGGTGGATGAAGGTGCAGATGGATTCAAAATGGGGAAACCGGTGGAAATGACAGTAGAAGCGAAAGGTAGTATTGGGTTTTCGGGATTCTGCAGATGGGCCCTAGGTGATCAGAGCTATCAACACAACAATGGACATACCGGAACCATAGAGTTTAGGAGTATGGAAAGTACTTTAGATCCTGTACTTATCCTCAACTGGTTAGCGGTTGTCACGAGGCTCTACGATTTCGCTCGTAGGGGAAATACCGCAGACATCCTAGGTATCCTTGAGAAGGCCACCATGCCCGATAGTAAGTACGACGGCTTTCAATTACTTGAAGATCTTGGACTTCCTACACAAGCTGAATACTTCGGTGCTAAGGCCAATACGCATACTGAGGAGATAGTTGAAAGGTTGGACACTTTGTTCGTTCCCGTTTTACCTAAATAGTGACTTAATTGTAGTAACCGTTCAATGTATTAAAACGAATTGGAATGTTACTTGAAAGATACATATGTCCCTGACTAAGCGTGACCATTTGCCAAGACTTAAATCCCCTGTCATCATCTAACCGTGAATAGTATAGCGCCCTCCTATCTCCCCTGGTGATCTTCTTAAGAACCAAAACAAAACGTCATCCTATCACCTTCTCTCCTTCATTCCCTCAACTCTTCAACTTACTATGCGATAAATCGACCATCATGGCACCCGGACGTCTATGGCCTTGTGCGTTGTCGCTTATGGCGCTGGGCGCTGTAACAGCTTCCGAGGTTCAAATACCCTTAATATCACAGCAGAGTCCGCTTGTCGCTGATAAGACCTTCGCTAAATCATTGGTCGACACCGACAAGCTGCAGGACAGCATCAAAATAGATAATCTGCTGGATCGCGCCAATGATCTTTTTGAGATTGCCAAATTATCTGAACCCGAATTTGGACATCCTACTCGAGTTATCGGGAGTAAAGGTATGTGACGGACGACATTTTATTTTTTTCCCAATACAAATAGCGCGCGTGACTCATCTTCTTACCCACAGGTCATGCTGGAACATTGGATTATGTCTACTCCACCTTGGAAGGTCTTGGTGATTATTATACCCTTTCAAAACAGCCATTTCCTGCTGTTATGGGAAAGGTTTATGAATCCCGTCTAGTCATTGGTCACGACGTGCCCGAGTCTGCCTCGCCAATGTCATTATCTCCCCCGACGGCAAACAAGGAGCCTGTTTACGCAAGACTCGTCCTCGTCGCGAACGAGGGCTGTGATGCATCTGATTATTCATCCGATGTAGCTGGAAACATTGCTTTCGTTCTTCGTGGAACGTGCCCTTTCGGTACTAAATCACAGTTCGCCGGCAAAGCAGGTGCTGTCGCAGCAATTGTGTATAACACCGACTCAGGAGAACTGTCCGGTACTTTGGGGACCCCCGTTCCTGAACATGTTGCTACCTTTGGCTTGTCAGGTAAAGATGCCAGTCCCATAGTCAAGAAGTTGAAGGAGGGTGGGGTTGTTGATTCAATCGCGTACATCGATTCCGAAGTAAAACAGATTCAGACCACCAACATTATCGCACAGACCGTCGAAGGAGACCCAGACAATTGCGTCATGCTAGGCGGTCATAGCGATAGCGTTACTGAAGGACCGGGCATTAACGACGACGGTTCGGGTAGCTTAACGCTCCTCGAAGTCGCCACTCAATTGACTAACTTTAGCGTCAACAACTGTGTACGTTTTGCGTGGTGGGCCGGCGAAGAGGAGGGCCTTCTTGGATCGGATTACTATGTCGATGTTCTACCTTTGGAGGAAAACTTAAAAATCCGTCTTTTCATGGACTACGACATGATGGGAAGCCCGAATTTCGCTTACCAGATCTATAACGCGACGAATGCTGCTAACCCTACGGGTTCGGAGGAGTTAAGGGAGCTTTACGTCGATTGGTACACGCAACAAGGCCTCAAATATACCTTCATTCCCTTTGATGGACGTAGTGACTACGATGCTTTCATTCGCAATGGTATTCCAGGCGGAGGCATTGCGACTGGAGCTGAAGGCATTAAAACGGAAGAAGAGGAAGTCATGTTTGGTGGTAAGGCGGGTGATTGGTATGATCCATGCTATCACCAGTTATGTGATGATGTTGGAAATGTCAATTCGACTGCTTGGCTAGTGAACACTAAGGTTTGTCTACACCTGCTTCTTTATCCTTACCCCAGTAACGGTTTTCTAACGCTTTGAATAGCTCATCGCTCATTCGGTCGCCACTTTCGCCGTTTCGTTTAAGGATTTCCCCGAGCGCTCGAAAACGGCTGCACTGGCCGCCTCGGAGCAGCCGCGCCGTTACCACGGGCACCATCTGGTTCTTTGAATTTAATCTAATCTAATTGAATAGAATAATTTAGCTACCTTGATACAAGCCAATTGTATTCTAATTTACTTGATCACCTTGGATATGAGTGGTTGGCCTGGCAGATTTTCGTTGTTCAATTGTCTGCCCTTATGAACTATCTAATGTAGCGAGGCAGGACATGACCCAAGCGCCTGGACGGGTAGACGTTAGAATGAGTCAAAATAACCTTATTTCATGCGAGAGGATTCATAGTAGGGCATCCAGGTTGAACTTGTTTGCTGAATTTTGTACATTCAATAGGGACGGTCTTGAATACTAGGTAGGTAGGTATGAAATCAAGTGAAGTCGTACAATGTCACAGAACAGCTGATCGCCACGAGGCTTAGGGATGTAAGTGACTAAATAGACAAACATTAAGAGCCGCTCTGACTTATCACACCATTATACCTTCAACGTACAGTATGCTCTACTGCAGGAACGGCACTACTGTCCTTCGGATGATTGAGCATAGGCACTCAGGCTCCGTTGAAAGCTAGCAGCTCGTCAATCATGCCACACTCACACACTTACGGACGACGATCTGCCCGAATCTATAGCAATGAATCATGAAAACTCGTGGATATCTCAAATTTAACGTTAATGAGTTACATGAATAGGGTCTTTAGTCTTGGTCAACCCGCAAGTCTTCTCCTCTTACAATTAATATTTAATATCTGGCTAATTTCCCCTTTTGGCCTTTGATTTTCGTGGTATCCTGATTTTATCATTTTATCGTATTTTTTCAGAACATACTTAACACATTTACTTACGAAATCAAAATGAAACTACTTTCTACCACATCGATTCTTGCCCTTGGAACCCCAATTGTCATGGGGCTTCCAAGGGGTGCGGCTGTCGAGTCGTCTATTTCGATTCCTCCCCGCGTTACAGGTCTGGTGAACGTCAGACAAGCGACTTCAACTGTTGGAAGTGCTCCTCAAGTTACGCCTGCACCCGATCAAGCAGCTGCTGACACCGGCAATTTCATGGTCACCTTGGTCAACTCTCACACGGCTCCCGTCGTAACGATCCATGCGCATGGAGCCGGTGGCCCGGCAGCAGTCGGAAAAGATAGCGAGCCACACACCATGAGTCGAGGCCAAACCGAAACGTTCGCGGTGCCCACTGGTGTAAGTCAAAGATTAATTCCAAAACCTTGTCGTAACCTGGCTTTTTACTAACTCTAAGTGTACAGTGGAGTGGACGAGTAGCCATGTTCGAGGATGGCTACGAAAAGATTCTTGACCGAGCTACGCTATTGGAGGGCTCATTCATGGTCAACCAGGGCAGCGCACGTATCGCCCTAGATGTCAGCTATGTGTAAGTCTCAACACGCAATGTCGATAGTATGCTCCACGTTAACGGGGAATCTAGCGATGCCTTTACCGTACCGATGGTATGCGAGTGTAACAATGTTGTGGCTTTGGGTTGCAACCTGAACTTGAACGACATATGCCCGGTTCGTTATCACAGAGGTGTTGAAGTTGACTAACGCCGAAAACTAACAATTGGCGACAGAAAAACCTCACGTTGAATGCAAAGACTTGCAAGAACCCGAACAGAGAGGTCTTACACGGCGCTCCCGCTTACAATCCCTTTGAAGATTGTAAGGCCATGGCGTACACGTATCCCCAGGATGACTTGGCTACCAAGTATGATATGCCTGGATGCAGCCGCAGTACCACTTGCTGCATTGGCACGGCCTGCAAGCCTCATCCTGGGCAGAAACTATGCCCTGCAGGAGATGGCCAGACGCGGCCATGTGCTACACCATAGGGAGCCTAGATAGTTGAGGCATTGGATAGGGACTGGTTAACTGTTTGGGATTGTATACATAGTCACAAACTTACCACGTAATTAAGGGCACGCTCTGTTGCAGATCGAATCTTCAAACTCTATTCATGTATTAATATAATACTGCGTTATCCAACAGGCGGCACATCCCGCAACTCGCTCGTTGAATCTGCTGGTGTAGATCTGCTATCGGGTCGTCTCGGTTGTCTTATAACAATACAGCAGACCGCGCAACTCCATATCAGAAGGAGAAATCTTAGAGCACTACGTAAGTTAGCAAAGTCATGGTCTTTGACATACATGAAGCTGTCACTTGCCATAACGCATATGTAACTGCAACGGATAGAGCATCCGTATTGTCCCAAGGATATGGTTCCTCCACCGGGTCCTCGTCGCGATTACTTCGTAGAATAACAAAAATCGAAGGGATCGCTAGGCATAACACCAGCAAGTCTCCAAATATTACACATGATGGAGGCACGCGAGGTATTGTACGTGTCGAGTCAAGTATTCCCATCCTACGGGAAAGGTCAGTTAGACCTCGGAAGGAAAATAATAATTTTTAATGGGTCCTGCCGATAATGGAAAGAAATATAGATGATTTGAGGATAGGTACTCACAACTCAGATCCATCCACCACCAGCGCAATCACAGCCTAGGGGTTAGAATTTAGCGTTGATGCAAATAATCCGTCAGCATATAAATCTTGAAGCCTTACCACCGCTACCGAAAATCCCAACGTCTTTCCCCAATTGACGCTTTCGTAAATCAGATTGGCCAGTAATACCACGGAAGCGCCCAAGCCAAGAATTCGGGCGATCGCGCCCGCGATGGCGGCGGCCTTGGGTGCGCGCGATCGAGCCATGCGACGATTTTTTTGAGATTTGCGACGCGGAGGCGATCAGCAAGGTGGAATCGCCTATGGACTAGAGAAAAGTAGGGCGGTTTTATAACGTCGCTATACTGCAAATGGCCCCGGCAAGAAGTTTCTTTCAGGGTCCTGGGACACGTACTGGGATTTAGGGTCGTTGCATATTAGCCATCCATTCGGATGCAATGGCTGTCTTGGCGGCTGGTGGTCAGCGCAAACGGCGTGCTTCAGGCTTAACTACGATGACAGAAACATCTCTGCTCTTATTTAGGTACGATTTTCGTATGTATTTGCTGAATATTCATCGCTAAACAAGCGTGAAGATATATCTCAGACATAATTGATACCTGATGAAGAGTAAGTTATGTGGCCAGATAGACATATTACGCCCGTATGATAACGGCCTTGAGGGGGCATCCAACTTGACAATGACAGCTCACACTTGTGATAAAAAAGAAGGAAAAATATTGTTAGCCAAGACTCTAGGGGCATAATAATACTGTTTATTATTCCTCAATCCTTCAAGCCGTCGCTGTCAGCCTCACATGGTGCACTTGCGTTACAATAAAGACTAATTCACTTTCGAAATTCTTAAGTAACCTGGTTCGGTTACAAAAATATTAATTTGTTCAAAGTATCTTGAATGAAGGCCTCACGTATGAGTTGATAGAACGAAGTAAAATATTCAGGAGAAGCCTCACGCTTTACATATACTCTCTTATGACGAACATCACATGCGATTAAGAGCACAGGCAGACAGGTTGTTACCTAACTGGGTAGCTGGAAGCGGAGAAGGTGCCAAGGAAGTTACCGGTGGGTGGGTATCGATGTACCGCAAGCCACGCAGCCTAGTAAGGCAAGGGGTCCATTTTTAAAAAGCAATTCCGACTTCCACTTTGTAAGAAATCACAATCCACGAATCAAATTAGGTTTCGACAAATGATATCAGAGATCATTTCCAATCGTCAAATCCCAATCTGCAAATCTACATCTACATCTGCCTATTCTGTACATCTACACAAATCCAAACTTGCATGACGCAGCCTTAAGCCTCTATAAGACTTACGATATTCTTTTAAACTGGTTGGAAACCGATACCCGATCTACATAATCTCTGTCCTTTAATTGCAACATAATCAAAAACGTGTTCTTGTAAATCTTCCAAGGTTATTCAATGTGGTAAACATCCTTCAGAGCATGGCCTAACATCTACATCCCGTAATCGGTAACTCATTCATGATGGCTTCCTCTCCCACTCAAATACCTATCATCCAGGTCACGGACGGCGACGCGGCTGCGCCCTCTCCTGTAATTCCCGACAATCGCGACCATGCCGAACCGCCTGTGATATCTCCACCCGTTCCATCATCTGATCCTCCTCCGAACACTCGACGATGTTTCGTCTGCCTCACCGACGAGCCCGAGGCTACCTTACCCTCTGATTGGTCGAAGCCATGTACATGCTCATTAGAAGGACATCACGAGTGTCTGATGGCTTGGGTCACCGATCTCGAAAACCAAGCCAAGGAGATCAAGTGTCCGATATGCAAATCTCCCATCACGATTACCGAGAAATGGGATCTAGCCATACAACTTAACCAGTATCTCAACAAGAAGTTCACCAGATGGTCTCCACGCATTCTATTCGGCTTCATCGCGTCCGGCGCCCTAGTTAGCAGCTCAATATACGGCGCAAAGGCCATCGACCTATTTGCGGGGACCGACGCCACGATCAACTTCCTCCTTAACTCCGAGCTGAAAACCAAAACTCTAGCTGAGGTTATGCGCCAACCTAGTGAGACGGGAGCCACGGACGGCGCACTGCCGATCAACTTGTTGCACTTTGCTGTGCTACCCCTCATCGCCCCAGGCCTTGTACTCAACCGACTACGTCTAGGAGAGGTTATCTTGATCCCCGCGTCCCTACTGGTAAGATGTTACCCCGCAAAGTCTATATACAAAGTCGGGCCGTTACTGATAGTATGTTATTCCTAAAATTATAGTACGCGACACTAATCGATCAGACGAACGAATACGTCGCCTGGCCACCGTCCCCCGAACGCGCCTTGACCCTCTACCCAGCAATCAAAGCGACCTACTTCCACCTACATAACACGATTTCCAAGAACCTTGAGAAGCGATGGGAGGCACAGGCGCGAAAACTTACACCTCACAACGGAGCCGACCAACCTCCCGCTGTTCAAGAACCACCCGAACCACAAGAAGGCGGAAACCTTCTCGACTTCGAAATCGATATCCAGATAGGAATTGAAGACGAAGAGGAGGCTAACAACGAACAAGCCAATCGTCGAAACAGAGCTTTGGATGGTGGTAGATCGCCGGTTAACTTCTTGGCCGGAGCTCTGGTCTGGCCTGGCGTGTGTTATGGGGTAGGCGAGTTCTTGCGCCTGGTCCTACCTTCGCGCTTCACCTCGCGCCCGCTATTGGGTCCGAATACGGGTATACTCCAGGAACGATGGGGACGAAGTTTAGTTGGCGGTTGTCTGTTTGTCGTGCTGAAGGACGCTTTCTTCCTATGGGTCAAATACAGACGTATGATGAACCGCGCATCCCGACGTATCAAGAACGCAGAGAACCGCAACTTACGTCGTTAGGAGTGACTTATCTACCCACCTAGGCATGTAATTGGCAAATGGCAAAGGGGACGAATAAAACATGGAGGAGGGTGAAGAAGATGGAAAATAAAAGCAAGGGCAGGCGTTCGGGAAGCTCTCTACTTGATTGATTGATGGATGGAATTCTAACTAGGGAACGGCATCTGAATAGCACTCAAGGCGATGATCGGAGATTACTAAGCATAGGCGTGGATATATCCTGCTCCCCATGGGATTTCTTCTTTGTTTTATTGTGGCTTTGGTTTGTGAGATACCAGGTAATTCTTTTTAATGCTCCGCGCGCGCTGGGATGAGGCGTTGCTCGATGGGGGTTATTGCTCCTGTGCGCTTGGCTTTGTGTTTGGTGATTTTGCTGTGGGTGATTTTGATGATGGTGTTTAGGTGCTCAGAGGTAGTGTGATAGAGGTAGAGGTATGTATACCTAGATGGGATGAGATTAAAGTGTGCTAGTAATTAGAAGTTTTAGAAGAAGGTTGTATAAGTTACTCTATTCATAGGTATCTTGGGGATGCTAATATGTGCCCATCTAGTGAGAACTAATTAAGTGAGGGTTTTACGATGCAGCCAATTGGTCCTTTCGTTAAGAGTGGTTTAGAAAATACAAGGCAGGCATCGCGAATTACAACGTGTTATTATGCTGACCAAGCACTAATCCGGGAAACGTATACGGAATGGTTCGGATACTTAAGGTCGTTCATGGTAGACTCGCTACGCAGGTGGTTATATTCAGGCTACGAAAATTCATTATACGTATTGCAACTCACTATTCACGTCCCTTTCCCATTTCACGGATTACCCCACGTCCAGCCCAGGGTTAGGGTTATCACTTTTCTCCCATCATTACCACCGCCACCACTCCCTCATTCATACCAGTACTCATAACTTCCCAACCTCAAAATGCCCCGCCCCCGCACCCCCAGACCATCACAAACCTCCTTCACCCGCCCCGCCCCAGCAGCCGTCACATACGACCTATCCATCCCGGACCAAGCCACCATCACCGTCCCCCGCGGGTCCACCTGGTCTTCCGGCCCGCATTGGCATGAGGCGCATACGGAGTTCCTCGAAGTGCTAGCTGGCAGGGCGAGGGTTAGGTTGGGGGGAAAGACAGTCAGGGTCGGTAGGGGAGAGGGGGTTGTGGTTATTCCGAGGGGGGTTGTGCATGAGTGGTTGAGGGATGATGTGGTTGGTGAGCATGAGGGTGAAGATATAGGAGAAGGGGGGGAGGAAGATGGGGATTTGATCGTGAGGGAGTGGACGGAGCCGAAGGATGGGATGAAGGAGGTTTTCTTTCGGAATTTGAATGGGCTTATTCTTGATGCTGCTGGAGACAAGAGTGGGGGTTGGAGGAGCGGAGTGGTTCTTGAGGTTGAGTTGTGGAATTTGTTTTGGCGCGCGGATAATTATCCTGTTATTTGGAACGGTGGGTGGGTTGGGAGAGTGGCTACGAAGGTGGTGATGGGAGTGGCGGTTGCGCTGGGGTGGGTGTTTGGGTGGAAAGGGGTTTATGAGGAGTATGGGTTGAGAAGGTAGAGTTATCTCGAAGTTTCTTGATTTCGGGAGAAGTTGGATGTACTGTATTAATCATCGATAACTATAACTTCAGGGGCATTGTTGATTGCTAGAGCCGATTCTACATTTTCTGCTAACGAATCGACGGCCAATCCATCATGCTTCGTAGTCTTCCATTCCCCGGTCTGTGGGTTGTACTCCAGAAGATACAGCTGGGAATGAGTTCCATCGACATATTCGTAAGGAATTTCTAGATTGGGTTCGCCGTAGTTTCCCATGAATTCCAATTCGAGATTCAATTTAGTCCCCGGATCTAGATCACCGCGGAAATTGATCACGAAAGGCTCAGACCGAACCACGCGTCTGTTATACTGAAGTTTCACTGACTGGAGGAATGAAGCCGGCGTTCCATCAACGTCTTCACCATAAATCCGGAGTTGCTCTCGACCACCCTCCGTAGATTCCATTCGGACTATCAGTCGTCTCCGGAGGATGAACGATTGAATAGGAATGTCGAGTTTCTCCATAACTCGAACCATCAATTCATCTGCCCTAGAATAGACACGCAAGTCCGCAAGCCCGTCTAAGGGTGTCTCTTGCAAGTTGCAAATGACGAGTTTGGTCCCCTTCCGGCGTGCCACAGTTTCCGGCATTTCATTTGCGGGGCTCACTGTGAGAGACGATCCTAAGACCAGGCAGACATCTGCCTTCTCGGCATGATCGCGAGCTAGCTGAAGAGGCTCAGCAAAAAGGGATTCGCCGAAGTTTATGATGCTGTCGAGCAGGATGCCATTACAGCGGGCGCATTTCCGTCCTGTGCGATGATCATGCACTGTCTTGTCATACGAAGCCACAGCCCGAAAATCTAGTAATCATCAGGACGTTAATTCGATGACATGCTAAGGATTACCAGTACGTACCGCGGAGATATTCCGTCCCACAGTCTTTGCAGTACTCGCGATTATTATTGCCATGAAGCTCAGATATCCGATCCTGGCGTAACAAGAAATTGAGTCACGTATCACCAGCCATACACACTTGACTCACCGGTAAGATTCCACTCTTCCTATGCAGACCGTCGCAATTCTGGCTAATCAGATACTTCAGAATCCCTCGGTTCTGAAGCTCAACCAATGCCATATGGGTAGGCGTTGGTATAGCTTGTAAAGTGTTGACCGCGCCCGTGACATTTTTCCCCTGGGCCCTCAGCGTCCAGACGCCCTTAGGACCGCGGAAATCAGGAATTCCTAGACACAAAAAATCAGACTAGCCCACACGTAGCGATTGACGCATTCTAGATTTTCGTGGCGATGCTGACCTGCAGAAGTGGAAATACCAGCCCCCGTGAACACGATCAGATGCTTGCTTCTTTGTATAATCTTCACTAGGGCATCCGCTTTCTTGTCGACGGTCTCGGGAGGCTCTTGGCGCTCCTCTGCGGGGACTTTTGGGGCGGTGTTTGCCATTGCGACGGTGAGATCTGACTAAGTGGAAATTTGAGCCGCACGTGAAGTTATGTTACGTTTTAGAAATATTTTATAGCGGTATATCGCCTCACGACCGCCTAACATCGTATTGAAGGAGTAACACGTGACATCACCCCTCGTCGTCAAAAAGGGGGGTTGGCGGTTATAGGCAGCAGCGCCCTTCTGTAATCCTCTAACTGGATTTCGAAGGCGATATTTTATTAAGTATCAATCTTTTCCCCGAAATGGCCAAGCTAAATAATAATCAATTTAATATTCACTTTTCCCCATGGTTAAATTGTAAATTGTATCAAGCAATATTCCAAGTGATAAATCTTACCCTCGACTTTATCTCAAGGGGGTTGGAAGAATCATGTGAATTTTGGAAAGTCATTAGGTATCACCTAATACGGTTTCAATATCTTTCTGTCTAGTTGTTAAAAGTGTGGCCTGCATGAGCCCGCGGGAGTCCGTGAAAGATCGTGGGGAAACCTGTCAGTCGCTAACTCTGGACTAGAGTAGAGGAAGGGCTTTCTAGTGTGTATACCGTATTCCCTAAATAGGGGTCGTTTGCAGCTCTTCGGTTTGACCTCTGATATGTACGAATCTATTCGTCTCATAGGTATCGAAGGGATCACCGCGAAGAAACAAATGGAGCCGGCATGAATCGAATTCAAGCTTGATACCAAAGTCCCACCAATATTCATAGGTGAACTGATAACCTGGGTCCCAAGGCTTCAGATGTCCATACATGGTTTCCTGCCTCGTAGATGAACCTGATTCACCGCATTTGTGGTAAGGGTCCTTTGGTATTTGGGTTGATATCTAAAGATTCAATTGTTCTCGGTAGTATTTTAAACAGGAAACTAGTGATAAGTTCGGTTAGCAGCCCCGAAATACTGTGCTAGTATTTCGCTGAACATAATCATGTCGGCGGTGTGTATCAATTCGAGCTTTTCGAGCCTCTTGCTGGGAGCAGTCCGAATAGGTACATATTCCTCGGCATGAATGATTGGGCTAACTAAATCCCTTACATTCTCGGTTCAGTCGCCGATGACGTCTCTCAACAATCGGGCAAAATGGTAGCCCATCTGACCAAGTCCCTTGCTGCTCGATCGCTGCAGGGATTAGCTAAATGAGAGATCGCGTAGGACTTTACGGCGAGTTTAGAGTATAGCGTCTTGCTAAAGCGATGGACTGCATGATGGAATAAGCTCGATGCAACTGAAGTTGACAAAGTGCAAAACACGTAAGAATTGAAATACCCAATTATATTCTCGAAATTAATGGTGTCTGTCGATGGGGTTACCTTGATAGTGTGATGTTAAGTGCTAACATGTGAAGCGAGCCTATCTCGCTAGATATACCCGGATATATGTATTAAGCTGAAGCTTGCTGAGATAAGACACGATGCTAATCAAGAAGTTAGAGCTGCAGTGAGTTACATAATACAAAGTCTCGTGCCGCAATCTGCATGTTGGAGCTCTGTGGGTGGGTTGCTCTGGTGGTCAGCAACGCATGGCCAAACCGTTGCGATGCTGCGAGGAGCCGCAACTTCAGCCGCTTCAATACCTAGTAGGTAGCGAGATTCGGTGGCTTTCGCAGACTCGTGCGTGCCTGTACCTACTAGGTAGTATGTATTTTATACGCGTCTTTTCCTCTCGTGACTGAAGTGATGCCGGCGGCGACAATTGGTATTCAGCGTTGGCGTTTGAAACTAAAGTAGTAGCCGACCGCTATAACAAGTAACCAACCCGGTTGGTCCACCAATATCGCCCGGAAAGGATCGTGCCGTGCTAGGTAGTATGATATATCACATCGTACATCTAGAGGGTTGCCCTCATCCGCACAGCCGCACTTTACCACATATAGCAGACCATACATATGCATATGAAACCACATCGCACCTGGGAGATCGTGATTGGTCTTGCCGAGATGAGGACGGATAGATGAACGGATAGAAGATCGATTGATCGCGTATCGAGTTGAATAAAAAGAAAAAAGGAAAAGACCAAGGTAAGGCCATGGCTCCTTGGGAAATAAGCGACAACCCTGTAAAGTTAAATTATGAATTGTGAATAAATCTAAGTTCGAGGGTACTAGGTATAACTACACATATATCCATGGATGTAGATTGTAGACTGTACGCAGTCTAATCTGGCATACGGTACACTACATACATAAATCGATTATCGCGTCGCTCCTTCTAAACTACTCCACCTAAACGAAAACTTCAAGGTTGTAAGATGTTTGCGATGTATTATGTACAGAATCTTTAAAGTTTGTTCGAATTCGACGTGTAACAAATGAGGAAAATGCTCATCGGAAAAATAATAAGGTTCGTTTTAGCTCGAACGATTAGGATCAAACGCTGCCTAGGCTGGTTTGGTTTGGTTCGATGGCCGATGGCACTCTCATCATCAAACTTTAAGCTAACAGCTTCCCCCCACACAATTTTACCGGACCCCTGGACTCCTCCATCATTGGCATCCGTCCAGCCGGGACGTAAATCATTGCATACACCCAAAAACTTTAGGTACCCGTCTCAGTTTTGCTTTTTTTATTTTCCTTCTTTTGTTCTCTAAACGGCAAAGGACTTCCCACCATCTTTCTACTCCATACAGAATGGGGTAACTGGATCATAATTGATACAGGTATCCGACGCCATGGATACGCCAGTGGGTTCTTCCGTTGCTTTACCGCCGACACGTGTTCTGGATTTTGGATGCTGGCACACTTGTAAGACTTTTTTTTTGCCAATCAATCGGGCATTTTATCAACCAAGAAACATCCCCAATGGAGTTGGGAATGAATCCTCAACGGTCCGGTTGTGTTACCTCGCTCGAACTGCATTCCTGAACTAGTAGACTGTAGCACCAAATACCGTCTAGTTTCCGATGAATGCACACCGACAAAATCATTCGAGCAATTGGGGGCTGCCTCGGTCAGTGTTATGTATTCCCGGCCACATGCATTCTACTATGTATTGCCAAGGTTGGCGTTGTACTCTACCATTCTAGGTACCTAATCAAAATTCCGCTAAATCACTTAATTGCTGAACTGTCAGCATACCTCTCTCGTCTCGATAGGGATACGAAATGATATTTTTTTTTTCAACACGGCCCGTGGTTGCTTCGCCTACAACCCCTGCTCTTCCCTGCTTTGCCACTTATTGGCTACGTTTTCTCTAGACAAATCTTCCTAGGTACAGCGTACAGGCACTTCCGATCAAGTCGACGTGTCACCATCCTGCAGCCGGCCAGGTGATCGATTCGAATTGGTGCCACTGATCGTTCAACAACAACAGCTGGAAAGAATCGCGGAGAATATAGTCCCACAGAACACAACGATAACATCTCAATGGACGTCAATTGGTTTTTTTTGGGTTTTGGGATTAAGTCACGCGCCCCCAGCTCAGTGCCCAGTGTCTCCAGTGTCAATCCCAACTGGAACGGGCTGTCAACCTTGGAAGCCCGGTAAACTAGCCGTCGCGTCAAAATGGCTCGCACTAGCGCGAACCACATCGTTGAGGAGGCTGGATCGTTACTTAGGTCGAATAAAATGAGACCAAAAGATCCAGAAGTCAGCCCCAATCCAATATAGTACTTTTGGCTCGCGAATAGGGCACCTCACCGGGGGTTGGGATTAGCGTGGTTCTCACTGCTGCTTAGCCGCGTATGATCCCTGTTGGATACCTTGGATGGCACTTCAACAAACCTTGGAAGTCCTTTTTTCATGGACAAGTTTTTCTCATTCTCTCATGATCTTTTTTCCTTCTTGACGTAGGTACCTAGGTTGGTATATATGTTTTCTTTTATGGAGCCTACTTTCAGGTTGTATGTGACATACTGGCATATTATGTACCTACCTACCTACTTCCACACCGCCTACGGTTGTGGAAATGGAGGGATGTGATAATGTGGTGGCTTGCTGAGATTTCGAGATCCTGGGTTGGCATGGACTCCTGTCCCATGCGGCTCCATACATGTTAAAATGTACACTACCCATGTTCCCATGCTCTTATCTAGTGCCGCGTTGACCGGTATGCTAACCGGGTGGCCCGAGAGGTGCTTAGTGTTGCTTCTAGACTCTTTTGTACCGCGTCTTGGGAACCCGTGATATGAAATGCACGGCCTGCTTTGAAATTAGCGACTGTAGATCTCGGGCACTGGGCGAAATGTCTCAGCAGCTACGCATGTCATCACCCGTCTAATCACGGCTCCCTACACACAAACTCTCTGTTCCACCCTGAGTCAGGTATTTGTCTTACCTTCTAATCGCTTGTGTTTGTTCATTATTACGCCGATGCTTAAGTTGACGACCGCTGGAATACAAGGCAAACCGAGTTAAAAAGTGTAGTGTAGGGCACTCACCTGTCTTACCTGTCAGCCTACCTCTAAAGCCGGTTCTCCAACTACTCCGTTCGAGCTAATCTTGGTTCCGTTATTTCCTGACTAGGTCTGACGTCCTCACCCACCATCTTCATCCGGTACTGCAGCTCGCGCGTGCGTCAACCATAGGGCTGACCCAGAAGAACCGTACCGTTCACGTGGCTGGGCAGGCTTTGTAGAGGACAGGACAGCGAAAGCGTCTCCGGCATTGGCTTGAGACCTTGATCGGAGCTAACGTACCGACTTACTTTACTCGGTCCGGACTCCTCTAACTAAGTAGTGGCCAGCAGTCAGAGGTTGCCTCTCGATCTCGAGCTCGAGCCTCATCGACCTACATATATAAGAGAGGGGCAGAGCCAGTACCATCCAACGCACTTTGGGGCTATTCGAGGGATTGTTCGAGGGATTATGACCTGGTTGGGTAAGTTCTGCATACTTACTATTTGTATTAACTCTTTACGCATGGAAGAGTGTGATAGGAAGAGATATGCCACCTATGCCACCTATGCTACCTACACACGTCGAGGGGCCAATACATACAGAAGACTCGAGTAATATCGCTGGTGTTATTTACTCACCCCTAATTTCACACACACATCTATCATCTTGCCTAACTGACGCGAGTTGCCAAGCTTCACAAACCTCGCACTCATACTCATATTCATACCTACTCATATTCATACTCACTCACTCACACCTACATCCCACAACCACTGACTCGATGTCAATTATCTCTACCTCTCTACCTCTCTACCTGCATCTCCTTCTTGGCGTGTGTGTATATAGTACCATCCATCCACATCATGTTGTAATGGGTTGGGTTAGGGAGAGAATTGGTTCTTGGAGATTAGTTACCCAGTAGCTAAGGCAACTGCCATGTTGTTGTTGTTGCCTCCCGTATTCCCCGTCATTGCCCTCTATCAAATGTGGTAGGGAGTAACGAGGAAGGAGCCTGGAGCTAGTTACATCTTAAAGGAAGAACGAGTTGAAGAAGAGCCAACTTAGAAACGGCTACGCCTTCTTTCAACCCGATGTTGGTTCTTGTGACTAATCATCTGACACCCTAAGATAGTAACTTGCCTCCCTTGCTCATTGCCCATTCCTACCTAATCCTCTTCCACACACACATTCTCTTAAGACCTCGGAATAATCGCTGTTGCTTAGATGATGGCTGACATAGATGCCTCTTAAATCTTCAGCCAAATTGCTGACCTCCAATCAATCTTTCGTCACCCACTTACATCGTTTCAACACACTACAGGAAAAGAAAACTGACGATCGAAAATCTAGGCCCAATCTATTCATTCCTCACCACCACCGTCACTGTCACCTCACCTTAGCTCAAACCTATCGATCCCGTCACGGCCCTTTTAGCCACATTAGGATTCCGCCTTTTAATTTCGACGTACTCTCCTAGGCAGGGGTCTAAAGAATGGCTGACGGTGAGCTGCAGAGGGTGCAGTCTACACTGCATTATGTCTACCCACTTGTAGTGTTTCTATACTTTGCCATAACTTCCGCTGTCGCAATCTGTACGCTACAAACATCCGATTCGACGAAATCAACCCATGTACGACGTAGGGTCATATACTACCTTCTCCTTTGCTTCGTTGCCACCTTTGCGGCGCAGGTAATCCTTAAAGCAGTCGAGATCGTCGTATGGGGACGATGGCCATCCCAGGACACCATCATCGGTTTACTCTCCTGTATCTTGACGTTCGGCATTGAACAGAACAGCCTTGGCAACAATTCCGGCGTCGTCTGGTACCCGTTCTATGGATCTTGGATCATTGCATGTGTCCTGGAGCCTATAAATGCTGTATTGTTATTTATCATCGCCCAAAATCCGATAACTACAACACCGATCACTTTCGATACCTCGGCACTGTTCCTTCATCTCGATGCCTCCCTCGTCATTGCCCGTTGTGTGCTTATTTCTAGTGCCCTTTTAGCATACTTCCTTTGGCGGGAGAGTGAGACTAGCGTCGACGAAGATGAAGAACGGGCGCCACTGATTCCAAAGCCTGATCAGCGATCAAACGGCACAGACAATTCGGCCGACAGTGGTTACGGCACTAATTCGGATGCTACGAATACAGAAGCAACCAACACGGAGACCGCCAACTCTCCTAGCGACCTCGAATCACCATGGGAACGCCAGCAGCGCATTTCTCAAGAGAAGATAGAGAAGCGGCTGAAGAATGAGGGTAACTGGATCTCATATGCGAAGGGATTCTTGATATTCTTTCCGTACATCTGGCCTGTCAACAATCGTCGCCTACAACTGTATGCTGCTCTTGTTGGACTCTGCTTGTTGGCTGGGAACGTACTCAACTTCTTGATTCCTCGGCAGTATGGCGCCGTGATGGACTCGCTGAGTGGCGTTTCTGGGGGCAACCCATGGATCCAGGTCGCAATCTTTGCCGGTCTACGACTTTTGGCTTCTGAAGCTGGAATTAATCTTTTGAGGCAGATGTTGTGGTTACCTATCGAGTATTACTCTGAGGAGGCACTCACAGCTGCGGCCTACTCTCATATTATGAACCTCTCCTCTGAGTTCCATGACTCGAAGAGCTCTTCGGATCTCATTGTTGCGATTTCGAACGGGACTTCCATTTCGAATATGCTGGACTCGATATGTTTTCAGGCGTTACCAATGCTAATTGACTTAGTCATCGCGTTTACGTATCTGTCTACCAAATTCGGTCCGTATGAAGGCTTCATTACGATAGCGACGAGTGCAGCTTTCATTCAGAGTGCGACTCATATAATCGGAAGTTTCCAAGAGAAAAGAAAGATCATGGTTAGAACGTAAGTAGCTGTGTCGTTGTAAACCTGGGATTTTACTAACATGCCACTATTCTTGTGAACTCATACTAATGTCATATTTTTAGGTATTTCGAGGAACATTATATCCGTCAGGCAGGTATCCAGGGTTGGCAGACCGTCAGTGCCTTTAATCAAGTACCATACGAAGAAAGGCGATATGGCATAGCAGTCAATTCTCACGTCTCAGCAGCGAAGGCGTTGTACTCGAGCTATTTTGTTGGGCACGCTTTCCAATATCTAATCCTCCTCGCGGGCTTACTCGCTGGTGCCTTTCTGGCCGTATACCAAATCACACATGGTCAGGCAACTGCTGGAGATTTTGTCATGCTGTTGACATATTGGAGCCAGCTCACAGCACCTCTCCGCTTCTTCTCTCAACTCGGAAAGAACATCAGTCAAGATCTGGTGCATGCTGAACAGCTTCTTGACGTGATGACTACGAAGCCGACTGTGGTGGAGAAACCTGATGCTCGGCCCTTGAAACTGAAAGGTGGAAAAGTCGAATTCCGGAACGTCAGTTTTAGTTACGACAAGAAGAAGGACATCTTGAAGTGCGTAAACGTGTCTGTTCCCTCTGGTACGACTGTCGCGTTCGTGGGTGCGACTGGTGCTGGAAAGTCGACGATTCTTAAGCTCCTTGATCGATTCTACGATGTGACCGGTGGTTCAATCCAGATTGATAGTCAGGATATTCGAGATGTTACAATCTCTAGGTATGTTCGATTTTGAAACCTGCTATTTCCCCGAGCTTTATTTATAGACATTATTGGGAGATTACCTATGTCGAAAAGTTTATTGCAATTATTCCTTTACTAATATGATCCTTCTTTTAGTTTGCGACAATCTATTGGCATTGTCCCACAATCGCCCGTTCTTTTTGATGATACTGTGATGAACAACATCCGATATGCTCGACTAACAGCGACTGACGAGGAAGTCTATAGCGCATGCAAAGCAGCGGCTATCCATGATCATATCATGGGCTTTACTGAAGGTTACACAACTCGGGTTGGCGAGCGCGGCGTGTGAGTATTGGTTCAGTTCTGAAGTATTTGCTGCTTTCACTGACACTGTATAGTAAACTATCTGGCGGTGAACTTCAACGTATCGCGATTGCGCGAGCTATTCTGAAGGAACCAGAGATTGTGCTCCTTGATGAGGCTACTAGTTCTGTTGATACTGACACGGAACAGAAAATCCAGGAAGGTCTTCGTGCCCTTTGCCAAGGTCGTACAACGTTCATCGTGGCGTAAGTACCGTTGATCATCTAAGTTAATAAGCTGATTATACTAAATTACATCTAGACATCGTCTCTCAACGGTTATGAATGCTGATACTATTTTCGTCGTTGCGAATGGAGAGATTGCAGAACAAGGCAATCACGAGGTTTTAATTGCTCAGAAGGGAAAATATGCCGAGCTTTGGTCTAAACAGATTTTTGTGAAGTCCAAGGAGTCTAAGGACGAGAAGGAAAACGAAGGAGATGTTGATACGATGCTTGCAACAACCACCCAGACCGACGGATCCGCCGATGAGCACACCAATGGTGCCAAAATTGCGAATGGTACTCAAGCTAAGCGATCGACACCGAAAGTGACGACGTCTGTTTCAACTGGCAAGACTAACGGGCAGGCTGTGAAAACTCCGAATGGGCATACAAAAGAGGTAGATCCGTCGGAAAATCATGCTTGATTTTTTGACTGATACTAACCTCTGGTAGGGTTCAAAGTTGAATCCTGGAGCTCCGGAGTTCACGCCTCGTTCCGTAGCCGTGCCGAGGCCGATAATTACGCCTACACGAAATAGCTGGGCTGAAGATGTAGAGCAAGGCTGTTGTCGTGATATCCCCTCTAGTTTAGATGTGGAGCGCGCTTCTATATCTACCGCGATAAGAGCCTTCGAAACCAGTCCATCGAGTAAGCATGGCGACGCTGTTTCACCGATACTACCACCTGGGTCGATTACCCCACAGAATGTTTTTGAGGCGCCGGATTCTAAGCCTCGCCGCAATACTCTTCAGTCTATTTCTTGTCCCGAAGGGCCATCACTGTCTTTCCCCGACAGCCCGGCTCGTTCTGTTAGTCAACCCGTGCCTACCCCCCCTGCGGCAAATTCGTCCCAGGGAGAGAATACCAAGCCATCGTATGATGGAGAGGATTCTTCCCCCTCGCCCGATGTCAAACCTTCACAAGAACCTGCCAATAAGAGAGGTGGTTTCCGCGGTAAATATCGAGGTCGTTACCGTGGAGGAAGAGGTCGACGACGCAATCCTTCTAGCACCAAGTCAAGCCATAAGGATGGCATAGGGGCTTCTCAGAAGCGTCGTGGTTCCGTTTCTCGCGCAAGATAATGTCGCATTTTTCAACGGCGCTTCGGACGATCCATTATTTCTATATTATCTTTATTTCTCATCGTCTGGTGGACGCATTCCATTTCCTCGAGCATATTCTAAGTTTCGATGCTGTTATGACTTCATACGGAAAACGCTTTTCACGTTGGAGTTATTACAGAAATCGTCTGGGGTGGATATTCCATCTGACGCGTTATTCGAATATGATTTTAAATAATGGTGCTTATCAGCTGGCTGCGGGATTAGGAGTGACGGAGAGCGGAAAACAAGGAGGTAAAAAGTGTGCTGGTTTTATTTTTCTTATTTTCTATCCTGTTCTTTGTTTGGCCGATTGGCATTTGGGACGAAAAGGTTATGTGCTCAAGGACACGATGAGGCATACTGTTTAGAGAAAACGAAGGACACTACGGCGGATATGGAGTCGAGGTGTATGGTGGAAAAATTAGACGAGCATTGATTTCTCCCCCCTTTTTACCTTCAGTCATAATCTAGCCTCAAGACCACCAATTAATCAGTTCGTCTCGCCCATCATTTCATCATCACAGGTACACATCGCCCGCATGTACATTTATCAGAAGGAAAAAAAAGAACAGTATTGTTCACAAGTAGGAAAATCATTAGTTTTCTCATTATAACCACCCGGGGTCCTCATACGTCGTGAAGTCCGTCTGTGATCCTTGGTCAATGTGAAGCCGAACGATCTATCCGTAGTCTGGACAAAGAACGCAGAGAGATCGTAGAAATGATTTCTTCAGGTCTATGCTCGCCAATATTCGTCCAGCCAACCTTGATGTTTTTTTTAAATTTAAACTCTCAGTGTGATCTACCCATGTCTTCGTCCTAGCCACCTGTTCTTAACCCAAGGAGTCCGTAACAGTAGACAGAATACCAACACCGAATGATCATCGACCAGCACCGCGCCCAGCTCCGGGGTTAGCGCCACCTTCGTCACCACCACCACCCATCATATTCCGGGCCATGTCGGCAATGTTAGGGTCACTCATCAGGGTGCTCAGGTCGGGCATGCCGCCGCCGCTGGAGAAACGATCGGCCATCTCGCGCAGACGCGGGTTGCTCATCAGGTTCTGCATCATCTCCGGGTTCGACATCAGATTCTGCGCCATGCTCGCGAACATGGGGTTGCTCATGATGCTGCCTAGGTCAGGCATCCCGCCCCCGCCACCACCACCACCACCTTCTCGGCTCGCACCGCCCGCGCCTCCGAATAGGCTCGCGAGGCTAGCTAGGTCGGGACCTCCACCCCCACCCCCACCACGGGGCATCGAGCTCGAGAGATCAGGCACAGCGTCCACCTCAAGCTCCTCAACACGCCGCCGCGCAGTCTCAAAGCCCTTTTTCATCGCATCAGACCCGCCATTACCCTCGTACTCGATCCCCTGCTTATACGCCTCCATACTCCCCTTCGCATCCCCAAGCGCGAACCGCGCTAATCCCAATCGCGACCACGCTTTCGTGTACTTCGGGTCCAGCTTCACGGCGGCTTCGGCGTCCGATCGCGCTGATGCGTGGTCTTTCGCTGCGCTGTATGCTGCGGCTCGGTTGGACAGGTAGATCGCGTTGCTGGGGTACAGGGCTAGGGCGGAGGTGTACATGTCGATAGCAGTCGGGTAATCCTTCGACGCCATAGCGCGGTTTCCGCGCGCTTTCAGGTCCTCTGCTTCGGCTTTTTCGGCGTCGGTGGGGGGTTTCGGGGCGGATTCGGGGGTGGAACTGGGTTTGCTACTGCTGCTGGGGGCATTGGAGGATTTGAGTTTTTCATAGACGCCGTAGATTTGGAGAAGGTTTTGCGAGCCGATGGCGCTGGATACGGCGGATGGGGAGCTGGCGTCCACTTTGAAGGATTCGCTGATGCAGTTGATGGCTACGTCGATGCTGTCTTTGTCTTCGCTGGAGAGGGTACCGTCGGTTAGGGAGGTGCTGAGGAAGTCGCAGATTGCGAGCGCGAGGCGCTGTTTTGTTGTTGTAGCCTAGTTCAGGGGGTTTGGTTAGTTGTGTAGGTAGTTATGTGGTGTTTATTACGGGCTGGTTGGTTGGTTTGGGTTTGGGAGAGAGTTGAGGCTCGTTGAGGCTGATGGATGAGGGGGAGGGGAAGATGAAGGAGGGGAATAAGAGTTCGTACGTACCATGATTGCTAGATTCAATACCCTGATAGGATATTTTACGGAGAGTTGATCAGTCGATCCCTTCGCCTGATGCCGTTCTTATAATTAAGAAGCAGCCGTAGACAGAAGTACGGACTGGTAGGAGGGAGGTGAGAGGTGAGTCGGGTGTGTGAGTAGGCTGAGTAGGTGGTAGGCAGGGCAAAGTTAAGTGGGTTGCAAGGTTACGAGGGGGATACGTATGGAATGTAGATCGAAAACTTGCAGCGACCGTTCTCGAAATTTCGGCCTGATACGTGCGACGTGGGACACGGGCGCCTAACAAGGAAAGTGGGGGTTGGAGTCTTTTCGTTCCTGGCCTTACCTAGAGCGGTGAGGGGTAGCTGGAATTCTGCCAAGGTATTTTATCGATAGGGGTGAGGATTGGGTAAAGGGTTAGTAAGATTCAGGGGCTAGATGGCTTGGAAATAGGGGTACCTAGAAATAATGCTTAGTAATCATTATCAACAGATGGTGATGTCTACTCATATAAGCACCTGCCATACCCAGGATGGGAACTTTGAAGTCTAGTTAGAGTTTGGACTTGTTTGGATAGGTATGAGCGTTTTTAGGTTCTAGTAGGTAAGATAGGGACTGTCAGTATGCTTATGTAAGTATTTAGAATAGTATTTAACTTGCCCCTATATGACAAGTTCTCACGCATAATCCTATAAGAAAGCTAGATTAGAATAATTCGCTATATTCAAATTACGGGAGTATACGCCTTATATAGTAAGTTACCTTAGGTAGTACTACCAAACATCCCAGTTTTCAAAGAATCTTCAAGTCGGATTGCCCAAAATAAAATTCACAATACTTTCGTAGAAATTACATATATGACAGCACGCTAGACAATCATGTACCAAGGCAATTGCGTAGGCAATATAGAAAAGGGACTTAACCATGCCATTTCAGTTCCTCCTCGCTGAGGTCTTTCTCGTCGGGCAAGACACAATTACCCCCATAGAGCCAAGATATAACTCCCTAGTTTAGATACCTAGGATTCTTCAGATGATCGGATAGTAGCCTCGCACTCAAATGCAACATCGGCAAGTTGCCATTCATAGGCTTGGCCGTTGTCATCTCGGAAGTTCGACCACTTGATTCCGGTAACAGCCCTCAGGTTGGCGCCCTCGTCCGCGAAGAAGTCGAAGGGGATCTGACGATCGTGAATTTCACCGTTGAAGTTCTTGTCATGGACCCAGTGGCTCTTAAAATCGCCATACGGATGCCTGCAGTTGTGCCTCGTCTGGATCTCTACCATGACGGAACCGGCCTGGGCTGGCCCCTTGATCTTGTAAGAGAGGAATTTGTATTCGAGACCCTCCACGTTGGTGCATGGCAGCTCTTCGAAGAAGTATGATCCACGCTGGGGGACGAATGAGATGGACCCAATGTGATCTGTCATGTTTAACATGGTGCCGTCGTCTAGTTGACGTAGGTTAGAATTAGCCCCATCTATGTTCGTAGATGATTAGTTTACTTACCAGTTGCCCTGTACCCGAGGCTGTTCTCTCCAGCTTCCTGGAGTTCGAAGTTGTCGATTTGCCAGGCTGGGCACACTACTGCAGCCATCGCCCGAGAGGCGAATAGCCCAGCTGCGATGAGCGCGGTCGCGAATCGAACCATTCTGATGCGTGCTATTGTAATAAAGTTGGGGTAATTTAATATATTACTTGACCGTGAGTATAGAAGAGAAGAAGGATTGGATGAATGTGAAAGAGAGAGAGTCACGAAATATATAGAGAAAAAAAAAGACTGATTTAAGAAGACCCGAACGATTGTCTTCGGGAAATGCAGATTACGTGTATTCGATAAGTCCACTAATTGATACCGTAATCGGTACCTATATAGGTATCACACTAGAACTAAACAGAAGCATAGATACCGAGATGACATTGTGGGAGTTAAACTTCATGACAACAATCTGGTGGCGCGAAAGTTGAAACTATCTACACACCAAAAAATTCACATCGGACACGGTCAAAAATCAACACCTATTTAAGGAACAGCACGTTCTTCCGAATTTAATACGCAACTGCAAGTGACTACTTAATTCGACTACACCATGGGTCCATTTGCCAGAGAGCCAAGCAACGAAGAAGACGAAATCATGGTGTACGCGATCCCCTTGTTCTTCATCATCATGTCGGCGGTCCTGACCATCATCCGCCGATCGATACCAGCCCAGCAACCTGTGAGAAGACAACCCGCGTCTTCGAGAAAAACCACCACCAAACGCCCTCTCCGGCGTATTTGAGAAGAGAACCACATTCCACGCCACTATCCCTTGTCCAGTTATCTCCCTCGCATCGTCAACCAGCGCCTAAATGCCAGGAATAAACTCATCGTCATCCTCCTCGTCAAAGCCTCGCGCTCGCTCCATCTGCTGACGGTGCGCGCGAATGCGCTCAAGGCGTACCTGTAAGAAAAACCGTTAGTCTCATCACATCACATCAACATTAACTAAAAAATCTCCCAGTATTAGAAAACAAATGATTTCTTACCTCTTCCTCAGACATCTCACGAGGAGGCGGCTGGGGCGGATGTGCCGGCGGAACGACCTGCGCATGAGCGGGACGGGGGGCCGGGGGAGGCGGTCCGTACGGCTGCTGGGACGGGAAGGGAGTTGGTCCTCGAGGGGGTCCTTGATACAGACCGTTGTGGGGAGGGGGAGTCGGGCCTACGTGGTGTGGTTGGGTGTAGAACGGGTGGGCGCCGTTCTGCTGCTGCTGCGGAGGCTGGACGGGGTACTGCTGGGGACCGTACTGGTGGTTGTTGTTGTTGGTGGGGAATTGGTTAGGCTGCGGGTAGTTGGGGTACATGGCCGGGTATGTTGGGTAGCCCATCATATATGGGGGATGGCCTGGTATGGGAAGGTTAGTCTTCGCTTGGGAGAGTTGTAGGTTGAGGGTTTGGGGATAAATGAAATCAATTTTATGTTGACTATTATATTCAATCTTGCGATCTTAGTGAAGTGAACTTACCAGGCGTGTAACCGTTGGTCTGGTTAGACTGGGTGTAGTTAGACTGACTCTGGTTGGACTGGGCGTAGTTGGATCGAGCCTGGTTGGTTTGAGTCACCGGAATGGCTAAAGGCACGAATGGTTCTGCCAAAGGGGACATAGGCGCGTCGCGACGTCCACGTCCATGAGATCGGTGTCGGGGGCGAGATCTTCGCTCTTGAATCGTGGCCTGTGCTTGAGTGCCGGTGGTAGGTCCTTGGGGACTGGCGCCTTGGCTACGTGTGTCGCGATGGTTTCGAGGTGCGCGAGGAGCGTTTTCGATGCCGTTAGTGGTGGGAGCACTTACATCCGGGAATGACACAGGTCTGGCAGGTCGAGAGCCGTTTTCCTGACGTGGGACCTGAGACATCTGCACATAGGATTCCTTACTCTCCTCACGGACAGATGGCTGTCGGTACCTTGGAGCAGCGGCTTGAGGTACGTCAAAGGTTGAATCGGTGGCGGAGGAGACGGTGGGCATGGTAGCTGCCGGCTCCTCATTGCTATGAACGGATTCACTCATGACTACTCGTGAAGTTGTCTGTAGATTGATTGATTAGTTCTCAGAAAGACGCGCGTTACTCTTGGCGGAGATGGAGTATAATATGAAGTCTACGAGGAAATACACATATGAATTTGTAGGGAAATCGAATTTGGGAAAACCTACCGTACCGTACTAATTGGTTGCTACGAAACGCGTAAAATAAAAATAAGAAAGTTTTACGTGTAAGAATGGATAATGAATTGTGTTGCGGTGAGTTAATGGCATTATTCGATCGATTGAAGATGTATGATCGTGAGATGTGGAACAGTGCTTGCCATTGTTAATCATTGGGGTTTGGCATAGGGAAGGTACAAGTAAGGTATAAGCCAGGTACAGCTGCGGGTATCTACTTATCCAATAGTCTCGGCGATGAGAATTACAGATGAAAGCCAGTCGAAATCGAGAAGAGTCTGCCGAAAGATTGATATTCGACAATGGCTATGTGTCGTGAGTGAGGAGTCGCCGACTATGAGAAAGGGGTCGACAATAATTAGGACGTTATCGAATCACATAAATACTGTACGGAATGAGGCTTCAGTTTTTATTGATACGCATGTATTTCTTCATCTAAAGTTATCTTGGGACTTGGAACTTGATTGAAAGACACTATACAGGAGAATAGGGGTAAGGCGGAAAGAGGGGAATAAAGATTTTGAATATTCTGTTAGTCAGTTATATTTATTTCACGTAGTAGCTCATTTGAGTTTATATAACTCGTATCCTATGTATCTATTCGAATGAAAGATATCATTTTAATACAGTAGAATTGTTAAAAGAATCGACAAGTTTTAATTGAAAATCATAGCACACAATCACACAACATGAATTTGAGAAGATGGGGTCTAATGTTCACCGACAAAAATCGGTTAGTTTAGATAGAATGATAACAAGATAAGTGTTAACATAAACTTTGTTGCATTCTTTCTTTTTACGATAGTTGCCATTTAAAGTTTGCATTCCCGAGTTACTGCTTATTGATATATTTTCTTCCAGTGCTATCTTTATCAACTGCGATATCAGGTAAGCAAAAACGAGGATTGTGCGAGAGTTGATTACCTTAGAACCTTGCTTATAGCAAATCTTGAGTTACCGTAGACATAAGGTGTAGGTAAACTTAAATTCCAATCTCAAATTATTAGATACCTCTTAGGCTAACTGGGAGAGACTTTCTTCTGATCACTCACGCTGTATTTATGATTGCATGCATAACACTTTTTAAGGCTTACGTGGGATTATAATTAAAGTACCTAGTTATCGTCTTTAATCGACTTCGGTAATAGCAAGACAAACCTAAGTTAACTTAAGCTTTCCAAGGTTATTGTCGAGAAGATCTTTACGAAACTGGGCGTTAGTGATTACTAACCTGGAAGTATAGGGGTCCTCCCCTATCTATAAAAACCGATTACATAATGGATTACGTAACATAAAACCAAGAATACTTCTCTAATTTTATTTCATTCTTGAGATTCATCTCAACCTAATCTGTTACAGCAAGATGAATTTCATACAGGAAGTCGTATTCAACTTCAAATTTTAGTTATGTTAACTTCGCGGAGTGTTTGAATTCGCGATCACGGAGCCTTCTACCTCTTCCACCCAAGGTCCCAAAACAAGTCCTGTTTCCGATCTAACAATCACATAGGCCTAAATGGAATCTGCGGTTGGTCTCTTCTCCATGGTAAATTTATTGGCGCTTCAAAGCTGATGTTGATTAGGTATTTAGTGCATAACGTATTGCTTAAGCAACCCCCCTTTGCCAGTTTCCTTCTATGACGCCCTGTATTAGTCAGCCAGATGTCTCAATGGCCATACAACCCATCATCGCCGGTTTTATATTTCGATTAGGGTTGTCTAAGTGCCCATATACAAGAAACAAGGCAGTTGAACCAATTTAAACCCTTCAAAACATCGCCAGTCTTTTTATTGCCCCCGATGACTGCGTTTCGCTGATAGTGGATCCCGTTGCCGAAGTCGTACTGGAGGCGCCACCGCTAGTAGTAGTAGCGGTAGTAGAAGCCGCGTTCTGTTCTGCCTTGAAAACATTGACTAATCCCTTGCCGCCACAGAACACCTTGCTGTCGCCGGCGCAGGGAGTGTTGCAGAGAGTCTGGTTGCTCGCCCACTCGCCGCCCACGTAGCTGCCGCACCAGCACTGGTTGCCCTCCTGCACGCCCGCGAAACTATATGCCTTGAGATAGCACGCGTCCTCACATTTAAGGACAGTTAAAGCTGAATCGCCGCCCTCGGGACTCAGGTTCTTCTCTAGGATGGGTAGCGCAGAATCCTCAACATAACAGCCCATGTCGGTCCAAGTGGTAGGGGACGGTCCCGGGGTGAACACAGAGGTAGAGGAGACTGTTGTTGTCGAGGAAGAAGATGTGGTGGTCGTGATTGTGTTGTTGATCTTCTCCAGGGTGACGATGCAGTACGATTGATAATCCCATGGCTGGCAGTCGAGACCAACAGACGGGTTCCATTCATGGAACTCCGCTGGGGTGATCCCGAACAGACTGCGTACATCTTCGCACGATTCTCCTTCGCTGTTGTTGTACCAATCAACACAGTCTTTAGCCGTATCTGGGTCCCATTGAAGAGTTGGCGTGGGAGTACCGCAGGCGCGTTGAAGCGCTGCGAGCAGAAACAACAGAGAGGACTTCATTGCAGCGTTTATTCAAACCCAATTGCTAGATGAGCCGACGAAGAAGAAGGTAAGAATAGTGGACGACGGACGACTGAGGAAAAACAGCAATCTAGCAACTACTAGAGTCGCGGGCAGAAATCGCGACTATAGGTATTCTCGTTTGCTTGCATCTTTTCTTCCTTCCTTCTTTTATCACTTGGCGCCAAGTGTAGCTCATTTTGCAAATCTATAACAGTATCGGTTGAGTTGTACGAAGGAGGTCTAGAGTGTAAGTTAAAAGCTTGAAGGATTTTGCCCCTGCGACGATACTTTGAAGTACCTATAGATTCTGGGGTTACAGTTATGCAGGGGAGAATTTAGTACCACGTGGTAGCTGGGGCCGCCTGTGCCGTAGCGGCTGTGAGGTGTTATTTGCTAAAGGGCCGACTGCTAGCTCTAGCTTCTATCACCTTTCCATGCCTTCGGCGCTGCGCTTTAAATTACCTAAGAAACGAAGGATCAATTAAGGTATTTTCGAATATTAGCCGATATACAGATTTTTACTATAATATCTGCCAAGAAACACGCCGCACTGGGTCTGCAACCAACAGTTTACCAACTATCGCAAGTCATTCGAGTTGATTCGATCTGGTACGACCAACATCCACATTACCACCCACATCATATGGATTAACTCATTACACAACGTAGGTAGGCAAGGTATTCCAACTGCTGACTATTTTATTAATAACCATCGGTAACCTTCAAAAGTTTCCTCCTTCCGCTTTCAGTCACGTGGCGTAGACTATCCTGTCTAAGTCTAGATTCTAGACTGTACCTGCGTCAAGCCCTGTTCTTCCAGCTGGACCTAGGAACCACCAACAATGTCCACCTTTCATCCATTTTCCCGCCTCCCAACCGAGCTTCGCCTGCACATTTGGGCCTTGGCAGTCGAACCTCGCATCGTAGAGCTTCGCGTCGTACCGGACGACTCGTCACAAGTCCAGAGACTAGTCTCGCTCACGCCGGCACCGGCGATAGTTCAAACCTGCCAAGAGTCTCGCAACCTAGGCTTGTACAAGCAGGCTTTTTCTGAGGTCACCGCCACCAAGGTTAACGTTGCTGCGGGAGCGGAGTCGCGCTATGTCTGGCTTAACTTGGATATCGATATGGTCTCTATTGGCAAAACGTCATTCGAGGTTTTCAAGCCCGTCGCATTATCCATCAAGCGACTAAGGTTCGAGCGAGAAAACTCCGACGAATATTTCTTCCACGTCGAAGTTAGAGAGCTGTGGGACTGGACGAACACGGAGGAAATCCATGTAGTTTGCGCGGATGGGATGGAGTCATGGCATAAGGCTTCCGAAGAGCACTTCTGGCCTTGCCCTTTAGAAAACCTATGGTTCTTCGACCCGGACGATGGTCGCATGATGAGAAGTATCGAGATGGAAAAGATGCTTGACGAGCAACAGGAGGAGTCATGGAGACGACATGAGGGGGCTTTTGAGAATGATGATGATGATTAGGCGTTTTAGCTAAGAGTTGGCTTATTGAGGGAAATCAATTATTGCATTATCTACAATCATATCGTCCTATATGACGTGTATAGTACAACTGTGCTATCCATCTGTTCAATTTTCTCATCCGCTGCCTCCAACATTTTCTACACAACTACGCCCAAATTACCCCTCAACGACAACTCTGACTCCTATCCGCCACCCGCTTATACGACTGTATCACCACACGGTGACTTCTCGCCTGGCTGTTACCCCCAACACCATAGAAACCCTTAAGAAAACCCTGAATCTTCTTATCGACATCCGGCACGCCCTTCGCCTTGGCTTGTGCGGCCGTCTCTCTCCAATCCACGGTCTCCCACGTTTCGCCGGTAGCAGGATTAGACCCACCCCCTACGCTCTCTGTCTTTATATCCATCGCGCCACCTAGCTGGGTCCTGGCTGCGTCAATGAGATGGGGCCCGTGGTCTCCGGCCCGCGACTCGCTGACTTTCTCCGTCGTCGTGTCGAAGCTGTCGAAGAGGTTTCGGTTGTCGCTGTTGCCCTTGTTCTTGTACGTCTTGTTGACTGTGTCGCCGACGCGCTTGATGTAGTCGTTGAACTCCCACGCGTCCTTCACGGCTACGTGGGGAGGGAAGTTGGGCACCTTCGGGTTCTTCCCCGGGGCGCTGGTGAACAGCTTGTAGCATTGCTTGGCCGTCCCCTCGGGGTCGAGCTTCCCGCTGGAATCGTTGACTGACCACCCGGTCGTGGTAGGCGCCTTTCCTAGGAACACCATCAGGTCGTCGAAGTTGCACCGGGTGCGTCCCGAGTTCTTCTTCGGCTTGCAGGCATTCCACTGCGTACACGATTTGGTCTTCGTGTCCGCTTTGGCGCACTTGAAGCCGATCGTCTGGTCGGCCTCGGCGTTGAGCCCGTCGATCTCGTAGGCGTTGAACAGCTGCACGCGTTCAAGGCAGCCTTGGTACCCTCCGGCCAAGACGGCGGAGAGGTGAGAAAGAACGAGAACGAGAGTAACTTTCATGGTTGCTGCTGCTGGACAAGACTCGACTGAGTAGAGAAGAAGTCGAGTCCCAGATGAAGCAATGGATGGGCGAAGGCGGATTATTGACGAGCTTGCTTCTGATTCCAGGACCCTCCTTCGAGCTGAAGTTCGAGGCGGGGCTGCATCTGATCAAGTTCTGCTAGAAGTAGAACTGGATCTGTATACGCCATGTTACCGCATAATCTTAATCTCCTGTCTACTAGGTCATTGTGTTAATGGTCACCTGTAATGACTAAAGCCACAATGTCAGCGAGGTGAAAATTTCGCCTCTTGGCGATAGTTTAGTCTGCGGCGCATAAGACTTCGTGCATAGATGCCGAATGCAGCAGGTGAATCGGGATCTCGAGATCCGTTGGCGAGGCCTGTATACTCCACGAGCTCGCTTGCACATTAGCCGCGTTAGGTAGGGCAGACCAATCAGGGTCTTTTAGCTCATTCCAGGATTCTAGCCTCATTCCTTCGCCGCATTTTTTTGATCTGGCGATAATTCATTTGTTAAACCCCTGTCGATGGGGCTAACTATATCGGAGATGAGGGTACTTGGGTATACAAAACCGCGGATTTGTGGACCTGAAGGATCTGGTGGAACAACCTCAACCCATGTATTCGCCAAGGCTACTATCACCGGCCTTGTTGTCGATACCTTGAGCCGCTTGAATGCATGAGCCCCGCCATACAAAGTTCACTCAGCTCAACCTCCCCTTACCTCGTGCCAAGCTCGCCTATTCCTAGCCGCTTTTGCTTCTCGCATCCGCCTTATAGATATTTTCCTCCCTCGTGTGCCAGAGAGTCAGATGCTTTCATCCCCTCAGCGAACCTACTTGCGTAGTGCCATGCCATCATGAGGGCTTCTTTACTTGTCCCTTTGGCCATCTTGGCTTCCGAGGCTTTTGCATCGCAGTCTCATATCGAAATCCCCCGCCGAGATGCAGATGCCGCAGAAATTGAGTCGTGGTTCGCCACGGCCCAGCGAGCATCGCTTGATACAAGCAAGAAGTGCCCTGTATCCTGTAGCGAAACCAAAGATAGCAGCTCCAGTACGGAATGGTACTTGTTTCCGGATGCTGCAGAGTTGGCGTCATGTAACGAGACTATGCTACTCAACATGGCCGTCAAGACCACAGCCGAAGACCAAGCAACATCTACGGCTATCCGGGCGTGCACAGCCGACTATGACTCGGGAGTAAAAGCTGCATTCGTTGCGGACGAGAACAAGGCATCCCTCTGTGTGACGTCTAATCGCGTCCTGGAGGAAGGCTCCGTCTACATGCACGAAGCACAAGTTGGAAGCAATGCTGCTGCGTTCTCTGTCAACCATCTCCTTGCTGCTGGAAATCAGATTTCCCGCCATCTTGCATTACAAGTGCCCTCTTGTGTTGACAACGCAATCGAATTCGCATATTCCCAATCAGCAGCCATTGGCGTCTTTGCCGGAGTGGAGGTTCATCAGCACGGAATAACGTAAGTACGCCAGGGGTTTGAACTTCTTCAGCCCATGAATTTCTCTCTGGGGGCCAAACCACTAACATAGTATTATAGCTCGGATGTTCTCGAAAATTTGCTGAAATACGCAGAGGAGAAGGCCATCTCCAAACCCACTATCGTCCAGCTATGCGGTTCAGATGGTCGCGGCGCGGATTATAGCCTTGGTATTGTCACTGCTGGCGTCGCGAATCTTCCCTTCATCCAAGAGGCTGTCAAGACATGGTCCGAGGGAGAATGTGTCGCGGAGCCGGGTGCGGGAGAGTCTTGGATGTCGGTCACTCTGCGTGTTCCCTCTCCCGTTGAGGCTACATCAAACAGTACCACCAATTCGACGACATCATCTAGCACCACGCCCGCAAGCCTCAAGGCAAGGTCGCTCCTTGACAAGAGAGCCGACTGCAAAACAACCAAAGTCCAATCCGGAGATGGATGCTGGGCCGTATCCAACAGATGCGGGATCAGTCAGGCTGACCTAGAGAAGTACAATCGCGCGAACCTCTGCAGCACCCTCATCCTCGATGAGATCGTCTGTTGCAGCAGCGGCACTCTACCTAGCACGATACCACCAGGAAACTCGGACGGCACGTGCAAGACAAGAACCGTGGTGTCTGGCGACAGCTGCGGCTCGCTAGCATCCAAGTGCGGTATCAGCGCGGCGGATTTCATGAAAGTGAACACCAAAACCAATCTATGCTCGACCCTAGCCGAGGGCCAACAGGTCTGCTGCACGGCCGGCTCGAAGCCGGACTTGAAGCCCAAGCCCGATGCCGATGGCTATTGCGCCACATACACGACTGTAAAGAATGACTACTGCGCTAAGATTGCGGCGGCTCGTGACCTGACCGTGAAGGACCTGGAAGACTTCAACAAGAAGACGTGGGGCTGGAATGGCTGCGAGGACGGAAAGCTCCTGTCTGAATTCAACATGTGCGTGAGCACGGGAAGCCCGCCCATGCCAATGAATGTTCCTGTGAGTACTTTCTTGCCTGCTTCTCATAGGGATCTTGACTAATGAGAATCTCTAACAGAACGCTGTTTGCGGACCAACGGTAAGAAAACGATCTCCTCGCTACTATATGTAGCTATTATGCCATTACCTAGGCTAACATGATATGTAAAGGTGAATGACACAGCACGGCCGTCCGCAGGAACCGACTTGAGCACACTCAACCCGTGTCCACTCAATGTTTGCTGCAATATCTGGGGCCAGTGTGGTATGACGGATGACTTCTGTGTTAAGAAGGATTCGGAGACCGGTGCGCCCGGAACCTCGGGTGCAAAGAACGGATGTAAGTTGCGCTGTCTCCAGTTGAATTGTTTCATCGAGACCCCGGGAGTCATGCTTTGAGAGAAAATCGAGCTGACTTTGGATATTAGGTATCAGCAACTGCGGTAGAGATATCATCAAAGGAAGTGCGCCGGCTGAGAAGATCAAGGTTGCGTACTTTGAGGCTTGGAACCACAACCGCGAGTGCTTGACCATGGATGTCGACCAGATCGACACAGATGCCTACACCCATATTCACTTCTCCTTTGCCGATATCACGGCGAATGACTTCGCAGTTGATATCAGCAAGGTCCAGGAGCAGTTCGACATCTTCAAGGGCATGTCAGGCGTCAAGAAGATCATCTCGTTCGGTGGCTGGGATTTCAGCACGCTCCCCGGGACTTTCAACATCCTCCGTACCGCCGTCCAGCCTGGTAACCGCGACAAGTTCAAGAAGAATCTCATTGCATTCGTCAATGATAACAATCTTGACGGTATCGACCTCGACTGGGAGTATCCTGGAGTGAGTGACCCAAGACCTTTTTTTCTGCTTTCCCGGACTAATGAGTAAATGCATAGGCCCCTGATATTCCCGACATCCCCAGTGACGACCCCGTCAATGGTAAGAATTACTATGAATTCTTATCGGATCTCAAGAAATCCATTGGCTCTTCCAAATCGGTTTCATTTGCGGCACCAGCATCCTATTGGTACCTCAAGGCATACCCTATCAAGCAAATGGCTGCGGCCCTCGATTACATCATCTATATGACGTACGATCTTCATGGCCAGTGGGATTACGGTAACAAGTGGTCTTCTCCTGGTTGCGAGTCTGGTAACTGCCTGAGGTCCCACGTCAACGAGACGGAGACCAAGGATGCCCTTTCTATGATCACCAAAGCCGGCGCCGCCTCAAACAAGGTCGTCGTAGGCGTGGCCAGTTACGGTCGATCGTTCAAGATGGCCGAAGCGGGTTGCGACTCTGAGACTTGCCTGTTCACAGGCACGAACCGCATATCCAACGCCGCCAAAGGACGCTGTACTGACACTGGTGGCTACATCTCCAATGCCGAAATCGACGAGATCATCCAAAGCGGCAAAGTTACTAAGCAATGGAAGAAAGAAGGCTCCAACATATTAGTTTACAACGACACGGAGTGGGTAGCCTACATGGACGACGACATGAAGAAGTCTCGGGCCGAGTTCTACGATTCGTACAACTTTGCGGGCACCACCGACTGGGCCGTGGATCTGCAGTATTTCGCAGAGTAAGTACCACCGCCCTCCTCGCACGCTTCCTGTTTTCTTTCGTAGGTACTAACGATGTCTAGTGGAAGCGGCGGTGACGACTACGACGATGATTACGAGTATGAAATCGACGAGGCCTATTGGACTCCGTGCCAAGCCTCATACAGCACGCTCGACCAGCTCGACCAACGTAAAGACTCGACTCCCGCACACTGCATCGAGCAGTACCTCCTAGACATCCAAGTCGCAACTCTAGAAGCAGCACTAAACAAGTACGAGAAGCTTATCGCCGACGGCTACGACCACAAGTTCTCGATCTACGAGAAATACGTCACAGCCCAGGTCCCGGGCCAAGTCGACCACTTCATGGCCAGCGACAAGGTGCAGAACTACTTCACCTGCAAAGAGACCAAGGACATCACATGCTGCAGCAGCTGCCGGTATTCCAACTGCGTCGACACCTGCGTCAAAGGCAGCGACTGCAAGAACGGGCGAGGCACAATCGACATCAAGTGTCCACAGATGGAGACCCAGAAATCGATGCTAGACGGCACGGCGATCCCCAACGCGACATTCACGCTCAAAGACGCGGACGGGTTCTGGAAGGACATCGGCGACGAATTCGGCATCGACGAATCATGGATCAAATTCGGCCGACGCCTAATGCGCGTCAACAACGGGTGCCAGTACGCCGGCGAGAAAGTAAACGAGTGCCAGGACAAGCAGAACAACTTCTTCTACAACTACCCCCTCGCGGACAAAGTAAGCGTCTACAACCCCAAAGAGGTAATCGGCGACTCCTTCCCCAAAGCGACAGACATGCTCGACCGCTTCAAAACCGTGCGCATGTACGGGAACTGGGACGATCTAATGGAGCTCACGGACCTCGTGGACGCGACCTCTCTACCGGGCTACTCGACCGAAGAAGCCGTAGCCAGCATGGAGAAGATCGTCGAGCAAGCCGGGGAAATCGAGAAAAAGCAGCGCGAAGAGTTCATCCTGAACTTCATCACCGGCCTACTCTTCTGGATCCCAATCGTAGGCGAGGCCATCGGCGCCGCGGGAATGACGACGGTGCGCTCTCTCCTCCGCCTCATCGGCTCGACGGGCGACGCGGGGCTCGCCGTCTACGATATCGTGAATAACCCCGAGAACGCGTTCATGGCCGTGTTCAGCTACCTTGCTGGCGCGGGGCTCGGACGCGCTGGGTTTAGGAACGCGGCGAATTCGAGGAGGGGGCTGAGTTCGTCTGAGTATGATAGTCTGGGGGGCGTTAAGACGAAGTTGGATTTGGTGCAGAATATTCGGGGGAATATATGTCCAAGGTGAAGAGGTGGTTTGTACCCTTAAGAGGTCAAGGCGGGGATCTTGTCGGAGCTTAGGAAAACCTCGGGTTTAGCGGGTTTGCTTAGGTGGTTTGGCAAGGCAAAGCGAAGTCAATCCTTAAAAGTTAAATAAAACGTTCTTATGTTCTATATGATCCATCGAGAATACTGTACCCGTGGTGCCTATTGGGAGGTATCTAGTATGGTGAAACTGATTGAATCTATCGTGAAGTTGTTGTAGGAATGATGAGTTGGAGTTGCGGGCTATCCCACCCCGGTGCTATCTACTACGGCGGTGCACAGGGCTCAGAAGGCAAAAACCCGATTTTCATATATACATCCACACCTTTGTAAAATCAACACCCTAAATTCGTATATCGAAGTTTTGAATACATGATACACCTAAGTTAAAGCGCCCATAACTTTATTAATACATTAGCTAGAAGCTTATAACCAGTACCATTATATAGCCTGAAGTCCATAGAATATATTTGTATATAATGCATTGTTTGTAAGCTGTGTTTATATGGTGAAATAGGGCTACAAAAGTATTTGGGTAAGTATTTAAATGAAAAAAAGAAAACTTACTCATGCAGGGAATGTACAAGACTAAGAATTTTTGAATCATTATAATTGGTTGATTTCTTCACCGCCAAGACGCTAATATATTCGATCCGGATTCCCCGAAATATGATTGGTGGGCCCCTTTATATAACCCGCATATTACACGTGATAACTGGTAATCTATGCAATATGGAAGTTATGCAAATATAATGCACGTAATACCCCGCCTTCAACGCTAATAATAAAGCTACACGTGACACCCCTCATGAAAACCACTCCAGCAATTGATCAATGTTAATTGATAAATACGGGCTATAAAGGGATTGAAACTGGTATATATTTATATCATTACAATCACGATAATCTAAGCTATCGTTGAAGCCTACTTTTGATTAAATGCACGCTGCTTTGATCAAGTTATATAAGCTTTTATGTAAAAGTAGCTTATCTGATAGCTTATCTAAGAGCTACAAGGGTTTATTGCGGCTTAATTCAATAAAGAGCTTTTACACACCCCTGATCAGGAGTATGTCTAATCAAGTTTTGGTTTTTGCCTTCTGAGCCCTATGCACCGCCGTAATCTACAGAAGTCCGACGGCAGAACCCAATAGGGTGCGATTAGTGGCGTTAAAACTGTATTCACACCGTATTTTGCCGCCAATACCAGGGATTTAGCAATATTTAGCACGAAGGTTATATGGTCTTAGTGGTCGATTATAGTGAATGGTCTCAATTGTCAGTTGAAATAGGTACTGTAGAGCCCTAGAAGTCTACAGGTAGGTGGTGTTCTTTTAGCCTGTTTAAAGGTAGGGGATGTTTGATTTTTGCAACAACAGCTTAAAACAAAGCCTTATAACTTACGTACAACACAGCTAATATTGTATGATTCATCAGGTATGAAATCAGTTTTTGGACTAAAAACCTAAGCTATCGGATAAGTCGTATTAGTATCTAGACTGAATTGGTAATCGTTGCTTGGAAGCTGTTGTTAACCTTAGAAGCAAAAGGCTAAAAGCTCTTAACGGCACTGAGTTACAGGGGGTTTGGTGGTAAAATATAATGTGTGCATAATATAGACGCCACTAATGAGACCTTATTTTCTAAGCCATTCGGGGTCGTTACTGGAATTCATAAGAATAAGTATTCTTATAAACATATTTCAATATAACAATTGAAAGGTTGTAATTTCCTTTATCTTCATAATAACGTCCCATTATGTTTTATTATGAAATACCAGGCATGGAAATTAATAACGATGGTGGAGGTGGGGGTTGGACGAGGCGAGGGCGAACAGATGCTGGAAGTACAGGTACGTAGTACCAGGAAGATAGCACATATGCATAATCTGACAGGTCGTTTCTCTGCAGTTGGTACCTACTACCTACCTACCTAATAGGTACCTAGGTAGTAAAGGCTGGAACACTTTAGAAGCCGACCCGATCACAACCTTGGAATCAATTTGACCTTAGCCTTCTGTCGCTATTTTTGCCCAGGCAATCTACCCATAGCTCGTTGTCGTCGAGATTCTGCTGTTTTTTTATATTCCATCTTGAATTAATTCAGATTTAACAGGATGGGGATATTTGATATATCGCCCTTAGTGGCACTTTATGCCTTTGGTGCCGCGATAACACTGGTAATTCGATCTTCCAGAACAATCTTCTAACACAACCATGGCTAAGGAATCGCATCTTGGCAGGGACTCTTTGTTTTTAGTTACCGGCTTACTCTCCATCCTCTGAGGGACTATCCTGGGCCTTTCGTCGCCCGATTCAGTGATGGCTATGGTGGCTATCACGCGATCAAGAAGCGTCTTCATCTCGCCACGTATTACGACCATCTGAAATACGGTGTGCTTTCTTGACGCGCCAATGCACTAGGTATATGATAACCTCTAACGGGTATTCCAAATAGGATCAGTAGTTAGACAAGCGCCAAATCGTCTAGTATTCAATACAGCGACCGCACTGCGAGGTAAGGAGACCTAGCCCCTTTTCATCCCGGAGATGCACTTCATAATAACTCTTCGCATAGATATCTACCTTAACACGGGGATAAACAAAGCCGACGTCTACAAGCTAACGCAGTTCAATCCGCAGAAGAACATCTTTGGCACATTAGACAGGGAACGTCACCGACAGAAGCGGAAGGTCTATGGCCAGGTCCTCTCCGACCGGTCGTTGCGTATTTTTGACCCTATCATGAGTAAAGAGATTGATGTCTTTTTACGACTACTACTAAGAACCAGTTCCGAGACTATGAATATGACACCATTATGCGAACGCCTCACCACCGACGTTGCCGGCCAGTTGGCCTTCGGCCAACCGCTCAATACTCTAACAGCCGCGAAAAATAGGATATTTCCTCGAGCGATGATTTCCATGAACGGGCTAGTTAATATATTCAGTATGTGTCATTATCCCCCCCTTTTTATACTAGTTATGAGAAAAAAGGAGATTGATTATTTCGCAGTGGCCTGGCCAGCGGTATCCAACACCTGGCCGATCATCAGGCGGCTTAACAGGAAAAACGGGGAGTCGTTTAGCGGCACTCTACGGGGCATAATTCAGGGGCGCACAGCCCTAGCCAAGGACGCTAAGCACGACTTCTACTCTATCGTGACAACTGACGATAACCTCGAAGGCGAGGGTCTTAGACATAGCGAATTATGGGCTGAGGCTTCATTTATTCTTCCAGCGGGTGCGTTATTTTCTATTTTTTTTCACGGTGTTTTGGAATCTTGCGCATCCAGCCAGGCTTTTCGCGTTGACGCAGTTCCACTGTCTTTAGGCGCTACTACACTATCTGCCGCCCTCAGCGCCCTGTTCTTTTACCTTTCGCGCCACCCAACTGTCTACGCTCGGCTCGCTGCAGAAATCCGCACAACTTTTGCCAATAATATCATTCAAAACGGACCACAACTATCTGGTTGTAAGTATCTTCGCGCTGTAATTGACGAGACCATGCGGATGTCACCGCCTTTCGTTGGCACATTCTGGCGCGAACCGCATGCTTCTTACACGGAGCCGTTCGTGGTTGATGGACATGTGATACCGCGAGGTATTGCCGTTGGTGTGAATCCTTACTGTGTGATGCACAACGAGGCTTACTTTCCCGAGCCATTTGCGTTCCGGCCAGAAAGATGGCTAGGACCAGAAGATGGGGCTGTGGAAGAGGATCAAGCAAGAGCGACGATGCGAGCGGCTTTTGCGCCGTTTGCGCTTGGGGATACGGGGTGTCTCGGCAAGGCGATGGCCTATAATGAGATGAGTTTGGTGATAGCTAAGACCTTATGGTACTTTGATTTCGAGAAGGCTCCTGGTGAGGCGGGTAAGCTCGGAGAAGGGGTGCCTGGAAATATGGATGGGAGACATAGGGTGGACGAGTATCAGCTTCTTGATCTCGCGGTGGCGGATCATGATGGCCCGAACTTGGTGTTCAAACCAAGGGGTGAGTACTGGAAGGCTTTGATTGATGACGAAGAATAGGTAGGCTTGAGTTGTATTCCATGGGAGATGTGTACTTGGTAAGGAAGGGTCCAATATGTTCCGTTCTCAGCTTGGCTTTGGTAATGTAGATCTACTTAGGTTAAGGGTCCTGTTTATTTTGATACAGAATGGCGTCGTAAAACGTCCTCCATGTGCTGATCCTACCTGTCTGTGAGCCTATATGCCCCCCGCCCCGCCTGAAAGACCGCATGTCCTACTGTAACTTACATGTGCGGTGGTAGACGCAGGCTGTGTAACACAGGAGATAGTTCTTGTTGCATTCTGATATGAGCACTTACACTCAACTTAAAGTGGTGTACCAACCTTTAGGCTTTAGTTCTTAAGCCGGTGTGTCGTAGAGTCGAGGTACTGCTGTTACACAACCTTTATTAAATGCTACACTTAGGTAAAGACACTTACCTCCAGATTACGACGTATTCATTTTGCGTACTGGTCATTGGCTGCCTTCTCACATGATGCAATTGGGTGGGCGATGCTCGTAAGGTCTTCATTGGGTGTCGTTCAAAGCCTAGAGGTGGCATTCGACGTAGAATCGTCCGCCAAGAAGATGTTATCTGCCATCGGTTAGGAGCTGAAGCGGGATATGCATCTCTCATCCACGTGGGGTTACACAACAATTGCAGTACTATCTGTAGCTTCGAAGGAATGCATGGGTGCCACGGTAGCTACTTACCTACTTAAGTAGGTATGTTTCCGCGAGCTGCAGCCTTATGCTAGTGGTCGTTGCAACGAGACGAATGCCTGGAATCGCATCGTCAACCTTCACGATGAACTACCGAGGTTTGGGCGTACCAAAAAAAACTTGTTATTGAAACCTCTTTGATATATGAAGACGATGCTAAGAGTTGAATGTAACTACCGCCCATCGTGAAATGAGCAACACTCTATTTGCTACGCCGCTTGAGTTATTCGTAATATTTTCAAATGGTAGGTTCAATGATGCAAGTTGGGGGCGTCTTCAAGTCCCGCGTGTTGAATTATTCATTTTGCGTTTAAGGGTTATTTTCATATGCCATATTTATCATCATACGGGAAGTTTACGAAGAAATTATGTAATTAACATACTTACGTAATGTTTACTTACATAATTGCTTATATCAGCGCGTACATCATCATTTTCACTCGCAAACACTTAGGTAATTATTACGTAAGACCATATTCGATTTGTAGTAAATCATCAATTTCTTCTCAAAGTTACAACTCTCCTAAGACATAGCTAATATACGACTTATAGAAACAAACCCTTCGTTCCCATCCTATTCCCGGATTCTCGTTTGTGAATCAATAAAAAAACCCCTAATAACTTGGTCCTTGCCTAATATACAACACTAATTTATCTGGATGTAAACCTCAGTCGTCGTTACTATCACCGTATCTTAAAGACAGATTTACTGAGCCTGACCTGGCAAGGGCGGAAGCTGATCCTGAGTTGCTTCATTGCCTTTGCGAGAATTGGCACGTACAAGCTTCAGTTCCGCTTGGCTGGTGACTGGGCCATATTCGTCCGTCATACCATACACATGCGCATTGCGCTGCTTTCTGGCAGTGGAAGACCATCCACTCTGATTTTTGGAACGAATACTAGACTTCTGACTTCGCTGTGTTGAAAGGCTTATCCAAGAGCGCATCATTTGTACCCCCTCGAATATGGGCCCTTGATCTGCGAAGCTCTTGGGTAATGAGGGCAGACAGAAGACCAGCAATACGCAGGTCACCTCGGGAAACGTCCAGAGTATAACAGGAGCCACGGTGTAAGTTGCGTCGGCATCATAGTCGATGAGGAATGTTGTGACGAGACGGCCAATAGCGCACACGGTGGCTAGAACTCCAACGGAGAAGATCAAGGAGATACCAGCCTTGCGAGAAGTAGTCATCTGCAAAGTCCAGATAATCCGCTGAGGCAGTAGCAAGATGAGTAAGTCCATGATGACGTTGAAGAAGGCAGTAAAGAGGCCGAGTGCTTTCCGGTTGATACAAACTCCCGGAATCCAAGGGTAGTATATGCTTTGGTGTGGGATACAGGTGATGGCTGAGCTGATGATGCTAGATATGTAGAGGAGGATGTTGAGCACGATCATCAGATAACTACACCAGTAGAAGACCCTGTTGGTGCGGTGAGGCGAGAAGATGCGGACCCACTCAAGCAAGATAGCTGATTTCGCGAAGAGCAGAGATGCGGAGTAGGAAATAGTGAGGCCGAAGGTGAGACCCTGTGTCGCCACAGTCAGCTAGATTTACTCCTAACTTCACCATAGGTAAGACAAACCGGGGCTATGTGGACCATATCCTTCAGTTGAATATTCCACTGATGCACGAAAAAGCCTGCGTTGTGAAGGAAGTCTAGATAGACCCAAGCTAGGACTGCGTAGGAACCCTAGGTATGTATCATCAGTATAGGGGTTAGGGGAAGGAATATGCTGCCGACTTACAAATGCAAGTAGACCTAGGTCTAAACAGCAGGAAAGTTTTATCAGTATGGAAACCATATCAACTGTTAAGTATTCGGAATAGGTAGGCACATACAATCCTGTAATTGTACTCTCTTCATGACAAAGGTTCGCGAATACGCACGTCCTATGGCCGCCATCGTCGAGAGGAACAAGCACACAACAAGCACGGCGATAGCCTGACCATTCCGATTCGGCGGGTTCTTGAAAACGGGGGTTACACCATCCGGCGGTGCTAGAGCCGGCCCGTCCAAGATCTGCTGCTGCAAAGCAGGCGGTAAGTTGGGAAAATTGAATATGATACTCGACATTTTTGCTCAAGTTCGTGTTGGACAAAGAATTTTCACCCCCGAGGGAAATAAGATGGCAGAACTTGTCTTAATACTTCATCATGTATGTGTGGCAGGAATAGACAAGTTTTCATAAAACAGGTTGATGGAATCCGACCACGCTGTTGGTCTAGAATCTCTTTGGAACTTTCCTTGGCTGGCTTACTGCTGCTATCGCATTTAATTCCCCTTCTGTGCGTCTGCGTACCAATGAAGAAGCTATCGGTGGTCGTCTACTGGATACCTACATAGGTAGTGGGGGTGACATCGGAATCCTTCTAGTTTTGTGTTCTATATTATACGCCAAGATGTGGCATATAATTGTGACGTTGAAATAGACTGCAGGTTCGGGGTAGCTATCTGCATGGCGGGCTGTGCCGCACGGTTATACCTACTCACTGCATATCAACATGGAGGTAGTATCGTAGTTCATTGTACAGGTACTGGAGCCTAATGGTACAATCCGGATAGACTTTCGAGCTTTCCGGTATATACGGCAACGCGAATTTAAGGCCGATAGTCGATCCAATAAGTACGCCAACGAGCTAAAATCTTACACTTCCAAGCCTTTTTCATACCCTGTATCTATCTATCTCTTCATTGATCTCATATCTCTTTCTGACTGGCTAGTCGACTATAGGATATTGCTTCTCCTGAATCTACCTGGAGATATACACTAACCATGAGCTCCGATGAAAATGTTGGCCTGGCTGCATCGAAGAAAGTCGACGATAGCATTGTGGAAAAGACAGGAACATGTTCTCCAGTATTGACTGGCTCGGTCGAGGTTGATGATCGAATCATCGTTTATCTTCATGGGATTCGGTTTGCGATGCTTGCTACCTTGTTAGTCTGCCTGCTGACACACCCCCTGTCCAACCCCCGATCCTTTTGGTGTTGCGGCTAACTAATGGGGGTATAGGATAGGGATCATGGTATTCATAGTGAGCATCGAAGGAAGCATCGCCGCTACCTCACTCATCACTATCACCAGCGACCTTGGTGATTTTGAACGAGTTAGTTGGATTTTATCAAGTTATCAACTGGGATTTGTTGGTGAGTTAGGCCTCTTTCGGGTTCTACCTATTGTATCTAGTAATAACCCTCTTAAACAGCCCTCATCGTCATTGCTGCCAAACTGAGCGACCTCTTTGGTCGTAAGCCCATCATCGCTGGCTTAATCGTCGTATTCACCGCCTTCTCGGCGGGCTGTGCCTCTGTACACACTATGACACAACTGTGAGTCGTTTGATTCAGATGGATATATTGTGTCAAAACTCTAATCTTCAACTCCACTAGAATCGTGATGCGCGCATTTCAAGGGCTGGGTGCTGGTGGCTGCTACACACTCACTTCCATTCTTATCGTCGATTCTGCGCCGCCTGAAAAGTACGGCAAATATGTGTCTTTCGCGGGTATGGCCATTGCCATGGGGGCGGTGCTGGGTCCCATCTTTGGAGGTGCCATTACCGAACACACGACTTGGCGATGGATATTCTGGTTCAAGTAAGTTATTCTTACTAGGTGCCATCCACTAAAAGAAAATTTATCTCTAACCCCTGACTTCTGTTTAGCGTACCCGTTGGCGGATTTGCCCTATTTCTTACGCTACTCGGCATGCCAAGAGATTTCCCTTACAACGATCAGGGGCGCCGCCACCGATCGATTAACGATATCTATACAACGATTTGGACTAAAATCGACTTTCCGGGATCTATGCTGCTTCTGGGTGCAGTATTATCTTTCACTGCTTGCTTTCAAGAGGCCGACTCTCGATTTCCATGGAAATCCGCATATGTCATCACGCTTCTGATCACTTCGGTGGTGCTTTCCATCATACTTCTACTATGGGAACGCCGCGTCACGCTGGCCGGTAAAACTCGTGAACCGGTGCTCCCGTGGCGGTTCTTTACGAACCGCGTCATGGTATCCATCATACTTGTGATGACCCTTGTGGGTGCGCCAATGAGTGTAACAACTTTTCAGTTACCTCAAAGATTCCAGCTTGTCAATGGCCTTTCAAGCCTCGATGCTGGTTTACGGCTCTTACCATATGGTCTCATGTTCTCAGCTGGCTCGATGGTTGGCACCACAGTTGCAAGCAAGCTGAAAATACCGGCGATATACATGTTGTTTGTGGGATCTGGTTTACAGATCATTGGCTATGCATTCCTCAGCACTTTAGATACAACACTGCAAATCAATCCTAAGGTATATGGTTACCTTATTCTGTCTGGATTCGGTTGCGGCATCACATTCATAATGGCATATATCACAGTTCCTTTTACAGTCACTGAATTTGATAAGGCGGTGGGACTAGCGTCTGCAAACCAGTTCAGGACTATGGGGAGTGCTATGGGGCTAGCCATTGCTACGTCTGTCTTCAATGGTTACACCTTGCCTCGATTTGCTGGTCTTGGAATTCAGGACCCTGCTGCCGACCTCATTACTGGACAGCAGTTTCTACCTGCGGCTTTGCAAGATGAGGGCCGGCTAATCCTGTCTGAGGGATACAATCGTCAAATGACGGTTCTTTGTGCGTTTTCAGCGGCACAGATACCGGCAGCGCTACTGATGTGGAAGCGAAAACAAATGGTCATCGCATAGAAAATGATATTGCTTATCTACCTAGGTACATACCTAGGCAACTAGGTATGTAATTTGTATTCTCAGGTACTTTCATATGTTATATACCTTGTAGTTACCTAGTATCTGCAGGCAAGAAGAAGTTCCAATAGATACAGGCAGGCTGTAAGTATCACATTAATTGATTAACGTGTTACCCAAGTCCCCGGGATTAGGTGGTGATTCGTAGATAATACATAGCCCCTTTGAATACCTACAGAAGGCAGATTTCCAACCACGTAAAATTATGATATTAATTTATACCCCTTTTCTCATATACGTACATGACGTCATAGGCCAGTTGCAGCCCTCTTATGATTCTATATATACCAACCTCAGGTAGGCAACCGCACATTTGATACCTAATCTGGTCACCAAAGTCTGTTGGGTGGACAGCATCATAAACGGAAGAGAATGCTACTATCCGATCCTTCGACATTTTACGAAGGCAGATAGTAGGGTAGCAATATTTCTAAAGAAGCGGCGTCCATTACGAATAATGTAGTTGGCCCGATGGAAGTCTGGAGCACAAGGTATTAGTGGCTCATATTATTACGTAGTGCCAATCACTTTATGCAGTGTGGTATCAAAGCAACCTCCTTACTTCGCCCGGCAAGTTACTCTACATTGATTATGTACCCCTAAAAGAGTACCTACCTTATACGTTATTTACAATAGTGGTTAATTACCTAAGGTAGACAACTGTTTAATCTCATAAGCTCTGAATTGCATCTGCGCCTTACATAATAACATGGATATGTGCGTAAAATCATTAGAAACACATAGCTGCAGCAATATAAAACCCCTGACGTCTCTCGACTTATTGTTCTTATTCCTATGATGCCAATTTCTACTCATATCGTTCGTATCTGCCTATATGCTGTAGAGACGCCAAGTATCTCTCATCCTTGTACGTTCAAAGCAACGCGTCTTAGACGTTTGAACCGTCTACTACAATGGAGCCCTTCGCCATCGTTGGGTTATCCTTCAAGTTGCCTCAGGATGCTACGGATGAATCCAGCTTCTGGAAGGTCCTTGAAGAGGGTAGAAATCTTTCAACCGCATGGCCGGAGGACCGGATGCCAACGGATTCGTCTTCTATAGATGAGGTTCGCTTTTATCCCCAGTCCTTGTTTCTCTCTCTATTTGAATACTAACATTAAACCTGACAGCCCAAGGCTCGCGGGGCTCATTTTATTAAGGAGGATGTGGGCTTGTTCGATGCCCCTTTTTTCTCTGTTACGGCCAAGGAGGCTGCCGGGATGGATCCTCAGCAGCGGCTGGCGCTAGAAACTTCATACCACGCGTTTGAAAACGGTAAGTCCATGAAAAGAAGTCCTAAAAGAAGATAAACTTCCCTTACCATCTTCCATTAGAGCATGTATGCTAATTACCTGACGTCCAATCTGTGCAGCGGGCATACCAGTTGAGACTATTCGTGGAAGCCGTACTGCTGTGTTTGGGGCGACTATGTCGGATGATTATGCCAGAATGATATTTCAAGATTTTGACGCTCCGCCAATCCCAAACATTACAGGATTGCAGCCCTCTATCTTACCAAACCGAATCAGTTGGTATTTTGATTTGCGTGGACCTAGCGTACATGTCGATACAGCATGTTCTGGTAGTATGGTGGCGTTGGACATGGCGTGTCAATCGATGCAAAGTGGTAATGCTACGATGGTCCGTTCGTCCCTTATTCCGTAGCCTTTCCTTGCAGCCTCAAACTGCGGTTTAACAGAAGGATCGCTGACTAGTAAGTGGGACTATACAGGCTCTAGTTCTAGGTTCCAATTTGCTCCTCACTCCACAATCTTCAGTTGCCCTTGATAATGCAAATTTTCTTTCACCCGACGGCAAGTGCTTCAGTTTTGATGCACGGGCCAACGGATATGCGCGCGGCGAGGGCATCGTGGCGTTTTTGGTCAGGCCGCTGGGTGACGCTCTTCGCGATGGGGACATCATCCGAGCCGTCATACGGGGAATCGGCTCGAACCAGGACGGCCGGACTCCAACACTAACACAGCCGAGCACCGAATCGCAAGAAGTCCTTATCCGTCAAGTATATGATCAAGCCGGGCTAGGATTCGACCATACCAGGTTTTTCGAAGCACATGGTAAATACTTTCTAATCTTTAATATTGAGATAGGTACTAATAGAACTGCGCTTCTAGGAACGGGAACCGCGATAGGGGATCCGAATGAACTAACAGCGATTGGAAGGGTATTTAGAGATCACCGTTCGTCCGAAGAGCCTCTTTTAGTGTAAGTTGACAGGTAAATTTAACATATACAACTATTCAAACTAACTAGTTGAGAATAGGGGCTCCGTCAAGTCAAGTGTTGGTCATCTTGAAGGGACAAGTGGTGCTGTAGGCATTGTGAAGGCAATCCTAGCGCTCGAGAAGGGAGTCATCCCACCAAACGCTCTTTTCCAGGAGATGAATTCGAATATTGATGCAGATTTTTACCGCATTCAGGTAAGTCTACTTAGTAGTTAGTGGTGGCTGCTTATCTCCGGGCTTGACTGGTGATCTAGTGGCTTGGTTACCCCCGCAATTATTGCTTTTACATACGAACAGAGTGCTGACGCGACATGAAAGGTCCCTACCCGAAACATTCTCTGGCCAACACCTGGTCTACGGCGAGCTTCTGTTAACTCATTCGGTTTTGGAGGCACCAATTCTCATGTTATCCTCGACGATGCCTTCCATTATCTTCAGAGCCGCGGCCTTAGCGGCTTCCATCACTGCACCGTTGCCCCTTCTCTCGGCCCCGCACAGACTGCTAATGGGATCACACACCCTACCACAGCCGAATGGAGTGATAGTGATAGTGACGAACTCGCAAGACTTGAAAGTCCCTTGAGGCTCAAGCTACTTGTATGGAGTGCTGCAGACGCAGGTACTCTCGAGCGCATGACGAATGATTACCAAGACTACTATCAAGCTCATATTGTTGGCAGTATTGGTAGACATGATCAGCTAGCGTATACATTGGCCGCACGACGATCTAGTATGCCATGGCGTACGTTCGCAGTGATCGATGGTCAAGATGATGTGTCGCGTTTACCCATAGCCCAACCGATCCGAACACCAACTGAGGTAACGAGTATCGCCTTCGTTTTTACAGGCCAAGGAGCACAATATGTTAGAATGGGACTGGAACTACTACAGTATCCTGTTTTCGAAGAAAGCCTTCGTAGATCAGAAGAGATACTAGCAAACTTGGGTTGTAAATGGTCGATACTGAGTGAGTATTGTCAAACTCCAACACTTCGTTACCTACTGACGCGAGCCATCCAGCTGAGATTTGCAACGATCGGAACATCAATCTACCCGATTATAGCCAGCCACTCTGCACGGCGTTACAGATTGCCTTAATTGAACTGCTTCGCACATTTGGTGTAGAGCCTGCGGCCGTAGTCGGGCATTCGAGCGGAGAGATTGCTGCCGCGTACGCCATAGGTGCACTATCCCATGAGTCTGCCTGCAAAGTAGCCTACTTCCGGGGGCAACTGGCTGGAAAACTACGCGCATCAGCAATAACTCCAGGCGCCATGATGTCCGTTAACCTACCAGAGACCGAAGTGCCAGAGAGTCTTGAGAAATCGGGGGTCTCACGACTTGGAGAGCATGCAATCTGTGTCGCGTGTATAAACAGTCCTACAAACGTCACTGTTTCTGGCCCATCCGATGCCATTGATGTTTTCAAAGAATATCTCGACAAACAAGGTGTCTTTGCCCAAAAGGTCAAAACAGGTATCGCATATCATTCTCCTGCCATGCATGCTGTTGCTGCCGAATATCTCTCCTTGATGGGCACTCTTGAAGGAGAGGAAATAAAGAATCGCGGCCGCAGGATTCCCATCATCAGCTCCGTTACTGGCCAATTTATATCTCCGAAACTGTTAGCCAGACCACAATACTGGGTTGATAACTTAGTCTCGCCAGTTCAGTTTTCTAAGGCTATGCAAGGTCTTGTGAGCGTCTCACAAATGCCACCACTTCCGATTGGGATCGACACAATCACCGATCTGGTTGAGGTCGGACCACATGCGGCTCTACGAAGGCCTGTGAAAGATTCAATCACATCATCGATACGTTACCACTCAGTTCTCCAACGCAACAAGTCACCTTTGCAGACTACACTATCTGTTTTAGGAACGCTGTTCTGCCACGGACACCCCGTCTCTATTCTGGCGGGAAATCTCCAGGCTCAAGGTAACCTGCCGTTCCTAGTTGACTGTCCGCCGTACCCATTCAACCATACCCGGCGCTATTGGAATGAACCAAGAATAAACAGAGATCTCAGATTGAGACGGAGCTTGTCAACATATATGCTTGGGAAACAAGCTCATGATTGGAACGAGTTACAGCCTAGATGGAGGAATTGGTTGTGTGTAGAGACGATGCCTTGGCTTGGTGATCATCTTGTAAGTCGCCTCTTGTCAACCTATTATCACTCCCCTAACTTTTATCACTATATTAAACTGATTCCTCAACTTATCATCTTTTCTTTTAGGTTTCCGATACTATTATCTGTCCGGGAACTGGAATGATGGTTATGGCTATCGAGGCCGCAAAACAGGCAGTAATAAACAACAACCGTGTGATATCCGGGTTTCTCCTCAAAGATGCTCAATTCCTTGCTCCAGTTCTGGTCGGTAAGACACAGCATACTTCCACTGAGACTATGCTCCATTTACGACCCAATCAGAATGCATACGACAAAGAGCCCACGTCGTATGATGTCGAAATCTTCACATACCGCGACGAGCACTGGACAGAATGCTTTCGTGTCAACGTCCAAGTACAATACGATGAACATGGAACAAGCCAAGTCGATAATGGCAAAGAAAATCAATTGGACTTGGCACAAATGCGCCAACTTTCCGATCAAGCGATCGTATCTTGCACAGAGTCAGTGGACAGGCGAGAATTCTACGACTACTGTCACGAGCATGGCAATTCTTACGGCGAGTCTTTCCGGCTGTTACGTGAAATTAAGTGGGATAGAGGTAATATGTCAACTGCAAGAATTGACATGAAGACCACTGCGAAACATGTGCGAAGCAATTCTCCTCTGCATCCCGCAGTTCTAGATGCGGGAATCCATCTAGTCATGGCACAGATCTCAAAGGGTCTCGTTGAAGACATTCCAACACTTGTCCCAGTCCGCCTAGCTAAGGCATGGATTTCAGCGAAAGCATGGGACCATACAATACCATCGGTACGCTTGACCTCCATCCTTCGTCCAAAAACCAAAAGCTCCACGAAACTTGCGAGCTCTTTCTGGGGTTTGGCCGATGATGGCTCACCACTTTGGGCTGCGGAGGATCTCATAATGTTAGGCGTTTCGCAACGTAGGAATACCCAGGACGATGGAACAGATCAAACGCTGCTCTACAATGTTGCTTGGAAACCTCAACTAAGCACCTTGTGCCCTAAGGATCTACTTCAACTGTGTAACAACGCAGCCCAGACCTACGATGAAACTTCCGACAATAAGAAAGCACTTAAGTCGGAGTTTACTATGAGGATGGTCGCACGTATAGCTGTTGAAGGCTTGAAGGATGGTGAACTCGACCGTACCCCAGCATATATGTGTCGATATGTGGCATCTCTCAGACATCACTACATTGAATCACCGCATGATGACGGCGAAAATATAAATGCATCGACACTCTCCAGTCTCCTAGATGAGTGCGAGATGGAGAGTCCTGACTGTCGAGTATTTATACAAGTTGGGCGTGCGCTCCCATCCATTATTCGTGGAGAAACGGATCCATTGGAGCTAATGTTTACGACCAAGAGTGCTGAATCCCTCTACAGCCACCTTGCCAATCGGCAAATGCGCGACGGCCGCTTCGATACGTTCCTTGATCTAGCGTCCTATGAGAAACCTGGTCTAAGGATTCTTGAAGTCGGCGCGGGTACCGGTAGTATTTCTCGCCTTATCCTCGCCTCCCTGCAACGTCTCGAAAATGAAACAGGACAATGTCGCTTCTCCAACTACACTTACACGGACATCTCACCCATGTTCTTTGAGTCTGCGAGTAGCGAATTGGGAGATTTTCAAGGCAGGCTGCAATTTAAGACGTTGGATCTCGAATTCGACCCAGAGAAACAGGGATTTGTACATGGGAGCTACGATCTAGTCATCGCGGGTCTTGTATTACATGCGACATCAAACCTAACCACAACCTTGGGGAGAATACGTGGACTTCTCAAGCCGGGCGGTCGCATCGCATTTCAAGAGGTTATCAACCCCAAAAATGCGTGCGCTCATGTTACCTTTGGCACACTTGGGGGTTGGTGGCTCAGCACAGAAGACTGGCGCAAACATACACCCCTCTTGACAGAAGAGCGTTGGCATGAGCTGTTACTTGAAACGGGGTTTTCAGGCGCGGATCTAATACTTAGGGATTATCAAAGCGATATCTCTCATCTCTGCAGCATGATTATTTCGCAAAAGTTGGATACCGAGAACGCCGGAGGAAAACCAAATGGTACCATTGACCATGAACAGGGCAAGACTTGGCTCCTCATCGATTCGGACTCAGAATCACAGCGTGCTGTAGCAGCGAAGATCAATGAGACATATGAGAGCACGCAAGTTTTACATTTGACCGATATAACTAGAGAGGGATGGGCTTGTCCGCCAAACCAAATCGTGGTGTCTTTACTGGAGATTGGCGCGTCATATCTAGCCACCCTCTCCGAGCCGAATTTCCAAACCTTGAAGAAGCTTATTCAAGGCGTTGAAAACCTACTATGGGTTAGTTCTATGCCCTTTACTGACGACAAGATGGCCGATCCGCATTCAGCCGTAGCCGCAGGCTTTCTTCGCAGTATCCAGACCGAAGAACCTGGGAAACATATCGTCCTCCTTGCGATTGATTCAGTTTTCTCCTCGACGGAAGTCAAGTTCGTGGTTGATGTCCTTGATACATGTTTTGCGAAAGAAAATGCATCTAAGGAACTCGAATTCGTTGTGCGTGACGGTCATCTGAGCATTGGGCGCATGATGAAGGATGTCGAGCTTGATGCGGAACGCCTGAGCCGTGTGGAGCCAACACTGCGGACCGAGCCGTGGAACTCTGGTCCGTCACTGGCTCTCGAAGTAGGGACTCCAGGTCTCCTAGACACGCTACGTTTCGTTGAGGATATCGAGTACCAAATCGATCTGGGCCCGGAAGAGGTTGAACTCGAGGCTGTGGCGTGGCCTCTGAGCTTCCGAGATATGTTCGTTGCACTTGGAAGATTAGAAATGGGAGGGCTGGGCGTCGAGTGCGCAGGTGTCGTGACTCGTGTCGGGCAGGCCTACCCACATGATCTCCGTTGTGGTGATCGTGCTGTGATGATATATTTAGGGTGCATGAGGACTCATCCAAGAGGCGTAGCTGATTTAGTCGTCAAGATCCCTGATTCTCTTTCCTTCAATGAGGCAGTTGCGGGAATCAACCCAGGAATAACAGCATATCACTCGCTAGTCAACGTAGCACGGCTACAGCCTGGCGAGAAGGTTCTTATCCATTCTGGAGCTGGAAGTACCGGTCAAATGGCTATTGCAATCGCGAAATTACTTGGCGCAGAAGTGTTCACGACGGTTGGCTTCGACGATAAGAAACGACTACTCATGGACCAATTTGACATCCCCGAAGATCACATTTTTTACAGCCGCAATACATCGTTCGCAAAAGGCGTAATGCGCATAACGAACGGCCGCGGAGTCGACGTCGTGCTAAACTCTCTATCGGGAGAAGGGTTACAGGCGAGCTGGGAATGCATAGCCCCATACGGGCGGTTTGTGGAGATTGGGAAAGCTGACATCGAAACGAATGCATCGCTACCCATGAGAAGCTTTGCTAAGAACACATCTTTCGCCGCGGTTGATCTGGTCCACCTTTCCCAGACAAATACCAAATTGATGCGTGAGCTAATTGAGAAAGTCCTCGCTCTAATCGCTGGGGGCGAAATCGGTGCGCCAGCACCTTTACATCTCTACAGCCGGCTTTCGGGGAGAAAGGAGAATGGTGCTGCACGCAGAGAGATGCAGAAAGGCGGAGGGAGCTGGAGACGGAGGACGAGAGCGAGGAGGAGATGGAGCTTATAGCCCCTATAGGGCTAGCTTAATAACTATCTATGGATTTCTTTTGTACAGGCGTTTTGAGGAACAGGAAGGAAAAGGAGGAAAAACAACAAAAACATAAAAACAACACCAGCCCTCGCGAGAGGGTACGAACTAGCCCTAGAATAGGGCGACGAGATCCCACAGAGGGGACCACAAGCAGTGGAACCCCATAACCAACCACTAGACCAACCTTCTAGTTCAAGACCTGCAAAGCCCTCCCCCGGGAGGGCTTGGGATTAGGCCGATCGATAAGTAGCGATCGCTAATCAGGGAATGTTGAGCCCCCGAGGCAAGATTTGGCATCATAGTATCATCAAGATCATCAGTATTTTGTAAATAGGTAGTAGAGCTTGCCACGTCCCATACCCCTAGGGAGGTTGCGAAGAGAGGCCCACGCCCGTTCGCTCAGACGTTAAACAAATCAATCAATCAATCAATCAATACATCTCTACAGCGTGTCCAATGTCGAGAAGGCCTTCAGATATATGCAAAGCGGTACAAACACCGGCCGCATTATCATAACAGCGAGCGATAGTGACATTGTTCCGGTAAGACTTATGGAAATAGATCGTTGGTATGCCCGTCACTAACTCCTTAACAGAAATTCCTGCGGTTGAAGAGTACCTGGGAGTTCGATCCTAACGCATCATACATCGTCGCCGGAGGATTCGGTGGTATCGGTCGTGCCATACTTCGATGGATGACAGATAGGGGCGCCAGGAATATTATCGTCCCCTCGCGCTCCGGGCCGTCTAGTCAGGCAGCACTAGACGTAGTCTCAGAACTTACGGCTAGGGGAGTTCGATTGATAACGTCGTGCTGTGATGTGGGATCAGCTGAAAGTTTATCTGCATTGCTTCAAGAGTGTGGTACTAGCATGCCTCCCATTAGAGGATGTATAAACTCTGCCATGGTGCTCCAGGTTCGTGCTCTCTACTTGCATCCCACTCTACTCCTCCTTCCCCTTTCTCCCCCATCTCTGTAGCCCCATATTTTCGCTCTTCTCTCTTTCTCCACTTTTACCCCTTTTCTTCCTCTGCCAGACCAGCACTTACAAACGAAATAGGACTCCATCTTCGAAAACATGACGCACGCAGAATGGACAGTAACAATCCAATCCAAAGTGAACTCAAGCTGGAACCTACACAAACTCCTCCCCCAAAACCTAGACTTCTTTATCCTCCTCTCCTCGCTATCCGGCGTCTACGGGTCCCCAGGCCAAAGCAACTACGCCGGCGGCTGCACCTTCCAAGACGCACTAGCACGCAGCCGCACCGGCGCCGGCCACCGCGCCTCCGTATCCATCAACCTCGGGTGGATGCGCACCATCGGCATCATCGCAGAAACCGAACGCTACCGCCACAACCGCATGAACGTCGGCGACATGGCCAAAGTCGAAGAACCGGATTTCTTCGCCCTGCTAGACCATTACTGCGACCCGCTCCTCCCACCCCTCGACGCAGACCACTCCCAAGTCCTCATCGGCGTCATCACACAAGCCCATTTCCGCGCGAGAGGCGAAGCCCCGAACCACATGGTAAGCCGCCCGCTATTCGCCAGCCTCGAGTCCCCGCACATATACGGCACAGGCGCCAACGCATCCTCCGCCGCCGCGGCGCAAGAGGATTTCCCGGCTCTCTTCCGACAGGCTCGTTCCCCACGCGAGAAAAGCGAGGTGTTCGTCGCGGCGCTTAAGGCGAGGCTGGCTCGTGCTTTGGATGTACACCCCGGAGACGTGGATCCCAGGAAGAGTCTGTCGGATTATGGCACGGACTCGCTGATGGCGGTTGAGTTGCGGAATTGGATTCAGAGGGATTTTGGCGTCACGTTGGCGGTGTTTAATATTATGGGCGGCGCGGATATTGCGGCTGTTGGGGAGTTGGTTGCTGAGAGGGCGGAGGGTTAGGGGTGGGGTTGATTTTGGGGGGTTTAGATAGGTACCTAGTATGGAGGATTTTGGTTTGTGCGGTATGGATGAAGATGTGATGCTCGTGGAAAGTGGTGGGTGCAAGCCGGGTTAAGGGGGTTGAACGAGCTGGTTCTTGTCGCCCGTTGAATAGTGAGGATCCTGTAGTTTTTCCTGTAATTTTCGGGGTTATAGATGTAGGCGATGTTTGAAATCTTTTCTACAATCAAAATGGGATCTCCCATGTATGGAGCTCATATCTGATTATGGCTGTGATATGTTCGAAGAATTGTGTGTAATGCGCATGATGATAATCATGTGCTTACAATGATTGGACATGGGCATGGGGGCACATTCGTATAAGAATATTCCTTGATAAAATAATGTGGTGGAACGGATTATGGATGGGAAATCGCCAACGAAAAGGACCGTATCCATTACGTCGTGAAAGTGATGGTGTAGTCGTGATAATATGCCCTACATATCCGTTTACGACTGATAGAGTGCACGAAAATATTGAGACGGGTGCAAGTGAAAAAAAAATTAAAAAGGCAAAAAAAAGCTCGGAACTGAATTGAATTCAGAACCTACGAAAAACCTCCGTTGAGCGGCCGTGGTGTCAAGTGCAGTGTTTCAACCGCTCCACCATTCGGCAAGCTCTGTCGAAGTTTTCTCTGGCCTCAAGTCACCCGAGGGAATTCCTCTTAGTGGGGTCGGTTAAAAGAGTGTTGTTTATTATATTATATAAGTCTTGTATCGTCGAAAGATCTATTGGGTGCAGCGACAGCAAGGGTCGTGATGATGACTCATCCCAATACTGCACACTTGTTCCCCACTTATCTCATCATCTCCACCTGATCTAAGTAGTGCGTCTAATATCAGGAACTCCCACCATGTTGTTCTATCATTTCATTCTATAGAAAATAATTTTTCATTGCTCTATCTTCGAGGCTTCGCAGACGGGTACTCCTTTCTTCTCCAAGCCAGACGGCCTCTTTCCTTTCCCATGAGATACTCCAGATGGAATCATATAACACTTCTCATGATTATTCCAAACTTTAAATCCAAGGTAAATCTATCATCGTCTGGTAAATTCATATCAGTTGTATCAATTTCTACATTGACTGTCAGATCTTTTGATTGCCCAATATAAATTAAGCGTAGATTTAGACCATAGAGCAAAGAGTCCCACTCTTATTCTTCCATTCTCCCATTTCAAAACAAGGATTCTGGTAGGCAGGTTCTTGGTTTCTACGCATGATATTTAGTATGATTTGTAGGAGCAATCATGATTCTCGCCTCTTATAAGAGTGTCTCCTTATTGGATCTCGGAAAATAGACGGGAACCAAGAGTGAATATCTCGACCACCGAACGGAGGAGACTAGATGTTGGTACGTTCAAGAGAACGTCTCAACCCACCTGATCTATCCATTTAACTTAACTCATATAGAATCAGAGGAGAAGAATCAGGGGTAACTGAGCTTATGTAATCCAGAGATTGACATAATCTCATTCGTAGGTAAATACCCCCATATATGCATATATGCGGGGTACTTATCGATCTATGCAGGTTGGTAAAATAAAAGCTCTTTTTAGTTTATACATGGATTTCGAAAGCTTCATCCATCTTAACTTTACACACATTCTTGTGATTGCTTCGATTCCCTTCATTATCAATACATCTTTTCAACAAACATTGCGTATTTCGCACTTTGGTTAACAGTACTCTCTGGCCAAGTCAGGTATCGCTTTACAGCTACTTGGGATTCATACTCATGTTTGTTCACGTCAGTATGCTGCAGGATTATCGATCGATTTTGTGGTAACACTTGACTGCGAGCTGCACCCAAGCGGGAAGGTCTCATTTATTGAGAGTATCAAGAGATTTCGATTCGTCTAGATTCACTACCCTCTGGATTTTTAATGTATCCGGTGCGCTAGTTCACTTCATTTGCCTTGGCCATCCGAGTTCACGACCCCGCGATTCATACGTTCCATATCGGACGAGCTTTTCTACGCGAGAACCGACGGTAGTGTATCTGTTGGGTAGGTGAGATTTGTGTTGCATAAAGGTAAGTCGCTTTGACTGGTCTGATAGAAAATAGATACCATTATTAGAAGTTTCTACTATGGATCTTTCGTTAGGCGGCCAGTCAAATACAGCCCCTCACCACTTGGGGCTTTGCATCAATGCCTTTGGTGCTGTTCAGCTGTTCAGCCGTTGTTCTAGAAATGAGTCTATCGGTCACAGCTGTAAGGAGCTGAGGATCCTTTATGCGCCACCGGGGAACTACACCAGGAACAACAGGAACAACATGAACAAGGCGCTGCCAATCGATTAGTCGGTTACAAGTTTGGCCAATTCTGGGGTCATTTTCGTCACCAAAGACAATCAAGACCCAATTGCTTCCTAGCTCATCCTTGCGGGCGCGTGAGAAAGTTGACCGACCAAGGCGAACCTTGGCGCAGCCACCAGAGCCTATTGGATGGTATCGGCACTATGACAACCGGAATATCCAACATGCTACGTAGTATATTTGCTCCGCCGCCTGCTGACGAACAGGAGAATACTGGATGTTTCTTGTAAAAGGTCATCAGGCCCTTTCGCTGATTTCCAACTCATTTCTTATCACAAGCTTCCGGCACCTGTCGAATATTCGTATCGCACTGTCAGACACAATCACTAGACCGAGATCAAAGTTATTACTAACATATCGTATTCGGGCCACGATTGTTATCCCTTCTTTCATCCAACTGGTCTCGTTGGCTGACCAACTTGCGGCTTACACAAGTGCCGAGACGGCCGAGAAGGAAGAATATTGTTTCCTCGCTTGATCGGATTTGAGGATCTTCATTCCCCACGACTTGTTCAAACATAGAATCGTCGTTTGCCCCACGTTACTTTTACCGTTAGCGCTTTCAACTCTCGAATTCTTATACAAAGGAAACGATATTGTGATATTAACATGTTCCGATTTGCTTAAAAAGACGTCTTATTTCGAAATCCTGTCGATAGAGTGCCGGAGGAAGCCCGAGAGCCAACCAACATTGGAAGTTTGGGATTCGAGTTTAACCCTGTGCCATATGGTGTAACCTATTGAGAATTGGGAACCCAGCAAAGACGGTCCTTCAATAATGGATACTACTACGTCGTCGAACAAGGAACGATCGTCGCATATGGCACTTGTCTATGCTCGATTGTTCAAGCCGCGACCATCTGCTCGAAAAATTAAGAAGAGAAATTCAATGCCGGCGAAATCAAATGACCAGAAATCAGTCGACTCTTCGCCGCCTTCAACAATTCGTCCAGATGTTGGTGTTCCTAAGCATCAAAATCGAGCAAACCAGATTCAAGCCACCGATTCCAATTTTAGAACCCTGTAAGTTTCCCTTTACTGCAGCAAATTCCCCGAATGGCCAGAATCGTGACGAGATCAGCCCCGTTTCAGCTCGCGAACCATGATTGCTCCCAAGAGGATTCTATTCCCAATTGGTTTCTTCGATTTCCAAAGTTGGTTATTTTATCAGCTGAAACTCGATGCTCGATATCCGACACCGTATTACTGTATCCTCATAATACATTTAATACATTCAATACGTTCGATACACCCAATAACATACATTCATCCCAGCATGGCGTCATATCTTACTTGATCAAGCTACTTTAGTTCTCCCGAAGCAATGCACGGCGTTCTTAAGGGGTAGATGTATTTTGTCAGGGGTTAGTTAATTTCCACGGCGATGCGCTACGCAAAAATAGCCTCATGGCACTCGCCAACAGTCAAGTGGCCGCCTATCACGAATCGAATGTCTTAACTAGGACTGCGTAGTCTCTGGTCCAAGCTAAACACAACAGGCTAGGTGGTGCGGTAGTTGTCAACAAGTCAAGAGCAACAACGTGCTAACCTACATGGATTTCTGACCCTATTTTTGACCCTTTTTTGACCCTTTTTTTTTTACCTAGAAGTCTAGCTGGTCTAGCTAGGGTTACGACTTCGCTACCTCGCTACCTCGCTCAAGCTACCAGAAAAGTTCGTCAACCCGGATGATGCAAGGCACGTCTTGGTCTTTTAATCTCTGCAGACCCATCTAAATGCGACGATCTTCACCTCCGATTTTCTATCTTCTACCTTTGTACTCCTCTGAGCTGAGTTACTGCTCTTGCTAACTTCCTTTTCTTTTTTTTCTAGATTATTCTCGAGACATCAAAGATCTCAATCCGCATCTTCGGCAACTCTGCGACCGCGATTTGACGATAACTTGTTGAGACCCGTAGCGGCGACAGGGTCTCGTCCGATGGGCTCCACCATGGCTTCGTATTCATCTCACAACCCCGGATCTACTCCTGACTCCTATATAAGGCGAGACTCTTCGCCAAGAGAATCAGCTTCGAGGACCGATCGCTCAAGCTTCAACGCAATTGGGCCAGCATACGCCCAGCAAGCTCAGCAAGCGCAGCGACCAGTAAAACTTCCTCCGTCGATGATGAGTAACTATGCGCAAATAGATCCCCGACCTGCAATGTATAACCGATCCGGAAGGCCGACGAGTAGCGCCTCGAGCGTTACGAGCTCGGTCAGTACAAACGACACATTCGATGCCATTCTTGCGAGTCCGGCCAGCAGTAGAACGAGCTTCGATTCTTGGAATTCGAATCCACGGAGAGTCGAGTATGGATGGCAGCGACCGGCACCGATTAAACAATACCGACGAAGGAGAGAAACCGGAGAACTTTTTGATGCTTTACCGGAAGAGGTTCTAGGACTCATTCTAGATGAGGTAAAGAAGTTGCATCTAAAACCCGGTAGTGCAAGCTGCGCAACATGCATGATGAGAGACATGTGCTCCGCCGCCGTATCGGCACGGAAGCTATTGAAGGTCGCTCGGGTTGCACTGTGAGTTTCTCAAATTTCTTAGCAGCATCCAGTAAATTGACCAAAAGTGAAGGTATGAGGATATTCAACTTATCGGAGCAGACTCGCATGCACAAAAGAAACGATATAAGCTGAATTTTGGCTCCCGCCTGGTTCTACTTCGCCGGACACTGAGATCGAATCCTGAGCTTGCAGCAATGGTCCATACCCTGAAAGCACCCGCTATCCCCCAAGGTGTCGCAGTTGACCTGTATCAAAATTTAGTAGCTTCTGTCATCATGGCATGTCCCAATTTCGAACGATTGATTGGATTTCACCAGAACCACGATTATTCTTTCAATCGCTTATTCCATGCTTTATCGACCAGGCGAAAGTTGGTAGAAATGCATTGGACGCTGGAGCCATCCCAATTCCAGCGGAAACGCCGCCTATCGAACGCCGCAGCCCTGCTAAATTCGGAGAACCCCAACTTTCAGGAAGCCCCCGGCGATCTTCTACCGGAACAAAGTGAAGACTTTCTTGAGCTACATACCGATTGGGAACATTTGAAAACTCTTTCAATACATTGCCTCCCGGGCGCTACTCTAACGCCAATCTCACTTATTCCGGACATAGTGTCTCGCTTACCGGCGCTTGAGAATCTTCATTTATCTCATTTACCCTTCACAGCTTTTAGCGATGCGAATCTATTGTCATTGCCATCGTTAAAAACCCTCACCTTATCGCATCTTCCGGGCGTATCTAGCGAAGGCCTTTCATCCTTCGTGAGACGTCCTCATTGCAGGACGATTCGAAAACTCGTCCTTCAACATGTTGATGTGGACTCGTTGCCTGCGCTTAGTCAAATTCTCTCCAATCTTACATCCTTGGAGTCATTCGCTCTGGTGCAGAATTCTATGCCGATTATGCCACCAAATGAGATGATATGGCTATATCCTTATCTCGCGTCACCTTCACTTCGCAAATTGCACTGGGACATTACAAGTCATCCATCATGTGCAAGCATGGCGGATTCGGTCCTCGCGAGAAGCATAGCAGCAAACGGATTCCCATCGCTCCGGATCCTAAGGACGCCTAACGATCCGGAAGGGATTTTCCAATCGCTTTGCAAGCCGGTCGAGAATATTGAAAACCTTGAGATAGCCAACGAACAGGTTCGTGGGCTTATTACTAAGTGCACTTCGCGACCTAGTCCTCCCGCTACACCAACAACTCCCAGTACACCGAAGACGCCAAGCAAATCTCCCTCGGGCCTCCATTTCCCGATGGAAGACCAATTGTTCCCGTCTAAGGTGTCGAGCAATCTATCGCAGGCGCGTCTCGCGGCACAGAGTAGGTTGGAGGCGGCACGGCAGACCCCACGTTTCACCATTAACGTGATCGGGGACGACGGAAGTGTGGTAGAAAACTACGGCCTCGCAGGTTATATGGGACAGACCGAGTCGAAGATCGGTTATTGTGTTACGCCTGATGAACATGCCACAGATGAAAATGGCGGTCTAATTGATATTGCGGACGTTCTCGGCGACGGGGGCGAGAACGTGAAGGTCGAGGGCAGGGACGGGTGCAGCGGACGCTGGAATACTTACAGCGGAAACGTGATCGATAAGAAGGATCGCGAGAGGTGGTATCATACGGAACGTGGGCGATGGCATTCGGTGCCTCTGTCTTAAGCGTTGGGGGGAAGGCGATCTGGGGTGGTAATGATGTTCGGTCTTGGTGCACGTTTACGTATATATATATACCCTCTTGTAGAAACGGATGAAGGGGTGAGGATAATGTGTTTCGTAGTGGTGGAGGTGGCGACGGGTGTGGCTCCTGTGATTTAATTATACCTATGTTCATACTAGGATACCCCGTCTGGTAATTGAATTTTATTTCTGAGGCTTCAAATGATTGTTGTTCGATGTGAACTTGACTTATACCCCGGTAAGATGGAAGTACTGGTTTGTTTTGTGGTGAAATTAGACCAATAGCGGTTCAGGGGGTCTCGTTGTTACCAGTAACGAAAAAGGGGCGAGCTTTCTGTTACCCCGTAACACAGAAAGCCCGACCATCGGCGCCGAGCATGCTGAACTAAGCCCGAGCAAGCCGCGCAAAACGTCATTGTCTCCGATTTTTTTTGTCTTTCCCCAAACAACTCCAATAAGTTACCTCTTCACCTTTACACAATTAACGACAAAATCAACGACCTACATATTCACGCTTCAAGTCTTTAGACTGAATAAATTTCATACTTAGATTCTACGTGTAATCCTACCTTCTACTACACTTAAACTTCAAGAACCGCAAAAATTAGGTAGTCGTATCTATCTTAGCGATGCGATCTTCCTTGCTACCCCGAAGATCGCTGCGTCGCGTCTGCGACACTTGCAAACAGCAGCAGCGCAACCACGCGCCGTGGCCAAACTTCAGCCAGGCCGCCGCCCTGAGCACAACCGCACCGACTAGAATCGCCTCTTCACGGCAACCTACCTGTACCAGTACCAGCTTAATACCAATCTCACGCGGAACACCAACCTGCAATCACATACGGCAGTCCCGGCGCATATCAACAAGCGCCGCATCTCCAGCCGAACCCCCGACCTCGCAAGCCACCCAAGACCCAGAAACCGAAACCACCACCACCCCAACACCCACCCCCGCGCCCACAAAAACCTTCTACGACCTCTTCCCACAAACCCTCCCTTTAGGCCCCCCACCCGCCAGCCCCTTCGCAATCGACCAGCGCGCTCTCCGGCGGGAATTCCTAACCCTCCAAGCGAGCGCACACCCGGACGTCGCGCCCCCCGGCACGTCCTCCAAGCGGCGCGCGGAAGCCGTATCCGCGCGCATCAACGAGGCTTACAAGACACTATCGCACCCGCTCTTACGCGCGCAGTATTTGTTGCATTTACAGGGTATGGATGTAGCGAATGATGAGACGGGCCGGGTGGAGGATCCGGGGTTGTTGATGGAGGTTTTGGAGACAAGGGAGGCGATTGAGGAGGTTGAGGCTGAGGAGGGGTTGGAGCCGTTGCGGGTGCAGAATGAGGCGAGGATTGGGGAGTGTGAGGGGAGGCTGGAGGAGATGTTTGGACGGGGGGATTGGGAGGGCGCGAGGGGGGAGGTGGTGAGGTTGCGGTATTGGGTTAATGTTAGGGATACTATTAGGGATTGGGAGAGGGGGAAACCGGTTGTGTTGCATCATTAGGGTGTGTGTTGATGCTGTGTGGCTTGTTAAGGGGTGGTAAGACTCCATGAATTCAAGCTGCAGCCCTTGATATCTATCAGGCCCTCCTTCTCGCATGAGGACGATGTGGTAGGCTTTTCCTAGAAGGGGTCGTCGACACCACCGCTTTGTTCGTTTTAGGCACGTCAGATCCGGTATTCATATAACTGGTCGTGTATAGTATGAATCCGATCCTGGTATTCCTATCCAAATATCGCGTAGTTTGCAGCCTTGGGGGCGGAATCGGTGATGTATTCGACTTGCACCTCTCGCCCAAAAACATCACCGCGTTTTCCTTCTGTGGGCTTTGGCGTTGCAAGATGCGATAGACGCCGGAGCTTTCGTTATACTGCTTCGGACCGAAATCGAGTTTCTTGTTGAAGATGTCCTTTTTGTAGATACTCTTATCACCAATCTGGCCGCGCCAGAGTCTAGTGTGTTCCTGGAAGAGGCCTGTGTCAAAGACTACTGATTGCACATCTCCATACTGTTCCTGGAAAATATGATCGAATATTGTTGAGTCCTGGTTTTTGATGACTTGGCCCAGCTTAATGAGTTTCAAGTTGGATATCAAGCCGAGTGCCGACTGAGAGTCGTAGTGGTTTTTGAACTCGCCCAGCTTTGTATCCGTAAGAAAAAAACCCAGCTTCGCCAATGCAACTGCGAGATCGTGGGTCTCACACCAGTTAGTTTTTAGAAATCTGTCTGCGAAGCCTTCTAGTTTTTCCATTTCGCCAGTATGGATATTGAACAGCGACACGATACTGTTGATCCGCCTCATATTATCAATGTCGTGTGGAAATTTCTCTTTTAGCATCTCGATCGCTTCAGTGTCTCGCAATACAACCATGAAGCTAAAAGCACTTGCGACTAGTGTCAGCTTGGATAGCCGTAAATACTCCTTTGCATGGCTGCTGTTTTTCAAACCCTCGTCTTCAATCCAATTGTATTTGATGCTCATGGCCGTGAGGAGAAGAACAGAAATGTCCAACTTTTCAGATTTTCTTGGACTTCTCTCTAGAAACTTTCCATCTTCAATGAGATCTTTGAATATGGAGCGGGAATAGCCACATTCTAGCAGCTTACACGCGGAAAAGAGCGTATCTACCCAGTCCGGGGTGTCTCTCCAACGGTGATATTTATGTCCCATCAGTCCTGTCTCCGGATAGGTCTGTTTGAACCAATCCGCAAACTCCTGTGAACTTTGAAAGTTTTCCACATCTTTCTTCCCTCCCTCCTCATCAGCCCTTTCTAGATTTTTTGCCAGCTCCTCTAGCATAATCTCGGATGTGATGGACAGGCCATTAACCGCGTCAAGCATTCGATTCATAGCGCCGGTAGGGATAAATTCTGCCCGCTTCTTGTATATGATATCGTGTTCAACTTGAGCCCAGGCATGCATAACTATAGTCGTAACTTGAATCTCCACCCACTTGACAGCTTTATTATTCATCCTTACGCGTAGGTGTCCAGCGCGGTAACCAGAGTGCCTCCAATACTGGCCTATTTTACCATCTGGAGCAGAGTACCAATCCCCGATCAGGTAATCTTCCGGTTGCAGATTGTTTCTGTCGTGGATAGTCCGAGACTTTGTAGTGCTGAGCTTTGTCGCCTCTACAACGAAGTGTCCGGAGCTTTCGATGACTTCAGCAACTTTCAGTACGTCATCAGGGAAGTAAACCAAAATACGGACTCCTGCGCGATCCGAGATAGCACTGTGGAGTTTATCAAAGGCCTCTTTCTTGCTTGTAAATCCCTGGTCCTGTTTCCAGAATTTTATGGCTAGTTTCTGGACCTTCTTCGCTAAGCTTTCATATGTTTTGGTTCTTGCCGAAATTTGGGTCGGGAACGTCTTTATAGGATCGAAAAGCCGTTTACATAAATCGCTAACTTCTCCTGTCAATCTTCTGTAGTTAGCTATATCGGATTCGTATTTCCCAAGGAATTCCATTGCGGCTTCTTGCCACACGGATCGTTTGCGTTCTTTTGAATCCTCTGAAATTATAACATGAACACCCTCAGAACTTCTTTTGGGGCACATATTGATTGATGGAGATGTGTTATGTAGGAATGTTTCAACAGGTTCACGGGAGATTTTGATACAGATAGAAATAAGTTAAACTGCGGAGCTCAACATCATATAAGATATTATAAAGTTGAGATGAGTAGGGGCAAGTATTCATGGGGGCCATTTACACCAATACGGGGACCCTGGGTACCTACAGGGAGGTATTAGACAATCGGTGTGAGTAAAAGGAAAGTCTGCGGACGCCATCGACGTCAAGATCAAGTACATCTCCACCTAGAGCCTCAAAGGTAGGCACCTAGTGCTATATTATTCACATTAAATATCTGGGTATGCTATTTCAGCTGAAGTTGTGTATCTTCCTTCTCCGAAATGATATATCGGTACCATGTGCTGGGGTCGGGTCAGCTACCGCTTTTGTCGAGCCGGATCCCAAAATAGGAAATCTGCAAGGTAGGAAAGTTATATTTCCTCTGCATCATGTCAGTAATCAGTGCATTGTGGCCGAGTGTGCAGCCTCAGCCTTCATATCCCACTTTTCTACTTCGCTCTTCGCTCTTCGCTATCTATTGCTCACCGAAAACTTCACCATATTGATCACCTAAAGGTAACATTCAGCCATGTTGCAGCCGGTGTTCTCCGGCATTAGACACTCCCGAGGTCGTTTATTCTTCTCATCGATGTTTTCCGACACCCTCCGTCACGGTACTGTTCTCTACTTGCAATAGCACAATAGCACAATCAGCTTGCACCTCGTAATGTACCTATATAGCTCATACTTAACTATTAAAATAGCTCAAACGTCCTCTCAAACAGTTTCCCATCACTCGCCATATCCATGGCCTCTCCCTTCATCAACCCATGGACATAGCATTCTCCAACAAGCAGATAACGTTGCTCCCCGAAAGGCCGTATACAGAACGGCATTTTCCCGCCGAACAAAACGCAGACAAGATCACCCTTTTCCATGACTGCTGGTCCAAGAACGTAGTATCCTTTGCTGGTACGAGCAAACTTACGATTCTTCGAAGCGCCATTCGCCATACGACTCCATTCCTCCTCCACGCCGTTCAATTGATCTCGTCTCCCTAAGGATCTCAACCTCAACGAGATCATGTCTGACTCTCCGAGAGTATTGACGAGGTATGTCGCTGCTTGTTTAAGCCATACAGAGTCATCAATATCAAGGTACATTTTCCCTTCTCTTCCTGCAGCTTGCACGCAGCCATTGCTTAATGTCTGCATGAATGCGAAAAATGCTTCATCTCCGTTCAAGTATGGATCATCTAGGTCAAAACGACCCTTTCCGCAGATCTCGCGCCAAAGATATTCGACGACTGTATCTTGATCTCCATTCCCTTTGATGCGATAAACTTCTTTGTTCACTAGAACCCTAGAGCACGCTTCGATCTCGTCAACTTCTAAACCATGGATCTGAAGAACGGCAGTGTCGCCGCTTATCTCCAGTTTCGGTACCGAGACACCATGCGCTCGATGGGGGTTTATCGGTTCCGACAAGATGAATCCTTGGTAGTTTCTCCAGTCCGGCACCCACGATGGTAGTTTGGATACGTCTGATAGCCATGTCTGCTGGGAAAATATTTGATCTTTGGTCTCTTGGTTGGAAGGAAGGCTCTTGCTTGTGTGCTGTACGGCTGCTAAAGAGATCAAAGCGGAATCTCCTTCGCTTCCTTGCAATGCTCGCCTCGCAATGTCTTTATACACCTGTTCTACACTTATTTCATAATCGGCCTTAAGCGACACAAGTTCATGATTCGTGCAGTAAGTCGGCTGGAGTGAGTAATGGCCGAGGAATGCAAAGATGCGATCTCTGTCATCTGTGAAATGGAGAGTACGAGCTCGATGAAGCTCATAGATGAAGTTGAACCGGTTCGCGTGATAGCTATTCTTGTCTGGCTCAATGAAACGCTGGAAGAAGAACTTGATGGTCGATGTTCTTATATCATACGCTTTGCGAAGATGATGGTATCCTGCGAGTCTCTCGCACACGCCGTATAGCATCCCCCAGTCGATTTCTTCGTCCCCCCAGAACAACGTCGCTGGTGCCTGAGTTCCAATCTCCTGCACAACCCAACCTCGTGTGAACTACGCTTATAGTAAGCAATTGATATTAGGTACCTAGTCAGAACTTGCATGTTCGGTTGGACTTACCCATTTGCGCCCTGTGATATGGTGTAGTCTCCTATGATTTTCCCCTACTTCTTGTTCCAAGTCTTTGACAAGTCCTACATGAGACTTGTCATTCGAAACTATGCTCTGGAATATCCCATGTAGCCTATGAATCAAGTCGAAGGCTAATCCTGCTTCTCTTTTCTCGTCTAGCCCGAGCCAGACAAGAACACGATCTGCTTTTTTGTAGATTATGTTCATGAATCGTACCTGCTTGCTTCTTTCATCCAAATCATCTTGGTTGACGCAAATTTGATCGGCCCAGATACGACGTTTCTTTCTTGGAAGCCGGAGCCTTTGTAGTGCTGCAAAAATGCCACCCGTTTTCAATTTCAAGGGGTACTCAGTATCATCATCATCGAGCATAAGAATCTCCCATTCGCAGTTCGGTGGTCCAGGCTCTGCCCAGACGTATGATATTACCTCGTGGTTGTTGAGAGAGTCTATTTGGACTGTTTGCAACGTTCCTCTCAATGGGTCACCTGGAACTCCGGCGTCCAAGGTGAAGACCCGAATATGGTTATTGATCGTGATTGGTCGATATTGATAGCTTGGCAGGGTCCTTGGGGGAGGTGACGTAGGGACGTCGTCGCCTTTGAGTCCGGGAACTCCGTCCATGCTGATACCTAGATGCACAATAGTTATGTGCTTCAAATCATCTACCTAGTATTCGTAGGTAGGTACCTAAATTTGTCTATCCCGGAGACAGATTGAGACAGAATAGGTTCAGAAGTATGCACACATAGGTATATTATAGTTTCGCATTTGTGTTAATACCTAGGTGCCTGCCTACCTACCTTGTATATTAAGAGCCCTTATGCACTACTCTACAGTCTACAACCACCTGCGCATGACCCTCCAGGCTTCGTCTTTAGCTAGGCACCTAGCTGGCTGAAATACCTATCGTCATCACGCCCACCATTACAAAATCAAATGATACGATGGCTTAGATACTACATCACGATTTACATGTAACCCTCCTGAGATGCCCAAAAGTCCAATCGGCCCCCACGAAGTAAATACCTAACAAAGCCTAACCATACATTCTGCAAAAACATACCTACACTTCTTCGCTCTTATAATTGGAACATTCCTTGATTAAACCTTCCATACCATACCCTACCGATCTACACACCAATACGCTAACACGAATTCCTCCTAGGTACCTATGTATTTATCACCTATCCGTCTTCGTCTTTGTTCGTTTCGACCGCCTTGTAGGTCCTTTTGGTGCCTTTCTCTTCCCGGTTTGCGTCGTAGAATGGACAACCGTTTCTAACGCGACGCCGCCTTCTTCGACATCAGTGCTGGTGGTTCGCTGGATAAACTTGCTCGTCCCATCTTCGCGCAATTTACAACTTAATGAACTATCAAGAACATCAAACGTAAACTCGCAGTTTCCGACCCAAAAACGGTATTTCTCGGGGCCCTTTTTGCCCATGTGTGCAATATCCGCCATATATGACGGTTTTAGGTAATTGGCGAAATCGATCCACAGATTTACGCGTGTGTACTTGTCGAATGTCTGTTCGGGTAGAGATGAAGCCAGGTCGATCTTGTATACATTCCACGATAGAGGCTCCTGATGAATATATCGCCAAGATGATCGTGATTTAGAAGGTATAAAATAACCTTGCTTCATTTTGCGTTTCTGAACCGCGGACAAATTTGATACACGAAGGGATCCTATATCTGTACGTGTAATGGCTTTTGATGATACTTCCGTACTACCACGAAGTTGGTAGCGGTTCAGCCCATCTTGGAAGCTTGAAGTATTACTCCCAGAGGCATTGTTTTGATAAAGATCGTCCTAATTATACAAGTATGAGCAATGGACTTAAACAAGTAAAAAAGGCATCGTTAGTGATCTAATAAGAGTTGGAAAACTGCCTACCTCTTGTGATATACCTCCTAGATCGCGCGGAAATAGTTCCTCGCCGGTCTTGAGCCAGTCTATTATTGAAGTTTGGCTCGAGATTTCGGCATTACCGCTAGCTGACTCGGCGGATCTGAAGATTAATGGAATCCAAGAAGCATAGTCTGCATCGTCCAATATCGTAGCAAGTGAATATGGAACAACACTTAAAATACCCGTTTCAGATAGCATACCGTCTTCGGCAGGGAAGAACTTTCCTTCGGGATGAACGACTCTACCTATGTCCGTGAGTAGAAGGGGTACTTCTACATGTAACTTCTTCGCCCTATACTCAATGCCATCGTGAAGCTTTTTGATATCGAGAAAACGCTGACAAAAATTGATAAGTTTGGATTCCGACTCTTTATCCAGTCGCGGTTTCTGTGGGTGCAATACATTGAGAAAGTCGACTAAAGACGGACGGGGTGATGGTTCTGTTGATTTCAACATGGCTTCTTCGTTTCCGAGCATAAAATCATCCGCCACGCCGAGGAACGAGGCCATGTTGATAGAATGTACTACCCTAAAAGCGAGATATCTGGCCTCTTCAGCTTGCACCTGTGTCCGATCAAGTACCCGGCCGGAAGAGAATCGCTGAGTGCGCCCTTGCTCCAGCTCGTATTTTGCTTTTAGCAAGTAGAAGGGCAAATCTTCACCGAAAGAGTCTGGGTTTGATTGAAAGAACTTTTGGTGGGTGTATTCAAGAAGTATTTTCAGTCCTCCAGATGTATCATCATCGTTTTTATCATTCTTATCACCGGAGCGAAAGATATGTAATAATTTTTCCAATTCGCGCCAAGCAGGTGATCCGCCTTCCCTTTTATGCCCCACGGAGTTCGCCCTGCAGTAATCATTCATCCAAACACCAAGTTCAAACTGGCTACGAGCCGGCGCATTTTCGTTTCGTGCTCGCTCGCTCTCCTTATGGTCATTGGCCTTTGCAAGTTGTTTCAAAGCTGCTTCCCCAGATTTTACAATCCCATTGAATACCTCTAATATATCCCTTTGATCATCCGATGGCTCGCTTGTAGTTGGCTTGTAGATAATGTCGTGCTCAATCTGTGACCAAGCATGCATCACAACAGTACCTATCTGAATCTCAATACTGTAATGGGCGCCTTTATGATATCTGGGGATTTCGTCTTCTTGTAGTTCGACAATAACGTGGGTTGCTCTATAACCCGTATCCTGGACTTCGGTTTGATATTCCCTTTTTGAATTACCTTGGTTCGTTGTCTGTAGTGTTTTCGCTTCCTCCAATATTTCAACGTATCTCCTAAGATTGGACATAGTTGTGTTGCCCTGAGTCTTGCGAGTAACCTTCTTGATTTTCACTTTTCCACAGCCTCTAAGCCAAGATACAACTTTTTCAACATCTTGGGGGAAGTAAACACAGACTCTCACACCACCAAAATCTGGGAGAGCGTCTAGAAGGCTGTCAAGATCCTTGAAAGGCCCATAACTTTCAATCATTTGCTCCATTTCAAGGCTCTTCCAGTACCCATCCCAATTGCCACCCGCTTCAATCATGCGCCTTCTCAAGTTTTCCAGATCTATGCGATCAGCCTGTTTCCTTCTAAGGGAATCGATGGATGATTCCAGCTCCTTCATTCTTGTTGTAATTGGAATTGCTCGTAATGCTGCTGATCTCATGGCCTCGTTGAGAATTTCCTTCACTCTAGTGACGTGATCTTTAAAGGCAGATCTCTTCTCCCCATACGCTTTCCGAAAATTTGCATAGAGGCCATCGTCCAGCGGAGAATTCATGTTCTCAAGATGGTGACCACGAATATGACTGAATAATATAATTGCAAATCGACAGGTACCTAATTGACGATCCAAGAATTTGTGAATACAAGTACGGCTCACGCCAAAGTTGGTGAGCAAACGTCTCTCATCTCTTTATGCATTTTATACCTAGTCTTTGAGTCTTGTTCAAAGTTCGTTAAGTAGCTGTAAATAAAAGTAATTGGGTTACATTACATCTCGCGAATCGGATCGTGCGCATCTCCTCCTACAAATGAGGATACGTGAACCACGTATCGCATATAGCTGTCACCAACCACCTACGGAAACGTCCATACGCACTTCTATATGTAGGGTCTATGCGTATGTTGTCACAGTTATCCTGAATTTTCCATATAGTTACTCGTCTAGATTTATGTTGTGTTACCCGGACACTATACTTATCTCTTGGGCACATGCGCATTATTAGCCCAACTAAGTAGGGACCTATCGTCTGGATTAAGTTTCCGTTTCCAGGGACTCCCGACGCCCCTTTTGAAGATTGGATAATTCAGCTTGAAGGGAATTTCTTGAAAATTCAATCATGTTTTATTTTATAGGTACCTACCACACTTCTATCTTAAATGCCAATTCCAGGAGTTAGCTTCCTATTGACCTTTCACGTGTTCAAGGATGAATGGTAGAGATTGAGCCTGCAGTCGAAGCTGCGTCACAAAGTGGGTGATAGTAGCAGGTAGCTCGCTGTGAGCATACGTTTGTGATCAGGAACTGTATGGCTTTTGGTGCCCAACTCTTCGAGGGACCCCTGGGGCGCCATAGCCCCTTTCGTAATTGTCTGGAACATCACACGAGTCTCAAGGTGCAGTCAAGTTCCTATACATGGCTTCTCATCATAGACCCCTGAAAATAAGTCTACTAAGTACAAAGCAATGTGTACGTTGATATCAAGGATTTCACTAAGAACCTCCACAACCTGTAGTCTGATACCTATCCTCCAGTAGGATACAGATTCCAGTAATGCAGTCAACATCTAGATATCTCAATTTAAGTGTAGGGATATAGGTAGGTAGGTATACTATGTAGATAAAAATTCTACATAATACCATGGGGGATGCACGGACCGGCCATACCCCCTCCGGCCACCCTTGTTTACACCAAAAGTCACTGTTTTTAAACACTTGTAACTTTATGAAATAAAATCGTAAAATTCATATAATTATATTAATAGAAAGAGAGTTGGCTTTTTAGTTTAGTAATGTGGTAAATAATATTATAACTATCTCGAAGCGCGTACATATCTGTAACAAAATATTAGTAGCTTTGGTCCACATTTTTGTCAGCCTTGTCTACTGCCTCGCCGACCTCCTTATCCTCTTTTTGACCGTATATGTTCTTATTTTTGTTTAAATTTTGATATAATATGATTGTAGATTATTAGGCAATATTTTAATATCATCTTTGGAACATACAAGCGTTTATAGCGATCACAATTTCATCCTAAAAACCTTTCGTTACTACTAAGGTGCGACAACTTCAAATCAGGTATATAACCGCCGACGCGTTATCGAACTAAGCTTCAATCCCCAATCTGAATATCTCCTAAGTAGCTATGGGCCCTTGCGCTTCTTATGGTTCTATAAATTACTATTTTGAAGCTGTATCAAAGGTGGTGATAAAGTTCAAAAATCCTCCCTATGAAGTTTGTTCCTGGCAGCTGTAAGGAGGAAGACTCAGCTGTAGTGTAGCTGTCAACAGCTGTGGAGACTGTCTTGGCAACTGTTCGATAAGCCGGCAAACAGCTGCCAGGCCCCGCAGTATTTCACCTCCTTTCCATACATTATTCAAGTGCCAATAAAAATCGTAAAAATAAACTAATATCTTTAACGCAAAGTTTGACTTCGAATGTATATAATTACAAAGTATCAAAGCTTTATCTTCCATAATCATGTATATATTTATCATTGAAATCGGTGTGTTTTGGTGTAAGTCGGGTGGCCGGCCGGGGGGGTGGCCGGTGCCCGCATCCCCCATGGTAGCAACACAATATCCAGGACAATTGATACGCTTTAATAGAAAGGCATCTGAAGTAATTAGTAACGAAAATAGGGGTAACTCATGATATGAATATGATGTCTTTATACATATACGGTTAAACATTATTATAATATAAAGCATGATATGACTAATCCATTCTTCCCCACTATGTCAAAGCTTCCCCACATTCCAAGCAGCCCCACCTGTAACTTTGTGAAGCAGCAAGTTGCAATCACAACTTCGTCTTTCTACTTTCCTTCCACATCATCATAACTCAGGCCTATCATAAACTCTATTCCGCACCCTTGAATCCTAGAAAATACGAAGCTCAGAAAAGCCATAATCACCCTCCTATGCTCTAGTCCTAACCCCTCAACAAACGTAACCATGGCCAGCCCTAAGATCGCTGAGGTGCTGTCCCAGCTACAATCAGACATCCCCTCCAGCCTCGAATCTCTCCTCTCCAATCTCAAAACCCTGTCGACCCCCGAAACCATCTCCGCCGACCTACACGCCATCGCCAATGCCATCCTCTCCACAACCTCGCACCTAGGCGTCGTAACCCAGCGCACGCTAATCGAGCGTCTAATCGTCGCCGTCCGCACATTCGAGCAGCCAGACCTCTGGATCGACATCGGCGAGCACTTGCTAAACACCCTTTCCTCCTCCACCAGCAGCGCCAGCACCAGCGACCAAACCACCACCTCCGGCACCTTCCTCGAGCAAATCGTTCAACTACGGGAGCTCCTAGCCGACGCCCACGAAGCGAACGAAGACCACATCCTCGCCGCCCGCGCTCTCGCCGAAATCCCCCTCGACAGCTCCTCGCGTCGCGTGACGGAAGAAAACCGCGTCTCCGTTTGGGTCCGCATCGTGCGCAACTACCTCGAAGTAGACGACACCACGACCGCCGAGACGTACCTCAACAAGCTCAAGAACGTAATCTACCAAGTCTCCGACCCGACGCTGAATCTGCACTTCAAGCTCTCACAAGCCCGCATCCAAGACTCCAAACGCGAGTTCCTGTCCGCGAGCCAAGCGTACCACGACATCAGCCTCTCCGCCGCGATCAGCGAGGACGAGCGTCTGCACACTCTCGGCATGGCCGTGAAATGCGCGATCCTCGCCCCGGCCGGCCCGTTACGCAGTCGTGCTCTCGGTCGTCTATTTAAAGATGAGCGAGCGGCGGGGTTGCCTGAGTTCGGGATGTTGGAGAAGATGCTGTTCGACCGCCTCCTCGCCCCGGACGAGGTGCGCAAGTTTGCGGAGGGGCTGGCGCCGCACCAGTTAGCGCTTACGGCGGACGGGACGACGGTGTTGGCGCGGGCGGTGGTGGAGCACAATTTGTTGGGCGTTTCGCGGTTATATAATAACATCGGGTTTGACGACCTGGGCGTCCTTCTCGGTTTGGATGCCGATAAGGCGGAGGACACGACGGCGAAGATGATTGAACAGGGTCGACTTGTAGGTAGTATCGATCAAATCGACCGTGTGATCTGGTTTGAAGGCGGGGAAGCTTCGGGGGTGAAGGGGAGTGGACGGGCTGAGGTGAAAGTGGGTAGGGAGATGCGACGGTGGGATGCTAATGTGCAGAGCTTGGCGGAAGCTGTTGAGAACGTGACGAATGCACTTCAGCGAGAATTTCCTGAGTTCGTTCATGATAATCTGGTGGTGGGATGAGTTTAGAAAGACCGGGGAAGCAAGGCATGGAAGGCATTGGCGTATGAGCAGGAATGAGGAATGGCTGTTACTTGCTTGGTGTGTCTGGCGTTACCTAATGAATGAATGCATAGATACGGCGTCAAGGAAGACGATGTCGTAAATCGACATATGAGTTTCTGAAATGAAAAAAGTAGATTCATCTTATTCAACGAGATAGATCTTAATCGATGGACTGTCAATAAGCCACCTGGTATGGTAGTAATCTTCGTCTTATTAATCCGATCTAGTAGTCTATTCTAATCGAGGTCACTCTTACGGACAACGATATACCCCTGGCTAAGTAATTTCGGGTTCCCCCTCTCCTCCTCGTATATCATCTCCTCGATAGCTTTTCTCTGTTTCGGATCCGCGGCGATGCTCTTAATGTCGTCTTCTTGAGCTTCCGCCAGCCTGATCACCCTAATTAGCTGTTCTGCGATCTTCTCCCCCATGAGGTTGTAGCCGTCGCCGGAAAGGTGTACGCCGTCCATTTCCCAATACTTAGGTCTGTCCTCAGGTGCCATATCGTGGTATGGTATTGCGGTGTATAAGTCGAAGTAAAAGCTATGCCAAGGTTAGTATAGTATCCAATATCGTGACATGAAGATAGGCGGAAGTCCCCTGATCAATATACGAATAAAAGAGAAATGGTCACACTTACAAATTGTGTCTCTTATACTCCTTGATAGCCTTGTTCACCTCATCCCTACGCTCCTTAATATCCTTATATCTACTTCTCGTATCGGTTATCGTTAACGCAAGTACTTTGCCGCCTTGGGACAGTGGAATGTCCCAAGCTCTCTTCAAACCAGCAATAAGGTCTTCTGCTGAACATCCCCAGCCGAGGTCACTACATACAAATAAATTCTAGATTAGCAAACAGGTACTCAAATAGGAAGGTATAGTTAATCAGATAAGGATAACGTACTTTGTCCCACCTAGCACGATAGTCCAGTCATACGGTTCGCGATGACGATTTGCCTCTTTCCCTAATGTCGAGTTTCCATATTAGTATAAATCAACTTAACTCGTCGAATAAGGAAGAAAGTAGTATTAGTATAGCATAAAACACGCTATAACCACGGATCGAAGCAACATGGAAAACCCAAGACTGCGTTCCATGTCTCTATATGTGGGGCGAGCAAGACAACTCACAAGCATCTTCCATGCGACCAAGATACGAGCCCCTGGTCACCAAATCTCCCGGCACGCCATCAACCTCGTACAGGATCTCCCCGTATCCGTGGCCCAGGAACGCATCCTCGAGCTTCTCCTTCAGCCTCTCCGCGTACGGCTTCCCCGCCGGAAACCCGGCCGTCAGCGAGTTGCCGAAGCAGAGGATGCGCAGCGTCTTCCGCGACATCTAGTTCGGAGGGGGGCGGGGTGAGTTTTTCGCTTCTGCGGCTAAATGGAGATGGAAGCTGGGCGAGGCGCTAGAAGCGCAGGACGGTTCGGTTGAAGGACGGATTGGATAGATAGGTGGATATAGAGACGTAGCGAGGCAGACGGAGGTGTCACGAGACCGGATGTTGGGATGGGACGGACGAATCCCGACGTAGCTGTCAACGCATTCGGACGTGTTAGGCAGTGGTGCGTAATGCTCGAGTATGTATGTACGATGTGTCGGTAGTAGACGAATAGCAACCAGTAAAACGAGGAACAGATCGAAAAAGGAAACGGCCTTATCCCAACTCAGCAAGAAAATGCGAGAAAATGAGAGAAGAATGTATGAATGGACGGATGATGGGATGCGTATACACACCGTACGAGAAAGAGAGAGAAAAAGATGCGAAATGGAAAAGTTAACAGTCAACAAGGCTGAAAGTATAAACAGAAACAAATGTGTTAAGTGACTCGATGTTTAAACCGTGACCAATGCGGCGTGTTGCGTCAGTCAGGTGCCCCTCCTAAACGATTCCAATACAGTAAATGGGCAACGGCAGCTACGATAAGCTCGAGAACGATGTGGGGCAGCACAAGCTCCAGGCGCTATGATTAGGCCGGCATGCAGGGTCAGCCTTGCTGAAAAGCGTACCTAGGTGCCTAAATAGGTGGCAGGTGGGGATCGTTCACCTTCCCATCCCCGCAGAAACATTGAAACTTGCATCGAACAACATCGGAACGTCGTGAACACGTTGATGATGACTTATTATATGGGTCTACAGATGGATTGGGGAATTATCTAGGCATGCATAATTCGGTTAAGATTAAGGTCAAGATTGACTTGACCTCGGAAGTTTACCTAGGTGTTTAAAACGGCGGTATAAGAACAATCACTTGTGCTACTAAACATCAGAGATCATTTACTGTCATTGTCCATCTTCGCCGCAAATCACTAAATCAAATCACAGCCAAAAGACGCAAAATCACAAAAACAACAAAGACAATGTAGTAGTAGTAGGTAAGTAACTTGCAAAATTTCTATAAGCCATCTCGATGCAAGAGGATGCTAAACCCAACCTAGCCTAACCTAGCCGAACCTAACCTCCCCAACCTCCCCGCGAGAGAAGGATAGAAAAGTCTCGAGAAAACCGACGTCGACAAAAAAGATGTGATGGTGATGATGATGATGTGATGTAACGTAATGTGTGTAAAAAGGCCAATATCAGTCCGCGATGCAACTTTACTCAAACTTTCGATTCCCAACCGTATCCTCCGGTTCAAGTAGGTAAACAAGCCGATAATAAAAAAAATAAAGGACGAGTTTATCCGAAATAAGTTCTTGCGATGCAATGCTCGAGAGGCTCTTTGCCATATAGTAGTAGTAAGTAGTAAGGTGATGATAAGTCATGAGGTATGCCAAATTCCGGGCTATCAAACAATCCTCCCATTCATTCAGAAATCCTCCCTAACCTAGGTATTTTATTCTCCAGAATTGTTTTGTTTGTTTGATACGGAAGTTGTGGTTTTCATGTAATACGCAAGCCCTATCATATCCTAGGAACCATGCGCTTGTCGATTTCGAACCTACACTGTTCGACAATCAAAACGCCTGCCCGTGATAGGGGTGTTGGCTGTGTCCTCGTCCTCCGGGAGGTGGACTTTGCGCCGAGAAAGGAGGTGGGGAGGAGAACTGGCCGTGAGGGGATTGCATGCGTTGCGGGTTGTATCGAGGATCATAGTTATTGGGGGGCGGAGAACCGAATCCCGATCCAGGCGATGACCAAGTGCCCTCCTGTTCATAGACTGGGCCAGGGGTTCCGAAGCCGCCGTAATTAGATCCATGAGGTGTGCCGCTGCGTGCCAAGTTTGAGTACATGCCAGAAGGGGGTGGCATACTAGGTGATTGGGCCTGGGGTGGGTACTGTTGGAAAACATGTTGTTGTTGACGCTGGTTGATAGCATGCTGAGCAGCCTGACTACTCCAGCCTTGCTTCATCTGCTGCTTTTCACGTTCCCTAGCCTCAATCGCACCCACTAGTCCTGCACCAGTTTGTGTAGGGGCATTCTTATTGCCTGCCATATTAATAAGCGGTGTTCCTGTAACTCTTGCGACGTGTTCTTGTTCACGAGCAGATAGATGCGAGTCACCGCCTCCTCCTTGGCCGCCGAGAACGACACCGGCACCCCGAGAACCGGGACGTTGCAGCAACTCGCCAGCGCCTCGCGAGTTTGGACGTTGAAGTAGTTCGCCTGCTCCTCGGGAGCCAGGTCGGTTTTGTAGAAGGTCTTGAGAACTATTACGCGAATGAGAAGTTCCCATGTAGTCCTGGCCTTGACCACGCCCAAGTGGAGGGGTTGGGGTGCCCGCTCCGAAGCCTCCGAGTGTATTTCCAGAGGACTGTCTCTGGTGCGCATAGAGTGGTGTTGCTTGAGCAGCCGCAGCTCGTTGTTGTACGAACTCTTCAGCTGAGAGGCCATGGGCTGCGGGGTTACTAGGCGCGGCATTCGTAGTAGCCGGTTGCCAGACAACACTTCGTCGTACTGTATCTTCTGATTCCTGGCGATTGTGTCCGGCCTCCGCCCCAGGCGACCTACGCGGAGGTTGAGATGCGGGCGAATAAGCACGTGGTGCTGGAGGAAATGGTCCCTGCTGGGGGTTGTTGGGGGTAGGAGTCTTCGTTCGGGGTACTGCCGCGTAGTTCACAGTTGGGCCGAAGTTGATGTCCGGAATATCAAATCCGGGTCCTTGCATAGGGGAGTCGTCGTCATTTCCTGTCGTTCGGAGCACACCTGCTCTTGGTCGTTCGCGTTCGCTCGAAGATGCAGTCTCCGTTGAGGGGCGTGAACTAGCATAATCGGGACTATCGGTTGATGCCGAGTCGTCATAACGACTAGCCTCATCATATCGGCTGCTCGCTTGGCTCTTGCCCGTAGGCTGGCGATGCATACCCTGATCCGGAGGAGGCATTCGAGGTCCTGGTTGGAGAGGGCGGATCTGACCCAATCCAGCCGCGTCGATACGATTACCCGTCAGACTTCCGCTGCTCGTAGAAGGGGTCTGCGGCGACATATCGTCACGTTGTCGATGTTGCAAGCTGTCAGTGCGGGCAGGGAGCGGTTTTCTGCTAAGGGATGGAGATGTGTTCAGAGGAGGTAGAGGTTTGCGGTTCCCTGGAGACATTGGTCCATCTTGACCGGGTCCGCCAGGTCCACCATGTCCTGGTGGCCCTTGCGGCGGGTAGCCTCGATACATGTTCTCATTAGGTGGATAGCCTCGACCACGCCCTTGGGGAGGCATGCCAGGTGGCATGTTTGGTGGGGGTCGTCCACGGCCTCTTCCAGGAGGCATCATACCGTAAGGAGGAGGCCCTCTCTGACCCGGAGGTCCGGGAAGCATATTACCAGGAGGTGGTCCATAACCAGGCGGAGGCGGAGGTCGGTTACCATTGGCAGTTCCGGGTCGAGAGGTTGGCGTTTTCGGTCGTTGGCCTGGGCCAGGCGGTCCAGGGCTTGGTCCTCGTTGACCCATAGGTGGCGGGCTCATTAGTGGTGACCTCGATCGGATTCCTCCAGGGCCGGCTTGAGGAGAGGTCAGACCAGGAGGCGAAAGTGGGGATAACGGTGAATTATCCCTTAATACTTCACCAGGTCCGACATTAGCAGGCATCCCAGTATTGACAGCGTGAGCATGTACCGGCGGGGGTGGACCACGTTGGTCCATCATCGGCTGTGGTGGTGGCCGACGTCGCTCTTCGTTGTTTCTTCCGCCGCTGAATGCATCTCCAGTTGGTGGGACGCCGCCAGCTTTTGCGAGCTGATTAAGGGTAGTCAGGGACAATCGGCTGTTAGCTCGGCGCATCTCGGGCGAGTGGTAGGGTCGAGTCGCGGGAACATGGCCTGGAGCATGAGAGAAACTAGGAGGTTGAACAACTGGCTCCGGAGTTTGCATCCTTCGCATTCCTTCGAAATCGCGGATCGGGCCATCGCCTCGTTCTTCGTCGGAACTCATACGTTCTGGAGTTGAGGCTAAATCGTTCATGAAACCACGGGCTGGATTAGGTCCACGGACGGATGAAGCCGGGCTCGACGCATAAGGGCTGTTCTGGTGAGCCAGTGGTTGAGGAGGCCCAGGTATACTAGAATCCGACGCGTTGCGAGCATGACCCGACTTCAAAGCCATCGCCGAAACTTCCGGTTCTCGATTTACAGGCGGAGCTGAGTCGTTCCTTATATTCGGTCGACTATTTAGCGACATCGATCGCGAGGTACGGACAGACGGAGGCGCGTCATCTGCAAAGCCTACACGAGGTCTCGACGCTCCACCGACGGCTGGGCCAAAACTAAGGCGCTTGCCGTGTCCGTTGGTCTTGCTACCCGAACTGGCGCTCTCTGCGTCATCTGTACCGTTCATTCGGGTACCGGTTAACTCTTTCAATTTCTTCCTCCACTCTCGCTCATTCCAACCAGAGCTACCCTCAGTTGCGATTAGATCGGATACGTCGGAAAGCTCTAAATAGCCGTAGCGTTTGTGTTTGGGCATCGCAAACATGAGAGATCTCGAATCCAGGACACTTGCGACAAGTCTTCCCGGTCGGCCGTAGAGACAAAAGGTGTCCCAAGTGGGGAATAGAAATCGTAACATCATCTCGAACCCGCTGACAGCTGGGTGTACTTCGGGCATGATAAACACGAATCCCTCGCTTTCAGATGGCGGATCTGAATGGATCGTGATGTTGCCCTCGATCTTGACCAAGGTTGACGCGTCAATCAACGACTTAGCTTGGGGATATAGAGCGTATGCGGAATAGGCATCGCTAATCGTTGCTATCGGTAGCATCTTCTTGGCTTTCTTCCCATCTTTTCTGCTGTCATAAAATTTGATGTCCCCCTTCAACAATGGAACGTGCGAGCGATCATACGGTGACTTCTTTTTGTGCTCCTTCAACAGCTTTTGGTACTCCTTCTCGTCCGGTGGCGTAATGACACACCAACACCGTCTCCATGGTACACCAGCCCCAAATCGGACTCTGACCCATTGATCCATCGGTATCCGTGCTCTTTCCATAATCACACCGATATTGTTCAAGGTCTTTCCCTTACCGGCGATCAATGCTCCGGTGTAGGCCTCTTGGAGGGTCGAATGCTCGAACATGGCAAGTCGAATACCGGATGTCCATGAAACCAGTGATTGCTTAGAATTGAAATGCAGTAGATACCGGTTTCGTCCTGCCGTCGATATGCTGAGAATGTTCTGTAAAGGTGTCTCTTCATTTGTCCTAGTAGGTAAAGATTCGATCTGGGAACATATTAGCCTAGACTCTAATATTCTAATAGTATGACCCCACGACGGTCCCGGTGTTCGCTAATGCTCGTACCATCTTTATGGAAGCATCTGTCAGATTGACGAATTTCGGTAGGACTTCCCCGTCCTCACCAGCGGCATCCAATTCCGCCGCATCCCACAGGGACAACACGGTCCCTACTAGCTGTGCGAAACATTCCGTCCATGTCCGGTCGGCATTGGGTTTCCCCTCTGCTAATTGTTAGCTACCTAATGTCGCGTCGATATAATATTCAATTGACAATTGAGTATAACTCACGTGTATTCTGATCATCCAGCTTTAGAAAGTAACCCTCTTGATACAGCTTATTCACATGGCTGTTGAGGAAGGTGAAGATGGGTTGAAGTTCGGGAATCGTCTCTTCGTTTACATCCATGAGGGGCGGTTGATAGGCCTGCACCATGGACAGCGGCCTAGAGGTACTACGACTCGTTGTTCTGCGATGCGTCTCGAGAGATATGGGTGCAACGGCTAGTGGAGGCGAATTGTCATGATCGAACCGGACTGGCGGCGATGCTGGTAATATCGGAGTGGAAAATGCGCGAGATCGTGTTCGACTGCGGAATCCACCGACGTTAATAATATGATGGCCTTTGCTCGAATTATTTAAATCGGACTTGGAATTAACGAATGGAATCTGACCGTCCGGCGGCGACGGAGAGGGCGTAGACGAGTCGCTTAAGATTTTCGGATCACCGTTAAAAGAAGTGTGGTGAGAGCCAGAGAATTGGGACATAAACGACAGCACTTTTAATGGTTTATGTTAGTACAAAATACAGAGCATACCAACCAGCATAAATGTTTAGGTGCATTCGTCAGCTAGGAAAATGCAGTAAAATGAGGTAAATTGGCGGGGAAGTTAAGGGAGTCATGAACTATCATTGGCTAAAACATTGTTAAGGGTTGTAGGGATTGTAGGGGTTATGCGGTATGCCGAAGGAACAGGAACAATTAAATCAGGTACCGGTACATGTAAGAATGTCAGGTGCAGATGACGGATGTAATGTAAAACGTACGTAAATAAATAAATGTATGTAAATGTAAATGTCAACTTTAACACTGTTTAATGAATCAAATCTTCAGCTGTAAGGTTAAGCTTGATCTGATCAGATCATACAGCATGAATATGTTCAATGTTCAATGTTGCGTTGAAACATCAGTGATTATAGGGATGTCCCTGTATGATTTCACTGACACAGAGGAGATAAATGTAGGTGAGTAACACATCCCCGTGGACGAATGGAATTCCGGGAGTGCGGCACACACAACTTTCGGTATGCAACAATCGAAATCAAAGGCAGGGTACGTTAGGCGTAGGTTATGAATGTGCCTCACTTGGCCTTACTTGGCTGTTCTTTGTGATAGGTATGTAATGTTGGGATAGATTGATTGACGCCTGTGCTGCTGATGCTAATATCGCAACAACTTGCTGACTTCAGAATTTCAGGGTACGCTGGTCATGGTGTGGGACAATGACCCTTATGTCATATGTAGCAGTATACCTGTCTACATACAATGTAGCAGCATGCAGATGCTGGTTGGTAGTACCAGCTGTGATGAACGGCAACTTTGCCAAGATGCTACTTGACAGACAGACTCAAGGGATCGCTCTAGTTCCGATGAAAGAAAAAAACAAAGACAAGGGACGGAAAACGGATAATAGAAAGAGAGGACATGTTACTCACCGCGATTCCTACCCATCTTGAACCAAAGAAAAAGATGAATTAGATAAGCCCTGAACCCCCTAACAAGCTACCGGAAGAGAATAGATGGAGAGAGGATATCCTATTCCATCAGATGAGTTGTTCGACGTTGGTTCCTAAAACTACTTGGAATAGCTGGAGCGCTGGAGCGAGCGGGCTAGGGGCGGCCCACAGCGGACGATTCGGCTGACGATGGCTTGTCGATCTCGAATTGCGTGGTCTTCGATTATTACTAGTAGGCTATGGGTACCGATGGGTATGTATGTATGTAGTATGCAAGACAAACAGTTCGTATGTAGATGCGATCTGTCAAATAATGCGAAAATAAAGACACAGCAACAGCAACAACAAAAAAAAAATAAGATATTAATTAGATTATGGGTCGAAGATGTAAAAGACCGAAAGAACCAAACATTCGAAAAGCCGAACTTGTCTCGCAACAGGTGGGCGGATACGCGAGTTTTGTAGCTCGGGTTCTTAAGCGTCTCCACGCGATACGAATTTGTGGAATGCGAGGGAAGGGTAAAAGTCTCGGAACCCCGTATATCGTGTATGAGTCGTTATCCTGCGACAAAGATCAGGTGGCCGGGCCTTGTCCTTTGACTATCCAGCCTGCCAGCTTCCCCAGAAAAAGCCTAGTTTCGAATAGCGCGATGAGTATAAGAATTTCCACTTAATGACGAAAATGACAAAGCGATCAATGCTTTGCTGGTTGACCGTTGAGAATAGGTATGTGAAAACGAGCGTATAGTTAAGCGTTAACCCGTTCCCTGCGTTGGCAGGAGTTGGCAGGAATTATTATTGACTAAGTCCTCCGAGATGTTTGCCGAGAATGCGGAAGCGCCGGAAAATTCGATTTACCAGTCTAGTTATCCTAGGTTGAGGTTGGGAGGCAATCTGAACCCTTGGCGCCGGGATTCTGTTAGAAAGAATAACCTTTGGACCTGGAGAAAATGGAAAATGGTGTCGAAGGAAATGAGAGAGGCCTCTTGAAAACGACGACGAGGAAGAACTGGTAAACTATTTCGATAAACCGATTTGCCGGCTTTAAAAATGGATACCAGCTATGTTGCTTGGAAGCTCGTATCTATCTACGTTCTTAATGGCAAGGTGGTATGTCGACTTGGCTGCTTGGAAAATAGGTAGTTGATGACAAAACGTATGGGGCAGGGGGATACGTCAGTCTGCAACGATAGGTGACGGTCTTCAACGATGGTGAATAGTAACTTCATATTAATGGGTACCCTCCCACTACACATGCTCGGAGATACCGTCTTTTTGTTCTAGTCGCCACATATATAGCCTAGCTCCCCGTGCTACTGCAGAGCTACCGTAGAGCTACCGTAGACTGAGAATATGAATAGCAATAATACCGTAGCGGGTCTTAAGTTCGACGATGCGCGCGGGCGTACATGCAGTACCAGGTTGCATACAGATACGTCCCTTGACGTTGTAGATACTGTATGCAGTAATATGCAATACTGTACTCTGTAAGGAATTAGGGTATGCCTGTCAGGCCTGTATGGTTAGTTGCGTAGCTGCGTCGATCAATCATCCGTCAGTTTGCAAGCTGCGCAACCAAGCGATTCTTGAACTTGTTGCCTGTTTCGAGAATAATGTCCTCCAATAAGAACAGTCGTATTCGGAAAGATCTGCCTCACCTCAGACTGAGGATTTTCGATGCCATAACAGACAGCTGTCTGGCAGTATTTAGCATCGTCTATCACCGATTCCCATCCTAGTTTGGCGTTATGGTGGGTGATTTTCGGCAAGTAGTAAGCATTAGAAGCTTAGAAGCTTAAAGAGAACCACGGACCTTGCAACAACGATTGATTGGATAAAACACGTCCCCGGATGAGACGGATACTTCCATCTGTGGAGGCGTATGACCATCCTCGAAGGTTTTCTTTTTTTATTAACATCTTCAAGAGTACATAAGGCTCATCTAGCCTGAAGACGGGCTATGCGTGTCTTACCGAGAACTTGAACTTGACGTGGCATAAGGTGTATTCTCAGTTTTTCGCAGTTCTGTAATCTGTAAGTGAGAAAAATCTACAGAGTATTGTCGACCGATTCAGGCCCGCACGCGCCCAATGTTCTACCGCAGCGGTTCGACCTCGCAAGCTAAACCACTGACAGAACGTATGTCATAAAATAGCACCGTCTGAGCAAGCGCTTGATCGCTTATCAGCCACTGCCATGCATCCAGCCAAAAACTCGGGTATCCTATCGCTCCACAGCGGTGAAGTTTCGACAGATAGGAACACACAAGAAGGACTGTCAACCCACGTAACCGTCACACCTTGAAGAATCCTTCTTCAACTGTTTGGATTTTAGAGCCTTGTTGAAATGTCGACATCTCGCTGCGCCGCTAAGATTCCGCGTGGACCTAGCCGCCTTGCAGCTTGCACCCTTACACCCTAGTGACAGATCACAGGGAACCCCTACAGATTTAACAAGCCAAGCCCCTCGGGTTTCGTTAGGACCGCCGAGATCTGGGCATGCCAGTAGCATCTAGGCGTCCATTGTGCCGACATAAAGAGGAGGTACAGCATCCTTCTCCAACATTTACCATTCATCGATCGAATACGGGTTGATATTTGGGTTGCTGAGTAGGACATCTAAGCCCCGGATGACGCGCGTTTCTGCGAAATCATTTTTGGTTTTCTTTTTCTTTTTTTTCTTTTTCATTCAGCGAGAATGAAGATCTTGAAAATTTTCTATAGGGACAACAGAATTGAATTTTAATATTCAAGGAAAGAGAAAAAGAACTATCGAATAGAACCTGCACTAATCTTGTCGCATACGTCATAATTATCCGTTAAAGCAACATAATACTAGATGGAGCTAATATTTTTTAGTCATTTTAGCAGGTACCTAATAGTACCTAGTACCTGGCATAACTCCGGCAATATAAAATAACATTTGAACATTCAGATTCAGATATTCTCGTCTGAGTCAATTGAAGAACTCTTGCACATGCATATTCCCATCATAACTTTATTAATTTCGAACTACCTACCTATTTACGGAAGCAATGGATATCCATGACAACTGAACAATCAAACGAGCCTAGGTACCGTATCAAATCATAGCCATGCACTTCATAAACTCATGATTGATTGTTACATTATTCTTTGCGTCACACGGCATTTTCAGAGACACAATGTTGCTGCAACACTGTGGCTTCCGAATTCCCTTTGCATATATTAAACGCCACAGGTGACTTCGGAAACATTCAATGCCTTGTCAGATTCTAACCTCCGACGTACTTGTCTCACTTGGATTCTTTTAGCCAGTTGGCAACACCACGAAGACAAGACGTACGATTGCCCATCTCTATATGGGATCGAGTTAGGTACGCACATATATGCCAAGTCCATTGTCGGCTGAGGTTGTAATAATTTTTACAAATACATACATTAGCACATCCAAAAGAATAACATATTGCAGCCGAATACCCGGATTGTAGCTTCGTGAATCTCTTATATGGCTGTCTGGCTCGATGGAAGATAGATGTCCACATTTAAGGTAACGTATCTAGCTTAGTTTCTCATACCATCCACTAATATGCTTACAACCCTTTTTTGTATTAGACGTGTACAGCGTACAAGCGTCTATGTCTCTGGTACGACTCAGTGTAATTATTGATATTTCGATGTTCCTCCAGAAACCACGACAGCACGATTTCCATCCCACAAGCTGTGGTGATATGATGAGCGAGTACGGAGGCGCAAGACGGAACTTGAAATGTTCATTTCCCGCATAATCGAAGGTGATGTCATAGATATTCTAATAAAAGCATGAGCAATGCTTGTAATGCTGGTAATACTAGCAATGTTGTACGGGGTTCCAAGCTCCCGGGTTTATTCACGTGTGGAAGCAACACTGCGCTGCAGCGCTCAATTAAATCGGGATGGGACTTTACGATAAGCGAACTCAAATTCCCTTATCCCTTATCACAACCTAGGTAGAATTGTCCCATCGGCGCATCACCGGGCAACGCAACTTACAAGCCTCAACTCAACTCAACCATTCCCATCCTATTATTACCCTTACCCATTAAACATAGCGCGTCTTACTAGGTCGTATAGGTCGTCTTCCATCAACGACATTTCTGGCTGCCAACCTACCGCCCTTAAGGTCTGTGGTTAGACCTCATTCGTGGGCATGAGAAGGTCGGCTCCCTCTTTTTTGTTGGCCTCTAATTCTGGTCCAACGCGACGAACACTATCGTCTTCTATCCACCTAGCAACATGGCACCGGCGCCTCCAATATACCGCTGGCGTTGGCGGTAGCCGTTCTTCTAAAACCACCGAACAATCCGGTAAATACACAACACCTCTTCTAGATTCCTGTCCGAAATTACCATTCCATTTCGAGACCGGCTTTGCGCTATTCGCGAAACGAACTCCGAGACCGTTCCCCCCGCCATTTCTATCACCTCCGTCTGGATCGTTTTCGGACCCCCTTAGTACTCATCATCAGAGTCGCGACAAGCGAGCCTTTGTAGATGGCGAGCTCATCAACGGATGGACGAATGGCGACGATGCAGTCTATGCTAGCGAATATTTTATCTGCGCCAATGATGGGGTTGGCGCTTGGTCGGCTAGGCCAAGAGGTCATGCAGGGTACTTTGTCCCACGGTCGCCCGAGCTTTGCGCATAGCAGCCCGTGATTAATTAACATTGATTATAGTTTATGGTCAAGGTTGATACTGCATTTCTGGGTGGCGGCGATGCAGGAAGACATTGTAAAGCTGCGACCGCCTGACCAACCATACCGCCCGGATCCCATACGCTACCTGCAGCAGGCGTACGAGCGCACGATCGATGCGACCTCCGGCCCTAACGACTGTCTTGGAACTACGACAGCCACCGGGGCGCAGCTCTTTTACAAGGCTGACGCCAACAATCCGGCGCCATCCGTAACACCACTCCTGTACGTTACAAACCTTGGCGATTCCCAGGTCATGGTTGTACGGCCGAAAAGCCAGGAGATGATTTATAAATCGAACGAGCAGTGGCATTGGTTCGATTGCCCGAGACAACTCGGAACGAACAGCCCAGACTCGCCGAAGGAAAATGCGGTCTTAGACGTAGTGGATGTTCAAGAAGGCGACGTCGTGCTAGCTATGTCGGACGGCGTAATCGATAATCTATGGGCGCACGAAATTGTGGAAAACGTATCCAAAAGTGTTAGCCGATGGGAGACCGGAGAAGGGGGCCAAGCGGGCGGCCCCCGCAAAGACGGCGCAAATGGCGGGATGACTTTCGTTGCCCAAGAACTCGTCAATGCTGCCAAATATATTGCACTGGATCCTTTTGCGGAAAGCCCTTTCATGGAGCACGCTATTGAGGAAGGATTAGCTAGCGCAGGGGGTAAGTGATATATCAGTACACTCATCTTTATCTAAGATATATGTATGCTAACAACCTGCAGGCAAACCCGATGATATTAGCGTTGTAGCAGCCTTGTGTCAGCGGAATGCTACTGCATGATATATCCGTCGACGTTGGCAAGGTACACTACTTATCGTATCTCCAAACCTCCCGGAGCGGTGAAGATCTACGTGCTATAATAGCGCATCACCACCATGTCTCTCCCCAATCATCATTATGATGAGCTATTGTATGCCGTATAACATGGGATTGGTGTTACTTGACTTATATCTTATTCAAAGTATTAGACTTACAATTATAGACTACTTCTCTAGTTTTGGGGATCATATACATTTTCTACGGAATTAGCACGGCGTTGGAGGAATATTTGGAAATAGAGGAGAGATATTGATCTTGAGCAACCAGTTGAGAGCTGAATAGCCTCATAATTCATAAATTCAACAAATAAATACGTACTTCCTAGTGGGGTTTTGCTCTCAGACTTTCAAACTTCAGACCCGCACCCTTGGCAATTTGATTGGAAAAAGCTTAGATCTTATCGTTATCGCTATCGCTATCAGGCGCATTCAAGCAGATTTTCTATAATAAAAAACTTCCCAATTGACTTTTACAATGCTAGCTACAACAAACACCATTTGACGAAGGCAAAGTAAAGCAACATGCCTCGTGCAAAAAGATCCAAGCAGTATCGGAAGCTCATGGAGCAATTCTCCATGGGCTTCGGATACCGAGTACCGTACCAGGTTCTCGTCGACGCCGACTTCATCGCTGAAGCGAACAAATGCAAGATGGACTTAGTACGTCGACTGGAGGATACTTTACACGGTGAAGTCAAGCCAAGTACGTTCCCATCGCCCCAGTCACATTCTATACCTGTATAATGCTAACGGCGATCTTTCAGTGATCACTCAATGTTCAATGCGACATCTCTACGAACGAAAATCGGAACCCGGCGTGGAAGCAGCTATCGAACAGGCGAAGACTCAATTCGAGCGACGACGATGCGGCCACCACCCTGACGAGTACCCAGAGCCACTAAGTGCACTAGAGTGCATACAATCAGTCGTCGACCCAAAGGATAACTCTCTAAACAAACATCGCTACGTATGCGCCATCAATGACGATGCTGTCAGAGCGAGTATCCGGCAGATTGCAGGAACACCGTTATTGTTCATTCGAAGATCCGTCATGATCATGGAGCCGATGGCAACAGTCAGTGCGAAGATCAGATCAAAAGACGAGAAGAGCAAATTCAGAGCGGAGTTAAAGACTGTCGTCGGCGGCAAGAGAAAGAGAGAGGATGATAGTGACGATAGTGACCAAGATGGAAATGAGAAGCAGGGTACAGGAAAATCTGACGAACCTGAGAAACTTGAGGAGAAGAAGAAGAGCAAGAAGAGGAAGCGCGGCCGCAAAGAACCGAACCCGTTGGCTGTGAAAAAGAAGCAGCCAAAGCCAGCTTCAGATGGACAGCATTCGAAGGCACCCGAGGCAAACGAAGCAGGTGCGAATGAAGCTGATGCGGCAGAGACGGGCCAGGCGGAAGCACCTAAACGAAAACGCAGACGAAGACGTGGACGCGGGGCTAATAAGGCGGGAGGTGATGCTACGACTGAAGAAGCCACTGTTACGCCTAATACTGCGAACAGCACCGGAGAGGCTCCAGCTGTTGTGTCTAATACTGCGAATGCCGAGGAATAGACTCTGAATTAAATATGGGCAGATAAAACTTGGCGTAGAAAAAAAGGGCGTTTTCTCAAGGGACAAGCTATGGGATCCTTGTACTTTACATGCTTTATGCATTTGATACCATTGACTATTGACAATGTTTAAGGTTGCATTCTTCGTTAAAGGATAAATTTACCGAAATGCAAGAAGCATCTCTAAAGTGCCCAGTGACGTATAACTAATACATTATATCTGGATGCACATGTCAAATCAACATTAGAAGTCTTCAAGGTTTGTTGTAAAAACAATATTTGGATGTATCACACACGACATCACAATAACCTCATTCAATTCAACAATTCGCGGTCGATCTGACCTAGCTGCCTAGTTCGATAGTGGATACATGTAATTACTAGGTGGTACCTGAGTACCTAGAATTAGCTGCTAGCATGGCCGAATTAGGCCATACTCAGCCTCATGTGACAGCAAACTGGGACCCTAGTCCGGGTACGCACGCAGGCTACGTAGGTACATCAGCCCCCCGTCTCCCCTAAAATTGTGGCTTTCATTTTTTTGCTGGGCAGCTAAGATAACGGTCTTACCACCACATACCAACTAAACTCTCTCGAACTCAACTCACGATCATTAAAATTTCCCACGTCTTTCTTAAGATGGTTTTCCGTAGTACCTCGCGCAAACCGTGTCCTTCTCCTCAAACTAGTGTATGGTCGAGAAACATTGCAAACATCAGTCTTCTGCTTTAACTTGCAAGGGTTTGAATCGGTTTCAAGGGTCCCACGGATTTGCGTGTTCTGACGATCACTTATCACTTAAGGTGCTCTCCGCCTAATTGCCGTGGGGAATGTTGAAATTCATTGCAACCATATCACGTCGGTGAACTAACAGAGCTTCGACCAAGCACCCCAGCGACAGCACGCAAACAGCCAAGATCATACAGATATAGGATACAGTAGCGCCGATTAAATACATGCACAAAACCTCGGACCAATGGCGCCGGTAGGAGGAGTCCAGGAACTGGATGATTTCGGTCTGCCCATCAGGAAATATGTAAGCCCCAAAGAGGGGGAACAAGATGACGGTAAAACCACGTCAATTAATAAGACGAATGGGACAGCGAAAGATTCTGGTACTCCAACGAAGGAGACAGAAAAGTTGTCAGAATCGTCACAAAGTTCAAATCATGTATCGAAATCAGAAATAGTAAAAGGGTCAGAGAAAGAGGAGGTAAATGTCAAGTTAAAACCTCGCACGAAATCAAACGGAACTTCCGCCGCCAATAGCGACGACGAAGACTTTCAAGATGCGCCCTCTACGCCGCAGCCAGAGCTAGAATCGGAACCAAAGCCACAACCAAAGACAGAACCAGAACCAGAATCAATCCCAGAGCCAAAATCGGGGCCAAATACCCAACCCGGGCCACAAATTGTTCAAGATGTCGACGAAGCAAAGACTCCTCTACCTACTCAATCCGAATTCAAGAAAGAGACGATAGAGGCGAAAGAGGTTGTTGAGACGAAAGAAGCGAAAGAGACAACTCCACCATCCAAAGAGGATAAGAAAGAAGGATCCGACTCCTACGAGAACGTCGATCTACCACAACCTACATCCAAACGCAAGAATACCTTGAGCAAGGACGTACAGGCAATTTCGGGGCCGTCGATAAAGCAGATTGAAGCCAAAAAACATGCCGACGAAGCTACTAAAGCTTCGCATGTTGCCCATAGTCGGGATGTTAGCCTGGCGAGCACGAATCACGACGTCTCGGAGTTTTCCCACCAGCAGTTAACAGGGCATCATGAAGAGAAAAAAGATGACGACGATGACGAGTGGCAGGCCATGCCAGCCTATGCACCGTACGATATATATGATGACGATAATAAATTAATAGCCAAAGAACATAACCCTGACGAGGATGATAATTATGGGTATGGTAGCCTCGGCGGCGCTGGAAGGGGTTATACAAGGGTTCTGGATGACGAAGACGCAGAGTCAGAAACCAGTATGGACGACAATACACGATACCTGTTCAAAGACCTCAAGAGCACGAGTATGACGGAAATGGACGAGGAACAACGAGATGCCGTTTCCCAGCTGCAAGCTACGAAAGATTTATTAACAGAAGGGCAGAGGATAGCATACGTTGGGGTCACCCGTCTAGAACTCTCCGAGATGATCAAGGAAGCAGAAAACCTTAATTCGTCGAAGAGAATAAAGAAGGATGTTCAGATGGCAGCCGAAGCACTGAAGATGTGGTCTCAGAAAATCATGGTTCGGCTCTACGCCCACATGGAAATAAGCCCCGCGGAACAAGTAATGATCGAGCAGTTGGCCGATCACGGTGTTATACCCAAAGATCTAACGCCGGCCCTTATGCAGAACTCGAGGGTTAAAAATCCGATGGCAGAGGAATCGACGCCGTCTTCAACACCAACATTTTCGTTAAAGAGCCCTCGGTCGTCTATTTCGACGTCTCCTGGGAGAGAGAAATCCGCAGAGCCGCCACCACCCTATGAGAGCCATGAAGGTGAAGAAATGCCAGAAGTGAGGACGCCCTCACAATTGCCGAGTAGTGACAAGATTGATATCGATTTGCGGTGGACTGTCCTTTGCGATCTCTTCCTCGTGCTAATTGCTGATTCAATTTACGATGCTCGATCTCGTGTGTTATTAGAAAGAGTGGGACACAATTTGGATGTGCCTTGGATAGATATCTGCAGATTTGAGAAGCGTGTTACTGATGCTTTAGAAATGCAACAACAAGCAGAGAAAGAAAACTGGAACGAGGATGAACATCTCGAGAACAGGAGGAAACTCGCTCAAAAGAGACGATACGTCATGATGGGTTTGGCTACCGTCGGAGGTGGTTTAGTCATCGGTCTATCTGCCGGACTCCTAGCACCCCTCATTGGTGCTGGTCTTGCTGCGGGCTTTACGACGATTGGAGTTGGCGGTACGAGCTCGTTCTTAGCTGGTGCTGGAGGAGCAGCTATCATCACTTCTGGCGCCGCCGCTTCTGGTAGTTTCATGGGTGGTAAAGCTGCAGGTCGACGAACCGGTGCTGTGAAAACCTTCGAATATCGCCCGCTACACAACAACAAACGTGTTAATCTAATTGTGACCATTTCTGGATGGATGACGAGCACAAATGATGACGTCCGTTTGCCTTTCAGTACTATCGACCCGGTAATGGGCGATATTTACTCAATTTTATGGGAGCCAGAGATGTTAACCAGCATGGGTGACACCATCAACATTCTGGCGACCGAAGTAAGATACACACACCCCTTGATAATTATCGGACGCATGAACTAATTCGTATAGGCTCTTACTCAAGGATTACAACAAGTTCTTGGCAGTACTATCTTGATCAGTCTAATGGCAGCCCTTCAGTTACCTGTGGTCTTATCCAAACTAGCATACTTGATCGACAACCCCTGGGCCGTATCCCTAGACCGCGCATGGGCTTCTGGCCTTATTCTAGCCGACTCATTGATTGACAGGAATTTGGGTACTCGACCTATCACCTTGGTCGGTTATTCCCTCGGGTCGCGCGTTATCTTTTCCTGCCTTCTAGAATTGGCTCGAAAGGGTGCTTATGGGCTAGTCCAGAATGTCTACATTTTTGGATCGCCTATCGTTGTCAAGAAGGAGGAATTCGTCAAAGTCCGTACCGTCGTAGCCGGTAGGTTCGTAAATGGATACAACAGGGCGGATTGGATTCTGGGCTACCTCTTCCGTCTAACCAACGGTGGAATTCGCCGCGTTGCGGGTCTAGCGACTGTAGATGATATACCAGGTGTGGAAAATTTCGACTGCACGGATTTTGTTGTCGGCCACATGGAATATCGTACGGCGATGCCTAGACTCCTTAGAGAGTGTGGTTGGCTCGTTGAGAGCGACGACTTTGGCGAGATCGAGGACCCTGATCCCGACCGGTATAGAGAGCGACAGCGCGAGCTCATCAGTGAGATCGAAGAAGCTCGCAAGGAATTAGAAAAGGAAGAACCAACGAAAAAGGGTGGATGGGGTATCTTCGGCCGCAAGAAGAAGGGCTCGCGTCAAGAATGGGAGGTTTACGAAGATACCAAGAGAGACGGAGATGTGCCGTCTAAAACGGAAGATAAGGAGGGCAATAATCACGGCGTCCTATTCGACGTCGATGCCATCCGAGCTGAGCTCGCGAAAGAGGAAGAGCTCGAGGTAAAGGAGTTGAAATCTACACTGCCGCCCATGAAGCTCGAGTTCTCCCCACCACCGCCCTCGATCTCGTCGTCTGCTAGCCCCAGGGATGCCTTCCATAAGACGAAGAGCACGGGGGATATCTACGGGTACGGAAACAGGAGCTCCTCTTTCGAGTATAGAGTATCCCAAGAACGTACACCGACAAAGAGCGTCGGATTCGGTATCCCCCCACCCCTGGAAGAGAACGAGATTCAAATGACCTTCGACACGTCTTACGTGGAATCACATCGCGATGTACCGCCACCTCCACCAGCAAAGGATTTCGCCCCTTCGCCGTCGCCGTCCGCGCTCTCGAGGCCAGAGATCAAGAGTTCGCAGACGACGCCGAATATTGCGTTGAAAGACCCCTGGGCGGATGACGACGACGAGGAGTTTGGGAAGGAGAAGGAGATGACTATGACTTTTGCTTAAATAAATACTTGGCTTTTAGGTAGCGGAGTAGTTTGAGAGATGAGGAGGAGTAGAAGCGAAAGCGAAGATGGGAGTAGAGGTGGGAGGTAGCGGGAAGAGCGGTATAATATGGTTAGCTAGGTATGGATGTGCTGTATGATAGGCACTTGTAATGTACTTAACCTGAGGCACCTAGTCTAATGGGTAGAGATCAAATACTTGAATGGTATCCAATGTTATAAACTGACTTTGCGTTGTATTCAAGTTGTGAGTTTGGGGGGTTGATGAGGTAAAGGGGTATGGAATACGATTAAATGAATGTCGTCTGCGTATATACTATATTAAAAGGTACCTACCTAGGTAGCATATAAACTAGATTAAACTGCTTAGACAATCGTCTAAATTTCTATACTAGCTGTTGGGTTTTACAGCTCGATTAAATGAAATTCGAAAGTAAAAAAGGTCATGTCAATTCGTAGAAGGTAGGTAAATACAGGTAGGTAGACGATCAAAACTACAGCCATCTAATTCCGCAAGCCTTTCATATAGGTACTAGGTCTATTTGTGTCTTCCAGGTTCATTCTAGGTAATGAATAAGAGGTACTGTTAGGTACCTATTGATTAATCAACCCTTCCTAGATAGAATTAGAGACATGCGAATTTGATTTACATGATTGCGACTTGAGCTTATAAACGATTAAACATTGATATCAACACTATGTAGGTGCCTACCTAGGTATGCAAGAATACCAGGTACATTTATACCTACTTGATCGCTGCCACCCCTATTTCTCGTATGTGGTATTTTAGTCTTAGACATATCGTAGTTGAAAATGCATTCCACTGTTACATTATCGTCTCATTCACTTGCATGATTAGCTCCCTCTACCTATTGAAGAAAATATTTCGAATGCATAGTACCTATTATTCTGCATATCAAAACGATACTTAGGTGCTATCACACAACCGCCGCCCCTCCGACCAAATAAGAATACCTAGAGTAGTAGTAAAGAAATAAAAGCCTTTTACGACAGGAACTTGTGGGTTTGCAAACTTCGATTTAGACAACTCACCATACTGTAAACTATATCCATCGGCAAGCATGAACAGTTGTAACAAACAAAATTCATGTTCCCATCCGCGCATCGGAATAAAAACCGAGGGCCTCCCCTCGCAACTTCCTCCTCAAAGTAGGTACTAAATCGATGACTATCCGTCAATGTTGAGCCATCATATGCCGAGTAGGATTCGGCGTGGAACCGAGAACTCGAAAGTTCCCAATCTAGTGCCTTGATTGGTGATTCTTACCTGTGAAGAAGGTATGGTTGATATTTTAACTGGCTTATACGTACGGGCTTCTATTTATATCCATTTCTTGGTTACGATAATGGCACACCTTCCGTTCCTGTTTACCGGTCCCGAGATCAAGATCTATTCCCCACAGTGGATCAGATGAGATTCATCTCAGGTTTTTCCCTTTCTTGATATTTGTACGAAATGATGACTCTTAAGAAATATCACGGTATCTATTGATAATCATCGATTTGTCGTTATATCGTTAGTACCTATATAGGTAGGTAGGCTTAGTTTGGAAGACGTCGTAATGCTAGCGTGAATAGCGTGAACATAGCCACGGAGGTTGTAGGATGTCAGCATCATATTGATTGATTTTTCGTCACGGCGGTTCGAGATGTTTCAATCCATGCCTTTAGCGGTCTCATGTTTATCGATCGAATACTTAAATTCGATTTATTCTTGATTTTGGCCATGATGCCTGGTAGTTGGAATATAACCTAGATGGTAGTGCTCCTAACTAGAGATGGGATGAGATTATATATTCTCGAAGAACAATTCTCTTTCATCCTTTAGGAGGGATGGATTTGATCTTCTGGAAGTTTGTTAGATAATTATTCCTAGGTTAGTGGCGAAGCTTCAGAACGTGCATCATGATAAATACATAGTTTAAAGAACATGAATTGTATGATTTCATCTCATATGTTCGCCGCTGGTTGTGAAGGATCTGAATCCCGTCGTTTTATCGTCCCTTAGGCCACGAGCTGAAGAAGAGACGTTTCATAGGGCGTATTCACGTTTCAAAGATGGCGAGGGTAAACATTTACATGGCTTCACGTATGATGGAAAATTTTGGCCTTACTCCGTTGATTCAACGAGAGATAACCTTCAATAAGAGTTTTAATGTAGATATATGTAGGGAATTTACTTTTAGAACTAAAATGTTATACATCATATCAATACCGCATATCAACTCTAATTACTTTATTTCTAAGCGGCTTTTCCGTAAGGCTGTCTCGTACTTCAGGACATACCCCTTTGGGTTTCGGTAGATAAGGGCCGAGGTGACGTCCTTACACATTTATGGATACAAGCAGAGATCATCGGGGTCGGTGGGGTCGCCGGCGAGTGCCGTATGCGGATGTCGTATAACACTAGGACGGAGAAATAAGTGCACGATGTTGGGGTTGTGTTCTATGTTGGAGGGTTGAAGGGTAGCACGTGGAGAACAAGATGGGTTGTAATATTGTTTGATCGGATGGTAGCTCACCAACTTGTCTAAATATACTGAAGTCAATTGAGAAAGCTCGACTGAATGCCACGCGGCTTGCATACCACATACCGCTTCTTTTGTCATACCTTGGGATGTGAGACTCAGTAAGTGATCAGAGGAATGGGAAAAAAAAAGTGTGTGACATCCAATAATATATCCAATTATATCTATGGCACGGAATAATTAATTGGCTGAAAGGAATGCGGGCTACGGCGTACATAATATGTACTATGTAATATGCACATGGCGTTTCTATTTTTATGCCAATGAATTGCTTAAGTAATGCAAACGAAGGCAAGGACGGGTTGCGTTTAACGCCCGGTACGGTTAGTCGCTGCCCCCTGTTAGGACGCTAAGGCACTAAACTGGAAATTTGTCTGATCAGCCGCAGCCCAACCTTTCTCATCTTTTCATTCTTTTTTATTTGGCTCAGTCCCACATTTCGTCTGACATACAGGACGGGATGGCTTCCCGTCTGGGCTTGAAATATTCAACTTTTATTAAAAATGAGGCCGAATATCGCATTTCTCTAAGCGGGAAACAAATGAACTGTTTTGATAGCCCCCAGAGTGGTAATTGTCCTTGAGACAATACGAGTCTCCCATGAGAATCGAAACATTCATCAAAGCAAGACTACGTCACTTGTCAGCTTCAATCAAGCGTTCGAAGCTATCCAGGCCTTATCGTTGCTAGTAAATCAACCCCGGTCTAAAAGGATCTAGAACCCTTCACCATTATGTATCCTAATGTCAGACGAGCGACGGAGTCAGCCAGGCTTAAGCCAATTGCAATTGTCGTTATCGCTCGGGGTATGAATCCCATCTCGATGCTCAAAAGTTCCGTTTACATCTTAGCGATGCCTCTTCACCGTGAACCATCATCATTCGGCAGGCTGTCGAATGTACAGTAGACAGCCCTACGTCGAGGTGGTATCGTACCACTGTAACAGCTACCTGCAACTAGGTAGCAAATTTCATACTAACTTGATGGAAACGATTCCTCGATACAACCCTTTTCATACAATACCCTCGAGGTTAACTCTATATTGAGGTGCACTTCTTATCCACCGTCAAAGAGTTTGGCCGAGAACGCCCACGCGTTATGGCACCTCATTATTATCATGAGCTTAAGATGCCTTATAACCATGCTTGTCAATTCACTGAGCAGAGCCAAGAGTCAGCTGCGAATTAAGCGAATTCAAGCGAATCTAGTAGCATTTAGCATCTAGACATCGTTAAGTTCGGATTTTAAAGCATTGGCACTATTCCTTTGAGCATTCCTAGCGGCAACCTGCCGCTTGCTACGAGCTGTATTTGTCTGTATTTGTTAAGGACCGGGGCGAAATGTTCGACTCGGCCCCCATGAGTTAGGGTTACTATGCTGTATAAAAGCGTAAAGGCGTAGGGGCACGGTTGCTTTTATGGGTTGGTGTTGATCTCTATAGGTCGACATGGTGGATGGTGCCATCCTTCTTCTCCGCTAGTTGGTTTAGAGGCGCAGCCTGACTCCGTGGCTTACTGCACGCTGGCCTGGTTGGCGCGCACTTGTGACAATAAACTGAGACCCGCACTTCTCATCCAATTCCCTATCCCTATCGGGCACAAGCTGAGAGCTGACAGGCCGGGCTAACGCCAACCCCTGTAACTCTCTATTTCCCCTTCCTTCCTCTCATGCCCGCATTATTCTCCTCATCTTCCTCATTGCTTCTTCATCTTCTACGCCTTGCTTGGTTGCTTTCGATCGAGTCCCGGGCTTGCATCATTTTAGTGCGACGTACAATTCGATATACAACATACCAGTGTTGCTAGGTTGGGATATCAGTCTGGGTTTGGACATGTGCTAAAGATTGGATGCATTTGGGTTTCTGGGAGTTTTGCCGACGACGATAATCTGAGGCTCTCACAACAATGCGGCTCGATGCATCGAGATTTGGGATCCTCGCCTGTTTATCAGGGTTGGTGGGAGCGCAGGGCGGCGACGCGGGTAGTGCTAAAACGGTGACCACTGATATTGGGACGACGTCGACAAGTTCGGCATCATCGAACGTCGTCATTGAACTGGAACCTCTTCCAACTCCCGCTGTTTATGCGGAAGGCGTAGGGGACCAAAATATTACCTATAGCCATGGCATAGGTTTTGCTGGCGTGACTGTCACAGCCGTTAACTTAAGGCGGTATAGCGACAATGTCACTATTGGGATGGGGAAAGACTATTCGGCCGTATTAAATACAGGTTCCGAGCTTCATACTGGCGAAGCGATAATAGGACGAAGGGATGAGACGTTACCGCCATTCTCCTTTCCAAGTATGCTGACCCGATTATTAACCCGCTAGCTATTGAGATCCGCGACACTAACACACCGGAATAGTAACTAATGGGAGCGTAACTCTTAAAGTCCCATCCTCCGATTTAAGTAGGTTGTACGGCGACAACGTAGGCTTGCCCTTATATTACGAGTTCGAGTGGAAAAACTCTACGTCTTCGGGAAAGAGCTATAGTCAGCTCATCGCTGTGGCCCTCAGCAACGGTTACAACAATGCAGTTCAAATGATTTCAAAAACAGGCAAAGATTCAAGCCCGGCCTTCACGGAGGATATCCAACAGGATGCGACTAATCCCTTAGACGCAACTTCAACTTCTGGCTCGACCGCCGCCGAGACATCACTAGCATCGACCTCGGCATCTTCGAGGGGTAGCGGTGGACTAGGCCCAGGCCCTATAGCCGGAATTGCGGTCGGGTGTGCTGTTGTGGTTATTCTTATCGTCGCCTTCCTCGTCTGGTTCTTTTTCTTCCGCCGCCGCGGTAGTCGCGATCCAGCCCATGGCCAATCAGGCTTCGCTGCAAATTCGGGTTCGAAGGCTCTGGTTCTCGACAAGGAGGCTACCGGCTCCCCACAGTCGGCGTATCCCGACGACGGCGGAAGGTTGCGCGATGCGGATGCGTATGCGTCATATGCGGGTACCAAGGCGCCACAGGCCCCGGGAGCGGCGTTCACGATGAATAGTACGTCGGATCTGGCATCCATCGGACAAGCTAGCACGACGAGGGCAGCTACGCCACCGGCATATCAAACCCGCTACGCGCATTTGATCGAGGAGGGCATGACGGAGGATGAGATTCGGAGATTGGAAGAGGAGGAGCGGCATCTAGATGCGGCGATTCAGAACGCGGAAAGGAATCCGAGGAGGGATACTCACTAGTCGCGATATGCGTGCGATGTGATGCTTTTTTTATTGTTTTTTAAGCGGGTGCCCCAATGGGTCTCGGCGTTTCAAGGGTTCATCGTTATAGCGTGATAGGTAATCTATGTGTATGTGGTGAGAGATGTCGAGTGGTGCGGAATGAGACGACCGAGTGTGTGTGAAAATCGGGAGAGACGATTACCACCTCCTTTATGCGTATATATCACTTTAGCGTTGCACATTCGTTACCCTTCTTGTTTTGGTCTCTTTGGGTGAGGGATCGTGGGTGGTTATGAGGTTTAAGTAGGTACCTAGATGCTCTGGAGGTCGTTAAGACTGAATTGAGTTGGAATGAGGACGTGTACTGGAGGGGTACCTGTGTGTGGGGAAGTGGTGATGAGGTTGATGGGAGGGGGTCTATGACCTTGATGGGCTGTATGTGTGAATCTACGGATTTTACTTATATACATGCCTGTAGGTTAGCAGTGGATAGGTAATATGGATGACCTTGGGGATTTATGTGGTCTGCTATGCTTGTGTTATGTGAATATAGTGATGAGAGCATGCTTCTTACTTGTAAGTGTTGTGGCACGATGAGCTTCGCTAAATCTACTGCTGCTGCTGTTGGTGTAACTACTAAACACCTTAGTTCGCCTCACCATTGGAGGGATAAGGTTGAAGTCAGGTAGGTCGTAGGTAGTTTACTGGATACATATATACACTCGGTACGACAGGATATTTATCAATCTCCCTTCGAAATAGCTAGATACATAACTAGCTCTCAGTTCATTAAGTCATACCATACTATTACAGCGGGTTCTTCTTCGTCCCGGCATTGCTGTAATAAACGCAAAATACATCGCAGGACACTATCAAGTTCCTTCTGTATCTGAACCTGATGAGTTTGGCCCTGAAAATACCCCGGCACATTGAGTTAAACTCCTTTTCCTTTTGGTAATAATAGCAGTTGTGAATAACATCCGACTTCGGTCTCAACGAATAAGTGGGCGGCGGAGAATTGGTTCGGGGAAGAGGTACTGAACACGGCTACGAGCGTCCGAAGGTGAAGATGCGACCGACCATATTGCTGGCGAGGCTTCCGGCGATGTTACCGGAGTAGAGGGCGCTACCGGCGAGGTTGGAGGCCTGGCTGAACTTGTCGCAGCGCGAGAAGGCTAGGCTGTTGGTGATGGTTAGGGTGAGCGCGATGGCTATTTGCTTGTTAGCTCTTTTTCTTTTTTATTTCTCTTGTCCTACCCCCTCTCCTCATCTCTCTTTTGATAACGGAGGTGGGGGTAGGCGAGGGGAGAACTGGGGATGGTAGACGTACCGACGAGAGGCAACCACATGAACTTAAGTCGAACCAAGGCGAGGATGGCGAGCGCAACCCATAGCACGGGCTGCGCGTAGATGGCCAGCCAGAAGAAGCGGCTGTCGGTCGGGTTGATCTGGCGCGTGGCAGGGTCGCTGCTCTCGAATACCCAGCGGCTGTCGCCCGACGAAGGGTCGACTTCGTTCCACCAGCGTAGGCCGACTAATCGTCTGCCTGCGATGTTCTTGAGGTAGTAGAAGTCGGCGGCGAGGAGGAGGATCGTGATGATGAAGATTAGGACCATGTTGTTGGTGAAGATTACGCCGAAGAGGTAGACTAGGAGGGATGCTGGCATGTGTGTTAGTCTAGTTGTTTTTTTGCTTTCTTCATCGTGGAGGGACAGTATGGAGATGGATGGCGTGGAACTTACAGATGCGGAATGCGAGGAAGGTCAGCAGAGTAATCGGGTGCGAACTGAGGCGCCAGCTCAAAGAGCCCGGCGTATTTTGCGCTGATTCCATTCGGGGTGGTATGAGTTGTCGTTTCTCGATGTTATGTCATGGGTGAAACGAAGCTGTTGAAGCTACGGTAGCGGGATGGACGATGGATGATGGAAGCATTCAGTTTAAGCTGTTTGACGCGGCGGCGGATTGCGTTGTTCCGACATTGCGACATGCTGTCATTTGCGGAATCGAGTAATACATATTTCTGATTAAGGCATATAATATTTTGCTTCTAATGTGGGTATTATGAAAGCGGGGATTGACGTCTTGATCTGAGCTGGTTACACAATTTTCATTTCAACTTTCATTCATCTTTCATTCATCTTTTATTGTTGTTGTCACATTTAGAAATAACATTTTCTTTACAATACACTTGCTGTAGACAGGAAAAGATATACATCGCTAAAATGGATATGCCCTCACTTCTTCCTCGCGACTGATATCCAACCCCCTATCAACCTGCTCCTGATGTTTCTTGTCCAAATACTCTAACAAAACTTCTCCATACCTCTCCTTACCCTTATACCGGCTAACATCATCACCCCAGCTCCTAACCGCGCTCGCCAATCTCCCCGGCACATAGTCTTCCTTCACAATCTCCGTGACCGGGAGAAAATAAGTGCGGATCGTGAACACGATACCCCCACTCTTCGGTAACCGTCTTAGACTCTGTCTTTCGGAGCGGAAGTAATGGTGCTCGATAGCCCGATTCTTCTCTGCGGTGCTCCAGCTCACATCTTCCGAGTCCTCGGATCCGATGCTCCACGACCAGGCTAGGTCATCGTCGACCTGCATGAAGTAGTTGTTTCGCGCCACCATCTCCTCCGGCTTGAGGCGACGGAAGAAGTTCATCATGCCCTTTTCCAGCTTCTCCTTGAATTGCGGGACATCACCTGATGTGTGGATCTCTGACATAACCATTCCGTATTTGTCCTCTAGTCGCCAAAATCCAGCGAGCAGGACCGCGCCTGCAAGAAGGTAGTACTGGCTGTCCGGCCTTTCAATCATGATGGCTAGATCGTCTTGCACGAGTCGCGCGCAGATTTGCATCGGGTCTTCAGGGAGAGGTCGTTGGGTGATGTCGAAGCTTTCACCCGACCAGAGATTGTCAATGCCGACAGCTGTGCGCTTGTACAATGATGGGTACCGTTCTGGTAAGTAGTCGACTAATTCTTCGAGAAGTTCGATGGCGGCCGGGTAGGCTTCGGGATGAGTTCGGCAGCATCTCTCGCCGCGCTCCTTGATCCGTCGCGCCTTATCTGCGTGATATCGTGGGTAGTGGTTATCCAGCTCAATCCAATCCTGATGTTTCATCGTCCGCAGACCCATTGTCACGTTATATTTAGGACCGTATCGGAAGGGTCTGTACGGAAGGGGTTTTGTATGCTCGACTGACCAATCCGGGTACGGCTCTGGCTTAGGAGTCCGGAAGTCTGACGGAATCCATTTTCCCCATTCGCGTCCCTGATATTTGGCGCCCGATGTTGCTTTTTCGAGTGTTGGTGTGGTGGGTGTAGATGGACGTGCAGCATTTTTGCTGAGGTTCCGCCTCCGAACAATATATGTTACTAATGTGGACAGTAACAAAATCACGAGGGCAGCAGAATATGCGGATTCCCTAGAAATGCCCTGAGAAGAAAGCTTGCTCCCGTACAACTTAACTGCAGAAGCGCAGTTATGACTCGATTTTTGGAGTCCTTCGTACGCCTCACTAGCGCGCTTGGAGAATTGGTCGCCCGCCCACTCGAACATCGTGATTGCTTTCTCACTGCAATGTTGAGGTGCGACCTACTTTCACATAAGACGACAAGATATATCAATTCCTGTCTTCGCACTACAATTGGAATATCAGAATCGAAAGGGTAATCATTTAGATATACAAAACAAGGGATCGACTGATACCGCTCTCGGCCACCTACACATGCTATGATGATGCGGGTGACTTGGAACTGGCCAGACTGGCTATACTAAGTATTTTCCAGGATGCAGAGTCCTCATAATTATTGCCGTTTCTGGGATCCAACGGCCAATCAATCGCTCGATCGAGGTAAGGTTCTTGCACCCCCTGCGGGGAAATAGCTGAGGCTTCGTCGCCGGCTGGAAGATAAAAAGATGACTATCCAATTAAGAGCATTGGACGATATGACCTGGGTTGGGAGATATCTCGGGTTTGAAGCGGAATATCTACCAATCTCGTTTGCTCGAACGACCGTTCTCGGCCGCATCACTAGCGGCGGCAGAAGAGATAAGGCTAGCGACTCAAGAGATAAAGACACACCTTGACCCTATCACGTCGATCACGTACTGAGGTTAGGTAAGTAAATATCTTCATTAGCTCAGAGATGGTCTAGGCAGAGATATACGCGATACAATCTTCCCCGCCTCGTGATATGGGTGAGGTCAAGTTGGTCCAGTCATGTCGCATCGGCTTATCGTCGCGGTTCCTGGTGATAAGGTATATCCATACCACCCCCTTCCCCCGCAAATTTATCTAGGGGCTATTTAATAGTTCGTTCCATATGTTTATATACACGTATTATAAAAACTTGGTGGCTTTAGGCACGTCGCGAAGGTTTCTCATTTTCTCGTGTTGTCGATGTTAGGTCGCACGTCTTCGCCAAGCCCATGTCTAGTTCACGAGCTTACCTCAGAAGGCTTCTCAAGCATTAAATAAGCGAGAGTAGGAATAATGCCTTCTCGCGACTTTTCATGTTTAAACCCCCCTTATACTGTTCTCTACCTACTGATTGTGTCGCCGTTAATTCAAGGAATGCTAGAAGCTACGCCCACCGCCATCGACATCAAACGCTATCGTACTTGCCGCCGGAATTCGTAGTTTGGAAAAGGTATTGAATTGAGGACACGATATTTTCGAGGAGTTGGCCATTGGCAAGAACTGGAACCTATTAACCTAAGAGGAATTGTATTAGCAAGCGACTTGTGAAACCCTTCGTATACAAATGGAAGCTCTCTTGTGGGAACCCCTAGGTCGTCTGTCTTAGGAACATCTGATAGTTGGCAATGTCATCAGGTATCATTTTGCAATTGTGGCATAAGCTGCTAGGTAGAAGACTTTGGATGATCCCATCAATTGTCGGCCTATACGGTATTCGGCATGTATGCAATCATTAAAGCGGCATCATGCTTCATGATAGACATCTCTGGCCCCGCTTCATTCTTCCCGGATGTGGGATGAGGCCTGGTTTGTCGTACCCGGTTGGCGACAACTGGGTATCTACTCGTCAGTCCAACAATATTTCAATTGGACCATGAACTAATCTAATAACCTATACTAGTAAACCCAATCGCATTAGATCTTGCAATTTGAATTGTAAGGTCTAAACAATAGAACATCGCTTCCAATTGGAATTATTCGTATACGGTGTAATAATTTTACGATACTTAGAATCATTCTACTACCAACAGAATGATCGTATCGACTGTAGAATCATTATACTAGTTGTAAAACCATTTCTTCCAATTAAATCATTCTTATGCATGTAGTAATTTGACGATATATAGAATCATTCTCATAAGTGACATGTTCCCATTACAGGATACGAAAGGCCCGATATACTCTTATATTATACCTACCTAGGTAGAGTAGTTAATCCAATCCTCATAGTCGCGCGAAGCCTTAAGATTGCCCAAGTGAAGAGACATCATCGTGCGCGACCCGCGCTTGTGTTTTGAGAGCGGCATGGTAATCTGTCTCGGTGCCGTCGATTCCAGAATCGAGCGTAGCAAACGTAGCAGTGCTCACGTTAGTACGGTTATTTTTGCGAATAAAAGTTCTCAGGCCAGTAAAGATGGGTGATGGTATCTTGGGGAGCTTGACGATCGAACTATCTTGTTGACTTGAGCTGGGCTTCTCAGGGGGCTGTGCCCGCGCTAATGATTGGAACCGCTTGAAGAGTCTGTGAAAGAAGCTTCCAGCCGGACTACGAGACGTGGTATCCTCGGAATCATTTGTCTGCTTGACGAAAAGTGTGCGGAATGCTGTGATTGATGCCATCATAACTGCCACGGCACCTTCGGTTTGCTGCCAGAAGAACTCCCATATGTCGTCCTCGAGACCCTTGTAATGGAACCCGGCAATCCTAACAACAGCGCAGATTGCCATAAAAACGGAGAGGCAGAGAAAAACTGCCAAGCCGAACTTCGTAGACCGGCTGAGGAACGAGCCCCTGAGAACGATGATAGGGATGGTAACAACTAACGCGGATGAGCTTTCCGAGTAAGATAGGTAGTAGGCAGTTTTAAAGCATATGAAAGGATACATGAGACATACCCATTATATCAGAAAGGATATCCAGGACTGTAACGAAGGCAGTAAGCCCAAGTGACACTCTCTCATCCACAGTAGAACTAAAGCATTTTGCTGCATGCACGGGTTAACCAAGCTGTGCAACCAGATAAATAGCTGGGGTAGATAGTACTAACTTGCGTCCGCCCCAAGATACGGGCATATGATAAACGGATCCGCGACAACAAAGGCCCAAGATATTAGGCAAAAGCCCACGATAAACCAGTAATACCAATTCACTCTCCTGGAGATATGCCAGACGAGCGGACGCATGAAAGCTAGAAAGCACGCCTTGACAGCGAAGGTCGTCGTCCATATTAGGGCGAGGAAAGGGTACACCCTCTTCTGCAGCCCGAGAAGCTCATCGTAGTTAGCGAGAAGGTAGGGCAGGAGCTGTTGCGCGAACGACGCTGCTGAATGCAGGTACAGAAAATAGCAGATATGGTACAGGATGCCGGTGGCGGCGCATAGACAAGCCGCCGCGAGGATCAGGAACGCGTCGTCTAGGCCTAGACGTTTCTGGTATGTGAGGCGTATGGCCATGCGTGCGAGGAAACAGCAAAGGGCCAGGCCGGTTAAGACTCCAATGGCGACCTGTGTGGAGGTCAGTTAGGTTCAGGGGAAGGTGTGCGGAATCGCTCAACTTGGAAGGCGTGCATGTGAATCTGGCCGGATGACTGGATGAGCCTTGCGGCTTCTTGGGGATCTAAAACAGCATCCATGTTTCTTGCGTACCTAGATTAGTAGATGTTTGATCTAATATTCAAGTTGATGGAAGCAGCTGGAGGCGATTGAGTTTGGACAGCCAGACCTGGGCATCGAGGGAAGGCTAAATACCTAGCCATTTCTACGTTTGACAAAACAACATGGCTGACTGTAGCTGTATCGCCCCCAATGAGGCTATTTTGGATGCATCGGCGCTGAACTTGAACGGCCTTGTTTATTCATAAGGCTAATTGCATACCTACTAGGCACCTACCTATACTAATACCGACGTATGACGCCTGATCATAGGTAGGTACCTTTAGCTCTACGCTCTAACTGGTAGGGAGTTTAGTAACAAAAACATGTGTAGGTAGGTTAATGGATAGAAGCTCATATATTTTTCGTGTCATCTATAGTGCGTATAGAGCTTGACTATTTTTACCTTGGTGTGCTTATCTCTAAGACAATTATCCTCTTAAGACATCGCGAGGTATTGCCCTGAATACCTACTAGGTAGGTACCTAGTACTGTTCTTTTATTAATAAGTCCGCAGTGCTGACGATGCGATGAGCGACAAGCTAATGATAGTCAAGTATTGTGAGTCAAAACTTCCAAATTTAGGCATCTAGTAGAAGCTGTGTTGTAAGACGAATTGTTACATAGGTACCTACTTTGGACTTGAGTGTATTCCACAACAGCACACTTGTAATAAGCGCTTTCAGGGGGACCGGGTTCAGCCCCTTTTCTCCATCTGCGTTCCGTTCCGCTCACACAGATCGATTGTAACCCCACGTATCGAATACATCTAGAAAAAGTAAAAAGCAAATTACTGGGATGTACCTGTTCAACTGTCGTATTAATCACACATGGCAGGCTGGAAAGTTCATAATCTGAGACGCTATTGGACAATCCCCTTCCGAACCCCCACTGTATGTGATGTTTGTTGGTAGGTACTTGTATACGTCTCTCATTTTCTAACAATACAATGTACTGTACCTACCAACCTGCATATAATCTATCACGTATTACAACATGTTGTTGGTGTGGTACAGGAGAACGTGTCTCAGGCACGGACCAGCTGCCCACCAGAGTCTTCTTTACTTACTCCTAGATACAACATTCAATTTCTATAACATTGACCCCCAATTCTCTTTCGTATGATAGACGAGTACAGCGAACGAAGAGGGCCATGTTTTTAGATCTTGTTTCACCGCGTACAGCTAACCTAGGGGTTGCTTTTCTATTTCTAATCACCGTGCTCTGGCTTCGGTATGCTGCTCAGCGTGATAGGTTTGCGGTGCTCGGAAAACGCGACGATGCGAAAGGTGCCCCTTCAACTTTCCCTTATGTCTTCCCGCTGTTGGGAAGTCTACCATTGGCATATTTGTGGGACCCGAGAGCCTTTGTCTTGAACCCCAAGTAAGCCGACCGCAGTGGCCTGTTTATCAACGCTACCGACTTGTTATGCTTACCTGACGATGTAGCAATTTTTTCCAGAGCGCGCATCCGGTTCGGGTAAAGATCCTTACGCAAGAGTTCTACGCCATCTGCGGACCTGAGAATGTTAAGGCTTTCTTCAGGGGTTCCCACGCGTGCACATCAATCCCCTTCGTCAAATTCGCTCTTGGGTACGCTTTCGGTTTACACTCCAAAGCATTGAGGTTATATGACAAGGACGACTCTGGCGGCAGCCATGTACCTCACTCGGATAGCACAATAGAGGCTCATAATCGTATTGATTACCGCACCTACCAGTCCTTAATTCGTTTTCTGGAAGGAAAGGGGCTTTTGCCCTTCTGGAATAGGTTCGCAGACAACATCACACAGCAGCTGCATGGTTTCCATGATCGCATCGGATCCGAATGGGAGTATCGTGATGACATCATAGAGGTTGTCCGAGATGAGGCTACCGTTCCACTCCTTAATGCCCTCTGCGGCCCATACCTCTTGAGTTTGAATCCACACTTCCTGCAGGACTACTGGGAGTTTGATCGCAACTTACAGACCTATCTTCAAGGTATGACTTTGTGAATAATGTAGCAGCGCACTTGGACTTATCTTACTCATAGGAATGCCTTGGTTTCTCGCCCCAAGGGCTTATGCTGTTCGAAAGCGGGCCCTGAATGCCGTTAAAATCTGGCAGCAGCACGCAAGAGACCACTTCGATGATTCGGTCGTTGATTCTGACGGCGACGATCAATTCTGGGGGAGTAGCTTCTTCCGAGAGAGGCAAGAGATGTTTCTCGAAATGGACGGTTTCGACCATGATGCTGTCGCATCCCAAGATTTTGGAGCAATATGGGCGTAAGTTACATCGTGTACCTTCGACCCCTAGTTTTGACTCTGATCAGCTGATTTCTTTGCATTGTAGAGTAAGAAATTCCATAGTTACTGCGTCTTGGGCGATCTTTGAAATATTTCGAGACCCCGAGCTGTTAGCTAGTGTACGGGCAGAGATTGATGCCATTGCGCTCACATCTGCCGACGGTCACATTCAGTTTCACATCGACCAATTGCTTCGCCTGCCAGTCCTGCAAGCCGTCTATGCCGAGACTCTACGCCTCAGGATGGACTTTTATATCATTAGGATGCCTGACAAAGTAGATATGAACATCCAGGATTGGATCATACCAAGACGAAAGGTCATGGTTGCACCGACAACTGTTGCGCACATGGATTCCAAGGCGTGGAGCACGGGCCTGAATAACGAGCATCCCGTCGACCTGTTCTGGATCGGAAGATTCCTCAAATATCCAACGAGAAGTATGCATAGTGTCGATACGCAATCGCAGGATCCTGCTTCTCCAACTTTCTCGACGAAAGAGTTCGAAGGATCGTGGATCCCTTACGGCGGCGGACCGCGACAATGTCCAGGACGACACTTTGCTAAACGCCAGATATTGTTAACCATCGCTCTGATGGTAAGCTTATTTGACTGTGAGATATCAGAAGTGGGCAAGCATGTGCAAGGGGACTCGACGCTCAAGGGATTCGGCAGTGGTGTATCGCTTCCAGATGGCAAAGTGCCGGCGAAAATACGGCGTAGGGATAGAGGTAACATGTAGAATACCGAATTCAAAATCTTTTGTATGAATATTTAGTCTGTCAAAGAAATAGGGCCGATACCTTGGGGGTTTATCTCTTCTGGTACTGTTTTTTATGTATCCTTGTATAATTTCTTTCGCATCGTACATCAGTCGCTCTTCACTGAGAATGGGGCTTCAATCAATAAAAGAAGTAATGCGTATATAGGTAGGTACGTAAGATGATTTAATTTGGCGATGATTTAATAGGGTGCAATGTCAAAGAAACTGGTGGTGGTGTCACGATAAAGCAGAGGATCAAAAGGGACGACTGGATAGAATTGAAGGGTTACAGCGATGCGATCGCGTAACGGGGTGTGCTCTAGGGATCTCCGTCGACTTTCTAGGGAAGGTTACGTGGTTCTAGGGCTGTCCCTTTTGTACGGTGGTACCCGTGGACGCTACAATTTACGCTAGGAAGCGCTAAAACCCACTGAAGATTTATAGTGGGCGCCCCTCGGTCGGGGTTCTACCATCTAAGCGCTCGATTTGCTGAGAAAATATTAGCACACAACCACCTGGTACTTATCAATGATCATTCAAATGCATATATAATGTCTTTTTGTAGCTCTCAGTGGACTGAATTGATAGTAATATGATTTCTGATGCTGAAAGAATGTTTAAATTTCAAGATATCGACCTTTGTAGGGGGAAACAGTGCGTAAGTGCTAGGTGGTCACCTATGCTTGGTTAGGCGGTAACATCGCGCTATAGCCCCCGCTACAGCGGAGTCTAGCGCTGTATGGACTGTAGATAATAGCGCACTCCCACATTACTTTTCGCAGAATGATTTGACCCTAGGTTTCTCTAACATCCATCATGGCTAGGTATGCTATAACGGTGCATGCCTTTAAACCCCTCTGTAAATCTAGTGACCTAGGTGCATCGTCCCCTAGAAATAAGATAATAACATGCAATCATCAAACCTGATATCTTAGAAGTAGTAATCGAATATCTTCGTAAATATGTAAACCAACCCTTACTTAGGTACCTAGTAGGTTACCTAGGTAGGTAGGTAATGACTATCTTGCGTTAATTGTAGGCTCTGTTCCTAGGTATGATTTTATCGATGTATAGCGGTGTCATCTCAATTGTGCTGCAGTACGTATGATATTTTATTTCTAAGTGTTAGCTACCTAGTGGTGACTTGATCGGTTCATTTCTTATGACAGGGTGCTCGTTACAAGTCGGTATAAATACAGTGAGCTGTAGCGTTGAATTACCTGTGTTTATAGTGGACTTCTGCCGAGAAGAGCCGCCTCAAATCAAAAAAGGTTAGTGCGTTATCGTCGCTTAGACCAGGGCTGACCGGGGTGTCTTGTTTACCACGATCTCCCCTCCCCTTAACCTATATTAATGCACTTCATGATATCTTTAGTTGATGTCTTTCTTATAGTGATGGTGTCAGTCCTTTAGTTGAACTATTGAATATACCAACAAGTATCTTAGGTACCTACCTACTACCTAGGTACGGTACTCTGTAGTGTCTCGTCCTTCTACCTTTGAAGTTTTACCATAATAGGAAAGTGGAGTTCAAAATCACGAAATTCTATTGGCTAGGGGGTTGACGGGCTTGGTACTATAACTCTATTTATTTATTATGGGGTTATCATAAAGTTGCAAGTAATAGTTTCGTTGTGGTATATAGCTGGGTGTAATTGGGATTTAGCTGGTTCAACTGGAATTGCCCTGTTTCTTTGGCTTCCTCTCCATGTATCGAATAACATATCTCCCCCACTTACCACTCCCCCTATCCCCCATAACTTCCTCTCCATCTTGCGGCCCCCTCGGTGCATACTCGTCTAAGTCTATATCGAGCTCCCTCACAGCTTCGAACCCGAATTTCTTATAAGCCTCATAGGCTTGATGCGACGAGTGCACCCATATCGAAAGACCCAAGTCATCCGCGATAGCATTACCATGTCGCATAAGGGCGCCGCCCACACCCTGGGATTGGAAGGCGGGCGACACGATGAGACCGACAACGAACATGCAGGGCTTGTCAGCAGGAACTAGTTTGGTTATCCAGAATTGCATATCTGCATCTTCGAGGGCGTGGAGACGATCGATTGAATCCCCCTCTTTACCCTCCTTCTTATCTACATCCTTCGGCTCGTCATTCTTAACTTGGCCTTGACCTTGCTCCCGCTCTACTCCCGCCGGCTTCGCGTCCCCGGGCCCGCTCCATGGAATTAGCGCCTGATCCACACCCCTAAACGCCCATCCAGCGTGTCCGACGATTTCGCCGGTCTCATCATCAACGGCTTTGACGTAGATGTACGTTTTCTTGTGGAGGGTGTCGAGAAAGTTGGTGCTGGATATGTCGTACATATCGTAGGGCTCGCGCCCTAGATTCTTGACGATTGTGTGCGGGTCTACGGAGAAGGCCGATGAGGTGATGCGGGCGCAGGCGGGGACATCGGCGTAATTGAGGGGTTGAATGGAGACTGAGATTCGTTTTCCAGAAGACATCGTAGTTTGGGGGGCTGCCATTACCGCTGCTGATAAGAGAGATACGGATCCTAGTTTCGATGGTGAAGAACCACACTAAAAAGCTTATTATGCACCTAATTCTTGAAAGGTAGGTAACTTGGAAATAGCTATTCCTCTAGTTTCAAGGTTGTTTGCTATAACCGGAGATGAGATCGCTTTATGCTCCAGAGGTAGGTAGATAAACCCATTGGCTGGGAATACTGCCCCACGTATCCACTGCGGAACGGTCCTTTCGGAAAAGATTGCGACTATTCCCGAATTCGACGGCAGCGACCATCCGCCATGCCATGTGTCGAAGGATGATGCAGCCAACCCTAGATAGGTAGGTGTAGGTTATTACATTCAAATGCGGTCAGCTGATACGCGAAGGATAATAGTCAGGTCCATGCCTCAACTGTAGCTAGATCTAGCTGCTTATTCATGGTATAATTGATCCTGCTTGGGGCTAGAACGTGTCGTCCGACTTCTTGCTTATATGAAGATGGCCTATGCACCTAGTCTGCAACTATCAAGGGAGCTATTCATCAAGTAGGGATTAATTCGCCATCTATGGATGGCTTGCCTCGGCACGGATTGAATATGCCCTAGACTTCTATGACTACCTACTATAACCACTGCATGAGCGGATACTTGATGGTGTCAGCAACTGGAGCTAACAGGCAAGGTTACATGAGAGGGTTATATAACTAATTCCATGGGCAAGAAGGCATCATCGCCTCTATTAAGACCTAGCGTAAGACGAACCCCCTTTCCGACTGGATGCTAAGCTCCTGATCCAACTAACTTGACCGGTCTAAGTATTCAAGCACGTAACTACTAGCTTATTCCGTACTTCCCAATTCTCCCGGCCTCGGGTCACCAAATCCGGGAGACATCCCAATGACGATTTTATTCCTCGGGATCCTATCTGTCATCGCCACGGCGCAGTGTTCTGCGTGCGCCGTCGCGTTCGGGAATCCCGTGTACTCCATCTTGGCCTTCCCCCGCATCTGCTTGACGAGCGTGTAGAAGCAATGCATGTTATGCCAGTCGATTGTCGACCACGCCTGTCTCTCCGGGTCCGGCTTATCGGCTAGGTATGACATCTCCTCAAGAGAGAATAGCCGTGACGAGCTGGTATTCGAGGCGTGGTATAGCCATTCCCCGTCCGGACCGTTACCCGCATGCTCGAACAGCGAGGTTAGCTCGTCGTCGCGACAGTGTGACGGGAGCCAGGAGGTTGCTAGGGAGTCATATTTGCAGCCCATGGCGAGTGCTTCTGCGGTAGATGTGCCGCAGTAGCATGCTGGTAGTGACGCATCCCTAATGTAGATTGCTGCGGATATGCTGAGAGTAATGAAGCTGTGAAGAGCCAGTGCTAGTATAACGATCTTGAGAATCCATGAGAATATGATACGGAGACGGTTCTTTGGCCGGGTTCGAGGGACGAAGAGGTTGGGATCTTCTTCATCGCTCGTCCTGACTTCCGAGTATTCGTCCTTGCTGTTTTTAGAAATGAAAGGTTCCGAGGAACCAGATGAAGATGAGCTGAATGAATTCGTCAGTATTGATTGCATTGAGTTTGTAGACTCACTTACGAGTTCATTCTTGGTGACTGTTAAGGTTCGCTAGCGACTTGAAAGAAGATAGGGGATATAGAGTGAATGTGAATTAGGTAGGTGGGAAGGGGAAAGACTGCGCGGTCGCTTGGAATTCAGGCATCAAAAACGGAATTCAAGGCCTTAATTCGCAATATGTGACAAGTTGGTATGGTCTCCAGACTATGGAAAGATATGCCTCTAGAATACGATCTGATTGCCTTGGCAAATATGCCTAAGGGTATGTAGTCCCTCTGGTTCGTTACATTCACACTCTTGGCAAGTCTACTCATCGGTGAGAAAGAGTTTCCTACCTGCATGATCGGCTCTTGATCGGTTTGCACGGGATCCGTGAGGCGCTGACAGTTGGCTGTGCGGAATTGAGGTTGTCACAATGCAGATTATCAGTTACGTTAGGTAGTAATCTGCGGTAGAACTGGGTATCAGGTGTATACCAAGATGCCGATCCCCTGTCCATCTTTAGCTGCGTAATACGATAAACCCGGTTTGATCTTACCTGCGTCTAGATCAATACAACATCGAATCCTCTTAATCTATATGCCCGTTCGTATCGCTGTCCTGCATACTGCGGCTATTGGAGGTTGTTGATCCCTGTACGTGCCTATTAGGCTACTAAGACTAAAAGTTCCTTCCCTGCCCAGGTGATCGCGATTCAGCCGCCTCAATCTTGGAACTTGATAAAGCCGAACTACGAAATGGACAAATCACGGCTCTTGTGTTATACATCAGGATGAAGGAATAAGACTTTTACAATTATATTAGTCACTTGAAACTACTAGGTACCTAGGTAGGTACCTATACAAACACTTGACATTTACTTGAAGCATTATACGCAATGAAATTTATTTAATGAGCGAATGACTTCATAATTCCTTCGTACCTAGGTAGGTACCTATCTGTTACCGTAACCGCTTCCAGCCAGTTCCAAAATATGTGGCAAGCATGCTAGCATGCAAATCCACGCATCGTTATCATCAAGGATAATAGGTAGGTATCTATGCTATATCCTTATTTCTTCTCGTTTACAGCCTCGTACTCTCCCTCAGATCCATACCCGATATATGAGTTAGTGCGCTTATCATTGTCGCGCTTGTCGTTAACTGCCTCATATTCACCCTCCGATCCATATCCGATGTAGGAGTTGGTACGCTTGTCCTTGTTGTTGACAGCTTCATACTCTCCCTCCGATCCATAGCCAATGTAGGAGTTAGTGCGCTTCTTGTTGTTGACTGCCTCGTATTCCCCTTCAGAGCCATATCCAATGTAGGAATTGGTACGCTTGTCTTTGTTGTTGACAGCTTCATACTCTCCCTCAGATCCGTAGCCAATGTATGAGTTTGTGCGCTTGTCATCAGTGCGCTTGTCGTTCACTGCCTCGTACTCCCCCTCGGACCCGTAGCCAATGTAGGAGTTGGTACGCTTCTTGTTGTTGACAGCTTCATATTCTCCTTCGGAGCCGTAACCGATGTACGAATTAGTGCGCTTCTCAGCACTGACTTCATCAACCGTTTGGGAGACAGGTGCCGCGGCGGCAAATCCTGCGCAGGCAATAGCAATGAGGGTGATGAACTTGACCATGGTGTCGAGTTGATACTAAAGAGTCTTAGGCTGGTAAACTTATGTTTAATATGGTAAGAGGGCACTTGTGGTTGCTGAGAGTAGGAGTGAATTCGTGGGTGTGGATATGAAGAGGCTTGAGAGTAGATACTGTGAGTTGATTGTAGTTTTTGAAGACTTGGTGTCTGGTTTGGTCCTTTTATGTTAAAATGAGAGCCATCTTGTGTAGGTACTTGTTACTACGTTCTATTAATCACGACATTATTCTCCAGAGACAACATCCGCCGCCCGTATTTCAAAGCCGACCTCGTCCTAACCGCTTATCCGGGGTATAAGACGAATGTGATATCAGAATACAGCTTGGCTGTGCATGTAATCCTTGGAATGCAGATCCATATTGTTGAACGGTGCGTTAGTCAGTACAAGGAGCTGCTACAATAGGTATAGAGTACGACAGACTGAAGGAAGGAGTTTGTATCGCCGATAGGAAGTCACATTACCACGAGACTGCCTCCAACATGGAGCCGAATTCGGTTGACGACATACTCTAAGATATGATCTGATGGAGAGATTTACATAGAAACAGGGTTGTTTCTACCACATGACCGCATTATCCGCTGTTAATTCTCTCACCGAGTAAGAACAAAGATATCCATGGATGGGATTATGGGGTAGGGTTGTCTGGTTCGTTTATAGGTACTTAGACTAGGATTTCGACGATAGGATACTATCTCTCAATGCACATAGGTAGGCTAAAAATGTGGGATCAGTTCTACTCGTTTATTACATCATATTCCTATATTTCTACCATCCCCTTTCCGCACATTCCTCTTCTTGCTTTCGAAACTATCTGTTTCCATGTTTAAAACTTAAAAACTCTAAGTTCAATGATAATGCCGTCTCTACTAGAGTTCATCAAAGGCTCCGTCCGCCGACCACAGACATATTCAGCAGTGTCACCTGGCAGTATGGAGAAATCATCAAGAGCTTCCGATGATACTACTCAAGACGGTCAGGAAGATGCTCTCATGGGCGATGATGCGCATTTTCCTTTATACCATCCTCGTCGACGGTTCAGCATTGTCACTATTATCGCAGCTACATGCGTTTTGATCCTCACTACCGTGGGAGCTTTCCTGTCTGGGAAAGCCTGGCAACCTCACATTGATGAGAAATGCATGAGGCACAACTATCCTTACTGTATGTAATGAGAAGGCTCCAATTCATAAACTACTAGGCAGTCAGGTCTAACACTCTCCAGCAACTGTTATGGAGGAAATCCCGAACAAGCTTCGTGATGTCCAGTTTAATGGTATGTATCTTACGCTCATGTTCCTGGACAGTAAGTTTATAACAACAAAACAGGAACTCTTGGGAAAAAATCTGAGTTTACAGGGAACTGGGGCGATCCGGATGAGGCCATGGACCGCAACTGGAACAAATGGGGGTTCGGTAAGTTAGGTCCGTGGAACCCATTACACCTATGGTTGCAATTTCTACTAACATATACCTATCTAGTCAAATATGCCAGCTTCTCCCGAGACGAGTTTGCAGCAATGGGCATGGACCTTGAAGGTTCTGCAAAGTTCACTGAGGAATACGGAGGAGGGTATATCGGGTTCTTGGAGATTAGTCATCAGATGCATGTAAGTGATCTTGGCGCTAATCCAACTCCCCTTCTCCATATATAAGCTGACTGAGGAACCAGTGTCTGAATGTCATCCGCCAAGCATACCATAGAGACTACTATGAACGACCGGAGAATAAGATCTGGGCAGATTGGCTGAATGACAATCCAATCACCATCAAAGTACACATTAGTAAGTACTTTCCTTTTTCCAACCAATCAAGCTGCTCATGTGATTGGTTATTTACTGATCGCCTCCGTTAGATCACTGCTTCGAGATGTTCCGACAGCTCATTATGTGTAATGGCGATGTGGGAGTTATTCCTCACCACTGGGTCAAAGATATCCAAGACCCTTATGCCAATTTCAACACGATGCATAAATGTCGTGATCTGGATAGCATTGGTAAGTGGATCGAATCGCACGAAGTGCCGCCTCCACCCGAGACTGGATACCCGATGCCAAAGGATTCCAAAGTCTGGCCAAGGCCGCCATAGGGGATAACCGATCGCGGGCCGTGGGAGCTTGAGGTTGCATTCCAGAATGTCAAGGGATTAAAGGCACAGATGATGTTATTGGCACCTCTAGATATAAGCTTATCTCATATACCCATGCAAAGATCATGTCCGATGTAACCTAAGTCTGGAAACTTCATCCGAACTTGCATGCAAGCGGTTTCGACGAGCTAGTATAGAACATGTATAAAAGGATGCGATATTGTATCCACATTTTTAAAACTCGCTTTTATTTACCATTAAAATGTTGTCTTATAGGTGGGGTTCTTAGGGGTGCCCCTTTTGCTGACACTATCGTGAATTAAGTCATGTGATACCCTTTAGCTTCACCACTTGGTGCATCAAATGCGGCGCTTGCAGCAATAGGTATTTATTCACTCCCTAAAATACAGAGTACTTTCCAACCAAGTCCGCCTCTACCGGGATCTTTTCGGACTGCAACACATAGTCATAGAGCAACGTAGCATTGCGACACTGATGTGTCTGGCCCACACCGTTGATGCCATCCACCTCCTCGCCCCCGGGAACCGGCACCTTTCCTGATCTTTCCAATGCATCATCTGCCGTGCAAAGGATAGCCTATGCAGGTTATTAGCAATGCGTATGACGTGAGACGAAAGTACCGGAGTCAATCACATACCTGGACTATGTAATCGAAGCAGTGCAAAAAGTGACCTCGGTCTTTCGCACCCTGATTCATATCACGGTTCTCCACATGGACGTGATCCATATGTGAACCTCCTTTGAGGAGCATTGCTCGGACCATGCTCAGGCAGTGCAACTGATGAAACATCGATACCCCGATCTCGTTAATCTCACCGCCCTGCTCCTTAACCATGAGGAACCCCCCATTCGGAGTTAGGAGATCTTCCCACCAGTCTATTCCTTTGGATTCTTTCCTGTTGTAAACAGGATACTTCCACGGGTCTTCGACGAAATTCGTAGGGGAGAGCTCTTGAGATGAGTGAGGAGCCGGACACTCTGTGAGCTTGGGCTGAGAGTTGCCGGTAGTGTAGACAGAATGCTTGGCTCGCATGTCGTCCACCAGGGTAGCGACCATGTTTTCATGTCCGGGACGAATGAGGAGTAAGAGTGCTATGATGGTTATAGCCGAAGAAATGAACACGGCAGAGCATGTGCGGGCTGTGTTTGATAAGGCCATCTTGTGAAATGAAGCGTGAATGTGAATTAGAGTAGACAGTTTGATGGATACTAAGGTATGAAGTGATGAGGCTGTCTTGGGCAGTTTCTTCTTGCTTAAGACTTCCAAGGTTGGTTCCGTAGTTCCGTAGGTTGCATAGCCCGATCCTCCACCCTCTTGGCCATCGTACGGCGGGCCCATAAGGGCATTGCATTAGTCAAAACATATAATGTAGGCGGCTTATTCGATCTACCATCCTTGCATAGGCTTAGCGACTCTTTCTTACGCCGAGAACGCAGATCCCGACAATTTCCACCTACCCCGCGATAGGCGAGGCCAGGTGGAAATGGACATCCGTTCCAATGCTCCCGCGATGCCCCCTTTTGATGCAATTTGGTATTCTTCACCTTTCTTCAGAACTTCATACTCACCTGGCAATTTACAAGTCGGAATAATGCTTGAATCGGTCCCCGAGAACGAAGTGCCTTTCCTTCACAAGGAGAATGAAACTCCACGGATCATATACCGCGTCGACAAGGGCGGCCGAGGGACTTGGTTCCAGCTAGTCATCGTCGCCTTAGTTAGTGCTTTGGTCTCTGTTATGGGAACTATCATCGTACACAATGTTCTACCAATCTCTCATATCATATCGAGCGGGAGCTCACCCCCACAAGAGCTACTTCCATCGTTGAATGTCCCACCTCTTGGAAACGTTCTTCGAACTTATATCGGCGAGCCGGCTTATTATGCTAACGATATGAACGCTACCCGTAAGGCGTGGATGTCACTGTTTCCTCGTACGTTCCCACCCTTGATACATCACACGTCGATACTAACCGAATATCAGCTGGAATGGGTTATGTTTCCATGGACAACATCAAAGACGCAGGAGATATACCTCGCCTCTTCCAAGATATGAGCACAGACGGATCAGGACGCTTCTGTGTCGCCGCATTCCACCAGCTCCACTGTCTCGTAAGTCTTCTCGAAGCGACATCCACAGACAAACAGGTATCTAATTCTAACCATCCACAGTTCCTCATCTACTCCGACTTTCGCCGCGCCCTAAGTGGCGAGCTTGCGGCTGACTCACACTCGCTACACGGCTCTCATTCTCTGCACTGCTTTGATTATCTTCGGGAGAGTATTATTTGCTCAGCAGACAGTGCACTTGAGCCTTTCCGCTCCCCATTTGACGGTGGCACGCAAGGGAACGGGGTGGACGGGTTTGGGAGCGTGCATCAGTGTCGGGATTTCAAACAGCTATTTGACTGGAGCGAGAAATTTAGATACACTGATGGGCATGATGCGGAGAAATTCGAGGGTTGATAAAATACCAATATGTGGTCAGGATTTGTCTAGTTAGGTAGGGTTTTCATTAAGTTGAACAAGTCAATCTTTAGAACGATCAAAAACGCATTAAACCAGTAATATCAATTATATCATAAATTCATCACATAAAGCAAGCGTCTTTGCTGACAGTCGGCGTGTTAAATGCGAATAATGTTGAATGGTCATTTTTACCCCTTTACCCTAGGGTTAGCCGTTACCCCAACCCTAACCCTAACTCCAATTCCAACCCAAATTTGACCGCTTATCGCCCGAGAACCTCCCAAGAGCTAACTTCAGAATCCATCATAAACTATACCATATTTAGCCCGGCGTATTCATATTACACATTTCCTTATACCTTCGAAGCACTCGATCAATGATGCATTGGATATTCTTAGCACCTGAGAATTTACCGTTTAACTTGTCGAATAGTTGAAGAACAAGCTCAAGGTCATCAATCACTTGCGCCTTCTGCAAATAACTGACGAGCTCCTGTGGCTGAACGGTAGATGCGTATATCAACGAGATAGTAGACATAAATAGGGATAGTAGATTGAGCCAATTGTAGGCAAACCGTTTTTGACGATGCATGGTGTAGGCCTGCCGGATAGACATCGACGCGGCATTCGCGAGTTTCTTGACCATGGCTTGGTCCAAAGTTGGGAATAGGGGAGAAGGTCTATAGAGCATAGCTGTATGTAAATAGTAATTGAAATCATACCAGTTACTGCAGAGATGAGGTACTCGGGGGTGAACGTCAGGGAGCGGAAACGGCATGTTGCGCCGCCAATCAATAAGCTCTTTATGAAGAGAGTGTATGATCTCTTCCCGGTGAGGCGTATTTATCCGTATTGTTGCTTGATTGCCATATACTTGTCTGCTAATCTTACTAGCGATTCTTCTTAAGTCTAAAATGTGTCGTGGAATGGACATGAGCGACGGTTCTAGTTTATCTTCAATCTGGATACTGGAATCACCAGTGTGGTCATCGTCTACATCGATAAAGGCCTATCATCGGAAGTAATCAGCGACAAAAAGTTCATAAAAAGTTTTTACAATGCCTTACATCGATTTCTATATCGTCGTCTTGTAACGCAAATGGGCGTCCAAGAGCTATGGATATTACACTTTTGGTTGCGAACAAAGACGTTAGAAAAAAAATCAATGTGGCTATCTGGGACGAAAGGGACAACTAACCGGTCCATCATATAGATAGAGAAGAATATCCGTTTTCTCATGTTTGCAACTTTGAATGGGACTTTTTCATATGCCGACGAGGTGTGTAGACCCAAGCCGATAGCCATACGAGCTGCCGTGCCAACTAGAAACCAAGTATCTGAAAAATTGTTAGTACCTGTGATCTCAGATTAAGCTGCCAAAAGTTCAACTTACTTGGTCCAAGCTGATTGAAAAAGGAGAAGGAGACCTGAAGCATGATGGTTTCTAGTGCCACCTTAGTCACATTAGCCTCATACTGTAGTCGGGAAGAATAACGGAAGCGCACCATGTCACCATAATCGAACGCAGCCTCGAAGTATTCGAGTGCTTTGTTATAATACAGTAAAGCTTCGGATTCTTCGACCACCGAGACCGAACACCGGGATGAAGAGCCGATAGCCAAAACCATCCAAACTCGAAATAAGGACATAGGATCCATGGTAGAGAGATCTAGAGGTTGCTCGTAGATGCGATTTAACAAGGCGAGAAACTCGCTTTGGTTGATTATCGGGTATAGAGTATGGCTATGTGCGAAGTAAAAAGATGCCAACTGGTCGGCGCGTGACTTTGTAGGCAAGCCCAGATCCGATAGAGACCCAGAAGGCTCTATGATGCTTGATAAAGACATATCCCCAAACAACGTCGGTCCAAATCCAGAGATATTTGGGAAGTTCATCATATGTGGATGAAAGAAATCTGGTGGTGAATCCCAATTTATTTGTCCTAGTATGTCATCCCCTTGGGAGATTCCAAAAACGAAGTCTGCCCGATCTGGTGTTAGACGTTTGAGGATTGTCTGTGTTAACTTGGCGAAAGATAGACCGGAAGATGATCCAAGATGTCGCTCTGCCGTCGCTTCCAAGGAAAGAATCCTCAGCTCTCTGGCCATAGAAATAGCTGGCACATGTTCAACGGATGACATTTCTTGGCCATGAATGGAAAAGGGGGAGAAAGTACTCCCGAGGCCTTCATCGACAGGAGCTTGCTGGGTCGAATTTCCGATGCTTTGGGTTCCGGACTGGCCATTGTCTGATGATGAGCCTGGTCGATCGCGTATAGCTTCTAGCGCTAATGCGAGCTGCCTTTCTAATTCTTGGATCCTGGCTTCAAGCCCTTGCACAAAGCTATATCTCTATGTTAATCTGGAGTGTTGTACGAGATTCAATCATACGACTAGGAATACTGAGTGACGTACGCGATGGGATAGGTGCCACTTTGCTGGTCTGCATCTAAAAAGCTACAGTTCACATTGGCGGTTCTACAGTTATCGCACTGCGGTAAAGTCCTATCGCATTTCTTCTTCCTTTTGTGACAGCGCTGGCAGGATGTCCTAGCTAGAGCAGTAATGACGCCAGTATCCATAACGTTTCCTTCAATGAGTAAAGAATATGACCAAAGCTTATCAGAAAGAAAATGGTTGCGGAGGTTCCGAAATATTTGGAGGTAAAGGGGTATCTACATATCTAGGAGGTGGGTACCAACTAGGATGCTATCTACTGGCTTAGAAACCTCCTCACAACAATTGGACCCAGATTCCGATAGCCGGGGGCGGGGGCACCGGGTCGGGGTAGCACAAGCGAGACCCCAAGCTTAACCGACCGGGACAGAAACTTCCTGATCGGGAAAGCAGCACAACGCTTACGTAAGTACAAATAGGAGTGACCCCTTTTAACGTTGACATTGTAGAACATGGATTATCTAGGTAGCTATTCGGTATTTATTGATTATGTAGCTTTCGAGCTACTCAAAGTCGACAACTGCTACTACTTTGACCTCCACGATAAAGCGCGGGTCTGGCAGCTCTTGAACCCCGACGGTAGCCCGTGCCGGAGCACTTGCGCGATCTGCAAAAATCTTGTTCCACTCCTCGTTCATTCCAGCATAATTGGACTTCATGTCTATTATATAGACGACCGAGTCAATGACATTATGGATGCCGCCTTTACCATTGCTAGCGCCTCGGATGATGGCGTCAATTCTTCGTAGGACGGCGGCTGTCTGCTCTCGGATGTCTAGATTCCACGTTCCGTCTGCATTCTCTGTAGCACCCTCGAGCTTTCCATCAGGAGTCACTGCTGCTATTCCGGAGACATAAATGGTACGGTGAGCCGATGCCGGTGCGATGCGAGCATGGGCGTATCTCGTCGCCCCGGGCGGAGTGTTTGGGTCAAGCAAGAAAGCTTCACCGTTAGGAGACATTATAGGCGGCTTCTCCGAGTAAAAGAGTGGTGGGAGTTATTGATGCAGGAGTTCTTGCGAAAACAACAACGCTAATCGCAATAAGGTCGAGAAAATCGGTAATTGGTACCTGAGGAGGTAGCTAGCAACAAGAGAATTGCAATTATATCTTTGAACGTAAGATGATATTTAATTCTAGGTAGGTAGAGGTTCACTTTCTTATTCACGAACTTGACGGATCTGCCGCTAAAGGGATGCCATTATCGGAGCTTTGTGTTGAGTATTTGGTAACTACACGTTTCTTATCGGCACCTCCGAAAGTGCCGGTCGGAAACGTCCGATGCGAAGGTTACATGCGAAAGCTTGGTATATACACCACCTCATACTAACAAGCAAGTCCCCGCATCATATGAAGCATTTGAACTATGAACGGGTAGCTTGTCGGAACGAGCTATTAGTTGTGAGATCAAGATGGCGTCTCCGACCAAAGGCGAAATTGAATTCTTCGACATACTCAACTTTACTTTTCAAGACGGTACCACTCTGGATCATGTTCGCTTAGCATACAAACAGTTCAATAAGGGCGCGACAAAGACAGCATTGATACCGACATGCTTTCGTGGACGGATTCAATCGACACTCAATTTTTCCCAAGGCGCGTTAAGCGATTATAGGGTTATCGTGGTCGCGTTGCTAGGTAACGGTGAATCATGTAGTCCATCGAACACTTTAGGATTCCCCTCCGCGATCGAGTATCAGGATTGTGTTCGCGTACAGCATCACCTCCTCACCCAAGGTCTCGGTATTAAGTCTGTCGATGGTATGGTGGGCTTCTCCATGGGAGGCCAGTGTACCTATCATTGGTTGGCCCTGTACCCTGAGATGGTAAAAAATGCTGTCATCATTTGTTCCTCTGCTCGAACAAGCCGGCACAACTATCAATTTCTAGAGGGACCAAGGGCTGCGCTAGAGAACTCCGCAGACTACGTTGCTGAGAGGAATGAGGTGGGGAGATTGGAAGCACCCCGCGGTCTTTGCGCCTTTGGTAAAGCGTATTCGGCTTGGCTCACAAGTGTTGCGTGGTTTGAAGAAGAGCTTTATCGAGAGTTGGGCTACCAATCTTTGAGTGAATGGGACCACGCCGCAACGGATATAAATTACCGGGATTGGGACCCCCAGGATCTATTAGTCATGCTACGTATGTGGCAGCGCGGCGACATATCACGGTTAAATGCCGAAGGGGATGGGTCGCTGGAAACCGCCTTGTCGAAAATCACCGCTAGCGTGTTGCTCATGCCTTCTCAAACTGACCAATATTTCAATTGGAGCGCTAGTGAAAAGGAGGCACGTTTGCTACCAAAAGGCAGATGTGAGATAATACCGTCGGTTTGGGGTCACATGGCAGGATCTGGGAGTAGTGCACGGGATACAGAGTGGATGGATAACAAAATGAAGGAATTTTTGGGATAGGGGTAGGGGGCATAAGCGGGTAAAGATATAAGCAGATATGAAGCATCATCAATAATGGTTATTACTATCTAGGTACCTAGACTATGAACTATCTTGTGGATATCATTCATGCCCCCAATAATTTCCTACCTACTTCAAACAATGCTGCAGCCATAAGCACGGTCTCATCTTCCCATCTCCTCCCGATAACTTGCATCCCGATAGGAAATTTGATATCAGGATGTTCCGGATTTGCTGCAGACCCACAAGGCACGCTAAGCGCCGGATGGCCAGTGACATTGAATGGGCATGTATTACTCGTGACTCCGATAGAGCTACTGAGTTTCTCCAAGATCCCAGACTCTGGATTGGGATGCGGCATGGAGAGTTTTGGGGCACAAGGAGTTACGAGAACATCAACGACTTCGAGCGCTCGATCGTAAGCTGATCGAAGCTCGAAGACCTTATGGTGTGCTTTCCCTTCAACCCATGAGCCAAAGTGACTATGCGCAAACTCACCACTCAAAATAATGTTGACCAAGGCGGGGTTTGATTTTGACTGCATCTCGAAGGTCTGTTGAGTTGGAGGAAATTGTGGTCGGAGATGCGGTGGCAAATATGATAAATGGCCACCGGTTTTGCCTTGGCAGAGAGACTCAGACATCGATGGCCGAGTTGAAGCGGTCCAAATGATAGGTCCTTCAGAATGAAGCGGGATGGATATTTCCATAACCTCAGCCCCTGCGGCTTCGAAAGATTTAGCGGCAAGACGCACGGTGTCGCGTACCGACGCGCTCAATCCCGCGACAACAAATGATTCCGTTAAAAACCCGACTCGTAAAGGTTTCCTCTCTTGTGTGCTAGAATTTCGAAGCCTGGCTCTAAAATCTGCCAAAATCTGGGGATAATCTTTCACCTGGTTCAATAGTGGCGATTCAGGTGTCATTCGTGGGTCCAGACCATCATACCCGGCCATGACCTTCAGCAAAGTCGCAATACCCTCTAAGGAGGGCGCGATAGGCCCAAGATGGTCTATCATAGGTGACATAGAACCTGCACCCGTGTAGGGTACTAGACCAAATGTTGGCTTCAGTCCATAGATACCAGTGAACGAAGCTGGAATCCTGACCGAGCCCGCCTGGTCGCTACCGATTGCAAATTCAACTGTGTCCCCCCATTGCTTATTTAGTCCTTGTCGCTTTAAAGCATGCGCTGTAACGAGTGCGCAGGAACCACTGCTACTCCCACCAGAAGTGTATCCATGAAGGAGAGGATGGTGTACAGGGCCACTGGCAGATGTAAATGATAGCGGAGACGCGCAATGGTTTTCGCAAGTTGACGAGCCCCTGATCACCCCTCCGGCTGACAAGATACGGGCGACCACTGAAGAATCAATAGGAGATACGGGGAAAGATCCATCGTGAGATAAGACCTCGGCAAATGTTCCCAATGTGGTCGGCAAACCACCAACTGAGATGTTATCCTTAATTGCAATGGTAATGTCTTTTAATAACTCGGAAGTTGGATTAGATGATTTCAGATTGCACTGAAAGCTCCATGCGTTCATTGGATTGTCGCCGTCGCGTGGCTTCCAATACTCTCGCGACCCACCAACCACGGATTGTGGCGTAAGTTCGGGATGGATATAGTCTGGAGCATCTTTGACATGCTTCAAGACTGACTCTAGAGATCTAAGGAGGACAAGATAGTCCTTAGCATCATTTGCGTTGGTGATGTCCACAGATAGACGTGCAGCTAATTGATGGACAGTGTCTTCGGTAAGATCGGACCTAGGGGAGAGTTAGACGGACTTGCGACAATCATTTCGTACCTAGCAGGAATAACTTACTGGCCTTGCCCTCCAATCGAAATGATCGACATATTTTTAACACTACAACACGTCTAGAATAAGAAATAAGGTGTATAATAGTGAGAAGAAAGAATTACCGAGACCAACTACCTGTTATTTACCCCTGAAATGCTACTTACCCCGCCTAAGTCGATGCAGGTACCGTCGGATAAGCCGACACTGATTGGTATCCAGTGTCTAGTAGGATTAATGAAGCAAATAGAAATCATAATTCTTAGAATGATATTGCATTTCTATCACTTCGAGCTTATTGTTGGTGATTTTATGATAATCTAGGAGGTATGGAATTTCCAAATCACCTGAGTACCTAATTTCAGCGTAATGAGGGGTGAGATGCGGGGTAGGTATATTCACTAAACTTCACTGTAATTTTAGTGCATTCTAGCTTTGTATGCCCTCTAAGGCTCTCATTATAGCGCCCTCTGCCCGGTAGTTACCCCGCTACAACAAAAAGTTGATATCCATGGATTCAAAAGAAAGGGGTAATTACACCTAATTATTGTCCATTCGCTAGTAAAATGCGACCTCCATCGACACAAACAGAGATACCATCAACATATGCCTATTTGAACTAAGTTAGTATACGGTCGCCCTCATCGCAAAGCACAGGGCTGTCAAATTCACACTTACCCCCGCGCGACTCGCTAGGTAGATGACAACGCTCGCGATATCTTCTTCTCCCCCAGCCCTCCGTGCCGGAACCTTATCAAATAAATTGCTGAAAACGTTCCCCTCTTCACCAACAGGGTTCATCTTACTAGGAACAACTATCCTCAGGAATTAACAGACGGATTCAATGCTTGGTGAAAATCAATGGTCTCACTCACAACCTGGGTTGATACCATTCACCCGGACATAGAATCGACTGAACTTCGCTGCGAGTAGCCTGACTAGGTGATCAGTAGCAGCTTTGCTTGTCGCATAGCTCGTTAAATCGACATTAGTCACATTGTGCATGCTCGCACAAGAGCTAGTTATCACAATCGAGCCGCGGCCGGAAGTCCTATCCTTTTGCGCCGCTGCTACTAGCAAAGGTAGAAACGCGACAGACAGAAAGTAGTGAGCAGTGCTATTCACACTGAAGGTGTCTCTCCAGTCAGAATCTTTAGAAGACCACATAGAGGCATGCAGCTCATCTAGAGATGCTGATTGAACATCACACAGGATGGCGGGGTCTCTCCTAATACCGGCGTTGGATACTAGAAGATCGATGGATTGCTCTTGCTGTAAGATTCTCGCTGTAAGATCAGATATCCCCTTCTTAGATGAGACGTCACAAGCGACACTGCAAATGTAAGCGCGCGACCGCTTTTCGAAGTCGCATAGACTCACCCCACGGCGGTTCCGCCAGAGCTTTTTCCAAGCACACGGAGCTCGATAACCCGGTCATCTATAGGTTCTGTCGGTAGGGCGACTACATAGACTTTGGCGCCATTAACCACAAGACCCTATTGTTGGTTAGTGTTGAAGATGTCAGATAGATGTTTGAGATGTGCCTTGCAGATCATGAAGCCGAGACCAGATGTCCCTCCGGTTACGACGGCAGTGTAACCCTTCACCCCGAATAGTTGTGTGATGTCAAGTGTGGAAGCCATTTTTTGCGATTTTAACGTGTCTATAATATTAAAAGGGGCTTAACTTCAAGTAAGTGTCGCTATATTTGCGTTTACGCAGCTTGTTACCTACTGAGGCATTTAGTAAGTACCTAGGTAGGTAGGTAGGTAGGTATCTGTAAATGATTAACCTCACTATATCCACTTGTCGGAGCTACCGATTCTGTCTTGGTTGCTTATCTCGGTAGAACCGACGTATTCACCAAGTCTGTTACTAGGTACAGAGTAATTATCATTCTCCACTTAAATCTTCCTCTCGTAGAGCGTAGAGTCTTCGAAAATTCAGATGGCCACGTCGTGAAGGTATGATTAGTAATTATACATTATGTCAGCTTATCCTCTGGATTAGCTAATCTGTATTAGGTAAGCTTCCTAGGGAGCAAAGCTGACTAGCGCATAAGTTTTTCAATCAAACAATACGTCAATAGAGCAAAATATCTGGCACCAACTGTGCGACAGGCGTGGGTGCCTCTGGGACTTCCCGGAGAAGATTTGAAAAGGTAAAATCTGTATTGGTGAGAGAACATTGGATTTTAAAGTTGTAAGAAAGATTATGTAAGCAATATTATGTAAGTAATGATATGTAAGCAATTGGGGTTAGATCAGCTTCCTGCCTTTTGAATCATAGGTAGGTACTTTTACGATAGTATGATACAATGAAAATAAGTGCGATGGCTAAAAGTACTAGATATTACACTTGGATTGAGGTTATTGAACGTTCCCAGCTCAGGTGATACCTAGACAGAAAGGTACCATAGTAACAACCCTAACCGTCAGATGAACCCCAACCCTTACCCTAACCCTTACCCCAACCAAAATCACCCTACTCTTTATAATGATCCTTAGTCCGTTGCTCTGCGAGCTCTAAACATTCGGCAGTCATAGCTGTGTCACGAGGAATCAGCTTCACTTTGAAGAACCGTGGGATCGCTACTAGCGCAGTCTTGATCTCGTTATAATCGACGTAGTTAGTGTTTGGGGGCGCTTCGTCGCTTGCCACAATTTTGTAGCTAGACAAGAGACGCACCAAGGCCGCATATAGGAGGCGCGAAGCGATGTATTGACCCGAACATGCGCGAGAACCCGTTCCGAAGCTGAGATGTGGCAACCCACTTATCTCACGCTCTTGCGGAGGGTCTAGGCTCTTTAGCCAACGCTCAGGGTTGAAATTGCTTGCATTCTCTCCAAAGTGGTCGACGTCTATATGTGGGTGGTTAGTGGGGACATCGAATGGGTTCTGAAGTTCGATCTTACCATGATTGCCGGCTTGCGCATTGATCAGAATCATTGTCTTAGGCGGGATGATGGCACCATTCCAGTTGACTGCAGTTACCGTCTTCCTTGGCAAACTCATGGCACTAACGGTATAAAACCGGCCCGCTTCTTTAATAATCGCGTTGATGTAAGGAATCTTTTCTTCGACGAAGCAATTGGCCCAAGCATCGCGCATATCGGGATAGTGGCGCTTAATGTCTTCATAAGCTCGGTCCTGCCAAATCTGACCCTCTGGTGTTGAAAGCGATCCAATGGCGGAAGTCAACGTTCCTGGTATTGTTTCAAATCCCCTTTCAGTATTATTAGTTCTATCCAATTCCAAATTTAGAGCCAAATATGTAATCACTTACCCTGATACTAATGAAAGGCATATAGAAGAAACTTCAACACCGGTAAGCTTCGTCTCTTCGTCTTTGAGAATTGCAGCTGAAATGCAAGGTTTGTCCTTGCCTTCCTTGATCATTACTCGGACCTTGTCGAGAAGAAGATTCAGATAGGCGTCTCGTCTATCACGTAGCTCTTTGCTCCGGGAATTCTTCTCGTTATTCGGCACGTATCGTAGAATTGGAACGTAATCCTGATAGTTCTCCGATGCGCTGCGTAGAAGTGAAATAGCGGACCCAACATGAAGAATTTCGCGTAATAACTCGTCGTAGACTGCATCCATGCGAATTCCATAACAGAGAGTGAGCGTCGTATTCAGCGCATAACGCTGGATGTACGGACGAACGTCAAGTTCAATCTCGCCATTTCGGCTATCCTTTTTTATGTCTCGAAGAATACAATAACTCTCTAAGTCGAACATAGGGTAATAGTTTCTCAGAGCTGGCCGTCCGAGTGCTGTTCCAGCAGCTTTGCGCTTCTTCTTGCAAGACTCGTCCCAAGGCGATGAGCCTATGGTGAAGCCTTGAGTACTGCTGATGAGACCATGAAAAGTGTAAAGTTTGGGCCTGTCAATAACTGCGTTCTGGTTTCCAAGAAGCATTTTCTTGCAGTCTTCAAAGGAATTCACTACCACAGCTCGAGTATTCCCCAAGGAGATCTGGTAGACGGAGTGGTTGTATTGTCGCCACCATTTCTCACATACTGTAGCATGATCTTCACCAAGCTTTAGAAGATGGCCAAATATTGGAACAGCGCCGGGAATTTCAGGGAGGCCCTTTATGTGAGGAATGTCAGTAGCAAATGTAATCTGTTTCAGTTAACTCCTTGTCTGTACCATGGTAGCACTATCTTACCTGATAGATAATGATTGTGAAAAGAACGACTGCCACGGCGACTAGCGTCGACACTGTGCTTGGAGAGTCTTTAAGACCCTCCAGTGATAGAAAGTCCAGTATTATCTTAGTATGAGATGACATGGTGACCTTGTCTGATTCAAAAGGAGGTTGTGGATAGGGGTTGTTCAACTTGAGACGTATGTAACTGAAATGGTTACTATATGAATGCAGCCCTAAGCGGAGATCTCCAGTTCTACATCGTAATTCCGATCGCAGCCGTGGTTCTCCGTTATGGGTGATTGCGAGTTCAATTCGGTAGGACCGAAACGTCAGTCGGATGTACCGCTTGCCTACCTCCTAGGGGGTGGGGACAAATTAGACCAGCCAATACCCTCACACGAGCAACTAGCAATTGGCACTAGTCACTTACAGTACCTATGGAATAGGTGATTAAGAATTTGATGAAATCGCAATAATAATTCATGGACATTATCATGCCTTAATTATTTTCTTTTTAAAAAGAACCGTGCTACGGATATCTTGAGTCATTATTTGATGCTTCCCTAAAAATTATTAGTTCCAAGCAATATGACAGAAACCCCCGTCCTCCTCGCTACGGCTGGCTCAGCAGGACTTGGTGCTGCTGTCGTGCGTCTTTTTGCGAAAAATGGTTATCGAGTTGTCGTAAATTATGCCCACAACTCCGAGCGTGCAGCTGAGTTAATCAAGGAGTTGCTGGTCGCGACGAATCAGGTGGATGACAACGCTTACATAAGTATCCAAGCTGATCTAGCCATTAAAAACGACGTCGAACGTCTTGTTAAAGAGACGATATCTTATATGGGTAGAATCGATGTTGTGTTGTCTAATGGAGGCTGGACAAGATTCACGAACATGAAATCTCTTGATGACAACGTATCGGAAGATGATTGGGACCGGGCTTTTGCAATCAATGTTAAATCGCACATTTGGCTACTTCATGCCGCCAAAGAGGCATTAGATATATCGCGTGGGGCTTACATCACTACCGCGTCGATTGCTGGCTTAAGCAGCAACGGAAGCTCCCTTGTGAGATCACCACCATATACCTATGCCAATACCTCATTCTCTAATTTTTCCAGGCGTACTCCGTGACTAAAGCTGCGCAGATACACATGGCTAAACAACTAGCACGCATGGTTGGCCCGCGAATCCGGGTGAATACAGTATCGCCAGGATTACTTCTAACGGTAAACTTCTCAAATGCTATGGTTAAATCATAATATTTTTCGTTAACACCAGTATTTATTAGGAATGGGCGGAACGATTTACAGATGACCAAAAAGAAGCTCATAGACAGAAAACAGCGTTAAAGCGTTTTGTCAACATTGATGTTAGTATTTATCCGCGAACGTTTTAGAAAAGCGTACATTGTATTAATCTGAGAGACCATTAGGATGTTGCGGACCAGGTATTAACACTTGCAAAATCTTCAAGTACAACTGGTATAAATGTTGTTGTCGATGCTGGCTACATTCTCTGAAAATAGAAATTCCTGGTTACCTCTAAGATGGGTGGTTGGGGTTAGGGTTGGGGTTGGTAATTAGGGGCTGGGATTATGGGTACCTACCTAGTACCTACTATCAAGGGTCACAACCTAAACGGTATGCAAATAAACTACCTAGTATAAAGTATGCTCCTGGTTAATGAAATCGCAACCATGATAGAGTAATTGGATGGAAATTTAGTACCTAGTGTTGGTGTAAACAAGGTGGGTACGGTGGTAACTATGAAATGGAGGGATGGATGTTAAACGGAACAATTCTATAAACCAATACAAGAAGTCATAGCCTATCATCTATCTTATTATACCTGGACTTCCAAAGTCTTTGTATCCGGGGTCTTAGTCGTCTCGCTAGCCGACTTTCCAAGTTCACTATCCGTAATTGGTTTGTTACCGTCGTAGGCTTCAATCACATCTAATTGATCAACTGGGATTCCACGAAGGCGGTTATCGATCTGCTCAAGGGTCAAGCCCTTAGTTTCGACATAGGTGAAGTAGATAACGAGAGCGGCGAAGACTACAACAACGAGAGTTAGCGAGTTGTTCCTAAGAGAAGGGCTCTAGGAGTACTAAGCAAGGTAGGTATCTTAGGAGAAAAGACTTCTTAATCGACTAGATTAGGAAGTATTCAATTCTCAAGGCAGCAAGAGAGAGGGGAAGAGGGGCTTAATAATACGTACTATTCCATACAACTCCTATGATATAAAATCTATCGCAACATCGATCAGTAAAAGCTTTCGGTGCTTCCGAGGATCTGAACTTACCGCCATCCGATCCCAGACAGACCTATCGGAATAACATATTGGCAGAAGAAACCAACCAAAGAATCGAAGATCGTGTAGAAGCTGCGGACAGTATTAGGTAAAGTCTCCAAATATAGATTCAATGGTCTTTACTTACCCCATGCCTTTCGCGCGAATTGTGAAGTTCAACATCTCTGCACAATACGAAAATGACAACGGCGTCCAACTTATAGCGTATCCAACCTGGAAAATATAGACCATAGCTATGATCGCATTTCTTCCACCTACGGTATCAATGGCTGCCGCTGAAAGGCCGGCCATGCAAGCTAATACAGCACCTGACCATAGTGTTCCGCCAACAAGCATGGGAACCCTACCCACTTTATCAACAAGACAGATACCAATAAGTGCGATGACAAAAGCCACACAATTCTGACTCAGGTTGATTGCGAACTTGCTTGATTCGGAAGTGATGCCAGCCAAGGCGAGGACGTCGTCGAGATAGAACGTGATGATATTAGATCCAACTGCTAATTGTTAGGAAACAGCAAGGATCAATCATACATCATTTATGCGGGAGATTTATGTGGCGTACCTGTTTGTTCAAACATCCCAAGTGTGATCAATATGAAGCCGCGGCGAATATTTGCCTTATCGCTTAAGAAGGCCCTCCACCAAGCATAAAGAGTGGGGAAGCTGTTTTCCTTCTCGAAGGTGATCGTCTCCTTGATGTCTCTGAATTCCGCGACAACCAGGGGGTGAGTCTCGTCGCCACGGCCGTGGAATCTAGCAAGCACGGCAAGTGCCTCGGGCTCTCGGCCGCGAGACATAAGCCAGCGTGGGGACTCGGGAACCATGAATATGGAGATGATGCAACTCAATGCGGGAGCGGCCATGCAAATGCAAACGATACGCCAACTCCAGTCACCTTCTACCCTTCTTGCTCCATATCCTACGCCGGCGGATATAATGGCACCCGCGAGCCAACAGGTCCAGTATAAACCGGAAACGAAACCACGGTGCTTCGGCGGCGACAGTTCCACAAGGTAAGTTGGCACAGATGCAATGTCTATAGCTTTTGCAAAGCCAAAGACAATCCGTGCGACAAAGAATTGCGCAAGGGTTGTCGCCGAACTATGGAGGACCGTGGCGACCAGCACGATGCACGCCGAGGTCAATATGCCTCCTCGTCGGCCCCAATGATCAACGATGTAACCGGAAAAGAGACTTCCCACGATGGAACCAAGGTTTTGGACGGCAGTGAGCAACCCTTTTGTGTTTGAATCTATGCCAAACCTTGTCTTAAACGTTTCCTATTTTTAAAACGTTAACGAAGTTATACCGAAGTTATTGATATTTCCGTAGTGATAAGTGCACATACCGAAATGTTCAAGGAGGACATCATGCTAGTGTCATACCCGACGCTTGCGCAATTCAGCGCAGCGATCATGCAGACCAAAAACATGGGACTAAGACGAGCCATCTTGGAGATTGTCGCGTGTTCGATTGTACAAAAAACGAGAACAACACAACACGGTAACCTTCAAAATCGATGCCATGCGAGAGGAAATGAGTGGACCCCATATATAAACCCTTTGAGGAACTTACCGTAGGTAAGCCACCGTGCACTTGATTCCTGGCTAAGATATGAGATACGCGATAGATACCAAGGAGATGATACCAGGTATTTGGGTTATAGAGCAAGGTTCTGATTGAGGTTATCGTATCGGAGCCTCCGACTCCAGCCGGATTTAAGACGCAGTCGGCTCCAACCTAACGGACACTAAACCGACGAGATTCCCCACCCCTATGTCGGGTGGGGAACCACCTATCCAGGACAGAGGTTTGGGGTACGATGAGTAGATATAAACAGACTCTAAGCAGATGATACGACTTATCGATGAGGGTTTAGGAAGTGAAATATCATCGCAATCTATTCCCAAAAGAAATATCAACGTTCGTCTTCATATTTCTCCCCACTCCACTTAGCTCCTTGCGGCGAACGCGCATCTCCAATCTATTGCCCCTATTATTCTTAGGAATCTCTTACTATGCCAGGAGTCATTGAGAACTGGCCTGCATGGAAGGAGTTCGGTATTGCCCCGGACGAAATCACACAGGGCAAGGACTTCGCTAGCGCCAAAGCAGAGATTATCGCTCAATATGGGGAAGAAGCTCTACGTCAGGGTTGGCTCAGAGTCTGTAAAGACTTGGAAGCGGTCACTGAGAAACTCTCGGCGCTGGGGAGTGATTCAATTCCCATATTTCAAATGAAAGAGATATGCCACCATGGGCTTTCGGATGAGCAAAGTGCACAGTTGAAGTCCAGTGGTTGTTGCGTCGTCAGGGGTGTCATCCCTGAAGCGGAAGCAGACGCTCTGTTCCAGGACATGAAGAATTTGGTCGCCGAGAACCCCGGAAAGATTCTCGGATGGCCGCCAGAGTCTCCGTCGATGTTGAGGCTCTACAACTCCCCGACACAGGTAGCTGTTCGCACACACCCTAATCAAATATTACTTCAAAGAACCTTAAACGCACTTTTCCATGACGAATCCAACGAGACAAGCCCTGAGCCGTTAAGCTACACCGACGCAGCCCGGATTCGTCCTCCAGGACAAGCGTTTCTGGGCCTTGGTCCACACATCGACGCAGGCAGCTTGTGCCGGTGGACGGATTTACAGTACCGCAAAGTGTACGACTCGATATTTTCCGGCAATCCAGAAAAGCACGATGCGTTTGATCTCAGCGTCCGGAAAAATGCCGATCAATTCTTCTTCAAGGCCAACGCGCATTCTGTCGTCTTCCGCTCGTTCCAGGGCTGGACCGCGTTGACGCCTACGTCACCTTCTGCCGGTACACTGATGCTGTACCCGAATATCTCGTCGGTTATCGCTTATGTGTTATTAAGGCCCTTCTTTTCGCCTCCTAAGGATGAGAAGGATATCATGGATGCGACTAAGTGGACTTTTGACCCGGAGTCGGACTGGTTCCCGGGGACGATGAAGGAGCAGAGCCAGCGATTAAGTCTCAGCTCGCATCCTCATCTTCGTTTGCGAGAATGTCTCACCTATATTCCGGTTATGAAGCAGGGGGATACGGTTTTTTGGCACACTGATGTGAGTTTGACCTGAGTACACATCCTGCTTGGGACATGGTGAGCTATACTTACTATCAATAGATGTGTCATGCGGTTGACCCCGAGCATAATGGCGAAGGAGACGCCAGTGTCGTTTATGTCGCAGCATGTCCCACGACGGCTATAAATAAAGCCTATATCAAGACCCAGCTGCAAGCCGCTCTTCTTGGCAAGGGCCCACCAGATAGTCCCAATGTGGACATTGATGAGAGGAATTTGAAGGGATATAAGGGTTTTGTTGATATATCGCCGGAGGGTAAAACCGTGTTAGGATTCGATCTGCTGTGATAATCAGATATATTTACCAGGGTACATCACCTCAGCGGACGTTCAACTTCAGAATTATAAGGAATTAATATGGAATTTCAGAGATTCAGAGTAAATTTGCATGAGCGACCAAGAGCGACCAAAGTTTGAAAATAGAATGATCTCGGCACTTACAACACGTGATTTTAGAGTAGGTAGTACAAGAGAAATGTGCTGACTCATCGGGGCGGCGCATCGGTCCCATCGGTTCTACTTTCACCGATAACTTTTGCTTCTTTCTTACAGCCAAGCCAAACAAAGTGAATCAGGATGAACATCATACACGTGACCAGCTATGCTCACTGCACGGGAAGAGCGAATTCTCACAAGTGAATCAAGATGAGCATCATGCCTGAGCTAAATTGCCTTGGAGGGAAAGGTTTGCGGTAGGTCCGCGGTCCGCCCATTGGTGGGGAGTGAATACGGCGTAATGGTACTGGCGGAGTGGGACGGTGCTAGTTCCGCTAGATGCATGAGAATCACAAAGCCACATTGCACGGAGTCGATCGATCATCTCGAAGACAAAATATATATAAATCCGGAGGTCAAACCCGTATGGCAACATCTCAGACTCTTATGACAACATCAGCGACCTAAATTGTGTACTGAATCCTCAGTACACCCATCGCACTCCACCATTCTACCCGCCAAAATACTAGCCGTATCTCATCCCGCCGCCACAATGCCAACTACGTCATCACCACACCAAATCCTCTTCTACGACATCGCCCCAGGCCCGCCTATCCGGCCATTCGCGCCTAACCCATGGAAGGCCAGATACGCGCTAAACTTCAAGCGCGCCAACTTCATCACGAAATGGGTTGCGCTACCGGACATAACAGCAACGCGCAAAAGCCTCGGCGCGGACCCGGTTAGGTTTCTGGCCTCGGGAGAACCGTTCTACACGCTGCCCGTGATTAAAGACACGTCGACCGACGAGGTTGTCGGAGATTCCTTCGACATCGCCGTGTACTTGGAGAAAAAATACCCGGATGAGCCCGCGTTGTTTCGGAGCTCAATTGGGGTGTACGCTGCGTTTAACGCGCATATTGATTCGATATTCCCTAAGGGAGGGATCTTGTTCTCGGAGGGCTTCCCGTTTGATCCGGCGAACGAGGAGCAGGTGAAGGCGGAGTTTTGCAGACGCGCGGGGTTGACGTCGTGGGATCAACTTACCGTGAGTGGGGAGGAGAGGAGGAAGGTTGTGGAGAGTTACGAGGTCTCGTTGGCGGAGGCCGCGAAGTATTTTAGGTATTCTGAGGGTCCTTTTATAGGGGGTAAGGAGCCTGATTATGCAGATTTTATTGTTGGGGGTTGGTTGATGATGCTGAGCCAAGTGGTTGCTGAGTGGAAGGAGATTCGCACCTGGCATGGTGGTGTTTGGGGAAGGTTGCATGATGCTTTGGAGCCGTATAGGGGGACATGGTAATTTGGAGAGAATGTAATTCGGAATCTATTGGTGTATATTATTGAGGGTTTTGGTGTAGGACATTACTAGGTACCTACGGGTACCTAGCCATGGTGTCCAAGTCTAACCAAAACGTAGGGAGCATTAGGAGAGCGCTCAAGTTAGATGAGTTTGAGGGAAAGGGTGCAACTGCATTAGAGAAAAGTTTTAGATATCAAAATAAATATATCAATTTGCATGTTAATCTATTTGATTTACAGGCAGTATAGTTGTGACTGAAGAAACAAGAACGGACTAAGATTCTTCGTCCCCTTTTCTCTATAATTCATTGACAGGCACAAAGATAATTTCCTACCTAGGTACCTACATACATATAATGATTTCCATAGTTTATTAAGCATACCTATATACTAGATTTTGACGGTTTCTAGGTACCTATACTTCAAATTTATGATGATTCCATATGAGTTAAACAAACGAGAGGAGAATAGGAGGCATGGCGAGAATGTAAGATCACGTGCACACGTGCAGTAGCAAAATCTTGAGCTTTCAGTCACGTCACGTGTAACGCTTCCACCGGACCAAAAGTACCAGGTATCTTTTGAAAAGTAGACCCACATTTCGGAATCGCGTTGCCTTTCTAACTTTCAAGGTTCATCGACTCCGAATCTTGAATACCTCCATCATCAGCAACCTCGACTGCGTATTTTTACCTGGCCGAAGATTGCCAACTCCTTCCTTTGATAACTTCAATCATGCCTCGACGTCCCGGTCGCGCAGCAGCCAAGCGTGCTGCTGCAAAACTCGGTAAGTTAGTATTGATTATTTTCAATCAATTCCGATTTGAAGATTCCCAATTTCCAGGTTTTGTGAATGCGCGATTGGAACTTATCCATTGCGCCTATGATTCTTGTTACACCTATCAAACCCTTATACCCCACAATATTGTCGCGTTTAAGAATGCCCTATTAATACTTGCCTTCTTCATTTAGAGAGCACTCCCAGGGCTCTGGAAGAGATCGAGGATGAGCCCATGCCCGATGTCGAGGGTTCTGATGCAGAACAACAAGTAGATCCAGAGGAGCAAGAGAATGAGGAAGACTCAGGCGCGGAGCCTGAAGAGAACCAAGATTCCGATATTCCCTCCGTGAAATCCCCTTCCCCTCCCCCTCAACCTGTCATCCGACGACGACGCCTAGGCCGTCCTCCCAAGAACCGACCACCGGATTGGGACTCTCTGCCTCTCGAGACCCCTCAACGCGATCCTAATGATCCTCCCCGACGACGCGGCCGTGGTGGCTGGAGGGGACGAGGTGGTCGCAAGGGAGCTTCTTATCAACCTACTCAACAAACCATCGATAAAGAAGGCAATATGATGGATATTGTCGATGATGAGGTCGCTTTACCGGAGGATCCTGAAGGAGAGACCAAGGTTGACAAGTCCGGAAATCTACAAGGTGGTCGCGAGTATCGTTGCCGTACATTTACCGTTGCAGGCCGAGGAGACCGACTCTACATGTTGTCGACCGAACCTGCCCGCTGTGTAGGATTCCGAGACTCTTACCTCTTCTTCACGAAACACAAGCGACTCTACAAAATCATCGTAGACGATGATGAGAAGCGTGACATGATTGAACGAGATATTATACCCCATTCCTACAAGGGCCGTGCCATAGGAATAGTAACGGCTCGGTCGGTTTTTCGGGAATTTGGCGCGTTGATCATCGTAGGCGGGAAGCGGGTCTTTGACGACTACGAAGTTGCGAAGGCCAGGGCTGAGGGCGTTGTCGAAGGTGAACTCGCTGATCCTAACGACAAGTTTATCGAGGGCGAAGAGTACAACAAGAATCAATATGTAGCTTGGCACGGTGCAAGTGCCGTCTATCACTCCGGTGCGCCTTCTGTCCCCACGCAGAATGGTAAAGTGGACAAGCAGAAGAGACGGGTTAACATTACCGATGTTAACTGGCAGCTTGAGCACGCTCGTGAAGCAAGGTATATTCCTCATTCATCTATTACTGCCTTACTTAGGACTGACATACTCCCCAGCCGTTTCAACTCCGATATTAGTTCCATTCGACGTCTTAATCTCTCCGGTGTTTATGATGTTCATACCAATTCCATGCTATATCCTGCAAACATGCAGCCTACTCATGCGAGATTTGAACAAGTTGCAGATTCGGCTGCTCCCACCGATAGCGTACGCTTTCCTCCGATGGACCTCAAGATTCCGCGCAACTTTAAAGTTATCGATACCATCATGGAAACGCCTTCTGCCAGTCTTTCACATGCCGTGTATGAGCAACGCGAAGTGCCTGATTTCTTGGCCCCCTTCCAAGGACTTGGGGCGGTGTCAAGGGAGATATATGATGAGCTCCCGGACGAATGCAAGGAATCATTCAACAAGGCTTTGGACCAGGAGAACACCTGGAAATCCAAGTGGGGCAGCGAATCGACCAATGGCCACAGAAGACAGCCAATCATCGATGCTGCCATCGTTCCCTACAATCGGCAACAGTGATGGTCCCGCTATTCGAAATTCCACTTATGGCTATGAAACCGTGTATTGGATACAACGTTTGTATCTACCAAATTTGCCTCGCAAATGACAGTTGCCCGTTTATTTCCACATCAACCTCGTCGGAAGAGCGTACCCCTCCACCGCCCGACTATGGAAAGCAAGCCCAATTCGTTATCGATGGCTATTCTATCACACCTTAATGTGTACACTACTAAAGTCAGAGGCGTTATTGGTTGCGAAAAGTGGTAAAGGGGCGTTATCCAGTTGATACCACGGATTCGACTCGTACTTCAGGCAGCTAGGTTATTTGTAGGCTGGCATTAGTTCGTGGTGGGCGTTTGGCTTTGCTTGCTGAAGTTACTTGTACATTCCCCTGACGCATTCCCTCTATACCTTCCAATAACATATGATGCGGAAGGACAATTGATATTATTCCCGAGTTTAGTAGTATCCATGCTATAAGTGACGTACCTAAGTTTATGGTCATTTTCAAGGCGTAAGTGACCGTCATTGGACATTAATCATTGTTTTATAGGCAATCGAAAAACCTGCTTCTGTAATGCCGAAGTCCGATTGAGTGAGGCATGCTTGAAGTTGACAGTTTCATCAGCCTCAGGAATGTTGATCGAGGACCACGTCAAGCGCGTGGTTCGAATCGGCAATATTATATGGCCTCGTTTTCAGGTCAGGCTGTTAAATATAGGTACTTAATTCAATCGCCGGGGGGAGCTCTTGAGGTCACAATCATCCAATCAGAACATCGAACCCGCCAATCATTCACTCTAGGAACCTAAATAGGTACACAAACAATTCGCTATCATGCATAACCTGGTCAACCGTAATACTTACCTACGTATCTACTGTTTGTATATTTGTTTTTTGGCACTACCTACGTAGTACCTAGGCAATAGCCAACGTGCAATACCAGAACGCCCTAAGGCAGACACGGATAAGGCTCTGTCTTTTCCTTGTGTTTACCCGCTAGCACTATATATATCTAGCTCTCAGTCAGCTTCACGCTCTCCAAGACTCTACGTACCCAAGGCTATCTACCTACCTATACTATTTCGTTCCTAAAAGTCCAGAATTGTTCATATCACAGTTATATATCTCTAAATCGAATTAGGTTAAAGTTCTATGGCTGATATCCGCAAGAATGGAACAGACAATGATGCAACCGATCAAAGTACTGGGAACAAGTTTCCAATCCAAACGCAGCTCATTGACAGTCGACATATCCGGGATCCGACGCATCTCGTGTTACTGTTGAATGATGAATATGGGAATGGCAATTATGAAGTCGAGGTAAGTGTATACTTTGACATTATGACTACGTGGAGTCCTTATGTCCAAGTCGTTTTGATATGTACCTACCGAAGCATAAACTACATCGTCCAAGATACGGTCACTCTGATAACATTTTTATAGATGCGACATAATTACTTCACCATTCGCGCGCCCGGGAAACTTCAATGGAGCCAGGTGTCTGCGAGATGTCGTTAAATAGGTGCAAAATCACGCAAATCGGATGATTGACCTTGGACGGGCGGTTGGGTGGATATTTCTTTCTCTCGAATTCTTTACCTTGATATTATCGGAAGTCTTGTCATGGTTTTGATATGCTTTAGATGGATGGTTGCGATTGAACCTGGAAATATGATCTCGAAGAGCTACGCTCTGGTCACAATCTAGGAAGCAAGTGGGCGACGTTACGACTTTACGAATTATCACGTTCCTTGAAACACGAGTACCATGTGGGAAGAAAGATTTATCGAGGGGTCTCCTTGAATATTAAACAACAAAATGAAATATGAAAAGAAAAAATCTCGTCGATGATGTAGTACGAGGTTTGTGCTATTATCAACACTCATTAATATTATTAGACTTATCAGATATATTGAATAGGTAGCAATAGCCAATATACGGCCAACTCTTTCATTCCCAAGTTGTCTCCAGTGAAAGTATCAGTTAATCAGGACAGGAGAGTCGTTCATTGCACCAACCTAACCCACCTTTGACACCTACCCACCTAGTACCGACATAGTAGAAAATATCACTCTGCAACCCTTCAACTAGTACTTCTAATAAGATAGGATCTATTCATCATATAATGTATTTTTACATGTACTTACATACCAGTACTGCTAGGTACCTACCTACCTAGTACCTAGGCATCTTAGGGGATAAAGTGGGGATGGCCTGAACTTCTCTAAGGAGGTTTGTTAAAGGTAATTACTCCTGAATAAGGGACAACAATACACTTGCCATTTCAAATCGAACAAACCTACCTACTTACTTATCCGCGAAAATTAACTCGAGAAACTGAAGATATCTATTATCTCGACCAAATTTTGGACGAAACTTATACTTGTAACTCGAGTAACCTAAGGGTGTGAAAAACTAATAATGTGGATCTTCCCTAGAATGGCATTTTGTTCAACGTTTTATTAAACATGATTGGCCGGAGTTAAGCAAGCAACCCTGCAAGGAATAAGTGGCATAAACTAATATTGCGTGCTTTCACGTGACCACCGATTCTTCTCATTTTCCAGACTAAATTAAAACTTATGATCAATCAGCTCCGAGTTTCAGATTTTCAGTTTTGCATTGCCCAATCATAGACCTAATTCAAACATATCTTGAAATATGGCGGCAGTTGCCATGCTTCGCCCACTTGTCAGGGCTCCCATTAGGGGACTTGCAAGAACATATGCCACTATACCAGCGAAGGCTCATCATCGTGTCGTGGTAGTTGGAGGAGGAACTGCTGGTGTAACAGTCGCAGCTCAGTTACAACGAACTCCGGAGTTCGAAAATAAGGATATAGCTATCTTAGATCCAGCACAGACGCACCATTATCAGGTAAGTTCTCTGAGTTTCTTAATGATACCCAAGATACTAATTTCAACGTAGCCGGGATGGACACTTGTCGGCTCAGGCCTAAGATCCCTTGATGATATGCATAAGCCCCTTTCCAGCGTGGTTCCAAGGGGTGTTAAGCACTATCCTCTACGAGTATCTACTTTTGACCCCAAAAACAACTCGATCAAGACATCCGAGGGAGTTGATGTCTCGTACGACTACCTGGTTGTTGCTCCAGGCCTTGAGACAAACTTTGCCGGGGTATCGGGTCTAGAGGAAGCCCTACAGGATCCTGCTAGCCAAGTATCATCTATCTATTCAGAAAAGACAGTTGAACAGGTCTGGAGAAATATTCAGTCATTCAAAAAGGGTCCAGCCATCTTCACTCAACCTGCTGGCGTCATAAAATGTGCCGGTGCCCCTCAGAAGGTCATGTGGATGGCCCTTTCACAATGGAAGCGGGATGGTGTGCGAGACAATATTGACATTACTTTCGCAACTGGCGGTCCTTGTAAGCACTTAATCATTACTTCTTGTACGATCCTCTCATATTAACCCTGATGCAGCCATGTTTGCTGTTCCCAAATATTCGCAAGCCCTTGAAGAATTACGTAAGCAACGTAATGTCGAGGGTTTCTTCCAACATAACCTCGTGAAGGTAGACCCGAAGAAAAAAGTTGCGACATTTAAAAATTTAGCTGAGGGTGCTCAAGGGGCTCTTGTAGAGAGAGAATTTGGTTTCCTCCGTAAGTATATCGCTATAACACCTTTTTAACTCCCAAAACTGTTGCTAACGATATATTTCAATAGACGTCGTACCACCGCAGAAGCCTTTTGATTTCGTTGCCAAATCAGAGTTGGGTAAGTTGCATCTCATATATATCCTATATGAAGCCAGGTTAAATTGAACTTAAGATGGTTAACATTCCTTCCCCAGCTGATGCGGCAGGATGGGTCGACGTTGACAAGTCCACAACCCAACACACGAAATTTAAGAATATTTTCTCGCTAGGCGATGCATCTAGTCTCCCAAATAGCAAGACGGCAGCTGCCATTACCGCACAAGCGCCAGTCTTAATAGATAACCTACTTGCGGCTATGAAAGGCAAGGAGCTTAAAGCTTCATACGACGGCTATGCAAGCTGCCCGCTCCTTACTGGCCACAACGAACTTATGCTCTGTGAGTTTAAATACGGCGGAATACCTAAGGAGACCTTTGCAGGCATACTCGGAGGCCAGGAGTCACCTAGTAGGCTATTCTACCATTTGAAGAAGGATTTCTTCGTAAGTCATATGAGCTCCTTATTCATATGAGCTATTCAGCTAACATTTCTCTAGCCATATGTATATTGGAGCCACTTCCTTAACGGCACTTGGTACGGACCGAGTGCATTTTTCAAGCCCGATACCACGGTTAAGGCTTAAGCTCAAGCACGTCTTAACAACCTCAAAGAGATAGACAATTAGATCATGTATATAAACCTGCTGTAGATACCACGTCATTTTGTTCGCATCAACGAATCATATCAGGCATTTTATCAACTTTGCACGTATTTGGAACTCGAGTTACTATGCAAGATGAACATATTATGAAGGTGAATTTGGTCCCCCTTTTACCCATGTTTCCACTCTTATTTGGTTAATGGCGGTAACACACCTGGGCAGGTTAAAAAGGGATTGTCTCTATCTCTCCATATACATCTACCTAGTGAGACTCATTAACATTGTATAGGGCGAATGCGATCACTCAAGGCCAAATTCCTTCACCAACTTCTCCGCGCAAGTGATTCCCGTAACATAAGCAGCCGCCTGCACATGGGCGCTTGGCAAGACAGGCACGGCGCTCAAATCAGCCACGCAAAGACCCTCGATACCAATGACCCTGAAGTTATTATCCACAACCACATTCGAATCCCCAGGCTTCCCCATCCTTGCCGTCCCCGTCATATGCAAGCTCGAAATAACCTTCTGAGACCAATGCTCCATAATATCCTCGTCAGAATCCGATTTCGGACCACTCAGCATCGCGACCGTGTTCTTCGCATACGACTCATGCTCCGTAAACCGCAAGACCGCGCGTAACGACTCAATCGCTACCCGTCGGTCAAACGGCGCAGTCAGGAACTTCGAGTCGAATTTCAGCGGCACGTCCGGGTCCGACGACTGCAGCGTGATTTCTCCCCGGCTCTGCGCGTTGAAGTACCACGTCACGATGCCGTGGTAATTCAACGTCGGTAACGTCGGGTCGAACCAGTGCGCGGGAAAATGCGTCACGACTTCGTAATGCGGCACTGTGTCCAGCAGGATGAACCGCTGTTCTTCCGCCGGCAGGTCCTGGAATTCTTTCGTCTCTGCGATATTCGCCATTTTGAAAAACCCGATCCCGGCCTGGCTGCCGTGGATCGCCCACGGCCCGGTCCCGTCTTTCTTCCATTGCTCCATGGCGGCGTCCATTGCTTGGGTGGAGCCGTAGAAGGAGGCGCTGGAGCTGCCGGGCTCTTTGCGGCTGTGCACGATTGGCACGCATAGGTGGTCCCGCATGTTTTGGCCCACGGCTTCGTTGGCGTGGGTGATGGGGATTTTGTACTCGGTTAGTTGGGAGGCCGGCCCGATGCCGGAGTGCATGAGGATCCTGGGGCTGTTGAGGGCGCCTGCGCAGAGGATGACTTTCTTTGATGCGAAGTCTAGGGGTTGTTAGCGATCCTGGATTCAATTCGTTGCTGAGGTTTGGTGAGCGGTCTTACACTTCTTTCCGTTTGATTCTACTCCGATTGCCTTTTTGTTTTCGATGATTACTCGTTGCACTAGAGAGTTGACGATGACGGTCAAGTTATCCGGCGCCGGCGTTATCAGATCTGCCGCGGTGGAACGGACGCCGTTTTGACAGGAACTGATGGCTACCGACATCCCGATCGGATTTCCCGAGTTGTGGTCTGAATTTAACGGAAATCCAGCTTGCTCAAAGCAGTCGAGCATCTCAGTGAGATCTTCAACGCATTCCTTGGCATACCCGACCTTCAGGGGACCGGATGTACCGTGATCTGTGGCTTTGGGTGCGGCGTACTTCTTGTCGATTCCCGATGGTGGTTCGCCGTTGAACGATTCCAAGTTCTTAAACCGAGTTTGCATGCGTTCCCATCGGAAGTCGTCGTCGCCTACGATCCTTGCCCATTCATCGTAATCATCTCGGCAGCCGACGCTGTACCCAGCGAAATTGACGGCGCTCCCGCCTCCTAGCCCACGTCCTCCCGGAAGGTCTATTTCTCGGTTACCGCAATGCTCCTGGGGAGTTGTCTTGTATCCCCAGTTCATCTCCTGGTTGAAGAATGTCGTCCATCGCTGCCCATCCACACGGAAATTGTGGTTATCGTTCTTGCCTCCGGCTTCTAGTAGAAGTATAGTCGGTTTCTTGGGAGATTTCGCTAGAGTGGATGCTATTGCGCATCCTGATGGTCCACCTGTAGACTGTCAGATCGGAGTCTGATGGTAAATTCAATTGTGGACTTAGTTACCACCAACGACTATGAAGTCATATGTAGATGTCATGATGATTTATTGGGTATGAGTCCCGATGAGTCTTGGATGATATGATCAAATGTGTAAGAACCTTGGACGTCTATGGGCTGATATCTTAAGAATTATCACCACTCCGATGTGACAGTCACTACCTAATGACGCACGTGAATAGAGGCATAGATTAAGTGAACTTGAATAATCAGAAGCAGTTTTATGTATAGAAGGTAGAAGCTACTTCCAACCATTTATGTAACGTGGTGCTTATTAAGGCAATATCATATCTGGCCAAGCCTGAATGAACACGCACGACAAAATTTCTCGTAAGATTTCGTGAGCTGTATCCGTGGACTGATTTGCTAGTTTTCCTCATACCACGTTCCTCTTCCACTCCGTCCAGTATTTTGAAGCTCACCGCTTGATTTACTCGTATATTGAGTCGCTATAAGCTCTTCCAGGGTCCCAAATGGTCGGGTACACATCAGCTTAGACCACCAAAAACCCATCTTGGCGTGGTGGATATTCGCTTGTCACTGGACGGGTTGATAGGTCTTTGCGGCGCGTACGGCTTTTCAGTTTGAAGTAATCCGTAAATCCGAGAACAGGTTAAAGCTTGCAGAATGTGATGAAACAATCGAGCTTGAAACTGAGGCACCTACCACCTACACGCATACGCGCGCTTTCAACCATTCGCGGCACGCTTTTAACCCCGCAATACCTCCCTTACGGCGAGCTGGTAAATAATCGACGAAAGAGGTATAATGTTGGTAGATCGAGCATTTCATAGTCTATCCGATCATTGTAAGTGGACCTAGCTAGACCTTACAGCAATAGTAGCGTGCGGCATGCTTTTGTTGCAATTTTTATGGTGGACTGATCGATGTTTTATCAACGAATTTCATTGATCGAGCCTTCGTTGTAGTAAGATCGCTGCTCGCCGTGCTTATGTGGGGCTTCAATTTACAGCGAGGTTCGCACCAGCCACAGGGCTAGCTTGTTCGCTGGGACCACCCAACTAGGTAATAATGGGCTATAACCACCGCTGAATATTCTCCACTGGTACTCTCAAATCCATTAACGGGTAAAATATTCTAATGGCACGGAAGAAAATTCAATAAATTTCATCAAACATACCTAGGTAACTGCTATAATCGCTCTTTGAGCAATTTTCTTTTTAAAAAAAGGATAGAACGTTGTATGGATCGCGTGGGTTTTTAGGTACAATACGGTTGGAGACAGCGCTTTCATCAGATCAGTCAGGTCAGTCGAAGCCATTCAACTGACCTGATTGATTAGTCAGCAAGTAGTGAACTAATCTGATCAGATCAGTCAGTCGGACTAATCAGATAACTAATAAAAGTAGGTACGCACTAAGCTCTTTATACTTATTAAAATATTTATTTTAAAAAGGTACTTAAGTACTTCTTCTGTTTTATTTCAGCCAATTAGAACGCGTATATAAGTAGGACCATAACAAAACACCAAACTAACGCTACTAACAGTCGAAAAAAATAACGATTTGAACTGATCAGTCGAAAAAAAAAGGCAATCTGGACTGGTATTGACTTAGTCTGACTGAATCAGGTCAGATTTCGGACTGATTTGGTGGGAGCGCTGGTTGGAGATTTTAATGTCACATTGGAGGGGTAGGGCGCTGATGCTGACGCCTTAACTCGGCTCCAGAGACGGGGTACTGATTCATGACGCTAAGCTCATTTCTCATATTTCCTTCCCTTTGGTACTCCTAATCCAACCTTCCCGTGAACTTTTTATTATTAAAAGACAATGCTACTCTGTGTTGAGAACTTAGAATATAACCAATAGCGATCTTATCCCTTCTCCTCACGAAATCTCCCATAGGTGAACGCTACTATATTCATGATACCTAAGCCGGGGAAAATCTACCATGGCACCTTAACACATAATACTCTAATTCGCGAAGTCGGAGACAATACCTACCTTTAGTATTCATCTCATTTTCGTTTTAATGAAGTTGACGTTGAATGATAGGTATTTTTATCATTAAGTTGAGAGCGCTACTTTTTTCCTAGCGACTTGCGCATCGTCACATGAATTACCAAGAGGTAAGGTTGTTATAATGACTTGACGGAAGATAGGATAACTGCCCCAATCGCTTCATGCACCCCCTTACAACGAGAGAGGGAGAGGATCAAGGACCTGACTAGACTACGGGAATCGGTGAAGATCATAGGAATGTACCATAAACGAAGCCTCCTTTATAGGACCGGAGCGATACGGGTCGTGAATTCGCAAGCTGGGAGATCCTGAAGAAGCTCACAAAGCCAAACCCAGATGGCGGACGAGCGCAAACGCTGAGTAAAAATGGCTGAAAGGAACAGGCTCACCATGGGCGACGCGATTAGTGATTTTCTGCGAGACCATTCCGAGATCACACCTGAAAGGTTCTCCGGTATGAGCCTTGGTTACAAAGGTTATTTTCACCAACGACAGTTCCAGTTTCTTTTATGACAACATTCCAATGCGACATCTTCATTTTTCCGAACCGCGACGAATGGATCCTTTCGCAAGTGTTACTGGAAGACTAATAAAATAATGCTGACACATTGCATCTCAACCCCTATTTTATTGCTCCAACATCTGCTTAGGTATGCTTATCGCCGCATCAACTTTATATCTATACTTCTAATAGAAAATGCGGCTTGATCCCATCTACCAATATATGCAGCTGTCTATTTCTATGCGTCTGCTACCCCTCATAATCGTTCACGTCCATACGCAAATGGCTTCTTGGGAGTGTTGTCGAGAATCTTCTCAATCTCCTCCATCACCTCCGGCGTCAGCTTCTCGGCAAACTTAAGAGCCTTCACGTTCTCTTCGATCTGCTCGACCTTCGTGGCGCCGAGAATGACGGTGCTAACATTCGGGTTCTTGATAGTCCACGCTAATGCTAGCGACGCGGTGGTTCCGCCAAGACGCTCGGCAATCGCCGTCAATTTCTTGACCTTTTCGATCTTGGCCTTGCCCTCCTCGCTCTGCAGCATCTTGATCGTGTTGTCGAAAAAGTCGCCGTGCTTGGCGAATCGAGAGCCGTCGGGAATACCATTGTTGTACTTGCCGGTCAAGAAGCCAGAGGCTAGGGGAGACCAGATGGTTGTACCATACTTGAATTGGTCAAATAGCGGGGCATACTCAACCTCGAAGCGCTCGCGGTGGAAAGCGTTATATTGTGGTTGCTCGACTACCTAAAAATATGGTTAAAACTTCATGCACCTACTTCATTTTTCTTGGCTAATTGAAAACCTACAGGGGCGATGAGATTATATCGCTCTGCGATCTGTGTTGCCTCCATAATCTGGGTTGCGCTCCACTCGGAGGTTCCCCAGTAGTAGGCTAGGTTGAGATTTTGAATGACTTGGGTGAATCCCTCGACGATCTCCTTCATCGGCGTAGCGGGGTCGGGACGATGAGCGAAAACCACATCGACATAAGGTTGCTGTAATCGCGCAAGAGAGCTCTTGAGACCTTCCACGACGTGCTTTTTGCTAAGACCGCGGGTGTTCGGCTCCTTGCGACCAGTGCCGAAGAAGACCTTGGTAGTGAGAACGTACTCGTCTCGAGGCCAGTCAAGCTCCTTCAAGGCCTGACCCATCTCAACCTCCGACTCCCCGTTGGCATAAGTTTCCGCCGTGTCGAAGGTGTTGATTCCGTGGCTCCAAGCTGTCTCGAGACATTTCTTGACGATTTCGCCTTTCTCGGTACCTCCATAGGTTAACCATCCGCCCAAAGACAGCACGCTAACCTTGAGACCTGTGGGACCAAGGTGGCGGAACTGCATGTCCTTGGGGTCATATGCGGATCTAACGGCAGGCATTGTGGCTATTCTTCTCGCGTGTAACAGTTGTAGACGGGATGTTGAGGTGATGATTGGAAAGTTCCGAAGTAAACGAGACATGAGGGGAAAGGGAAAAGCCGACGATTTTTATGAAATTTCATGAAGTACCCAGGTAGGCAACTAGGCATGTATGAATTGTCTCATGCAATGACACCTTGCCTATTTTATTGAATTAGCCTGCTGGTTTGCCGGTTTACTAATTGATCTTTACTAATTGAGGACATAGTGAAGACCAGCGAGGACGAAGCACTAATACTAGGTAATGACGCGATTAATAAGTATCCACAGAATTAGAGTATAGGCAATAGGTAATAACCTTATCGCCGATGCCTCTACGTAGCAAAGCCTGCTAGACGAGATAGCAGGGCAGGCACCCGATCATTAGCGTCATCGACGGCGTTAATGCCCCCGCCAGGGATTTTCTTCGGCAGCTAATATTTTCGCTTAATAATAGTCCGGGGATATCGACGATACTATCGGTGGAGTTTAAGATTCTCCAAAAAGTTCACTTAACACCGCTAGCCGGGACTAATGCGTAATCAGGCCAATTTGGCCTATGAAAACACCACCATAAAGTAAACATATGTAAAGTGGGAACTATTCCGTAACGGTTCCAGGATTTGGAAACATGACAGCAAAAGGAATCATTCCTTGATCATTACAAATTTTGGAACCGTGCCAAGATTAAAAACTGTTATAAGAAAATGTAATTCCTTATTTCTTTATTTTATTAAATTATACATATTTATTCATTTATATAATATTATTTATTTATTTTAATTTATTATTTTAATTTATTTATTTATTAGTCTTAGTAAATTTAATCGATATTTTTTACTAATTTCGAACCTCATAAATTTAAAATTCTATTTATTGTGGAAGCTAAGGATATACCATTGCACTATCTACGCGTTACATAATCTACGGTATCAACCTTAGCGCTAAATTCTTAGATATGGTCAACACTAAAAGTTCAAGTAGTTTAAGCTTTGGTACGCTTCAAGATTCTGGTACGCCTGGCACGCTTCTAGATTTTGCTACACTTCTTAAATATTGCTACGCTTCTTACGCTTTTTGATATTTAGCACAGTGGAACTATTACGGAACGATGCTAGGTCTAGGAACCGTTAAGTAACAGTTCCGACTCCTCATATATTTCCCCTATGGCAATTTGAGCCGTTATCTCAGCAGACATTACAAGCCTAATCGGCGGTATTTATAGGTGTTTAAACCCCTTAGAAATTTCACTTCAGTGGCTTAGCACGCTAAGTTGCTGTAGTTAATCACTAAATTCTAGCGGGGAGATCACTAGGTAGGTATGAACTCAATCAATCGCCGACCCAACCGCGCGCTGGGCAAGGGTTGTGAAAAGCGCAGGAAACTTCTACCATTCATTTAGAATTTCCACAATTATTCAGTTGAAGTTGGATTAGAGTACCTACCAAAGCACCAGCTATATTTCAAGGACGAGTATGATTGGGTACCGAGTTACTGGTAAACAACGTTACCAACATGCATACCTACCCGCCACGCAGCATATAAAGCTCTCTACCTACCTCAGAAGTTTGTCTTTACTGTGCCTTTCAAGTACCTACCTAATGGCGCTGCTACCAGCACCGACACCATATCCTTCCCATCGCTTGGTACCTATTCATGAGCATAGTATCATAAGCCCAAACGATAGGAATAAATAAAGTCACATTTTAACGCCTACAAACTCCTAAGTTAATGTCTAGGTAGAATCCATACTCATACAAGTTATTACAAAGGGAAGTAAACACTACTCGTACAACTTTCTTGTTCTCTCGAATCAGCACCTCATTGATTCTCCTTAGTATCCCATCATATATATCCAGCGATGTCGAATATTTCTGATGATGTAACCCTCTGTAGCAAATCACCAGCTAGGCGCAGCCCGCTTTGGAAAGGGCGGATGTAGAAGGGCTCTGAGTATAAACGAGGGCAAGTTATATTGACGTTGTAAGCGACCTTGATAGTTCTCGAATCTTCTCGATTGTACACTAATGGTTCAACATCGTTAGTCCTGAATGGCCTAAACCCGTACCAGCGCAACCAGTCTCTGGAATATGCCACTCACAGGATTCAGTTCAGTTTTAGACTTGATGTTATATATATTATGCCGCATCTGTCATTCATTTAGCGTTCAAAGCTCTTGTGGCAACTCTAGTTGGTAAGTGTACATACTTCCACCTCAAATCCCCCTTTTCCCAGCTCTTCGAGGAGGATACGACTGAGTCCTATCGGATTTGGAATGTATTTTGAAGGGACCGTAGTATGTATTTTTAGTCTTTCTGCGTCCTGATCTCTACAGGTTATTCTTTTTGTGGTAGTCGCCATTTATACAATGATTTTTTCAAACGACCAACTAATAGCAGGTGTTCAAGAATTTAGTGAGCTTCTGACATTGCAGCGAAACGGATTCTAGAAATGAGCTTTTTTCCCCTACCTGTCAATGGCTGCCAGGGTATTTATTTGTCCCCTTAGTCCTAATGTCCTACCACCAAGCCGTCTCAGCTCTTCCAGTACCTTTGGGGGTCATCCCCCCCAAAGACTCACCTAAAATTAAATCATATGACAGGGGGAAATGTACAATCATTCACGGAAGGTACCAAGGTACCTAGACATGGTTCGTGTCAGCCTTGTAATATATCGCTGTAGCTTACCTACCGACCTGTTCCGCCCTAGGGGGGCGTTGTCTCATGATTACATTGTTGGAATTCAGGATACAAAACATCTGATATACGTAGTGTATGTATGAAGTAAATGCAGAATTAAAAATTCAATTGGATGCTTGTTATTACTGCTTAAAGTCTTCTGGGTAGGATCCGACCCACTAGTGGCAATGCGGCTGGCTGTAAGGTCGGCTACCTGCGTTGGGGTTATCCGGTCTCACCAACTACCACCATAAGATCTGCGAACTAATCTGCCTTGCCGTGTTAGGGAGTTTGTGGACGGTCAAATCGGGGCCGATTTCGTTCCAGGTATATAAGAAGGCCATGGTTTTCTGGGTCTTAATATGGGTTGCTCTCGTCATGGGCCATCCTAGGTACGTAATACCTAAAACCTGAATCCTTCAAGAACCAGCCATGAACATCAACCAGCACCTTTGCTGCCCCTTCAAATACGAATAATTTAGTCGCTTAACAGTTTCAAATTCTGGTTTTCGATATTTCAATTACGCTGAAAAAGACATGTCGATAGGTACCGTAGATATATATTCCACGAACATATGTTGCATCCCACAGATACTTACTACGTCAAAGTGGCCTTGGAGTCAGCAATCTTACATATAAGAACTAGGTACCTACCGAAAAAGCTCAGCTACGCGCCGCGATATTCCACCCCCTCATGCAGCCTGATATTTAACTGCAACATTGCAGAGATTTCAAATACCTGCTATGCAACATACCTACTAGGTACCTGCCTACCTAACTAGAAGGTACTGGCCCCGTATCTAGGCACTGCAGCTAAAGTACCTAGTAATAATACAAGAAGAAAAGCCACTTCGGTAAGAAATTCTACAGCTTGAATTATATACTGATTGTGTCTCATCTTAAGCACCGGAAGATTCCCAGATTAATTAGTGAGTGATAAAGTGAGGCTATGAGGTAAAAGAATCGACATACTTCGACTTGATAGGCACCTTCTCCAAATATTTCATCTAGCCTGCGAACGAGCTTTGTGGGGTCGATGTACTGGCTTGAGATGAGTTGGCAATCTGTTCGAGCGAGCTGCTGTACTTCGTTCGAAGCGCTAGTGTTGCTTCTTCAATATACCAAGTTAGTAACAACATGAGGCAGATCGAATCGCCTTTACTCCATTTTACGGGTTGGCTCGAAGGGGAAACTAAAAATACCGGTGATGCGACGATCTTAGGTAGCTTACTCTAGATGAGAACGCTCTCACGCTCACGCTGGAGTGAATCCTTGGGGTGCCTCCCAGCCTTATCTTTTTCCACTACACCTCCACGTTCATTCAGCTGTAAATGTTTCATAGCCGGATGTCCCGAAATGCAACCCCCAGGCTACACAGCCGATTTATGGGTATTACATATTATAACTGGAATAGAAAAAAGCATGTCGCTTAGAAGCCACAGCCCATCTTGTCGCTTATTATAAGGTTTTTACATGTACCTAGATATTAATGTAACATCTTCTTCTGTGAGCCATAATACAGGTACCACTTAGCGTCTAGGTGCGCGTGGGGCTGAGCTCGGATTTGCTGGGTTAGGCGCTCTTGGAGAAAGGAGATGAAGATACAAAAGAGCCTCAAATACGAGACATCTGCTACTTTATTACGAGGTTTCTGTCCAACAGATTGAATACGACATTGATATCAATGTCAATTTCTCATCCTCCTCAATCCTTGGCTTTCAATTTTCTGTTGTTACCGGTAGCTTCCAGTTACATGAAGTCGAATCACACCTCCTCTTCCAGTTAGGCCATGGAAGAACAGAGTGAAACACCGGGTACCATATTCTGGGTAAGTTTAGCAGGTACATAAATCTACTTGGATAAAAATACCGAGACTAATCAGTACCTACCTATCGTAGGATGACAGGCATTGCGAATCACCAGTCTCTTCCGTATAACTCAACCCCTCTAACATTTGTGTTGGTTCTCAACATCTGCTAAGCAAATTATAGGTGTCAGAATCGAGGCGCCCGGTATCACTGGGTGGAGCATCCGCATGGAGAGACCAGGCACCAGAATTGATGATTAATCATATCCAAGATTCAGATAATACCGTACATCACCTTTCAAGGATATCTGAAGTTGGACAAAGCAGTACTTGTCACGATCGCGGCGATAGTGCACACCTCGAGAGCCTATTAAGCGATTCTCCTCCAGATACCAGCCATTATCCTACCCTCAACACAGATGAATTGCTCGCATCGGTTGGTACGGGTGTATATTGTCCAGATCCTCGTCTCGAATTTTCCGACATCCCACCCGTGAAAGGTCAAGACAAAACACTCGAACACCAGCTACGAAACGCAACTCAGAAGTACCCTAGGAACGGCAATCCGAAGTTCATTCCGATTGGTGACTTCGACAGAATCGTTACCCGTGATAATGTCAAAAAGACTATCCAGTCTTGGTTACCACAAGATAGAAATATCGATATATGGGTTAAAGCAATCTGGGATACATTCGATTACGACGATCGTAATACCACGAGGCGAAAGGCATTCACATCCCGAAGAAAGATATTTGCTGTCTTAACCCTCTTCAATGCACAAACGGAAATAGCGTCATTTATTCGGGAAGGGCTCTGGGACAAGGACCTGCCCTTTGTACAAAATGACGACAAGAAATGGGTGTATCATCCCCACAGACGCCAGAGTAAACCAACTTTGGTTGAAAGCTTGAATCGAATGGACGGGCACGATGCGGATAGCTTTGACAATTACCAATGGCTCATGTTATCTCCAATCTTCAACATGGGCGTTGATAGGATCATACACCATGACCTCCACCCCCGCATCATTCTACCATTCCTAGAGCATGAGAAGGGATGCAATCCAACAATGATTGGCGGACAAGGCGAAGTATCTCGCGTCAAGATACATGAATCACATTATATATCAGTCAACTCATCGAATAACCGTGTAAGTTCACTGCCCATCTGAGTGTAAAGCAATGGACACACTTGGAAGGTACCTATCTGGAAATATATTAATCTGATCCAGCCGGAATACTTCGCCATTAAACAATTGATGTCTCCCGATAAAGGAAAGTTCAGTTCTGAGGTTGAATCTTTAAAGAGGTTTAGTAAGGGGTACCATCCACATTTGATAAAACTTCTTACAACCTACCACGACGGGGAGAAATTCAACCTCATCTTTCCATGGGCAGATGGCAATCTCAGGGATTTGTGGAAGATTTGCCCAAGTCCCATTAAAAACTATGCAACAATCCGATGGATCGCAGGTCAATGTCTAGGGATAGCGAAGGGGTTGCGGATGATTCATAATAATGAATTTGAGTCTAGCAACATCTCCCTAGAGCCCAATGAGAAGAAAATGGGAAGGCATGGCGACATGAAACCTGAGAATATACTTTGGTTCAAAGGACTGACCGACAACGACAACGGACAATTTGAAAATGATGTGTTGAAGATATCCGACTTCGGATTGACACGGTGGCACGGAAGTATATCGAATGAGAAAACAGATATACGAAAATTAGCCATCTCCAGAAGTTACCGGGCTCCTGAATACGACTTACTATGGAGGCCAGTGTCACAATTGTGGGACATCTGGTCTCTTGCATGTCTATATTTGGAATTCTTAACTTGGTATCTCTGTGGGTGGAATGAAGGTGTCGATGAATTCTCAAAAGACCGAACAAAAGATAGTTTCACTTTGATCCGCGACAAAGATCTCGATTCTCGTATCGGCGAGGATGATTTTTTCAACCTTACTCCGAGAACTGGATCCAATGTCGGCATGGATATGAAATTTGAAGCTAGCCTTAAACGCAGTGTCATCTACGTGAGTATCCCCCGACAATGCTTCTTTCATGAGATACTCGAACTGATGGCCCCAGTGGATCAATAAACTCCATGAAACCGAAGGATGTTCAGAATTTATACACGAATTTTTGGACCTCATATCAAACAATATGCTTCGTGTCAGATCCGAAAAACGCGTCAAATGCGAACATATCGCCGAACAGTTAGACGCCTTGTATGATAAGTGCAAGGACGAAAGCTACTGCTACAAAAGTGACCACCGCCCACGCAAGAAAAGACGAAACGATTCTGATCCTTCTGAGATCGCCATTCTGGAATTCACGGAAGAGATGGCTAAATGCCTCTCTACAAGGAATGGCGTAGATAGTGACACAAAGGCTATGGATGATTCTCATTACCAAGGAGTACGGACCAATGCCGCACCGCCAGTCCACATTTCGTCTTATAGTCAAGATGATCAGCAGCAACTCAGCCTAGATGATTCTAATCTGCCAACACCAGATAAGAAACAAGTTGAAAACGCATTGCCTATAGGTCTTACTCCTCATACCCACCCTACGAGTTGCGATCCTACAACTATATTTCAAGCAGCCTTGGTAAACGATACAGGACACTCGCCACGGCAACCTTTATCAGACGGTAATGAACAACTACAGACTCAGTTATCGACAGACAATCAACTAGACACAGATATAATGCCTCCTAAGCTTCCTCCTATTGAGCAAAACCAGGTCATTTCGGGAATCGCGCCGAGAATCAGTATCCTTTCTCCGCCACCCGACGAACTTACGGGAGGCACATCAAGTGAACAGGATAGGGCCTCTAGCCAAAATATCAAAGGGGGCGATCATACATCTGCCTACAAGGATAATGGGCGACGGTCCATATCAGGGTGGGAAAGAGTCGTAGGGTGGATAAAATCAGTTTTCTGTCTGAACGGGAGATCTTATGAGGGATAACTGGATATACATTTAGGCAGGCGGTGTTTGAGGTTTGAATTCGAAATGATACCCTATACTTAGTACTCAGTAGTATATTATAATATAATATCAAAGCCTACCTCCTACCGAGACGCACTATGAGCTCAGCTATCCTAGTCGGCCACCACTAAGATGCCAATGTCATCAAAATCATAAAGCAGGGATATATGTAACACCAAAGCCCATCTTTCCTTTAATTACTAGATGTCTCAGGCGAACTTCTTACTGCATGTGATATGGCTTGCATATTTTTGTAAATACTTGCGCGGCGTGCGGCAGGCTCCCGGTCGCCATCTCATTCTACTAACAAAACGCCCAACATGTGAGTTGGTGAGGCTCTCGTTATGTTAGGGCGCGTCCCAGATATAAATATGAGCTTACCTATGCAGAAAGAAGGCAACCATAGGTAGAAATTCATGCCTTATCTTACTGCCTATTACCATCCATCACCTACCTAGGTAAGGATTTTATCAAAACCCGATAGGCTTCTCCAGTCATGGAAGTTTTTTTGTTCTTATGATAAATTTTTCTCTCCAACATCACTCAATGCGAGATTTCTCGACTAGCGAAGATATTGTTTTGATAGCAGGAAAATAAGTTTCCAGATCGGCAACCATATGTGTCAGAATACATGACCTGTGTGTAATGGCTCAACCTACACCGGAGGTCAGAGTCACTGATACCGATAGCAAGGAGACTGGTATCACACTCCCGTTCCGGGAATCTTCTTCTAACAAACCCCACCTTGATTCCTACCCTTCACTTGATAACCTCCTCCGTCGCCGGTTGAACAAACACCGCGAGGGAAGGCATAAAGACTTCCTAACTCTGCATTGTCTCCAACAGTTACTTACTATTGAACGAGTTCGAAAACATCTTGAAATTTTATTTCAAGAGGCCAACCAAGGAGGTTATAGGCCACGCAGGGCAAGCGCCGAAGACTATCTCGAATTAATTTGCGACCATGATCAACTCTCCAATAGCTCAATGCTAGTCAAACGAGAAACATGCATCCGCCTTTTCGCAATTCTCATTTTAGCCAACAAGGGTGCCGAAATATTCAAGTTCATCGACAACAGTGTCCATGACAAGGCATTACCTATCAATATTCATGACGAGAACTTGCTTGACGAGGATGTACAATGGTGCATCGAACACTGGACGGAGCTTCGCTATCGAGATGACTTTTACATGTGGCAATGGAAGGTGAATGTGCCCTTCTTATTCTATGGCCAACATCAGATATTCAGTGCTCAGGTCATCTTACCCTTCACCGAGCCTGGAAGTGATAGTGGACACTCCACTCATTCAGGGGTAACGGTCCACAATTATTCTGTCACTGAAGCAGGGGGTTATGGTGAGGTCAAATGTGTTGAGATACATTCAAAATGTCACAACTTTCATGAGGTCTTTACCACAGTAAGTGGGATACTTTATTAATCATTAGGCAGTTTCCCGTTATAAGTCAAGTACCTAGGTAGTATACTAATAGGACACTAGCTACCAAGACGAGAAGGGCCATTCGCAGTTAAGAAACTTCTTCAAAATGATCCTATTCGAATTGAAAAAGACTTCCAAAAAGAAGTCGAAATGCTTAAGAAGTTCGACGGAGGTGTGCACCCGCATATCGTAACCGTTCTCACAACTTTCAAACATGGGGATTGCTACTATCTCATATTCCCTTGGGCAGAATGCGACCTTGGGAGATATTTCGAGAACAATCGAATGCCAACTCATTCCCTCGAGACAGTTCGGTGGTTATCGAGTCAGTGTCTAAAGATCATTGAAGCTGTTCATCTGATCCATTTCCCCCCAGGGGTAAATAATTTGCAGCCTGGGGACAGATTATTCGGCCGGCACGGAGACATCAAGGCTGAGAATATCCTCGTCTTCAGGTCTCAGAATGGAGAAGCAAATCTCGTACTCTCTGACTTCGGACTCGGATCTGTACACCGTGATATAAGCAGGTCAAATGTCCCCTCAAACAAAGTAGCAGTCACACCAGACTTTCGACCGCCCGAATGCGACATGGATGGGGGACGGATTAGCAGAGCCTATGACGTCTGGACTCTCGGCTGTCTTTTCCTTGACCTGTTAACCTGGCTGCTTGGTGGGGAGGATCTCAGAGAAGAGTTTGAGAATACGCGAATGACCAGTTATATCGACGGTCGCGAGACGCGAATCTATTTCGAGATCGTGCAGACGGAAGATGATAAAAAAGGATTTATCATAAAAGATCAAGTAAGATCAGTAGGTCTTCCTAGTATTCGAACACACGAAGATAACCTCTTGAGAACTAACAGGTATAAAAGTGGTTCGACAAGCTTCGCAAGCATAGTAATTGTACCAAGTTCGTGCACGAGTTTCTTAAACTCATAGAAGAGGACATGTTGATCGTGGAGACAAACGAAAAGAAGAGAGCAAGGACTGATGTGCTGCTCGAAAAGCTACGAAGCTTTTCTGAAAAGTGCCATGGTGATAAGGCAGATCTATATTGCCTTCACGGAGTATCGGATACAGGAGACCCCGCAACCAAATCTGTACCACCAATTGTCGAGGGGTTACTCAACGATGCTGCCACAAGGAACATAAAGGAACGACGGATTCCGTTAAGGACAGTCAGAGGGCGTACACAACAAGCAGAACAGGCCCAAGATGGTGTAGAGATTCGCATAGCATAGGGGATTATGCCAGCGGATGGTACACCTAATGCTTCAAATGATACATATCCCGCTCCTCTATTCCTTTCAAAATGATAGTTTCCTAGGTATTTTTACCATGTTCATCCCGTAGTTCCTCCAACTCCTTTACGAAAAGCTAGAATTTTTCGCCTCTAATGATTCTATTAAATTGGTGAATTGAATAGCTTCTAGAATAGAATCTGGATATCGCTTGCAATTCAGATGGTAGAAGTGAAGGCAGCTTGGACTATCAGCCTGCTTGGTAATGTTCGTTCTGGAGCCTCAAATGAATGTCGTCTATCTCTCTCTATCCCAAATGTCAGAAAGAGGCTCATCATAATGTAAAAACATGGATTCAGAAGGGCGCTGCGGCATACAGGTGACAAGGGTCGTGGAACTGTACAATAAAATCGGCCTCGTTGGAACTAGGTAGACAGGCGAAACTGTCAGTTTTGTTTCCGTAAGAAGGGAAATATCCGATCTCATGACATACGCGAATTTGGATGGCTCCACTAGGAAAAACTCTTCTCAGGTGCTCATAGAGCGCTGTTTCGTCGGTGTATCGCGCCCGAAAGGTAGAAACAGACGCCATGGTCTAGGAATAGGGATTCAGCAAATCCAAATGAGTATCTAATTTGATAATACCTAGGTACGTTTTCTTTAATAACTTTTATCTGTGAGAGAAAGGCATAGGCATGGATACTTTTTAAAACCGAAAGCAAGTGCTCAAATGTTGAAGCACTGGCAATAAATGATGGCCAGCAAATATGAACAAAACGCCCCAAAATATGCCCTGCAGGTCGCCTTACGGCGGATGCTTATCCATTGGAACATCGGAAGATTCTGTCGCACTGCACTACCTCGCCTCATAATATCAATGGCAGTAATATTTGAGCCATTACTTTGTGTGCCACCACCAATGGAAGTGAATAAATGATACATTTCTCAGTCGCTTAGGTTAGTTTCAGTAGCCACACGTAAGCAAAACAGTCCCCGAACAACTTTTCTTTGCTCCTAAGTGAGGTTGACGAAAAGCCATACCCACATGTTATAGCTTGATTGTAGCCACGGCATTATGCTTAGATAGGTACCCTCAAAGCAAGACATTGGAGCTTAGAATTGCTAGAGCTACATCGCGACTCTTCAGGCAAGTTTGTACCTACCTGAGGTACCTATGAAATGGGGCACCAGGCCATGCAGGCTACCTATCAGTGACCTTCTACCTCCGAATATGTTACTTTAGCGCTTACCTGCAATGCAGCATTGTGCGCTCCCGGCTCCTGTCCCCTAAGCCACTTCCACCAACCATTTCAGTGAAACACCCAATAGATTACCGATTCGGGGCTGAGCACATGGAACAGGATCTCCAATAACACAGCTCTTCTAGACCAATACCATTGTAAACACAATGATTCTTCATCACATCCGGCTTCATTGCACTCATGGGGGTGGGAAAGAAATAATAATTATCAACTGTACTATACTATAAAGACATAAAAGAATATGGACTGGCCGAGGGAGAATCACAATATAAGTGAAACAGATCTTCGTAACGTGTTCAAATACGAACCCAAGAAAACTAGAGTGCTCACGTTACAGGGACTCTATGAGGTGACTTCTCATTATAAATGTCCTCGTCCATCTCTACCTACCTACGTACCTACTAATACCTACCTACCCAACTATAGGAGCCGAGTGTAAATTTGTTCGAGACACATGACCGATGGATTGAATGGATAGATAAAGTATGCAACCAAACAATGAAATCCGAACATTCAGATATTTACTGATTAAATCAAGGAATTACCAAAGCCAGATAGCGGGGCGTCAGGGCTCGTCTTGGTGTAAGTGTTAATTCTCAGCCTAAAATAACAGACACTAAACTGGATAATCCACAGACTTGCGAGGAGAACGGGCCAGCAGCAGGCGCCAGCAATACGCGATGACCTGCTCACTTTGGAAAAGGAGCCTCCAAAATCAGAGAGGGCTCAGACCTTCCCGATACAAGTCGGAGGAGCTCCAAATGCTGAGAAAGGACTTCAATCAGCCTTGAGCGGGCGGCGTAGTGCCAGAACACTTCCATTCTCGCTGGAAATATTCAGGTTAATATCCCAAAGACTCTGCCTGCATGGTTCAATAGCACGAGTTATAAACCGGACCGATGTTCCAATCTTCTCCCGCGCAGAAGTCCAGATGGGATTACCAGAAGGTCCGACATATCCTGCTTACAGTAAGTAATTGTAGGCTCATGTTATGTTGGAAGATGACAAGACTCAAAGCTAGAATGTAGTATATAATTGTCGATCCACGAATGCCTGGGAAATGGACCTCGCACTGACAGTCACACATTTTCCGCACACGGGGCTGACTTACGCCATGCTATTTGGATGTTCAATAACTATTGAAGATGAAATTATCAGGCGATTATGCTCTGTAGGTGAAGCAGCGAGTTACCCCTTACTCCTACCTGGCATCTTTGCCGAGATTGAGCGAAACCGGCATATGAATATTATCGAGGACTATGTGGATGACATCGAGCAAAAAATCTTCGAACTCGACTACCTTCCATCCATCGAGAAACAAATAGACAATGCCGAGACTGAGAGGAGGAATAGGGATAAACGCTCACAGTGGCTTGACACGGCATACCTAAGGAATGGGCTCATTACCTGGAATGAGCAGTTGGTTAAAATGGCCAAACATACAGAAGAGCTCCAAAATACTCTCTTCATGCCGACTAAGGATAAATATCTTCATGATCAAGCTAGTATTGCTTCGTACGCACAACTGCACCCCGAGCCACTCTATAGGCCAGAACTTTATGATGAAAAAGTTGACTACGACGAAAGAGATGAGATGCGCAAGAGTGAAATGAGGAAAATTGGTACTAAGGTCAGCGATCGCCTCACAGCTATCATAGAGGAGTACGAGGACAAGATCCGAGAGTGTACTATGCGAATCGACGGAATGGCAATGGCTACGCAATGGGTTAGTCCAAACTCTTTGAAATATTTATCACTTACGACCTTTGGTAGTCTTTCCCTATGTGTAACCGTCGGTGATGATTATACCCTTATTTGTACCACTAACATAAATGATGCAGTCCCACGGAGAAACAAATGTTGAGATAGCTCTAGCAACGGGGCGAGACTCGAAGCATATGCGAACCATATCCATAGTCTCGATGGTATTTCTGCCGGGCACGTTCATGGCGGTACGTACCGACGCATTTTCATCTACAACTCTAAACCAATACTAATATCATGCTTGACAGAGTATTTTCTCAATGCAGTTTTTCAACTGGGTTCCCAGTAATGATGATACCGTCATCTCACGGTATTTCTGGATCTATATTCTAGCGACTGTGATAGCAACCACGCTGACGCTTGGGACATGGTATTACTGTGTGGTTTGGCGCCATCGATCACGGAAGGCGGTTTCGGAGGAAGAGTGACTTCTGACTGAGTGAGCAGATGTATTATTATTGATGATATTGCTGATGATGCATGTATATTGGTTTGGTTCGGATTCCCATCTGCTTCTATTCTCTTATGTTCATTCCTATTTCCTCGCATCGGGACACAGCACGACCATTGGATCTTTCCTAAATTTAACATTATCGGGCACTTGGTAAATACGCATACTAGGTACCTATTGTTGAAGGATGAACCAAGCGCTCATTATGTTAACTTGCTTCCTATGTACTCTACCAATGGGAAATACGGCTGGCAAGGGAATTCATCCCTTTCGCAAATTGAACTTATTTTTACTTACCTACCATAAACCAAAGTATCTTACTCCTTAGGGAAGACTTCCTTAATACCTACTTACATAACAGATATCTCACGTGTGCTCATGCATTTTCGCAGGGAAGATCAATTCTCATATAGGAATTTGAGAAACGCTTCCAACGGGTTCTTACCTAGGTGAGATTGAGGCTCAGCAAATAGTCGCATCATTCTACCGGTATCATCTACCTACGGAACACCGGTTACATTGGCTGTATGGTTCAAGCTATGTGGCGGTGGTGGCAGTGTCTCACGCATACCTAGCATCATCAGGAGCGAGACTATCCGAATAGCCGCTTGGATCCGAACCGCTCACGTAAGGTTGCAACACGAGATCTCAGTGGACTTTTCCTGTTGGTTTTTGCCTCCGCCCAGAAAGCTCGCATTGGAAAAAGCCGAGGATCCAAGACGACAGCTCACCCAGCGGGCGGGCAAGCGTGTGGGGAAAACCCATGAGAGATTAATTTTTTTCTTTTTTTTTTCTGTCTTCTGATTTTATTCTTAGGAAAGAGGAGGTTTCTCCGCCATTGTCGACAACGTTACCACTCATGCGTACCTACTCTCCCAGATAGTGGGTAGTGGGTTTGCTTGGGTATCATTGCATCATGAATTTGCTGGCCCTTGGATTCTGGGGAGAAGGAAAAGCGTTTCCAACAAGCCGGACCCCCCCTTTACCCTGTGTTCACAGATACATACATGTGAAACCCCTCACTAGCAAAGCGAAACCTAGGAGGGGAAAAAAAGAATTAATAGCAAAGGAGTGAGACAACAAAATCATCTAACACGAGGAATCTGAGATGGAGTACCTGGATCTGGCAACGTCATCAGACGTCAAGCCCTACGGTAAGTGGCTGATTCTTCCCAACTTGGGCATTGGTAGAAAAAAAAGAAGAAAGAAAGAAAAAAAGGTTTCAAAGTTCGCGAGTGGTACATAGATAGCGCGTGTATGAGCGCATAAGAGGCTCGGCAGGGCACAGAGAGCCCACAGGTGATCAACCCGCTGCGTCCGATCTGCGCGTCAGCAAAGTTCGAACGTAGTTGGGATCGTTACTGATGACTGGGGACCCCTCTTCAAGTTACGGCAATGGATGACTTATCGTATTTTCGCTGGTGTCAGAATGTACAGCCCACGATGGGATTCTTCGAATTCAATCTCGCTCGATTAAGTTAGCCAGCTCCTTGTTTTCCGGCTTGGGATTCTGCATCCTACGGTACTGTGAAATCAAGCAGAGTTCTTATGTCATGCCTAAGGTTAGGCTTTTTTGGATTCTGCTTCTACTTCTGCTGGGGCAAGGGAGGTCAATACGAATACATACATTACCTATCCTACCGCGGAAATCGGATGCGATAACGGCTACAAGTGCATTCGCGAAGTGTAGACTTTCACTTGGTCAGTGACCCTAATGCGTGGTGACAGGCTTTTTGCCGCTCGACTATGTAGGACTTGGATGGGACTGGAACATTGGGAATAAACCTCTTTCAGCCCGTGGTGCGGAGGTGCCTCGCCTGGTTTCGGGGTGCGTTGCTGCAAGTGCTGATCGTGAGGCGAGGGTTCTGGTCGACACTAATGCAAGCTCTTTACACGCTTCCAGTATTCCTAGCTTTAATAATCCCTGGACAACCGCATCTGGCCGCGGGCATGACAAGAAAGAGTTTTCTTAAGTGCCAGACAGTTTGCAATTCTATGACGGCCCTTCCCGTATCGGTCCTCTATCTCGTCTGAAGAATCGTATTGGCTTGCTGGTGGTATTAAATGCTTCGTGTCTACAGAGTTGTGGTAACGTTCCGGACGAGCGGTCTGTATTTTGCGATATTGCTATTTTCAATTCTAGCCTATGGGGTTACAAAGGGAAATAAGACCAGCTAGGCATTCGGCTCGTTCTGGAAGATCCGCCAGAATGGCCGGTGCTGGAAAGCGTACCACCCATTTGGAATTAGGAATGGGGTACCCGTTAGGACGGACAGAGACCGGCATGGCCATCTGGCCTATTGTGCCGTTAACTGTCCGGACTCTTCTCTGTGGGTGACAGATTCGGGTAAGTGGCGATGGGGACCGTCTAGGTGGTGACTCAGTGGGGGAACCAGATTCGTTGGTGGTCCACATCAGGCCAGATCAACGGCGGCAAGCAGTCATGCTAAGTTCGGAGAGGAGCCAAAAAAATGCGACGGCTCCCACACGAGAGAAGCGTTGGCTGGCGCCGTCCTTTTAGTGCAATGTGCAGGTGCTTCTCTCCCTTCCTCAAGAAACCACCTACCTTTAGTGGACCGCGACAAAAAAAATAGGATTCTGTATGGATGCTGGCGCTTCAAGTCGCAGATACATACTATGCATAGGTACCTACCTACCTAACTATCCCTGGGCATGCAAATACACATGCAGCGTGGGTTGTGGACCTCCGCTCGAGTAGGCTGGTGCCTGCGTTTCTTCCCGACCGTGTAAGTATCGTAGATGGATAGTTTGGATGCTGCAGCAATGTCTGCAGAGTCAGGGTTGTTAGAGCTACCACATAAATGCTTGGATGCGGAGACTTTGATCGTGAGGGGTTGCGAAGGCTTCCACTCATATTCCGAGGCCTGCTCACACCGCTAGAAAGGCTCTTATCCCAATGCTGGCTGCATTCTAATATGTACTATGCGTACTGCTCCTCGGCTACCTTATCAAACCATATTTGCCATGCTGCTATGAGGTAGGCATGTTGGCATGGAGGCATGTACGTCTCGACGTTGCCCGATGGCACGAGCCGAATAGACCAACCCAAGGCCGACTAAAGAGGGTTACCAAATGAGGTATTTGGGGTGTGTCATATGGTTGCATATTACCTTTTACCTCCTGAGATTTTCGATCGAGGTTCCCAACGCTTAGGTCGGCATACGTAAGATATTGATGACTGTTCCGATACAGTGGTATGACATTACCTACTGTCAGCTTCCCGTTCCGTCTGCGATGCTAGGGAGGCAGGGAGGCGACAGCACGTGGAAGAATCGAGGTACCTCTTGATGAATATCTACCTGCCTGGAAGAAATCTTACATCTACATGACTACAATTACTAAATGACGAATAAGACACATTCGAGATCCTGTCCGCGTGTTCTGTGATGGTCTTCCGAACAATCCTAATGGTCGAGACTCGAAGGCGATGGTGTAACGGACTCCGATGCTTTGATACATGGATTTCCCTTCCCTTTAATTCCCTGAAATTGCACGACTTTGCAATTTTTTTAATGTTGAACAGTGACGATTGGTGGTTCGAATATTACATCTATGCCGAGGCTGGTAGCTCCATATCGTAATACACAATACTTAATACTTACATCAATATTCGCGTAGAGAGGTCGAGGTGGAGCTGACACGGTGAAGACGGGCTTTTCCACGCGACCGAAGCTATGGAATTCCTACATATTCGAGTTGCTCTCGTCGACCCGCTCATTTTTAAGACTGTAGAGGCCGCTACTGCAGACGCGGACTCATGCGATAGAAAAAAAAAATCTTCTTCAACTAGGAACTTTGACTGGGAAGCAAAAGAGGGGTTGAGAAAAAAAGACGCAACAGACTAGTTTAAGTCTTTCTTGATGTTTTTTTGAGCTTCCCAAAATTTTATGGTTTGTGGAGCACTGCAAAGCAACGTCTGGACTCTCCGTACGACTCAGTCCCCACGTAGGAGGGGGAATTTGATGAACCGACCGGCGGCTACATGTAGGTGGGGGTTGGGACATACCCGCATAACAGAGGATAGCGTGTCTTCTACACAATGTGGGAGAGCTGCGGTGTTCGTTCTACAGGTCATCGATGTCTGCCAGCAGGATGGTAGAGCTTCCCAGTCTTGCAAGTTCAGCCATCGAGGAAGAGTTACCGTAATCCTGCGGAGATTGATAATACTCGTGCGCGAATGCGGCACGGTGACCGTTTTATGTTCTGGGTTGTCTGGAAATCCGATTCGGTCTGTCTAACCAGCCAGCCATATTACTGCCATACTATGTTCGAAGTGCAACGCAAGGTAGGGTCCAGGGGGGAGATATTCATAGTAGCAATCCACATCCGAAGTGTCGCCAGGCGCAGGGCAAGTGATCCGCCTGACAAACACGCAATTGGTTAGATCGATAGCCGAAATAACGAGCAACTTGTGGATTTCTATTACTTCATTAACGAGGCTGGGCTACGAAGGATGCCATGCTGTTCGTCCTCGATATTACATAGAACTATGTCAGCGCTGCTAAATTGTGTGAATAGGGGCTTGCGTACACGTATATTCAATACCTTTTGATAATACAATCAACGCGGTCGCCTAATGTCAAGGGGAGATTTCATGCGGAGGGTGACGTATGATACCTAGGTAGCTATGGACGAAGTACCATTACGAAGCAAGGGGCAAGCGAATCCGGTGATCCTTAGTCTGGCCCTAATAACCAAAAAAAGATAAAATAAAGAAAAAAAAATATTAACTTAACATACGACTGAATACTATGGGCATCAAACGTCTTGATGGTATGCGCGAAAGTTGGGGAAAACCTGTGATCGAAAATCCAACCACCAATCGTGATTTACATTCAACAGCTTAAGCAAACTAGCGATGCGAGTTCACCTGCTTCAGTTCAAAATGCCTCAAGTGTTCCGAGTTTCTTCTACGTTGGATATTGCCAATTTAACTTTTCCAGGAAATTTCAAGAGCTTAGCTCAAGGGGGTGGTTCTATGTTAGGATCCATCTGTTCCTTATGAATTCTATGCCTTTCATAGGCTAGTGACCGGTGGACCGTTGAACTATCCTGGAACTTGTCGGATCGGTACCTGAATACGTACATCTGAGGACCACATGGATGCTAATCGGCGGGACATTATTCCAGGTAAGCAGCCAATGATGCGATCTAGACGATCTAACAGATTCTCTCATCTCATCTCAGTGTCATCGATGGCTTTTTAGAGGAAGCTGATGCTGGGTAGGTATCGTCATCGCAGTTGTCACCGTTAGGCAGAATATCTCACGTAGGAATATGAACTGTACATCATTACTCGTCGGCTCGTTAGTGAAGCTGTCATTAGGTATGCTTCCTACCTACCTACAGAGAGGTTGGCTGGTAGGCTGGCAGGTTGGCAATAACAGCTCATTTCCAGCTATGGCATCTAAAACTTGTGACGCACAGGGCATTTATTGCACCGACCCGAGCACAAGGCTCAAGTATGGGGCTTGTTGTCCGTGCCGGGTTCCAAAGCCCTTGATCTTGAGTGGATAAAATCACACCCATGGTTTCGTTGTAAATCTCCCCAAATACCTGGGGTTACCCTTACTACGTACCTAGAAGCTAGTATCCATTTTCTTGTTTACTTGGGTTAGTGGCGTGAGTAGCAACAAAAACAAACCGAGCTATGTACAAATCTTTGTTCTTGATATACTATCCTTGATTGCTGTTTACAAAATTCTCGGATGCAACTTACATGGGAATGAGGTAGATCTCTCATCTGGGTCTGATAGCCCGATCACTGCGGTTTGCCAAGTAGAGTAAAGGGGATGGGAAAAAAATCAAATAAAACGTCGCATGAGTCGATGCTCGTGCTTCATGGTAGTACTGTGAGTAGGTACTAAAATTTGAAGATACCGTTTTCGTATTGCCGAAGGTGCTGGGACAATAGGACCGTAGGTTCCGTACATGTCCGTAATATCCCACGTGCGAAAGGAAGAATCCCGTTTCGACTAGAGAATGGGTTGACCTTTATCCAGATGAGTGGTGCAGTATTAATGGAAACAAAGGAGGAGACGAAGGTTCCGAAATGAGTAGAACCGATGACTCCCGATTAATTATTGATTAAAAAGGATATCAACTTAGAGAAAGAGGAATATTTTCCGCATCCAGAGCTGATGTGAATACGTTGTCTCTGAGTCGGTTCGAGTAGCAAGTCTTGATTGATTCGAGTTTCGACTTTGGTTCTGTGTTGAATGTGGTAAACCATCCTGACCATCTGATGCAGAAGTAAAAGGAGGTAGCAAGGATACAGCCTCACTGCTCTACCCACACTGGTTAGTAATTATTTACGCCCTTAACCCCTTTTAAAATAACTTGGCTGGTCCTCTCTACCTCTGTAACTATGAATTTAAAAGTTGGAAAATAATAATAAGAGATGCCTTTGGACATATGCCACATGTGAAAATTTCGAACTAAAAGTATCGGCCATCTCGCATTAGAGGAAGAGTCTAAAGGTAATAATGAAGCTATGAAGCGCGGATACCTCGAGGCTAAAGGGCGAATGTGTTTTTTTTTCTTCCTCTGTAGGGATGGGGACCTCGGCCGAATTCTCACCAATCTGCCGCCATCACCTAGTGACAACCGCTTGACAAGAAAAAAAAAACACTTACGAGTTTGACAACCCCGGCGTAGCTAAAATAGGTAGGACCCTGATTTTTAACGATATAATTATTTTTAATTTCCAACCAAAAACAACAACAAAGGGTTTTAAAAAGAATTACCAACTAACAGTTAGAGGCAAACTGCTAGGTAATAAGCTAATTTACAAAGTTTTTATTAATGAATAAGAATAGGTCTGGGCAAGCACAACATGGAATTGGAAGCCCTTGCTGATTTGGCAACATAGCTTGATGAATTTATGATGTATTTGTGCAATGCATCCATGGATGGTGTATGTAAGTGTACTCTGTACGTATACAAAATGTGCAATATCCATGCTATCCATGTTATCCATAGGGATGTAACTCGGTCCGTATTGGTTCATTGGTGGAATCGACACATTGGCGAGACGCACTTTCCACTCCTGTTTAATGTTGAATACAGATGGATGTACTAAGTACTGCGCATCTAGGCGAGTTGGACGAGTGGACGAGTAAACTTTCTAGCAGTTACCTGAATGGTGCTAGACTCTTAGTTGATGAATCCACCAAAGAAACCTGGACCACCACCTATTGCGAATTGAATCCACACGCCCCTTGTTTCCACTAATTTCTAAGTGGTCAGTGGCCACTAGTATTTTGCCCTCTTTTTTTCTTTAATTTTTTTTTTGTCGCCTGCGCGCTCGCCGCTCCAGGGCCATCCTTTCTTTACAGTGGGTGGCAGAGTGGCTAGGTACGAAGTACGTGCTAACGCTAGCGGTCAAAGAAGGTCCCACTTAGACTCTGGACGGGCACTGATTGGCTGAATTGTTTTCCCAACTTGAAAAAAAAGTTGCTAAGTTGCTACCTAGGACGGATGGTACGGGCGTCTGAGCTGTTGCCAGTTGCAGTTGCCCCAGTAGTAAAAGTGCGCGAGTGCATTCAACGTTGTGGTGTGCTGGGTGTGTAATGCAGTAATGCATACATAGTGGTTGTAGCGTGTACCACTATGTATGTGTGTACTAATAGCCCGTAGTGTACTAAAGTGTAGTGTGTTAGTGTTAGCGTTTTGTGTTGTATTGTGGTGTGTGGGTTCCATCCTTTTTTTTCCCTTTCCAAACCGGATCCATTTTACTGGTACATAGTACCTCTTGTATCTAACCACAGTACCCAGCTACCTTCTTTTACCTTGCATCATTTGCCATTTCTAATTCTCGTCTCTCTCCCCATCCTTCAACCTCTTCCCACCCCAAAACAACTCTTCCACCTTACCACCGTCTTGACGCTTCTACCTCCGTCTCCCTCTTTTTCTTACTTTCCTTTTTTCTTTAACACCTCGCAATCCCGTCGCTTGCCAAATTATTCGACCTCGACCGAATTTTCGATTCTTCGATTCTCGGAAGTTGTCGGACGCCAGGATTCGGGTTTATTGCGATTTATTGGAAACCAGTAGAAAAAGAGAGAGGCGCAACGAAGTTGTACTTTGTTGTGTAGGAGAACTTGCCCGCTCTGGACTGTAACGAATTGGTCTCACTGTCGGATCTGTCGCTATCGATCTAAATAAAACGCCTTCTCCCCCGTCTCTACGAGCGAAAGCGAAACGAAGCGGCATCCACGACGACTCAGATCGCTGTTCAACACGAACACTACGACCATCGACTAGGTACGACTTAGCTGGACTCTAACGACGATATTATCTCGCGAGCAGTTTAGTTGCAGGAAATAAGAGGCGTTCTCATTACTGCCAACTTCCTTCCTACGAAGTAAGTAAAATTTCTTTTCTTTGCCATAATTGGTTCATTTATTTTTCTTGCCTGTTTCCATTTTATAGCATCACCACTCAGCTATCCCGTACATCCCGACCCATTTCCGAGTATCTTGATGGTCACACACAACACAAGATTAGAGTGACCAAAATCAACTACATGCGACTGAATTTTTACACTCAATTCAATCTTCCATCTAGCATTTGCATTTGTATTTGCGAAAAAAGAATCTGGATTATTAATCCATTGTCTCTGTCACCTTCACTTAGCCATTCATTTCCCTATGTTGGGAGGTTGAACAATCAACCTTAGTCTTGGTCCTCATTTTCCAAGGGGTCATCAAAGAACTTACGGAACTTATCGATCGGATTCAATCCATTGTTTTCATACACGTCTCTTCCAAGTACTAACATTTCTTGCTTCAGTTGTTAGAGGTCTTAATTGAACCTTTTTACCTTTAATATCGACGGCATTCGCATCTTTTTTTCTTACCTAGACAATTCCTCGTATTTTCACAATCCACTTTGTTGGTATCGACCAATCTTGACGAACATCCCTTCAAGCGCTTTTATTAAGCATATTCGGTTGACATTACATCCTATTGGGAAGCAGAGTCTCGACCAGACAGTCATCAATCCGATCTCTAGCACGATTTGCCTCACGTTGAGACAACCGATTCATGGCTAAGACATCTCAATAGGGTTCCCAATAACCTTTCCTCCCAAAATCCTTACTTCTCTCTTCAGCATTGTGAATCGGAATCAGTTGTACTGTGGTCTTCGCACTCAACTGCGCCGTCTCTACGTGCCTGAAGCAGAATTCCTCCGACAAAGATCGTACTTGGGTCTTTGACGGAGCCCATCCTCTAACCGTCATCATGGTCGGCGGCGGCGTATGTGCGGTTCTCGACTATGAGACCGAAATGATGGCAGAGTATGTGGCTGATATGACAGTCCGAGTTGTACTCCCTAAATCATCAGTCTCTGGTGCATTTCGGAAATTCGTCAATCAGATTCTCAGTTCCACTCGTCTACCGAGCACCACCGTCCTGCTCGGAATGAACTATTTGGCTAAAAGAGTCAACACGCTCAACCAGAGTGGACAGTTTACCCCAAATGAGGGTCAAATGTGGAAAATGCTTACCGTTGCTCTCCTCCTCGGTAGCAAGTTTCTCGACGACAACACGTTTCAGAACCGCTCTTGGTCGGATGTTAGTGGCATCGCCGTGGCAGAACTCAACACTATGGAAAACGAGTGGCTGAGGCACATTGGCTGGACGCTATACGTCAATCTTGATCAGAGCCACGACTACAATGCTTGGCTCAAGAGCTGGAAGGAATGGGAAGAGAACAAGAAATTCCACCAGCTTCAGCAGCAACAACAGCAGTCACAAATTGCTTTGCGGGAGAGACTGGCACCGATTGTCACAAACATCCACCCCGAGCCCGTGCGACACCATCCTCTTGCCTTCCAAGGCTGGACTCACGAGGAAATCATTGACCAGGAACGAAATGGCTTGAACGCTAGAATCGCTCATGCTGGCGCTTACAGAGGTCGGGAGGGTTCCTGGCAGGGGCAGTATCCAAACGCTTGGCCGCAGCCTCAGGCACCCTTGACTCCGCCCGATTCGGGCTACGGAACCCCCGAGTATCTCAATTCTGCTGCCTCGGTTAACGCTTCATACGATGAGTGGTTTGCCCAGGCCGTCAATGGTGGCTATAATAGACACTATAAGCCTTCCGGTCACGGTGGCTTTGGATCTAGAAACGGATCTCATTTCCCCCATACCTTTTCCTGCCACTTCGGTTCAAGTGTATGGGATTCCAACGGTGCTGACTGTACCTGTACCCAGTGCAGGCCACAGCTGCACAACAAGCCGGCTTCCTACTTCCCGCAGCACGGTTATAGCCAAGCTGTAATGGGTTAGACCTAGCTTGTTTATAACGACACATTTCTTTGTATTATCGATCCGAGTTTGGATGGCCTGGGTGTAAAACAAGGCCGTGGTTATGATTTGGGAATACTTCATCTAATGTCTACTCCGACATCGTTCTCGGCATGGTTAGGCACATAAATTTGTTGTTCAGATACCCCCGGAGTTTCCGAACCATAGGCATAAGAGACATACTACTGGAGTGGGAGGGAAATATCGGGGTTCCGGTTTGTTCGGTCGATCTTAATCCACTCGCACCCATCGTTACCCAACCGGCATCATCCGTCGGTACGAGGTCTCGGAACGAATTCGACTTATCGATCCGTCAAATAGGTTCACCCCATTCTCGTGTCTAGTGGTTACTTCTGCCCTATGAGGCGATGCTTCCTTTGTTCTTACGACTTTTCCGCATCGGTAATTATAGTGGCGTTTATTGGATTTGTTTTTTTTTCTCGGTTAGGTTCGGTTCGGTGTTCTTCTATTTGCAATAGAATATGGCATTTTATTCGGGTTCGCATATTTACAGCGACGGCGGCAAAAAGTCAAGGCTACATTGGGCGTTTTTAAACAAAAGTAAGAGATGGACAATCCAGACAACCCGTCGTCCAGTCGCTCAACTATACTTTGAGTCTATTCCACAACAAATGATAGATCTCACTTTATCAGTATCACTCGTCACCGCTGAACATAGTCGGTTGCTGATTTCTCCCTTCCTACCACTCTATTTTGCATCCTGCAAATGGCTTGGCTAGGCTTGGGCTTGTCGTTCTTGCACTTTCTACGATTTTCTCACGATTTTTACGTTTATTCGATTCACGATTCCTCACTCGACGCTGGCACGACATCATCAGCTCGTCTGGTTTCGGGCGGTCTCATTCTAGACAGATCCAGCTTTGTGCTCCTTTCGTAAGGTTCATAATTCAGCTGTGGTCTTCAAATACGTTTTCGGGGCTCATTCAATGTGGTCATTGGGTTTCTTTTTCTTGGCTCGAAATAAAGAAAATCGGCATTTGCACCACTGAGGGTGGCAGCATCTGGGAATGGAATGAAAAATTTGGGTTTGTTGCTTTTGCATTTGCAACATTGAGTTTCTACTCTTCTAGATTGGTGCGAAGCATATAGGAGTACACGTCCTAATAGCTTCCACCAAAAGCCGTGGACTGTTTTGTCCATATCCTTGTTAGCTATCGTCACTGACTTATTCATACGTCGTCGGTTCACGATACTACTTGGTGGTGGCTTCGTTATTTGGCTTCATAAGGAAAAGAAAAATTCTGTTTGGGCATTTCGAGTCACTAGCCTTAAAATATTGCTAGAGGGGTTTGTTCTTTTTTACTGTTCTTGGCTCTTAAGACGGGCCGTTTCCCATTGAATTTCTTTCACGAGGGCCATGACTACAACCAAGGCAAAAGGGCTAGGTTGGGGTTATGGATTAAGCGGCTTTGGGGTTAGGGGAAGGGGAGGGGGGATCTTTTCGCGAGTGCCTTTCGCGCGCGTAGCCACATAGGAGGAGTTGGCTGAAGTTTGCATGGCCGTGGCCGTCCTAGAGCATAAATGGACGGCATGGCTGACAGCCCGACGAGGTTTTCTTCTGGCTCTGCTACATATAACCGATAAACCTAGACTAAAAATATTAAACTGTGCAAACTTCACAAGAATTAAACTTTTCACTTGGTTTTTTGATATGTGTGATGTGCTTGATGTGATAAATCTTAGTCGTAACAGTATCATGTATAATGGTGTTTACCTATGTGGCTCGCTTCACTTTTTCGGGGCTTGCTTGATGCTACGATTTACCTTTGGCTGAGGACATCAATAACCTGTGGAGGAGCTCTGAAAATGTGTTGTAATAGTAATAAAGTGATTGCTTGAATTCATGTTGGCATTGACATTGGGTGAAATAAAATAGCATCGTGATACAATTCGCTAAATCTTCGCCTTGCCAGCTGTCAAAGGCCGCTGTCAGGTGCAATGAGCTTATCGATAATTGCTTACCTGTAGCTAGCAACCTTGACTCACGTATGTAACTGTTAAGCGAGAAACTACAAACTTACGCGTTATTATAACTCAATTGATTCGATCTATCAAGGCCTCTAACTTTAATATACCTACCTCGTTCATACCTCGCGATAAATTCGATTTGGTACCGGGGAAAAATGACATCCCGCTTCGTCTCTGGCGGTATAATCCCCGGTGACGGCCAGACCATTCTTAAACCCGATGCTCAGGATTCGATACCCCTGACTGCGACAGCGGCAACATTAGCGAAGCCTGTAGCGAAAACTGAAACTACGCAATGGGGTAGGGAAAGTGAGAAGGAGCCGGAGAAGAAGAATATAGAGTGGGAGGCCGTGCAGCGCGATCTAGACGCGGATCGCAAGCGTCGCGAGGAAGCGCGACGCGCGCAGGTCGAGGGCGGCGCGGGGGGCGAACGGAGTCTGTTTGATGTTTTGCAGGCTAATAAAGGTGCGGTTTCCAAATCATTACTACTGATGTCCTTGTCTTCTGGTTTCAAGGGAGAGAGAATAGGAATACTGATCTAGTTTTCGTGCGAACAGCGGCCAAGCAAGCGGCTTTCGAAGAACAGAATCGTATACGTAACCAATTCCGCGCGTTGGACGACGACGAGATCGAGTTCTTGGAAGGCGTGCAGGATGAGCGGAGAGAGGAGGAGGAACGAATTAAACGTGAGACTGAGGAGAGGCTGGCTAGGTTTAGGAAGGCACAGAAGAAGAGTGCTTCTGGACCTACCGATGATGATGATGATGATGTGGGTGAAGGTGTTGTTAAAAGTGGTGGGAATGAAGATGGTGGTGTCAGCGTTGACGACCCTGTTAGCTGGGGTGCTGCGGGGAAGAAACGGAAGAGGGATAAGGAGAGTAAGAGCATTGTTAAAGGCGTGAAGAAGAGGGCTAGTGTGTATGAGAAGAGTGTTGAAGTGCCGTCAGCAGCGGTGGCGGCAGTGGAAAAGAAGCCCGTGACGGATTTCGAGCCTAAATCTTCGACGACGGCAGATAAGACGAAGCCTCCAGCACCGAAAGCAGCTCCGGTAATAACTAAACCCAGCCTAGGTTTGGTCGACTATGGCTCTGACGACGATGACGATTGATTCGCATTTACCTAAACAGAGATTTAGGTTTTATACGCACTGAGTTGCTTCATCGCTTAGTGAAGCCATCTCCAAAGTCTTAGTCTTACTAAGCGCGTGGAAGTTGAAGAGTTATTCGCAACGAGGACAATACTATATGATTTTGCGATACTGGCCGAGTAAGTTCTATTACTATTAAACCTCGCGTCTAATCTCATGAGAATCTAACATCCAGACTTATATAGCTAACAGGCCTTACAAATTATCCTAAGGTGGAGTTTCACGAATTATAGGGTCACATGTGGTAGTGGGCAGACAAGAACATCAACTTGGAAATCAAGCTCTGGACATAGAGTTGTGATTAATTATTCGCATATACTACCACGAAGTCATCGCCTTAATAACCTCGTAAACCAGCATGGCACATATTCTGCGTCATCACCGACCCCTATGCACCGACACTCTATAGACCCAATGCGTTGTGATGTGTTGTACAGACACATCTTGTATGCCAGCCGGAAATGCGACGTTGTATCTATCCTTCTAAGTATAATATTACACTTTACATTTGGATCTCGGGTGATCATGATCATCAAATAACCTTGTGGCTGGTGATCATTCGTCAGGCCAGGATGGATTGGGCTCGGGTTTTGAGATGGCCCATCGGTAGAGGCTTCGGAAGCTGCCTTTGATCCAACCTTCAACCTCCTCTTCTGGGACAACTATCTCATTGGCACGAGCCACTTCTTCCGGTTGGATCTCAAATCGCCGCATACGCATTGCGATTCGTGGATCCAGGACCATGGGACTCGCCCAGATCTTTTCCGGTGGAGGAGCCGTGGAGGCAGTGGCATCCTTATCGTCTTCCTTGGGTTTCTCATCCTTCCATACCGATTTAACCCAGTCTTTCTCTTCGTGCTCAAGAGCAGTTTGCTGTTCAGCCCGAGACAAATCCGCGTCTTCGCGGTACTCACGTGCTGAAGCAAGGCAGACAGCCGCGACTTCGCGACCTATGTCGTCCGCTAAATACCGACGGTTGAGGAATCGCCGTAGTCGAATAAACGTATTAGAAAAACCGAGGACGTGGGGAAATCCTATCGGTGATGATGGTGAAAACTCGGCAGGTATGAGCATAGGTATGGCGGAAGTGGGGTAGTCGTTGGTGGTGTTGTACGGAAGTGGCTGTGGAGGTCTTTCCGGTTTTTGTTCCGGCTTCTCTTCCGGCTTCGGCTCCTGCTTTTCTCCCTCGCTTCCTTCGGATGCTCCTACCTCTTCAATTTTCTTTTCTACTACTTCCGGCTCCGGTGGTGGGGGGGTAAGAGGTCCTAGCCAGCCTTCATGTATACCTCGGACATACTCCTTCCACGTATGTCGTCCGATTACAATATCGCCTCTAGCACCGTGCCATTGGGGTGTGTTATTCTTTTTCCTGACTTCTTCTATAACTTCGTCCTTTGTCTGCGCTACCGCTTCTGGTTCCCTCGTCCTCCGTATCCTCTCAGCAACCGCCGCTCTTATATCTCCCTGTTTTCTTCCTTGAACGAATTCCCAATCCAATCCTGAAGCAGAGAGTATTGGTTTTATGTATTCTGTGAAGTGATCTTGCGCAACGCGGAGACCATCACCGGGGGGACTTTCGAGAAAGATGGTGAGCTTCCGAGGAAGCTGCGTGGGGTCGGAGATGGGTTCTCGCGCAAGGTGGGAGACTGCTTTGGCCCACCGAGCTGTTGCGCGCTTCTTTTCGCGCTTGTCGTATATTATAGCGGCGGAGAGGGATCCAGTGATGGTGAAAAAGATCATCCAGTTACGGGATGGCAGTTTCTTGGGCAAGTAGGGAATACCCATCATGCGAAGAGCTGGATTAGGAGCTGCAGCTTTGTATGCTGCTCCGGAGCTTGCTGCAGCTGGTGCAGGCGTAGGTGCAGCTGCGTTACCCGAAGGTGGTGTTGGATCTGCCATGTTGAATTGGTGCAGGAATCTTTTCCTCTGACAAATTCCAAATTCAAGGCACCCATCAATATCACAGGATTAACCTGGACGTTGGCAGTTTCACAGAGACTCCAAGACGGAATCTTGGTTGCAACGGGAATTCGCAGTTGCGTCAATGTTCAATTGGTGAGGGACCCGATAACAAAATTTCGACGGTCCGGATCTATGTAGATCCTATCTGTGAACCCCACATTTTAGCTTCCAGTTTGCCAATTCGGGCACCTGGGGCCAATCAGAATGTTGAGCTGTATTTCAGTGGCGGAGCGGGTAACTGAATATATGCACTTAAAGGGTGTTTTCATGAAACCCGGAATCTTGACCTGAACTCTATTTAGCTTCTAAGATGGTAGTTGCCACAATGAAATACCTATCGGGTAGATATGGCAAGAAGGGAATGCTATAGCATCCATGTCAAAATCAAAATATTAAGACTAAACTCTTTGGGAGCTGTAATGGACCAAAAGACACGGTTGGCATTGCTTCGGCTTTGATAAACCACATTCGTCTTCACCGTTTTATTCTTCGAGATTAGGTAATTGAAATCAATCCATGGATTCGAATATGGTTACATACATGTTGAGGACAAGTGTTAAGGGGGGCGAGACCCCAGTACTAGAGTCTAAGCTCTATTATTCACATAAGCGACCTACATGGAATCCGTGGATACATGTCATGTTGTCACATGTGAGGTATTCCCAATTGGCTTCTCAGCATCGTAATCGTGTACTATGCTCTCGCTTTATTCTGCACGAGTAACCTCTAGATAGCGGATGATAAATATAGACATTTATGTCGTCTATTTAAGGTAGGTCTGCATTGAAAGGTATCATATGAAAGAGGAGACGAATGGGCTGATATAATTCGGAAAAGAGCTCTTGTCTTGAGTTTTGGATGCAGTCAACATGCAAATAGCCTCACAATCCAGGGACTTAAGCGGCTACATACATAAGTATCCACTATAATGCATCGTTATGCATCATTATGCACGTGGCCATGGTTTAGGGAAGAAACGAAGCACCAATTGACCCTGAACAAGGGAGCGCCCGTAGTCTTGGCACGCTAAACCTAGAATAGTTAATCATCCACTCGATAGCGCCCCTGATAGTGCCCCTCCCCAGTACGACCCAGTGAAGCCCCAGGCGGTTGGAGTGCTAACAAGTGTTTTCAGGGGCTTCGTCGCATCCACTAATCGCCTGGGCACCTTGTTTGGGCAGTCACCTCAACCAGTAACAATTTATTCCATTGGAGAGTTGGGATCCATCGAACAACCTCGCATCATATAATTCTAAAAAGTCCCCCCTCTAAACTTTCTACCGCTGTTTCGACCAGGTCAGGTAGAAAAAAAACAAATCACTTTGTTTTCCGAATACTGATCTTTTCATCTCAACATCAATGCGAAAAGAAGGAAGATAAGAAAGATACCTCGGCGTGGCAGTAACCCACCCCTCTGTAACGGCGGCGCAATATCGCGTGCCAAAATCCGTTACGGGCCGAAATTCTAATTGGGCACTTCCACTCCTCGTCAATACTTCAACGCTTTGATACTTTGATCCTCGCTTTCAAGCGTCTTGAGACCGCTTGAGACCTCAACATCAATACGATACAACTCGATCTTGACATCATTGTACCCAACGTTTGGTGGGATAGGACGAGCCAGATCTATCACCAATACATCACTTCCAAGATCTCAGACTCGACATATTACTACTCTGACGACCTCAGCATTTCAGTCACGACTTACCCCGTACGACATAAACCCTGAACAAGCTAGTATATCTTATCTACAAACATTCATTAACAAGATCCTGAAGCACTTGCGATCAAGATGGATCCTAATAATCGTCTCTACCTGAATTTCGGGAATAATAACGAGCGGCTCGCCCCGACCGACCGACAATACCCTACTACACCTTCGACTTTCCCTCAGCCTGTATTCCCAGCGCCCTCCCAGCAGCATCTTGCAGCTCAGCAGGCTCAAGCTGCGCAGCAGTACGCTGGCGGTTATGCTCCTTCTAACAATTACTTTGCGCCCAACCAGTATCAAGGCCCTTCCGATTACGTCGGTGGTTCAGGTGGTTACCAGCCTAGATCCAACACGCCGGGTACCAACGATCCGAATGTTGGCCTGGCACATCAGTTCTCTCACCAGAACCTAGGAGGTGCTGCGCGAGCCAATAATTATGGCTCTCGAGGATCTGGTCCAGGCCAACGACCTCGAACTGCCGGTTCATCTGGCCAGCATCCGGCCCATAACTACCAACATCCCCCATTGCCTACCTCCGCTGGTTCTCGCCAACCCGACTTTCAACCTGCGCCAGAACGGAACCCGGAGAAATATGGACTTAATGCGAACAATAATCAGAAGAAGTGTTCTCAATTAGCGGCTGATTTCTTCAAGGATAGCGTGAAGCGAGCTCGAGAGCGTAATTTGAGGTAGGTCAATTCGCCAACTCTGTATAGTAACTGCTAAAGCAGGCTATTATTTTATCATGAACTTTTTACTGACGATGCAATCGTAAATAGGCAGAGCGAAATGGAACAGAAGCTAGGGGATCCCAATCAATCCTCATCGAGACGGGAGCAGATCTGGCAGAATGGCGGCAAGAAGGAAGCGCGTTACCTTCGATTTTTGCGCACCAAGGATAAGCCAGAGAATTACAACACCGTTAAAATCATCGGAAAGGGCGCTTTTGGCGAAGTCAAATTAGTCCAAAAGAAGGCAGATGGTCAGGTCTATGCGATGAAGTCCCTCATTAAGACCGAAATGTTCAAGAAGGATCAATTGGCTCACGTTCGAGCCGAGAGAGATATTCTTGCCGAATCTGACAGCCCCTGGGTGGTTAAGCTGTTCACGACCTTCCAAGATGCTAACTTCTTGTACATGCTTATGGAGTTCTTGCCGGGCGGAGACCTTATGACTATGCTCATTAAGTACGAGATCTTCTCCGAGGACATAACACGATTCTATATCGCAGAGATTGTGTTGGCCATCGAAGCAGTTCACAAGCTTGGATTTATCCATCGGTACGAATTTCAAATTTCTGCATTATTATGTTCTGACATACTAACTGATATATAGTGACATCAAACCCGACAATATCCTTCTTGATCGAGGTGGACACGTGAAGCTTACCGATTTCGGTCTTTCTACAGGTTTCCACAAGCTTCACGATAACAATTACTACCAACAGCTCTTACAGGGGAAATCCAGTCGTCCGAAGGATCGGAACTCCGTTGCGCTTGACCAGATTAACCTGACGGTCAGCAACCGTTCCCAGATCAACGACTGGAGAAAGTCTCGAAGGCTAATGGCGTACTCTACTGTCGGAACACCCGACTACATTGCACCTGAAATCTTTACCGGGCACGGATACACGTTCGATTGCGATTGGTGGTCGTTGGGTACTATTATGTTCGAATGTCTCGTCGGCTGGCCGCCGTTCTGCGCGGAGGATAGTCATGACACGTACAGAAAGATTGTCAATTGGCGACAGTCTCTTTACTTCCCCGACGACATCACCCTTGGCGCTGAAGCAGAACATCTAATCCGAAGGTAAGTTTGTTAGTACAAGTGAACTTCTCATTTGCTGACCGAAATCTAGTCTCATCTGCAATACGGAAGTACGACTTGGGCGGAGTGGAGCGCAGGAGATCAAGAATCACGCGTTCTTCCGCGGTGTCGAATTCGATAGTCTTCGCCGTATTCGCGCTCCGTTTGAACCGCGCTTACAATCTGCCACCGATACTACATATTTCCCTACTGACGAGATCGATCAGACTGACAACGCAACCAATCTACGGAACCAGGCTATCGCCACCGGTAAACAGGTGGAAGAATCTCCCGAGATGAGTTTACCGTTTATCGGCTACACGTTTAAGCGGTTTGATAACAACTTCCGTTAATCATGCACGCCTCACCCAGGCCTAAATCCGGTTGTTAATCGTGATTTAGAGAGTTAACAGTCAGAAAGTTGAAACTTCACAATATCGGATTTAGCTATCACCGCCGAATCGTCTCATATCTCCCCCAACCACAATACGTAACATTTCTGCGAGACCCGGTAGTCTCACATAGAGAAGATCAAAGTACATCTTGAGAAGAGGATACCATAGTCTGCTTGATCACATATCTTACTAAAGCCACGGAATATTTTTGCTTTTTGTATCTTGCAATGGTTTTCGCTACGTTATACACAACGTACCAACAGCAAACTTAACGATGCTTTACTGGCTACGAAACTTACGATGATTGCAGCAGAGATGGCGTGTCATCTTGGAAGAACGGTGGCCGCTTAGCGCGTGGTACCATAGAACAATGCAGATTAGTTAGACAGCCCCGCATCGTGATCAAAATAAAGTCTTGTGCTTTCATATCTGAATCTCCATTGTGAGTTTTGAAAAGGGGTGGAATGATGACCTAAGCATGTGATGATTAAGTAATCATTTTATACGCTAGTACATATCTGGGTAGCACTGGCTATCAAAAGCTTATCTTATCGTCCAAGCTACAAACGCCAATCGTCACTTCAATCTTTAATTTCTCCCTTCTCATCACCAACAAAATTGCCATTCTACTGGCCCGCTAACCTTCATCACGTCTCAATAAATCCCAATTCTACGAACGAACCTTCCATCCCAAAAAACCCTAAGAATCAATAAAAACAACATCATGGATTACCAGAACCGCGCGGGCTCCAAGTTCGGCGGCGGAGGCGTCGCGTCTCACAGCGCGACGAATGCCGACCGAAGAGAGCGACTGCGCAAACTAGCGCTCGAGACGATCGACCTAGACAAGGACCCGTACTTCTTCAAGAACCACGTCGGCTCATTCGAGTGCCGACTCTGCCTCACCGTGCATCAAAATGATGGCTCGTACCTCGCACATACGCAAGGCAAGAAGCACCAGACCAACCTCGCGCGCCGCGCCGCTCGCGAACAGAAAGAGGGGAAGGGCCAGGTCGATCCTAATACCGGGTTACCAGTCGGTGTAGTAGGAGCCGGCTTCGGCGCAAGCATGGTGAGGAGGAACATCGTGAAGATCGGACGTCCCGGGTACAAGATTACGAAGGTGCGCGATCAGGTGACGAGACAGCAGGGCCTGCTGTTCCAGCTGCAGTACCCGGAGATCGGACAGGACGTGACGCCCAAGGTGCGGTTCATGAGCGCGTTCGAGCAGCGCGTCGAGGACCCGCCGGATAAGAGCTTCCAGTACATGTTGGTGGCGGCGGAGCCGTACGAGACGTGCGGGTTCAAGCTGCAGGCTAGGGAGATCGATCGCTCGGGCGACCGCTACTGGACTTGGTGGGATGCGGATTTGAAGGAGTTCTGGGTCCAGGTTATGTTCTTGACGGAGCGCGAGGAGAGGTATGTTGGTGTGCCTGGGTTGCCGGGGCGGAGGTGAGGAGGCGGCGGGGAGGTCGATATCTACGTTTGCGAAGATACGTGCTGAGGTGGAGTGGTGGTTTCGCTGGGCATTACAAGATTCACCTTAAATAGGGTGCACGCTCGATCTCTTTTCAGTCGGTGTAAGTAGGCCACGCGGTATATGGGTTGGTGATGCTGTATACTAATGCCTCTTAGGCCTACGATAAGGTCGTCTTCACCTCGACATTACTGTCAAGGAGATTAAGTAGCTGATAGGGAGAATGATACCATGTACTGAAGTAGTCCAGTCCCTTTTTAATACTCATCAGGTTCTACTTGGTTCGGTGCAAAAGGGAGCTAAGGTTACTGTAGATTTTTCACTTGCTTCTTCAATATCTCATGTTCTAGTGGCATAAATGGGTCATAATGTCATTAAATTTCAAGACGTGTTCGAGAATTGCATACTCGCCGATATCCTTTCTATATCCAATCTCCCTTCATGATCATAAAACCAGAAAGAAAAAAACATAGTAGATGACTGGTACCTACTAGGTACCTAGTACCTAATAACACCCGAATACAACCTTTCCCAAAAAAGATTACGACAGTGATTGAAATAGTTTGCATGGCCCTTCTAACAACTAAACCTTCCCACCAACTCAGTACCTAGTCCGGGATTAAGGGACTCCCTACTTTTGCTCATCTTCCACGTCCCAACCCAAAAGATCTTGCGAAGTTTTCGATGTAGTCTCTTTCGTAGCAGATGGACAGGTTAGCTTTATGATATTTTCGACCGCGTCTGAATTGAAGACCTCTTTCGTCTTTCGACACCATGTGACTGTCGTATTCATTGCATTCCTAATCTGTCGGCCATCCATTTTCCAGATACTAAGCTTCTCTAAAGAAGATTCGGAAAGTCGTTCAGTGTCGGCCGAAAGCCTGTCGTTGAAACTTGCCCATATGTCTTTTCGCATTTCAGCCGTGAGCGAATCGAACTTGATGTGTATTTGAGCTCGAGATATAACAGCGGGGTAGTCGGAAAGAGATGAGTTTGACGTCAGAACGACGATGCCTAGGTAGGTATGATTGAGTTAGTGAGTTTAATTAGTGACTGTCTGTTATCCCAAGATCGAAAAAATTAATCCCAGTACCTTTGAAGTATTCAATCTGTTGAAGGAAGGCTAGTAGAGAGGGTCAGGTCAGTACGGTTCATTTTCCAAGTTGAAAATTTCTTTCGGGAAAGGGGTAATATCGTCGAAATGGAAGTATCTTTCTTACCGTATCGGAACACGTCGTCCTCCAAGTTAACATCTACATTAAATTAGCGATGTAGTGGAAATAATGAGGCGATAATTTACTATCGAATAGCATGACAGCTTCCCAATCGGTTGCGATTTTGGCAATCTTAGACAAGCCTGAAAACCCAACGTCTTGGCCCCTTTTCCCTTCAAATGACGAGATGATACTTCCTTCTGCCGTGACAAACCGAACAAGTGGTCGTTGAATATGGCTAGCAACTAGGATTTTTTAGAAGGCTTCTCTAGTTTGACATTCACAGGACTCACTGCTTTCTGCTATCAGAGTTTTCCCTGTTCCCGGCTCGCCAGTCAGAAGGACAAGTAGCGATGATCCTAGCAGGTAGGGAAGCAGTTAAGTAGTTAGCGGACTTCAATTTATAGTTGCCTTGTCAGATTATGTTATTTCTCACCTTTACCCTCAATAAACTCATCAGGATTGTAATCGTTTTCATTGTGAGATTGTACTAATGTCTGTAGCAATTCTTTCGTTCCTTTGTTATGAATAACATGGTTGAAGATATTCGGATCGAAATCAATCGAGTGGATATCGTCTACTTCGAATAGCCCTAAGTGCGTGTGTTAGTTTTCTAAACAGATCATAAAAGAATACAATATATTCCAAGGTTAGTAGGGAGGTACACATCGATATGACTTACCCCATTGTCCGGTTTTTAGAGAAAGTCCTTCCAGTTGTGGATTAAGTAATAGAAGATTCTCTTCATTCTGCAGTATCTGCTGACGATTTTGCTCTTGCTCTATTATAGTAGGGCGACGATCCTTCTCACCCATTGTTGAAGCTAGGTAATCAAGGTTAGCAATATGTCTACTAGCATCCGCATTTTATTTGGCATGTGTTGTACCTTTTAGCCGTATTCCTAGGTCGTCCTTTACACCAAAAGTTCTAAATTCCTGTTTTTGATCAAGGAGTTTGACAGTTGTGTTGCCTTCGTATCTTTGGTATAAATAGGAGTCTATCACGACTCGCTCCGGCTCTGGAATCTATGAGGAGGTAAGTATAAAATAAATGTATGGAAAGGTGATTCTTTACTCGAGTTTTAGTCTCAAACTTCACCCTTGGTTCCGTCCCTCTCAAGGATACATTAGGTTTATATTGGACGTAGTGGATATCTTGGAAATCGAGAACCCTTCTTCCTCGTTCTCGCAGGTAATCTCGCATTTGTGGGTTTGATCCAAGGTCGTAGTATGTTACGCCGGGTATCTCGTTCACTGACACACGACCTGGAAACTCTTGGATAGTGTCTTGGAAATGCAATGTACCGTATCTGAACCCATCGAAACAGATCCACTCAGTCGATAACGTACTTCTCATATCGTCAGCGACAAATCCAGTAACTCTTAATGCTCCCCAGGAGCCTTTTACGCTACTTGCGAAGATTGAGCCTTGTCGGAAAAGGGCCCAGAGAAGCTTGTACGTTATTTCTTTCGTCCTCTGCAAGTCTTTCAACTCTTCGAAAATATCGTGGAGTGCCTCGTCTATCTCAGTCCCAAGAAGTGAACAATGTAAGCGAGTTTTTTCATCGGGCGAGTCCTGAGCAACTTCTGCTATCTTTTCTCGGGAAAAGAATAGTGCTTTATGTGGCCACGAGGAAAAGGCGGTATTGTCTCCATTGTATGTGAGCCCAAATTTAGCAAATGTCGATTCTAGGTTTGTCCGGATCAGTGGACTTTGAATTCTGATCTGTGAGGCGTAATACTCCTGGACTGGGTTAAAGGCCCCGCGATTGCGATTAAGGTGTGTGTTACTCCGTTTTGCGCATTTATTATAGACTTGGAGTGCTGCGCCTTCATATTTGAATTTCTTTGGATTTGCTAGAGCAGGCGAGGAAAATTCATTCCAGACCTGTTCTGAACCGTAGTTGTCTTGATCTTCGTAAAACCGTTGGATCGAGCTCTCGGTTCCTAAGTGATCACCGTTATGGCCAGGAATCGAGCTTAATTGGGGTGAAGATTCTGTCCATATCGGTTTGGCTGGAATATTCTGAGCATTTTTGACCTAATAAGTGAATTCCTGTCAATAGAGTTGCTAAAGAAGCATTCTTGTATTAGAGGTAAGAAAGGACCAATATTATAGACCGTACACTTATGAGACTCATGTTCAACGTCGTGTATAGTAAGTTACTTGGGCAAGTAAGGCTCTTGTAGACGACATCCTTTTAGATGCTCATCCACGTTTAATTTTGCCTTCGGTAATTCTTTAAAAACAACTTAGGCACAGTAAAAATCAAATGAATGGCCCTGAGTTCATGGATAGAATATGATAGCGGGGAATGGTTTATCTAATAGTAAACATTGTCACGTTAACCTTCCAAGGCTGCCACTTGTACCTAATTATAGTACAAGATGTAATATTGTGGCTTTTAGATCATATACTACTACCACGATGTTGGGTAAACAGACAGGAGCAGGTGCAGGACTGCCTAAATGTTGCCTGACAAAGCCTACCTACATGTGGCCTACCCATTCATTGGTGATCATTTGCAAAACCCCTCACTCGGCAAAGTGGCTATGCCTCCCAGCCTACCTTAGGTAGCATTAGGAAAATGCGTAGACTAAGCCTGTTCGTTACCTACCTACCTAGGTACCTAGGTAGCCCGTATTAGGATTCAGCCATCCAGCAAGTATAACATCTGGGCACCCATAACCTGTATCTATTGCAGTAAGCAATCCGCAATTATCTACCCACTCTACCTTTTAATCTCTAAACATACTAGGTAGAAAATGATGAAAGGAGATAATCTTCGTAGTATTCGTAGGGATGGTCTGACTATCGTCCACGAACCCGCGGCTGCAGAAATCGAGTAAGCACCTACCTACCTCATCATTCATAGAGGCACTCTACCTATCTACCTAGGTACCTATACATATGTATGATACTGATTTTGAAATCGGTTATTTATAATAGCATATTTATCCTTCACGGCTTAAACGGGTCACCAACTACGACATTTCAATCCGAACGCACTGGTTTCTTCTGGCCCGAGGACCTTGGTACGTGGTTGCCAAATGCTAGGATCGGTCTATTTGGATATATTGCCGATGTACAAAATGGAAGTGGTAATTCGATGGGAGCCCAACAACATGCTGAAAGCCTACTTCTCCATCTTAGGAATAATCGTATAAAGCAGCAGGTGACGCACCTATCAAGTTTATCTTACCTAGACGGCGATCTAACATTATCTCGTAGTCAAAAAGACCGATTGTCTTCATAGGCCATAGCTTCGGCGGCCAAGTCATCAAACAGGTTTTTAAAAGCTGAATCTACTACTAAGAGAGAAATTCTCATCATTTTATCCAGGCTTTGATTCTCAGTTCAAATTGCGCAACTGACTGCATGATTGCTACTTCTACTCGACTAATCGTTTTTCTCGGGGTACCACATCATGGAAGCCATCTTTTACAAAAGAATACGGCGTCATTAGCACTGGCATTGGGTAGGGCTGTAAACTACTCGGTCCCACCTAAAATTAAGACAGTCCTCCAGCCAGAAGCAGATGAAAGTTACGGAATCAACACTCAATTCATGAGAATCAAAGGAGACACGTCAATCATAAATTTCTACGAGGAAAAGTCATTGAGTCTTATTGGTAACGTGGTTAGTTGCCTTGCTATAAATTTCAATCAATTCTTCATTGGGGATATAATAATAATTACCTTGCTTAACGTCTTCTAATTAGGTCGTGACAAGAGACTCTGCCACTTTTGACTGCGAAACATCGGAGAATATGCCAGTGGCACGTACTCATCAGGACCTTGTCAGATTTGAAGGTACGAATGACGATTTCTACCATACTCTTCGCCAAACTTTGAATCGGAAAGTAACCGAAATCGTGAGCGCAATAAGCAGCGCCAAGATATACGGTATGCAGTACCTAGTAGCAATGAGTTAGTTGAACTTTTCGAGAACTAATAGATTATCAGAAAATACAAACAGGGCAAGGGAAGGTTCGTTTTGATTTGGCCATACTGTAATTTCTATGAGTTCGAACTAACAAGGTGCGGATAGCTTTACTCAGTATTCTGGGAGAACCTCTTTTGCCATCCGTACTCGACCAGATAGAGACCCCTCATTCGCATACGTTGCAATGGCTATGGACTAGCGATAGCGACTTTTCAAAGTGGGTCACTCATGGGTACGGAATTTTCGCGATTACAGGAAAACCTGGAAGTGGGAAGTCCGTTCTCATGAATGCTGTGAATGCAAGCATTAGAAAATATCTAGGCGGGACCTTTTCAGTAGTAGTCTCCCATTTTTTCAACAGCCGCGGAAACCCAACCGAAAAGACCATCACTGGCTTCCTACGATCAATCTTAGTCCAATTGCTTCGAATTGACGTGCGCTTCTTTCATGGACTCGAGCACGATTGGGAGGTGCTATCGAAACAGACACTTTATGATGACGCTGGATCTTCAAGTGCTCAGAATTTCCCACAACGTTACCTGACGGCCCAATTCCTCGAAGAGATGGTTCTTAATGCAATTAAGGGCATGCCAGCAGAAAACAAAATCTTGATTCTCGTCGATGGGCTAGACGAGTGTGAAGACGGCTTAAGTGATTTGAATTCCATCGCCAATATTCTAAATAGCATCGCCGATTCTCAAGAAGGTCGATCAGTCAGAATTTGTTTCTCATGTCGGAGCTTGGAGCCATACAATTTCAATCAAATTTCGGGGAGCTTCAATCTACATGAACATAACGGACCCGACATTGTGAGATTTGTCGACGATCACTGGGAATCGATGCCTTCGATGAGCAACTATAACAATGAAATAACAACATTGAAATCATGGGTTGTCTCTCGAGCTGATGGTATCTTCCTTTGGGTTAGACTCGTTTTAGAGAGAATCCAAAAAGCTCTGGCAACAGGGGCAACAGTGTCAGAGATTAAGACAATCATCGATACTCCAAATCAACTTCATGGCTTGTTTTCCATGCTTATTGATAGAATTGAGACCGAGTTTCTGGATGAATCACGGACGATGTTTTCAATAATACTCGCCGCCAAGCGTCCATTAAGCTTGCGAGAATTTCGGGTTGTGCTTGCCCTCAAAGACAGTTACTTTGAGAGCCAGGAGGAATTGTACAGGTCGCCCACGTTTATCCAGAATGATGGGATAATGAAAAGACGTATACAGAGCCGGTGTGGCGGCTTGGTCGAAATTAAGACTACTGGTGATCTATCCCAGGCTGGAGAGGACTGGTTAGAGAACAACACGGTCCAGTTTATTCACCAATCCGTGAAGGACTTCCTAATTCAACCCAACGAGAGATCAATAATAATTCCAGATCTAGATACCTTGGTAAGGTACGGACATATAGTCCTAGGTAGTGCGTGCACCAATTACCTTTGTCAAAAGGACATATGGAACTTGGCTCGAAGACCTGACTGGATTTATGATCACAGAAAAGTCTTTAGCCGCCACTCAAAGTTCTTCCTAGCTTATGCAGAGGAAAATTGGATCACTCATCTTCAAGGCGTTGAGACATTAGGAGCTGCTGATTTAAATACCGCCAACCTTCTCATAAGCAACCCAGACAATTTCGAGACATGGAAGCTCCTCCACAGTCAATTTCATCCAACTGATAAAGTAAGCCAGGATTACGATGCCATACAACTCGCAGTGGAGCATAATTTGCAACATTCTCTCAGGTGGTTATGCAACAATGGCCTAGTCGACGTTAATATGTGGAATTGGAAGTTTGGAAGTTATTTGCATATAGCAGTGACAAGGAACAATGTCGACGTTGCTCGCGTACTTTTGGAAAATGGTGCGAGGGTGAACGCAAAGGTCAACGTAAATACCACAAATTGGACGCCGCTTGTTGCAGCCTGCTGTTTTGGTCATCTTGAGAGTGCTACCTTACTTCTAGAGTTTGGCGCTGAGATCAAAGATTCTATACTGGTTACAGATGATCCGTTGATCGCTGCTATTCGGTCTGGAAACGAGGCGCTCGTGGAGCGTATCCTGGAGTATGCAGGAGGGATATACGCACACCCCTGGCATCGTGACCGGGTACTATCTAATCTGCGCTTTTGGGAATCCTCCCAGTTTATTCACTATGGTTCAAAACAAAATGGCAATGCTCAAAGTCAACACGCAAAATGGCACGGAATATTTCGAATGATTTGCCAACATCTGAATTTTGACAGTCAGGTTGGGTTGCAAATCAATCCAAGCCCTGTAACTAGTAGGTATGGATACTAATCTGGGAATTACTCTGAAGTTTCCTTGAAATTGCTGATAAGTTTTTATCTTAGGAACATCGAAATTAACACGGCTTATTTACGTCCCGAGTTAGATAAAATGTGCTGGGTAGGATCCACAGACTCAGTCCGAACACTACTCGAGAGCTTACGGGTGGGAAAAGCACTTCCGGAATGGATACATGGACCCAGCAGCTTCAAACAAAGTACATTAGTACATTGGGCAGCCTTGAACCCGTGTTACCCCGTTTTGTCTTATTTGCTCGAATTGGGGCTATCACCGGATTCTCAAGACATCAACGGTGAAACACCTCTTCACCTTGCCACACGTGAACAGAAAGAGGAGCACATCAGAGTTCTTCTAGATTATAACGCAGATAGAAAGATAAAATCTGTTAAGGGTTTCCGAGCATTCCATCAAGCTATCCAGGTCATGTCACCCGACGCGTCAACTTGGCTCTTGGACAAACTCACTACAGATGTATGTGATGTCAACGTACAAGTTATTGACGGGGTGTACCCTCTCCAGTTAGCTGCAGTAGCTGGCGCATTCACGGCGCTGAAGTGGCTTCTCGATAAGGGAGCCGATATCAATGTTCGAGATGATCACGGCCGCACAGTATTGCATTCCGCAGCATCCTCATGTAGCTTGGCATCAATGGACATTTTGAGGTATTTAATCAACCAAAAACATGATGCTGAAGTTCGTGATTCAGTTGGAAGGACACCCCTGCATATGGTTCTCTACAGTTGCGAGACGAAGCGCAATATGAATGGCTCGAACATCGCTTTGGAAAATGTCAAATGTCTTGTGAGAAATGGAGCTGATGTGAATGCACAAGACCATGAGGGCAATACCCCTCTACATTTGGCTGCATGGAAAAGCCACAGGGGCATTGTAAACCTTCTATTACGTGCTGGAGCCCAAACATCTAAAGCAGATAACAGGGGACTGACGGCGTTAGACATGGCACGGGATGATGAGATAAGAGAGAGCATAGAGATGAGTGATCTTAATTTCTGAATTGGTAGATATGCTTACAGCGCCTTATAAGCCCCTACTTTACAAGTGGGTCTATTCGTCTTCCCCCACAAAATCGATCTTACGGTTGGGTTAGTGGTTGGCAACCTATTATCTTCTTACGGACCTGAGGTGGGGGAGACGGAGGTCCGAGATAGAAAAGATTGAAGTGAGAATCAAACTACAAGCACGTAACTTTCGAGCAGGTAGAAATTTAGGCGGCAAATCACGTTCTTCGTAACATACACCAACTTCCAGCGCCATCATGAAAGTACTCTGTCTCCAAGATGGCGGGCGGAATAAAAAGGCGTTCAAAGCTAATTTAGGTACCTACCTACACATTTGTAGTCCATAGATAGTACCTGGAATTACGTTCTGTGCTGACCTAAATTATAGATTTTCTATTGGGCAAGCTGCGGGATTTAAATAATACGGTGCTCTTGTTTGACTTTTTCAATAACCCTTTGAAATGTTCAAATCTACCAATGGAAGATTCTTCACATCTCAAACCACACCATCTCATCTTGTCTGATCAAGAGTATGTTAAAAATATTCGCAAGGCCAGCGAGCAGCTAGGCAATAAGTTAGATAGCGATGGGCCTTATGATGGCGTGATCGCATTTTCTCAAGGCGCCGTGGTTGTTTCTAGCTTCCTCCTATATCGACAATGGTACGATGACGGGTTACCACCGGCGTTCAAATTCGCTATCTTCGTTAGCGGAGGTATCTCTCTCCAGGTTCTAAAAGATCTGGGAGTTCCGATCCCAGAGGAAGCAGAAAACGCAGTATCCGAGGCCACGTTACAACGTAACCAAGAGCTCGGCCCGCTATCGGCTCATGTGACCAAGGCACGACGAGCTGTGTTTAACTCGGATGATTGTTTTGGCCTAAATTTGAACAGAATACCGCTGGAGCTAAAGATAAGGATACCTACTGTTCATATTTGGGGAGAAAAAGACCCTCTATTTCCGAGTTCAATCCACCTCACAGGGCTTTGCGATCCCTATATCAGGAAGATTTATACGCATTCGGGGGGGCACGAGATTCCTCAAGAGGAGAGTGAATTGGTGCAGATAGTGCCATTAATTGAATGGTGTATACAGCGCGGCAGCTGGCCAGGCCAAATGCAACTTTAGGGGTAAAATATGTTGAAATAGATGCAGGTTATGAGTATCATATTGCATAATTAGTTGGTTGAGTTACTAGTTCTAGGTAGTGGTTCGTAGATAGTACATATATACCCCTTGAGTACAGGGCGTAGACTTCCAGCCACCTAATATTCCAGCAAAAGAACACGACCTACCTTTATGTAAATCTATCATTACCCCTATTCCTAAACCTAATATATACACTTAGCGGGTACTAAGGATAAAGTGGACACAAGTGAAATCCATCAACACCCCGTCTAGAGTCGGATAACACATCATGGAACGACATATTCAAGGTTCTCTTCCAATTTGAATCATGGATTCCTCGGTATCGCCGTAGGTACTCTCGCACCTAGGTTATCAATGCGATATAGGAATTTTACACCGGTAGGCTCTTCGTCGTGGCTTTTAGGCGCACTCTGACGAAAATAGTGGTCTGTGCTGGCTAGGAGAGGGCAGGCCGTTATTTCGTCGTGGTGGCGTGCGACTCCCGATTTAAATGAAGAAGAAGTCAATTTAGCTTTAAATGATTATTCCGAACTAGTAAATGGCGGCGAGGGTAGGTAGCGAAGAGATAGAGTAATTGAATTCAAGAATTTACATTCATCCCACATCTTAGAGTTGAGTGGGATCCTTGTTAGACCCACATATTTGCCCCTATTCCCATAACACCAGATTATGAGGCTGATAATAAGCACAGCATACCTAATGCCTCGGATCGCTGTTGTTGATGTCTCGGACCCAGCAGGGGCCTGAACGGCAAGTTCTAACTCGCATTCTCGGCGAGATAGACCATTCTTGATCCATTCGTCATAAGGTAAAATTTATCAGCGCTGCATCGTTTTACATGCGACATATCGTGAATCGGACATTAGAAAATATGCGCTACTTACAAGCATACCCCCCTGCCTATTTGAATTACTCAGGCCGCCATTAAAACGCCTCTCGACGATCTCATTGATGACCCTAGCATTATATCTCGATCAGCTGGTGGACCAGGCGTTTCGCCAAGAAGATTACCTAGTACTTACCCCAAGAATATCCCCATTCCTTTCTTATCTGTCGCCTTAGGACCGGCCAATCTAAGAAAGAATTTCGAGGTGAAAAAGCCTCGGAATAATGGTGTCATCATAAAGGAATGTAGGAAGGGGACGTAACTATCAGCGATAGATGTGAAGTCAAAGCGATCCGTTTCGCTCGCTAGATCACCCCACGGCTCGCCTGAACCCACAAATGTAACAAGGTCTGTCTGGAAGAATCTGATAAGACAGCTGAAATCTACGATCTTTCGTTTATTCTTTCCGAGATAATTCATCCTCAGGACATCTACTGGGACGGCTATCTGCGAGTCCACTTTCTGCACATAAATGATGCCTATAGGTATAGAAGCCTCCAAGACTGAAAGTCTTAAGATCCGAAAATGGATTCTTCCATGCCACCCGCGACCCATAAAAATGGCTTTTCTACAAGACTCCTACCCATCAAAACTAACCTAGGTACAACCGTTAATCTAGTTATTTTCGAAATTTTTACGTTAGAATTATTGTGTATTGTGGTGAAAAGAAGAGAAACCTTGCAAATTAATGCATATTCAAAGTAGTTCCTTTTCATTGTGAGGTTGTAAATACAACTTTTGGTAAAGTACTAGGTATCTACCTACTGTCAGTATAAAGAATAGCTATGGCGTTAGTTGTAGCGATTGAATGGAAAGAAACGATTGATTCGATTCCGTATGAAAATAACGGTCAATATCGTGATTTCTTTTTCTAAGCACGGACTTTCATATGAAACTACTTTGAAATAATCCTCTCTGTAACCCTGACCCAGAAGTCTGAGACCACATAAAGGGTGTAATCGATACTCTTCCACGGAGATTGAGGATTTGCCAGCTCGAAGTCGAAATAACGTAGCAGCTATCCAAACGCGTTAGGTACTGGCGATTGCCTCTCTCAAGTCCAAATCTAGATCATTAACTCACCTCCACAAATACCTTATTAAGCTCTAACATCGCAACCGGCTTTCCTAGGCACTGCCAGCGTCCCCATCCAAATACTTGATCGACGGTCTGAGACATCTCACGATGCTTCTCGTCGCTGATGTTCAGCCATCGCTCCGGCCGGAACACGTCGGAATCCTGGCCGAACGTCTCCTTCGAACGCTGAATGGATAAGATGTTGACGGCTATGCGGGTCCCACCAGGTAAGAAACAGCCGTCAAAGGTATCTCCCTCGGGAGGGACTTGTTTCTGTACTAAGGCGGTAGTTGGCGGGCTGAAGCGTAACCCTTCTCGAATTACAGCCTGGTATAATTGTTGTCAGTATGTACATATGTACCTACATGTATGTACCTAGGGTAAGAGAAGAGACGACACGTTGAAGATAAAAAAAAAGAAACCGACCGACCTGCAGGTATGGTAGCTGCTTCGCCTCTGCTGCTTTCACGGGACTGGACTGGATCCTGCCATCGGCAATCGCGGCGTCGATCTCGGCTCGAACTTTATCATAGACGCGCGGAGAAGTGATAATGTTCAGCATGGTGGCCCGGATGGCGTGGGCAGTAGTGTCGGAGCCTGCGAGGATCTGAAAGACGATTTCTGACTTGCACTGCTCCGGTAAGACCCCGTGGCGAATGAAGGAACCCTTGCTCGCTCTTGTCAGTAAGTGCATCCTGAATTATTGGTCATGGAAACTTGCTAGCATATCCTTCTTATCCTCGGTATCTGGGCCAATGCGCTTGGTGAGGACCTCGTTTGCAAAGCTGTTATCATCATATGAAATTCATTAGCTCTTTCGTTTCGCGTACGCCGCCTAAGATCGGAAGGACTAACCGCATGAACATACCGACCCCTTTCTTGTCCGTAACCTTGGGCCCTACCAGCCGTAACACCGGTGGGTAGAAGAACACCTTGCCGAGCCACGGTATTTCGGAAAAGGCAGAACCCTTCATAGAGGAGACCTTGGCAAACTCATGAAACGAGTAGATATCGCGATCTGCCTCTAGATTCCCGAACGCCTTGCCGAACGCGATGCGCGATATGGTGTCGACGGCGAAGAACATAGTGGTGGGCGCCAGGTCCAACGGACGAAACTCACTTGCCGTCGATATATACTTGCGCCGGATGAGGGCCACCAGACTTTCCAGCTGCTCGTCCACACCTGTCTCGATGGTCGGGTTCTCCTTTCCACTGTAGCCGAAAGCCAGCTGCGCTTTGAGCTTGTCGTGCTGCGCCGTGTCGGACAGGCTGAGCAGGTTGTCGCGGTACGGATCGAACCGCTGCGCGCGGTACCAGTCGGAACGCAGGTAGGGCGAGCGCACCGAGTTCATGTGCCGCACCATCGCCGGGGATGAGACTAGGAGGTCGTTGGGGCCTATACGTAAGAAGCGTTCCCCGCCATACTCGTTACTTAGGTTGCGGTAGCGTTCGCCACGATCACCACTGAGGACAACCCTTAGCATGTAGAGGTAGGAGAACCGGGCTAGGACGGGTCCGCGGAAACTCCGTAGACGAAACCAGGTTGCGAGGCTGGAAGCCACAATGTAAACGAGAAGAAGCACAGCAGCCAGCTGGAGTAGGCCTAGGACTTCTAGGTGGCCCATCATGATAAGGAGTAAGCAAAAAGGAAACTAAAATTCTACTAGGTATTATCTACCTCCCACCCGGCAGCCAATGTTCGCCTTATATAATTCTAATGATGTCTTGCGTTTAACGTTATTATGTAGCCAAGGCGGCGTGTACCTGGGTATGTACATATGTAAGTCATTTGTATCATATTGTACCCCTAAGGTTGGTATATGTTATTACCCGGTCCTTACAGAAGAGTGGCTTGCATAAGATAGGAGAGACGTGTTTCATAGGTTCAACCAAAAAGCCAAAAAGCTTGCCAACGCCACAATCTAGCGCTGATCGGAGATCAACGCTCTACAGCGGGAGAGGATCCCCGCGTTATGTACCAACTTCATGTACTATTACAAGAATTAAAACTATGTGTGACAGACTGTTGCCTGGGCGCAAAGTGTTGTCCATGTTAACTACCTCAGTACATGTACCTAGGCACCTAGCATATAGGAAAAGAAGGACATAGAAGCTCTGTCTACCTGCGCTGACACAGTGTTATCTCGATTTACGGCTCCGGCTTACCCAAAACGAACCTTGAGCCCTCTGCTACTGGGTTTTGGAATCCCAACGTCGCTGTCGCGGACAAGAACAATATCCGATTCATCGCATTCCAAACTCATCTGGTGGCCACCGGGCCGGAAGAGGACACCGAGTACAATGAACATTTCTGCCCATGCTAGGCTGCCCGACACACCATTGTTAACATCCCGAGGCACAAATAAACGTTGAAGAAAGGAGACATACTTCATCCCTAAGCAGTTCCGTGATCCTTTAACGAAAGGCACGAAATTCCGATTAACACGAGGGTCAACGTCCCCGATCCACCGCTCAGGTATGAACTTATAGGGCTCGGGATAGGTCTCTGGATCCATGTGCATCTGGAAGACAGACATCCCGACAGGCGTCTTTCCGAAGTTGATGAGAAATGTAGCTCACGTGTTTTCATTAAAGGAGACCTACATTCTTTGGAATAATCCACTGCTTGTAATGCAGGTCGTAGTCTGGCGAAATTCGTGGACTACGTCTGAAGAAGCGGCTGAGTCTGTTTTCTTCATGAGTATCAGCCTGCCGCGGCGAGTCATGGAATACTGACCGTAATCCCTCCTTAATGCAAGCTACTAGATACGGGACTTTCTCAAGGTCCGCCCATTGGGGGAGTTCTTGAGGAAACCTGTCTGTAACGCCTTTCAGCTCTTCCTGAAGTCGTTTTTCAATTAATGGATCTGCAAGAATGTAGTAAGTTATGATAGAGAGTGTGCTGGCTGTTGTAATTGTTCCTGCGGCCCAAAGCGCGAATGCCTCTCTTTGCAAGCGACCCGAGTCTTTCTCCGAATCAGGTAAACTGCTTTGGAGGATGTGGTGAAATATCGATGTTTTGTCCGACTCAAGCTCACGCTTGTTGGCAATGTCAAACTTCACTTCCTCTACCCGCCGATTACACAGCTGTCCGGCGGGTTGTCAGCAAGTACGTTGGATTCGCTCGGGGCTCTCATAACAGGAACTGACCACATGAAACATCCTGAACCCAGCAATTCGGGAATTGAACTTCTGTAGAAGGGATATTGGGACCATTTCAAGGATACTTCAGAAACGAATAAGCCGAAAGCCACGGAGACATGCACCACTGGAACAAGCAGTACGTGCTCACCTGTTGATCCACGGTAAATGTCGCACGTATGGCACCATGGTCAGAATACCCGTTATATTCTCATTCCTAATAGCGAACCACCATAAGCTTACCTACGCGTCTTTAACCTAAATATGATTGGGCGCGACTTACCATTCTGGGTTGAAATTTGGTGACTCGAGGAGCCTAGGATTCTCACCACAAGCGAATAGCGCCGCGAGATCTCCGGTGACACACGTAAATGCGTGGTCAAGCTGTACTACTGTGTCCGTTGTTGCGATGAGACGCAACTTGTCATCTAGACTTCTTGTTTCGTCGTGGATCCTAGACTCCATTCGGCTCACACTCTGTCTCGAAAAGAAGTTTTCTACCGCTTTTCTTCTCAACTGGTGAAGCTCATGGATGCATGTTGTGGAAATAGCGTCTATATTGTTGTCAGGTGGGTGGTAATCGTTATATGTCATGGGAGTCTCTGGCCTACCTGACATTCCGAGTCCCCCACGACTTGATATCAGGTTCGTCCGTCGCTTGCCGGCAGAGACATATACCTCGTTATAGAAGTCGGGGTCTCGAATCCTATAATTCATTAGGCTTTCAAGCACATCCACAAGCAATCGACTTTACTAGCGAGTTTGGTGACTAAAACGAGAATCAGTTTCACTCACTAGGAGACGTGTTAGTCAAAGTTCCTTGAAACAAGGGCTCCATTTCGATACATACCGAAAGCTCCCAAGGATTAATGCGGACAATGGGACCTTTAGATTTGATATTAGTGCTAAAAAACCTCTGTCAATACCTTGTCCTGATATACTTACCGTATTCATCGTGAAGCTTCTCTAGAACATCGGGGAATTTGGCGCCGTAGAGGTCGAAGAAAGCTTCATACCATGAGGTCGCGGCTGCAAGTCTGGGTCCGGGGAACTTAGCAAGCCCGGAGAAGAAGACGCGATAGACAACGACGCATGACCAGTACAGGACTAAAGAGACGAGAAAGCCGCTTATGATACGTTTGTAGTCAGCAGTAGGCTGCGCCATCGTGAGCAAACTTTGAGACTCTATTACCATTCTTACAATATCTAGAAACTAAAGCTTTTCAGGACGAAGTCAAATTGATGCTAGCAATGTGGGGGGTAGGGTGAGCTTGAGACCAGGACGAAGAAATATGACTGGGGCTTAATAATTTCTTGGTACAGAAGAAAATAATACTGTGTACTTAAGATACGCCGTGCTGTTAATCGGCACTATCTATGTACATGTACCTAGGTAAGTACTCCCGCAGGAAGCACGTCGAGGGGAGACGGGCTGGGATTACTGCATGCATATTTGTCTCAGATCTACATGTGAATGCAATGTGACGGACTTTTTCTCCGATAGTCTACGTAGCGCGCCTATCAGGTACATACCTTGTAGGTATCTAATTCCCGTTTCCGTGTGAGGCTCTGGGTAGACCCTTGTGATAATAGGGTTGGAAGCAGGGTAGACTGGCCATTTCTAAGTTGAAACGATGACTACCTAGGTAGGTATCATTGTCATATACATATCCTGCTCAAACCCCAACCTGTAAATGAGTAGGCTATCCACCGGAGTCTAGACATCTTTCAGCAGTGTTCAACGTAACAACTACTATCGTCGCCTTCCACAATGGTTCTCGACATCAAGGCTCTCGTGCTTGATCTAGGTGGGGTTCTTCTTGAATGGGACCGCCACAGCGTAACGTCTCTATCCTCGGGTCAGTTTCTGACTATCATGAATTCAATAGCTTGGCATGACCTAGATAGGGGTAAGTTGACTGTCAAGGAGGCTTGTAAGGTAAGGCTTGTCTCTAGTTCCCCTGAGATGCTTTTGGCCTTATGAAATGAGCTAAGTATGAGTAGGAATTCGGGGCCACACTCGAGATCGAGCCTTCTATTATCGAGCATGCTTTAGACGAGGCACAACTCTCTTTGACTGTTAATGCCCCATTGACGCAGACGATTCGGGATCTGAAGGAATTAATTCCCGACCTGGAGCTCTACATCATGTCCAACATATCCCGAGTGAGTCCACCAACACCTATATCGCATTAGGAGTGGCTGATCATGATGTAGGAGCATTACAAGAAGGCGCGGATGCTGAGCTTGCCTTGGGACATCTTCAAGTCGATCTTCATTTCAGGCGAAGTAGGCGAGAGGAAGCCTGATTTATGTTTCTTCCAGCATGTGGTACAGCAGACCGGGGTGGATCCAAGCCAGATCGTCATGATCGACGATACGGTCGAGAACATCTGCGCAGCCCGGTCTGTGGGCATGCACGGGCTACTCGCAGATGACGAGGCGACCAAGAGTGGCTGCGCGCTGCTGAACCTCCTTCTGGACCCGCTGCCGCGAGCGGAAGCTTACCTGAAAAGCAATGCGAAAAAGCACCATTGTGTCGTCGAGGGTGCCGAAGATCTCGCACTCAAGGATAACTACGCTCAGATGCTACTCTGGGAGCTCACGGGTGACGAAAACCTCGTCTACTTCAAGTGGCCGTCTGAGGAGCTTCACGGAACCCCGGCCGGGGACTCTACTAACGGCTGTGTCAACGGTCAAAACGGGGGCTCTATTAAGTCAGACCTGAACTATGGCCTCTGGAACTACTTCTACGAAGAGCCCGTTCTCACAACTCGATACTTCCCGCCCGACGCGGACACGACATCAATAGCTTACCTCTCTCTCCCGCCAAAGTACCTGTCCATGGTCGCGGACGTCGAGCTTGTCTTGGATGCCATGGCTACTAACTTGAACTCAGACGGGATCATGCAGACGTACTTTGCCAGCGACCGGCCTCGAGCTTCTCCTGAGGTCTGCTGCAACATGCTTTGCCTTTTCTACCGCTTTGGCCGTGGCGCCGACCCCCGCATTCGGAAGACCGAGGAATGGGTGATCAGCTGCCTGAAAAACAATGCTTGCCTCAACGGCAGTAGGCACTACTCGACGCCCGAGACCTTGTTGTACTTCGCGTCTCGCTTGCGGGTCGAGTGTGGACCTGGCCGTCTGGCGAACGAGCTAGATGTCGTCAAGGGGCAACTTGGAGAGCGTCTCGGGGTGCCTGTGAATCCACTATCGCTCGCGTTTCGCATCTCAGCGTGCCAGCTGGTAGGCATCGATGAAAAGCTGTACAGAAAAGACGTTGCAACACTCTTGTCTCTGCAAGACAGAGATGGTGGGTGGCCAGCCGGGCATTTCTGCTGCATTGGAAAGACAGGGGCTCGCATTGGAAATCGCGGCTTGACGACGGCTCTAGCAGCCAAGATCATTAGGGGGGAAAGGGGGATCATGTAGCAGACTCTTAGGATACTATGTTTGCACACCTAGAAAGACTATTGATCTGCCTTGCAACCCGTAGCTATAGTTACGGAGTCCAATTTTCTAACATTGTCCCTTCCCAAGAAAGGCACTTCTTCTTCCAGTAAATGTCAATATATCCCTAAGCCGCGCGTCATCCATGTCGTCCAAATTTGGAAGTCAGGGGGCCAGGTTAGCCGGTCATCTAAGAATCACGTGCTTACCCTCTGATCGAGGAAGCCGGTGTGGGATAGTTTGGACTATTCAACACGGATGCCACGGCCCGAATCACCTGCGGATAATGCACTTGCTTGGTACACTATTGAGCGCCACTCACTCTGCCACAAATGTAGTCATCTTGTGCCTTTCTTCAGGTTGTAGATATCGGAGCGGCTCGGGGCGGCTCGGTCTCAAGGCTGCCTTGATAGGACTTCAAGATCACCGTTACTCCGAGGTCTTCTATACCTACCTACCTATTACTAGCAGGTCAGCAAAGGAACGCCTTGTGTTGTCGTGGCCACTGAATTTGCAGAATGTAATATTATAAAAAATGACCCCTGCAGGAGCTGAAAAGGGGGCTTTACCCAGCCGCAGCCACCATAATCCAGAGATTGGTTTTATCCTTCGTAGGAGGCTACCTTCATGTAATTACCTAGGTAAACAAGCGAGATTTGGCGCCAGCTTAGTAGGGGTATATAGTATATAGAGAGAGATAGTGAGGAGCTTTTAAGAGATATGAGTTATGTTGTCCTAACCTTGAAGTTTTTGGTAATTTCTAAGTCCATTTTCGAGACTGACACCATGATTTCGTCTATTCTCCTATCAGGTTTACCCATGCTGGTGTTCTTCAGTGGCTGGGCTTCTTCCGCAACTACGGACCAATACATGTGGCCCCCCTCAGAAGCAGGACAGGTTCACGGACCTTCGTGGCTGCAGTTTGCTAATGCCACTACGCGTTGGTCGACGTATGCAGCTCCGACCATTAACGAAGTGTTCATTCCTCAGAGTGAAGATGATCTATCAGCAGGAGTAAGCTATCAGAAATCACTTGGATGGTTAACATCCAGGCTCTTGACTAATAAGGGGCGGCATACAGCTTCGATACCTGTCAAGTTCCAACAAAACCTGGCTAGCTAAGTCAGGCGGCCACGGATATTCTGTAACCCTCCGGACTATCCAAAATGCCACTCTCATCGACATGGAAAATTTCGCCTACGTAAACATGAACGCGGATATGAGTGTTACTGTAGGCACCGGCACGACATTCGATGACTTCATAAACGTGCTGGGTGGTTCGGGGAGAGAGATAAGTAAGTCACATCCTTCTCTACGTCGAAAGACGCTAACGTGTGCAGCCGTCGGATTTTGCTCTAGCGTCGGCGTAGTCGGCGCTACGATCGGTGGTGGACTCGGCCGACTTGAAGGCCTTCATGGCCTGACGAGCGATGCACTCACCAGGGTGCGAATGGCACTGTGGAATGGTACCATCGTCGAGGCTTCTGACGCAGTCAACCAAGACCTGTTTTGGGGCGTCCGTGGCGCCGGCCAGAATTTTGGTATCATTATCGAGGTCACGTTCGAGACGTACCCAGCGACAAATGGAGGCATGCAGTATAGTTCGGACTTGACGTTCACAGTAGACAAGCTGGAAGCTGTCTTCAACGTGACAAATATCCTGTTAGAACCCGAACTAGATCCTAAATTAGCTATTGCCACATCGATTTCTCCTGATCCCACAACGCTCGAGGTAAGCAACGCCGACCGGCTACTTGCGTCAAGGGGATAAGGATGCTGACTTATACGTGTTCAATCTGAAGCCGGGGCTAAGGTTGAATATCGTGTATCACGGGCCCCTTGAAAATGGCCAGGAATTCAGAAAGTTGTATTCCCCATTCAGCTCTGGTTTTACTGAACAGATGACGACATGGACCAACTTGACGTCGGTGGCTTTTCCTGATATAGTAGCCGGAGCGCTCATAAACGGCAATCCGCACAATCAGTACAGTGTCTTGACCAGAAATTTGCCGATTGAGAGCCTGCGCGAGGCTGTCACGTCACTCGGCTCCTTCGCGAAGCAGTACCCGACAGCGAACGAGAGCACCATATTCATCGAGACCTTTGGCCAGAAGGGCGTGGAAGCGCTCCCACGGGAGTATTCTGCTTTTCCCCATCGAAATTCGTTCCGCAACGCGATAGTGTTCTCGATGACTTACCCCAACAACGCCACGGAAGTGGCTGACGCTGCGGACTCCTGGGCGCTGGGAATGCGTAACAAGTTCGCGCAGCCGGACGTTTCCGGCTACGATAGACTGCAGATATACCAGAATTATGCGCACGGCGACGAGCCGTTATCAGCTCTGTACGGCTACGAGGAGTGGCGCCACGAGCGACTCACCAAGTTGAAGAACACTTACGATCCCCATGGCTTCTTCAATGGGTACCATGCTATTCCTAGTAATCTCGCAGATTGGTCCTAAAGCTTTCAGCTTTGGCTGACCGACACTCAGTCGGAGTATTTTCATTGTGTAGCATTTCCTCATTGCTTATTGGAACAAACATTGGAACAAATATTGGAAGGGGTTTGCCTGCCTCCAACAGGGTCCCTCCCTGTTCTTTGTTCTGGCTGTTTGCTTCAATGTTGGGTCGTGTGGAGGAAGTAAGTAACCTTAGGTACCTAAAAGTACTTTAGTATAGACAACTCAGAAGACATCCATATGTACCTACTCATACATGTATGTACCTACTTATGCAAGTTAATGGTTAATAATGGATTTAAGAGTTAAAATCCGACCTCAAAGACGGAACCTGATCCGATCACATTCCAGCTCGATGCTAAGGGCAACGTTTCAAAATCTATGTAACCTTAGCCTTGGGTCCCTCCCCTAACGATTGGGACAATTCCTCTCCTTCAATTCAAGACCTAAACATCACCAAATCCAATGATTATGGACTCGCCCAATACTAAGCCGTACAATTTACCCTCAGATGCTGTCTGGTTCGGTTAGTGTCCTGAGCCCTCTCCATCTTACTACCACCATTCGCACAGTAGTTGAAATCATATTCACACACGTATAGTTACCGGCTGCTCGTCGGGAATCGGTCAAGCTCTGGCTAAACTTGTCGCTTCAACGCCCAACCGAGTAGTAGCAACTGCACGCAAAGCAGCGTCGTTGTCGTCCATTCCCACCAACGACCGCGTCCTGAAGCTGGAGCTAGATGTGGCTAATATTAGCTCTATCAATGCCGCAATCCAGGCTACTCTGGACAGATTCGGTCGCATCGATGTCCTTGTCAACAACGCTGGTTATACGCTCGCCGGGGAGGCCGAAGCCACGGGAGACGCGGAGGCTCGGGATGTATTTGATACCAACTTCTGGGGAATGGTGAATATATCAAAGAGGTGCTTGCAAATCATGAGAGAGGAGAATGCCAAGAATGGCCAGCAAGGCGGCGTGATCATGAACGTGACTTCTGTGGGAGGTTACATTGGCTTCCCAGGACAGGCTTTTTACCATGCCAGCAAGTTTGCCGTGGAAGGGTGGACCGAGGCAGTAGCAAAGGAGGTACCCTCGACGTGGAACAGTAAGTGTTCATTGCTCTCTGCACTTCGTGCTCCCCTCTATTTCCAAATCTCGACGCTCATGGTCATTTAGTTCATTTATGCAACATCGAACCCGGCGGCGTGAAGACCAATTACGCAACCTCGTCCTTGAAGAAGACGGCCGTACGGCACAAGGCCTATTCCGATCCCAACTTCCCCGCGAACATGATGCTTGCACACATCGGCAGCGAGCAAGGCCGTGCTTTGTGGGCCGAACCGAGCGCTATAGCCGCGGCTATGTACCACGTTGTCAGTCGCAGAAAGCGAATTCCGATTCGGGTTCCCTTAGGAGCTGATTCTTGGGGGTTGATCGACGGGGACCTTAAGAATACTAAAGGTGATTTGGACGAGATCAAAGATATCAGCTACTCTGTGGGTGACCCGAAGCAATTAGAGTCTATTCACTTTTTGAAGTAGATAGTTCGATACCAGTAATACCTAGTAGGCACCCATCACAGTATTCCTAGGTAGCTCCGGTATCTTTTCGTGTTGAATTGTGATGCCTTTTCCAAGATATCTCGTCATTGAATAAGCAGCCATTTACTTCCCTCTATGATGGGCATAAGGTAAACCACTCTACCTATATGATGATACGATCTTGAAAGAACTACCGGTAGCCAGTAGAATGAATGCATACGTACCTAGGTACCTAGCAATTGGACAAGTCTTATTTTTGAAACCTGACGAACGATGCAGAAAGTTGGTTTGTCAGTTTCATCTTAAGTAGTACCTATTGATCAGCACGCTTCTGGCACGTGACTACCCATACTTCAGTCAGCCCTTATCATTCCCACCTATGCCGATTTAAGCTTATAACGCTCTTTTTAGACTCTAGAAGTTCCCTACTTTCTTTCTAAGCCATGAGATGTCGTGTAAACTATACCTGCTCATCAATACTTAGCATAACGTCATGGTCACAACCCATCATTGCCCTCTCGAGTCTAAGAGAGGCTGCATACAAACAAAAGGATCAGAGAGCCACTGTGTAGAGCACTAGGTACGAATGTGCTTTTAAGGATAGCTAGAGTAAATGCTTAGGTACTTTACGAATTACAGATCCAGTGCGGCAAATACAGAGATTGGTTCATCAAGAGACAAGACTGTCCTTGCGTTGGCGAAGATAAGGCCGAGGCGTACCGGTAGAAGGCCTTGAGAGAAGAGAAGAAACAGGAAGCCTGGGACGAGTCATTTGGCAAGCCAACTAAGAACAAGAAGAACTGAAAGGTATGCTGTTTCGATTCCTATAATATAAACTTTTCCCTTCAGCATGAATTATTTTTTTCCCTGTAAAAAAAAGGAGAAAGAAGAAAGGGGAGACGATGAAAATTACCAGCTGTCACACTTGACAAAAGTCTGTCTGAGCCTCAACCATCATAAGTCTGATAGGGTGCCATGAACCCGCTTTAGAAACGGGACGGCCCGCTGCAACCTGGAGCGGACATTCATACGGTATATGTTATTAAGTACATTGCTCAATAGCAATCGGTAAAGACTTCGTTTGGGGACTATTACTTAGGTAGTGCCGGTAAATAACATGTCATTGTTCTGCCGGTACCCAAACCGCGGATGCTACAAGAGGATCCTGCGTTGTACGATTCTTCCCTTTGGGTGATTAAATCAATCACGCTTATTGGTGGCCCTCTATCAAAATACTACCTACATACCCAACGACTCTAGAGTTTCATGTCGATCAATTGACGATAATAATTGATAGACCGCCCGGGTTTCATCCAATGTGGGTATTCTTCAGCGGATCGTTTGCGCTAATAGTCCACTCTAGCGTGATGTGCAAGCATGCCAGAACATGATAAAGTTAAAGATTGATGCTGGATATCTGTGCATTATCACACCTCCAAATACACCCCAAGCATGCTCCAAATACGCCCTAAGTAAGTAGGTAGGTATATATAGTACGAAACAGGGCTGTCTACAAGCTACATAGTTACTCAAATGCCTAGTAGGTTTATGAGTGCTGCAAGAGAGATTCCCCACGTTGGATCGTAGGATTGAAGTAGAACTCAGTATGGGGCAGCGTAGTATCGACGTTCATCCTTCGGGTCCCTATTTCTTTTTTATTAATCCGCAGCATCTGAGCCTCGAAGAATTTTGAAACTGTTCAATCCAGTTATTTTTTTTTATTTTTCACACAATGAGCTCAGGCGTACCAGATTACGGCCCCAACATCATTGCCGCGCTATGGACTTGCACGTCTCTCGCTTTCCTATTCCTTTCGCTACGCCTGTTTTGTAAGTTCTACAAACGAGCGTTACCGTTCTGGGATGACTATATCTTGGTCGTATCCTGGGTAAGCTACACGTGCCATGGACCTTCGGCTTTTGGCTGATTTTTTGATAGTGCATTCTTCTATCAACTAGCGCTTTGATCACTCTCGACGTACGAGATGGCTTTGGAAAACATGAAACTGATATCATTGCCGATCATGGCGTTGAAGCGTTGACCCGAATTGGAATGAGAGACGACATTGTTGGATTTCTTGTCCCTTTTGCCATTGCCTGGAGCAAAACATCGTTCGCGGTGACGCTCTTACACATACTAGATAAAGGAAGGATTAGGATAGTCATATGGGCTATCATCGTATCGACGAACCTTCTACTTGTAATGGCTGCCTTCTCCTTCTTATTCCAATGCAGTCCCGTCGAGAAGTTATGGAACCCTAGAGTTCCGGGAACGTGTTGGCCCGATATGAATAGGGTGCTTTCTATGCTTGCCTCAGCATATTCGGGGTTTATGGACTTTGTTCTTGCTTTACTTCCTGTAAGAGGACTTTCATCTACTACCCCCACTCTCCTCGGCTTTCATAGGTTGTACAGGAGCCGCAAGACCTTCAACTATAGGGAACTACCTACTGATTCATCAAAACTAGTGGACATTCATCTGGAAGCTGAATCTCAGGCGTGAGGAGAAAATAGGGGTAGTAGCGGCTATGAGCATGGGCATCTTGTAAGTTCACTTGCAAACACACAGAAGGATGCTTTCAACCTAACCCAGATTCGCAGTGCTGGTACAACGGCGATTGTCAAGTGTTATTACCTACACAATCTATACAGTGTCGACTTTTTCTGTATGTTGCACTCGTGTGGTCTCCACCAAGCCCCGTTATTAACTACATCAATAGATGCTGGAGGCAACCTAGCTATCTGGGGGACTGCAGAAGTTGCCACCACTATTATGGCTTCTTCTATTCCCGTGTTGCGAGTTCTCATCCGCGATGTTGCATCCGCGGCTTCACGTAATCATCGTTCATTGCTGCATGCTGGTGGTTCGCTCGGGTCTCAAGGAAGTAGGGCAACGGAGACGAATCATAGCCCATGCACCTATGTCGAACATGAGCCGCTTTCATCTTTTGGAGCCTTGGGTGGTGCTGTATCCAAATGGTCCACAGAGATGACATCGTGAATTTTGAAGTGGTCCGGAAATTTCAACTTGTAAGCCAAGCGTCCGATTCACTCGATGACTCTGAATGGTCCGGCATATTGTTGTTCCAATTTTCGACCCAGAACTGCTGCAGCTGGAATGTTGTATCCCTTGTGCAGACGCAGCATGACCTTAGGCCTCAGCAGCTCTTCTGTCATGCTGTCAAGCCTTTAACGGGATACCGTGAGAGTTACCTGGGTACCCCAGCTATAGCCACGATGTAGGACGCTGGATGCCTTAGGGCTTGAGGTTAGCCTACGAGAGGTTTCCTTGGCATACACATCCCTAGATAGGTAGACAAAGGAGGATTCTCATATGTATATCGCGTCTCTTGGCACAAGGAGGTTTGAAGCTCCTTGCGCAACAATGAAGTTATTTCCTATGCTCTTAGGTCTGCATCGTGACATCTTCCGAGATAGTTATGGCTTCTATTCCTGTATGTCCGTCGAGTTCTCTGTGGGATCGCTATCTTCACCATTGATGACCTTTCCAAGTCTTCCATGAAGGCCCCTTAATAGCTCCAGGGTTAGGATCGGTCCATGAAGGGGTTCCTTGGCGCAACCATCAACGGCAAGGCATAAGCCGCAGCTAGTTATAAAAAGAGTACAATAAAAAGGGGAGGAAGGGAGTAAGCAAAGAAAGCCCATCCGAAGTAATGCGAGAATCCAGGTCCTTAACGGCTCCGTCTCAAAGAAAACGGTCGTTCGGCCCCACTGAAAAACGGAAAGCGGGTGCTTACGGCACAGGTACCTAATAAGACCTGAAAAAGTAATAGGTCGGCGCACCGCCACGATGAGTCATCAAAGATCTCTATGCGGCATGTTCGATATCGCTCCAGGTTCACGTTTCCCTTCCTAGCGTAGCCACTCTTGATTTGGGCTTTATGCTTATCATGCTTTTCTGTACCCGGCTCAGACAGAACGCTATGTATATATGGATCGAATTGGATACTGGCATGCCAACCGCCACGGTCGTAATTCGAACGAACGCTATTCATGTTCCATAAAGCTTCGGGGTCGTAGACAATAAGCTCATTAGGGCCTATCCGCATGACCTTTCCATACTTATGTTGTTCCCCTGCGACTATATAGTGTATGCGCCCTGTCGTCATGGCCAAAAACCCCCAGAGATATGAGAAGCTTGCCAGAGGAGGTCCTGTGAATTTCCTTAGACGATGCCACGCTGCTACTGCTAAGATGGTATACCAAATGACTAAGGCGAGAAGGACCTTTGAAATGGAGAGAATAAAGTTTTGAATGGAAAATGTCGAGTTAATCTGCGAGATCATTCTCTACGTTTAGGGCCTAATTGACACTACCTAGTAAGTACCTGGTAGGTAAGTGATGCCTACGTGAGAAATTGTACAAATTTTATAAGTTGGCATTGCAGAGAAAGAGTTTAGAAATGTGAGGGGTTTCAAAATCAGACAATGGCTTCTAGCTTCTACTGACTTGAATTCCTTTATCTAGAAAGCTTGGTGAGTTCCATGTCGATGATCTTGATACCCGGGCATATTTTATACCTACCTTGTTCAGATAGTGGTGTAGGTACCTCGTACCTATCGAGGAATCTAGGGATACTATAGGTACCTAGGTATGCGTACCTAGAATCTGACCGATGTACAGTGTACACTCCCACACACACTGTGTTTGCATATCTCCTAGCGCGCTATACATCCTTTTTGTAAGGCCTTACTCCCCGCCGACGATCACTATGATCTAATGGATCGCCGAGACTAGCTTGCAGCCTTAGTGATTCTTCGAATGTTGAGATAAAATCTTAATTAGCACAACTAACACGATGACTACCTAAATACGTACAAAATTGACAATCATACATCTACAGGTAATTGAGTGTTTTTTCGCATATTTGCCTAGGAGCTGGACCCTACCTAGTACCTAGTATGAGTTGGGATATATTCGCACTGTGCTACGTTTTTCTCTAGTGACTGAGCTCCCTAAGCTATAGCGATCATTCACTAAAGTTTAGTGGATAGATCACTATTAGGTCTAAGTCTTAGCCAAGACCTTCGCTAATTATCGCGCATTAAGCAAGAAGCGTAGCTGATGTGCGACACCTTTAACCCAAACCTCTGTAGTTAAAAGAATCATCCATTCCTCGAGATAGAAACGATTTCAGCAGCAGGGTTTGTGAAGTTTATATTAGCAGTACATCAGGAGGTAGCTAAGATCCAGGCAAGATTCTACATCTCCCCAAAATTATATGATATATGCGTGGTTTTCATTACGCTGTAGTAATCCAAAGTATCCCATGAAGAAAAAAAAGCTATCTAGGTACCTAGGCAGGTACCTACCTAGTAGGTATTAATCCTATGCCTTTCGAAGATAACTTTCAGGGTTATGGATCAACATTGAGATATTCACATGATGCGAGATTGCCGTAGCGAGAACGAATTATGATAGTGCTGAGAATAGCAGCCAACCTAGCGGCATGCACCGGCAGTCCGGGTCAGTCCGTTAGCAATATTGGGCGGAACGACTCTTGATTGGTATCTTGGAAGGCAAGCTTACTATAACCCCGGAATATTAGTGATGTAATTGCCTCCATTAATCCTTATTCTGAGATCAGCCAAGACTTGATAAGGCAATTCTCTCACTTTGATTTCATCAATATCAACCTCCCCCTGATTTAGTGGAGAAGCTGACGACATCAACGGAATTTAAGGCAATCCAGTTATCGGCTACCTACCTATGCATGCCGTAAGGATTTGAAAGATGCATGGTCAGGCGTAACGATAAAAACAAAAGCTTATCAAGATGTCGGTGGTTATTATAGATACTAGGTACCTAGTACCTATTGAAATGCCCTGGCAACGCAATTATAGGTAGGTGGTTGCACCTAGTATCAACTACCTGGTCTATAAGGCCGAAATAGGGGGTAATTGAAAGCCAAATTACCCATTACTACGGTTTTATTTCCATTTAAGCCACATAAATCACTACCTAATCACTTTCTCTAATAACGCCTAACTCCGAATTAGGTAGAAAACTTCAATCAGTCCCTGCTCCCAAGCAAGCGACTGTATCTCTATCCAGAAGCGCCGATGCTTCGCCTAAGGCCCGGTCGGCTTCAGTGGTTTTCCGGCCGCATCCATCGAGTCGTCGTTTGATTCGGGCTGGTTGACGTAAAAGTCCGGGCTGTTATTCTCTACGCTCATCTTCGCCGCATTGTAACGCTTGAACGCGCTTTCGACAAGTAGTCCAACTTCCTTCCTATTGCGACCAATGACCCCCACCGCTAGCAGAGCCTCAGTCTCTTCAATCCAATCTTGTAATCTTCTAAATCCAACACGATCCTTCTCCATCCTCTGAGGTTGTCCCGAACCCTTGATGAGAGCCAGGACACCTGCTAGTATTGTGTTGATGGCACCGAGAATCGTGATGAGTGTTTCATATCGTCCAGAGTTAGGACCAACGGCTGTCAGTGCTGCACCGATGACGATCTGGGCAAAGTAACAAAGGTAGAGAAAGGCAGTCAGTAAGGCATGTTGGATGCCTTTGGTTTGTTGGGATTCAATGACGGATTTGTATATTCCGATGGCGGATTTTCGTCCTTCTTCAAGGGTACCGCTGTCAGTAGCTTCGCGGTGGTAATTTATGCCTAAAGCCTTTCTGAATATTAACAGATTTTCGTCGTTGGGACCACGGATGGCGAGACCTGCTGGTGCTCCCCAGGATAGATTTGTGACTGTCTTGATGGGTGCCGGATCCGTCGGCGTGGGGTTTGTCGGGTTAGATTTCTGAGGTGAGTTGGGGGCTTTAGATGGTTTAGGTACCGAGGGTGATCCTAACTGAGGAACGGATGTCCTCGACCCCGGAGTGAGAAGGGGGGAGTGGACGTCTTTGGTATCAGACATTACTGGAGCTTCACAGAAGAATCGGCCAAGAGATAACGCTTGTTTTTGATGAAGTTCGAAGATCGTTGTAGTTTATTTCTTGGAACTATTTGTAATCCTCATAATCCCCAGGCTACCCATGGAATAACGAATTGTTAGGTATTTATATGAGGGAAGTTAGGTATGCTTACAGGCAAATCACAAGAAGCCTTCCATATCCGAAGTCTCACCGGATATAAAAGTCATTATCTGTAACATTGTGTGCATCTAGTCATACTTTCACCTTGACTACTAGGTAGGTCTGAGGTAGGTAGTTAGGTAAGAATGATCAATCCTAAGAACTATTCTCATCGCATCCGTCGATAGCGACGTCAAGGAAATGCTGACATAATTGAAAGATCCTAGGCTGGGGCTAAAAGGGGAATTGATGACGTTGATCCTTTGGCTGTTTTCCGCTGCAAAGGGGCAAAGCAGGTATGTGATAGACGAAATCTCACCAACAATGTCGAAGGATCATTACCCCCAGGTCACACATGAGGCTGCAGGAAGAAGAACCGAAGGTCAGCAATAACCACATGGTGACTTCAGAGAAGACGACCTAGTGGCTTAGCTAACAATTTCATTAGGACAATGATTCCATCGCGTAAAGTCAGTGGCTAATTCACTCTAAAAAATCCCTTGCCTCCAATTCCAAGATTAGATATGGCTAGATCGTGTGATATAACCCCCTGTTTGACGAATAATGTAAAAATGTCTCATGACATTCTAAGATTATACAAATCAGTTCTTTATATCTTATTTTGGTCATTGCACTGGCTGAAGAATACGACGAGATTCAAACGTAAGAGCTACGCTGTAGAACTTGTACCAGGTAGGTACCTACGTTTGTGTATATTTTCTTTCTTCTGATCCTAACGATGGAAATCCACGATGTGCCCAGTTAGCTCTTACTACAAGCCAATTTCCTTTCCAATATCATCAAACAGTCAAAACTCCGTATTAATCCACGTGGATGAGCGAGAACCCCATGTATCACCGCGCAGTCTAAGCGCGACGTTGTGTCAAATCTTACCCACCTACCTAGTAGGTACCTATGAACCAATAAAGGATCCTTTGAACCAAGCCCTGTCACCCGACTTACAATGTTCGTAAATTCTATCATCATCTCCCTGGTAATATAATCTTAGCTCGTTATTTGCATTCCACTCAAGGGCAGAAGAAAGTCTCCCAAGTCCCAGGGGACCAACGATTGTGCCCTCAGAGTTCCACCCGCTCTCCCATTTATACCCCAGGATATTCTTTCCGGCATCTTGACAGTACATACGTAGACGCGGAATCGAATCAAACCATCCGACTGCCGCAATCGAAGTGTGGCGTGGCATTTTTTCAGTACGGAATTAACCTATATATAAAGGTCAGAACGTAAACATGCTCACAAGCTTATTTTCATGCTTACCTGTAGTCCATCCTCCTTCCGAGCAGTGTTCTCTCAGAGTCATATCTGGGGCCTGATAATATGCCCGGATGTGAATTCCCTTATTCAACCAGCATACCGCGGCCAGATTGGTTCCAGTGTGAGCGGCAGGGGCATACAGTCGGATATCTGGGCCATCCCCAGGCCAATACACAGCAGCAAGTTTCGTGTTTGCAGCAAGGCGGAACTTGGACTTGGTGAGATATCGTGGGATACAGCCGTCCGACCCAGACGAGTAACACCATTCCTCAAGATAGTCGGTTCGCTCTTAGAAGCGAGCTGGTTTAATATATCCACCCTTAGCTGACATAATCAGGGAGCTCCTCCCGGGGGCAATCAGGTGACCTCAAACAGTATTACCTACCTAGGTAATTGCCCTGTCACATTATACTATTCCGGGATTTTACATGTGGGAATGCCCCTAACAGAAGATAAACGAGATAGATCCGCGCTTATTGAGTCTCGGAAGATGACGGTGGACCATAAGAACAAATCCGCCAACCCGCTAATTCAATTAATGTATTGAAATGTATACAGTGTAATATAGTTGAAAAACGTACAGTTTAACAGATATTCCACACCGTGTCCTGAATGTTACAGGGGATTTTAGCGCTACAGGGCGCTCAAAGCCCTGTAATTTATAGGCGTTATAGCGCATAACCTTTTTACATAGGAGCTCATAGGTAATTTAGATACACATATCCATTACGCTTCAATATTTAGTCGCTCACGAATACAGTAGGTTTATTCTAAAGCGCTTCAAAAGCCCTTTCTATTTATAAACCTACATTTTATCAATTGCAAACCCGTTTTAATACGTTGAGGTTCAATTGAATTCATTATAATATGTGCCATTGACATTTACCCGATGAGGCCTAGTGTGTATCACGTGATACCCCTCGTTTTGAACTATCACGCGTATAGGTAAGTTATAAGGAGTTTACGTGCTATAACCCCTATAAGTTACAGGGGCTTTCAGCGCCCTGTAGCGCTACGACCGTCTGTAAGGTTCAGGGAACAGTGTGAAACATATGTTAAATTGTACGTTTTTGTACTGTATTACACTGTATACATTTCAATACATCAATTGAATTGGCGGGTTGGCGGATTCGACCTTATTAACCACTCTAGAAACTCCCTTTTCTTTAATAAATCATACCTACCTTTCATAATGCGAGAGATCAGGCACCAGATAACTATCCTATATGCAATACATCATACGTACCTCATTGCCCTTATTGAAGTTGATGACAGCCAAAGGACTAAACATCTTGGCGCTAAAAGTCAACGATTTTGTCTCCTTCCACAATCCATGTACGTGTATGCGTCTATACTAGTAGCAGTGTCACACGGGGATTGGTGTCAACTATTGTTGGTATCAGGATAGATACTGTTGGATGATTGTATATCATTGGAGACACAGCTGATTAGAAGGACATACTGATGCATGGAGGAGTCATGCATAAAGTATCAGCACGAGATTGTCGGGCGCTTTGGACCTAATGTAACTACAGCGCTCACTGGATAGATTGTTGTTAAATAGAAACGTAGAATCCCCGTCGAAAAGAAGAAGAGAGGACTACGGACCTTAGGACCCTATAGAATCATTACATTGATTTCAGAACACTATTCCAAGCCCTTATATTAGCCCTTGTTACAAGCAGTGACGTCGCTGCCTTTTAGAGCCCCAGTGGGCCCGTCAATGGTGATGGGGTAGTTCCACCACCCGTCATAATAGCACTTGAGAACCGTACCGAGAAATGTCCAGTTTGCGGTGAAGTCCCAGCTGCGACGGTTCTTTATCTCGGTACGCCGCTTCTCATCTTTAATAAGCGGAGCCAGGGTCTGCTCGCCTCGGGCGGACTCAAGTGTTGGTGCGTGCACCCATGCTCCGTAGTTGGGTTTGCTGGGCTTGGTCTTGCTACTCCAGGCGCTATAGATTTCTCTGGCTGACACCTGTAAGGACCTTAGACAGCGTTTCTTGTTCTCCTCATTCTCCCAAACCAAGCACCGCTTGTCGCCGTAAGCCGTCCAAGTTTCGCCTTTTGGGTTCTTAACCGAGAGACCAATAGCATTGTCCTCGTCGTGCATTAGCTATGGTAATATTAGCTCTCGTTCTTTAGATAAGGAGTCTCTTTCATTCTTACTTTAGCACAGTAATCGGGGGCCGGCCAAAACCAACTACTCGAATGCAAATAGCGTCGGGGAGTGCGAAGATGACCCGCAGAGAATGAATCTTCCAAGAAATGATCGGCGAAGGCGTTTAGGGTATAAGCCTTTTCCAGATCTCCAGAGACAGCGATATCGAGGGCTACAGAGTGGCCTACGTTATACGCGGTACGGGCATCCACGCCAAAGTGATCCCAATTTATGCGAGCAAGGCCGAGGTAGCTTGGTATATTGGAGCGAAAGAGTGTCCGTTCCTGGAATGCCATGGTCTCATCAGGAAGGTTATTGTAAGCCACCGACGGATCTTGATTATGGGCCAGGGCGTTATTAACAGCATCGATTTCTCTCTTGAGGATACTAAGAATCTCGATAGCCTCTGCCGGTTGACGTGAAGATCTAGCAGCAAGAGTGTTATACGCTTTCATAAAGCGGTCAGCTTTCTCCGTGTCATTAGCGCCGTCGCTAATCGGGTCATAGGTGCCGTAGAAGTCGCCAGCCAGACCATTAATTTGACCGTAAGTAACAGTCAACCCATTTTCCAGGGTGAAAGGATGATCTTTACCTATCACAGTATTTCCATTAGAAAGAGTCAAGATGATGGCGTCTCCCAGATAGGAATGCTCGGCGTATTCGAAGCCTTACGGATGTGTTAGTATAGTTTTCAATATGTACCTAACTAGGTACCTACCTGGGTAGGTACATAGTACATAACAGACAAGATGTGTTGGGATACTTACCGAGGTTATTCTTTCTCTTCTTGTCGGGTACTGGGGTAAAATTCGCACCACGTTTAAACGTAGGCTGCGTTGTGATGGCAGATGTGTTTGACCTTCCGTACTCCCCTCCTGGAATTTCGCAGTTGGCAAGGTAGTTAGTCTGGGTCAACTGTTCCATCGTATCAAACACTGAAACGATTAGTGCTCCCGCTAATGGAGAGTAGCCATCGTTGGAAGTGTACGAGACACTGGAGATAACCCCGGGAATCCTCTTCTTGTAGTACACGGTGGGGTGATAGCTAAAAAGTAGTTCATACTCCTCTTTGTGGTGAAGAATAGAGACACCAAAGTTCGACGCCACAAAGGTGTCTCTCGACTCAATACGTTCCTCTGGGCCCCAGGGACCATCAGCATATCCGCTGTTAAGAACAATCGCATTCTCACCCTGCCTAAGAGATATGCGAAGTAGATAATCACCGGCGCTATTGAGTAGGTTAAGGCTTGTGTTGTCTCCTGTCTTTGACGGAAGCCAGTCCCAAGAGAAAGACTGGAAGGATACCATGCCTCCAAGTTCCACTGCCTTTTGCAGCTTCACGGTCCCCCCGTTGGGTAAGTAATATGGAATTTCGAGTTCAGACCACTGAGATAGCGGTTGAGAGGGGGTTTCTGCCGTGGCCAACTTGAAAATAGCCCTAATTCCTCGTTGCGTTTTCTCAGTCCTTTGTGCTTCGGTGTCTGCTGAGTCGAAATCCACCAGCCACATCTGCGGTGAAAATTCTAGGGCTGGAATGGTTGCGCTGTCTCGCTTACTGAAGCCCCCATTCTCAGAATTATAACGCATATCGCCGTGTGCTTTTGCAATGACCAAGGCATTAGAACTGTTCCAGGTTTTGCTGACAAATTTGGTTAGAGCGTCATAAACGGCATTGCAGATCATGTTCTGATTCTTGGTCTTGTTGAAACCATTTCCTTCAAGACAGTTCTCAACCTGTTGCCATGCTTCCATTCTCTGTGGGAAATTCTCTCCGATATGTCCACCATACGCTTGTAGGGACATGAAGAGACTGTTATGGACTTGCTTTAGGTCTGGTGGGCGAGGGTATGGCATGTTGTCAGTCACGGCAATTTTTCCATCTTGCATCAAGCTCCAGATGAGGTGTGGAAAGGACTCGAATATTGCAAGGATATCTCCATAGACTCCCTCGTCGATGCACTCCTCGGCTCGCGTTTTGCCTCCAGTCCAGCGAGTATCATATCCAGCCCAAAGGAAGGATTTGATGGTCTCCCAGTCAATAGCCTCCCAGGGTTCCATATCCCCTACATGATAGTACTTGATCGCCTGGCCAATGTCAGTTAAGTTTCCTTGAAATGCGAATTTATGACGTACCCGACCCATTGTGGCGTATATAGGTACTTTTTCGTCTGCCTTGTATTGATGAAGGATGTTTTGATAGATACCTACCTATAGAATCACAGTACTAAGTAGGAGGATAGACCGGCTTTTATACTTTCTCAGAGTCCACTCCCTCAAATAGGAACTTGAATGCAACAAATGCACGCTGTGGACTGGCAGCTTGAATTGCACCTAGTGATAGCGGAAAAAGCGGCTGGGGGAATCAAGGATACTTGGAATATGATGCATAAGACAATACACGCGGCATCTGTGACACACATGAAATACTGAGCATGATTTGGACCAACCCAGCAGCCCAGCAGCCCAGGTGCTAAGTGAAAAAGAAAAGAAACAAATTACGTACTGATGTTACCTATCCATATATTCACAGACTCCTCGTGAAACGCATCATTGTACTATAGACGATCGGATTCGGCTTTTTGGCTGCAGCTAGTAACCCACATGAGCGACGAATTCATTTTCTTTATGACCATGAGGCGCATGTCGTGCAGAAAACCTCGACTTTTGACCAATTGTAAGTTACCTAATTAAAGCAAGCTTAACATTCGAGAATTTGTATCGCTGCATTCGAATGTTCCGATTGCAAAGAAGTTGTAATAATGGCTTTACCCAGAATATCAAGCTCGAATAATGAGTTGTCTGTATGAGGCTCGAGGCTCTGGGTGGTCTCCCTATTGAAGATATGCAAATTCATTTGAGAGGAACATAAAGAAATTATTCAGCTGCCACAAGGATGGCGTGACATGTAGATCCTTTCTAGATCTAGGTGCATACCAAGTACCTAGTGAAAGCCTCTACTGTTCTACTGTTCTACTGTTCTACGCGTCTACAGGTTTACGCGTCTCCGTCTGCCAGACTTAGTGTAATAGTGACTTAAGTATTAGTAAAAATGTAACGTACTAGAGATAACGGTTAAGTGTTAATAGATGGGTGTGATAATATATGTGTGGGTGGATGGATGGAAGGGAAAGTGATGTTGGAAATCTTAGAAAAAAACTTAGAGGTTTAAAAGATTAAAAAGTTGAAAAGTGGTGGGTGGATCGTTGACCTTACTAGCGCCTAGGCCGGGGTGCCTACTAGAGGTAGGTAGGTTACCTAAGTCACCTAAGTCACCTAACTTAAAAGCGAGAAACGGTTATAATTTCTTCGAATGATTGTCAGGTTTCCCAGTTATTATTTGAACTTTTAACCGATCAAATGATTCTCATTGGTTTTAAATAATTATTAAACCTAACAAATGATTATTAAACTTAGCGAATAATTATTGAAAATTTCTAGTCATTGTTTTTATGTTGATAATTATTGTTCGGTCCCACTATTTCCCGCTATGGTACCTAGTAGGTTCCAGCGGATTTAGTGCGATCTCGAATATGGATTCTGCTCAGTATTATTTTTATCTTTTACCTCTAACGCAAAAACAGAAGTCTGAATACTTCTACTCCCGTTCAAACTTATTATTTCTAAGATCATACCTACTAGGTACCTAGGTATCTTATTCCCTCCTGATACTATGTGAAATACGAATACGGAGCTACAGGTATTCTCTTTGGAGCGGTATTCTATGATTAGAACTCTAGTTTACTATTCGCGCGTCAAATCAATGTTAAATATTCACTCCCTCAAAACTTTATGTATTAATCCTGACAAACAGACCAACAAACCCTTAATAGTAGGGTCATAAATACCTATAGTACAATAGCTCTTTAGCGATCCGACCGATTGGATCGCTTCCTCCCACCGCGATTACCCAACTTCCGGGTCCTCGCCGACCGTCGCGGACGTCTGAACGAAATCGCTACCTACTTAAGACTTCCGAGCCAATCGGCGTTGTTAGCACATGCTTCCCTATTCCGGACTCCGTGCTTGGCACGAGATCTGCCTATATAAGACCTTGAGTTTACCTGGTTCACCGTATTCCCAGACTCCTCATTGGCGCGCTTATCTCCAGCTTGCCCTCCAAGGGAATCCAGCTCAATTTGGGGTCTATCCGCTCGTATCATAATAGGGATTGTTATATTGCGATTGGAGCATTCAACAATAATTCTATATCCAGAGCATAGTCGAACAGTAAAACCTGTATTGATGATAGAGTTGAACCCCAGTATATAGCCGACTAGGCCTCGCATACTCGATCGAACAAAAAACATGATGAATCGCTGGGTTGTACTCCGCCAAACGCCGAGAGTGATAGACGGGTTCCCATAAATCTTACAGGATGTTGTTCAGGAGCCTAACTCTCACTTTGGCATTTAGCATTGCCCCCTTCGTGCTTTCGGGGGCAATGCCGCGCGACCGTCGTAAGTATTAAAGGATGAAAACTATGATATTATAGCTAATAGGGAAAGACGATGGCGAACCCACCGTGAAATCATCGGTCGCGCTGGCCGCGGACACTTTTACCAACCCAGTGCTCTGGGAAGACTTGGCGGACCTGGATATCTTCCGGGTTGACGATGCTTGGTATTACTCCGCTTCAACGATGCATTACTCCCCAGGTGCTCCAGTTCTCCGATCCTACGATCTTGTTAATTGGGAGTACATCGGGCACTCGGTTCCGACGTTAGAGTGGGCTTCGAAGTACAACCTCACGGGAAATGAGCGAGCATACGTGAAAGGAATCTGGGCTTCGACTATGCGCTACAGGCCCAGCAACAAGAAATGGTATTGGCTTGGATGTATCGAATCTGGAAAGACATATGTCTATACAGCCCCAGACGCCGCCGGTCCGTGGAGTTTAGCATCAACTCTCAACACGTGCTTTTACGACGCGGGTCTTTTGATCGACGATGACGACACCATGTACGTTGCTTATGGAAATACACGACTATCGGTAGCCCAACTTTCACCAGACGGTCTTAGCATTGTCAAGACCCAACAAGTTTATTCGTCGCCAGGTAACATCGGTACACTTGAGGGCAGCCGGATGTATAAGTATAATGGGCAATACTACATCCTCACAACCAGGCCGGCCAGTTCAGAGTACGTTCTCAAGGCATCCAGCCCTTTTGGTAGTTATAGCATCAAAATTCTCGCCAACAGTCTTTCTCCGCCAGCCGCTGGAGGTGGAAATCCTCACCAAGGGGGTATTGTCGACACCCCAAATGGAGATTGGTACTACATGGCCTTCGAAGATGCATATCCAGGAGGCCGAATCCCCGTTTTGGCTCCTATCACCTGGGGTTCAGACGGCTTCCCAACTCTCACAACATCAGGTGGTGGCTGGGGCGTCACATATCCATTGCCTGTGCCGGCCCATCCGTTGCCCTCAACACTCGGCACGGATTCCTTCTCGGGAACGGCATTAAGTCACCAGTGGGAGTGGAATCATAATCCAGATACATCCAAGTTCAGTGTTAGCGACGGCTTAACACTGCAGACTGCCACAGTCACGAATGACCTATACGCCGCGCGCAACACGCTCACTCATCGAATCCACGGCCCAATCTCGACCGCGACAATTATTATCGACACGGCAGATATGGCTGACGGAGATCGGGCCGGCCTCTCCCTCTTCCGAGATCAATCAGCATGGATTGGGATTTTGAACGACGGTGGGGTGCTCAAGGTGGGTATGGTGAACAGCATTGCCATGGATTCGTCATGGAGGACAACGAACACAGGAAGAACAGCCGCAACAGTCGATGCCACCAAAGGCAAGATTTACCTCCGCGGCACTGTCAATATCAACCCCGGTGCTGGTCGTACAGGATCTTTCAGTTACAGCACCGACGGGACCACCTTCAAAGACTTGGGCACGGCAATCACGTTGACTACCGATTGGCACTATTTCCTAGGATACAGATGGGGCATATTCAATGTAGGTTCAATCGAGTTTCACACCTTATATTTCGCTCGTGGAATATCTGAATGATGCTAATACTTTGTTCGTAGTTCGCTACCAAGGCGCTTGGCGGTTCTGTAAAGGTGAGCTCTTTTACGCAGGAGGCGTCTTAGCTTATGTGATGTTTTGTACATGGGTCGTAAAGTTTTATATGCAGCTGTCTACATCTTTACTTTCCTAAGAATACGTTTAATTTAGTACTATGCAAAATTATGAAAAAAGAAAGGGAGACTGGTCCCCCCTTTCCTGAGATGTACCCCACTTCACTGTGGCTGTGCTAGAATGCCTAATTTCCAGGGGGTGGCTTAGACTCATGTACCTAGGGACAGTCACCTTGAAAATCAATGAAACAACTCAATCTATGGTAAAGCGATTGCCACGTGGAAGACATAATTATCATGACGACATTGATTGCCTATTTGAGATAACCTAATGAATGGAGTGGTAGCCGAGTTGTTCCGTTGGTGCCTCATGAAGGCTCTTCACCATGAGAGCCATATGAATCGGCGAAACCTGCAAAATCCCTGAAATCGCGAGAGTGTGCTGCAAGGAGGGGGGCCAGGAGAGGATCTTCCACACAAGTTACTTGCACCAATTGAATCTCTTACCCGGTCAAACGATTGATCTCTCCAGCAGGTCTCCTCCCTAGCCGGTTGTTCTAGAGAGCAATTAAGAAGCATCTTGGATGATGTTGTGGAGGTGAAGGGTGTCGGCATAGTTCTTCATGTGGAGGATCTTGCCGTTGCTGTCGAACTGGAGGGTCATCACCGACTCGTGATTGAATGGCTTGCCTATCTACAGTTTAGTACTCCAACTCTTTGGTAGGTAGTGTCAATGAAGTGACTCACCGGTGGTGGTTGTTGCGGTAGCCTTTACCACAGCCGCAGCCCATTCGCTTTCCTTGCCACCACCGATTACTTGAAGGACCTTGCAATCGTGGGGCTTGGAGTAGTCGATAACGTCGGGGAATTCAGAAAGGCTTCCGTCGGATACCTCCCCTTTGATGGTTTCAGCGCCCTTTAGCTCAGTGGCGTGGTGGAATTCATGTCCGTTGATGTGGTACTCCGCATCGTCGTGGAAGTGGTTGTGTATATGTCCAAGTTGCTTTGACGCAGACCCAGTCTTCTCAGCGAGGTCTTGGGCAATGTGGGCCTCGAGGAGACCTCGAATCTCTTGAGCGGTAGGAGCCATTGGATATAGCTGATGTTCTTTGAAGATTGATATAGCGATTAAAAGAAGAGTTTATGATTTGAGCTGATGCTGCGTGATGAGATACGAAGAAGGAAGAGAACTTCAAAGGAGGATAATTGTCCAAGAAGCTGCTTTTATGTTGTTATGTGCACCTATGTCACGACCGCCGAGGTAGATAGATACCTACCTAGTAGCTATCAAGTTGGACACGACTGCATCTCATCGATGCATTTCAGCTCTTCATACCATACCCAATACCTCACCCACACTCCTAATCCGATTGAAGAGTAAAACCAAGTCCATAGTCTTGTCCGGTGAAAAGGGGGCGGGGGCAAGGGCGGCAGAGAGTAAATGGAATGCGCTCTCTTGAACAGACATCACACTGCAGACGTATTACTTCTCGAGTTATTATTGGTCACATTCTTCCCCTTCAGCTATCATAATATTACGGTACCTTTCCTTATTAGTAGTAACTATTGAATGTGTTTCTGATTCCACAGCAGCCACAGTGCTATTCAATGCCGAGAACCACTCATCACGTCGCCCAGTGCCTACGCGAAGGTAGCGAGGAGGAGTATTCCGACTACTGTCGCCAGACGACGTCTGCATGCAGAAAACCTAATCTTCTCAAGTAAATAAACATCACGGGTAGCTGAAAACGATGCAGAATGCAGGCAGGGTCTGAAAAGCGGCAATGCTGGAGCCGATAGGTACCTAGCAGAATGATACAAGTTGTATACTGGGTGGGTGTCTAGGTAGGCTACGAAGATAGACGCGAAGGATCTGAGGAACAGAAACTTGAGGAACACCAATTTTGGCTCGTAATCCCTCAAAATTCCCATCATCGTTGGGAACAGAAAACTCCCCGAGCCTCAATGTGGAACGCAGAGCGCAAAAGTGAAAAAAATGAGACTAATCAATTAAAAAGCAATTGGAATAGGCATTTAGTATGACTTAACAAATCTAATCTGTATATTAATTTCAAAGAACCGAGTTAATGACTTTCCCCGCTACATAACTTTCAATCGTCTCCTTAATCCTCAATTGTAAATTCTCCAGACACGTACCCCCATACCACGCAACATGCGGAGAGAGCGTCAAATTGGGAGGACATTCCCTTAGAAGTTGGCACCCCTCTTTAGTCGCCGGTTCATTTACGAAGACATCTGTAGCAGCAGCGTAAATCCATTTTTCCTTTAGCGCCTTCAGCAGTGCCGCTTCGTTCATGATGCCCCCTCGCGCCACGTTAACTACAATGCTGTCCGGTCTCATGTTCCGGAGCTCGGGCTCTGAAATCATGTTTCTTGACTCATCATCGAGCGGACACCCGAGAATCAGCACCGTGCACGTCTTGATTACTTCCTCAAATGGCACCCGTCCGACTCTCACCTGATCGGGCGCCACCGATTTCCGCTCAGCGATCAAAACCGACATCCCAAGCGCCTTCCCTATCGCTTCCGCATTTCTCCCTTAGTTGGTCTCGGTCAGTAATCGCTCAGACTTACAAACCTCCGCCACCCGGAAGTGTAACACTCACCTATAGCTCCGTACCCGATAATACCCAAAACTTCATGCCTCAAGCCCCGCGGTAGCTGCGGGTACAGGTGAAACACATAGTTCTCCATAGGCCATGCCTCAGCTTCAAGTGTGACACGATGCAGGCCAACGACCTGACGCTTAGCAGCCAAGTACAAGGCGAAAGCGTGCTCAGCGACCGACTCGGCGTTGGCGCCGGGCGCATTGCACACTGCGATCCCGCGAGCTCGGCAAGCCTTCTTGTCGGCAATGTCGGTACCGGTGGTCATGAAGGCAACAAGTTCGAGACGCGGGCAAGCGGCGACGGTGTATGCTGATACGGGAACGCGCGACGTGATAATGATGGTGGCATCGCGGGCGCGCTCGATGATCAGGTCCTCCCCCATTGTGTTCTGGTACTCGACGTACTCGTGCGGGAATGCGAACTTGGGGACCGGGCAAGGGAAATTGTCTAGGCAGACGACCTTGTGACGTCCGCCGCCGTGTCGGGGGGTGAGTGAGCCCATTGTCACAGCCAGTTTGGTAGGAATTCAGGACAGAGGGGTGAGGGAACGGGGGGAACCCTATGATCTAGTTGGTATTTGCAAATTTCGACAAGAATAGTTGATAATCCACCGGTGTGCGAGGGCTTGCATCAGGCGCAATGCTCGCTTCCAATTTCATCACATACCTACATATGTAGGCGTATGTAAGGTAGCCTGCCGGTGGGATCAAAACATTAGATCAATTCAGAAATTCGATAATTCCCTGTGGATTATGCTCAACAGCTTGAGAAGCGCCGCATTCTCACCGGCATGGCGGGGGATGCACATAGAGGGCAGATGTTAGCTGAAGTCTTAATCTGGGCACATGCAGAAGGCATTCACATTCGCCAAGGCATAGGACTAGAATCCTCTTTGTGGGAGAGTCGAATAGTCTGCTATGAAGGTATCCCCACCAGCACTGCCCCGAAGCTGCACGAGATGTCGATATGGCTGCGGGCTGCCGCGTTTAATATGAAAAATCAATTGATAGGTCGTAGCAAGGGTTTCCGTGATCACATAATAAGGGGGCTATTGTCTTGCGCAGAACGGCTGACCGATAGGTAGACAGCTGAAGTCCTCGGTACCACCTTAGAACTTTAGTAAGGAGCTGAAATACTGAATTCAGTAATAATGCGACATCACAATGTGACATCATCATGCAGCCTCATAAACGACTATACGATAGAGTAGAGAAACGAAGAAAAATCATCGTCAAACGAAACCTCGAATCAATTCGTGGTGTTTTATTTAAAAAGGGAAAAATCGAGAAAATAGAAGAAGTTTATAAGCTCAGCTATATTTACCACTTAGTAAATATTGCCATAAAATCAATTAATCAAACAAATACTTCCCTAAAAACACTTACCTTCGCATACCTTACAACATGACATAAGTCAATAGTATCAATATGCGGCATCAAAACCCGGTCTATACGCCATCCACGGTGTCCAGCGATGCCGAGAAGCATTGCGATGGTCTCTACGAGCAAGCAACCCAGCGCTTTGGCTTGAACCGAGATAACATCGAGAATATCCTACCATGTACTCCTTTTCAATGCGACGTAATAGATTGCGCTGCCGATGATGGGCGACGTGCCGTCGGCCACGTCGTTTATGAGATCCCCAAAAACGCAGACCTCCAGCGCTTGACCGCAGCGTGGAGGGAGGTTGTGCGGCAGACCCCGGCTTTGAGGACCTGCACGTTTACATCGGAAGCCGGGGAATCTTTTCAGGTTGTTTTGAGAGAAAGCTCCTTTTCATGGATGCATTCGGCATCCCTCGACGTAAAGGAGGCGGTGGTGCAAGATGAGGCAGCTGCCGCTATGGCTGGGCCTCGTTGCAATAGATACGTCGTTCTCGAGGACCTAAGCACAAGGCGAAGACTGCTCATCTGGACATTCAACCACGCCTTGGTGGATAACACCGTACAGAAACGTATCCTTCGACGAGTTCTCACAGCTTACGAAGGAGGGGAGGTTCCATGTCCTCATGTTGAGGATACTGAACGCACAGTTCGGTTTTGGCAACGACACTTTGACGGCCTGAATGCTTCCGTATTTCCCCCTCTGCCGTCCCACCTGGCTGTACCTCATCCCAGAGAGCAGGCAGAGCACAATATATCATACTCAAACCCCGTCCAACAGAAGTGGTCGAATACGACTATTTGTCGAGCCGCGCTCGCAGTTCTTCTATCTCGCTATACGCACTCTCCAGAAGCACTTTTTGGTGTCGTGACGGAACAGCCTCATATGTTCGAAGAGCAGGGGCACCCGATTGATTACCCGACCCGGACGGTAGTGCCCATCCGCGTGCTTTGCGCCCCTGATCAATCCATGCCGGATGTCATAGGGGCGATCACTGCATACGACAATGCCATTCGTGAGTTTGGACAGGTTGGTCTCCGCAACATCCGCCGCACTGGAGACGATGGGTCTGCTGCTTGCGGATTTCAAACTGTGCTACTAGTCACCGATTGCGATATTCCGCAAGCGCCTAGTTGTGGGCTTCATCGAAATGTAGAAGAATCGGACAAATTTGTGCCTTGCACCAATCGCGCTCTTCTACTCAACTGCCAGATGGCCGATGACTCGGCATTACTGGTCGCGAGATACGATCAAAATGTGATTGACCCACGTCAGATCAATCGTTTCCTTAGACAACTGGGATACTTGATCCAGCAATTCCAGAGCAATGTTGATCTGCCTTTGGTGGGACAATTGGATGTCGTGACTGCAGAAGATTGTGCGGAGATCGAGAGTTGGAATTCAAACCCCTTGAAGACCCGCCATGCCTTGATCCATGATACAATATCTAAGTGGGCTACTAATGCTCCCACGAAAACCGCAGTTTCTGCGTGGGATGGAGAATGGACATATACCGAGCTAGATAATGTATCCTCGCGCCTCGCCGTACATATTCAATCTCTTGATTTGGGCCAAGGGCAGGCGGTAATACCGCTTTGCTTCGAAAAGTCAAAATGGGTTGTCGCCGCGATGCTCGCCGTCCTCAAAGCCGGTCGGGCATTTACACTCATCGACCCATGTGATCCACCAGCCAGGATGGCTCAGGTCTGTCGGCAAACTTCCGCCACAGTCACTCTCACCTCCAAACTTCACAGTAATACCATCCGCCCCGTCGTCAGCCGCTGTATTGTAGTCGATGATGACTTTCTTCAGTCGCTGCCCTACACCCAAGATCGGGTTAAGCTCACCGTGAGACCGCAAGACCTGGCCTACGTTATTTTCACTTCTGGCAGCACAGGGGAGCCAAAAGGCATTATGATCGAGCATCGAGGCTTCGTGTCGTGCGCTATCGAATTCGGCCCCGCGTTAGGGATCAATCGCCACACGCGCGCTCTCCAATTCGCGTCCTACGCGTTCGGTGCCTGTCTGGTAGAAATCGTGACGACTCTGATGCACGGCGGCTGTGTCTGTATTCCTTCCGATGACGATCGCTTGAATAATGTTCCAGATTTCATCAAAAGGTCTGAGGTTAACTGGGTCATACTGACTCCTTCATATATCGGGACATTTCAACCAGAGGACGTCCCCGGACTGCAAACATTAGTCCTCGTCGGAGAACCAATATCAGCTTCAATTAGAGATACCTGGGCCTCCCAGGTGCGGCTCCTAAATGCCTACGGCCAAAGTGAGAGCTCGACCATGTGCAGCGTTATAGAAGTCAGCCCATCCTCTCTTGAACCGAACAATATCGGTCGAGCTGTAGGCTCTCGCTCCTGGATTATTGATCCCAACGATCCAAATCGCCTTGCCCCGATTGGCTGCATTGGGGAGTTGGTGATTGAAAGCCCGGGGATTGCGCGCGATTATATTATTGCTCCGCCGGCGGACAAGTCCCCTTTTCTCCTAACACCCCTGTCTTGGTATCCTACTAGGAAGCTTCCCAATAGCTTCAAATTCTATAGAACTGGAGATCTTGTCCGTTACGGGCCTGATGGTACCGTGATTTGCCTCGGACGCAGAGATTCGCAAGTTAAGATCCGAGGACAGCGCGTAGAGATCAGCGCAGTGGAAGCTCATCTACGGAAGCAATTACCCAGTCACATAATGCCCGTGGCCGAAGCTGTCAAACGCTCGGGTTCGTCTAGTAGCACAATATTGATTGCATTCTTGATAGGATCGCCCGACGGTGGGGAGGATAGTGTCTGCGCCTTATCTGGGGTAGATGCGCACATCTTGGACCACGTTGGTACCAAAGAAATGAATGCGACGTTGCAGCAGGTTCTTCCACAGTATTCGGTTCCATCATACTATATTCGCATGAAGGATCTTCCCAGAACTGCTACCGGGAAGGCAGACCGAAAAACGCTTCGATCTATCGCCCAGAAGCTACTGGGTGAACTGGCTCAGAACGGGACATCTCAGCCAAGTGAGAAGCTCGATTCATTGGCAAACAGTACAGAAGTCAAATTAAGGGAGCTTTGGTTTCAAAGCTTAAATCTTGATCCTGGCTCTCAAAATATCGGAGCTAGCTTCTTTGATCTGGGTGGAAATTCCGTCGTTGCGATTAAGATGGTGAATATGGCGAGGTCAGCGGGAATAGCGCTAAAAGTATCTGATATATTCCAAAATCCCACACTCGCTGGTCTTGTAGACGTGATCGGGCGAGGGACGGCTCCATATAACCCCATCCCAACGACAAAGTACAGCGGACCTGTTGAACAGTCATATGCTCAGGGCCGACTATGGTTCCTGGACCAGTTGGAACTTGGCGCTTCGTGGTATCTCTTACCATATGGCGTTCGCATGCGTGGGACACTACACGTCGACGCGCTTACAATCGCGCTCCTAGCTCTGGAGCAACGGCATGAAACCCTGCGGACGACATTTGAGGAACATGACGGCGCAGGAGTACAAGTCGTTCACGGAAGCCTCATTAACGAGTTGAAGTTAATCGACTTATCAGGCGACCAGAAGGGTGACTTCTTCCAGTCGCTACAAGAAGAGCAGACCACTCCATTCAATCTAGCATCCGAGGCAGGTTGGAGGGTATCGCTAATACGGCTGGGAGAAGACGATCACATCCTCTCTATCGTCATGCATCATATCATCTCCGACGGCTGGTCTATTGACATATTACGCCAGGAACTGGGCGATTTCTATTCGGCAGCTCTCCGGGGTCGTGACCCTTTATCGGTAGTGAGCCCGCTTCCAATCCACTACCGCGACTTTTCAGTATGGCAAAAGCGAAAGGAACAGGTAGCCGAACATCAGCGACAACTCGAGTATTGGACAAATCAGCTCACGGACAGCTCTCCGGCCGAATTCCTAATCGACTTCCCCCGGCCTACTATACTTTCCGGTAAAGCAGGCTTCGTTCCAGTCACTATCGATGGCGAGCTGTATACGAAACTCCGAGAATTCTGCAAAGCACATCAAATGACGTCTTTTTCCGTGCTGCTCGCGGTATTCCGCGCGGCCCATTATCGTCTCACCGGGGCTGAGGACGTTATCATCGGCACACCCATCGCCAACCGTAACCGGCAGGAGTTAGAGAATATGATCGGTTTTTTTGTCAATACTCAGTGTATGCGAATTACTGTTGGCGATGATGACACGTTTGAAAGTCTGGCGCGACAAGTCCGGTCGACAGCGACAGCTGCATTTGAGCACCAGGATGTCCCTTTTGAGCGCATCGTCTCGGCACTGCTACCGCGCTCGAGGGATGTGTCCCGGAACCCGCTGGCACAGCTTATGTTTGCCCTCCATTCTCAGCAGGACCTCGGCAAGTTCGAGTTGGAAGGCCTCGAAGCAGAACCACTATTGAACGAGGTATATACCAGGTTCGACGTTGAGTTCCACCTCTTTCAAGGGCTGGACAGCCTAAGCGGTAACTTGGTCTTCGCGGCAGACCTATTCGAGCTCGAGACCATTCAGAATGTTGTCACCATCTTCTACCAGGTCCTACGTCACGGCCTAGATCAGCCCCTGACCCCGATCGCGATTCTTCCGCTTACAGATGGGCTAGTGGAGCCTGGTAATGTGATTGAGAGGACCGAATACCCCCGGGAGTCGAGCGTAATTGATGTCTTCCGCAACCAAGTGGATAGTGACCCACACGCTATAGCCGTAATCGATTCGGCATCGCGTCTCACCTACGAAGAGTTGGATCATCAATCTGATCAACTCGCGACCTGGCTCCGCGAGCAAAATATGGCGGCCGAGACACTGGTTGGAGTGCTAGCGCCGCGATCATGCCAGACAGTTGTTGCCATTATTGGCATTCTGAAGGCGAACCTTGCATATCTACCTCTAGATGTGAATTGTCCCACCGCTCGCCTGAAAACTATCTTATCTACGTTGACTGGGCACAAGTTAATCCTGCTCGGTTCTGATGTGGTTGCTTCGGAAGTTCAGCTACCCGATATGGAGTTGGTACGGATTGGAGACACTCTGGGACCTCCTCTAAACGGCCATGCCGAACCAAATGGCAATGCAGAACTGAACGGTCATAAAGATACAGCCATGTTAGAGCCTCGAGCGACAAGCCTCGCATATGTGATCTTCACATCCGGATCAACTGGCAGACCCAAAGGCGTTATGGTTGAGCACCGTAGCATCGTCCGACTTGTAAAGGGAAGTCATGTTATACCCAAAATCCCGATAGCGGCAAAGGTAGCCCATCTAGCAAATATCGCCTTTGACGCCGCCGTTTGGGAGATCTTTACAGCGCTTCTGAATGGTGGAACACTGGTCTGTATCGACTATATGACCATTTTAGACAGCAAAGCGCTCGAAGTTGTGTTTGCGCAGGAACAAATCAACGCGGCTTTGCTTACGCCTGCACTGTTGAAGCAGTGTCTGGCAAACATTCCAACTACATTAGGCGGACTAGATGTCCTGGTTATCGGCGGCGATAGGCTTGATGCCCAGGATGCAATCGCGGCGCAGGCGCTTGTCCCAGCTGGCGTTTATAACGCATATGGCCCGACCGAGAATGGAGTTATTAGTACTGTTTACAACGTCGTTGGAAACGACTCGTTTATTAACGGAGTTCCTATTGGCCGGGCCATCAGCAATTCTGGAGCCTACATCATAAATTCGCATCGACAACTAGTACCTGCTGGCGTTATGGGAGAACTTATCGTCACCGGAGACGGGCTCTCTCGTGGTTATATGGACCAAACGCTTAACTTTGACCGCTTCGTCAAGGTTATAATTGATGGCAAGATTGTGAGGGCATACCGGACTGGTGATCGAGCGCGATATAGAGTAGCAGACGATCAAATCGAGTTCTTTGGGCGTATAGACCAGCAAGTCAAGATCCGAGGTCACCGCATTGAGCTAGCTGAGGTGGAGCGTGCCATTCTCGACCAGAACTCGGTCCGCGATGCTGTCGTCGTCATCCAGGACCAGGGGAATCAGGAGCCGGAACTGGTCGGTTTTGTCGCTACCCAGGGCGACTACTCCGCCGACCAGGATGAGGCTGGTAGCCAAGTCGAAGGGTGGAAAATTTTCTTCGAAAGTAACACGTATGCCGATATTAACACCATCAACCAATCTGCTATTGGGAACGACTTCAAGGGCTGGACGTCCATGTACGATGGGAGCGAGATCAATAAAGAAGAGATGCGGGAGTGGCTCGACGATACCATACACACACTCCTTGATGGTCAGTTACCAGGCCATGTACTCGAGATAGGGACCGGCAGCGGGATGGTCTTGTTTAATCTAGGCGCTGGACTACAAAGTTACGTAGGTCTTGAACCATCTAGGTCAGCTGCCACATTTGTTACCAACGCGATAAAGGCCACCCCAGCTCTTGCGGGAAAGGCTGAGGTACATGTCGGTACAGCGACAGACATTGGTCGACTGAGGGGACTCTGTCCAGACGTAGTGGTACTTAATTCGGTAGTCCAGTATTTCCCTACGCCTGAGTACCTAACAGAGGTTGTGGATACTCTAGTTCGGGTCCCGGGAGTTAAACGATTGTTCTTTGGCGACATACGATCACATGCTACGAATAGGCAGTTTCTTGCTGCCAGGGCGTTACATTCATTGGGCGACAAGTCGACCAAATCCTCTGTGCGGCAAAAGGTAGCAGAAATGGAAGAGCGCGAAGAGGAGCTGCTCGTTGACCCGGCTTTCTTTACGGCGCTAGAAGGCCGGCTTGCCGATCAGATCGAACACGTCGAGATCCTTCCGAAGAACATGCAGGCCACAAATGAGCTTAGCGCGTACCGATATGCGGCTGTCATACACGTCCGTGGCCCAGACAAGCAGGTACGTCCTGTGTATTCGATCAAGACGAATGACTGGATCGACTTTCAGGCGTCACAAATGGACCGCGATACTCTTCTCCGACTCCTGCAGCACTCGACAGATACCTTAACCATTGCCATCAGCAACATCCCTTATAGCAAGACGATTTTCGAGCGGCGTATAGTTGAGTCTCTCGATGACGACAACAAAGATAATGCGCAAAGTTCATTAGACGGTGTAGCCTGGATCTCACGTGTTCGGTCTGACGCCGAACGCTGCGCATCTCTCTCCGCAATTGATCTTATACAGCTTGGAGAAGAAGCAGGCTTTCGTGTAGAGGTTAGTTGCGCGCGGCAATGGTCCCAGAATGGGGCGCTCGATGCTGTCTTCCACCGCTATCATTCACATGCTCAAAAAGGGGATCGTGTTCTAATCCGGTTCCCGACTGATAATCAAGCTCGGGGATCAGCCAACCTTACGAACCGGCCGCTAAAGCGACTACAGAGTCGTCGGTTTGCATCAAAGATCCGTGAGCGGCTACAGTCCTTGCTCCCGTCGTATATGATTCCGTCCCGCATCATGATGATAGAGCAGATGCCCCTCAATGCTAATGGTAAGGTTGACCGAAAGGAGCTTGCGAGAAGGGTCCAAATTATACCGAAATCTCAGGCAGCGCCCGAACAGGCGGCTCCACTTGATGAAATAGAAGCTATTCTGTGTGAGGAGTTCGCGGATGTATTGGGCATGGATGTCGGCATCACCGATCACTTCTTCAAACTTGGCGGACACTCCCTCCTGGCCACAAAGCTCACTGCACGTATCGGCCGTCGGCTGAATACCTACGTGTCTGTGAGAGATGTTTTCGATCAGCCTGTTATTTCCGATCTCGCAGCCACCATCCGCCGGGAATTGCTTTCACACAACCCCATCCCCACAACCTCATACAATGGGCACGAGGAACAGGAGATGCCCGCATGGGAAGTTTCAGATGACGAGATAGAAGTCGTCTTGTGTAAGGAGTTTGCGGGTGTATTCGGCATCGAAGTCCTTATCACTGACAACTTTTTCGACCTTGGTGGACATTCCCTTATGGCTTCGAAACTTGCCGCGCGTATCAGTCGTCGACTAGATGCCCCCGTATCGGTCAAAGATATCTTCGATCACCCGGTTCCCCTTCACCTCGCAAATAAAATTCGGCTTACTCAATCAAAGAGCCATGAAATGATCAACGGCGTACACACGTCTAACAACGTTTCATTCCAGCTCCTCCCCCTGGAAGATCCGCATACATTTATCGAACGCGAAATTGCACCTCAGCTTGAGTGTTCGCCCGACACAATTCTAGACGTCTATCCTGCTACGCAAATGCAGAAGATCTTCCTCCTCAATCCTGTAACAGGACACCCACGGTCTCCAACTCCGTTCCACATAGACTTCCCGCCCGACTCAGACCGTACTACCCTGGTTAGAGCATGTACATCTTTAGTCAACTATTTCGATATTTTCAGGACAGTATTTTTGGTAGCTGCTGGCGAGCTCTACCAGGTTGTCTTAAAGCACGTCGATGTACCTATCGAGATAATAGAAACCGACGAAAATGTCAACAGCGCAACCCGTGCATTCCTCGACATGGATTTACGGAAGCCTATCCGCTTGGGACAACCGTTGATACGTATTGCCATTTTGGATAAGCCGGCATCGACATTGCGAGTAATACTTCGGATGTCTCATGCCTTGTATGACGGCTTAAGTTTGGAGCAGATTTTGCGCTCTCTTCATATTCTATACAACGGCGGCAGTCTTCCGACACCACCTAATTTTGCTCGGTATATACAGCATGTAGCTAACAGTCGTAAAGGCGGTTACGATTTCTGGCGATCTGTTCTGGGGAATTCGTCGATGACTGAGATAAAAAGTGTCAGCAACAGTGCTCGCCAACAAGTCGGGGCCAATCACGTGTCGAAGGTCATTAATGTTCCTCTTCAGACCAATGCATACAGCAACATTACGCAAGCAACGGTTTTTACCACCGCATGCGCTCTAATGCTGTCAAAGGAAGCTGGGTTAAATGACGTCGTCTTCGGTCGAATTGTATCTGGGCGGCAAGGCTTACCGATGACTTGCCAAAACGTCGTCGGGCCATGCCTTAATCAGGTGCCGGTACGCGTTTGCATAGATAGGAACGGAAACCAGATAGAATTGCTGCGCGAGATGCAAGACCAGTATCTGAGTAGCTTACCTTTCGAGACTTTAGGATTCGACGAGATCAAGAAGAACTGCACGAATTGGCCAGAAGCAACGACAAACTACGGTTGTTGTATCGTATACCAGAACTTTGACTCCCACCCAGATAGTCAAGTGCAAGAACAGCGGCTTCAGATCGGAGTTCTATCGCGAAATTACGAAGCTGTAGACGAAGGATTGGTTCATGACCTGGTTATAGCAGGAGAGGCTGAGCCCGAAGGACCGTATCTGCGTGTCACCGTCGTTGCAAACCGGCGAGTGTGTGGGGAAGGGAGGATAAACCATATGCTTGAAGAGCTTTGCGAAAATATTCGGACTCTGAGTTTGACTTTGAGCAATCCGCCCGCTGACGATACAAGCCTGGTAGCTAGGTAGGTACAAAGTCAAGAGTATTCGCTCATTTCAATAAATAAAATGTCGATATATAAAAATTGTGGTAGTTGGGAAGTTCATCGGGAACCTTCCTTCCCCTCATTATGCCACCTGTATTAAATGTGGCTAGTATTATGTCAAAGCCCCTTCAATGGTGGTGGTGGTGGCTTAGTCTTGACTTAACCAATTGGATTTGTTTGAAAATGCGTAAGCTTCCGTGATTGTTGAAATTGTTAGTTACGGCTTTGCAGCGGATTAAGCGTTGGAGATGTGTTATATTATAGGGGAGTTAACAGCGAAGTCATCTATAATTATAGGTAGATAACGCTCTTAGCTCTAGGGCCATCTACGAAAATCAATATGCGCTATAATTCCCTATAGTTATAGCGCTTCATAGCGCTAAGATCCACTAACTGTGTAAACACATTGATAAAATACAGCGCACCATCTGACGTATTAAAGTGGTCGCCTGTCGCCTGATGATCGGTTAATCTTGATCATCAACGTTGTAGGAGTGGGAGCGATTGGTGCTTTCAAAGATGTCAATAATCTCTTTAATGATTTCACGACTTCACGAGAGTTCGCTTGTGATTATGAAATGCTCGACTCGAGATAGCTATAGTATTGCAGTAGTTTAGGTAGGAATGCTAGGCTACTACAGGTTCTTTACGAAAAGGACTACCTACATAGTACTTTAGTTATCAATTTTATGACCCTATCGACTTAATCCGTTTGCTGGTAAGTATGTGAGTTTTGCGGATGTTATCTCTTCACAACCCAAGATGTCTAAGCTATCCGGGCCAACGTTGCAATCAGCAAGACCTTTTCAAGGATAGTTAGTTTCAATCAAGCCGAATCGTGGAAAAATGGCACCCGGTGGGATGATATAATCCTTTTAATCCCCCGAGGACATCTCTATCAACACGATAACAGGTTTAGCTAATAACCCACCTTCCGGAACAGGTCCGGTTTTATCGTATGCCAGCTTGAATGCGACTGCGACTCGCAGGGGCGGCTGATATCAAACCACCAAAGAAATGCCTGCTTGATGGAATATCTTAATGGGATATATAGATCTAGAACATAACCTATGGCTAAAATGGAGGGTATAAATATTGACATTTATCCGGGTCAAATATGCCTTCGGTCTTGTCAAGCTTTCACGTCATCTTGAATCTCGTTCGCATCTAGGACACGCCAGTTTCGTCTTCAAGATGATTTTAACTATTTTGCTTGTCTCATTATTGGCCTTTTCCGGCCACGCGTCGGCGGTATCATGGTATTTTCTGCGGTACTATCCGGCTTCCGGGGAGAAATTTACGTCGTTCTCCGGGGAGATGACGATTCCGCCTATACCACGGGCCGCGACGTATTATTTATGGCCGGGATTACAGCCTACTGATAATAGTGGCGTCTATCAGAATGTCCTTGATGGGCGGAGCGGGACGTGGTGGATTGGATCGGGGTGGTGCTGCTCGAACCCTAGCCTGCCGTGGGGGAGCGGGTTCAATACTTATTCTGCTGAGAAGATTACGTTCGAGAATAAGCTGGATAGTAGTGGTTCTACCTGGACGTCGACCCTCACCCGTCAATCTACTGGTGAGAAGGTGACGAATAGTTTCGCGTTAGGTAAGCTAGAATCATATTTTGAGGCTGATAGTTCACGCGGACTGAAACACTGATATATTCGCTTCTCCGACAGCCAGCAAGTCTTTCAATCAAGCTCTGTTTGCCATTGAACTGTAGGTGTTCTTGTATTTCCGTTGATATCTGATTGCAGACAGCTGACCTATGTTTAGATATGACGTGAGTTGGGACTTCGGTCAGCTCGCATTCTCGAATGTTGTGATTGTAAGTATCGCCATGATCTGAAGTCTAAGTGTGCTAACTTGATCATAGACAAGCACTGGTACCGATTCGAGTTGGTGCAACACGACCCCAGAGAATTATAATTCGGCCACAACGTATTCTATTACAGGTTTAAGCGCAAGTGCCAGTGGTGGTACGGTGACCTGCAAACTCGGATCAGTCATTCTCCAGAAGCCAGCTTGATAGAAAAGATGTTCGTGATTGTAACCAACCTATCATATGCATATCAGATATTATAAGATTAGTAATAAATGGATACTGGATATAAGAATGATATTTTCAAGCAATTGTAGAAGAAATTCATTAGTCATCACATTAGTCACCATCCCTTTGTTGAATATCCCATGTTATGATAATAATGAGGGGCTTATCGTGTACCTAGGTACTATTCAATAAGTCAGCTCTCAATGTAACAACCACGTTCTTTCCATTCTTTCAATTTTCTTTCCTTTTTTCAACCGACTCATCGTGTCATTATGCCACCCGATAGCACCGAAAAGTTAAGCTTCAACAATACATTTTGCCGTTGTGCTTCAACCATCGTCTCTCTCAAGGTTGCCCGATGGTTTAACACGCCTAAGTCCATGAGCCGGTGCCATCCCATCTCCAAGAAGCTCATAGTAAAAACGGGATTCTCTGTCCATCTCACTGAAGCAGCTACCTTGCAATTTGTTTCGAAGAACACCTCTATTCCCGTACCGCGTGTGCAATGTTCCTTTGTCTTTAGGAATCGCACATACATCGTAATGGACCGCATCAAAGGAGACCCCATTAGTAATGTATGGTTGAAGTTGACTGAGGCGGATCGTGATAGCATTCTATTGCAGTTACGCCATATGCTACAAGAGTTGAGAGCAATTGCACCGCCTCCCGGAACAGGAGTTGAAAGTTGCGTCGGCGGCTCTTTACGAGATCCTCGGATGACCCGATCTAGTCCCAGGTTCGGTCCATTTAAGACGATAGAGGATTTTCATTATTGGCTTCGCGGAGGACTCCAATTAAAGGACTTTCCTAGTGGTTTCCCGGACTGCGATGAACAGGACTGGGATGATTTCAAAGAGATGGCAATCAGGCAAGACACGCCGTGGCCATCTCCCGTGTTTACGCACGCTGATCTCAATCCCTCTAACATCTTAGTTCGCGGAGGCCAAGTGGTCGGCATCGTTGATTGGGAAGTCGCCGGTTGGTATCCCTCTTATTGGGAGTTCACTTCTGCCTGCTATTTGCAAATTCCAGACTGGGACGCTACCGTCCCAAAGTTTCTCGACCCATTTCCCAACGAGCTTAAAATGGAGCGAACACGACAAAGATGGTGGGGTGAAATTTAGGTATGATACATTATTCTATTTCAAAACTACATTGCATATCCACTACATCGGATTTCGAGTTCAAGCGTCTCTGGACAAAAACCCATACTCTCCACACGCATCGACGACTTAACACAGGTAAGGCTCCCACGGGGAACATGTACTAGTAGCCCAGCTAATATACAGGTAAGTGCAAGACCCTAGATCAGAGAAGTTTACAATCACCTCTCCGGCCAGATACAATTATTTTTAGGCCACAATTTCCTTATCCTCCAGCATATCCCAGGTAGGTTTCGGCCTCCTCATATCTTGACCTTCTCCAAACCTCCCAACTACTGTCTTCATTGCCACATAAGTCCGGGCCCGCTCCTCAATCATCTTCCAATCCAGCTGCGACGTACCAACCACCTTGCGGTTATTCGAGATTCGCGACAAAGCGTCGATAACCCATGTCCTACAATTGAAGGTCGGGTCTTTTTGGAAGATCGGGGTATTTCGAAAGACCTCGATAAGTTGGGATTCGTTGGTGATCTTGGCAATGAGGACGCGGACGAGGAGACGCACCGATGTCTGCACATCTGGCAGTACATCTTCCGCGTATCGCCAACCTCCCCCTGGCAAGTTCTTAATATGAAATCGCATACCGGGGACTTGTTCTTTATATTCGTTTTTGGGGCCGATGATGAACGCTAGGTGATATCTAAGGAGGTATGTTTAGCTGCACATTCGACGATACTGTGACGAGCTACATACTTCAAATCCTGGCGTTCAGAGGTATTACCGCTAGGGTAAAGGGCCAGGTAGAGCCGTTTCTTATTCAACACCATGTTTAATAATTCGCTATTCAGCAAGAATGACAGCCAACGCTACTCTTCACTCTCAAGCCCCAGGGTTCATTGTCATCCGAGTCTACGCTTTAAGAAGTCTCATACGATCGTAGTGACTAGGTAGTAGATCTCTTCATCAAACTTACAGGTATAATTATAACTAGTAATAGCAAACAAACTGTCAACTGCAAAGTGAAATTAAACGCAATCTACCTAGCCATTCGAGAATTCGGGGTTTGCACTAATTCCCAATCATACACAGTAGCTTCCAAGGTTCTTAAGAGTTGAGCACCTATTGTGAAATAGCCTTAACACTACCTCGTTTCTTGTCTGAGTAGGGAGATACAACTATGAGCATGACATCTTCCCTTGCGCTGTAGTTCACGCATTTCAACCCGGTACCGTATCTTCGGTATATTGCAGATTTCCAAGGTTCTTGCTTTTCGACATGTGCTCTATACCCTCATTAGAACTTATGCTCCTTCCTAAAATATGAAAGGAAGCCTTTGGGCTGTCTTATTTCTGTTTCCTGATAACTGACCTACGTTGACGAACCCTTGTGAAGCTCCTAGGCGACAAATAAGACTCAGTTTCGCCCAACATTCAGTCGTATTTGATAGGTAAGTTTCATTATTCAAATCAGTTAAGTTAATTCACTTTACCTACATACCTAGGAGGTAGGTAATTACGTAAAATATAGATCACGACTGACTTAGACGAGGCGCGAAGACGTGACGACGATTGCGCTTATGGGTTGCGTACACCTGTGCTATATTTAATCGATTAATGGAATTGAGGGCGTTAAAATTTCACGTAGCGCTTCTTTAGGCGCTCCTTCTTGACGTAGAGATAGGCGACCAATTAGAGAGTTTAGGTAGCTGCTAGCAACCTCATGCTGTGACTGCTACCTGTACGGGAAGTCTATTGGAAACCATATTAAGTTGTTTACACACCACCTGGCAATTTCTTCTTTTTCGTGTTCCTAATTAGATGTATATTAATTTTTAAATATTTCATCTCGTCAACAATTATCATATTTCTCCTATTCGTAAATATCGAGTAACATAAGGGTTGCGCAATTCAAGAGGAGCAAGTGCCGATCGGAACTATTTCTACAGTCACTTGACTTGACTTGGAAATTGATAATCACTTACAGTACTAAGGCAGGCAGGCAGGCAGTGCAAGCGTGCCGTGCGTCTCCCCTTCTCCAACATTGAAACTGGTAAACTGGCAGGTTCAGCTTAAGAATTCTCTCCTCTGGAATTCTAAAGTCTAAATTCAATCAATAAACAGCATCAATTCGGTCAGGATTGGCCGTCTGTTTAATATCAACCAAGACTTGAACTGAATTTTGTTGTTTCGAAGCTAGACTTTTACTAGATAGAGATTGGTCTTCGGCGCCAACGGGTACCAAAACGGGGCGACTCTCTTATCGGAAATCATCAATCTGTCGTCATCGATCGTACAGAAGAACCAGCACGAGCCTTCGTGAAGCCTCGAAACCCACACTTTTTTTTCGTCAAGCCCCAGATCCGAAGAGGGCCTTTCCCATTTGTTTTCATCTTGTACAATTTTTTAGGAATCTGGTTCCTCTCACTCCTTCCAAGATGGCTTGGGAACTTACCCGGCGTCGCATCGTTCGCGCCGTCAATAGCAAATTCATATTCGATCGCATCGTATGTTACCGAATCCCGTACAGAACCTATCAAAAGAGTCCGCCCAACACTCCCAACCAAAAGCCGTATCCGCATCATCAAAATCATCATTAATTTTCGTATTCAAATCCTAAGACATCACGAATTGTCCGACTCGCTCTATTAATTTACTAACTGGACCTGTGTATTCGCCTAGCCCCTTCTTCATGCAGTCATCTTCTTTATCGAAATGGCCATCGTCGCGCGCTTGGTATCGCGCTTCAACGCTTATTACGATGAGCGGCCAGGTACTGATCCTACAGTTTCACCATATCGCTGCAACACTTATCGCTGACAATATCCACTCTAGTTCTCACCATGATGGTGACGAACGCTGTCCTCGGAGGCATTGCCGACACCGTAGCCCAGACCATCACATCAGTCCGAGAACGAGCGTTGCGAAAACCCGGTGGTGTCACCAAAGATGATACGGTGGCAATCGAAATACATGAGCTGGACCGTAAAAACTCTTGGGACGACCGAGAATTAATTCCGGAATCCAAGGACCTACCTCCTCCCTTCGACTTCGAACGATTAACGAGATTCATGGCGTACGGTTTTGGCATGGCTCCTCTACAATACAAGTGGTTTAGTTTCCTTTCGCGAGCGTTTCCGATCACCAAGACTAGCGCCTTCGGTCCTGCAATGAAGAGAGTAGCTTTCGACCAACTGATTTTCGCCCCGTTCGGTATCGGATGTTTCTTTACCGTCATGACGGTGGCTGAAGGGGGTGGTCGTAGGGCCGTTGCTCACAAGCTTAGGGATATGTATATTCCGACTTTGAAGGCCAACTTCATGGTGTGGCCTGCTGTGCAAATCATTAATTTCAGGTTAATGCCTGTTCAGTTCCAGTTGGTGAGTTTCTTCCGATTTGGTCCACACCCATTACCTATCTAGACACACCAGAGTCTTCGTTACTGACTACTTATAGCCATTTGTGTCTACTATCGGTATTGCTTGGACAGCATATCTATCCCTTACAAATGCCTCCGAAGACGTCGAGCCGAAAACCGCACCTTACTCTCCCAATATCCGTCTCCAGTAATCCCTTCAACCTCATCCATTTAGTATAGGACCACTAGACCTTTCCCTTGTTATATGGTGTCTTTTCTCGAAAATGGTCGGCGGGCGTTACGGATTGAAGAGCGCGTTCTTGATCAGGTAATTAGGGCGGTCGACGCGATATAGGATGGCGCATTGTTTTACGTTGAATATTCAGGATCAGCAATTCAGCATTACCTTGTACCTAGATGCGATAAATCAAAAGCATTACACACATACACATATTCGATGGCCCATCGTAGTATCACTTCCACCGGTGTCCTTTGAAGCTCTAAGCTTACATACATCAGACACTGTCTATGAGAAACGTTTATATGTAAGAAGCTTGGTCGAAGTAGGTCTATGTGGAGGGTGTGCTTTATTCGGAGTATACCATTGGTCAATCCAGGGGTTCAATACATGCGTTGGAAATAATCTCGAAAATATTTCTCGCGGTATTCGCCTTTATAACTCAACAGAAGCCGGGATTGGATGGGTCGGCTCATGATTATCATGATTATCGCATCACCTACATGGGACTTTCGCAGTTAACGGAGAATTTCGGTCGTTCTAGCTGTCTCAGCGGACGGAAACCTCCTATAACACCTATAATAAGTCTGAAACGCGAATGTATCAACCCGCTAAATTGACTAGCGTAGTTACATCCGTAGGGTGCTTTGCCTTAGCGGCTTAACAACCACGCCAGACTTTCAGCGGACGTCACCCGTCAAGCTCGTTGATCTCACCCCACCAAACTGTGAGGAAGTTGCTACCCCTCCAGGTTTCTCTACCCCTCCATCCTTGGAAGTACCTTATTATTAGATTAGTCCGGTCGTCTTCTACTTCCTGCGTCCTTTTTTTCAAACGGACATCCTAAAAATATTGTCCTTGAAATACCGCAACATTCTTTCTAATTTACTCTTCTTATTTTCGTAAATCTTTCCTTAAAACCAGAATATCAATTGAAACTTATCACCTATCAACATGTCTCTGTCGAGCAAGCTGTCTATCACGGATGTTGACCTGAAGGGGAAGAGAGTTCTCATCCGAGTGAGTAAACGAGACGATTTCTTGAATCATCTAATTGCCTATAATACTCATCTTGCCAGATTATCAATCACAAAAAAAAACAAATTTACCTCATAGACTAACATGGCTTCTCTTGAAAGGTCGACTTTAACGTCCCCCTCGATGCTGACAAGAATGTTACAAACAACCAACGTATCGCCGGTGCCGTTCCCACAATCAAGTATGCCATCGACAATGGTGCGAAAGCTGTCATATTGATGTCCCATCTTGGCCGCCCCGATGGCAAGGTCAACCCCAAGTACAGCCTGCAGCCCGTTGTTCCAGAGCTCGAGAAGCTATTAGGCAAGAGTGTCGAGTTCGCACCTGATTCTGTCGGCCCCGAAGTCGAAGCTATCGTGAACAAGGCAGACAACGGCCAGGTTATCCTATTGGAGAACTTACGATTCCATGCCGAGGAAGAAGGCTCTTCCAAGGATGAGAGTGGCAAGAAGGTGAAGGCAGACAAGGCCAAGGTTGACGAATTCCGCAAGGGCTTGACTGCTCTTGGTGATGTCTACGTCAGTAAGTAACTCCTAGAGTTCTGTCCCTGCCTCAGCTTAATATTACCGTAATGACATGAGATCTAATAATCACTCTTTTAGACGATGCTTTCGGAACCGCCCACCGAGCTCACTCTTCCATGGTCGGTGTTGACCTGCCACAGAAGGCTGCCGGTTTCCTCATGAAGAAGGAACTTGACTACTTCGCCAAGGCTCTCGAATCACCTAAGCGACCCTTCCTTGCCATCCTAGGTGGTGCCAAGGTTTCCGACAAGATCCAGCTCATTGACAACCTATTGGACAAGGTTAACAGCATCGTCATCTGCGGTGGCATGGCCTTCACATTCAAGAAGACCCTCGAGAACGTCAGCATCGGTGACTCTCTCTTCGACGAGGCTGGCTCCAAGAACGTCGGAGCACTGATCGAGAAGGCCAAGAAGAACAATGTCAAGGTCGTTCTTCCCGTAGACTACGTGACGGCGGACAAGTTCTCCAAGGATGCTACCGTCGGCAGCGCAACTGACAAGGAGGGTATCCCTGACGGCTGGATGGGTCTTGACTGCGGCCCGGAGTCAATCAAGCTATACCAGGCAGCTATCGCGGAGGCCCAGACCATCTTATGGAACGGTCCCGCCGGCGTCTTCGAGTTTGAGAAGTTCGCCAACGGTACCAAGGCTACCTTGGACGCTTTCACGGACGCGGTGGCTGCTGGAAAGATCGGCATCATCGGCGGTGGCGACACTGCTACCGTTGCTGCCAAGTACGGCGCCGAGGCCAAGTGCTCTCACGTCTCGACCGGTGGCGGCGCTTCCCTAGAGCTGCTAGAAGGCAAGGCTCTGCCCGGTGTAGTTGCCCTCAGCACCAAATGAAGGTTAGAGAACTCGGTGCGGTTATAAGCATCGGATAGCATACTTAGCATGTAGATCAGGATGCCGGGTTTGGGTTGGATGGAAGCTAATCGCTGGTACGGTAGATGGGTCAGGCGGTGTCCTTATTGTTAACGTTTATGTGTTGAATGTTTATGACACGGCAAAATTAGATGATGATCGAATACCAGATATAAATATAAATATAAATATGGAAATATGTATTAGATGAATGATATTATGGCGGTTAGTTTCCCTGGAGATATGGTGTTGTGATTTAGGTTAATATGTCGTTGTCAGTCTACTACATATAAGTAGTCTCGATGATACCTAGTACTTAACAGCACGAGACAGCAGTAGTCACCTCACAAGCAAACACGCAAGTATAATTTGGTCACGACAGTTTCATCCCTGCCTATCAGTCTATTAATCGAATCCTTGCTCATTTCACTTTCTTTTCGTCTCCTCCTTAAGCTATGCCGCGGAGGCGAAAGAGACTAAACTAAGTACATTTCATGAGGTCCCCTTTGCTTTACGTTGCGTCACTAGTTGTTTGGGTTGCTTTTGTGTGCTTAAGCGTGGAGACGTTCTTGTGCTGGATATCGGGGTAGCGTATGCTCGAATGGGACGGATTGGATCATCTTCGCTTTGAGGACTCGACTTTCTTGAGTTCTTCTCTGTTTGGGAGAAGTGTGTTAGTACGGTTGGATCGTATGGTAGAAGTAGTGGTAGATGGTGGTATATATGCTTGGGTGATAGATATATGTAAGTTGGAAGGGTCACGTACCTCAACTGCGCGGAGAAGTCGTCAGAAGTGTCGTCGTCATCCCAGCTCTCTTCCCATAGGTGCTGCGTTCCGGTACCGTCGTTACCTGCTGTCGCTGTGGCTACCGCCTCGGTCTCCTCTGCTGGCCAGTCTGTTTTATGAAGTGTTAGTGGGTGGCTTGGTAGACGGGCGTATAATTCGATGGGTAAAGGGAGCCAAATTCGTAGTATCTATTGGGTAGACAGTCGACAGCAATAGATGGGAATGCTGGTCTAGTTGCAAAATTATGCAATTAAGGAATGCACACACCTTCAACGGGGAAGTCTTCAAATTCGTCGTCCTCCTCTAATGCAGCGGCAGGCTTCTTCTGTTGGGTTTGCGATTGCTCTGGCTTTGCAGCTTCGGCCGCGGGCTTCTTGTTCGACGGTGCAGACATTTTTGTTTGGTATTTCGTTTTGCGCAGCTCTGTACAAACAGAGAAGTGGTCGTGTGAAGGATATGTATGACAATAATTCAATATCCTTTTTGTTGATGGTGCTGTGGTTACCACGAGGCTGAATATGGAACGAGTATGGACAAGTCTTGGCCGAAGCTGATGGATTTCGGTAATTGACGTTGTCAACCTTGTAGTATTAGGTAATCAATATTGTTGATAAGCTCGATTATTGCATAGTTTTTCACTCGACTAATGCATATGCAGAACTGAATAGAAGTCGGAAGTAGCACGTTGATGTCCCCGAAGCCGTCCACTAGGAAGTAAGCTTATCCCCGCGTAGCCAATACCTTCTACTCAGTTGCAGGACGACCCAACAAAGTCAAGTCGTACAATACAATTGGGTGTGTCGTACTTTCGTATCTCGCATATAAAAAACACTACCTGCAGCAGCTGCCCAGGCTGCCAGGTACCCAGTGGTACAAGATATGAATTCCCTTTTAAGCACTTGAGCCATAAATTAACAACTCAATGTTGCCTAGCAGCGGGCGTTCGGATAGATTGGCGGATGGATTAAATTTTATAACCCGACGGAAAGGTCCATCCTCGTGGCTGAGCCGCAAACTGCAACTTTCCTATCTTAATCGGATCTGGCTTAATGAAGGACTTTACAAATATGTCAGACTCCCGAGCCTTTTCATACAATACTCGGCACCCCAATGTTTTTTTTTTCGCGATTCATATACACAAAATACAGTGATTATGTATTGAAGATAACAGTGCAAATATCACATTATTCAGTCTAGCAATTGCCTAAGCTTTAGCGGAGACCCATCCATTCCGCAGCTCCCTTCCGGCTTTAAAAGCGTCATCCCGGCTTCCTCTTTAAATACCTAGGTCAAAGGTGAAAGAACTCGGAGGATAGGAGATTTCAGCTCCGACTCATGAATTAATTCGGGATACATGCATGCCTTGTGCTTATCCGACTCTTATTCTACTCATTTTACATAATCCTTCGCAAGTTTCTTCTAAAAAGACTTCTAAAAGGAGTTCAATCCTTTGTTTCTCCCTGGCATTATCATCACACGCAATGTCTAACCATTTTATCGCGGCCCTTAGAAATTAGAGATCTGATCCAACTCTCGCTAATCATACGAATACGTCATTATCTTGAAAAGTAAAATATCTACCTTCAAGACGGAGACAATTAACCATCCTTTTTTTTCCTTTCCTTCCAGAACGGGGGGCCTCCTCGTTATCAGTCTGAGGTCATATCCTGGATACCTGAGCAATACTTGAACCCAACACCATCATGAGTCGACTTGGAGCCTGGTTTCGGGGGGCCGCCCCACAATTGGGCTCGAACTCGGCACCGTCACAAGCAGACCTCCGGGCTCGTAGACTAGCTGCTTTAGAATCTGCAATTGCCAGTACTTCCCTGATTATGAACGATGATATCGACGGTGCTGAGAAGGGGTTGCGGGAAGGTGATTCGCCTTTTCATCTTCTTGGATTGGGCATCTGTACTTTCATGAGAAGTATCCTCGGATTCGAGAAAGAAATCATGCTTGAAGCGAGTAACCGTCTAACCGCCTGCGAAAATGCTGCTTGGAACGAGTTGAGGAAGGCCCAGAGAGAGGCTAAACCTGGGGAGGACCGGATCTATCCTCCAGGAAGCGAGTATGCATTGGTCATCGCTGATGCCCAACTCATGTCTGCTATTATAGCTGTCCTTCATGAGAGTTTAACCGAGGCTCTCAGGGGCTTCTATAAGTTACGGAAAGCGTTTATGGCACTTGATGAGATTATGCAAGCAGAAACAGCTTATCTGAAGAAAAAGGGCCTTCATTCGAGTCTATCATTATCTAACGGACAAGCTGCTACATCGTCAACTTCGACACCGAATGGGCGTCTTAATGGAACTGACGATACTGACACCGATCTCGAATTTGTAGATGCGGATGAGGCACACTCGGGAGGGCATACACCTTTGAACTATGCGGGTCATCTCGCCAAGAATTCTATTCCCCCTGAAGAACAATTAAGTCAATTGTCTTTAGACTCTAACTCCACCAAAAGACCAGCATCAAAAAGGACGAGCATGCCATTGAGCTCAGCATCAGGAAACCCCGATTCAGATATCTTCAAGGACCCTGTAGATATTTTCATCCATAGTGGTGTTAACATGTGTTTCGGATCCTTGTTACTTCTACTTTCCATGGTCCCACCAACCTTCTCACGCCTCCTCTCCATTATCGGTTTTAAAGGCGACCGAGAGCGTGGCATAAATATGCTCTGGCAGAGCTCTAAGTTTGATAACATCAACGGAGCTGTGGCGGGCCTCATGCTACTCTCTTACTATAACGGTCTTCTAAGCTTTGCCGACATCCTACCTTCCGAAGAGGATGTGGAGAAAGGCGCGTTTGGTGGATATCCAAAGGCTAGATGTAGTGCACTACTCGTTCAAATGCGATCACGGTACCCGGATAGCGGACTGTGGCGATTTGAAGAAGCCCGAGTCCTGGGTAACAGCCGGGACCTGCATGGTGCACTCAAGATCCTGAAGGAAAACCGAGAGTCAAAGATGCGCCAAGTCACGGCGCTCAACAATTTCGAGATGGCTCTAAGTTCCATGTTCATCCACGACTACGACGACATGCGCGATAACTTCCTTCGTTGCGTCGAACTCAACGATTGGAGCCCTTCGCTGTATTATTACATCGCTGGGTGTGCGGAGTTGGAGAATTACCGAAACGCGTTCCATAGCAAAGAACAGAATGAATCACAGATAAATGTTCACAAAAAGAAGGCAGACGAACTCCTCCGAAAAGCGCCTACCCTAGCGGGAAAGAAGCGCTTCCTAGCTAGGCCTCTACCGTTCGAGCAATTTGTCTCACGAAAACTACAGAAGTGGGAGGAGAGATCCAAGGCGCTGGGTGTCGACCTAGTCGATGCTGTGGGTGTCAGCCCCGCACAAGAGATGACATTCCTGTGGAATGGGACAAGGAAGATGCAAACAGCAGAACTCAAGATGTCTGAGAAGGCCCTATCTTGGGATCGGCTGACGGCTTCTGAGGAGGCACGCAAGAAGATCAAGGAGGAGATAGACGAACAAGCCTCAAGAGATGTGTGTCGCGCCGCGGTGGAGCGAGAGTTAGGCAATCTAGACTCCGCTCGTGAGCTGTTAGACAGTGTCCTAGCTATGGATAAGTGAGTACACCTCTTGAGTCACCATTATGAGACTATAACTAATATGTTGTGACAGGTTGGCATTCAGGGGCACCACCAAAGACGACTACGCGCTGCCCGCAGCTCACTATGAGATGGCGGCGCTCGCATGGATCGAAGTGCAGAAGCCTGCACTTCGGGGTCAAATCGACGAGGATGATGAAGAGGATTGGCTACATGAGAAGGTGGAAGAATGTCAGTCCTGGCTTGACAAGGTGGCTAAATGGGAGGCGTTTGTCCTAGACGCCCGCATCGGTATGCGTGTCCAGACTGGTATGGATACGATTACATGGTATAAAAAGGAACACGGGTGGACGACAGCCTGATCACTGTCTCATTGACGCATGGCGGATGGGTTTATGCAGCATCTAACGACACGATTTCTTGTGGCATATGGGGGTAACGGGTTCCTTACGCATAGACATGTCATATTTAGGCGCGAAATGGTTTCATGAGTGTGGGAAGTGGCAGGTGTTGATTGGGAATAGATATGGGTCGGCCAATGATATTTGCATTTTCTGAGACAGGCTTACATGGCCGGGTACTGGCATCGACATTTGGAGACTTTGTGACACCGTGAAGTGAGTCGTGATGTCGACTTACAGCTAATGGGTACTAGGTACATCTCAGATCTACAAACAGGAAAATGAGACACTGGTGGCTGCCGCTAGAGTGCTATCCATGGATGGCTTTGAGATTTTTTCACGTACCTACCTACCTATAGGTAGGTACTCGTGGATTGAGGTACCTGATTTTTCTATAAGGAGGTATATCGTCTTTCGCTTTCCAGGTCAGTCTCTCTCCATACCCAACAAATTCTCACCTAGCCTAACTTTGAGTTTACAACAGCAACTCTTTCCTTATGTCACTCTTTTATCACTTCACAGACCCGTCGCACATTCGCGCAAGGAGCATTAATTTACACCTTTCTGTCCTATTTCATCATCCACTATCCCTGGCGTTCGCGTGTCGGTAGCCCTAAACTGAGCGCCACCGCATTTCTAGAATGACTTGCTCAATCTGATTTCCTACCTACGCCATGACGTCCATGGACTCTCGAAACCGGTCACGGAGTCGAATATCGTGACCATGGGGCATCTCTTCTTATTACACACACATATATATACATATATATATCCTATTTTCATAACACTACGATAATATAACTCGATCATTCGATTAACACAAATGAGCTATCGACTAACGACCGCTCTGGATGCCTTTAAGACCTTGTAGTTAAATGAAGGTCACGGGCAACCGAAACTTCTTGATCATACCGCGGGTCTCTAGGCCGGTATCTTCATGAAGTGTATCGGAGCGGGATGCCCATGTGCTGTAATCAAAATCTCGTCCACCCGGACGAACCCTAGATCATCCAAATAATCAAGAACAATCCAAAATATCTCTACCGGAAACCAGCCCTATTGATGGCAACAATCTTCGCCGGCTCAGTCCGGTTCCCCGGCAGCACGCCGCTCGTCGACACGTACACCGTATTCCTATCAGCACTTGTCCTACCAAATGCAACCGCCGAGTCACCCCCAACAGTATCCAACGTAGCCCCACCGACAACAGTTTCGAACGCACCATCAGGACGGATGATATCAACCTTATTATCACCATTCGTCGCCGCCCACAACATCCCTTGCGCATCGAACGCAAAATCATCCACGAAATTCGAGTTCAGCGCCGCCACTACCTCAACAGTCGCATTAGCCACCGGATACCCCTTCTTATCAATCCTAGCACGATAAATCGTCGCCGTAGCCGAGTTGCCCCAATACACAAACCCAGCATGGACCTTCAACCCATTAATCCCAATCGGCAGCGCTCCACCAGCCGGCGCCGTCATCTCCGCGACCGCAAGCACGGACTCGTACTTCCCAGTCCCAGTATCGAGGCGCCACAAGGAGCCGGCGAAGCTATCTCCGATTAAAACGACAGAAGTATTCCCACACCTCGGCACCGTCGCAACGCCGTTCGCCAGCTTGGCCTCGGGGAAATCGATGACTTTCCGGGTCGTCACGTCGTTCCCTTTAAATGCGATCTCGTAGATGGCGAAGGTGCCCGGGACGGCGTTACCGGCGCCTGCGAACTCGGCGGCGATGACGACGAAGACGTCCGGTTTGGTCTCTGCGATGCCGACGAGCCCTGGCTTGCCGTCCTGGAACGTGTGTACGAGGCCGATTTGGGGGTTGGCTGAGTACGGCGCCTTTAGGGTCCAGACCTGGGCGCTGGGAGTGAGGGTGGTGAGGACGAGATCGCCGTTGGGGCGTACGGAGAGGTTCTCGAACCAAGTACCCGTCTCGTTGAATTGGAAGATGGTTTTGGCTGGAAGGGACTGGTTAGCAGCGCGGGGTGAGAGCAGGGGGGTTGCGCTGGTGAGGGAGAGGCTGCTGGCGAAGGCCAGGAGGGAGTTGGTGAACTTCATGGCGGATGTATGGTTCTGTCGTGAACGGGAAGGACTCCTTTCCTGGTGCCGGTAAACAGACCAGAAGAAGAAGCTGACATCTTATTCTTTTTATTTGCCGTCTGGCATGGCATCAATCCAATCATCGATGTGAGATATGACAACACATGGATAAGAAACTCCGTTGAATCCTCTCGTAATTACTATTCAGTGAACTGGTGAGATGAAGGCGATCCTTTGAGTCAGTCCGGGGGCTACAGCCGCTTCTCGAAGCGAATCCCGGCGTGGGAACCTGCAGGTACGATTGTGTGGTAAACAGGGGTTGTCAGCCCAACGGAGAGTTGAGTCATTCGACCATAGGTAGGTGCGTGTAAGATCTTAGATGGGTCCTGCGTATTCTTCGGTTCCGGCGAGTCGGTGGTAGGGTTTTGAAATAGACATTGAGGTTGACGGAGTACGGAGTTATGTAATCTAGCAAACGGTCCTCTATAGTGATGCCATCGTTAACGGCAATGGCGACCAAAGTTGTCACAAAGTTGATAAAGGAGCTCGAGAGTTATTGCCGATGACTAGTCTAGATAGAGCACGGTATTTCGAAAATTCCTTATTGAAACTGATTTACCTACTGTAAGGAGAACTAATGTGAAAAAAAAAAGCAAAACGCGAGTTTCTCGGGTGTCGAGGGCATCCCCAACCCTATTCGGTAAGAGTCAGCACTAAGAAAGAAAAGAAATTCACCATATTTCTCCTTCTATAAATCTTACGTATTTTATCGGTAGGAACGGAATCCTTCACGCACATGTGGCCTACCCTGTCGAGAGCTGAAGCAAGGATCGATTGACTAAACTCCATCCCAAAAGCTGTGCATACAGTGTATATGGAGGACCGAAGCAAGGGTTCTTATATGATGTGATTTCCTCTTCAATCTTTATGATTGCATTCTAAAGACCGAATGAAACTTGATTCGACGAAGATTGCCGACGATCATCCACCAAGCTTAGGAAAGCTCTCAATCCGTTCACTAACGAACCCTTCGATGTCATAGGCATTTCGTCGAACTGTCCCGGAAACTGATCCTATCGACGAAATGGCGTGTGCAGAGAACATCTTCTGTATGGGGGTGTAATAAGATCTGTATGTTGACAGGTAAAGAGAAGCTCGCTCATGTTATCGATTTTAAGTTCCTACCCGTCATATGCAGCTGTGAGTGATCCTCAATAATAGTAAAAGAAATCGAGTCTATAATGATTCTCGTGAGCACAAGCTATCGAAATGCGGTTCCATTTAGCAATGCCATCATCTACATCACAACTCCTCATTTTCTTCCCGTTCCACTTCATTCATAGCTTACTCCGTAATTGCTACACCAAATTCCTCAACTCCTGCCCAGCCAAAAACCTCCTCAAATTATACGCAATCAACGCCTCCGCATCCTGTGGCCTACCACCCGCCGCATGGGGACTCACAAGCACATTCGGCGTCGTCCACAACCTTGAACTAACCGGCAACGGCTCCGTCTTAAAAACATCCAACGCCGCACCCCCCAACTCCCCCTTCTCCAACGCATCCGCCAGCGCCTCTTCATCAATACTCGTGCCCCTCCCCACATTAACAACCCACGCATGTTTCGGCAGCAGCTTCAACCTCTCCGCATTAAGCACATCCTTCGTACTCTCGCTCCCCGGTAGAATCATAACCAGCGCATCCGTCGTCGGCAACAGCTCCGGCAGGCTCTCCTCGCCATAAACCTGAACCCCCTCTCTAACCCCCGCACTTCTAGCCACGCCTTTAACAGTAGCTCCCCACGCAGTTAAATGCGGAGCCAGCGTCTTCGCGATATTGCCGTACCCCCAAATCAGCACGTTCGCGTCGCGGAGCGTGGTGAACCGGTCCTTGGGACGATCGGGCTGCGCGCCGCCGAGATGCTGCGGCCACGTCTTCTTCAGTTGGAACTCGCGCATCTCGTCGAACCTTCTCGCCGCTGTAAGCAATAACCCAAGCGCGTGTTCCGCAACAGTTTTGTCGTGGAGACCCGAGCCCGTAGTGATTCTAACCGAGGCGGGGAAGCCAGCGGCTAGGACATCATTGGGGCCCGCGGCGAGGGATTGGATCCATTTGAGGTTTGTAAGCTTCTTCGCTGCGTCTTTGAGGTTGTCGGCGCTGTTGGTCCAGGTTACCAGGATATCTGCGTCGGTGGCCGAGTCCGGGATCGGGGCCTTGACGTCGTACGGGACGAGGTCGGTGCTAAAGCCCTCGAGGCTCTGGATGTCGAGTTTGAGGGAGGTGGGGTAGAGGAGCTTCATAGCAGCGGCGGTGGTATTGGTGTTTGCAAGGGAAGAGTACAATAGACGTCTAGATGGGGATGTGAGTTTAGGAGCGAGTTTGGAGAAGAGCATTGGGGGGAGATACATATAAAGAAAAGAGTAGAAGATTATTGGTTTGGAGAAAATTCGGGGTATTATACGATTGCGTGCCTAGTAGGTACCTAGGTAACACAAAGTTAGATTCAGCACGTACTTCAGGTAGCACCTACCTGCAATGCAGTATTGTTGTATAACGCGGGGGCGGAGCGGTAGCGGTATGCGGGGTCCGGTAAGAGCCTATATCGGGGATCTATCGTCATCTTGCCGGGCTATTGCGAACCGAGTAGCTTCCTCTAGCTCCTGTGGTATCCACAGCTTCGGGTTCAACCTAGGTAAGTAATGGGAAGGTACGTCATATAATTTGCAAGGTTTGTCATTGGATGGTGTCGACGACATATGTAAGTTGGTACAGAATGCAGTATACATACAATAACGCTAACAAATCATCAAACTGTCCAAATATACATATAGTAGTAGACAGTCATGTTTCATTCATCTAGTTAGTTGGTACAGCGATTTAATCTAGTGAACACTTAACCCACGACGGGGTAATTATTTAGACATCATAGAATCTTTGGAAGTTAAGGAAAAGGGGACGGGGTATATCATCAGAAAAGCAAACCTCACCTTACATACCCAGCATATGCTCAATCGGAAGTCGTATTAGACTTGACTAAAGACTTAATACGAAACACAATCCAGCAAAGTCATATGAATGCCCTCGATTGTATTCACGATCTCCAGTCCCCAGCTGAACACCGCAAATGACTCACTAAGCACATGCCCTAATATCAATTTCCCCATCATTACCGCCCCCATGCCATGCCTCGTTGCCGGAGAAAACCATCGTAGGCCATAATCAATTTCTTGATGCAACCCATATCGGCTAGACGCCGACCGACCACAAGCTATTCCCGTCGGTGCTTGTGGGCGAGAAAAAAGACGAGCTCTGTATTTCAAGAGCAAGAAGACGTGAAATAGAAATCAAAGAAACATGTACCGGCCAGTGGAAATCACCCCGACGGCGAGTACGGTCTGCTTCCATTTGCAATTCCACAATCCGAGTTTTTGTTTTTTACCCCATCGTCAAATGCGAATGAGGTTTATGCAAGTGAGCGATCTGAGAAAGGCGATTGTAGACGATAACGAAAGATGGAGGTTTCGAATGACTTGCAGATCTTATAAGCCGATCTCTGTTGGGTCAACGAATTCCATGTCCTTCTAGCAGGTTGAATCGTCCAAGCTTTCTAGCCCAATGCCACTCAAGCCGTCTTCGCAAGGGCTTTCTCCGCCTGCCACTGAGCGCACTTTCGGGCACGTCGGTCTCCGGACCCCTAGTTCACGGGGAGTCTATCCATGCGTCCGGTGCCCTTCGGCGCAAGCCAATCTTTCTCGACCAGTTCTTCACGGGATGGATACATGTGACGATACGCAGTTCTAATGGTGCCGTCACTAACGCCAGCCACATGCGCGATGTCTCTAGATGTCTTCGGATCACCCATGAGATGGGACGCCATGTAGATAGAGGCGGCCGCAATTGATAGCGGAGATCGACCCGCAAGGTCCTTTAGAGACGAACTCTTCTCCGCCAGGGTCTTGGAGATCTTCTCCATAAGGTGAGGATTCTTAAAGAGGAGGTTGTTGCAGTATCGAGCACATAGCTCAGCCGCGCCGGTCGTACCGGTGGCTTCCCAGTTCTCGACCATGAGGAACGACCCGCTCGTGTTCGCTTCGCGGTTGCTCTGCAGGAATTTCTCAAGCGCCTTAAACGTGCGGCCGATCTCCTTCTTCGAGACTTTGGTCAATGAATAGATTTCCCTAAAAGTTCTCGGAGCTTTGGACTGGCGGCATGCGACGAAGATACACCCAGCGATGACAGCCTCTTGTGGCTTGCCTTTGAACAATTTGTTATCCTCGGTCAGTTTGAAGATATGCTTGGCAGAATCTTGAGTAGTCTTTGGAATGCTAATAGCTTCACAAAGATTGCTTATCTCACGGTACGCGGCTAAGAGGGTTTTCGTGGCCTTGTCGTTGACGGCTCGGTTCTGGGCGCGATGCAGCTCGCGCGCGCGCATGCCCTCGCCGAAAGCGATACCGGTCTCAAGTTGGGAGCCGTTTAGGAGAGGATTAAGAGCGTCACCGACACGAGATGGATCGTCATTGCCTTGATCGTCATTGGCAAAAGTACGCCATTCACTTCGCGTATCGATGATACGATCGCCAAGAACCAGGCCGCAGGAGCCACACACCATATCGCCCGACGAAAACTCTTCGACAAGATTGGGAGGGTCTTCTTTACAGTCGGGACATTTTAATCGCTTGTTGAGATTCTCCTTGTACTCTTCTTCATCGGGGGCACCATCCTGGGCGCCATTTGAAGCACCGTTCGAAGCGCCGTTCTGAGCGCCGTTCTGGGTAGCAGGAGCTGGTCCATAACCCAAAGCAGCGAAGTCGATTTCCGGGCGGGGCGCCGCGGTCGCCATCATGGCAGGATTACAATATGTCGGTTGCGATGGCGGTGGTGACGTGGGATGAGAGCGCGGTTGATGATAAAAGTTGTTGTAGAAGGGAAAAAAGTAATACGACGGTGTGGAAAGAAGGCGCAAACATTAGTTGCGAGGAAGATGCCTGTGGAATGTCAGAGTGGGTCTCAGAAAAAGGTAAAATTATTATTAAGCAAAAGCAATTGGTCAAACATTGAAAGTCGGGTACATAGGTACATAAGTACTTCGTACTAGTTAAGTCGGTACGTACCTGCGTACTTGAGCTGGCTAGCGCGGTACCTAGGTACTTCGGAATTGCTAGGTCTCGAAATGTGGTTTGTCGAATCGTGATGATGAGGAAGATGAAGATTACTAAATAAATGAAATCAGAAAACGTTCTGTGTTCAAGGAATTCTTCAGATGAAATATTATAATTACTTCTCAGATATGTGGTGGTAATAAAGAGAAAACAGTCTGTTTTATGAATAGAAAGGAAAGAAAAGAGTAATCTACCAGCAGGTAAATCCTCTTTGTGGTTGTTCGTTCACCTTTTTGACCGGTTTAGGTGAACACAGCACACCGCAGTAATTGTGTGTGTACAAGGTTTGTGTTGAACAAGGCTGGACTTTGTTATTGTTATATAGTTTTGTGCCAAACTCTACGAAGTAGGTAGAAATTTGTTAGGAAACATCTCCAGGGCTAGCAAATGAGTGTAGCTATCATGGCACATGGCTGTATGGTGAGATGGATTGTGATTGGTCTGTGCGCCGAAAAGCAGCAAAATCATTCAAATTCCCACCTCAACAGAGTACAGTACAGATATCACTTAAAGCTTTAATCATTATCATAGATCCTATAACTAATTGTACGGTAGCCTTGTTGCAATCCTCCAACGCCGATGCGATGCTCCCTGTGGTATCAATTAAATGAAATCCCTAGTCCTTGCAGTGTTATCTATACCCGGATAATTCGAAAATAATGAGAAGTAGTGTGACTATTCGAAATTCGAAATAAGAACTCGTATTCCAGTTATGAAGGAATGATTAATCGTGGTGGTTGCGGCCCTCGATTCGGCGACGGTCCTCTTGACGGCTGTGGAAACGCCAACTGAGGTTGTGGTAGAAGCGCCGGATGGATTCCCATCTCTGTATTATGTACCCCAGGTGTTACTCCCGATCCTTGAGTCCCTGCTTCCAATTCCTTCCAGTTCTCCCTCGGCGGCATCATCGGCGCCATGGGTTGATGTTCCTCTTGCGATTGCCGGCCAAACTCGTCCATCTGATAATCCGATATCCCCGAATATCTTAAGCTGTTCCCACCCCACGAAGATGTCCGACTGGCTAGTGACTTTCGTATCATCGCAGCCCGTTCTATTTCCTCCGCCGCCTGGCGATCTGTCTCGCTCATATTCCGTCTATGGCGATCTTTCCGACCGAATGGGTCTTGATAGACATGATGTACGGTGCGTCGTCGTTTTCTCGTGAAGTGGATTAACAGGAAGACAAATAGCGATGTTAAGATGAGAGCTCCAACGACGATGACGATTATTAACCACGGTTCCATTGTGGTTCCGGTAGTGGCAGCCTCCCTTGATTCTGGTGGAGAATCTAGTTGTGCATCGAACGCATCATTTGCCGTACGGGGATATAAAGCCGGCGACATGTTAGTTTCGTCATACACTGCAGGTGATATTCCGAAGTCGAACGAAGCGGTGACGGTAGAAGGTGGCCCCAAATATCTACCGCAACTCCATGACAAGGCTAGAAAAAGAAATCAGATGTGTATGGTGTGAACGAAGTGGGAAGATGACATCTTTTAAGTCTTGATCTTCCCCCCGCGTTCCCAGCGACAGCCATAGCCTGGCATCCAACGTATCACTTGGGAATACGAGAAGATACCGATTGGAATGACCGAGACAAGATTCTATTATTGGACCAATCAAATCTGACCCGTCACCTATATGGGGTTACATGCTACATACGACATGCCGCCCACCTATACGGGACCATGACGGGGTTATCAGAATCCCTGCAATACAAATCGGGAGACATGGGAGAGAGGCGCTGCAAATGGCAGACCCAACTATTGTCATCCATGCGTAATGATGTACACCTTAGGTGAAGACAAAAAAAGGCCAACATACCAGTGTTGCCTCTCTGCCCAGACAGATGTTAGTTCAAAAATTCGCATACTCCCCTCAACACGTACGAGGTATATGCAGGGAATATGCTGTTTGAAGGCGTATTCAGCGCACTTCGCTTGTGCTAAGCGCTGGTCCACCTATCGCAAGGCCCTAAACGTAGTATCTGGCAAAATTCCGTCGCAAGCACTCGAGGCTGAGCCCCCTTGGAAAACGCACACATCGTGGACCTTTTCGAGGCTACGTCAACCGAGCCTACCGAAATTGAAATGCCATGAAATGCCAATAATTAATCTGTATCTTATCTAAGGCGTATCAAAGAACGCCTCGAGATTGGCGAGAAGGTTTCTGCTTTATCTTGTGTGCTTACCGGTCTGCCAGTGCAACCCATCGACTCGTATGCCTCAAGCTGATACACCTGTGTTTAAGTTTTACCACTCGCGCGGCGCAGATCATTATGATGAATGCTGTGATACGGTGATTCTTGTCAGGCTGTAAAGTTGACAAGTTGACAAATCGACAACCAATCTCGGAACTTTGTTGTTGGTAGGACGCTTTCCCGCAAGGGGTAAAGCACATCATGCGTATCTATTTCAGGCTTGATTTGGCGACGGGTACGCTAACAGCTTTGGTTTGTTTTCTGTTTTCTTCCCTAACTCAAATTAGCTATTTTGTGCCCGCAATCATTGCACTGCCCACCGTTCCTTTCCGTTCGCAAGGATATTTGAGTCTCAGCTGCTCATATGTGCCGGGTTATTTTATGATAGCTCCAATTGAAAAAAAATAAACCAACAATAACGATCGACGAATCCTTTTGATAAGAACTAGTCTGGCGTTTATGATGAAAAGAATATCTTGTCAGCTTACTACCGCGGCGCCGCCAACTAGAACCGCAATGGGAAATACATTCTTTGCCCATCGCGGCAAGGGATGCGGATATGAATTCAGGAACCATTTTCTTCCCACTAAGAATAGCTTATTAATGGAGATTGTGGGGTAAACGTTCTGGGACTCCAACTGATCGGGGATAGCGGCCGCTTCTCGCTATTGAGAACTCCACCTCCGATGTTCAGACCGCGGCATTCGTTTGAATGATCCTCCGTGCCTGATGAGGACGTCCGATGAGAAACCTTCCATGGCGTTGCATACGTAAACGCCAATTCTTTCATTGAACATCGTCCTGTCTTAGCTTCGCTTTGGCCCACGACCTTGGAGGCGTCAGCTTGTAAATTCTAAGTTACTACACTACACGAAGATCTCGGGTACCCGCCGATATAGCCATTCTTCTATGTCTCACACATCAATATCACCAATAAATCGTCATGTTCAGTCGCACTATAGCTCGCGCCAGTCGTGGCACGACGCTCCTTAGGAGTTGTCAGCAAGGCAGCTTAGTACGCCGCTATTCTGTCGTGAAAGATGAAAGACCGTCGTCACTGCCTTTGGCAGGTTACCGCGTGTTGGACATGACTAGGGTTTTAGCTGGCGTATGTAGCGATGATCCTTCCAGCCTCAGCTATGTGCGCACTCGCTTACTTTGACTTTGCCGTAGCCGTATTGTACACAGATCCTTGGCGACCTTGGGTATAAACGATACATCATTTTTTATGACGCAAAGATTACCTTGAGCTAATACCGTATCGAATACAAGCGCAGAAGTAATCAAAATCGAGCACCCGACGCGCGGGGATGATACGCGAGCTTGGGGGCCGCCATATGCAGCCTACCGAGACGGATCTCACCTCGAAGGTCCAGGTGAATCTGCCTACTTCTTAGGTGTAAGTCGCCCGTCGCACAGCCGCAGATGCTGTGATGCATCATTAATCCTAATTTCTATTTAGGTAAATCGCAATAAGAAGTCGGTCGGCCTATCTTTTCAACATGCCGAGGGTGTGGAGATCCTGCACAAGCTTGCAGCGAAATGCGATATCCTGGTTGAGAATTACCTGCCAGGCACACTGAAAAAGTACGGCATGGACTTCGAAACGTTACATAAAATCAACCCTAGCTTGATTTATGCCTCGATCACGGGGTACGGTCAAACGGGGCCGTACTCTCAGCGAGCCGGATACGACGTCATGGTGGAAGCGGAGTTTGGGCTGATGCATATTACCGGTAATCGAGACGGACCTCCGGTGAAAGTCGGCGTCGCTGTCACGGATTTAACCACCGGCCTTTACACCAGTAATAGTATCATGGCAGCCCTTCTGTCTCGCGCCAAAACAGGTCGTGGCCAGCATATCGATGTCGCCCTAAGCGATTGCCAAACCGCAACGCTTGCCAATATCGCAAGTAGTTGTCTTATCAGTGGGAAGAAAGACTCGGGTAGATGGGGCACAGCTCATCGTAAGCATAGAAAAAATATTTATTACTGTGGTTGACTCGCTAATGATATCGCAGCATCGATTGTGCCATACAAATCGTTTAAGACGAAAGATGGAGATGTGCTCTTCGGTGGCGGAAACGACAGATTATTCGGGATCCTGTGCGACGGTCTAGGGCGACCAGAGTGGAAGACGGATCCGAAATATAGCGTCAACTCGCAACGGGTAGCCAACCGGGTTGAGCTTGAAGACGAGATCGAAAAAATTAGTACCCAGAAGACGACACAGGAGTGGCTAAAAGTCTTCGAAGGAAAGGGCATGCCATACGCTGCTGTCAACGATGTCCAGGGCGCACTAAATCACGAGCATACCAAGGCTCGGAATATGGTGGTTGAGGTAGAACATGGCCAATGTGGCTCGATCAAGTTGGTCAACACACCTGTTAAATACAGCGAGAGTAACCCTAGTGTCCGAATTGCACCTCCAACACTAGGCCAACATACGGATGAAATCCTATCAGAGATTCTTGGGTTGGACGCTGGTGAGGTAACTGCACTGAAGGAGAAAGGAGCTGTAAGGTAAAATCTAATTGAATCATGACTAAAAGAATATATAATTCAAGCAGACCAGTTTCATGTTTTTCTCGTCCGTCTTTGTCGTCTGATCTGATTCTAGTCACAAAAAGTAACATTTGGTGATGGGGGAGAAAGTGGTTTGAAATAGGTTGAGGGGGATTGGTGGAACTCGAGGATAGCTATGGCATATCACTATATCGAAGGTGGGTATCTTATCCATTTCTTAACCTTAAAATATTCAACAACACAAAAGAAGGTCTAAACTTAGTTAAGATTTGAAACACTGTCAAGTCCAAATAAGTTGATAGCTTGGGCAGGAGCCTCCAAGAAATCACACCATCACGTGAATATCACGTGCAACGGCCTCCACCTATGAATTTCAACCTTCCATATTCAATTCAATAACTTTTACATCTTCTAGTAAGACGATCAAGAGATTGAATACAAGTCTACGAGCAGACGTTTTTCCCGGTGCGCGGATACTTAAATATTGTCACCTTTTTATGGTAGGTCATCATCGTCAATTCCGTCGTCGCAGCCACCACTAACACAATCCCGCAGCACCCAAATAAAGTGGTGTGATCATCCTTTTCAATTGCCACTCTTTAATCGTCATGTCGACGGAGGAGAAAACCATGGATTCCACCATCCAGGAGGAAAAGGGCAATACGCCTGCAACACCAGTCGAAGCTGCAGCGCCTTCGCAACCCGTACAAATTTCAGCCCCCAAAGCATCAAGCCCAGCGCCAAGTACAGCTAGCTCCACTGGTCGCCCTCCGTACATCCCGCAATTCTCGGCAGCGACGCAGATGATCTTGAAGCGGATAAATTCCAAGCCAGGAAGTCTGTCGTCGGCCCTCTCATCCGCATCATCCACCGTGACCAAGACGAGCATTGAAAAGTCGACGTACGAGGACGCTAAGAGACGCCTCGTCATGAACATGAACACATCACTAACCATGTCAATGCCCATGCCCATGCCCAAACAGTCATCCTCGTATTCGAGCAAACAGAAATTCTCAACCGCAACCACCATGCGCATGCCCATGAACGACGCCTTCCAGCTGCGCACGCCTGCTCCGGCCAAGACCCCGACGCAGGCCACAGCCAAGTCGGCACCGTCAGCACCAGCATCATCGACTCCGGCGCAAAAGCCGCTGCCCGCGAAACTTAAGAGCAAAGCGCAGCGCGGTACAAAACGCAAGCGCGGCAAGGACGACAACGACGAAGACGGGACCTCAAGCCTAAGCGAGCTCTCCTCAAGCGAAGGCTCAGGTCCCACCCCCACCGCCTCCGCGTCCGCACGGGAAGCGCAATCCGTCCTCACCATGACAAAATCCGGACGCCAAGTACAGAAACCCTCGCAATACAACCCATCCGCGCAATCCGCACGCGACGCGGCGCAGAAGCGCAAAGCATACGGCAAACAGCGGACGTTTGAGCAGGCGTTATGCAAGGTATGCACGCGCGGACTGAGCCTAGCGGCGAATCAGGTGGTTTTCTGCGACGGGTGTAATTGCTGCTGGCACCAGATGTGCCACGACCCGTATATCGACGACGACTTCGTTAGCAACGAGGCGCGCTCGTGGTTCTGCCGCGGGTGCGTGGCGAAGCGGGAGAGACACCTTGCGCGCAAGAAGAGTTTAGATGGGTTTAAGGGGGTTGGATGGGCGGGAAAGAGTGGAGAGCAGGTATGTTTGATTTTATTTATTTTCATTTATTGATGAGATGGCAGGGTGTAGATGGTACTTAGGGGGAAGTTCTAACAGCTACATAGAAGCGATCGTATCTCTCCGGCGTCCCCCACGCCCAGCTCGTCAACATCATCATGTACAGCACGGAACTACACCCCGACCTCCCGATCTTCCCAGCCAACGAACCTAAGCGTGGCGGCACCCAAGCGGGCCGCCCGTCTTCGTACGATAGCGCGCGCGTGAAGACGGACTCGAACATCAACGTCGGTCCCACCCACTACTCCAGCAAGGTATCGACGCCAGACTCGCACTCCGTAACCGTAAAGAGCAGCACTACGAAAGGAAGCACGGCCGAGAGCCAAGCCCAGGCGACCAGAGAATCATCGACCGAGTCCGTACCCGCAGCCTGGCCTAAAGTCGGGCAAGGATGTCTGGTGGGGTTAGAGATGGATGAGGATGATCTAAAGGACGATAACGACTACGAGGCCTTTAGCGTCACGTCGTACGATGCGAAGGGCAAGAAGATCATGGAGAATGGGATGGCTGTATGAAGTCATCTATGATGGCGCGTTGCTGTAATATAGGCGAGCATTGAAGCCCGCGATTCGGAATGACGAATTCAAGAAGGATCGCAAAATACCCTAGTTGTCGAAGGGTGCAAGGCTATTGTAAGTTCGTGGAATGGAGTGTGTATATTGTACAGAGGCTGTCAATAACGATCAATTACTGTGTGTAACCATGGTCACTTAACATGTTTAATTGCTAATGCTAGCCTAGATTAACACTGGCATTAATATAATTTGAGTGGACAATACCTCCATAGTCAAGACCCTATTGGGATTTTCTTCCCTGTCCATAGGCAAGTTCTCAAGTAATGTACATGCATTGGCAGTCAAGCCGACCATTTTCCTGTATTTGTTGACTCTTTGTTGCGTACTGGGCATACATAAGACTGCAAGCCTGGGGTGTTATTTCACACATTACAAATAGCCACAAGCCAACTTAGTCCCCGCAACATTCGCTTTGCCATACATTCGTTATAATCGTTCTCGAGATCTACCAGACGCAAGAAACGTGCATTGCATCAATTAGTATAGACAAAATGATGGTTGTACAAATGGACCATGTCTCCCGAAAGCTCCTCACATAGGACAAGCTACTACTACTCAATTTCAACAGAGTAGGCATCCGCTATTCGACACAGCTCCTCGTCCTCGATAGCACCAATATCCGGATTCCGGAGCAAGGGCGGTATATCCTTGCCTCTCAAGATATGGACCATGATCTTGGATATTGCACGTAATGGTCTAGAAGATAAGAATTGTTTCGTAAAAGCCGATCTAATATCGCAGAAACAGAAGAATTGTCAAACTCTTTCCACTCCATCTAGTGCCAAGACGAAAAACTTTGCCAAGAGCAGAGACGCCTAGAAGAATCGTCCATGCTGCCTCCGAAAGGTATATAATATGAAAGATGAAATCGGTGAGAAATTTGCACAGTAAAATGACTCACAGCTTCGTAAGATCGATTGCGCAACAATAACCTTGGAAGCTCAAATGGGTTCCGATCAGCACTGGGGTGCACTATCCGATGTGTAAGGTTCCTAGCCAGCTTAAAGATCTGTTTGCAAGCCACGCCGTTACATTTAGAGTGGGGGTGGCTGGAAAAAATGACGGAGATGAGAAAGTTCAGAAAGAAAGAAAACCAGATTGGACTCAGGCCAGATATTCAATGTTATCTCCAAGTTCCTTAGATACCTAATAAGTATTAGGTAGATGGTGAATATGAATTCAAATCGTTAACAAAATTAATAGATAAGTGCTACTAAATACACGAATGGAAATGGTGAAATTTCACAAAAAGAAGAACGACCACCACGGGACTCGAACCCGCAATCTTCACCATGTTCCAGGGAATTAACCGGAAAGTGACGCGATACCATTTCGCCAGGCAGCCCAACTAACAATTGGGAGGTGGGGTTGTTGTGTTGTTAACTCTGACGAAAACTTAGACTATATACCATCAGTGTTTTGTTCACCCCCTAGCCCCTTTTTGGGGGGGTTTCCTGCATGACACTATCACCACAACCTGTAACTTCGAATAATCCATGATACAGCAATAGGTACCTCACATATATCAAATGAGCATATAGCATAATATGTCGTCATTATCGCTTTATATTTTTTTGAGTACCCTTCGTTTTCTGTATTGCATGCGTAATGGATATGGTCAGTTTGTGATATCCTACGTTAGAAATTACCTTTCTACTAGGTACCTAAGTAGTAGTCTTGGAGACCCTAATGCTTAATTGAAATTTACAGTGAAGTTTACATGGAGCTTACTGTTTACCCAGTCTTGTCTTTTTCACATTCGCATCAAAGTACCATTAATTGCAGTTAACAGAATGTAGAGTTTACCACGTTTGCTCTGGTTTATATAGCCTTCATAGGTTGATAGTTGCTCTTTTGGGAATTATTGGATAGATCTACCTAGTCTTCTTCTTTTGAAGAGCTACTTTCTCTTTTCTAGAGGCTAGTTTTGCCATATGTAGTAGCATTAGACGTGTACATAAATATCTGATAAAGAACGCCATGAGATTTACTAAGTATACTGAGTTGAGATGCCGTGAATGTCTAATTTCCTAGGCACCTAGGTAGTTGGATGTTTGATTTACCATGATCTTAGGGTTCCAGTCAATACTTCTAATAAATAAACCCATCATTAATAGCACATTCGATGAATTTCTAAGTAGTCATCTTTTCTATTCCTCCCAATTGGGCACCGTCAGTTACACATATCCGTACTATTAAGGTAGGTACCTGGGTAATAAATTAAAGAACCCAATAACGGTCGAGTCATTTGATAGAAGACGGAGTTTCGAACTATTCCCACGTCTGCCACCCGAGCTACGTCTCATGATCTGGAGAGCAGCCCTAGATTTTGAGTATGATATACTGTAGCTACCTACATTCATATTCACCAATTCAGAAAAGTTTTATTTGTGCAACGAGACAACGCATCACGCATCATCCGGGCCTGCCATGAGAGTAGATCTCTAGGTAACCAATGCATTCTACTTGACCATCCTCGCCGTCCACTCATTAAACTTTTGGAATGAATTTAATAGCTCTTCGAGGGGTTATAATATAGGTACGTATCAACCTAGAGTGTGCCACGCTACCTAATTTATGACGACTATTCAATCTACACCAGTCCTAGCTGTTGGACTCGGAGATGTGACTTAGGTACCCGAAGAAGATAACAAGCTACTCCATAATGACACAGATTCGTGTTTTGGCACGATCAGATGGTGCGAATAAGAAGGCCCCGAAAAAGGAAAAGGTATCAGCATATGTAGGATGAGTTTATAACCGCAGGTGATAAACGAAACTTACCTTCGATACAGCGACCAACAGAAGAAATCTATTGAGGGGAGTACACTTTTAAGGTCCGGTACTGCATTTACCAGCAAACCTCACATAAATAGCAGAATCAAATAAACATTTAATCAACCACTTTCTCATTTTATGTGCCTATTTGAAAAAGTCCCCTTTCGAGAACCACACCTAGCTACGCCCCCGCACATGTAACACAGCGCAAACCCGCTGTCTATTCGCCTTTTTCTTTTTGATTCTTTCCTCTCCAGCCCATGCCCAGCGCGGGATTATGCAAGCCTGACATACTCACACCTCCCCTGTCCTGCCGGGAATATGATGCAATGCATTGTCTGTCGCCCTGATCCTCCTCATGCTTTCGTGAAAGGGGTCCGATGATAGATGAAATAATGGAAAGATGACGAGGGATGATAAATGCCGAATCGTTTCATAATACGGCGTGCCCCCTGTTGAGGATCTATCACGCAAATGCGGTAACCTCCGGCCACTTCTCATGGGCTGCCTTCTTAAAAGCTTCAGCCTCATTACTGCGCCATTGCTCCAAGAGAGCCAGAGCTTCTGTTGCCTGGTCATACTGGATATCCTTCAGGTTGAGGACTCCCGCGAGATCCTTCTCGTTCTTTGTCTTGTCTTCTCCTAGCAACCTCTCTATCTTGAAATGGGAGATAACGTGTTCAGCGCTGTCCTTATGCTTTTCATGGAAATCGGCATTGAACTTCTTGAGGTCTGCCGAGGCGTCTATGGCGGTGAATCCAGACTTCAATACTTCAACAACCTTGGGAGGTAGAGATCCGAGCTTCTCGTTGAGAATTTGACGGAATCGGACAACCTGTTCGTGGACTGCGGGATGATCTGGATCTATTACCAATGCGGCATTCAGGCATCGAAGGGCGAGGAGGTATTTTTCTAACGATGTTAGCATGTGAACTCACACAAATCACGATCTCTGACATTACCTCTTCGAATGAAAACCTCGAAACCGGCAATTTGCCCATCGATGTACTTAGGACTGTATTGAAGAATAGGGGCGAGGAATTTTGTCGCTTCGGCCAAGGGCTCGGTTGTCGAAACGAGTCGGAATCCATGAGGGTCATCATCCCTCTTGATAGGCTCAGCGGAGGCTTTTGATTTGTTAGGGTCCTGCTTGGCGGCTCTCTCGACTGCTTCTCGCTCGGCTTTTTGCGCCTCCTTCTTGGCTTTCTTGGCAGCTTTCTTCCTTTCCGCGGCGTCGTCTCCGTTGGCGCCCGCAGATCCACCTACGCCATTGATCGCCTGAGTGCTATCATACATACTCACGTATATCGCAATGGCGCCGAGGGCGGCACGGGTGTAGAATGGATGCTCACGAATATGGTCCTCCCATCGAATCATATCCACGTATGCACGGATTTGGCCTTTTCGCAATGAAAAGCTGTGGAAGTCAAATTGATCCTCTTGCCATACCTCAAAGATATTGTAGACGGAATGAAATCGCTTGAGGGCCAGCCCGATGTTTCTGTTGCGCACCCATGCTTCCCCGTCTTCTGTCAGGTACCACACACTCTGCATTTCCAGTAGATCGTTCAGAGGACCACCAGTTGTATCATTCCTCGTGAAAAGACCCATCGTCTTCAAAGCAGCCTCACTCTCGTTGTTTCGAAGTTGGTATTTCGCCGCCTTGGTGTTGATGTATCGATCCTTGAGATCAAGTTGACGTGCCTGGTCCATAGTCTCCGAAGCTTTTTGGCTGTTGCCGTAGTGTTTCCATATCCTGGCCTTGGTCATATGGAATTCGACATTGTCAGGTGATAATTCGATCCCCTTATTAACGAATTCCATCGCCTTCGCGAGATCACGACTTAGATGGTAATTGTAATGCTGCGCAAGGTAGTACAATGCTGCTGGCTCCCCCTTTAATGCATCTCCATTCGCGGTTATATTCTCGCCGGAAGAAGTACGTTTTGATTCGAGATACTCGTGGGCTAAGGACCCGAGAGTATCTCGTTTGGATGAATCAGTATAGAGATGCTTAAGATTTGCAAAGGTTGAAGGAACCCCCTTATCTAACATCAGTGTTAAGTAGCTTTGGGCTGCTTCTCGGAAATCGTCACCTAAAAACCTATAAGCGCTTCGCAGGCTAAGAAAGACAGATTCTACGACACTCACCGACGAGGAAGTCTAGGGGTAATCGTTTAGCAGCGTCGGAACGAGGGTTCTTTTCCGCGTATTCATCGTATATAGCCCTTTTAGCTGCATAGTCGCTAGAATCAATGCCTAAAACATTCACAAGGCGGGTGTAGTAGTCGGGATGTTCCGGATTACGATCCAGTAGGGCACGATAGGCGTCTGCTGCCTCTTCCTTTCTGTCTAGTTTCGACAGATACTCGGCACGGAGTTCCATGACGGCTAAGCGGTCAAGATTATACTTTGCAACGGACTCTAGGTGATCCAGGGCTTTCTGGTAGTCCTGCATCTCGGCAATTATAGAATTCTTGTACATAACAGCCTCCGAGTTCTCGTAATCGGTCTTGGACGGTGGTACCTTCAAGGACTCTTCGTAGGTAGTCAGGACCTTTTCGGCCTGGGAAAGATTACCAGCTAGGTGCTGCGCAACTGCAAGCGCAGTCCAGTTCTGCCTTAACTGGGGCCTGGCCTGAAGCATAGAGGTTCTGCTATGTATGTAGCCTTGATAGTCGCGCATTTGAACTTGGAGGAAGGCAAGGTCTCTCTGGATCTGATGGGATTCGGGTTCCAGTTTCAGGGCGAACTTGTAGGCCTTGATAGCCTCCTCGAAGTTTTTCTGGTGTCGGTATAACAATCCATAAACATGCCAACATATGTGAGATTTCATGTCGGCTGTTAAGGCCTCCTTTCCTAACGCGAATGCTTCCTCCGTCTTGCCCTGTTGGTTGATGATCAATGCTTTCATGGCCATCGTATCACCGTGCTTAGGGTTCTTCTTAAGGATCTGCTCGGCCGCCTTCAAGCCCCTCTTGTACTGTTTGTCTTCATAGTTGCGGATGACCTGCCGAAAGAGAGAGTTCTCTTTCGAGCTGAGTGGTTGTGGCATGGTCGATATTTATGAGTGACTCCCCCACCAAAGCCTCACATGAAGCGGCACCGGTAGTCTCGTGGATGGTATTCTTTGGGCGTGGAATGTTCTGGTTTCAGGGTTACTATGGAACTTGGTCTCGTTAGTGAGCTAATTCAAGATATTTAACTACGATATAGCTGGTAAGATTAGGTATACATGGTAACGTTATGCTAACCTCAAAATGGTACCTTCACGCGAAGTTCAATAATTGAACTATTGGAGGTATCTGGAGATATGCAGCCAACTTCAAATAACGACGGCGTGGAATTTGGTTGTGTATTTGTTTTTTTGTGACAGGTTGTAGGCGGAATAAGTTGGAGCTCGGAGCTTTGCGATTGCCTACGGAATACTTTTAGCGGTGGTAAAGTGGGATGTCATTCGGGTACGAAATACGACAAGTAAAAAAAATACATACTAGATAGAGCTTTAATTCTACCGATAATTGACCGATCAATAAATGCAACTAAAGAATCCTTACCTAGGTCACTTATTTTTATATGCGGTTTACTCACCTATCGACTAGTGAATATCCTAATGTGGGGTATTTGGGTACTTAGGGAGCATATGATACGTGGAATCTAGATATATGGTGCCGTCACTAGCTGGATAAATAAAGGATGGATTGCAGCTTATATGGTTTGGTATATTACATTGTAGTGGTGAGGGTACCGGTGTGGCCAATATGAGGACACGGAGTAGGAAGATACTAAAGTACTTACCCACTCCACGATATGTGAAGCCACCGATATATATAGAATTCGCTTAGAACACTTTTCCCGGTCTATGTTATTTACCACGACGTTCCCTTTCTGTCCTCCAGCGATTAAGAGCTTCCTCGGCATCAAGGAAGCTATCTCCGCACCGTTCCCGTACTAAGCCCCACGTTCGAGAACGGACGATGTTTTCGACACCTCTTTCTTGTCGAAGAAGGTTCGCTAGTTGCTCCGTGCGAGGTTCCCGGGGGAAGTATCGTGCAGAATATGGATCTAATCTCTCATCGATTACTCGCTCGCGGTTTTTCTCCGTTTCAGTCTCTCGTAGACCAACCTCGGGGTCGTCTGGATCTGGACTGGTCGCTACATACGCGCAGTAAGTCAAGACATCTGATCTTGCCTGCCATGAAGGGAACAAGACCTTATTCTTGAATGCCTGACATGCTTCAGGATCGATAATCCGATCAGGCCCTCGCGGGATCCGCACGGAGGTTGAAGCAGGGTCAAAGCCCGACTTAGAAGGCGTCACTAGAGCATTGAGGTTTTGCGTTATTGAATCGTCTATTGCGCCACGAGATATCCGGAGGAAGTCTTGCGAACGGTAAGCGCTTGAACTCAAACAATAGTTACCAACATGGAGGGCACACCTCTAAGGGCTATAGTCGAGAAGCAAAACTGCGGCGTCAGGTGTGGCTGAACAGATGGTTCGGCCATGGTATCGCGAGAGGCTGGTCTCTCGGAGACACTCCTCGCATCGACGGCATCCGTCGGAGCCGGTCTTCGAGACCAAAGTATTCCAGCCAGGATGAGATATTTGAGCTTATTATATCTTAGTCTATAGACTAATTTAATGGAGCTATACAATCATTTCTGATCTACAACTCTCTAAGTAGCCGTGATAGGTTGTGTTGTTATCAAAAGGTATTCCAGTTAGGAATTGTAGATTGCAAGTGATGACGGAGTTTAGAAGTTCGAATGTTGAATGATGGATTGGAGAAAGTGGATCTTGTGCTTTGTCACTCCTAGAAACAGTCATATAGGAATATGCAACTAAAGTGTCTAGATATTCCAGATGACCAGGAAGATAAGACCTCATTTAATGCATCAGGCTGATTACGCGACACGCCTGCCTGGGGAAGCTACAAGGTACCACGGGTACCTACCTGCAAGCGCTAGCCTCGCCCCAATATTTTGTACCATTACCAGGTACCGAAGCTTTACGTTTTAGAAGCTCCATTTCATCACCTCACCTAGCAAGGTTCAACACTTCAGAATTACAAACATCAAATTCATCCACCAGTTAACGCAATAAACCGACTATTCCCATAATTGAAAAGCGTCTACACAAACTAAACGCGCACTCCTTCCAACATTCGCAGAAAATATCTAGCATCTCCTTTCGTTTCTGTTTCTCCATCAACGCCATATCCACAGATCCATCATGTCGAGTACCCAAGATATGGAGGGCCTCGAGCGCCGCGGGTCCGACGATGGTAAGGATAAGAAGGACGGACGAGGCGACGACGCACCAAAGGACGGCAATGGCAACGTTAACCGCGATGGTGATGCCGTGATGAAGGATGCCGAACCAGAAGAGGAGGAGATTCTAGACGAGGAAACCTTAGGTCTCACCACAGAAGACCTGAAGACCCGAAAACGACTACTAGAGAATGATGCTAGAATCATGAAGAGCGAGTTCCAACGGTTATCGCACGAGAAGGCGACCATGGCCGAGAGAATCAAGGAGAACGAGGAGAAGATCGCAAATAATCGGTTCGTCTTACTACACTCTAATATCTAGAACTTCTAACCCTTCAGCTCAGCTTGCTAACTATTCCCAAGTCAATTGCCTTATCTCGTTGGTAACGTCGTTGAGCTTCTCGATCTTGATCCTACCGCCGAATCATCCGAAGAAGGCGCCAACATCGATCTCGATGCCACTAGGGTGGGCAAGTCCGCCGTCATCAAAACATCCACTAGACAAACCATCTTCCTACCCTTGATCGGCCTCGTCGACCCGGAAACCCTCAAGCCGGGCGATCTCATAGGTGTTAACAAGGACTCGTACCTAATCCTTGATACCCTACCTGCCGAATATGACAGCCGTGTGAAAGCTATGGAGGTTGACGAGAAACCAACCGAGAAGTACAGTGATGTTGGTGGCTTAGATAAGCAAATAGAGGAACTCGTTGAGGCCATCGTCTGGCCTATGAAGGAGGCGGATCGATTCAAGAAGATTGGCATCAAGGCCCCCAAAGGTTCATTGATTGCAGATCCCTAGCGTCGCAAATCTTATTGCTAACAATGCTGCAACAGGTGCCCTAATGTATGGACCACCGGGAACAGGTAAAACCCTCTTAGCTCGAGCCTGCGCCGCCCAAACCGATGCCACATTCCTGAAATTAGCCGGACCGCAATTAGTCCAGATGTTTATCGGAGATGGTGCTAAGCTAGTCCGAGATTGTTTCGCATTGGCTAAGGAGAAGGCCCCGGCCATCATCTTCATCGACGAGCTTGATGCCGTGGGCACCAAGCGTTTCGACAGCGAGAAGAGTGGTGACAGAGAAGTCCAACGAACCATGCTTGAGCTGCTAAACCAACTCGATGGCTTTGCCTCAGATGATCGCATCAAGGTTTTGGCTGCCACAAACCGTGTCGATGTCCTCGACCCCGCCCTATTACGATCAGGTCGTCTAGACCGAAAGATTGAATTCCCGCTACCTAACGAGGAAGCGAGAGCTCAGATTCTTAAGATTCACTCGCGCAAAATGAAGGTAGACGCAAGCGTTAACTGGAACGAACTGGCTCGAAGTACGGATGAATTTGGCGGTGCCATGCTGAAGGCGGTGTGTGTTGAGGCTGGTATGATCGCTTTGAGGATGGGGAAAAACAAGATCAGCCACGAGCACTATGTGGATGCGATCGCTGAAGTGCAAGCCAAGAAGAAGGAGGTGAGTCTAATTGCTATCCATTCTATTCTCGTGGATCGTTCTAAGCTAACATTACTTTGCAGACCGTCAACTTCTACGCATAAGTTTCTTAGGTGAAGCGAAAGGCAGTCATGGGATAGAGATTGCCTTGACAGCCTAGAGGAAATATGTAACATAATTAGACGTGCCTCATCGAATCGAGATGGTTCGCCGACTGCTATCATCTTCCCGTCCCCCCACCCTCAACCTCGACCTATAAGTGTTGCTCGAGCTATCAGATCCCTAGTCGATTCGCGTAGACATATCCGTACTACTTACTACACCTTAACTGCATAGGTACTAGGTAGTTGTGTTCACCGCGCCAGACAACCGTCACAGTAATGAGACAGTGAGGTCGGCTCGGTGGGTATTTTGAAATCCAACTATGTTATCTACAAATAGGAATCGGCGACGACAGCTACAATTATTTATCCACATTGTGAACCCTACTTAGAGTAATCAAGCACGGAAGGAAGCGTATCCGAATCAGTGTTATGTTGCAAAAGTCGTCATCAATGACAACATCACAAACAAGACTTCAATTGTTAAAGTCCACCAATAAGAACTCACTAAGAGATAATAAAACAGCGAGAAATCGATGTCTTGTCGCGTTTTTGCACTAACATTATGTTTCCTCTAGTCAGTTAATAATATATTGATTATTTCATCATTCATCTTCTTAACTAGCGAAGGATTGTGTTGAATCGTGACTACTACTAATGCGAGGTGAAATCATTAGAAAAATTACACGTGCATTAGCTTTAAGGTTCCTTCTATTCGGTACTTTACTAAAGGGGTAGATATCCAAATGAATCGCCTCTTTGAATAAGCATATAACATCCATGATAGCTCTTGACGTACAACTTGGTAGGGTTCTAAGTAACATCGCTTCGAAGCTCCTACAAGTGCCTATTTAATACGCCACATTATAAATCGGAGCTTTTAATAGTACAATTCTGCTTCAGAGACTGATGAAAACTTGGAACACTTTACAAATTACTTAGGGTTAGGATGACATGTTCTTTAGAAATGCTTGAATCTAAATGTAACCTTAAAGCTACCAAACTATTGGGCGACGAACGCAGGGACGACCAGCCCTAAACGATTCGATTCGAGTTGAGCATCGATCTAAAAGTGGAACCCCGGGATGGATGACGGAGTTCTCAAGACCGGCACCGATTTCCGGTCACGCTTTTACGGTCAGGGAAAGTGCAGCTCGCTTTTATTCTAAAAGTAAAAAGGTAGTAGGTACCTACCTACCTAGTACATATACCTAGTACTACGTTAATATCGAAGTAGGAAAGTGCCTACAGTGGGATCTAGTACTAGGCTGCAGGTACCTACCTACCTAGGTAGGTAAATGCTCATTCCACTCATTGGAGCTAAGCTTAGGTAGAACTCTTCCTCTTTCAACGACCATTCTTTAATTACTCACACGACTACTAGGTAGGTAAATAAGCAACCTTGAAGTCATAATTATAAAGTTCTTATTGTTACTAGCTAATTGTTGCCACTGCTGATGTAGCTAAGTAGCGCATTGATATAACTCTCCAGGTTCCAAGTTTGGTTCCCGATATGGAAGTGTCTCGGCGATCTTCTTTCCTCTTTTTTCCTTGTTTTTCAAGTTTTCCGTTTCTGGACCACGCGGCACTGGAAGCCCTGGCGGCCACCCAGCCACGCTTCGCTTTACGATTTGATCTTGCAGTCTTGTTCCTTCTGCCCCTGAAATATATGATCGGAATCTAGCCGTAAGCTGGTTTAATTGTGTTTCATGCGGATTCCATCAAGCTTCGGACCTTTCTCTCCACTAGAGCTAATGATGATACAAGTGCGGCTCCGGTGGAGATACTCCATGACTCTTCATATTAATCTAAAAGATCCGGGCTACAGCGGATGATAAGCCGGCGACGCATAGCTGAAGAGGTAGTTGAGGATTCCTCGCCTTATTTCTATTTTTTAACACGAGGTCTTCAGCAGCGAAGATCTCCGAGGATCCCTCGAATAGCTATCGAGCCTTCCACGCACCTTGATGCAAGAAGGGTAGCACACTCGTAGTAACTCAATGCTGTAATGAGTATCACACAATACTACGCAATGACAAGATCGATTCTTGGGGTCGGCAGTTGGTGTCCAACACCCTGTTATCAACCCCTTGCAGCCGCATCACTGTTGTACTTCAGCCCCTGCTCGGTGGAGTCCGGGGACCCGTCTTATAAGCACCCTGTCCATAACCGGAATATTCGATCATATAATTCCTAACAAGATTGAGATGAGGTTGTTGACCGATCCTATGTTAGTAGGCTAAATGAGGGATTACTCCCTACCCTCCCCGAAATCATTATACTACCCATGTATCTAGGTATGAAGATACATAGGCCGCCAGGCAGGTATGGTTCTTCTTATCTAAACGAGGGACATATCACAAATTGCATTAGCATAGGGCTGTGAGCAAGCTTTCTTCATGAAGGTAACCTGCGCTGTCTGTGGCAAACGAACCCCCTTGGCGGCTGTGCAAGTTGGCTGGTTGGTAGCTCAGATTCGAGCCCAATAAGCTGGGCGTCGGCCATGACTTCCAAATAGGTATTGAGGCTCATTCCTATTCGTAGTTCGATGTCTTCATTTGATGTCACAATTATAATCAACCCATGACGATGATCAACAAGGCATCACCTTGTTTAGCAACTGGAGGTTATACTAGTTCATCTTAAGATCAACGAGCTTGCTAAATCTCTTCACTACACAGCTACACAAGCAGACCAGCTACATTTACTAACACAACACCCCAGTACCTAGAACCTAGTAGGCTTACCTTGTCTTCAACCTTGTCTTTATAGAGCTCCAGCAAAGCTCTTATGAAACACGCAAGTAGAGCTTGCGGAGATTAACCCACTCCTATTCGTCATCAGATTAGCTAGTAACGATTCATGAGATAGGTAAACAGATGGACAAGAGCTCGTATGAGCACAAGGGAAGACCAGTGATGGTAGGCAAGAGTATAAAGTCCCGATCTTTCTCCCCCATCTCAGAATCAACCATCACATGAACTATCAGACAAAGACCCTCACATACCAACGCCCACAAAGCCTCTCTCTCAAGACTTAACAGCTTTCACTACCCGCCTCCTGCTCTACCTACCTATCAACTCACCTACTTTACTCTAACCTATACATAAAGCCATAATTAAATAAGCAACATGAAGTTCTTCACTGCAGCCCTAGCCACCATCTTCGCCGGCCTTGCCGTTGCCGCACCCACCGTTGAGGAGCGACAGACATATACCCCTTGCTCTGGCCTCTACGGCACATCCCAGTGTTGCGCGACCGACGTCCTAGGTGTTGCAGACCTGGACTGCGCCAACCCTCCTTCAGTCCCCACGGATGCTGCAAACTTCTCTTCCGAGTGCGCTGGTATCGGTCAGCGCGCACGCTGCTGCGTCCTACCCGTCCTGGGACAAGATGTCTTATGCCAGACTCCTACCGGTGTTACTAATTAGAAACACCTTATTCTTCATGTTCAAGAAGAAAACACTGTTAAGGCTTTTCGCCATTGCCAATCTTTAAATACGGGGCTTGGGTTCAAAAGATATACGGATCTCCTGGGATACACGGCTACGGGGAGTTGGAATATACATTCAGGACATACACGATGATTTAGACTGTCAGGTCTTGGGAAGGTTCTAATAGGTACTTCCATGGTATATCAGCTCGTAAGGTTCATGGATGTGATGGGCGTGGATGTACCTGGTAGGCACTTAGACTGGTATGCAATGACCTTAACATCAAAAGCAACAATTTATGTTTACAAGTCCTTACTTATTCAATCATCAATGTGAATATTGATGGTATCATGAAAATGGAACCATTAAACATTGTGATTATTATCTAAGTATCTGAGTGCTTGGTTACCTACTAGGTACCTCTAATTATCATGTCTACACCGTTTCTCTATGCTGATCTCCAGGTTTTCCCGACCTAGAGACATTATCTGAGCTTCCAACATCTATCCCAGTATCGAACATAGCTGCATCTAGATTACTTCGCAGCCCGGTTAAACGGCCATCTTCAGAAAGCCCCGGGCAGAATCCAGCGTTCCACTCTTTTCGTGACGGCCGACGGGTGTGCATTTTAGTGCGCTCCCTTGTGCGCTCCCATACCGTGATCGTTCGGATCTGCCGCTGCTGTGTGCTCCGACTTTCTTTCATTACAGGATGCATCAATCGGCGTAGGAGGGGGAATAGAAGGGGGAGATTCGTCGTCACTACCGCTACGAAACAGACTCGGTAGGCCCATCTGCTTGCCTGTTTGGCGCCAGATGTGTGCGCTGACAATATTAAGTACGCGCGCAGGATGGCCACTGCTATGACGAAGCAGTTCGCCGAAACAAGCAAGATCAATCCTATCTTCTTCCATAGCTTGATATTTGCCATCCATAGGATCGGGAGCGGTACGAAGAAGACGTAGAGGCTCGTAATAATGTTGAGACTGAGAGTGCCGTATAGGCCGTAGGGGGCGGTGGCCGGGTAGCACGTAGCTATGCACGATTAGCTTCATCCAGTACCGTAAAGATATTCTAGCGAGGATAACATACGTCCTGGGTCTGGATATACCTGCCAATTCATAGGGAACGGTCTACAGTTGAACATGGTTATGAGGAAGTCGGCTATCCACGAGGCGGCGAGTAAGGCAAACCCGACGCGTATTCGTGTTTTGTATTTTCCAAGTCGTTCCTATAAGGACATAATATTAGCCCCCCGGTATGTAAATTATGATGAAACCTAGATCAATTAGGTACTTACGGTAAGGCGTCGGCAGAATGCCAGCATTGCTGCCTTCGTCAACCACAGGACCACCGTATACAAGACCCTCGATACGATCTCGATTTTGGCACCGAGAACCCTAAATAATGTCAGTCTCCATTCCACATCCTGCTAGACAAGCCTTACCTTAGAGTGTACTCTTCGCCTTGGGGATCGAGAGACTCGCGCTGATCAGGAGACATATCGTCGTTGGCAAGACCCTTACACGTTACGAGTGCGACGTATGTACTCGCTGCCAGAGCGGAATAGGTCAACTTAACGAAATATTAGCCATTCGACATACTCCAGTTAAGATGGCTTAAAATAGGGCTTACAACTACCAAGATCATTATCCAGTCGTCAGCCCAAAGGCCTGTCCATCCAACGGCAGCCACTCGTACCCACATCCGGAGCGCGATGATCGCTGAGCTGATCCACAAGAGAACGAAGCTCTCGACGATTTCCAAGGTAGGATCAGGAGCCATAGTGTCAATATTAAAATAAGAATAGTCCAACCATTGGATATTTGTTTAATAGGCAGGTATTAAGACAGGAGCGTTTATTGTTGTGGTGATCGTTTTTGCATTGACGGGTTTGAGGCAAGCTCCTCTCTAAATCCGTCCACTGAGGTGTACCAACAAGCTTGAGGATGAGCGGGTCGGACTGATATATATAAACGTAGGTAAATAAACGGTAACCCACTCAGGCCAGCTGTAAAGGTCTAAAATATTCCTTAGAATCATTGAGATGGAGGGTAAATCCATATTTTTTCTGGGGGAAATCGCAGCGGTATCTATATGATCGTTTCATTGTTAGATAACTATATGGATCGAGGGAGAAGACAATCATAGTGGCAGCGATTGATTAGTCTTCGGGGTCACCTATGAGAGGAGGAGGAAATATGGTCATGTCGGGATCTATACAAGACGGACTGAACTCAAACTGGTACATAGGTAGTGTCAGGTCCAAAAGCTCAGACCAGGTCCAAATGTGGTTGCATAAGACTAGAGAGCATAGATATTGAGGAAACATCATCTTATGATTCATGTCTGAAGGGAAGTAGATGGCAAAGCTTCTATAGTTGCTGGCTCGGTCCCAAGACCGGTAAAACCACTACCTAGTAAGTAATCGACTACGGGCTCACGGGTTTGCCCAGCTCGGGTCAATGGGATGGTGGGCTCCCACTATTAAAGTTCACACCCCTTTCGACTAATTCAGGGGGGCACGACTCATTCAAGCTGGAACCGAACACTTCTAGAAGTATGCTAGAACGATACTAGAAGGAAGCTATAAATCCCATTATATAGATCATCCATCGTTTTCTACACTAGCTAGTCGCTGCTAAGACTTACTAACACGTATGTGTGTGTAGGCTAATAGATAGTAAGCATATTACGGGCGAGAGGGGCTCTCTCATTATCTCATCAAGAACAGATAATCTAACGACCTCAACTCACACTATCTCGAAATAAACCACCTCAATAAATGGACTCAACGAACCGTAGCATCTACCAATATTATCAAAAAGATCTAAGGCCATCATAGATATCTAAGCAAACCACGGCCCAACGGGATCAAGTCTAATAAGATGATAGGCGCATAGAAAACAAACGACATACAGCACACATCCTGAGCACTTATCGACGAATCTTAGTCATGACATTCTCGACCCTTACTCTCCCTCTTCCCCCTTATTAGCTAAACAAGACTAGCAAACGCGACCCCACATAAGACTAGGTACGGGGAGAACCGAAATCGAGTGCTATCGGGATTCGGGATCTTCTGGCAGACTGCTGCCCCACGGGGTAGCGGCAACGAGATTCGATCTGTCCGTCCACCTGATACGACCTAATCGAAAAGGACTTCAGATCTTAGTTCGTGTTCATGTTCGAGGTCTGGATAGAGGTAGATAGGTACGTGTCAATTTCGCGTTACATTAGTCAAACATAGATGGATAAGGATTCGGTTACATCCAGCACGGTAAAGCTTCCCGTGGACCGTAGTGTTGAGGCCACGGATGTTGATAGCATTGAACTTCAACTCCTTTAGTCAGATGCGATGTCAATTATTAGGTATGGTGGAAATCACGCGAAACCTCGCTGGTATAAATTTTTCCAGTAGATAGGTACCTTCTCAAGTCACATAAAACACGAATAGTGCTGTGTTTAGGGGTTGAACGGTTTCGCATCCGTGACGCGCGCGAGATGATTATCTATCCTACTGCACCGCCAAGCTAGCCCCCATTATGTATCTACTACTCATTACAACTTTTAGCGATGGTGAGTTTCCACATCATGACGTGGATGCGTATATACATGTGATTAGGATATTCATTACCGATGTTCGTTTCCCTTTTCCCGTTTCCTTTTCCTTTACCTATTAATACGAGGAAACTACTAGGTAGGTAGGTACTATATCTACCACCCCATTAAATCATCACAGCAGCAATGAACCCGGCAGCGGCTGCTGCAGCAGGCGCAGCTCTCGTAGGTCTAGCCGCCCCGGCGACTGTCGCCGTGGCTGTGCCCGTGGATTCGCTAACTGTCGCGCTAGAGCCGGAGCCGGAGTGAGTTGAGCTGTGGGTACCGCTCGAGCTTGAGCCGGTGCTTCCCGTAGCGCCCCCAGTACCACCGGACATGCTGGAAGTTGTCATGGAGCCCGAAGTCGACGATCCGGATGAAGTCCCTGACGCGGAGCCCGTTGACGAGGTTGGAGAGGATGAAGTCATCGTGGAAGTAGACATAGACATGGACGTGGATGAACCCGATTCGGTTCCGGATGTAGTACTCATAGACATCGACGAGCTAGTAGCAGAGGCCGAGCTGCCAGACGCGGTATCAGTGCTGCTGCCGGTGGTGGTGCCGCTTCCGTTTTCCGTGCTGGTGATCGTTACCGTCTGTCGGGCTGTGAGGAGGTGATCACGGGTGGTCGAAGAGGAATCATGGTGGCGGGCGGCTAGGACTGCGGGGGAAGCGGCTAGTACGCCGATGACGAGGAGGGTTTTATGCATTGTTCGAGATTAGAATTACGCCAAATACCGGTATTTGATGTCTAAGTTTCCTCAAGCTCTTGAGGATGTATATAATATGCCTGGTTCTAACCTGCACCGCAGTAATAGTAGGTAGGTAAACCTTTCGGACAAGATAACACTTGGACATGTTCATCTAGTTATATGAAGAGCGCTCCAATGACCCACTGATTGAAGTTTAACTTGACGGAATCTTTGTTGACTCTTGAGGTAGATTTCGGGGTGGGCGTGACGCGAATATGATGGTGGTGTGGAGGAGAGCCGTCTAGCGAGTTTAGTGGCTGCGCTATTGTGCGTCGTTTACAGCATCATGATTCTTCTGTGCTAAAGGCTTGCTAAAAGTCTCCGCGTTAAGAATAAGTTGGGTATATGGATAGTGTTAATGGATTCCATCGGATTATTCAACCGCAGTTGGTTGAGTGGAAGTTTCTAAGTTAGATCGTAGGTAGACCCGAGATATATGATACCGAGACTATACCGAGACTAATACATTATGAAGCTGTAATCGCAAAGACGAGTGCGACCCTCGTCTTGTCAAGCACCTAGAAAATATAGGTGTTGGTGTCGATAAGGGCTAATGTCTCACTAAGTAGGCACTTACCCGTCCGTTCATATTAATCTCGGAATGAGGTGCCATCAACCTACCAGTAACTGACTCATGTCTCAGAATACTATGCGCCGAATAGCCGGTTGTATCTGAGCCACTATGCACGATACCTTCAGTATTAGGACACCATAAAATCGAGGGTTTGATCGATACCTACCTACCTACCTAGTAGGTAATCGGGGATCAATGTTGCTATGCGACGGCCATTCAACAATACAATCATGTTAACAAGTCGGACAACTTTCAGATAAAAAAAGTTGCTTCTTCTTGTGGTTGATTCTTCACCGACCACCATCTCCTATACGTTGTGTCACATAAACGCTGCTCATCAACACCATAGATAAGACAACCGGTATCGTCCGAGTTCCGACGCCACGAGTGAAGGCAAAGCCGAACAAGGCTGTGATGATATACGTCATGACGCTGCGTCGACGATCAAATGAGCACTGTTGATGTCTAATAGATCAGGCTCCGAGTTGTCCAGAGTATCGTCAGCCTCAATACAACCTCCAGACGCCATCGAGATATTCGATAGTCACACGATCGATTACCATCTTCGTTCTACCGACATACGTGGGGAAGCTGAGACTTCAACACACCGCAACCCGTCAATGGATCGATGCAACGTTGAGTTGCTAGACACCCCCATTCTTGCAACGCATTGGAAACAAAGAGGCGGAACGACGACGTGCTAATATCCCGCACGAAAGGAGGTTGAGGCAAGGCTCTCTCCAGATCGCGGTGTTCAAGCGCGGTGTGGCCGAGGGATTGGTCTGGCTCTAACTACCACGAGCCTTATCATCGCGACCTGGATGCCATTATGCTTTTAGTATGTCTAGGTAGGTTTCGTCTTTATTGTCCTCATAAATGCCTTTCAGCTCTTGGTCGAAGGTAACTCTACGCGCGAATTACCTGGTTGTTAAGCGATGCACAGCAAGTGCCTGATTAGGAATACCCGATTCCGCATGTATGTGGAATCAGGCAACTACATAGTAGAGACACGGGCAGCACGGGCAGCGCGGGAAGCGTGCTAATGGTACTTGAACAGTTGAACAGGGACCCCAAGCAGCTGAACTTGCCAAGGAACTCCCAGGGCCGTGCCGCAGCCACAGGAAACCCCTACCTAGTAGCGAAAATACAGAACCCATGCTGCGATGATATCAAACCGTGCCGTTGTTGTACAGTTGCCGGGGTCACCTAAAAATAACGTACTTGCCACTAAGCAGTATTCGCAGAACTCGACGAGAAAAACCCATGGTTTGAGAGATATAGCCATACGATGACTTCACCGGCTGACCGGATCTATTCTGCTATTGTAATAATTTCCTAATATTGCCTGCATCCAGCGCCATCTCTCACATACTCCAACCGAGATTGGTACTGCGTACATGGCATCGGCGTGGATATAAGGATCCTCGTCTGTCTTGCCGTCTCGCGTAAGGTCCGTCCCGTCCTCTTCAACCGTTTAAGGTGTCTTAAGTGCGAGCTGACCAATGCGAAAACGTCATGGTGTGGTTCGTGGCTTGATGAACCAGGGTCTATCAGAGCAGGGGATAGAGAACTAGACGAGAAGTATTCCGCGATTTGTCCTTGTACTGTACTTCGATATCCAGCGGAATGGCACGGCCAGGAAGCCCGTGGTCACGACTCCACTGTGGATTTAAGTCCGAGTTCAACTGCTGTTGAAGGAACCTCTTTTTTTTCGTACGATATATGTACATAGAATGAGTGTCGGCGTTTATTATTAAGTGAAATACTGGATGGTGATATTATTCCTCTTCTCCGCTTCGATCGCGGCTAGATTTTTGTGTTTAGCACACGAAAGCCCCTAAAGCAGTGGATGCGATAGAATACCTAGGTACCTACCTAGGTAGGTACTAGTCTGACACGTGAATGCCGTAAATTACAACCACATGGTTTTACAAAGATAACCAGGTCATGATTTAAATGAAGCTGTGTTACAAACGGCTATTTATGACACATGAACAAAAGTTAAAACAGACATTATATTAATAATTCTCACTATGTTTAACTCATACTAGGTACACATCATAGGGTGCCCCCGCTGCAACACTCGCGGTTCTTCCGTTGCGTTCAAGGTGTGCAAGACTCAGCAAAATGTAACCAGGTTATGGACTAAAATAGGTAATAAATAATAGTAAAATTGATACATATATGCATCTACCTATGCTATGCTATGGTATGCAAACCTGCCTTAAAACAATGGCCATCCATTACTGTAATATTCCGTCATATGATATGAAGATCCAATCCGCCCAACAAGATGGTATCAATGGTCGCTAACCCCTATTCCAAAATCTGACGTGCATTTTTATGCGCAGATCGTATGTAACCCCAGAATATGAAAAAGTCCTAGACGAAGCAAGGACGAAGCAATAAACGGTTAATCGCATAGAAATTTTTGGTGCCCAAAATCTATTTCCCAGCTTTCCCCTCAACGCCAACCCCCTCAATACCGCTGTTATATATGCCCAGATTGACCGGGTGCTTGTGACTGATCCGTGCCGTGGCTTGGCGAATGCGGCGATACATGGCTTGGTTGAGGAGATGCGTGACTGCTGATCTGAGTGCTGTCTAGCATATGCGGATCGTATATCGTCGACCCAGGCAATTCTGTTGGTGTATTTCCAACGGCAGGTAACTCGGTACTGTATTGTTGCCCGTACGGTTGTTCCATATACTGCTGAGGATATTGTTGTGGGTATGGTTGCGGATACTGTGCATACTGCTGGTTGTACATCATCGCATTCGGTGGCTGTCCTGAGGTGATCGTAGATGAATCAGTCATCCCAGGAGAGGTAGGATTCTTAACGGGCGCGTAGAATCCGTGTTCTGGCGTAGAATGGGCCGCCGCACTAGCCGCTGCTCCTTCGGTGGCGGCTGCTTTGCGACGGCGCATGAAAAAGAAAGCAAGAGCACCAAGTGCTGCTAAGCCTGCAATGCCAACGCCAACGCCAATTCCGGCTTTTGCTCCCGTCGAAAGACCGGTCGAATCTACGGAATCTGTGTTTGTTGCAGTTGGAGCGCTCACTGTAGATGAGCTACTTGCTTCTTCCGGGGTGAGAGCCGTCCATGATCCAGACCACGATTCTTTCCAGTCATTCGTACTAGCTTTAATTCCACCTCCATTCGCCAACTCAACAACATTTGCCGATGGAATGTTAGGGCCGGGTGCTTGTGCGAGCCACCATGATTTAGTGCCCCAGTTAGCGCCGACGAATGCATCCTGTAAGAAGGCACGGCCAAGTGTGTAACCTTTAGAATGTCCAGTATAGCAAGGGAAATACTGCGTAGGTTGATCGACTAATGGCGCAGTGAGTGTGAGATTCAGATGCCGGAACGGCACTGAGATAGAGACATTCTTGGTATTCGAGTCAGCGATGAAAACAAATTCCAAAACAGAGGCTGAGTTGACAATTTGTGTGTATTTTGGCTCGTTGGTATTCCAGTAATATAGGCCGAGGCCTTCATTGTATGTGACAGGTAGATTTTTCGCAATGGCATCACATGTCGACTTGGGGAGCGATAAGTAGGGGGAGCAGCCATCGACGGAAACCTGAAGGCCCCCAGAGGTGATAGACGAGTTGCCCGATGACACTTGAACACAATTAGCATTTGCACCCTTATAGGAATGAAATAGGTGTCTCAAACATATACATGGAGCGGTTATTTAATGAGGTTCAGGTTCCATGAGAGAAGCTAAAAAAGGACGAACTGAGAGTTTAATAACACTTACAGAGACCACCTAGTGACTCAAACTGCCACGGGGAAGAGCCGTCTACCACCTTGATTGTGATATCCTTCAAGGTGATATCTTTCGTATAGTCGTCCTGATACGATAGAACGTCTCCTACAATTCGATTCTGATCATAACCGCCAAAATAGAACGACCCGGGCATTTTGGGATTTGCCGAGCCAATATGCATACCAAAAGAGTTGGATGCGGTCTTGTTATGTGCCCATAGATATCCCGGGATAAGACTCGCGTTGATTGCTGGCCCATAGCTGTTCGAGAACGACTGGTTCACTGTGTCAGGTGCTCCTATTCCCAAGCAGCCCACAGTCAGGGGATACCACTGGCCATTCGGGTATGCCATGTAGGATTGATTAAGTAGAGCTAGAGAAACATTTGCGATTGTTGATCCACCAAATTTCATGTTATCGATCCACGAATTCGTCGGTTGGCCTCGTATATCAACTCCGGCCATATAATCAGAACCCGACTGGAATTGAATGTGTCCTGTAGAGCCGGTGGCATCTACTTGGGACTGGGCGTCATTGTAGAGACCGGCCTGGTTGGCATAACATAAAGTCCTGTTCTGGTTACAATAATCGGTGGTGAGAAGGAAACTCTGGAATTCCCGTCCCGGGTATAGTGCTATCGTCTGGTCATCGCCCAATGTCACCTCCACTGCCGGCCAAGGACCGTCCGGACCGTATGTCGAATCGGACCACGTTGCGGCAACCGGCGCTGTAGCTCCATGAACAGGTCTAAAGATAGCTAGATATGAAATGAGTGAAATGGGTAAAGAGAGAGGAGAGAAAGCCATGGTTATGGACAACACACAAAGGTGTGGTGCGAGTCACACGCAGTTTGGCGGATTGGTGCGAGACGGCACTCGACGTCGCGATCAAAAGAAGGAAGAAGGAAAGATTTGATCAACATCAGAGAAAGAATGAGAGAAGTGAATACCTAGGTATGAGCACCGCTATACCGATGGACGACCGGTCTCGACTAGGGACACGATCCGCCTTGTACAATACGCTTGTACAGTACATAGATCCATCGTAGCTTGTATTCTGCAGCGTAGGACTCTCGAGCGCTTACGGAAAGCAGCCGCCATACCACTAGACCAGGCCAAACCCAAATTCAGGAGATGAGGCTGTGGATCGTGAGACTTGCCAGGGTCACGTCCCACTATTTTTACCAATACCTGAAATGTAAGGTCTTTGGGGGATCCGAATGCTGGACCCCCTAAACCAAACTTGGCGAAGACCATCATCAGCTTTCCACTAACGAAATCGTGTCAATGAAGTCCTTAAAGCCTACTCGACAGAGAGCTTAGCTGCGCCTCTTTAATGCGGTGGACGGGGACTGAAATTGAACATCGCGCAAGGGTGGTTGGTTCTCTTGGGGATTTTCTCATCTTGAAAGTTAAGATTTTAAGGCTGAGATGACTTTGCGGAGGGAAAATAAGGTTAATATGCTAACATCGCGGAGCTGTTGGACTGTCTAGATCGTGACCATGAGTTCTTTGACCACCTAGATAGGTACTGAAGCCTTCGGTATTCAACTCTAGGTAGTTTTGAATCTATCGCATGAGAACTATTAGGTAGCTAGGTAGTTATTAAAGGAAAGCTTAAACGGCTCGAGGTTCCATCGATACCTGTTTGATTAGGGCTGACAGGTGGGCTGGTGGGCTGGTGGGTTCAGGACTTTTTTTTTTTCTTTTTTTTTTTTTTGCCTAGCCTGAGACGCCGCATCTCAAGCCTGATCAGGCTTAGTTGGTCGATGATATATCGCTACCATGACCTTACCAACCCGCTATATAGGAGGTCGGTATTATACCATACCTAGTAGTATACCACTAATGCACTGTACCTATTTAATCGTCAGTTTGGTAGCTTTAGCACACACAGGTAGGAAAGGCTTAATCTCGGCGTTCGAAAGCTCGAAGAGTGCGAAGTGCGAGTAATCGCATACCTAGATTGAGGACTAATTTCGAGATCATGAAGTTGAGTCTCTGCTTGGCTTACCCGAACATAAAGTTAACGAGTGCATTCGGACGAGACATCTTCAAGTTTCATATTAAGGCTCGAAGAGGAGGGAAACTCGCTGCAGCCGAAATCTACGAATTATATTCGGCGGTTGCGGCCTTTCTGCCGCTCGTATGCAAATCCTTCCAGCTGGCGAAAAGAGGCGAAACTTCATGCAGATTACATCTGATCATCGGTGCCCTATTGCATCGAATTAACAAGTCCGGTTCACCCCAATTATTACCCCCGGTCCTTATCCCATGAGGCCCGAAGATTCTGTCGATTTAGCGCCCCCCACTTTCAAGCCCCAATAAGCCAATCACAACAAAGCTTCATAAAGCTTCAGTGTTATTTCCTCCTCCACATGAGCTTTTTCATTCTTATATACCGAATTTATAATATACAATGGCGATATATGGTATAGAGATGTATGTGATAGGTTTAATCGTTCAAGTTTTCATACGACCAAAATCGGGAAAATCTCTAATATGATTGGTTAATGAGGTGTAGAAAGTGGGGGGCGCTAAATCGACAGAATCTTCGGGCCTCATGGGATAGGTCACGGCCAGTTGGGGGCCAAAGTCATCGAGTAGGGATAGAGTGGCAGAATGGACAGATTGGAAATATGATGATTGATGTGCTTAATAATTGAGGTAATAATAGTAGCTGCCTGGTATGGATACTCAATTGGAACTTATGTAGGCTTTCAAGTTGATAGATTGATGTAAAATGCAAAATAAATGCTCAAAGGAAAAGAAGCGTGAAGTACCTAGCAGCCTGCTAGGTAGTACATCGAAGTATGACTATATCAAAATCAAATATTATGAAATTACCTCCCTTAGTTACATAATTATACATGGGCCCCACCTAGCTACCTGGGCCAGTGGAATTGGTCGCTATCCTGGCAAGTCGATAAGCAGTAAACCACGTGTGCTTCTTCACTAAAGTGATGCTTAACTTAATACTTTCAGCCTATTCGGAACAATGAAACATTTACTACAGCGTAAAACCTCCACAACCTTAACCTTAACCTTGAACCTTTCCACCACTACTGGGCAGTCTGCGCCACGATACAATACGTACGTAGGCAAATGTAAATGCAAAATACCTTCCCTTACAACATAACTTGGTTAATATCCCCTCATTCATAGAGTCGTCAACTTTACTTTAGTAAATGCCTTCTTTCCCAATGAGTGCTGTTTCATCCTTTAGTTGGTATTGATTCCTTTTTCGGCGGAACCTTACCCGTTCAACTTCCTTTTTAAGACGAACTTCGGTCGGTAGTCTTCGGCCGTCAAATCCTCGATATCCTCGATCTCCTACCGAGTAAATCGTACAACATGGCTCCGCTTTGGGGATCATCGTGGTCCTCTACCTGGGGTTCTCTATCTGGATATAGCGCCGTTCAAAATGGCGAGCAGAGTGCAGCGACCAGCTCTGCTACGGATTCCTCCCACCTTAAACCGAGCGTCGGCCAGATCTTGATGTCGAAAAGAGTGCGATATACTGCCATTTCATTCGCCACTTTCGGCCTATTCTTTCTTGCCTTCCGAAACTACGATCGCTTGCCATCCATCGAGAGCTTTCGAGGAAGCAGTACTGCTGCCGGTGCCAATTCAGACTGCCCTCCCGCCGTCGTACCGTCCTTCGAGGAAGCCCAGGTCAATTGGTCGCGATTCGCCTACACACAATATGTCACCAATGCCGCGTATCTGTGTAACTCGGTCATGATCTTCGAGACCTTATTCCGCCTAGGCAGCAAAGCCGACCGTGTTATGATGTACCCAGAGAATATGATGGACCCAGGCGAGACGAGCCCGTCGTCGGAAGAGGCTAAACTAATCGTTAAGGCCCGAGACGAATATAAGGTGAAGCTTGTACCGGTTTCGGTTCAGCGAAGGGCTGGTGGTGATGGTGAGTTCCACAGACTACCTCGGTATATTTGTTTCGTCTCTTGATTTCTAACTCTAACAAGCTACCTGGGCCGAATCCTTCACCAAGCTCCTTGCTTTCAACCAAACCCAATACCAGCGCGTCTTGAACGTCGATTCCGACGCCACCATTCTTCAGAGCATGGACGAGTTGTTCCTCATGCCGCCATGCCCTGTCGCCATGCCTCGCGCCTACTGGCTATTTCCGGACAACAAGATCTTGTCATCCCAATTAATGCTAGTCCAACCAAGCGCGGTCGAATTTGACAGGATCCTGAAAAAGATGGAGTCGGCCGGTCGCAACGACTACGACATGGAAATTGTGAACCAGTTGTATATCGATACTGCCATGATCCTCCCTCATCGCCCCTACGACTTGTTAACTGGCGAGTTCCGCGGTGACAACCATGTGAATTATCTTGGCACGGATAGGGAAGAATGGGATCCTGTTGCCATCTTCAACGAGGCCAAGTTCCTTCACTTTTCAGATTGGCCTGTGCCGAAGCCGTGGATCTCCATGTCCGATTCGATGCGGCAAGAGAAGCAACCAAAGTGTGTCGAGAAGAACGGCCAAGAGGATTGTTCCGCTCGGGAATTATGGAACGGATTCTATAATGATTTCACACAAAGACGTTCGGTAAGTACACCTCATCCTTAAGTAATCTTAGCATACAAGGCTGGATGCTAATTCGATGGCTAGACTGTCTGCAGCACCAAGAAGAAGGGAAAGCGATGAATCAGTTGAATTGGTGAATGAAGGTTCGTTTGGTTTATTTTGGCAATGAAAAATATTGAATTGTATTTTACGTGGCATGATATGTTATAGATACCAGCATTGGCAAGCATGTCTCTGCGTCTTCATCTGACAGGGTGTTAATATGTAGCGGACTACTCTTTCGGATATGCTTTCAGGAGTTTTAGGTTGAGTTGTTTTAATACAGGGCATTGTGTCTTGATGTTGCTATTCTTGGTCACTGCTAGACATTCTCAGGGGCCCCAGAAGAATATTTCTACGTGGAAAATCAACACTGTTGCCTAGATCTATAAATCATATCCTTATCCCAGGTCTGCTACTAGACAATAGAATCGAACGCCATGGCTACCTAGGCCCCTTGTATTCTTGCTATGTCCTCAGCGACCCCATGAGACCTTGGATCCGCCACCTGTGGTATCTTTCCAGGGAATTGGTGCGGAGACGCTGCCGCCAGAAACATTGTCCTTCCCGCGCTCTTGCCCATCCTTGCCTTTGTCGCCCTGGCCTCTTGATTTATCCCCTGACTTGTCTCCTGATTTATCATGTGCCTTGTTGCTGTCCGGCATATCGGCGTGTACTTTGGAAGTTTGGAGAGAGATAGATTGCAATGTAAGGATTGGGAATAATGACTTTCTGAAATTGAGGTAAACTATTTCCTGCTTTGTTTTTGAGAGTGAATTAAAGTCGACTATGACTAGAGGGAGAAAAAGGGAGAATAGGGGTTGTTAAATATACTTCACCGTAATCTAGGTAGTGAATGGAGCCGGGGATTGTACGCTTGCTCTAGTATGACAACAGTAGATGAACAACCACTGTGTGTATCACAGGTACTTACCATGGAAACATCATTGTTCTTTGGCCAATCCTATGTGGATTCGTGATCTAGTTCCCTCAAGTCTCTTCATCTCTTCCCAGAACGAGTAAGCGACTCGAGAATATGACACACTTTTGCTCTGTTTGCTCGCAGTTTCCCAATACTCTGTCAAGCGCCTTGTCCAAACCTGCTCACCAACCAGATTCATTGATGACTGGGTAGCCTACTAGTATTATCTCACTCATGTGTGCAGTTATTTGCATTACCTATTATAAGGTACAATATGCCAGGTAAGCTTTTGATATCAGCATAGTAAGTACTATTAGTACTTGAAGATACGAAAACACCGAATTTCGCGTTTGACTCTTTTCGAAACTTTGAACTTTCTCATTTAGTTACTAGAACTACATACCTACCTAGGTAGGTAGGTAAGTATATAGTAGTTACAAGTCCGTTCTTTATTCCTCAAGTGAGATATATAAAAGGTTTCCGTTGAATGCCCTTCATTCTCCCTTTCTCGAATCTTGCAGGACTCGTTAAAATTACACGACAACTTGATTACTAGCATCTTGTCACTATTCTCGTCTTACCAGAAGTGAAGGGTCCAGCGAAGTAAGAATAGGGGCTTATATGTACTATTGTTAAGAGGGGAGTCATGCTAACTGGGGAATGTCACTACACGAAATAGTGTTAACACTGATGATATGTGTATAAATACCTACCTACCTACTAGGTAGGTAGGTACTAGGCATTACTATTTCTACTAGGTATTTATTCATGATGTCGGAGACTCGGAGTTCCGTTGTTGCCTTGGAAAGGTACCTAACTTAAACTTGAGTCTTATGTTTAATCTTTAGTGCAGTTTGAGTTCGAGACCTTAACTCGAGTTTAATATGACGTTCCTGGGTGCACATGTGAAACCGATGGAGAATTGACTTTGAAAACGAGCCATAGCCTGGCTGCCTGGTAGCTAGCAGTGGAGCCGGAGGAAGGTATGAGGCCATCGGTAGTCGGGAGTGGCATGGTCAATTATGTAATTAATTTCTGAAGATTTGGAAACTACACCGCAATGCGCCTTTTAAAACATTCAATGTTCCTTTCTTCTTCCTTCAACTTTTCTGCATAGTTCAGCTCATAGCTCATGATAGCTGAATCCGTTTGAGGGATATATGAAAATCTCCAAACCGCGCCGAAACCACCAATTGGGATCAGTTAGATATCAGGCTTAGCAGGCTTAGTCTAACAAAGACCCCCAAGTTTCACCATATGGCGGTCAACCGAAATTCCAAATTTGTGGCGTCGGTAGATTGCGGCGGCCATCAGCGGAAATCAGTGCGGCAATAGATAATCGAGTGCCTAAGTGGACATTCGAATCCCACTAACGAATATTATGGAGACGCCGTGATTCGCCCACACCCGTTACACACCCATATAACGTGCTGTAGTATATCTAACAGCCGGCCAAGAGATGAGCGAACCAGGATGGCGGATTCAGGGTCCCCCACGTCTAGTTTACCGCAGCCTGGATGATCGCCTGAATGAGCTAGAGAGCACAGGATCGCGCCCCGAAGAAGGAGATGGGAAAATATAACAAAAGAAAAAGGAAGGTGATCACACGAGAGCGCCGCCAGTTCGGAAGCGAAATCATTTTTTTTAATCAATCTCTACTTTACACAACACACACCGCGCGTCATGAGCCTGGAGATGCTCCATGCCGTCTGAGCTCTCTCCAACGGTACCCCGGTTGTAGAGACTGTGTTTGTATGCATGTGGCCGTACACGGCCTATTCCGGTTTAGCTTATGCTGTGCAGCCTACGAATTCCGAAGCCGATACAGATAGAGCGCCGCGCATTTCAGTGGTCAAAATTTACGCTGCACTCGCCTGGTCGATGCTGAAGCGCGCACGACCTCAGTGCGTCTCGACAGTCGATGATGGCCGTCGATGTCGAGGAGCTTGTCATCGAACCCTTCCGGGAGGTTGTCGAGCGGGGCAAGGAAGCCGTCGCCAATGCCGAGGCAGTGAATGACAGCGGTGAGAATGAGGATGACGCCGACCCGTCCAACGACCAAGATGCGGCGGAAATGCTCAAGGTAGCACGTTCGCTCGTAAGAGAGGGTGAGAGGGCTTTGCAACGACTACTACCATTGTGGAAAGAGCGTGTCGACAAATACGGCGACGCCTTCACGGAGGCTATGCGACAGAATGGTGAATTTCTACCTCTTGATATTATTCCATGCCGCCGATGAATTGCCACCCAAGTTCATGGTATGTGGGACCCACTGACGCCTGATTTATAGATAAAATTCTCGATAGTCAGAGGCGGCTAGAAGATCTTCTGTACGATTTGGACGACTTCGTCCAAGTCGATTCGTTTGATGCCACGAAGTTTGCGGAAGTCCAAGCGGCATCGAAGTCTTTCGCCCTTACTCTAATGGAGACCATTAGGAGATTGCATATTGAAGAGAGCGCATCATCATCGGTATCGACCATTCCCTCGTGGATACAGCCGTTGTCGGCACGGGCTCCAAATGGCAATAATAGCAACACGGGCTCTACAACCACTTCAAAGATGAACGACAACGTTGACATTAGTGGAACAAATACCCCAGTCCGGCGGCCATCTAGTCCTGACATTTTGGGAGCAGAGCGCGACTTTATCAGTTTAGTGACTGGTCCTTCTGCCGTCCCACCTTCAAATTCGCGAACATCAGCCTGGGTTAGCGAGCAGACGACAACAGCAAAGTTATGGCCTCGCAGCAATTCAATACCTGAAGACGACTATTATGTAGGACAACCTATGATATTTAACAACCTCGACAGTGTCGCTCTACACGGCCAGGAGACACCCGTGCCAACAGCACAGCCTAACGCGCCTTATAGCCCAGGAACCTCTTACAGTAGAGTATCTTGGTATACCAGTACTGGAAGTCATGCCTCAGGGCCTAGGTCATCAGTTCATATCCCTACCAGCGACCAGAGAACGACCTCGCTTGCAAGGCCGGGCCCGTCCGAAAACCGCGGGTCAAAAGAGCTTGGACCGCCGTTGCCCAATGCGCAACCGGTCTACGAAGACGGCCTCATACCTACGGAAGAGCTCTTTGACCCACAAGCGAATTCGTCTTCTGGTTACCAAATAGGGTTGGATAGTAGCCTCTATATACAGAAGGGATTGTGTTCTGGTGCACAGACGTACCGAGTCAAGGGACGTAAGAGTGCTACTAAAACTGTGATGGAATATGTAAGTACATCAAGATCTATTCCTCTACATCGTGTCGGCTGAAGGAAGAGATAATGGTCAAAACCAAAAAGGTACCTGGCTTATGCTAATGCTAATTACGAACAGGGGACGAGACGAAGTCTTTGTCGATGCACGGACTGTGAATTTACACAAAATCTATTAGAAGCTGAGCTTGATACTGCTCAAGATTGTAAGGAACCCATATGAATGATAAGACCAAGCTTGGCTGACTAGAACATTTCATAGCGACTGCAAATTTCTGTAAAGCGGGCGTTATGTTTAGACTTCGTTTTCTATATAAATCGCACTTAACATCAACCTCGGCGTTTACATCGCAATTTGGCTGTCTCTTTTGTGCGCAAAAAGGCCAGACCGTCTATGCCGACGATGCAACTGTATTTACAACACAGGAGCAGCTTTTCAAGCACCTATCGCGCCACCCGCAGCCCTTACCGGAGATACCCGGGGTGGTGATTTTATATGGCGACGTATACAAAGATAACCCCAATGCTGAAGATTACGATCTTCACTTTCAGAACCCTCCAGTTGCCAGTATCCTTCCGGATGCAGCGTCCCTATCAAAGTTTCCGTCCGCCGTAGCTGTCAAGAGCCACGTCAAGCGATATGGGCGCGACCTGACAGACCCTGACGGGAATTCGGATCAGGTTACGAAGTTTCTTGAAGGCGCCCGTATTGTGGGTATAGAATTTCCAGAAAAATGGAAGGGGAAATGGTGCACTGGTTGGCATGATGGCCAATGGGGCTCATTTGTTGCTAAGCATGTGGTTCTGGAACCACCGGCACAACCTCCAAGTCCAAGTACAAGTGCTGATGGAATGTTTGTCACGACACGCTGGAAGTGGGAGGTGAAGGATACATCAAATGGATGGTTGCCACTTGATAAAGATGAGACTTTATCGAATGTCACCTGTAGGTCCTCAGTTCCTATTTATCATCTTCCCTATCGTGATAACTAGCTGCTAACTACGAATACCCTTGGATAGGGATAAACCGGGACGACTGGTGCTGGTCAGGCATGAAGAAGAATGGGAAAGTAGGGCTTTTCCCACGATCTCATATTAAGATGGAGTCTCTCCGTGGCAGTGCTGTCTGGCGTGGAGAGGGGGAAGAGGAAGAGATGCCTAAGGCTAAAAAGCAAGGCAGCTTTGGGTTACCTACGATTAAGATGCGGAGGATGACCATTGGAAGTTCTACATCTTGAGGCAGATTCGGGAAGTGGTGATCTTATTTGATGAGGTACAAATAACCTACGATGCTCTGTATCCGAAATCTGGATCTGCTAAAGGGTCTTTATACATGTACGGGTATACTTATCTAGTGGCTACCGGGTATTGCGAGGACGTTGGCGTACTTTTGTATTTGACCGAAGTTTCTACCAATACATTTTCGATTGGTGTATGTGGATGGCTGGAAAGAATAAAGAAAGTCCCCGCACCTCCACAAGTCACCAGCCATATCCTCCCCACCTTGGCCGGTTTGGGGTAGGTACAATAATACTTACCCCACATCTTCAATAAGCTTGTGGCTTTACTGTTCTACGTACCGACGCTAAGACAAAAGCGGGTATAATGACATCACCGGAGCGTTTCCTCCCCGGTCTTCAGCTCATGGTGATGTTCGAAGAGCAACGGCCAAGGCAGCCTTGCACTTATTGCGATCGAGATTACAGCCGCATGGAAGAGGTAGAATGATACTATTCGATGAAGTATAACACTGGTGCTTTCTATTTTGGAACTAGTCTGGCTGGTTTTGGTTCACCTCTGGAATTGTCTGTAGACAGTTGCTGTAGCTACTACGTCATATTTGTATAACGCAGTGGCCACCAGTACACAGAGCACGGGACATACAGCGTAGAAGCTTCCCCATTGAACATGAAATGGGCTGATGGGGTGGTCTAAGTATTTTCTCGTTTAATTTGTTGGCCAAGATACATTGATCTCTGTGCAACTTCCGGAGCTCCAGGAGATAGCTCTACCCGTAACTGGGTACCTTAACTGACCTAATTGACCTGAATTTCTTGACCAGAGGCGAACTTGTAACTGAACAACAGCTCGAACAGCTGGACGGTAAACAAAAGAAAGCAGTGACGTGATACATTTTTGGCACATTCATCATCATCATCCTTCATCATACATCCTCCCAACTCCACTACCTAACCCGTTCCCACCTTATGCTAAACAACACCGCTGTCATTCTTCTTTCATCCACCACGATACTTGTACCTGCATCGTCTAGTTTTCTTTCCTGCAACAAACCAACATTTCCATGAATAGGATCCTGGAGCAAACTATCCTAACTTGATACTACTAATCTGATTCATCATGAGGTTGTTATCAACCGTCCTCTCTCTAGCCCTGGCGGCGGATGCCGTCGTTGGTAGCAGCTGGTTCAGCAAAGCTGGTAAGTGATTGCAGTATTGTTTATTCTTCGTCTTGTGTCCCTATATCCTCTTACAACACCGAATCCCATTTGGCCACTGGCTAACACAGTAATTTAACTAGCTTACAACAAATGGCATGAGACCGAACTCGAGCGATGGCTGTCCGACAACAACATCCCCTACCCTACCCCCGCAGACCGCAAGGATCTCGAAGACCTCATCCAGAAGAACTGGGACGCCTATGCTGTATCTCCTTACAAGAATTGGGATACCGACAAGCTCACATCTTATCTCACATCGAAGGGTGTAGAGACAAAGGACTCCGCCAAGTCGGGCAAGGATGCACTCATTTCCCAGGTGGCCAATGCCTGGTATGAGACAGAGGACAAGGCTCAGACAGCTTGGACCGACGTGCATGAATGGATACTCGACACCTGGACTGAGAGTTCCCTGAAGGCTTTTGCAGACAAGCATGACATCCCAGGTAAATTTTCAGCGTTGATATCACTATATATACGTCGCTAATTTAGAGAATAGTCCCCCAGCCCCGAACTCGTGATACACTCCTGCAGAAAGTTCGTTCCAACTATGAGACAGTGGCAAAGAAAGTAGGAGAGACCGCCTCGTATCCCGGCGATTGGCTTTACGACACCTGGTCTGAGTCTGACCTGAAAGAATGGTTGGATACTCACGGAGTCCCTACTCCCCAAGTCACTGAGGTAAGAAGTCCCATTCCCATGTATCTAGTATACTTGATTAACTCTTGTCAACCTTAGCGTAATCGACTAGTCGCCTTGGTTCGACGTAACTCTCGTCTTGCTTACCTGAAACTTCAAGACCAGCAAGCTTCTGCTTCCGCCAGCGCGAGTGCAGCCTATGCCGCACTCACTGACAAGATTATCGATGCCTGGGGCGAGTCTCAACTAAAAGAATTCTGTGACAAGAACGGAATCAATGGTAAGAATCCTTCGTATTATATTTTCGCTTCTAGTATTAATGGCATCTACAGTCCCTCAGGGCAGCAAAGTCAACGAGTTACGCGCACTTGTCCGTAAAAACCGTGCTCAGATTCTCGGTGACAATCTATCCGCATCAGCAACCAACGCTTTTGGTGCTGCCACTAGCAAGGCTGGCAACCAGTGGGCAAAGGCTACTGATGACGCGACTCTCGCTGCTCAGGATGCTTTCAACACTGTAGTTGACGCTTGGTCTGCGAGTCGATTGAAGGCTTACCTAGATGCCCGTGGAGTTCCGGTCCCCCAAGGATCTAAGGTCGACGAGCTTCGTGCTTTGGTACGACGAAACTCTCACAAGGTTGCTCACCCATACTCCGCCTGGACGTGGGATGACCTGTCGTACGAGAACCTCAAGGACTATCTTGTCGCTAGCGGTAACGATGCGGCTAAAAAGATCGGCGAGAGCAGCTCCGCTAGCCGTGATGACCTTGTCGCGGCTGCTCAATCTGCTTACTCTTCTGCGTCTAGCGCCGGCGGTAGTTCGTACGCCTCTGCCACGAGCTACCTCTCTCACGCCACCGAAGCGGCGAAGACTGCTACATTCGACACATGGAGCGAAAGTGAATTAAAGGCTTACCTAGACACCTACGGCATTGTAAGTTTATTTTATCTAGGTCATGCGAATCTAACTTTCATCTTACTGACACATTACTTAGCCTGTTCCTCAGGGCTCTACAGTCAATGAACTCAGAGCCGAAGCACGCAAGCAGTCTACCTACTTCAAGTACGGAACCACGAATCCAGCCAGCACCGCCTTCGCCAAGATCAGTGAAAACGTTAAGGGCGCATATCAATGGATCTTGGATCAGATTCAATCTGGCTCCGAGGCCGCGAAGCAGAAGGCTGGTGATGCCAAGGAGGAGTTGTAGATCCAGTCTGTTGTCTGTTCTAACCTACTCGACGAGTGGGATAACCCTGGGTTTTTGGCGCACGTAAGGGGAGAGTATTAATGGCAAGGTTACGATTATGAAGTGTATCTGATACCTATGTCGCAGATGAAAAGCATTAAGAAAAAACGGGGATAACATTCTGTTTGTCTGTCTAGGTTTCTTTTCGCACGGATTTCACGAGGGAAGCATGACGGTTACGATTGTTTTTCAAGGACGTCACCTTTTCAGTTCTGGAGTTCGAGCATACGGACGAGAGGCAGGGGTTAGTCAGTGTTCTTTTTGCTAGTCAGGTTTTATTGAGTAATGAGATTGTGGGATTAATTATCTTGTTTTATTGCTATTGCTAATGAATTTTTTATGTTATGGCTTGCTGTTGTTATTAATTGTGTGGTTGGTGAGTGTATCTGCGGAAAGTCTTTTGTGCTTCAAGTTCGGATGTTAATGGGCAAGGTTTGGATTGCACCTTTTCTAACCCGGTAAGTCTTCTTAGCCCATATACGTGCTCGGTGGTTACTCGTCATGAAGAAACGGATTTTTCTGAAGCCTTATAAGCGCCATACTCGCTGCACGACCCATTCACACTTATACGGGTAACTGGCGCACCATGGCTTTTGGTCATGATGTCGCGACGGCCACTCTATCTATTGTGGTTACTAGGACAATATAAGATATACCGAGATCTTCGGGAACTCAGGTGTGAATCAGCCTGGCGGTTTACCTCGACTATCTGAACTGTCCCACATACCGGGTTATGAAAGGATAGACGTATCGTTCCTGCTTCTCTTTTGCGGCTTGCTGTGCTATATCCACGATGTCCTTTTTTGCAGCTGATGATGTCGACTCCGATCTCTGGGGTTGAGGTGACTTTCAATCGGCTGTACTGTGTCATCTCCCGACCACGTCGGCGTGGAGGAAGTTGGCCATATCGATTGTAGCTGGTGCTTGATGAAGGGGAACAAGGCTAGAGGTACCGGAACGTTATAAACTCGCAAGACGAGACGGGTGTATGCTGCTTCGATGTTCCGCGATTTCGCGATGCGGTGTGGGCGTTCAGGCGATTTCCCCAGGTACCTACTTTCCTCCCGTAGCGGGAACCCCTGGATCGCGAGAATCATTCTATGAAGCTTAGAATAACTTTATTAAATGAATGATTTTAAGATAAAGATTGGTTTCTCCCAATTTCTATCGATCTTATGCATGTAATGCTTCTATGAAGTTTAGAATCATTCTCGCGATCCAAGGGTTCCCGCTACAGTATAGAGATACTATTGGGAATTGGACACAGTTATGCCGGTTCTGTGCCTGGTGCTGTGTCTTCCTCGTATAACAAGATGCACTTAGGTAGGAAATTATGAATCGTTTGGAATGGAGATAGGAAATAGAAGAGCTTTGCCACAGCGGTTTTCCACGATATGCTCAATGTCTGCTTGAGACGACGCTAAGAGGCTCTGTCATTAACAGTCTGACGAGAACCTAATTACATGGGGCGATCTACGTGGTTGTCGGGATATTGTTGAATGCTCCATCTTAATTTATACCAGACCTAAATACGCAAATTTACCTAGGTACCTATGCTGATGATCTTATGGCGTTTCTTCAGGAATCTTAAGTTGCTAGCAAGATGCGTGAGGTAAAGGAAAATCGAGCATTGCTCGGCTCTTTCTGACGTAGGTAATCATATGTACCTAGGTACTTGGGTATATATAAGTATTACTCAATTACCTAGGTTTGTTTACCTATTTTGTATGTTGAGATGCAAGGTATAGGAGGATCGAAGTCGTATCGTATTAAGCTAGCCTTTCTGATACGACATGGAAGCGACGTTTCTGCTTAAGTAGCTTTATCAATAGGTATTAATGCCCGGGTATTACTTCACGAAGGCTCTTAGGTACACTCTCCGTAGGTAGGTGCCTAGGTACGTTTTGGGTGTCTGTATAGAACGGGCTTGGTGCTTTTATGACTTTGTCATCTTGAGAAAAGGAGAGGAAATTATACTTCCAAGGAGGCTGATGAAGTTGATTATACGAACCCTATGAGCGCACGGGGATGGCCGAATAATCTAGCCGTGATCATAAGGTGACAATGCGTTATTAAGGCATAGCTCCTAGGGATATGTTTTAGATAGTACTCGTAGTAAATATAGTAGGTAGGTATCAGAGAACAAGAAGCGGCATTGACCTGAGAGCGGAGATGATAGTAAAAAAAGCATAGGTTGGGAGAGACGACCCTTGTATCTATGTTTAAGGGGCATGGCAAATCTGAACGCAAATGCCTAATACCTATATGATCACAGTGATACACTATTATTGCTAGAACATTGAGGGAAAGCTTTTTATTGAGTTTGTTATGAAATTACATGACTGCATGGCATCATCTCCCGTCTTAAGAGAGACGAAGTTACGTGAATATACTCATACATTTCGGTATGGGTACAAACAGGGTTAGTGCCTTGCGAATATCCTGATCATCAGTTTTCCACAGCCGGACATCATGCTCCAATTCCGTCCATTGCTGTTTGAAGGTGACAGGAGTTGGTATCGGGCATACCAACTTATCTATTCGGTTGCTACCAGAAAGGAGATTGAAGGAAATTGATGACAAAATCCCAGCTGTCGGTTTTCGAATTGCCTGGTTGTTCTGGTCCCATCAAGAAACTGAAATTTCTATCAGATCTTCGAGGAGCATGATCGTGGGTGGGTCTGGCCACGTCTGTCTTGTTGAACCGCTAATTAAGAGGCGAGAAAACGTCCAAGATCCGTCCGATAAGTGCATGGGGATAGGTATTTAGTTAAGGAAAAGGGAGTCACAACACGAGCTGTAATATGAAATAGGTTGAGTCTTGTACTGTATAGTGTGGTTTAATGGCCAGGAAATGGTCTATGAAAATAGGCCACACCGTCCATCGGCGTCTTTAGTAAGGGGTCGGGCGAGGGGTAGACGTGCAAAGGGTTAGATTCTGAGGATATCCACGTCCGGAATGCTCCTTTGCCGCTTATGACCCAAATGGTGCTCCGACGATGATTTTCTCTTCTGCGACAAAGTCGCAAGTGGGCTACTAGCAAGCTCGGGCATCTTCTGTTTTCGCATAGGAGAAATGGGGACATTTGTAGTAGCTATGCGCCCATCCTTGATGCCCCGAAGAGTGCCTTCGAAGTAGGGGCCGGAGAACGCAAGTGATTCTCGTGTAGCTTTGCTACGGCTGATCAACTGATGATTCACTTGGTCTCGGCGAAATGCGCCGACAATATTGGCGTTGTGATTGAAATGATCGAGAAGGGACGTCACATCACTGTTCGCGGTGCTGGGACGACCGGGAGTGCGACCCGGTGTGTAGAATAATTGGTCATCCGCTTCATCATGCTCGAGCACCTTCTCTGCTTCTGACGAGTCTTCATCGTCATCGTCGTCGTCTAAGGTGATAAAATCTTCTAACTTGAGACTCTTCTCCGCTTCGTCAACAACTTGGCCGTCGGAATCAGAGGTCTCAACCAGATTGCCGTCGGATGCCTGGGCATACCAGGCTTCGGCAGGACCGACGGCATGGGTATTCATAAAGTCCCCGTATGTGCTGGAAGATATCATACCGCTCATCATGATACTACCGGGATTACTGAGGATAGGGGAAGATTGGGTCTGTTCAAAATACTGAAAGTTGAACTGCTCGGGAGAGAGGTCAAAGCCTCTGCCTTTCATACACTGATGTGTGAAGATCATCATCTTGCCGGTTCTCGGATTCAGAATCGCGATTGGCTTCTTGCTAGATTTGTCGAGGTCGAACCGACCGACACGGGGCTGGCCACGGCGAGGCCGGATAAGTGTCACGACATCTGAATCAGAGGAATCGTCCACGGTTTCCCGTCGAGTCTTACGTCGAACAGGTTTCTCAGGTGGGTCTTCTTCATCGGTAGTATCCCCATCGGCTGGATGGGGGAGATTAGCACATACTTAGCTACAAACCATGTTCCATTCACTCACTTTGATATCCGTCAAGGGAGACTTCGTCATTCTCGGACGAATCGACCGGGGTGTTCATAGCAGTCGACAGATCGTTGCTTGTCATAGGTGTAGCAATTGGTGTGCTATCGTCTTCTTCTATGGCTCTAAGGAAAGCCTCATAATCCGAGGTTCCGCCCTCGATACCGTTTGCCATCCAGTCTGTATCGTTGCCGTAATGGTCCCAGAATGCTTCCGAGTTTGATGAATCATAGGGGTCCGGGTCATGCTCGATCTCTCGACGGAAAGATGGGTCGAGGATACTCTTGTCAACGAAGAGATCTGGGAAGAAACCATGGTCTACATCCTCATCAGTTTCAGTCGAGTCCCCATCCGATGAATCGTCAGGGATATCAAAGCGAACACGACGTTCTGTGCTAGTATATCCCTGATCGATAGTCAAGTCATCATCCGCATCAACGTCAGACGAAATACCGTCCCAACTAGCATTCTCGTCCACGTCGTCGTCATCACCTTCATAGTGATCTTCTTCATCATCGTTGTCATCATCGTTATCGTCCTCTTCGTCATCATCATCCTGTTCATTCTCTTCAATATGCGGCCGAGGAGAGATAGAACTGCGAATGGTATGTTGCAGTTCATCGGAGAGAATATGCTCCTCCTCGGCCGCTACTACATCCTCCTCATCGTCGTCTTCGGAATCGCTGATGTCTTCTACCCCAGAATAGCCGCTCTCGTCGGATAGGTCAAGCGACGATGAACCATCCGAGCCCCGACGCTTGGCGACCTTGACCGGGGTAGTCGGTGGTCGTTGTTGACGCACGTTCCGTGACATGGTGATATGTACGTGCTATTTGTATGGGATATGTGAGGTGTGCAGGGATTAACAAGGGATCCACCCCCGGACTCGGGGTTGAGGGGATCGAGGCAAACGGCGGTGAAGCCCGACTAATATTCGAGGATCACCGATACAATTGTGGTCCTTCGGAAATATAGAATCTTAAGCCGTATGATCGGGTCGAAGCTGTCTCCGTTTTGAGTATGTAACCCAGGGTATGTTGTCGCAATAGCGTGTAGGACGGGGTATGTGATAATTGGTAAGGGATGAAGATGAGAAAATCTCGTCGTCGTGAACAGATGGAAATTGGGAATGCCCGCAATCAATGGGCTAAATGTGTAGTAGTTCTAATGGGTATTCAGGCTTCTGATGAGCAGTGGACCCCTTTAGACGGTAAAGGGCACACAAGACAGTGAAGGCCTGTATAACTTCGTCGATTGTCGAATTTGGATTGAATATCTCGGTGAACTGTTGGACTGAGGGACACGGGTGGGATGGCCAAACGTGTCCCTCAGTGGGTATTTACAGCTCAGCGACGGCCGAAGGCATTATCTCGACGAAGTTTGATATGTTCTAATTGGTAACTTTGCTTAATAGCTTTTGTTATGCGACTTCGTTGTCTTGAGGTGGTTGAGTTTTCCTTGGAGGAAAAAGTTGAAGGGGAGAAAAAAAAGATTCTTTCCATTCGCTTGCTAGTAAACTTTTTTTTTTTTTTTTACTTTGGCTGTTCCATTAGTGGGGTGACCCACCCCGATTCGTCTGCCGCCGTGCGTAAGATTGGCTATACCCTTTTTGGCGATAAAGTTATTGGCACGGAGCAAGTACAGAAGGCAGGGATTGCATGATCTATGGGGCACCGCAAAAAACCAACTATGGTATGGAGAGCTCAAACGCTAAGGTTCAATTCCTTCACCTCCATCCACCACAGAATATCTTCACTGCTTCAACATCAAATACACTACACTGATACATTCATACTGAGGGTCCGTCACCGCCTTTTCTTACTTGCATTAACATACAGGGTGCTAGAGCCTAAAACCTAATCGTCAATCCTGAATGGTTATTTCGAGGTCTGCTTGCTGCTGTTTAGCGCTAATTCGATGCTCCAAGGCGTTTGAACAGTGGAACTCGGTCCCTTCTAAATGGTCATGACCCAATACTATTATCAGTGGGAAAAAAAAAACACACAGTAAAAGAAGATCCTGAACATCCCATGTTCCACTACCTACATGCATACGATGGATATACGCTGTAATTCTGGTCCAAGATATTCGTGGTATCCATCGTATCCATAGATCCACCGAAAAAATGTACGATGCCTGGAAGACTTTTGGTTCTAGTGACGCATTTGGGAAAGAGTCATATTTTCTAGAGATGACACACATGAAGCCCCTCCAACCCCTCCAAGAAGTACCTCCCAGGTAGCCAGGGTTTGCCATCTTGCTCCTACGTCCAGCATAGTAATACCATAGATGAATCGGTGGATATATTTTAGGTAATGAAGCTGTGAAGTTACCTACTACACAGGCAATATGTATTTTAAATCTTTAAAAAATATGGTACGTACTTTGGACCCTTAAAATTGTAGTTAACTTCCTGATCTAGATGCCGTTCCGAATGGCTGGCTGTTCAAACAATTAACCTACAAATTTATATGAAATGAATTGTAACCTTCGGTATTGAATTGGCACGTGTGGTAATTGGAATACATCTAGAGCCTCCTGTGTGCAGTTCCACGCACAAAAACTGCAAAATAAGCGAGATGGAGCTATTGTACACGTATAGCCAAACGTATAGTATCCCACGATGTATGTACATACCCCATACCTACTTGCATTGTATCTGGCTGTCCGGTCCACTTCCGATATTTTCATCGACCCATCCTGACCATCGACCTCGATATGTACGCTCATGTATCTCCACCTCCAACCGGATTTTCACTCGAAAGTTGAGAAGAGCTCCAACATAACTTTTTAAGATGATCCATGATGGTACATACGTAGTGTCTCCATGTAGAAGTAGATCCTCTTTTTCGGACAGGTTACTTTTTTCTCCTCCGTTTTTTACCATATTTGTTCGGTGTGGACCAATATCGACATTCTATTCCTCCACTCGAATGGGCGATGTCATGAATGACGTGCATTTTGCATACAATCGAGATCCCTAATTCTATAATTCTCGTTCATGTCAATCTAAGAATGGGATTCTAATGGACTAGTTGGGTACTTCAATGAATGGGCTCTGTTATGGGAAGTAGAAATATCAATGTTGACAAGTCATTGCGAGAGATGCATGTCATGAAATTGAAAGTGTCTAATTTGGCCTTGAGCCAGCCGGAAATAGACTCGGAAGCCTTGCTGGCTGCTTATGCAGGCGGGCAGCTAGTGTAATGGCTTGACTCACGTCTCGGGTGCCTTTCTTATTGGTCTCATGCAAGATTTTACTTTCGAAAATGTCTGTCGTCCTATTAGATCAAGAACCATGTACCTATGGAGTAGGTCCGAGACGTGGCCATCGTTACTCAAGGCGCCTGTCAGGAAAAGGGGCATTTGGCATATATTGTAACCGAAGGCACACGGGAGCTGGTCCGGCGATCAAAGCGAAAAGCCACATTGCCTGGGTGGCGTCTGAGCAATACGACGCTCCGGCTTGTATTCCCTCACCCGCGTAGCCCGCGTTATCGACTATTCGTACAGAGTAGATGTTCTAGAATGACTCTTCCGCTCTTCCTCACGCCCTTACACAAGGTATGGATCGTAATGAAAAAAGGTGTAATGAAAAATGCGGAGGTTCGCGTCGCCTGGAGGCAGTGTTATACCAGGGACACGGTGGAAGCGATCATGGGCAAGCCCAGAGGATGCGCTTCCTCGTTGCAAAAATTAGAATAATCACGATTGAGTTCAAGTAGAACTCTTTCAGAGATTAAACTGAAAAGAACAGATACTACACTTGATCTAAGCCAAAACTGTTGCATTGTTAGCATAAGGGTTCAACGGTTCGAAGGTATGGTGGTGGTTACTCACGGCAAAGAGAGCTGGAGAAGAAAAGAAAAAAACGAAATAAAATTCGAGAGGGGAAATGTTCTTTTTATCATTTTGGGTAGGGCAGTAGGGCGGGGACGAACCACAGAAAGCATTGCAGCCTCAATTGGTGGGTCTCAAATGTGGCTGACACTGGCTGACTGGCAGACTGGCTGACTGAGTTGCAGGGGGGCTACCAGGTGTCGGCAGGTCCAGTGGACGGTTGCCATCGAAACAAGCACCTTCCAAAGTAAATATTGACCTAGAAAATACCAGGTACAAAGTTACCTAACAAGTACATACTTCGTACAGTCGAATTTTATCCACACGTGCATTTCTAAAAACTAAACACTCAACCTCCAACCATTTTCATTACAACTGTTGCATTCACGCTGAACGGAATATTTCTTGCATTGTAAAACACAGCACAACTCTAGAGGCCGATTTGTGCACCTTCTCCACTGCATGTAATTGCATTCGCATTACATTTTTATTTTCTCACCGCTTCACACCTTTTCAGTGATACCGCACCGCATCACCACCATGGAACCGCCTCAAAAAGGTCACGCGAACCTTTTCCAGGTTTATTTGCGCCTGCGTCCTCCTCCATCTGGTAGCTCTAACGCCGAACGTTTCCTCTTAGTCGAGGAGCCTGCTGAACACAATGCGCCTACACATATCACATTGAACCCTCCGAACGACCGAAGACGAGCAATCGAGAAGTTCGCATTTACCCAAGTCTTCGAAGAGAATTCTACCCAGCTCGATCTATTTCAAGGAACTAAAGTACTTCCATTAGTCGAGGGCGTATTAGCACCTCACGGAGGCGATGGCACAGATGGCTTGTTGGCGACTCTGGGAGTCACTGGTTCCGGCAAGGTATGCGTAGTTGAGGCGCCGCGAGAATAATAACGGAAGTAATCTTGACTAACCTCAATATCGTTAGACACATACAATGCTTGGGTCTAGAAACCAACGGGGCTTAACCCAGCTTGCTCTCGATGTAGTCTTCCGATCTATCGACTCAAACATTGTTGACTGTGACACATCTCCCACTTTGGAGGCTAGTATAAGAGCCTCGGATGCATCTGAAGCATCTATCCACTCCGCTCCGGCGTTCCTCGAATCGATTTATAGCGATTATAATGGCCCATCTAGAGCTGGATCCAGGGCTGCAACGCCAATGATTGTAGGGCCCCCAAAGACTTTTGTTCGACCTTCCCTATTCAACTCCACTCCTTCTCTGCCTGGTCGATTCCCAGACAGCCCCAAGAGTATCCGAGTCGTTAGTCGCGAGGATGATCTATCGAGAATAACACTGCTTTCAACGCCTCCCAGCCAACGGGAGATTGCAATACCACGAACCCCGATGCAAGTTGCGTCTGTTAAGCCAAAGTTGGCCGAATCTCCGTCACCCAAGAAGCATTACATGTCTCTTACTTCAGCCGCAAGAAACAAGAAGACCATTACTAAGACTCCAGTTAAGGGCGAGTATCCACTACCACCGATCCCGACTCCGAGACGCCACCTACAACGGCTATCCGCCCTCCCTCAAGCTCCCGATATTAGTTCCGTCCGAGCATCCTGCGACCCATCTGCCGAATATGCTATTGTTATCTCTATGTACGAAGTATATAACGATAGAATCTTCGACCTCCTAACCCCTCCGATCAAGTCGAATGCTACGAAGGAATATCGACGACGACCGCTCCTATTTAAGCCCACAGAGTTATCTCCTGACCGAAAAGTAGTCGCTGGACTTCGAAAGATCATTTGCGGTAATATGAATGAAGCATTGATGGTTCTTGAGGCCGGATTACATGAGAGACGAGTCGCCGGCACGGGTAGTAACAGTGTCTCGTCGAGAAGTCACGGATTCTTCTGTGTCGAGATTAAGAAGAGGCGTCGTGGCCGCACTAATGGAAGATGGGGTGCCAGCACTCTTAGTATTGTTGACCTGGCTGGTAGTGAACGAGCGAGAGATGCTAAGACGCAAGGCGCGACGCTTGCTGAGGCTGGCAAGATTAACGAAAGTTTGATGTATCTCGGACAATGCCTACAAATGCAGAGCGATGCTAGTAACACTACAAAGGTACGAGTAATACTATACCGACAAACCTAAGAACTTTACTAACAGTCCATGACAGCCTAATCTAGTCCCCTTCCGTCAATGTAAACTTACCGAGTTGCTTTTCTCTAACTCATTCCCCTCAGCTGCTCAATCACATTCTTCTGTTAACAGACGAGCGCCTCAGAAAGCCGTCATGATCGTTACTGCCGATCCATTGGGCGACTTTAACGCCACCTCTCAGATCCTAAGATACAGTGCTCTCGCTCGGGAGGTCACTGTTCCACGTATCCCCTCTATCACGTCTACTATCTTAGCAAACACGACGATGCAGTCAGGCCAGTCCGAGTCAAGTGTAGGCTCCTGTAGCCCTACAAGCTCACCTGTTATGTCCCACCAAAAACCCTATTACCAGCCCTCCGGTGCCCATAGTCGCACGTTCTCGCCTATGACTGACACGGAGCGAGCGACTATGGAAAACGCGGCTCTGGAGATTGCTAGGATGGCAGATATCATCGATCAGTTGAACACTGAGCTGGCGCGAGAATCAGAAGAACGCATGACTGCCGAAGCGCACTTACTATCAATGCAAGACCGTATCGAAGATCTCGAGCAAGAGATTCGGGAAGAATGTTACGCAGACTTTGAGCAGCGGCTCTCCTTAGAAATGGGACGTTGGAAGGCGTCGCTATCCCTAGAACAGGAGCGTGGCGAGGAGCATTGGGACCGCAAGGTCGAGGTGTTGGCCCGAAGTGTTGGCGTGGTCACGGTGACATCGCCTAGCTCTGATGACGACGACGGGGAGAATGAGGATAAAGAAAACATACTCATCGAGAATCTGGAAGAAGAGAACGAGCGATTGCGAAGAGAGGTCTCGATCCTAAAGCGCGAGCTCTCCGGCCGTACGCCGAGCAAGCGGGCGCCACTTCAGGAGAGGGGCGACGTGCCTAGCAGTAGATCCTCTACAGTTGGAGGTGATGCGTTGGCGGGCCTTGGAAACCGCATGGAGCAGCTGCGCATGAATGGCGGCGAAGACAAGAAGGTGCTGAAGGTGTCGAGCAGCGGCAGCCCGCAGAAGAAGGTTCGAAAGCTGCCGGCGAGAAAATGGGAGGGTGTCGCGGCCGAAGATGAGCTAAGTTAAGCCGAGTTAATGGGATATGATGTGATGCGGTGGGATTGGAGCTATGCAGGATATCGAGGTTCACGATAATGACCGATAATCGATGACCTACGATTGCGGTGGTGGTATGGTCTGTGACTGGTGGCGGATGATTAATGATAAACTGAACTGAACTGAACTGAATTGGGGAGCAGCTGATGTGCGCCGAATTGGGTTGAGTTAAGGATACCCCCTATGCTGTCCTGCTTTATTTTGTTATACTAGTTTGCTTTGGTGGTAATGACTTTTGAATTGGTATCATTGGTGTTTGGTTTGACGTTTTGGTTGTTGCTACCCAGACTATGTGTTAGTTATGTGCCTTGACAATCGTGTTTGGATTGGTATCGTTGGTATTGTGACTGAAGTTTATGTGCTTTCATGAACTAGGTATGGTGTATGAGGCCTCATTGCAAACCTGTGGATTAGGATTATCTTGGCTGAGGCGATGTGTTCGAATGATCGATCGCGATCGAGATGACTTAGTGGATGATCCTCATACTATCAAGGATTTTCAATTGATATTTGTTGAGGGCGTGGTACAGTTGGTGGCGTTTTGAGTGACGCCACGTTCGCGATCAGCTCCGTAGGTAGGTAGGTATTTCTATTCCGATTTCTAGAGCGCCCGTTGTATATGAGGAACACTCTCATAAACTGTCTTCGCTTCAAGTGATAAACGTACATGATGTAAGATTTATTGAGATATAAACGTGAAGTCGTGAGTTTCTCACTCTTTCGCTGGTCCTTTTCATCATTTACCTACCTAGGTACATACCTCTAGGTAGGTACCTAGCCTCCCAAACCTCTCGCTACATGGCTTTTGATTCATTACTCGTACGCTAGAAAGGGAAATTGATTGAATGGGAGTTTTTAGATGATATATGCAAGAGCAGTGTTTACATCTCGGTTATCTCGTTGGGTAGCTTTCAAAGGCAAAATTCCGATATTGAGGCTGCGATTATGATCCTATTGGAAGTACTATTCAAGTATACCCCTTAGGAGGGCATATTTCTAGGTAGTTTCTAAATAGTACCTATATTAAGATATCATTGTCCAATAGCGGAACTTTGTGCCCATGAGGCGCTTATGGAGTATATTAAATCGCAACATTACAGTGTCTAGCGAGGGACCCTTAATCTCCAGAATTGCCACTGCGTTGTTGAATGGTCTAGATCAACAGAAGAGGCAAAGTCAAGATATTTACGTAGATTATCCCACCGCGCTTAGATGGCGACGCGGTTCCGTTTTGTGGACAAGTTAGGTAACCGAGCACCGTATCCACCCCGTTTCTCGCTTTCATAATCGGATATTATGCGTGGCTGGGTGCCTAAAGTGATCTCTTCAAATAAATTGTTGACCTAAAGTGCCTTTAGAATAATTATATCGTATTTGATTATAATCGAAGTTTGTTGCGCATACGCCAAGGGACGGAAGCCAGTTAAATCCATACCTTGGTTCCTATAGAACAACATCTATATCTTCACTGGCCCCTTCATTAGCGTATAAAGGCTTCATCCCACCGCCGTGTCGCGGGAGGGCTAGAAATAGCTAGATATTCGGCTCAGAGTTCGACCGGTCTTGGCGATTTGGTCACTTGCTAAGATGAAGTTTGGAAGTTTGGACGAACCATACCACGCGAGGACCTGCATGAGTTTACTCCAAGGGGTCCGGCATCAATTGGCTAAACATATTGGACAGTGGAAGACAGTAGCAATTGCCTTTACCAGGCTCTCTTTACGGAGCTTACCTGACTTGGCGTCCGTTACATCCCTGGATAATATCGACAGATATTTTCCACTACCCCAATCTCGGCATCATAGACATTAACGGCATTTCAACCTGTCGATCGTTTCCATTAGCAACCTATTCCTCCAATCCTATCGCTTCCTAAGGTTACACCAGATCTTGCTGCTAAGATCCCCTCGCGCTGTGGCGCTGGCATGGCTAAAATCATGCACACCAGAACGTATTCAGAAACTCGAAAACTTTGGGTATCTATTGCGTGATCCGTTTCCTCGCAAGACTCTCTAACATTACAACTTCAGACCATCATCTTACGATGCAAATTCGGAGGTATGATATAATTGATCGCGGTTTTGGCCTCGCGTCATCTCCGTTGTTGGGGCTCGCTTAAGACTCCGGTGGAGGAATCGTCCTCCGTTCTAGCGTGAATGTTCCCTCTGGAGGCCCCGCTTCGCCATCTCATTTTCATTCCAAAGCGGCGGCTCGATCTCCGGGATGGACATAACGGGCCGCAGAGCCATCACTGGGGCAAATACGTCCATCATGCCACGCCTGACATCCCCGAATCAACGCCTCTCCCCATTCCCCGCAAATACCCCAGGTTACTTCGGGCCACGATCCTGAAACCTATACCATCCAATCTATATTGAGTCGGAAATATGTGGTAAACCCTCCAAGATTCTAATATCAGCAACCCTTTTCTTGGTTCATCATTTAGATCGCCACACCCCTCGAACGCGCTCTTTCTATTGGCCACATTAATCATATCAACGTACGACGACCGTTTTGGGCAGTGACAACTCTCTTATCTGGGTCTACCGTTTTGTATCGTCGCCCCCAAGATTCGAGAATGAACATGGTGTAGGCTGTACTATATCGTGGGGGACCAACCACAGCCCTTCGTTCTCGAAACACCCGCCGGAGCCTTAGCAGCATAATTGAGATTTTAATCTAATTCAAAATGGTCATAGGGCCGAGAAAGTCAGTGATCGACTATGCCCTGCCACAATTTGACCTTGTCGAGTCGGAGCCTGCTGCCGGCAATATGGAGTCGAGAAAGTTAATTGCTGGGCAAAACACCACGTCGTTGGTGTATATAACCGAGTCGAGTCCCAGATGCCACACCATGTTTCTGGTCTTACGCTTCACTATCGTCCTCCAGGTTTAGAACATCTTACCTTGGTAACATCACAGCAAAATGTTGTCCCTTGCCGTGTCGGCCGCCCTTCTCGGGTTGGCATCCGCCCAGCAGGTCGGAAAGGAGCAGTCCGAGACTCACCCCAAGCTGAGCTGGAAGAAGTGCAGTGGAAGTGGTTCCTGTACCGCGACCAACGCCGAAGTGACCATCGACTCCAACTGGCGATGGCTTCACTCTACTTCCGGCACGACTAACTGCTACGACGGCAACGAGTGGACTTCAGAGTGTAGCTCCGCTGAGGACTGCGCCACCAAGTGCGCCATCGAGGGTGCCGACTACAGCAAGACCTACGGTGCCTCCACCAGCGGTGACGCTCTTACCCTCAAGTTCCTCACCAAGCACGACTACGGTACCAACATCGGTTCCCGATTCTACCTGATGAACGGCGCGGACAAGTACCAGACTTTCTCCCTCAAGGGAAACGAGTTCACCTTCGATGTCGACCTCTCCACCGTCGACTGTGGTCTTAACGCCGCTCTTTACTTCGTCGCTATGGAGGAGGATGGTGGCATGGCCAGCTACCCCAACAACAAGGCCGGTGCCAAGTATGGTACCGGTTACTGTGACGCTCAGTGTGCCCGTGACCTGAAGTTCGTCGGAGGCAAGGCCAACGTCGAGGGATGGAAGCCATCCACCAACGACGCGAACGCCGGTGTCGGCCCGTACGGTGCCTGCTGTGCTGAGATCGACGTCTGGGAGTCCAACTCTCACTCCTTCGCCTTCACCCCCCACCCTTGCACTGACAACAACTACCACGTCTGCGAGAATGACGGTTGCGGTGGTACCTACTCCGACGACCGATTTGCCGGAAAGTGTGACGCCAACGGTTGTGACTACAACCCGTACCGCATGGGCAACCACGACTTCTACGGCAAGGGCAAGACCGTCGACACGAGCAAGAAGTTCACCGTCGTCAGCCAGTTCGCCGACAACAAGCTGACCCAGTTCTTCGTCCAAAACGGCAAGAAGATCGAGATCCCCGGCCCCACCGGCTCCGGCTTCCCCGCCACCGCCGACATCACCCCTGAATACTGTAAAGCTGAGACTACTGCCTTCGGTGACCGTGACCGCTTCACTGAGGTCGGCGGCTTCGACCAGCTCAACTCCGCTCTTGATATCCCCATGGTCCTTGTCATGTCCATCTGGGACGACGTAAGCTCCCCCTTGACCCTCGTTTCCCGAATTTTCACTTTGCTAACACTTCGCCCTATAGCACTACGCCAACATGTTGTGGCTCGACTCTAGCTACCCCCCTGAGAAGGCCGGTCAGCCCGGTGGTGACCGTGGTGACTGCGCCCAGGACTCTGGTGTTCCCTCCGACGTCGAGGCTAAGATCCCCGATGCGTACGTATTCCCTCTTAGTCTATTAGATACTCGATGACTAACAACTTCACAGCAAGGTCGTCTGGTCCAACATCCGCTTCGGACCTATTGGCTCTACCGTCACTGTCTAAGCTATGGGCTAAAGGACAAGAGGCTTTACGGCCGTATATATTCTACACATGTATATATCTCTACCTTTCGCATCAGATTGTTCCCCCTATTTAGCTCCAGCGAGAATAAAACGGATCGTGTTGTCTCCATTAAACATACCTATCGCTACTGCCGTGATGTATATTATACGTGAATAAACTTAAACGTTCCTATTCAGCGCAATGGATTATTCGTCACGACAATCGAATCATTATAAGACTATGAACACTAAATCTAGAGCATATGGTTCACGTACCTACGTACCTACTAGGTACGTGCATTTCAAAGGACGTAAACTGGAATGTTTTAATTAGGTAACTACCTAGGTAGGTCCCTAAGGTAGGTATTTATGGAATAAGGGTAGCAGTACAAATACGAATACAGAGAAACGAGGTTTTGTGGCTTCCGTACCTATAATACGATTTTAAGATCTTAGGAGACTGTTTAGGGATCGTTCGAGAACGACACCGCCAAGCCCCGCTGTGGCGATGGCCCATACCCACTTATTACTCACTTCACCCAAACCGGGCCAAAAGCTGTTCTTGGACTGCTTGTATTGTTGGAGCTCTTGGTACTTCACAGGGTTTCCTTTGGAGTAGCGCTTTTCTTGATTCTCCTCGTTTTCCTTATCTCCTCCAATAAAACGGAGGAAGATGTAGTTGGCGATGGGTCCAACGATTGTGAGTGGGTGGAGTTGTCCGGCACTGTAGAGGAGCAGTGGGAAAGATAAATGGCACAGAGCATCACCAAGGTAGCTGTAAGTAATTAGCGTCATGTTACTTCTACCTGCCCAGGGTGTGGATTTGATGAAACTTACTTTGGATGGCGGACAATACTCCATACGCCCTCACGATTGAGTTCAGCACTCGCAGTACGGCTGTGGGCTTCCAGTTGAGAATCGGCTAGAGCTTCTAGGGAATACCCGGCCGTGAAGAGGAAAATAGCAAGGCTATGAGAAATGGTAATAGCTTCGGGGAACGGCGCAGCTAGGGCACTGGCAATCGGAGCTCGGAATGGCAATGTGAAAGGTAGAGAGATCAACGTCTGGATGAGAGCTTCCGGGAGAAACATGGTAAAGAATGCCTTGTTCCAGAAATCCGGTTTCTTTCTAGCTGATGTTTCGTAACGAGGGTCATCTTTGCCACGTCGAAGGGTGCGCGATGCAACACGGTAAAACAGGCGAATACCCCAAGCACTGACCCCGACAAGGAGAAGCTTCTGGTTATACGATAGGGCATCCCATGCTTCCGAGAGGGATAGTCCTTCGTATACGACGGGAGCACCGATGGCACTCCACCATGCATTGGCGACCTGTCCGCTGGGCCACAGCCAATCTTTGGCTGCGACAGTGTCAGTGTAACGGCCTACGCCATAGGCAATGATGCTGAGACCGCCATGGAATCCAAAGGAGGGAAGAATTGCATGTTGAACAAGGCCTAGTGTCGAGGTCGTGCCAACAAATCTGACATTGGCTTGGCGGTTGGACGCGAAGTGGGCTCCGTAACGGTCTTGTTCTGCACCAGATCCCGTAGGCAGGCTCCCCTTTAGTTGTGTAGCAGGCGGCCCGTCGTGTCTACCGAACCAACGCTCATACCTATCTTGCTCAGCTCCCGAAGTCCTAGGAAGTCTCTTCTCGATGTCAAGTCTAGTGGGAAGTTTGTGGCCACCAAACCAATGTTCATATCTATCTTGCTCAGCTCCTGAGGTTTTTGGAAGCTGCTTCTCAATGTCGCCAAGCTTGTCTCCGCCAAACCAGCGGCCGTATCGATCCTGCTCAGCCCCCGATACTTGAGGGAGACTTTCGTTAATTTGACTGGTAGAAGATAGCTTGTCGCCACCAAAGGAACGTTCATATCTGTCCTGCTCAGCACCAGAGGTTTTGGGAATGGCTTGCTGTGCCTTTTCTTGTACTTTATCGGCTTTGTTCCCACCAAACCAACCACCGAAGCGATCTTGCTCAGCCATTGTCAATGAAGATGATCTTACTTACGTAGTAACTATGAGAGGGTAAGCATTCTGGGTATTAATTGGTAGGTACTTAAATGAGAATTTATCAACTGAGACAGGAAGGTTCATTCGGTTTGTAGGTATGAGATATGGTATGTGAGGAGAAGATGACGTAGCCGTTACATTCATATGACGTATAAGACACTTTTCGGCAATGCAAATTTGCATTAATTCTACAACAATAAAACACCATCATAATGAATAGCATAAAGAAGGTATGAAACATATCTTGATGGTGTGGAAGAAGAATATGCGTCTTCCCCTGAATAAAATGATGTTAATAGGGGGAGATTGATTAGGTAATCCAGTAATATTACTAATCAGTTTGTTTGAATTCATGCATAAATCAATCTATTTATTTATGTGGGGTTTGCACTAAAAAGGTCTTTTATCACGCATTAGTTGATAATAAGGGGCTTATATGGAATAGGTGCATATACCGTAATGCTACGCTTGTAGTGCTCAGGTGTCTGATCGACAAACTAATATTGGTTGGCTCTAATTGACTTGGATGTTACATAGTACATATTCCTTCCATGACATTAATTGCTAAGTTGTTGGATGAGAAACACGTAAAGCAAATATATACCAGTGCTTGTCTGTAGGTTTCCAAACTCAAGCGAATCATAGGTAGTAAACCCCCAATAATTTATCTACTTATAGTATTTCCAAGGTCAGTGGGTATACTGATTCTACGACTTTTGCTGCCCATTCTCCTAGGATATTACTTACTCACCTAGGAACGCGACATGTATAGGTACCTGTGGATGAGAGAACAGATTTGTCCACTCTAGCCTAGACTGACTACCTACTAACTAATCGCCTACTTGTCGAACCACAATTCTATAGGACCTGACGATACTACTCACTATCGTGCTAATGAATTATAGTGGGTTCATACTGTCACGTACCTATAGAGCATATATTTTTACACCAGAGAAAATGTGTAGTCTTGATTACCTAGGTACCTACCTAGGCTGCTACCATAAGGCGGAACCAAAAGGCATGGAAACAACGATGTTGTTGCGCGAAGAGCCCCTAACTACCCTCGCTATGGAGAACACGGTATACATACAGGTGAAGCTCTTTGTCTATCCTGCTCCTAGGACTAGCGGCCAACAGGACCCTCACGGGGACTCAACAGGCCGAATCCCGATCCCATAGACCTCTAGCTACTGACCTGGAGGAAGACCAATGTCTGACACTTAGTACCTGGGTACCTACTAGGTAGATAGGTACCTAGCTAATAAGTAAACCTCAGGTTCATTGCCTAGGTATTTAGGGACGAATCACGTCGACACGATGAAGTATCTTGATTTGATAAAATGATGCTACACCGACTTTAATCCATAAGTTAACAATTCAAAGTAATATCGTAAAGCAGTTCAGTTCACATTTCAAGATTACTAGTACCTAGTTGGAGAGGCTTTCTATAATTCTTAAAGATACCTAGACGGCAAGTTTGGTTTATTTTGGGTAAAACCCATCGAATCTGTTAGTCTTAGTCAACGGAAATCTTTCGGGACAGGCTCACTGCTAGGAGACGTATGGAGGCGCGTCGGTATCTTCCTACGCGTGACTGCACCCCTGTCATCATCAATTCTATTAACTACCATACCCACCCAGAGAATACCTACCTATCGTTGTCATAAATTCTATAGCCCCACTCAGTTATCTTGCTCGGAATGTATCTCTCAGCCAATAGGCTCGCAAAACCTAGACGGCAGTCTGATGCGTGATACTCTAACATCTTCTTGCGACTTTCGACTTTCCTAAACCTAAATTTCTTTCACACAACAATTTATAGAACTTGGAAAAATGCTCCCACAAACTTTGGAAGAGCCATATGCTCAGGGTAAACTTGATACCACCGCATTTATAACCTGGTTAGCCGATACTGTTCATACATGTAATCGTACAATCGAAACAACTACCGCCACATTTCTACCACTACCTACAACATCTGGCCAGACGGAACGGTTTCAATTTCAGTCGAGACGAAGGCAACGAAGAGGCAGTCCATACCAGTATTCCCTGCGGGAACTGAATGAGCGAGTCAATTTTATCCTCGAATCTCACCCGACAATACGAATTCCTAAGCGAATTAAAGTTAGATTGCAACGCGCAATTGATGTCCGCCAGAAATGTTTGGAGTGGTTTGAGGCTACAGAAAACAAGCCAAATGAATTCGACGTCGTGGGCCACCGTCATTTTATTCGATTCTTAATACACGCCCAAACAAGATTCAACGAGCTAGAGTTCACCAATGCTGCTATCCGCATGTCTGCCCATAAAACACCTTCTGTGGATCATGGCATTTGCTTTGAGTAGGTGAATTTTCTTACGCGGAAGCGGATTTCAGCTAACATCGTATAGGAATCGATTCTCGCAGCTTGAAATCGAGAACGGAGATGACCCTTAGAATTCCATCTTATTAAGAAACACCCGGGTACAATACTTCCGATCAGAGTGACCTATAATCTTCAACGATTTGAACCATTTCCTTCGGCTATCGATCGGTTACAAGTGAGAGAGAGAGATATTGAAGCACTTGGTGCCTTGGCGTACCAACGGACTCCTTCTCATTCGGTCCGGGATGAAGTTACAAACACACGAGTTGCCTCATTATAGGTAAGTTTGATTAGATTCTACTTCTAAGGCTAAAAGAAATACTAACACACATTAGGATCTCCACGCCGACAAATTAGCTTAATACTCGTTCTTTCAACCACCACCGAACCCGGATATTCAGCGCTTTCGGAGATTTCTTGAACTGCCCAGTTTTATGGGCTCGCCAATTATCAGACGAGGCTTGGTTTATACACTCTAGTGGTAGACTTTCTTAACAGTACTTTCAAGGACCGGCTTGCGGGAGAAACGGTATGATGGCATCGTGTCCTATTTGACGGCAGAAAGCCTCGGGGATAAAATCAAGAGGTAAAACATCATGAACATAGGCAATCTGCTGGCGTATGGAGTTTACGAATTCTTCTCCAGAGGTGTCCTTCGTCGATTGATCAACAAGTCCCATCTACGTCGAAACCCTCAGTGCAATAACATTAGGGGATGTTTCCACAACAACTCGTATAGTAAATTCAGATCCTTGACTAAAGTCCCAAATTATTGGCCTCTATTTCGAAGATATTTGGGATGGAGAGATCGACGGTTCGGGTAGTTGCTAAAATAGGGTACCTACTTGGAAACTGATAATTTCATTTTACCCGTTGGAAAACCATATACTAGATTCTAGTAGGATAATCCCCCCTTGTGCTTACTCCCAAGCTTAGTTCTAGTAAACATGTTAAGATGTATGAATTGAGCTATATAATATCCTCTAGCAAATGAAAAGGGCGTAAGTATTATTGGAGCTGCGTAGGTTGACTACCTACATTTAGATGTACTACCATTAGGTACGTACAATTCACTCTTTTCTCTCGTCCCATTCGCTAAAATAAGGTAGGCAGGGAAAGAACAAGGCATATCTCGAGCCACGCCATATTATCATCTTAATTAAAGGCATAAACAAAAGAGATGGTCCGAATACCGTCAAAAGTTCGCATGCTAGATGAAATATCACGAGGGGGAACTAAATAACAAGGAAACAACGACGTTACCACGCGAGAAGCTCCAAACTACCTACTATTGCCATGGAGAACACGGTATACATACAGATGAGGCTTTTTTTCCGTTCTAAAGATAATCCTAGTAGATTTTATATTTTTCTAAAACATAAAATTTGATCTATACAGGTACCTAAGTAGGTGTTTACTTATTAGGTACCTATTATAAAATATTAATAAATATCTTAAGCTTATAATCGTCCTATATATGATATCTCATGTCAATCCATACCAAACGATGTAAACGAAATCGATACTCCGTTTGTTTCACAGGTTCCAAGGTTTCAAGGTTGTACAGGTAGGTATACATACTTCCACACAAGATAGAGATGATTACTACCTACTTATGGCACCTAGGTTAGTTCGTTAAGTTACAGGCATGGACTTTATTAAGGTAAGATCAATAACGTTGTTGTTACATGACATGAACGAACCTTGGAAGATACCTAACGAGAAATAAAATATTGAGGCAGCTAAGAGGTAAACCTCAAGCTAATTGCCTCTTCCACGAGGAATAATCTCGTCGCACTGACAGGATGAAAAATCTTGGGTTGAGAAAAATGATATTATACTAGGTTTAATCTGTTGATTGCTAATCGGAAGTTAATAGAAAAGTTTCACTCTCGCAATTCAGATGTCGCAAGGCGGCTACCTAGTAAGTTGGCAGTTCGAGATTACGGGTAGTTCGGGGAACTTTGAGTAGTATTTACCTAGGTACCTACTTACCTATAGGTAAACGACTATGTTCGGCCATATCGGTTAGAATATCTTGAGTCGAGGTAGTTGTCCTAATCAAAGACCATCTTACGGGATGAGCTCGCTCCTGGAGGCGTGGGGAAGCGTGTCGGTATCATCCTACGCGACAGCACCTCTGGCCTCTTAATTTTACAAACCACCATACCCATCTGCAAAAGATGCATCCGTATCATAAATTCCATAGCCCCACTCATTTATTTTCTACAGAGGTACGTATGTCACAACCAATGGGTGCGCAAATTCTTCGTAGTTGTCTACCTAGTCTACGATATCTTAACTTCTTTTCTTTTTTTTTTCTTCTAAACCTCGGAACTCGAGCGCCTTTTACCGCACTTCTGTCAACAACCATCCAAAATGCTACCAACATCATTGGAAGAAACTTACAACCAATGTAAAATCGATACCGATGCGTTTTTAACTTGGTTAGACGACACGTACCGCGCTTGTGGTTATACACCTCAAGCAACATCTACAATGTCGTCAGCACTAGGGAGACACAATACAAGCTTGCCAAGTCGACGAAGAAATAACAATGCTTCCAGATATGCCACATCGATAAGGAAATTAAGCGCAAAGATTGATGCTATCATTCAATCACCTACCATGATACGGATGCCACGAAAAGTCAGAACGAAGGTGGAACGGGCGATTGACGGCCGCCAAACTTGTCTGGAATGGTACGACCGTGTGGATAATAGAACGGATGAATTCGATGTGTGCGGGCATCGATTTTTTATCGAGTTTCTACAAGAGGCTCTGCGTAAATTCGAAGAGATAGAACCTATGATCACTTCGATTCCCAAGCCTGCCCCCAAGCGGGAACCTGTAATCTTTGAGTAAGTTTCTCTGACGCGAAGCAACGCCCCAAACTAATGCATCCTGTAGGAATCGGTTCGCCCAATTAGGCTTGGATGACATGTCTGAGACTTGATTTCATGCCAAATGGGAGTACGCGGTGCCTTGAAAGGCCGAAGACTGTGCGTCAATCCCATGCAATAGATGATTATTAAAGAGGAAGTCCAATACTAGGTAAGCTTTCAACTAGACTTTCTTGAGGTCAGACCTAACTGAGCCCTGATCTAGGAATTCCTCTTCGATTTCTACGTTAACGATCGCGTTTTTCTTAAACAATCGACCCGTCCTGGAGTAGGGCTGAAGATCACTATACGCCTAGCCCCATATTTTGCGATATTCTCGACTAGTTGGAGAGACTTGTTTCATTTACCCGACGGAGATTCCATCTTCGAAACGTCGGTTGACTGGTCTACTAGACGGTTGACAACATACTACGACGACCTCGATAAGAAGCCTGTTAAATCCACACCTATTTCGTGAATAACACCCGAAGAACTGGATTACGCAACCACTCTTTCGTTCTTCGTTGGAGGACAGGGAAATGGATCCCCTATTTGGTACCTGAAAATGAACTTAAGGCATAGTAGAGTAGCAACTGGTAAGTAAACGTGAAAGACTAGGGTCGGGTATAATAACAAGACGAAGCTTACTACGTACTAACCCTCGTCCAGAAACCATGTCCACGGATTACCTTGACAACCCTACGATAAAGACGAACGGGACGAGTGATGGGATACATCGTATAGGAAACCGATACACCAGAGCAATTGGAACAAAATACTTGCTCGAGTAGCCTAATTGGATTCTTTCTACTACCTAGGTACCAAGTCACCCTAAGTGTATACTAGGTACCTATTAGGTTACGGCGTTGGGGAGTTGTGGAATGATTTCATAGGCGAGTAGGGAGGTCGATTATCCGTTCTTGATGGCGAAATATACTACGTGCTGGATCACATTACCTAGTATGATTACCCTTTCTGTGCTAATTTTAATGGTTGTAGACTCGACGAAGCGTACCGATCGGTAATGGAGAGTACAAATACTCACCAACAGAATTGGTAAATATCCTATCGGAATCCTTAACTCCATCCCATTAGGATTACTCTTGTAAACCTGACGCACTTCCTCGGAACGTGTCTTAGCTGACTAATTCAGGGGTAACCTTAGTAATCCACTAGGCTGACCCAATCCAGAATAATGTAGGTGGGTGAGTAATCTAATCCACAGTACCTAGGTAGGTACCTACCTAGTACTTAGTAGGAAATGCTTAATTAGGTACCTAGGTACCTAAGTACCTATATGTAATTACGTAGTATTTTTTACCGTTCGCACACCGAGGAGTCAGGTGCACTGATTACTACGTACTTACCTTAGGTACCTAGGTACCTAGTAGGTACTATTCTGGACTGTGCGTAAAATATCATTATCTACGTATTTTTGCTGCTGCTAATCATACTGATACGCTTATTTTGCCCGATGGGGGGATATTTTTACACCTCATTTGATACGGTGCTAGCTGTCCAGGTGGTGCTGACTGACATACCGTGGACCATAGAAACTGCCCTAAAAGGGGCGAAGATTCGCACCAAAAATTTACATTAATTCACCAAATTATGGTGGCAGCCGCTGTAACTAAAGTCTGCTTAAGGGGCTTGGCCACTGAAAAAACACCACACAGTGATCCATACTTTATTTTGATTTACACGGCTTTTAGCCGTCAGCACTTGCAGCGCATCGGTTTAAACCCTTTCACCTTTACAGGTATTTTCGGTATTAATAAGCACTTTGGACAGTTAATTTACAATTTTCGAAAAAACGATAACTTAATTTAAATAATTACTATAACGGGAAATAATATAATCGAATAATAATTAAAACTTGAAAATAATTATTATAAATAATAAATTAATAATTAAATACTTAAAAATAATTATTAAAAATGATTAATAATAATTAAAAAAGTTTAATAATAATTAAAAAAGTTTAATAATAATTATAAAAATTTAAAAATAATTAAAAAAATTTAATAATTATTAAAAACGTTTAATAATAATTAAAAAAATTTAATAATTATTAAAAACGTTTAATAATAACTGGAAATTTTTAATAATTATTTAAAAAATAATTTTTTTAAATTAAGTAATATATCGTTAATAAAATTAATAATATTTATTATTTTTTAATTTCGAAAATTTTAAAAATTTTAAACTTTTAAGTTTTTTTTTAAAATTTTTAACATTACTTTCCTTTTCGTTACTTTTTTTTTTATCGTTACTTTTCCTTTTTATTTATTACACTTATAATTATAATAATATTTTATTAAGAAAAAAAAACTTGAAACTTTTTTTTTTCATTTTTTTTTTTTACATTTTTTTTTATATACGATTTTTTTTATTTTTTTTTATATATATATATATTAATACCATTTAAAAATTTTTATTATTAAATAATACGTTATATTAAAATTATTATTAAATTTATAAATTTATAAATTTATAAACGCGTAACTTTAAATTTATAAACTTATAATTACGTAAATTTATAAATTTATAAACTTATAAACGCGTAATTTTAAATTTATAAACTTATAAATATATAAAGTAATAAATTAATAAAATAATAAAGTAATAAAATAATAAAATAATAAAGTAATAAAATAATAAAATAATAAATAATAAATAATAAATAATAAATAATAAATAATAAATAATAAATAATAAATAATAATAAATAATAAATAAAAAATAAATAAAAATAAATATTTATAATTTCCAATGAATATTTAAAGTTTTAAATAAATGTTTAAGGTTTTTAATTATTATTAAACCTTTTAATGATTGTTATTTAGGGAGTTATTTGTTAACGAAGGTATGCTTGTGATATAGTCCAGGGATTTTCGAAAAAAAAGAATCATTGTCAGGCGTTGGTGGGTCCCGGTACGGTACGTAACTCACACAGAGTCCAATTCAAATGTGTCATCATCGCTCTGCCCTCCCTGACCGCCTTAACATCGCCTCAGGGCCATGTCAGCTTGGGCTTCATTTGGACATTTGTATCCCCATTTCATCAAATCTTCCACCAAAGACTATAGACCCATCCAATACTTAATCTTAGCGGCCTGAGTTTATTTCGAAGTTTGAATCATCATGGGTTTTACATCAGAATCACCTCATAGCTGTGAGCATTGCCAACAGATCACCATTGATCTTGGGCTTGACGAGACCACCATACAATTCAGATGTGGGACCAAGCAAGTTGCTGCGGCTTATCAAGATGGATGCCAGCTTTTTCATGCTTTTATCGCTAGCCTGGGGAAGATGATTCGTGTAGAGGATTTACAAACCACCAACCGGAACCTGAGTTTTCATATTTATTATGAGAAGGAGGGTTTGCCTCAAGTGCCAGCATACCTTATTCTTGGTGTGAGTGAAACATTGGAAGATGGAACAGTAGAAGAATTCTTGGGTCTTGGAGGATTGCAACGTCTTTCGCTTTGGACAGATAAAAGTACCGCATATGAGCCACATCTTCCGAGTTTTTATTTTTATCCCATCGCTTTTGCTAATTTTGCGCTTTTAGGCAACCCCGCCGCAGTCGATATTTCTACTAGGCCTTACGAGTTAGATCCTGCTTCTCCTACATCTATAGAGTTCGCTCGTTGCTGTATAGAGTCCTGTATGAACGACCACGAACAATGCAGACGACCAGTAAACAATATAATGTCTCGTCAAGGGCAAGCATCGATCGATTCCAACTCTATTCCTTCTCGCCTTTTGCATCTAGTAGCAAATGACTCGGAGTTTCACGTTCAACTTATTGATTGGAACTCACGGTCCGCTATTGAAAAGGAGACGGTATGTCTTGAAGGTTATGCAATCCTATCATATTGCTGGGGTGGATCACAGCCGATACAGTTAACTCGTGATAATTTCAAGGCTCTGAAAGAAGGTGTCCCAGTGGCACAGCTGCCAAAAAGTCTCCGTGATGCAGCATGGTTTACGAACAAAATAGGATTAAAATACTTATGGATTGACTCTCTCTGCATCATCCAAGATGATAGTGAAGACAAGGTCTATGAAATATCTCGTATGGAGCTTTATTATGGCCAAAGTACGGTTACTATCTGCGCTGCATCTGCAGCTAGTTGTTCAGAAGGATTCATCATGCCCCGCGAGGAAGATACCGAGAACTACAAATTTGGCCCAATAAATCTGCGAGCGAAAAACTCGCTGGGTACGCTGGGATCCGTCCAGGCCGTAGCCGAGTTCAGCTTTCCTAGCGACGAAAAGGTTCCCGAGCCTATCGTACTACGAGGATGGACTCTCCAAGAGAGCATGCTATCGAGCCGCATTCTAATATTCTCCTCTCATTACTTACATTTCACTTGCACCGTAGCAAATTCTAGCTGCGGCGGTTTTGAGCCCATGTTGAGGCCTCGCTTTATGACACAATACGAATCTCAGATCCCTAAAGTGCATACTATATCTGGATTTCGAGACTATCCGGTTACGCATGTGTGGAGATACCTCATCGACGATTACACGGAGAGAGGTTTGGGATTTTTGGCAGATAAACTGCCAGCAGTTTCTGCTCTAGCATCCAGCCTCATTCCCATGGGAAAGGAACGCAATCAGAAGCTAGTATATCTTGCGGGTCTCATGGTAGATATTTCAGACCCGGAGAATTACTCTTGGCGAAATGAGTTTCTATGGAGGGTACATAAAATGCACAGTACAAGTCACATTCCTACTGGATCGCCATCGTGGAGCTGGTCTTCACTTAGCGGTCGTGTCATAATGTGTAAGCGATTTCCATATACCTTCGGCTGGAACATCGCCGAAGAGGGAGATACTAGAAAGATTTGCGAATACAAGGTTGAGCTCGAGAATGAAATGGCACCATTCGGCGCTGTTAAAGGGGGATTTGTCAAGTTACGTGCGCGAATTAAAGAGCTGAGCACAATTGAAGGACACAACTTCAATATTGCAACCGAGAGCAACCCCGGTTCCATGTTTGCGATTACCGACTATGTCACGCTCACAGTTATTCCCGACACAGGAGAGGGGATGTGCACGATCAATAGAGGCATCAACGGGGAACAACGAGTCTTTCTTGTTGAACTCGTACCATTCTATGAGTCAGGTGATACCCCTACCGGTCTCATTGTGACCAACGCAGCTGGTACGGATCGTTATGTTCGTGTAGGCATATTTGAATATCGGCATCCAGAGAATAATCAAAATGTAGAGGACCTCGCTTTAAGGAAGGATTTATTTGACGGTTCAAAGTTCGAGTATGTGCAAATAATTTAGCCTAGGCGGGGCAACAAGGTTGTGGTGGGTCAATTTTAAACTCCACAAAGAGATGTAGCGAGCTAACACCGCGCGTCCAAGTTCTTCAAGTGCGATCACATCAATCTAGCTAGGTGATAGCAGAAGGGTGATACGACATCGTTCTCGATAGATATTTTTATTGAAATAACAGAACTAAAACATGATATTTAGGTAGGTATAAAATCATGAGTATGAACACAAGCCAATTTGGGCATCGAAACATACCTAATTCATGGTCGCACAAAGTTTCAGTCTTTCCTAATTAGGGACCTCCCTCAAAGTTGATTGGCTTATTCCTGGCGACGGACGTCCGTCGCGAACTATAATAAACTGTGCCTATCTAAGGAACCTTTAATATCATACTGCGTGTTTCGCCTAGGTAGTTAGGTACCTACTATAACATGATGCATAGCTGTATTTTTATTTTTTAGTATCTTTTTATGTAATCGATGTTAGTTTAACTGAATGGGGCAGGAGGAAAAGCAGATAAACACGCGATTTTTGATTGGCTGCATTGAAATTCCATTGGTTAAGTGGACTGGTAGCACTGCCTATTTCAGAATTACAAGGTTACTCTCGGTGGTCTCGTCGATCTTATCTATCGCGGGCAGACCCAGACCTCGGGACTTGTGAGGACGATAGCAGAATACCTGACAAACGTTTGACACAACCGCGATAACTAAGATAGATAGCTAGACTAACCTTATCACCTTGAGATAGCTACATGACAATAAGTTGCGACCGCGTCATGGTGGCCAAGTTCTCGGCTTCTCTCATGCCGAATTCGTCAAGAAAGAGCCGACATCAATTCCAATAACAATGGGCTTGTCGCCTCGTCTCGCCCTCATCGACAATCATCAACCCGTCGCTCACCTACACGTTACCCTCTGCGAGAGGTTTGCTGCCAACCATGGCAGCTGAGAAGAATGGCCTAGCGCTCGAGAATAGCGCTAGTGACAAGAATAGTGATGACCTCCCTACCGATCTCAAGACTGGAAAGGACCAATTTACGGCTAGTCACGATGTTGAAATCGCAAATGGACACCTGGCGGATCTCGAAGTCGACATGGGTGAGATTCTTCACCAGGTCGAGGAGGAAGGCGATTACGATGCCGACACGAGCCCGTTCCCGGCTGTGCGAGCGGTCGTGCCGGAAACGGATGACCCCGCAATGCCTGTGAATACTCTCAGGGCTTGGCTTCTGGGTATTGTACGTCAGGGAGACGAATGAAATGTGATTTCGAATGCTCGCTAACGTTTTCTAATTAGCTGTTTGTATTCTTGGGTGCTGGGGTGAATCAATTCTTCTCGCTGCGCTACCCGGGTGTCCATATTGTATCTCTGGTCGCCGAGTTGTTGGCTTTTCCTGTCGGGGTTGCTCTCGCTAAGTTACTCCCTATCAGCAGATTTAACCCGGATCACCATTTCAACATCAAGGAACATGCTTTGGTCACCGTTATGAGCAACGTCTCTTTCGGCTTCGGCTCTGCTGACGCGACGAACATTGTCCAAGCAGCTAGGTTCTACGGCTTCGAAATGAAGACTGGATTCTCGGTCATGGTCGTCATTTGCTGCCAGCTGTGCGGCTATGGAATTGCCGGTCTTTCGAGGTCCCTGCTTGTTGCGCCGGCCACAATGATCTGGCCGGGTGTTCTCGGCAATGTCGCGCTGCTCAGTTCCATCCATTCCCGTACCAATGCGACGGCTAACGGCTGGAAAATAACCCGTATTAAGTTTTTCATGGTCGTGTGCACTGCTGCGTTCATATGGTACTGGTTTCCCGGCTTGATATTCACAGGTCTAAGTTACTTCACATGGATTTGTTGGATCGTGCCGGACAATCTAGCAGTGAACCATATCTTCGGAATGGTAACAGGGCTCGGACTATTTCCTCTGACATTTGACTGGTCTATGGTTGCATATAATACCAATCCTCTACTTAGCCCCCACTGGGCGGCCCTGAATGTCTTTGTGGGATTTGCGGTGTTCTTTTGGATCGTTACCCCTGCCATTTTCTACACCAACACATGGTTTACATCCTACCTACCCCTCTGCACAGCAGATGTGTACGATCGCTTTGGGGAGCTTTATGATACAGCTAAAGTCATTACCAACAACTTATTTGATCAAGAGAAGTATGAAGCGTACTCACCGCCGTATCTGCCTGCGACTTTCGCATTTGTCTACGGCCTTTCCTTCGCGTCAATTACTAGGTGGGTCCTAAATCTCCAATTGCCCGACAACAAAGATGCTGACACTATGGTAGCGTCCTATCACACGTCTACTTTTTCCACCGGGACGAAATCAAACATGCAGTCCGTGGAACTCTTAAGCTCGATATCCACGCGCGGCTTATGAAGAGCTATAAGGATACTCCTTGGTACTGGTGGTCTTCGATTATTGTCATTGTCTTCGCAATGAGCGTTGCTATGACAGAGGTCTACCACACAGGACTGCCGGTGTACGGCATAGTTCTCGCATTCGCTATGGGGATGATTTACATGGTGCCGTGCGGAATGATTCAGGGCGTGACGAATGTCAACGCCAATCAAATTAACGTGTTATCTGAGTTCATCGGCGGTTACATGTTCCAAGGAAGGCCAATGGCGAACATTTTATTCAAGACCCTATCGACTGATGTTGTCGGCCAGGGATTGTACTTCGCTGCTGACATGAAATTGGGCCACTACTTGAAGATTCCACCCCGTACTATGTTTTTCGCACAAGGAATAGCTACGATACTTGGTGCTCTTACACAAGTTGGAGTTACTCTGGTAAGTACCTACCTACCTAGGTAGTATTTATATCTTCACCTCTTTAATGTTGCCCTCGGTAGTACTGACTTTATATTTTTCTAGTGGATGTTAGGCAACATTCCTGGAGTCTGTGACTCAGACCAACCCAACGGCTTCAGTTGTCCGCAAGGACGTACCGTCTATAGCAGTTCAGTCATCTGGGGCTTAGTCGGCCCTGCACGTCTCTATTCAGTTGGAAAGATCTACAGTGGTCTATTACATTTCTTCTGGATTGGCCTCGTCTTACCGCCTATCACTTACTTCATCTGGAAGAAGACGGGCAACGACGTGGTCCGCAAGATCAATTGGCCCCTGATTTTCGTGGGCACAAGTAACGTTCCGCCGGCCAGTGGAATTAACTACAGTAGTTGGTATATCGTCAACCTTGTCTTCAACAAGATTATCTACAAGAAATTCTACGCGTGGTGGACCAAGTACAACTACGTCCTCGCGGCTGCTCTTGATACGGGCCTCGCTCTAAGCGGCATTGTAATATTCTTTGCCGTGACATACGGACCCAACGTTCAATTCCCGGACTGGTGGGGAAACACGGTGTAAGCGTCTCTTACTAATATTTGTTGGTTACATCGTCATAGATATACTAACAGTTCCTATAGATGGAAGAACACCGCTGACGGGCAAGGCTTGCCATGGCTGCCTATGCCGGATGTCGGATATTTCGGACCACCAAATGGAACATGGGCTTGATAGATATCAGATATGAGATAATAGAACTAACATGATCAGCATTCTCAGATAACTAGATGCCTCCAGCAATTGACAATACGAGATGATTTTTCCACATATATTTAACACGAACATGATAACAATTTCCAGCAATGAACTGACATTATTCGCCGACCTTCATGTTTGCCTATTAGGTAGTAATTATATGTCCGGGGAACTTTTGCATCTTAATATGCATGATACGAATGCTACCTATATAAGAATAGCCCGCGAATATGGGAGAAATGGATGTTAAAATAGCATTCACCCGTGACTAGATTCTAGCTGAACTTATGGAGGCCCAAGAGTAAGTATCCATAGGTAAGGGATAGCTGAGAGGTCAAGCCGACCGAGAGCCGCCCGAGGTAATGCTTGTCATGACGGAACTCCATAGTACTAGGTAAGCTCTACTGTATAATAACAACTGTTGGTAGCACAGAATTATGCGGAGATAAATGCAGTTTTGGTGTGCTATTCTAATGCGGGTCATCCGTCTGTAAGTAAGGTGGTTGGGCTGAATGATAGAACCAGTCAGATAATTCCGTTCCTACCAACAGAACACCATCACTAAAGTGGCTTTGGCGTAGGTAGTAAGCTAAAGGGGGAAGTTCAAAATAGGAGCTCGCCACTGATTTACGCATTATCATCAATACCTACTAGGTATAAGGAACTAATACGGATGAGGGATTAAGTTTCGCGATGGAAGAGGAGGTCGGACATGTGAATTGGGATAAAGCATGTTGGCTTGAACAAGAAGGCGATCCTGCTGGTAGTTGAGTAAGGGGAGTTGTGTATAGAATTGTTCTATTTAAGATGCCGTGATTCTCCCTTCTCGGCAGATTTTGATATACCATTCTCAAAGACAACCGGTTCCAAATCATAGAATTAAAGACCCTACTATTACTACACTCAAAAGACAATCATATTCAGCAACCGACAAGATGCGCTTCTCCCTTACCGTCATAGCCACTCTCTTCGCCGTAGCATCCGCCGTGCCAGCAGGATCTGACTTATTACTCCCTCTCGAGCCAAGATGCCTAGCTTCAGGTGGTAAGTTACCGTGGATCTCAAAAACCCAAGCGCATTCCCTTAACGGGGATGATAATATGAAAGCAAGTTACTAACACTGTTAATTCAGTTGACTGTACCGACGATGTCAATGCATGCTGTAGCGGTCTCTGCTTTGAAAACGAGGGATGTGGATGTTTGTTGTGCAGCTAAAGTATTGCAACGTCCTTGAATACCCGTATGGATGTTACAAGGCAGAGGAGAGTCAGATGATGTTTTTAACTCCTACTATTCACCCCTTTCCTCCACCTACACAACAAGTCTTTCATCAGAAAGGGATGGACAAGTTAACGTTCATTTGGATCATTCGATTCTTCCTCGTGCTAGAATGGGTTAGGTTCTCGGATTGGTGATACACATAAGGGACCTCGTGGAGATAAGTGACGGCGGGAACACTCCTTACACAAAGGCAGACATGGTATTCATATAGGATGCAATACACACTCTTTAAATATTTTAACATTAAATTATTGATATAATTGTCTATATGACAGCGACCTCTGGCTGGGCTTATTAATATTTGGGTTACTTGGATGATTTCAGACACAGAGTGATATCTCTGTGATGTACCCCCTTTTCTTGGTGACCTCACACATCCTTTCATTTATAAACCGAATATTCCAATACTCGAGCATGGCAGAGACCAAATTACCGCTTATCTAACAGACACAGAATCTAGCTCTGATGGCTCACCGACGGTAGGTAGCTCTCTTGTGTTCTTTGGTGGGAGGGTGTAATTATTAGATTGGTCCGAGATTAGTGTATTCTCCGCGCGTCTTGACACCTTTCGTCTCCATAGGAAGAATCCTACGATAAATCCTAATAGAAGAACTCCGACTCCGGCGCCGACCCCGATACCTGCTGCCGCACCGGGACTAAGAGCTGCGGAATCATCTTGAGATGACGCTTCCGGGGTTGAGAAAGTCCCTGTTGCAGAACTGGTGGGGATCGAAGAGCCGCCAGTGGCTGTTGCAACCTATTTCCTTGGTTAGTTTGGATTTATTGCTAGGAAATAAGATCGACTGACCGGCGTCGTGTACATAATTGCCAATGCGAATAAATGGAGAGATGTATTCTCAACTCTCGTTTCAAAGACGATTGTATTACTTCTGAAAGCAGTCCGCGTCACAATTATCGAACCAGTTCCGGTGTGCTTTGATTTACAGCGAAATGTCTCACGATCCAGTCCTCCGGTCGTTGTGAGCTCACACGTGAATGCATATGCCCTAGAAAGAAGATTTTATCAATTTTGCACATCGTAATTAAGATTTATGTGGGCTTACCAAGGGCAACATGTCACCGCTGCTGCTGAACCCGCGCCTTGACAGGCAGATGTGTACTGTGGCGGACATCCCGTTCCCTCATATGTGGTTGTGCCGTCCCAAGAAGCTGGCAAGCAATTCTGTATCTGCGACGGGCCTCCTAGAACTGTTCGCTGATCCATATCTACTTGATAATCCCAAATCCAGTAGTCGCTGGTTCTGAGGCACCCCGCCAGGGTGGGGGTCCAGGAGTTCACCAACGTTGGCGTCGCCATTGGGAGAAGAGGATTATACAGGTCGGATCTAGATATGAGATAAAAAAGGATCCATGGTTTTCGGATGTTGAGAAAAGCGAAAAGAGCATGCGCGCGCTTCCAATGAACAATCTTCGAGATCTTATGGGTTAGGATTCGTCACCCCTGTGAGCCAAGATGTATCATCCTTCGTATTTAGCACGCCAAACCTGCACCTGGGCGCTGCTTGCGCCGTGGAACCCCTGTGAGACCCAACCGAAATCCTTCTAGAGGCACGTGATACCTATTCCAGGCTTTAGAGCCGCCATTGAAAGAATAGCTGAGATGTTGCGCCTGAATATAAGATCATCAGTTTATTATCATTTATAGGTACCTACGAGGTAGGTATTTGTCTGTCTCGTCCTCAACCACTCACGCGAGAAATTGTAAGAGGGTTAGATTTTACATCTGCCCTAGGCACTGGTACCTACCTACCTATATACATGTAACCTTTAATCTGATGTTATTTCTCATGATCATTCGGGAAAAGTCCTGTCATATTGATGTCTGTTTATGTCCATAAGATTGACCTATTGTTTCTTGGTGCCAAGACGTTACCAAATAATCTTCTAAAGATGATGGCAGAACTTAACCGCCGGTGAAACAACGCTGGCTGACAAAGATGTAAGCTTGTCCATGATATTCGCGTGATTTGAATCTTGGCTCCCGAAATTCTTACCCATTGATTTCCTATGGCAGGGCTTTTCGGCAAGCCGGGCGAAGTTAGTGGAGCTAGCTCAGAATAGCTGCTGAAGAATGATAGATACCAAGCCATAGAAATATCTCGCCCTTAAGCTCTTTAAATGTACGTGAATTCAATCGATACACCAATTTCACAATACCTACCCGTAGGTACCTAGTTAAAGATGTCTACCATAGATAGGAGGTCTCTACTTGGTATCTATGACCTACAGTTGGATTTTCTACACTCTCTATTCACTAAAAACGTTTAAATCTCTGTAGTAGGTAAGTATTAATAAGGAAAGTTAAGGGGAACGCCAAAGCCCCCAAATCTCATCATTGCTCTGTTTATCCAATCGAGGTTGCAGCCGAAGCCCTGTATAACGGCACAGCAGTGGGTCTGTTGTACACACCATCAGATCTTCGCTGCTTCGGCAAGGCATTTTTTATTCTATTACTCTATTACTTTTCTTTCAGCGGGGCATCGTATCGTGGCTCAATCATCTTTCTCACTTGCATCTATGGAGGTACCCGGTAATTTCCTTTTCCAACCACTGAAAATCGTGACGCCTACGCCACCCCCCTGTTCTATAACACTTACAAGGTTATTTCTTAAACTTGCTAGCACAGGTCATAGGTGTGTACCTAGGCAGAATAGCGTCAGAATAAATGGGCCATGTGTGAACCACCCGAAATGGTACTGTATTACACTGTGTTTTGATCTATCCCCTATATTATCTAACTAGGAAATTGTCAGCTTTACCACAGCATCGAAGAGTCTAGGGGATAGTAAACTTACAGTGTATTACAGTAGTATTAATACATGGCTCGCACATGGCTCACTTATTCTGACGCTATTCTGCTAGGTAGGTATGCACCTGCCTCGTTGTTTGAATTGAATATGAGCCTCATACTTTGTAGGTCTGTCGCACCCGCAAGTCCATGTTTTAGCATCCCAGTCTAAGCGATGATCATCCGCTAGCTCGCTAAATAAGCCGTTTTTTCGCAACCGTCGATCTACGCTAGAACAACATCAACTCTGCACCCTCGCAGAACATAACGTCACAAACATTACCTAGATATTTACTATCTACGACGTCGATGTTTCCGACGCAAAAATTATTGCGCTCCATGTCGATGTACCTGCAATGCAAAACGGCCCATTGTATCGGACGATGTTTCCACAATTCAACACGATGAATGAGATGCATAGGGATGAAATAGTTCGATGGTATGCTGATATGTTGGAAGATGCATTTGAAGACCGATGGGATATTTTCTGAAGGTTTCGTCTGCGGCTGGTACTCCTGTCGGATTCTGCGGATGGACAATTATGAATCGGAGTAATGAACAAGCGATGGATGATGAGATAAATGAAGAACCGAAGAAAGAAAAGCGAAAGAAAACCTGGGTCCCGGAAAATATTGATATAGATGCCTGGATCTCTCTATCTAAAACTTTAAGGGCAGAACGTGATCGGCTCTTGAGGGATCTTGGCAATAATATATGCCGTAAGTTGGTTTATTGCGACCTAACTTATAGCTCCCTAGGTACCTAGTACCTACTAAAAAGTCCTCTAAGGTAATACAGGCTTGACTTTTATGGCGGTAAGCCCAAAATATCAGCGACAAGGTATTGGCTCAATGATGATGGAACGGATATGTGAAGAGATTGAGCAGAATGGGCGATGCGCATATGTTGTTGCAGCACCTGAGGGCGTTCGGCTTTATACCAAGTTTGGCTTCGAGACTGTCGCTACGAAGTGTTGAAACACCTCAAGGCACTATTACAAGCATGTTTCGGAAACCAAAACAGGTGCGAGAATAGGTCTACTAGTTGAATAGGTAGATGGTATAATTGATTTTAAACTATTTAGGTAGGTAATATTAGGAGTATAGGTCATGCGACAAGAAACGGCACTTTTCGTCACACTACATCTCTCCGTCTGGTACGTTCCCTATTATACAAACGTTTACCATTAAACACTAACACGGTTATCAAGATCCATTAGCAATACTGCAACCACTCTTTGAAGATCTGTAGTTCTTTGTTGCGCAATTGCGTGAGAGTTGGGCTATCGTTACGTCCCGGCAGGAATAGATCTTCCCTATGTGCGATGTTGCTTGTCAATATCATCCTCGACGCGCAAATGTCGGTTGAGGGGGGTAGATAATCAACGCTGACGGAAGCTGTTGGGTCATATTCGGCGTTCGACCAAATGATTCGAGTCGAGTTCTTGATGTCTTCGGGCGAGAAGTGGTAGCGTTGGAATATCTCCTCTTGGGTCATCGGCAAATGCCCGTACTCAAGCTTACAGGCTTGGGGCCGACTGTCTGATGCTGTCGGAAAAGCGGGGAAGATGGTCCCTTCAGGGATATTAGATGATGCCAGAGGGATATAATTGCAGATAATATAATTAAATGGCGTTGTTTCGATGAGTGGAACGGCAGAGGCGAGGAAAGTCGGATCCGTATAGTTAAGGCATGGAGCATGAGATGGACCTGGAGCTCCAAACCAAAGCCAGAATGCCTTACTCAGGATTTGCACAGGATCGGTCTCTGTCAGAACTATATTGATAATTTTATCCAACGGGTTAGCAACTGGGCTTCGACCCAACTGAACAGTTGGATAGTTAAGTTCGGCAGCGAATGAAAAGACATTGGTCAAGTCTAGAACGAGCTGGAGGTTGCCAATGGTGTCGTTCGGAGAAGGCGCAGAACATAGATTGAGCTCTGCTTTCAGACTCACACCTCCATCGTCTATTGTCTGGAGCCGCTTTTGTAAGACGGTGAAGGCGTTCTGGATCCTGTCTGCGGCCTCTTTGGAACGGTCGAGGTAGACTCGATTAACCCATCTCCACCAGTTGTACGTTTCGGGATTACTGCTGTTGGAGAACGCTTTGACGGGTCCTGCGGCCGCAAGGGATCCGAAAAACGTGTTAGGATGGTTTAGACGGAATGCGGCCGCGAGAAATCCTCCGTAGGAACCACTGGCAATGATGGCCTTACTCTCGGAAGCACCGTTGTTAGTTTCCTTCATATGCTCGATGAAGGAAACGGCATCTGCCATAACGTTGTCGAGGGTAAGATACTTCATGTTGCTGGGACTGTGGGAGGCCTGCCCAAACGGAAGGCTTTGGCCGAAATAGCGATGTTCTAAAGAAACGGCCAGTCCCCCCAGTTGTTTGGCATATTCGTACATGACAGTCGTGTTGGCACAGTCCAAGAACCAACTTTCCTCGCCCTGAAAGAATAATATTGGCCCGCCTGGCTTATAAAACTCGTTAAATATGCTGTAGCGTTGTCGGAACGTCCCATTAACAGCGCCGAAGTGGTCGATAGGTTGGTTAACCCATTTATAGTCACATTCTGAGGTTGTGTTATAAGCACTCACTAGCCCCATGACCGTCACGGTTGAGAAAAGGAAGGTAGTCAACATAGTGACAGATTGTTCCGAGGTATTGAATGGGGTTGGATACTAAGGTCTCTCGGCTTGGAGACTAAGATATACATACTTATATATCTAGGTAGGTACCTATGTAGGTTGTTTCCAGATGCGTGGCTACCTAGGGCGTGGTGAGTTATCCCGATAGTTCCAGCTGCCTGAGATTATTTTTCCTAGGAATAGAATTGCTATAAAAAGTCTTTTTACTTACTTAAGTAACTTGAAGCGTTTAATAAACCTCGTTGCCAATCTTAACCAACAAATCCACTGCGCAGTAACAATGGCAATACTTGGAGGCGGGGTCTACTTCGTAGGTACACATCTACCATGTTGACCTACTCAGTTATTAGGTACAGCGTGACCGACGCGAAAGCAAATTGGGAAAACTCTTCAGCTCTTTTGAAAGTCAGTCAGCGGACTGCGGCTGAGGGCACAAATTTCATCTTCAATGCCGGAAACCCCGAATATCGACGGCCAGCGATATCACAGCACACATCCTAATAGGGAAATACATGGCGATAAATCAACTCTTCAGGAGGGAATTGGGTACCCGCCAAGTTGTAAATCTACGGCGGAAAGACCCCTGTAAAATACTAGGCATCGCCTAATCAAACCACTAACATCTAAGTACCTACAAGGCAGGTAGGCAGGTAGGTATTAATTTAGGTACCTAAGCTACCTACCTAGTACCTACTAGGTATCCATTCGAGCGGCTCACAACGAAACTTTTCATACATAAAAGTCTATGATATGGATTGTAAGTACCTAGGTAGGTACCTAATTTCGGACCATTCAACGGAGTAATATTCCATTTGGTTGAAATAGTTATCACCAAACTCTCTGGGTTTTGTGCAGATAGTGCCTGTTGTGCTTCTGTGCCTTAGGTTAGGTAGGTACCTATAACCTTGGAATTTGTGCTACAAATTTACCCCACCATTGCGGTCCCCGCGATCGCGAGGGGTTGGAGCTACCTAGGTAGCCTAGCACGAAATCGGGGTTACTAGGGGGGCAAGGGGAACTTAGAACCATTTCAAGGTCAACAACGAAATTTAATCGTGATATATGCAATTTTATAAGAGAAAGTACTAGATACCTAGGTAGTCAATAGCAGGCTGGGGATATTTGCCCATTATGAATCTCATCCCCGACCGTCTCCTGCTTTGTCCTCGTTGTGCCAGCACCTTCCAATCTCTGCAGCTTATGGCCATCAATAATCTCGTAATCTCCCATTGGAGGCACCTGGATTATTTTTCTACCCTTCATGATATATTTAGACCCTTTTACCATTTTCACGATTTGCCTGCGTACCGAGATGTAGTTGTCATCTTGGTTATCCTCAAACTTGTTTATGCTAAAGTGATCCAAAGGCAAACATTCGCAAGGGTGTCCATGCAAGATTCCTGAAGATCCATTGACGATGAACTCCTATCCAAAAATGAGCTGTACGATTCCAATCATGGGTGTCCAATGTACTAGGTACTGACCTGCGTGATATTGGGAAGTCCAACTATTAGGTCAATCCTAGACGGCTTTTGCTCATAAAAGCAGAAGAGTTTTGGGGCCTGTTGTTGCTCTAGAGCAACTGTCCTGGTGAAATCAAAGACGCATTTAACCAGTAAGTCATTGTCTGGGGCCATGCTGTGTAATATGTTATCTTGCACTTGAATATTTGCTTCGGCAACCTTCTTATAAATTTGACCCTGTATTTGACGTTGGAAGCTGTCCTGAACTCCATAATGCGGCGTGCCCAGGAAAACTACTCCCGTCACAGAGTCAAATATACCGTAAAAGTCCTCGTCCTTATGATGTAATGCTGCTATGGTATAGGCCTATAATTTTAAAATTAGGTGGATTCATTAGACCCTAGGCAACTCGCTAGAGGCTTTACCTGCTGTATGACAAGACCTCCAAAGCAGTGTCCTATGAAGACGATTGGCCGATGCTTGCATCCATCCCGTGCGCTACCAAGTGCCATAAGCAGCTTGCGAGCAACACCATCAAGAGTTAACTTAACTGCTTCATCCCCAAACCAGTACGATGCATAACCAAACGCCATGATGCGAGCATTCGGTATCGCAGCGGGAAGCATAGTTTCGTGGCTGAGCCAATTAACGTTGTTTTCCTTAAACACCCAGGTTTTGATGGGGTTTACGCCGATACCGTGAACTGCCACGATGCTATCAACAAACTCGTTAGTATATTTGACAGCCAACCTATTTATCGTGACGTTCAATAGCCAGGCTCATACTTACTCGACTTCGATATCTTCAACATCCACAGGTTGGGCTAATATTTTCAGGCCGATATCTTGTGGCTTGACTTTTCCTTGACTCAGGCCACTTGTAAGCCTAGACCTCTGCTTGTTGGCCAACTTCGGCTTGTGATCTTCAGAGTTGTCTGAGTTCATTGTTATTGACGGTGGTATGTAGGTACCTAGTAGTGTTAAAACAAGATACAAGCGAAATATTGCAAAGAGCAGAATATATAAATGAAACACAGTCTACGAAGACGAGGTGCTGATTCAAAAGTGTCTTGAAGGAAGATGGGAGATAGAATAAGCCAGTCTGCCTCACAGGGGCAGTGCACTGTCATCTTGCAATATCTATGGATCAATTGTTCTAAGCCAGCCATCTCATGCATATAGAAGCTAACAGTGTTTTTCCATTTCCAAGTCACAAGTCATACCTTTATTTCCATTCTTGGGTATTATAACCGTCAAGTAAGAGGCCAATTGCATAGTGCTCCATTAGGCCGAGATATAAGTGAGGTTTGCATTCCATTCTCATTTATGGCGCTTGAAATATCCGCTACGAGGCCTCGGTCCGTCCCGTAACGAAGGATTTAGGCGGGGGCGGGGTACTAGGTACCTACCTAGGTAGTTAACAGATCCTGATTGGTAAGTAAACACTTACTGGGTTTCTTCCGTTAGTTTAAAGTTTAAAAGATACCTAGGTAGGGATAGATAGGTACCTACCTACCTATAAGTACGCCGAATTTTAGCGATTAACGTGTTAGTATTTCGAAGGTGAATGTATTTGTCAAATTGTTAATGTGTCAGGGCGATCTCTGCACACTTAGTGGCAGGCCGGAGAGGGTGGGGGTGTCGAGGCGCTAGCTAGTAGCTACCACTCGGGTATTAAGTAGGTAGGTACCTGCCAGTGTTGTGCTTTCTTAAAAATGCCTCTACCTAGATACTAGGTACCTACCTGTCTAGTATCGGCCTAGTACCTGCTAGGCAAAAACATCGGCGTTCTTTCATTCACTCTCTTCAAACTATCATTTTCAATTGAGGTATCATACCTATATTTACTAAGTACTAAGTACCTAGGTGAATATTCCTTTACTTAGTACATACCTACCAAGTATATTATCTCTCAATATTATAATAATTTCTCACATACCTAAAGCACTAGTGGGTTAGAAAGCAGTAGGAAGCTGCAGGTTGTAAAACGGGTAGTTGAAAGAAACGACGTTAGTTCCGGGTTAGAGTGGAGTATGAGATCGGAGAGGGTGGGACTTGGCCCGGAAGGACGCAGGCATCGCAGGGTCATCCTACTAGCTACCTACCTAGGTACCTATCTAGTAGGAAGGTACCTATGTTTCACATTATATTGTTAAGTCATGCTTGTCATATCTATTACCTAGATGTTAAACTTGATATCCATAACTTAATACATTTGTAATAGTGAGAGACGACTTGTTAATTTCAGCCTACCTGCTACGTAGCACTGCCACTGTGAATTGCTAGATTGCACCTATACACGATTAGGTAGGTAGTTTGAAAAGACTTCACCACCTACAAGGTACAAACCAACAACAATACCTACATGTTGCTACACCTGGCCTAGGTACCTAGGTAGGTAATGACATATCATAATAAATTCCGCACAATCAAATAAATGCTTACATGGATAGGTACCCTAGGTAGGTAGGTACATATGTGTATAACTGAAAGCAAGTTGATCAACCAGCCATATGTCGGTGAATCGGATTGATTGGTCGTATCGCCTAACCAACAGATTTATTATATACTCTTAAATATTGACATGTAAGAAATAAAAAAAACCTTCTATGTTTAACGGGTGTTTGTATGCAAACTCACGCGTTGGTTGCATTGACAACGAATCTCCTATCGCACAAACCACGAATCAAAACAGCCAACACGGAAAGGAAACTTTGCTACAAAGAATGAACTGTTCTGTCGCTGCGAAATAATTCTAGGTAATTAGTTACCTATGCCTAGTACCTAGGTAGGTATATAACAAGTTTCCTTCTACATCATTCAATTTTCTTTAGGATATCTTTATTGCGGTACAATCTACCTATCTAGAGCCCTTCTACCCGTCTATTAATTGCCATATCGAAGACTAAGCTATAGTATTATCATTCTTATCACAGTCTTTAACTACCCAATGGATCGTGGTCGTAGTCGGGGTCAATTCCGAGGCTATGGTCGCGGTCAGAATACTGCTCGTGGTCGTGGCCAAAACCAAGGACAAGGTCCGGGTGTAGGTAGGGGTCAATATCGAGACCGTGGTCACGGTAGAGGCCCAGGATTCAGCGGTCCTGCACCAGCCGCCCTTAGAGAACATAAAGCGTATGAGTAAGTAGAGACTATGGAAGCCAAATATTACCTATGTATATTCTCTATTTGACTTATTACTCACCTACATGAACTTCAATAGAGAAAATCCTATAAGTCCGAACGAAGGGGTCACAGAAGCAGAGAAAAAAATCCCGAAGTCTCCCAATCTAGACACAAACATCATCCCCCGACGGCCAGCATATGGCGACCTAGGAGATAAAACCCGACTTTGGGCCAATTACGTCGAAATCAATATGAACACTAAAAAAATACTAAGGCATTACTCCATAATATTTGCGAACAAGGAAGATAAGCCGACTGGGAAGAAACTTGTCCGACTTATCAGTCTACTCCTTGAAGAAATTCCGCAGCCGAATACGGGGTTGGTTACTGACTTCGACGAAATTCTCATCTCATGTGAGGATATCACGAGCATCAAAAGAGAAGGCAGGACGTTCACAATTCCTTATTATAGTGAGAACGAGACTGCGCCGCGCGAGAATGCCAAGACTTATCAGATCAAGGTTGTGCTCAAAGAGCTATTGCCTCTCTCGGCACTTCAAAACTACCTCAGAGATCCTACCAGTCAGTATAACAGACAGAGTATACTCCAGGCTTTGAACATCTTCTTGAATTATTATGCAAAGAACTCAAGCAGTCATACGACGATTGGCGCGGGAAGATCTTTTCCCCTAGGCGGAACGTCCGCTCAAGATCTTGGGCGTGGCTTAATTGCAATCAGGGGCTACTATTCAAGCATCCGATTGGCAACTTCTCGGATTTTAGCAAATATAAATGTCAGTTACGGGATATTTCACCTGAGTACGACCCTCGATAGGACTATTGGCAGTTATTGTTACAAGAATGGAATTACGGATACTACTATTCGAATGTTGGGCAAGTTTCTCCGAGGAGTTCGAATCGAGTATCATTATCGCAAGAACGAGGCCCAAACTAGCACTCGACGAGTGTTTAGAATCCATGATCTGGCTTCCCCAGAGGATGGCACGATAGAAAACAAGAAGAAAGTTGAAAACCCGCCAGTTGTAGCGAAGTACGGGGCTGGTCCCAATGAGGTTTCATTCTGGATCCAGGGCAAAGACAAACGCATTTCAATTTTGGAATTCTTTCGGAAAGGTAAATAAATCTATCTATAATCTCCCCTCATTATATTCGTAACAACATGCTAAAATTAATAGAACGGAACAAGGATTTGAATCCTGAGCTCCCAGTACTCAATGTTGGTTCGCGCCAGAACCCGACGTATCTCCCGGCGGAGTTATGTAAAGTATTGCCTGGGCAGAGGGCCAAAGCAGAAGGAAATACTGATCAAACAGCTAAGATGATAAGGTTTGCCGTACGCACCCCCTTGGATAATATGAGAGATATTATACCTGATGGTATGCGGGCGGTCGGCCTTTCGAAGAGTGAAAATCCCATGATGGTAAGTCGGAGCAAGCTTTATAATGGTAAATATCTGACTATGAGTATAGGATCTGTACGGCATTTCGGTCCCCAATGATGAACTGATAACCGTCGAAAGTCGTGTGCTCTCCCAGCCCAGGATAAAATACAGCCAAGGAGACTGGGAAAAGAAGACGAGATGGAATTTGTCCGGTAAGGTACTGAATCCCCAAAGTGATTCTAGAAAATGGCAATGTAAGATTCTTCGAATCAGATCATACAGAGATGACCACCTGAGGATACTCCGAGAATGTTTCCGAAAATTGAAACAAAACGGCGTAGATATCGATGAACGGCGGGAACCAATAGACATAAATGTGAAGGATAACAACAACGAATTTGAACGGGAGCTCAGGAAAGTCTTCAAATCTATAACTAAGGAGATCAACTGCATGATTGTAATCTTACCAGACTCAAGCAAGGTCACCTACAGCCGGATCAAGAGGCTTGGTGATATGGAGTTCGGAGTCACAACAGTCTGCATTGTTGCATCTACTCTGGAGAAGTCGCAGTACAATACCTCATCCCTCGCTGGAAACCTTGCTCTCAAATTCAACCTAAAATTTGGGAACCACAATCAAGCTATTGATGGATTTGGCCTGAATGATATCCTCGGATTGGATAAGACGATGATTGTCGGCATCGACGTTACACATTCGCCAATCGAAGATGCCCCTAGCATTGCGGGGATGGTGGCAAGCGTGGATACGCGCCTTGGACAATGGCCTGCGACATTACGGCGCCAGAGAGAAAAGGGTGGGGAGATGGTGGAAGAATTGGGAGACATGTTAAAGAGCCGGATTAAACTATGGGGGGCGAAGAACAATGGATCTTATCCCGAAAATATCGTTGTTTACCGCGACGGCGTCTCGGAAGGCCAATACAAACTCGTTCGTGATAAGGAACTGCCGCAGTTGTGGGACGCGTGCAAAAAGCTGTACCAGAAAGAAAGGATGCCGAAGATAACCATTGTGGTGGTTGGGAAACGCCACCACACGCGCTTCTACAGATACCCCGGCGCTGCTTCCAGTGACTACAACCCGCTAGCAGGAACGATAGTTGACCGCGGCGTGACCGAGATGCTCAACTGGGATTTCTTCTTGCAATCACACACTCCGATCAAGGGAACCGCACGACCTGCGCACTATTTCGTCGTCCACGATGAAATTTTTCGAGAGAAATTCGGCGCACAGGCAGCAAACAGATTGGAAACCTTCACCCATAGCCTGTGCTTCTTATTCGGGCGCAGCACCTGTGCTGTCAGCATCTGTACGCCGGCCTACTATGCGGATATCGTCTGCCAGCGCGCTCGTTGTTACGCAGATGATTCCCCTGGAATTAAAGACTTTGAAATCCACGATAATCTCAAGAACACGATGTTTTATATCTGAGAATTCATGCGGCTCGGCTAGTCATTTCAGGGATAGGTACCTCTCTTCCTACGACTTCTGACCCTGGGTTGTTAATAAACCCCCAAACCTCTCTCCACCCTTTCGCGCAACACTAAATAACCCGCCAAGCAGCTCATGGCATTTTCATTCCCTTAAAATGTTGGTTTCTACTTGTTGTAAGCTAGATTTAGCAATACACTCATTAAATAGGCACCTAATGATTAATGATGAACATGGTCCTTAGAAAGTACCTACTTGCCGAAAAAAAGGTATGCAAAAAGGTAATGAGGACGGATTGCGCGCACTACAAATGGACGCGTGTGACATCCATGGATCTTTCACTAGTGGCTAATATCCCTAAGCTGTAGCGACCACCCACTGGAATCTAACGGACGGATCACTACCTACCTAGGTGCCTAGGTAATTGCTTATTTGATCACGCACCACCTACTGTAGGCAAGGTACATATGTAATAATAGAAGCGAAACGTTCGACAACCGTCTTCGATGTCGCAATCGTGAGCAATGTTGACGAAACGCATACCAGAGCACGTAATCATGCCACCGAGACCAACGACATTTAAAGTAAAATCGGGTATTTATTTCATCTACACATTCATTAATCTTTCATTGAAGTATCTATACGGCATCCGCCCAACCCGTCATCCTCTATCGTCACGCGTAAGAAGCAGACCCTATAGAGTCCGTGTACAGCATACCGGCAACGCTAGCGGAGGTAAGAGTCGAGATGATACCGGAGATCAAAGCAGAGATGGCAACTTTAGACACGTCGCCGGCACGGCTAGGCGCGAGCTGCGACAAGACACCGATTTGAGTACCGAGAGAACCGACATTTCCAAAACCCTATATACGTGTCAAATCCTCGCTGAGAATTAATACAGGAGTTGGGGATCTTTGGACTTACGCAGCAGGCATATGTAGCAATAAGCTTAGCTCGTTCGGACATTGACTTATAGCGATCGTCGGACTGGAGGGCACCAAAAGCGGCGAATTCGTTGATGATAATCTTCTGTCCGATGAGTTCTCCGACGGGCAGCAGATCATCGTTGGGCACACCGAGTAACCACGAAAGAGGGTAGAAACAGTAGCCGAGGATGAACTGGATGGTTAAGTCGGGGTTCGAAATACCCCAGTAGCCACCCCACCAAGTAAGGAGACCATTGGCAAGGGCGACGAAGGCGATGATGCAGAGAAGAGTAGCCACAATCATACCGGCAATCTTCAAACCAAGCCAGGCACCGTTAGCGAAAGCGTGTAAAGCATTCGCAGCTCTATGCTCTTCATCGTCTGGGACCACAACACGACCGGAAGTAAGCGTCTCTTCGGTCTCCGGCCATCGCATTTTCGACACAGCTAAGGACGCAGGAATCGACATGATACAGGATGAAACGAGCGCCTGTGGATTGATACCGAGTCCGATATAAGCCACAAGCACGGAACCAGCAATGGTAGCGAAACCGCACGTCATAACCTGATGGATCTCGGCCAAAGTCATGTGAGGCACGAAAGGACGCACTAACATAGCCGATTCTCCCTGTCCGATGAACGGCGTGGCAGAGGCGACCACAGCCTCGGCACCCGAGACGCGGAGAGTCCAGAAGAAGAATACGGCAAACTTCGAGACGAACCACTGGATAAGGCCAACGTGATAGCAGAGGGCCACAAGGGCGACGAAGAAGATGATGGGAGGTATAACGCCGGTAAAGAACCAACCCAGCTTAGGCACCGAGCTATTCGTCAGGAATGTGACACCGTCGTTGGCGAAACCTAGTAAGAGTCGAGCTAGCGTGGAGATGAAGTTGAAAATATCGTAACCGGCTTGTGTTCGCAAGACAAAGACGGCGACGATGAACTGGGTCAACATTCCGCCTTGAGGAAAACACAAGTCAGCTGACTGGGACGAGAGAGGAAAGTCGAGCTCTGGATGTTACTTACCGATGACTGTGTGCCAAGGAATCTGTCTCCAGTTCCTTGAGCTTATTGTCAAGACGAAGATCATGACAACGAGTCCGAACAGGGATTGCGCTCGGCGGGCGCGAGTATTCTCGCCTTCCTCCTCGGGCACCATGGAGCCAATTAAGAAGACTGCGATAGTGACAAGAGCGGCCAGCGGTCGATGAAGCTTCGCCGGAAGCATTTCATAAACCCTGAAAGCGGTATGTCGCCAGACGAATTTGACGGGCATCATGACGTATTTAACCGGGACCCAGAGGAAGATGATGCGAAGAGTGATGGCGAGATACAGCAGAAACGGGATCAACCAGTTCTTCTCATTCCGGTAACGAACGAGGCCGAAGATCCACCAACTGAATGAGATATGTCAGCATCGCGACTCCATGCGCGACTGTGATACTTCACCAAGAGTCGTGCTAGACTTACGCGGTGAATACGAGCCAGATAAAAAGGTGAACATAAGCCCTATATTTCCGGTAGTACCGCGAGAGGATGCTAGGACGCTTTTCACTCCCGTCGCCTCCAATGTGGCCGATATTTCCACTCTCCTCATCGGTCACAGACTTTTCTGCGGCAGAATAGTCATGTGGCTTATCCAAACTCTTTTGCGGCGAAGAAGTGGAATAAACGACCTCGTCGGGATGATTGGCGGGATTTGCGGCCAATCCACCATGATGCAGGTGCGCATGGTGGTGCTCGTTCGCAAACTCAAGAACGGGATCAGGGTTAGGAGCTACACCTTCTTGAGGCGAAGCATTGTGGCCGGAGAGGCCCTTCGTCTCGGAAACAGTCATCGAATCGGCGTCGCAAACTGCAGAACCTTCGTGGTAAAAATTTCCTTCTTGTCTTCTTCTTTGATCCTCTCTTCCTATTAGTTTCGACCCGACTCGGAGAAATTTATTCTCGTCCCAACTGTGGGGATGGGGAGACGACGCTATGTTCCCGCGAACTTGACGTGCGAGTAAATCGGAAAAAAAGAGAGGAGAAAGGGAAGAAGATCGCGACGAGATTTTATCATTAGTGAGACGCGAGTAGGTAGCTAATCGATCTACCTTTCTAGGTAGACAGGTACATGTAGGAATTTTAATACCTTTCCAAGGTCAGCTTCGGTAGGGCAAATCGTACATTCGCGGCGATCGCGTGGTCTAGATGAACCCGGTCGACGCTAAAGCTAGCTACATGAATGTATGGAGGCCTTCTAGAAGGGGAAGGACGGCCTATCTAATCGAACGGCAACTCGCTGATAGACGGTATGTAACCCTTGAACACCCACTACTAGATACCTAATAGGCTAGCATGTATGGGTATGTATGGCCCCCGTAGTGATACGCAGAATCTGGATTTGGAAGACGCTGAGTGGTCGATCGGTGGGTTCCAGCGCCACAACCGCTGCTTAAGCTGACGAGATTTAATAGCACCGATATCTCATCTCACTAGTATCAGTGACACAAATTTCTGCGCTTTTATACGAATCTAGTATGATGGTGTGCCGTTACAATAATCTCTCAGAACGACCTCACGAGATAGTAGAATCATGGAAAAAATAAGAAGAAATGGCAACGCGGCGTTCTAAAAGTTCTAAAGGATTTTTAACTTTTTTTTCACCCGGTATCCGCCAAGTATCAAGGTCCATCCTTCCAATTGGCCAATCGTTCGCGATAACGGGGAGCTCTAAAGCCGGGGATAAGCTAGGATCATGGATAAGCCCTGGTAATTTTTTTCTCCAATCTTTTCTTACCTTCGGTACGTACTGATAGGCGCTTTCGCTTTCATCGCAGAAACACCAACTTGGAAAGATATCGATGGAGACGACACGACGTTACTTCGTTTATCGAGGTACATATTTGTATATATCGGGTACTCAATGAAAATGGGACCGGATATAAACCCGAGACACAAATATGTCTTTCTCGACACGACAGCTTTTTAGTATCATTTTAGTATCATTTCAACTCACCTACTGCGACGGGTATGGAAAATCGGCAAGAGAAAACCCCAGGCTCTAACTTAAGCGACTTCAGAGACGAAAGCGAATGACAGTCACGAACGCAATGAGACTTGATACGGACGAAGGCGAATAATATCAGTTTTAATATATCTATTCGCCTTATTGGAAGTCCCCAAGGCATAATTACATACAATTCTAATCAAAATGTGCAGATTCTACCTGCAAATGCAAGGAGGCGCCATACAGCTGGTGCCGTTTACAAGATGCCATTGGCTGCAGCTTTGAATGAAGGCTTCATTATGTCGTACCTGATGGCGACAGTGAGTACTTCAGAGATACCGTCCAAGTACCCGAAGCTGAGGGGCACGGTAAGACCGACTACGATCTTCCTAAAGAGGAAATGAAAGCCATGGATGACATCGGGTCCTCCCCACGAATCCCAGCTCTTCCTAGCTCGAACAATGTTTACTGCGGCGTTCGTTATCTCTAGGTACTCCTACTCCCCTCCTCCGTGAAACAACGGTACAACAAACAAAGGGACGCTGAAAGCTGACCGCCCCAGCTGAAGCTGTTCTGCATGCATGTTGGGTTCCATCCATCCATCAAGGCGGGATAGATTTCACATGTAAAATCCAATCGCCTTATAATTCTTTATATCATGCCCCCTACCTCCCTTTAAAAGGCATACCTACAAACATACCAGATACATACCTAGGCATTCTCATACATCCCGCCTCTCTACGTTGACAACCAAGATCAAGATTTGTCTAGGCTTATGTGGGATTATATGTCTTATCACCTTCCTAAAGCAGATTTTTGGCACGTGCACTAACATGGGGTTTCTAATACCCCAAGATTTCTCTACGGTTGGTTCTCCATGATCGATCTATCTAATATCTATTAGTTAAGATATCTTTTGACAGGTACCTATCAAGCTTAACGATAGACTCATAGATATATAACCTACCCAGCTAGGTAACAAGGCTTAACTTAAACAGATTGGTCGTGGTCTTTTGTTATATCTTCTATCTACCAGCTAGCGCCTATGCTTCGCCAAGACGTTGGCTGAAATCGCCAACGCGCTCCTAGGTCCCAAGGTTGGCAGATAAAGCAATGCAAGCGGAATGCTATCATATTGATAGCAAGGGCTCTATCGGCCGAGTCTAGACATGATTTCTTTCAATTTAGAATGAGATAACCTAAATCTGCCCCAGCTAACACGTTCGGAGATTGTACTCATTGGTTTAAGATAGAAGGGCATTATCTATCGATGCTTTTAACTTCCTAGTACCTCGGTCGAAGAGGCAGATTGGTCCCTGGGAGCCCTATGATACAATTTTCCACAGCCCAAAAAATCTCCCTCCTTTCCAGGTTCCTTTGACGGGGCAATCACGATATTCCTACATCAATACACCTATTATCGGAATTTCTATATGCCAGAATCCTCCTTCGGCCATGGGGCAGGTGCATTCCACCAGTTCGACCATGACGAGCACGTATCATCAAAATCCTTCTTTTCGGCATTACTAACCAAGATTGAACCCGCGCTCTCGACAATCTCCAGCGCGAGCCCCATAGATGCGTGCCACGCAATATGGCAATGGACAAGCCACGCGCCGGGGTTGTCCAGCTGAATCGCAACAGCAAGATAGCCGTTAGGGGGGAGCATGGCGGTATCGCGTCTTGGTGGGTTCTTCAATTGGAAAGAGTCGGTCTTCCCATCCCATTTGAGGTACGGTTCCTGCGCTAGGATGTAAAAGTCGTGGCCGTGGAAGTGAATGGGGTGTGCCATTCTGTTTGAATTTGATTTGTGAGTGATTTGATGGTAATATCGGAAGAGGCTTGGAGACACTTACCCTCCATACAAGGCAACAGCCGCGTTCTCGATCACGATCGCAACCCATTGGTCTTCAGCATCATCTGTTTTCTTTGATGAATTAGCGTGGGGATATTAAACACAGTGTCTTGAAGCATTTCTTACATTCAGTGGTAAGACATTGTACTCCGACGGAAATGTAGCTAACGAAGGCTCTTGTAGAGCTTTCTTCAATGTTGGCTCCGCCCAGTCAATATCCAAAAAGCTGCTATTGATGGTCCATTTAAACATGCCGTTATGGATAAACCGCACATTGACGTCCTCGACCGTGGTGTCGACGATTTTGCCAACGTCGCGCTTCACGTAGGGTACGAGGCGGTCGAGCGATTCGTCGTGACAACTCTTTTGGGCGTAAATTTCACTTGTAATAGTAATCGGATCTTCTGCGCTCATTAACTTGCGTTCGTATCGAATGATACCTGTCCCGTCGTCAGGGTGGCTATTGGCAACGCCTTGGCAGGCGCTGGCTGGTTGCCAGCCACTACGTAGCCAGTAATCCCCCGGTTCGGCGTTCGCGTCGACGATGATATCGTATCGCTGGCCGGAGCTAATCATGATGCTATCCGTCTCATACGGATCGATGGGGACAAAATCAGAGGCAATTACAGTGAAGTTGTGACCGTCGATATGAAAGTTGAAATAGCTATCGAGAGCAACATTTAACACCCGGATCAGGTACTTTTTCCCATGTTGGAAAATAGCCTCGAATTTCTTGCCATTGCCAGTGCAATGTGGGTCCGAGGTACCAGAGCAGTCAAATATGTTGGTGCCGTTGATTAAGATGTCTACAACATAACGTTAGTTAGTTCAATCGACTTGATGAAGTACGTAGCGAGGTGCCTTATTGCAAAGCATCACTTACTGTCAAGCTCGTGTGTGATACCCCATTCCTGCTTGTTAGCCCATGCACCAAAAATAGGGGTGTGAGACCAGTCCTGGAGGACAAGGGTGCCGAGGTCGTCATCGTAGTTTGCTGTCGCCGGTCCTCGTAAAATCATAGGACCCCACAGACCTTCCGCGTACTGCAGGGAAAAATGACTATGGTACCAACTTGTTCCGTATTGGGTAGCCCTAAACTTATACGTGTAAGTCTCCCCTGGTGCGATTGGGCATTGCGATATTCCAGGAACTCCGTCATTCTGGGTGTTATTGAGCATCCGTATTCCATGCCAGTGGACGGAGGTGCCATTAGATTTCATGTTGTTGGTTACATGAATAACGAGATCGTCACCCCAGTCGGCGGTGATAAGTGGTCCTGGCACGGTGCCGTTGAATGTCATGCAAGTTCGCTCGTATCCATCTGGGCTACAAGCAGTCTCTTCGGCAGAGAGCCATACTTCTACCACTTTGCCAGTCTCAGGAACTGTTGTGTAATAGTCGGTATCAATGCTGTATTCGCCCCAACAATTACGAGACGCCGGTGCGTTCTGACATAACGACGAAGATGGAGAAGATATGGAAATTGGTCTTTGTGACGTTTGTGGTGTTTGTAACATCAAACCCTCATCGGGTAGAGAGGAGGTAGAATCCCAGTACCCCCCCAACAAGAAGTTGAGGATAGAAAAGAGTGCCTCTTTCATAGCTCAGATTGCTGAATCGCTGCCTTGGAAATTACTAGCGAAGTCAAAATGAGCTATGGGTATTCGGTATAAGAGTGCATATAATAAAGAGAGATCTTGTTCGGTTTTATGGCGTTAGAGCAAAAGTTCAAAACCTCATAGAATACGTCCTTAGACAGCTCTATGTTAGGTATAAAGAGGTAGATATCTAAGCATCTGTAAGGAATATAGCGGAAATCATACAGACAGCTTTTTAACGGTTGGGCATCCGTAGCGGAGCAATCTCCTAGCCGTTCCATGATCGAATGCTTGAAAGCCGCGGCTAGATTAATCGATGGCTGATGGTGGGTCTCCCCTACGTTCGGAGCTTTCGGAGCATCCGGTCAGGCACCGGGTGCTTCCGGTAGCCTCCCTTTCGGAGTCCTAGTTTCCTAATATGGAAATCGGAATACTCGGGTGTAGCTAAAAGGGTTTCATCACCCCCCGAGATTTTATGAGGCCGCTAAAGCTTCCATGTCCTTAATACTACCCCTGCAAAGTCCTTTTAGCTCCGTGTCTTTCGAAAGGACTGATATTTTCCCCACGACCACCTACTGATGGCGGGTAGTTAATAGTACCGCGATCCAGAAATTCAAGATAATATCGTCAATTTTCTCCAAGTATCAGATCCGAACGACTATCTCTGAAAAAATGAGACTCTTCTGCGCCAGTGGGCTCCTAAGCCTATTCGCATTCATTTCACCGCTGGTAACCACAATCTTAGCCAGCTACCCATACAACCCACTTCCAGTAAGGTACATCCACCAATGGCCCATCCCATGGTATGCTCAGAGTCTGTATATCAGAGATAATGGCGATATCATGGTAACGACAGTCTGGCCGGTAGCATCGGTTTGGGTTTTGACGGATGTCTTAACCGATAATCCACAAGCCACCCTTATATACAAATTCAACCAAGTCAACGCCACCACCGCCATAGCGGAAACGCAAAAAGACGTATTCGCCATAATAGGCGCCAACCAAACCTCTTTAGGTGTTGGGATCGATGGCGACATGAGCATATGGGAACTAGATCTTCGTCCGGGTAACGGGTCCTACACCGAAGGCTTCACCATCAAAGAGATCATCCATATGTCAGAAGCTGGTCTCTGCGGAAGCTTCGTCCAGCTTCCTAACAGCCCGTCCATACTATTAGTGGCGGACACTCACAAGGGAGTGATATGGAGAGTAGATACTCTTACTCGAGAGTATGAACTCGCCGCCCGAGAAGAGCACATGGCTTGGCTCCCCTGGTTCATCACGGAATTTGGTATCAGCGGGGTGAAGATTCGCAATGGTTATCTCTACTGGTCGCTCAGCTACACCGCGACTATTTGGCGCATTGCTATTTCGGATGATGGTTTCCCACTACCCGGTGCGAAGCCGGAGGAAGTCAAGTGGGTTCGGTCCGTCTTCATGGACAATTTTGAACTTGCACCCAGGGACAATGCCACCATATTCGCAGCACTCAACGCTGACAATCGTCTAATTGCCATTGATAAAGATGGGAATCCTACTTATGTTCTCGGCACCCCTGATGAGATGATCTTGCTGGGACCCGTGTCGCCGGTGTTCGGTAAGGTACAGGGTGACACAAATACGGTGTATGTTGCTACCGGTGGGGCGTTACTGAATCCTGTAAATGGATCAATTATCGAGGGGGGTAGGATAGTAGCCATTGACACTACGACGTTCTTCGAGGGGTATCTTTCCAAAGATCCGGAACCTGAACTCGAGTTGCGCTCAGACATTGTTCCTACTTAATGTATCCTGGGTACTTGGTTGGCTAAGGATAAATTAGAGTTCGGCGTACGCTGATTTAATGGATATCAAATGTGATGTTGCTGCTGGATTCGCTTGGCGAGGTATCGTGCCAAACGCGGAGGACCATAGAATGTATGATTTAGATATACCGGGTCTAGGATGGCTTTAGTCAGTTCAGTCAGTTCAGTAAGAGAGTATAAGGAACATCCACTTACTGTATTACTACCTAGGTACTACCTAATAGTTAGGTCCTTTTTAGTGCCTTGGGCGATGAGCCTACTGTACGTTGGAACTTTTTATAGCATCCAAGCACGCGTCTATGTACCTCCACTAGGTATCAACTAAAGTCCCTGTTTGATAAGCCCACTAGATACCCAGTACCTCTAGGTACCTAGGTAAACATGTCCTTAAGTACCTACATTTTTCTTCACTTATCAATTGCAATAATCACGCAGGCTCCTACACCGTTACAATGCAAAACTCAAACATGTGCTACAATTAATCGCTACCAATTGGTGCCTGGCATCATTATCCAATTCTCTGGTGCGCCGTCCATCCCCGTGTTGCCGATCTCGAAATCGAATGAGCGGCTTGGATGGCCCGGTGGAGTGAATGTTCCAAGTACCCCTGGGGTTATAAATGCATCGGCTGTGTTTTTGTTAGCATTCAATGGTAGGTGCTAATCATAACTTATGTAGAGCTCACGTGAATAAAGTCCCAAATCCCTAAACATCCCTTGGCTATCAAGCCCCATTCCACCATCATTGAAGGCAATTGAGGGATCTATGTTCGATATGTCTTGCGCCTCTTTACCACTTGTACTGATATCCTCTTCTTTGGGATCAACATCGTACGTGGTGCCATCGGTTGCCCTCGTTAGTACAATATTGATGGTTTCCGCTGCCTTCCTCGCCTCTCTTGACGTACTGCTTTTACGCATCCAGATCATTCTTGTATTTCGCAAAGCCTTTAAAATTTCATCTTGTCGGCCCATGGTCTGCCGGCGATACACCAAAGAACACAGGATCATCGTAGCGGTCAAAAAGTGATGGTTCATAAGGGAGCCCACTCGGAAGCGCATCGTATGGAGTAGACCTCCGGAGTATAACTCCCTGTCGAGCAAATCCTGGATCTCCAATGAAGAAATTGCTGCATCTAGGCACGCCTTCCGTGAATACGCGAAGGTATCCTCATCATTTGACGTTGATTCCACATACAGAAACCGACGGTGGAGCATGATCTCACCCTTAAGATGAAGATGGCCAAGAAAAAGGCGAGCCATAATGACATGCGGGGTATCGGTGACACTGACTGCTATTGGTTTCATTCTCAGTGGTGGGGGGATGCTAGCTATAGCTTGTCGAAGAATGTTGTCAACTTGCATCACGTCAGTGTAGCTAGCGGCCTTGATTGATGATGCAACACCGGAGACATGGTTTAGGGCCACCAAAACTCTTCTCCTTGCTATGATGCCGAGAGTTGTCGTATACTCAGTTTCCGGGCGCGGAGGAGGTAACTCGATCATATTTTCGTCTAGGTCGTCGTCGTTTAGATTACGTGGCTCGGCTGTATCGTATTGGGTAGACGTGATCATACATGGCATTCCCATCTGGCTGGATATAAGAGTGTCGCCTAATAGAACAGTAGCCCACAATCTCCGCCGCATCTCAGCTTGGAGGGGTGAAATGCCAGGGAAATGACTGGGATCTCGGTGGTAGCCCATACGCATCGCAAGGTTAACCTCGAGGGCTAGCAAAAACCAGATGTCTTTTCCGGCATCAATACCCATCATAAATTCGATGTATACATAATTGATCAACGTCTCCAACCCATAGGGCGCTGACTTGGTGTATTCTCCCATGATAAGACACTGTACGATCTTCTCGCGATACAGATTGATTTGTAACTGCTCCGCTTCGCCTCCGCGAGACGAGTCGCTTGCATCAGAAGCTAGTAGGGCGAGGCATATCATGCTAAATAGTAGACCAACCCAGATTATACTAGATGCGCCAGCTGGATTTGCCCAGAATGCCTCGTACTGTAAATATTTATTAGCGTTGCAAACCATTAGTTAGATGGAGACCGGAAATCATACTTGCCTCCCGGACGAAAGTGGGGCCATGGACAGCCGCTGGTATCAAATGTTAGTCACAGTGTTGCGCAATGGCTTTAAATATAATACACGTACAAGATGCTACTAGGTCCAAACGGTTAAAGAAACGGGAGATATAGCGATCTACTGCGTTTTTAGGAGGAAGCGCAGCGAGGATCTCGGCCCGTGAATTTGCACGCGGGGCACCATAGAGAAGGAGAGCGTGAGGTGATGGAGGTCTTCCTACAGGGTCGCCTCCACTATCATCCTGGGCTTGGTCCGGGGTGTTGGCTAATCTGAGATTCTCTTCTTGGTCGAAATGGTCCTTGAGATCAGCAATACTGTCGAGAATCGCTGCCCAGTGGTCGCCTCCAACATAACGAACTTCGGAGGCACTGAGGCGCATGCTCCCGGCCTCCGAACGCTCTTCCATCATAGTGTCCTCGAGGGAGGTATTGACTTGTTCACGAACGCGGCCTGGGTCAGAAGGCGGAGGCATACCTACGATCGTGCTATTGCTTTGATTGCCAACGGCTTGTGGATTAGGCATCAGAGACTTGACCAGGCTCTCGAGATAGACGATGCGATTGTGCAGACTAGGTACGGCTGTTCTGTCAGGCGGCATAGCAAGGCCTTGGTTCTCTGCGTAAGTGCAGGCTTGGCCCCTCAGGAGGCAGCTTGAACATGATGGCTGTTGGCGATCGCATCGCAATTTGCGCCGTCGACACAGATTACAGGAAAGTTGAGGTTTGTCCCGTCGGCGATTAGGGTTCGCAAGTCGCGGTCGCGAGGCTGCTTCACCCTGCTCCCGTCGTTGCGTAGGCGACTGGGATTCAGCCGAAGCTGGAGGTGGCGTCTGGTGTGATGATGACATGACCGATGATGGAATGGTCTAAAGCATTCATGTCATCGAACGATGTTCTCATTCATGGATTGTGATATGGGGTCAATCAAGTGTCAACTTTCGGAGTTTCAGTGAGATCTGGGACAGATTACGGCCGAATGCTAACCAATATCGGACAACCAAGAAATAGGGATCTATTAGCTGTAGGACGGGGGTAAGCAGATGCAGTAAGACGGGCTCTCGGCTGCTGCCCAATGGCCTGGAATGAGAGCGCAATTTCTTCATTAGGACGGGCGTTGACGGACCATCCGACAATCCATCCATCGTTTTCACTTAGGTACTTCCGATCATAGAGTATGCTTTCGATCAAGTACTCGCGTTACGAGCTAAAGGATAATAGCGATGAAATTACCATCAGGAGAAGAATATCCCCTCTATGATAAATATACGTAAAAAACGATAACACTAAGGCAGTACATATAGGATGTGAAGAAAGAAAAAGGCCTGGAGTTATTAATGAAAGGGGGTTTTCTTTAAAGGCCTAAAATCGATAGGATAGGTACACCTTACAGTGAGTGCGTGTCGCACCTTCCATCTCCAGGGCTACGTAAAGCGCTGTGGGGACTATTGGTCCCACTAGTTCCCGCCAGCTAGTACTAGGTAGAAGGTTAATGTTAATCCCCTTTTTTTTGGTCCCCCTCCTTTCTCTCATGTAAACATCAACTTCTTCAGAGTAATTCTTGACGTCTTACAATTAATAGGGCTGTAACAATATTTATTTACATGATTCCCAGATGCAATCTTGTTCTTTTTAAATCATAGCTTTTCCCCATAAATACCTAATCCTTCCTAGGTATCCGGTTCTATCTGGTAGTCACGACCAGTTCTTGCCGAAGAAGTCAAGTATCAGCTGGTAGCCCCGCGTGTATTCCTCCTTGACCCTTGGGTTGGATAGGTCAGCACGCGCCGCCATAAAACCGTGAACCTGGTCATCAAAGGTCTCGACGTGCTTAGGGACCTTAAGTTTACTCTCAAATTCTTTAATGGTCTCGACTGGCTCTTCACCCGATGCGAGTAGAATGAAAGGTACCTTGATCCCATCAGCTTCAGCTGGATCAACCATTGCCGGGTGAGCGGCGGCGGCGATCTGGAAAAGGCTCGAGTCGCCCGATGTTATTAGCGATGCGACTTTGCCTCCCCAGCAGTACTAGATACGAAATATGTTAATTCTAGTACGAGAGGTAGGTCACGGGCTCTACTTTTTATACTTACTCCCAAGATACCCCACGATTTAATTGAGGGGTTCGCAGCCTGTACCGCCTTGAAATATTCAGGCAGCTTAGCGGCAACTGTGTGTGGTGCGTGCTCAGCATCACTAAAGAATTCACCCACATTCTTCTGTTTCTCCTCAGTATCCGGAGGGAACCTTCATAATTTCATCAGCATTTTTGCTGTCTATGCGAGATTGGTGTCATGTTCATACCATTCAATTGGGCACGGCTTTCCCTTGAACCAGTCAGGAATGAAGACCTGGTGCTGTTGCGACTTCTTGCCCGTGGCCAAGATATCGGCTCCTTGGAGCGTCTGGTCAAAGTAGCCGAAGATGTCATATATAACTATGATACCCTTTTCAGCATCAGTCGGGCCAGTGACGTCTTCATGGTAGTAGTTTCATATTAGCTAAGGGGCCCTTGAATGGAGTTGAGGAATTGGAACACTTACAGGTCTTGTAGTTTCCAAGCTCCTGATACGAGCCCTTCGCAACATAACCATCAGACACAACCGGTGGAATATTGCAGCAAGCTTCATTATGCCCGTGAGATGCTGGCATTGTAGACATTTTGGCTACTTGAGGAATAGGAACTCGCGAAACTTTTCCAATTGATTGTAATCCAATGAGTTTGCTTTTAGAAGTCTCAATGTTCCTTGTTACAGAACAACAAGAGGGAGCACTATATGAAGATCTGATACTTGTTGCGTAAGTGTCGGATCTCGAGGTGAGAGCTGTAGAATGCAACCTTGAAGTTACCAATGATGTAGAGTGTATAGAGGTCCGTTTTGAAAGACGAGGAAGTTGGGATGCCATGGCTAAAATAAGGGGTCATTAAAGGAGGGGATCTCAAGCAATAAAACGATGCGACAAGCATTTGCAGAGTTGTATCTAAATTTTCCGTAAGCCTTATACGGCAACCAATCCGGTTGACTTCCGTCTTTCCGTAACATGAAGCTTTGATAAAGGCGGATGGTCCGGCCGTGTTGGTGGTTATCTGCTAAGACAACATCCGCTCTCAGAAAGTGAGACGAAGCGAAGCCCGATCCTTCAGCTGCAAGAGATCGGGAAATTTCAAGGTCGGATATCCGAAAATAGTTATTCTATCGATGCGAATACTACGGCGATTTGACGTATACGAAGCTATCAATCGGAATAGTTCGGAAGGTTCCTAATTTGCATTTCTCTGATCCTGTCGGAACGCTGTGGTGTATTCCTCAACGGAAATATAGGCGTCATCAGCACTCAAAATAGCTTCATTTACTAACTCAATTGCTCTCATCTCGCATCTTCTCACGTGAAATCGAACTACGTGCAATTTTTGACAAACTTGCATTAATCCCAAGATTCACAAATCTCATGTTCATCAGAAAACTTGTCTCATATTGGACAGCATCTATTTTCATCATGAACTCCTCAACCTCAGAAGCTGCCCCGCCGGCGACTATGAATTCATCATATCTATTTACTGCCAGTGTCACCCTCGGCAAGCGTTACGGTCCTATTCCTATGGTTGGGGGTGGCATCCGCGTAGTCGAACCGTTCACAGGAGGAACAATTGATGGCCCCAACTTCCATGCCACAATTGAAGGAGGACACGCCTCTCCCATCGTGTTAAATGACACCACAACTGAGAAAGGAGGATCGGTCCAGTACCCATTCATATATGTTTATGGATACACAGATGACGGACAACCATTCTATATCCAGGAGGAAGGTATTGGGAATCGCGTCAGCCAGAATACGAGGCTAATCATCAACGTTGGAGGTTCGCACTCTTATTTGCAGACCTCTTACGTAATCGCCCAAATGAGGTTTATCGAGAACGAGGGAGGGCCAACAACGGTAGCCGTCGACTGTTACAGCATTCCCATGATTGCATAGTTCAGACTTCAAAAGAAGGAGGATTTAGTCGGGATCTCTTGTAGAAACTACAATCAAGCCTACCATAATACTATTAGTAGTTCCCTTTTAAAGAAAAAAGTTTGGTCATGTATCAATGCGTCCTCGTCCAAATTAGAACAGATTCTGGTCGTGTGGCTTTCGCTTTAGCGGCTAAATTCCTTGAATAGGCTTGAGCGATAGCGGCTGTCCACTAGAATTTAGTGGACATATCACTAGGTAGGTACCTAGTAGGTACCTAATTAAACCATCCATAAGGGAAATATATGAGGGGTTGGAACTGTTACTTAACGGTTCCTGGACCTGGCATCGTTCCGTAATGGTTCTACTGTGTTAAATATTAAAAAGCGTACGCAAATATAAGAAGCGTAGTAAAATCTACAAGCGTGCCAGGCGTACCAGAATCTTAAAGCGTACCATAGTTACTATTTGAATTTTTAGTGTTGACCATATCTAAGAATTTAGCGCTAAGGTTAATACCGTAGATTATGTAACGCGTAGATAGTGTAATGGTATATCCTTAGCTTCCATAATAAATAAAAAATTACATTTATAAGGTTCGAAATTAGTAAAAATTATCAATTAAATTTATTAAAATAAATAAATAAATAAATAAAATTAATAAATTAAAATAAATAAATAATATTATATAAATGAATAAATACGTATAATTTAATAAAATAAAAGAAATAAGGAATTATATCTTTTACAACTTGGCACGGTTCCAAAATTTGTAATGATTAAGGAATGATTCCTTTTGCTGTTACGTTTCCAAATCTTGGAACCGTTACGGAATAGTTCCCACCTTACATATGTTTCCTTTATGGATAGCCCTAGAGAACTGAAAGGTAGGTATATACCTACCTAATCCATCCTTATCTCCAGGGCTACTCTACTATTAATAGGACATAAAATAAATCCAATTCCGAAGAAGTTTAACAAGTGTAACTACTTCATTCGAATAAATGTCAATTAATCTTCGAAAACCATTCCTAAATTCCTTCAAGGACCATAAACCGCAAATACATGTTACAGGTAAATATTTCTCACTTTAAGGTACTACCTAGGTACCTACCTACCTAGGAGGTAGATACCTAATCCAAGGATCAACACCAAAGTCATCAATTGAAATCCTAACCAAGTCACAAGCCATCCTATCATTTACGCGAGCAGAACTCCGATATAATGACGGAACATCACCCACACGTAACCCAGCGCATTTCTAAGGAATGATAACATCCAGCCAAGACCTGAAAAGCCCATCATGCGATTGAGATAAATGAAGCGTTGGGCGTACAAGATCGCTTCCTCATCCCTCTGCTTCATAGTGATCTCTCCACGCCAGACCTTATCTAGCGAGACGGCGTGACGCGCAGCTTGTTCAGACGCCCATCCCAAGTGGGACCTAAAACCGGTGAACGCGTCACCAACTAGGACCAAACGGCCATCGTAGAAGCTGGCCGTAGTAGTTTGCGCCTCGATGACCTTGGTGACAAACGGCTTAGGAGTGTTGGACACCAGTTCAGCAAGGGGGGCCGTCATAGTAGAGCTCCAACGCGCAAGTTGGGCTTTCCATACGTTCGGATTGACGAGCCCCTGAGGAACCGTGTTAGGATGTACTTTTCCGTCCACGTCGGTGAATATAGCTTCCATCTCAGGCGACCCATCTGGCACGACGTAGTACCAGACCCAATTGATGAGACGCTTGCCCGGTTCAACGTGGCCAGCCTCGGTAGGAATTAGATAGCTATTCCATGTCAGAAAATGTTACCGTTCTATCATTGGTGGTTAAAAGCGCATATGGGGTCCAAAACACTTACCTGATGAAATAATGACCTCCCAGCAACGAGAAATTCAGGCGATTCGAAAAGTACTCGATCGTACTCTTAGACAGCAAGCGCTCAGGCACGGTCCCTCTCCAACCAATGTACCCGGAATACTCTTTTCGCGTAGGGGCTTGCATCAACTTTCTGACAGTTGAGTGAACCCCATCCGCGGCGATGACCATCTCCGCGCTAACACTATCCTTCTCGCCAGTGGTAACGTCCGCATATGACACAGTGACGATACCCTTGTCTTTATCATAGCTCACACCATAGACCTGCTTTCCAGAATGGTATTCAACCTTGCCATCGGTAGGCTTCGGCTCGGGTGGGTTCGGCACACATCCGGACTTGAGTCCGTCAAAGTTAGCTCTGAGGATAAGATAGAGAGTTCCCCAGTTGCTCATGTTGTGATGCCATGTTGTGTTGGCTACCCGGAGACGTCGGCGCCACGCAGCACTCATGTATTCCGCCGGAATGGCTGCTGGACGTCCAGTTGCATCATACTTGTCAAGGATTGATACCACCGTTTTTCCAATGGACACGCCCGACTCATGGCTAGCTCTGTCTTTAGATGGGTCTTGCTCCAGCACAACGACATGGCTACCTTGGCGCTTGAGTTGTAATCCTTGGAGAAGACCGGCAACAGAGCCTCCGATCTAATACCAAGCATGTCGTCAGTAATACGGAAATATAACATTAAATTCTCTGATATATCAAACTTACAATGATGACCTTTTGGGGAGCCATGGCTGATTGTCGTTATTAGCTAGTAAGGAGAATAGCACTACAACAGGAATGGGAAAGAAATCCAATAACCTCGTGGGCAACTTTAAGGAATTATATGGAATAGGTGAGCGATAGGGAAAACTTCTATTTGAACCCTCTTTGATCTCGTGCATCCTTCATGCTGGCTTGACGAATCGAGGTGGACTGGTAGTGCCACCCGATTATCATACCATTGAAATCTCTCGGAAGGTGTGAAATCTCCTTCTGTTGGAGTTTTCGGAATATTCAGGTTGGAGGCTGATATATGTAAGTAAGCAAGCCGAAAATTTGGCATTATAAGCCCCGAAAATTGAGCATCGGAGACGGGGGGTATGCCATACCCCTTTAGGATAGCTCCGAATCATATAGTAATATCATTTATCAAAAACTTGCAAAATGAAACAATCATAACTCATTGAATTAGAGAGATATTTGAAGGTATCGTCTACGTATATCGTAACATAGGTACCTACCTGGATATGAAATATTTCCGACATACAAGAGTCCGCTAGTGGTTGAATAGGGGTAGACACCTGGGCAGTTAAAGTTACCTAGATCACTCTGCTAGGTCTGGGTACCTACCTGTAGATACCTGTTTTCCGTTACAATTACGACTTCAGAGCATATCGCTGTCGCTTTCACCTACCTAGTTGGCTCTCTTCATAATGGTGTTTTACGTTCACTAGTGTGTAAGACAATCACAGTAGACATTGCATTACGCACCTTATTTGCTATCGGTTTACAGTTCTCCAACAATTTACTTACCTACCTACCTAGGTAATTAATAGGCATGTGAGATATACACGTAGTTAAGTACTAGGTAGGTAGGTAGATAATATTTCTTGAATTAGGTTTGAAACAACAAAAGATCGAATAGCTTCTAAATATTTTATCTTGTAACATGATGTTAAATCTTCATGGGCACTAGGTAGGTATGAACCCTTCTAAGCCAGTAACTGGTTGATCTTTATGATCTTTTCCCGCAGACTTTGCGCCTGCTCCTTCATCTTTTTGCATAAGTGGACATGTGAGAACCCAACTAGCAACCTATCCTCTGGTAGGCCTATCGTTGGTTTCTTCACCTCATCTTCCTCTAGTGCGTTAGTGTCCCGGTTATTCTCGCTCTTTTCCTGTTCTCCCTGAGAGATCACCCTCGCTTCAAGCGGGAGTCCTAGCAATCCTTCGACACCGCCGAGAGAATTGCATAGCATTGATAACACCTTTTTTTCAGGCTCCCATCCCCCGCATACTACACCCAATCGTCAGCCGTTACTCTGTACAGTAATCATGTAGCCTTTCGGAGCTCATCGCTCGTACTCTTATGCTTATAATCTCCTAAAGGGGGTAACTAGCTACACAATGGTTGCTAAAAGGGGATTATGAGGATCGAATTCTACTTACCACAGACGGGCCGCAATTGGCTGAGACTAAGTCCTCGATATGCATGTATGTCTCCCATAAATGGATAATTTAGAGATGGAGCCAGCTCTTTGTGGGCCGACTTATGGAGCTCACGCATTCGCTCGATGTGCTCTATTATGTAGCCAAATACGGAAGAGTATATCTCCGTAAGGATTATGTAGCATGATATTATAAGAAGATTGGTAGGCATATCCTTATTCTGGACTGCAGTAGTTGCATCAGAACAAGCGTAGCTGAAGAGAATGGTGTGGAACCGCTGGCATAGTAACACTGCGTCTCCAATCGGATAGTTGTCGCGATCCCAACTAGCTAACTCATGCAATCGATTGCCGTAACTTGACATTTCAGCCAGTAGCCCGCTGAGATCAACAAGGGGATTAGCGATTTTTTCATCTGTCAGTTTTTCTATGTCGAATCTGAAGTCCATGGTGGCTGGAATGGCATCAGAGACACCGATCAATTCAGATAGAAACTCCGGTGTGTCTATGCTGGTCATATCGAAATTGTAGTACCCTGGTAAGCCGCCCACTGCACCGTCTACCGATTCAGGGGGATCGTTAACTTGAAATAAGGCCGACTCATGTGACCAGAAATCCGAGATTTCCTGTTCCGGGGTGACCATCGGCGTGTCAACGTCGGTCTCGGGTGTGCATTCTTTGGCGTTAATTTTCGGTGAAGGAAGAGGTTGATGTGATTCAGGAGACGGAGGCCCGGGCAATACAAATGTACCCATCCCCGGCAAAGATGGCTTTTCTTTTTCCTTACGGTGAGAAGGCCGAGTCTCAGAGTCGCTGTCACTAGTATTTTTCCTGCTTCGTCTCATCTGCAATCGCTGGCTAAATGTACACATGACCGGAGTTTTTAACCTCAAGCACCGCATACAAGGCACCGTCGAATCCGTACTTGATGATGGAACACAACGGAGCTTCTGGGCCCGGCATCTATCACAAGATGCACGGAGCGGGGCGTTAGTGGTTTCCATGGTAAAAGTTCCGTGGCCGTCGCAAAACGGAAGGCCCGCTGTCAGCAATACAGCTATAGTGGTTTATATATGGCGGTACCTAGGTAGGTGGGTAGGTTACAGTGCATCAGTGATGGAGGAATATGTGCAGTCATAGGAGATATTAAGAAGCAATGAATTATGAAAATACTTGGGTCAATCAATTCTTGAAGCCTCCGCCTTCTCCTGCCATGCAGACGCCTCGTGGCGGAACCGGGATATAAATCAGCTAATTTTCTTCCCTGCCCAGTTTGAAGCCCCGTCGCCCATAGGTACGTATGACCCGTACTGTATCGCTCGATGCACGCGGATGATTCGCGGCATCTTTCTCGACCAAGGATCCGATTATAGGTTTCAGGATTCGTGCGTCCTCGTAGGCGATTGCTTAAGCGTTAGCCTATGAATATGCGTAGTAATCAAAGTTATGACATTCTTCGCTAACCCTTGACATAGGAGCTGAGTCTCGACTTTATGAAGAGGCACAGTCAGTTGGTAATAACAAATCAGGTATTGGTATTTCAAAGTGTCCTAGCTGACCAAGGGATCTATCTGATCTGCATGAGGCTTATGATCCTTGTATTAGATAACGCAGTAGCGCGGCAATACACGTGGTATATAGTAAATGAGAATGTTCCGACTTTGTTAACAGTGCCGCCGTGCCTCTTAGACACATGGATAGGAGTATTCAAAAGTACACTGAATCACATAACGGCAACCGCCATTGAATCCTACATAAACGCCCGCCAACTAGACTACTTCTGTACGCTGACATTTAATCAATATTAGGTTATTAGGTTATTAGGTTATGTTGTAGGAAGTTATCTTTAAACAAAAAGAAGGTATCATGAAATGATTTCTTATGTAATGTTCCAATGTAGCCCCAATTTGCGATGTGCGCATTCATACGTACGACATGAGAGTCTTGGGAATTAGTAGATTCGACTGCTACTTAGGTAACCTACCAAGTACTAGGTAGGTAGGTATCCAACATATTTTCAATATACTTAGTACCTAGGAACCTAACCCCGTATACGAGCACGCCATCATTGCCACAACTTGCCGGCTGCCAAGGTGTTGACAAATGGGGATCGAGAGGAACGAATGCCATGAGCATGGGCTTCGGGTCCGGTATGAATCCGTGGATGCGGTCGTTTTAAGTACAGTGAATACCTTTCAAACATACTGTGACACAATGACACGACTGGGAATGTATCCTAGCTGCAACGATGCGACCAAATGTAAGATAACTTCCTGACTAATTTGCGTACCTAGTAGATTCTCAACCTAGTAGCGAGATCTAAGTAAGTGTAAGTACCTAAAATAAGGTGTCGAAATAAGGTCTTAATAAGCTCTACCCGCGCATCAGCCCTACTGTGGGTATTGTGGGTATTGTGGGTATCACGCGTATAAATTGAAGCCTATACTTACTTAGGAAGGCACTTAAGTAACCTCTCGATCAGATTTATAATATTTCCCGTGTTTCGCTAACCTCTTTTTGGTCCATATGGATTAAATTCGCCGATATACGAAGCGAGTTTTGTGATTCCAGAAGCTCTTTGCATGATTACAGTGCTTACGTGCTAAAAGTCTTGGGGTTTTAGGGTGGATAGAGTGGACCCACCGTTACGGACGATCCATGGACTCGTCCGATCACGTGATTACCCCACCTAACTCTCCCTTTATTATTTTTCCATTTATCTTCCGGCCCCGCCCCGTTGAGTCCACGGACCCTCCGTCCACAACGCATGTTCTATTCCGACCTGTTTGCGCTATCTCCATAGTTCGCATCGCATCGTATCGCTTAGAATGCTGCGCGCTAAAGATATTGATTGCATCATTTGCTTCGATAGCCCGAGATTGGGTCAACACGGAACTGTCCGATGGACGACCAAGTGTCATGTCGGATGGGATTCCAATCTCCGTCCTTTACCCCTTTCCCACTTCTCTGCGATGTTGTATCTTAAAGACGCCCTGTCTAGCGTGACTTGCTACTATGTACGATGCTCCTCCATCACCATTCTACGAGCAATATTCAGTGCCCTTCATCACCTCGATCGTTGAACGTTCTGAATCGCGGCACTCAAACTTGGCTTGGACCCTACCCCTAGGCTACATTTCAAGTAAATCCTACCACATATTCGACTAATCAATTTACGATAGTCATATCTCTTCTAAAGTTATCTACCTACCTAGTACCCAAGCCATGTCGTCCAAGTCAGATTCGGATTTGGAGAAGGCATCCGGTCCCGTCGTAGTGAACGACATTCCAGTGGCAGACAACGTCGTTGACTGGGATGAGAATGATCCTGCTAATCCCCATAACTGGGCGAGCGGGAAGAAATGGCGACATATTATTCTAGTGTCCTTACTGGCCTTAGTAACGTATGTGTCATTCGCCTCATCTATCCTAAAAGCAGCTTTTAACATGATACCCCTTGTACAGGAATATGGGTCCAACCACTTGTGCAGCTGGAATCAGCCAAATCGTCCAAGAGTTTGGTATTATGTCAGATACCCTAACCACTTTAGCCATCACCATCTACGTTCTAGGTCTAGCACTGGGACCTATGTTCATCTCGCCACTTAGTGAGGTGTACGGTCGCTTGCCCGTCTACCATGGGGCCGTCATCGTGTTCCTAGCTTTTCTCCTTGGCACCGCTCTCAGCCAGACAACAGCACAGTTCATGGTATTCCGGTTCTTCTCCGGGGCGATGGGTGGAGTTCCTATGGCTCTTGGTGGTGGTACGATCGCCGATCTTACTGCGCCTGCGGAGAGGGCCATGGCCATGGCCTTATTCAGCTTGGGACCTCTTACAGGGCCTGTAAGCTTTCTATACTTTATTTCATCGTTCTTCATCCCACTTTCCCTACTAACCATGCATCCTTAGGTTCTTGGTCCCTTGCTTGGCGGCTTTATTGCTGGTGGCGCGGGTTGGCGATGGACGTTTTGGTTTCTTGTCATCCTCGGCGGTGCCATTGAAATCGCCTGCATTGTCTTCATGCGTGAAACTCATCCAAAGATCACACTCGAGCGCAAGGTCGCCCGCCTCAGACTTTCGACAGGCAACCCGAAGTTAGAGTCCAAACTTACCCGGACCAATGTCACGCCTCAGCAGGTGCTCGTCCAGGCGCTCGTGCGTCCTACCATGCTTTTGATCCACTCTCCTATCCTACTTGTCATCTCTCTATACGTCGCGGTAGTATTTGGCACTTTGTATTTGTTGTTTACTACATTCGTTCCTGTATTTGAGGGTCAATATGGATTCACCACAACAGTCTCTGGTTTGACTTACCTCGGTCTTGGCATCGCCTTACTCGCAGCTATGGCTACGTTCACTCTACTGAGTAACCGCATTCAAGCCGCACGGATGAAGAAAGAGGGCCTCCAGCAACCCCGACCAGAGTATCGACTGCTCCTTATGATTGCATTTAGCCCTCTCGTCGGTCTAGGCTTATTTTTATACGGATGGACAACGGAATACAAGGTTCACTGGATCGTACCTATCATCGGCACTTTCATCACTGGCTTTGGCGCCTATTTCGTACTTGTCAGTGCCTCCGTCTTATTCATTTCCACAGATTCTTCTATATAATCAATTGCTAACTAAAATTCAGATGCCTGCACAGTTGTACCTTATTGACCTGTTCGGGTCAGCGGGAGCTGCGTCGGCTCTAGGTGCGAATAATCTTTTACGTAGTGTGGCAAGCACATTCTTACCATTAGCTGGTCCTCCAATGTACGATAGGCTTGGGTATGGATGGGGCAACACTCTCTTGGGTTTCCTCGCGCTCGCTTTCGTCCCGGGTCCAATCTTGTTCTACAAGTTCGGAGAGAGGCTTCGGGCAAAGACTCAGGTCAAAATGTAGTCCAATAGAGACATTGAGCACGTGAAATGACGTGATAACAGGTAACCATTGGATACTTATACTATTAGAGATAATGGGGTAGCATGAGCAAGGATATCAGGGGAGTAGATACCTACTAGATACGAAGGTTCGGGTCAAAAGTTTGGCACATTGGCTCAAGGGAAAAACAGTGTGATCTCAAAGGTTTTCGTACGGTGTGGCGCTTCTTTTCAGTGGCTTAACCCCTAAAACCTAGTGGATGCCCGCTATATCTTAGTGAATTTATAGGCGGACAGATCACTATTAGGTCTAAGTCTTAGCCTAGACCAAATACAGTATCCAGGGATTGCTTATCTAATCGCGCACTGGGCAAGGGACGTGGCTGATGTGCCAAACTTTTGACCCGAACCTTCGTACCTAGGTAGTTAACTTAGAGAGTGTCAACAGAACCATAAAAAGAATGCCCCTCTCGTACATTTCACCACCAATGAAAATCCAAAGAAATCACGATATATTATCTAGTAGTTGCATAAGGAATACATTATTATAGTTTCACTACCAGGTAGGTACTGATCAAGGCTCATAACGGATTTATGCATTCAAGATTATTAAACATCCAAGCGAATGCGAGTTCAAGGTTGCCATGGCGATATCTAATAGGACGAAAGTACTTACCTACTCATTGCGTCACTTCGATCCATCTAATACCAGGCACAATTTGGGTAGGAGTTCTGCGTCAAGGAAGAGGCACGTCACTTAAGCACGTGGAGCTCTAAGGCACATGGAACATCAAACAACCCCATACGCTACCAAGATATGCATTACAACATATCAGTCTGGAGCCTACTAGGTAGTGGCATTCTTGATAGGTAGGTACTCATTGGACGCCAATAAGTCGTTCATCCGTACCAGGCCAAAAGTGGCCGTTCGGAGAATCCTTCTAGACGTGAAAAGGTGGGATGGCACTCTCTTCCGATGACTCGCCCGTCTCATCTTACCTAATAACAAGATCCATCCGAATTTCTATGTGGTCTATCCGAAGCCTTCTTGGTAGTTTGGTTCCGTGCCAGTCGGAAACTTTTTTTCGTATCTACCTCCTAGGTAGCCTTGTGGGTACTGGGGAGGTCTGGGTCGTCTCAGCTCTAAACAGCCTCAGCCTCAATATCAAATTCTCGACTTAGCTCCGAATATCAAGTACGATCCTTCGCTACGCGTCATACTAGACATCGTATCTATTCGGGAACATACTGGGTGTAGTCTAAACGTGTCGAGCTCATCACATTCTCCGAACGGAAAATGTTGTCAAGATACGAAATTCATGTTCCTGATCCATGAACGTGAAGCTTCATGATAGATATATTGAAGCGTAGATTGCCCCATTATGATTCAGTTGACTTGCATTCGTTCAACAGAGCTCATCCTTTCTGTCCAACTTCAGGTACGACTTCAACGCCATTAACTCTGTCTCGCATCTCGGCATCTAGGTTCCTTCGGTACTACTATCTGTCAACTTCTTCAATTACTGCTTTCTCGATCGATTTATTCTCAAAACTCCAAGCACAATGACGGACACGCCCTTAGAACCCATCGCAGTGATAGGGTTCGGATGTCGCTTCCCCGGAGGCGCCGACACTCCCTCCAAGCTCTGGTCAGTCCTTCGCAACCCCGAGAATCTAAGCAAGAAGCCACCAACAGACCGCTTCAACGTGGACGCCTTCTATCACCCGGTCGGTACTCATCATGGCACTACGAACGCCACCCAGTCCTACTGGTTAGAAGACTCGGAGAGAAGCAATGTGGCACAGTTCGACGCCGGCTTCTTCAACATCCAGCCGGCCGAGGTAGATGCCATGGATCCGCAACAGCGGATTCTAATGGAAGTCGTCTACGATGGTCTCTGTGCCTCAGGTCAACCCATGGAGAAGCTCCGTGGTTCAGACACAGCAGTATACGTGGGGTTGATGTGTGACGACTACCAGTCGATGTTGACGAGCGATTGGGAGACCTTTCCTCGATACACAGTGACAGGTGTTGAAAGGGGTATCCTAGCAAATCGTCTGTCATACTTCTTTGACTGGCATGGGCCAAGCATGACTGTAGACACGGCTTGCTCAAGCAGTATGGTTGCCCTGGATCAAGCCGTGCAGGTACTTCGAAGCGGCAAGTCAAAGATGGCCGTGGCTGCTGGCGCTAATTTGATCTTAACCCCTGGTACGCGATCGTGATTCCTATTTTCCTTATCTAAAGCTAACATAAGAGTGGACAGTCATGCACATAAACGAAGCTAGTCTTGGCATGCTTTCTCCTAGCGGTCGCTGTGCCATGTGGGATACGTCCGCAGACGGCTATACCCGCGGAGAGGGCATCGCAGCAGTATTCGTCAAGACGCTATCTCAAGCTCTTGCGGACAACGACCCCATCCAGTGCATTCTTCGTGAGACCGGAGTCAACCAAGATGGTCGAACTCCTGGTCTTACTATGCCTAGCAGCTCAGCGCAGGCGCAGCTGATACGGGATTGTTACGCGAGAATAGGCCTTGACCCGGTTAACAACCCTAGGGATCGGCCCCAGTTCTTCCAAGCGCATGGAACAGGCACACAAGCCGGCGATCCGCAAGAAGCCGCCGCGATATCCACAGCATTCTTCCCTTCAAGTTCTCTAGCAGCTAACGAAGGAGATAAGATGCTTGTCGGTTCCATCAAAACTGTCATCGGCCATACCGAAGGGACGGCCGGAGTAGCAAGTATCATCGCGACATCGTTAGCACTCAAGAATGGCATCGTCCCTCCTAACCTTCATTTTCACAACTTAAATCCTAAAGTGGCTCCATTCTTCAACGGCCTAGCTATCCCTACGACTCCAATAGCTTGGCCAACTGAAAATGGTGAAGTTAAGAGGGCAAGCGTGAATAGGTGAGAAAACCCAACCCTAACCCTTGATTTAACCCCAACTCCACCCCTAACCCCAATTCATCCTTAACCTTGCAATTTAAAATCAACGAACTCCTTTTTACCCTTATCCATTTACTATTGCAATTGAACCAAAAAGCAATACTAATCGTAGTACAGTTTTGGCTTCGGTGGCACAAACACCCATGCGATCCTAGAGGAATATGTTCCAATTCCCAAGGCCGGAGTCGAGGCATCTTCAAGTCTCCTTTTCACGCCCCTGACTTTCTCCGCCCACTCCGAGACAGCGCTCCGGAACATGTTATCATGGCATCTCGACTACTTCCTTGATAACCCCAACGCGCCACTTGCAGACGTCGCATACACTCTTCAGCATAGGCGTTCTACGTTGACTTATCGCAAGGCTATCGCTGCTGCAACGGTGGAGGAAGCAGTCAACTCTCTTAAGGAGCTTACCAGCGACGATACGGCCGACCTAAGCACCCGATTCGGTACTCCCCAAAAACCCAAGGTCCTGGGGGTTTTCACTGGTCAAGGAGCTCAATGGCCACGCATGGGTGCCCAGCTCATCGAATCCTCTCCTTTTGCCGCGTCCCGCATCGATGACTTAGACGCAGCTCTGCAAAGCCTCTCCAATCCCGCAGACCGACCGACTTGGACTCTTAAGGAACAGCTACTCGCCGGGAAAGAAGAGTCGCGGATTGCGGAAGCGGCACTTTCGCAGCCTCTATGCACGGCGGTACAGGTCATCCTAGTCGACATCTTGCGAGAAGCTGGAATTTCTTTCACCGCCGTCGTCGGCCACTCATCTGGTGAGATCGGCGCTGCCTACGCCTCGGGCCTAGTCACCGCCGAAGACGCCATCCGCATCGCGTATTTCCGCGGTGTCCACGCGAAGCTCGCCTCAAGCCCTAACCCCCACCGGCCCCGCGGTGCCATGATAGCCGTAGGTACCTCCGCAGAAGAAGCCTACCTCGTCTGCGCCGGAGATTTCGCAGGTCGGTTGCAGGTCGCGGCCGTAAACTCCAGTTCTAGTATCACACTGAGCGGTGATGAGGATGCTGTTGATGAAGCGGAGAAGCTTTTCAGGTCCCGCAATATTTTTGCGCGGAAGCTGAAGGTCGACACGGCTTACCACAGTGCGCATATGGATACATCCGCCGGTCCGTATCTTACCTCTCTACAAAATGCCGGGTTCACGACTCCTAAAAATGAGGTGTCTGGCACTACTTGGTTTTCCAGTGTGCGCGAAGGCGAAATCATGACTCAGGAGAAGCTCTCATCGCAATATTGGGCTGACAATATGTGCAACGCCGTCCTGTTCGCTGGTGCTCTTGCGCAAGCTACCCATACGGTTGGTGATTTTGATCTCGCCATTGAGGTCGGCCCACACCCTGCCCTGAAGGGCCCTGCTATGGCCACAATCGGAGACATCCCTTACACCGGGCTACTTTCTCGAGGCCAAAATGATATCGAGCAGTTGAGTGCAGCGTTGGGGTATGTTTGGACTCAGCTAGGTTTCGACAGCGTCCAATTTTCCGCCGTCCAGACTCTTCTATCTGGTAACGAGAGCAAGACTGTCCTTGATGATCTTCCACCTTATCCATTTGAACACCAGCGGACTTACTGGACGGAAAGCCGGATCGCCAATCACTTCAAGAACCGTAGCACATCCCATGCTCCTAACCCCGTCCTAGGTACACGCTGTGCTGAAGCGAACACGCCTGGCGAAATATCGTGGCGTAATGTCCTGAGGCAGAAAGAAATCAGCTGGCTCAAAGGCCACATGCTCCAGGGGCAGACTGTTTTTCCCGCTACAGGTTATGTTAGCATGGCAATTGAGGCCATCAAAGCTGTTGCACTTGATAGCAATCCCGATATTCCAATAGGTGTCTTAAAATTGGACGACGTAGAGATCGGCCGTGCCATCACTTTCGACGACGACAACTCCAGTGTTGAGACCATATTCAGCATTTCTTCTGTCGATGCAACAGAGACGGCGGTATCCGCAGAATGGGCCTGCTACTCTGTGCTCGCTGGTAGCACTGTTCTGAACGCCAAGGGGCGAGTTCAATGCCAACTTTCCACGTCTGAGCCAGATGAAATCCCTCTCATCAAAGCCGGTGATAACTATGACCTAGTCAACATCGACGAGAAGCAATTCTATGACAACCTGTCTGGCGTAGGATACGGATACTCACCACCCTTTCAAGGGCTTTCCAACATCCGCCGCAAGCTCGGCTATGGCGCTGGAACGCTGTCCGACCAATCCGGGTCAGCGTGGGAGGACAATCTCGTCCTACACCCCGGAACTCTAGACTCCGCTTTACAAACTGTCTTCGCAGCCTGGGCCTATCCTGGTGATCCTCAAATCTGGTCTCTTCATGTCCCCGTCTCCATCGCCGCTATCACCATCAACCCGTATTACACCGCACTAGGCGCCGGCGGTAAACAGGGTGCTATGCAGTTTGAAACGTATATCCGAAGCAAGAGCCATTCTAAAATTGTTGGTGACATCTATCTGAACGCCGAAGATGGCTCCCACGCATCCCTGCAGATGGAGGGCGCAACAATGGTACCATTCAGCCCGGCCACCTCCAAGAACGACCTCCCCATGTTCTCGCACTTCCAACACACGGTCGCCTCGCCTGATGGAGAGCTTTCGACGTCTGGGGAGAGATTGACACCTTACGAGGTTCAAGTTTATAAAGACGTTGATCGTGTTTCGTATTGGTACGCTCGCAACATTTCAAAAGATATTCCCGCAAAGGAGCGTCATGGCCTCCTCCCACACTACCAGAACTATTTGAAGTGGTGTGACCGAATGGTAGATATGGTTAGCCGGGGTGAACTTCCAAAGGTTTCCGCTGAGTGCAACGCGGATACTCGCGATGATATCACTCGTATCTTAGCCCAATATCAAGATCGTCTAGATATCCGTTTCGTTCAAGCTGTCGGCGATAACCTAGAACACGTTATTCGCGAAGGTACTTCGATGCTTGAATACATGAACAAGGATGGCATGCTCCGCGCTTTCTATGAGGAAAATGCTCTCTGTGCTGGCCCTACCACTCGATGGCTCGCCCGCATCCTTAGCCAGATTTCTTCTCGTTACCCTGGTGCCAATATCCTGGAAGTCGGAGCTGGTACTGGAGCCACAACTTCAGCTATTCTAGGGTCTATCGGTGAAGCATATGCCTCTTACACTTTCACAGATATTTCCAGTGGTTTTTTCATGGCAGCCGAGGAGAGGTTTGGAAAACAGACGAACCGCATGGTATTCAAGACGTTCAATATGGAAAAGGAACCAGCGAGCCAAGGATACGTCGAGGGAGAATACGACGTTGTTGTAGCTGTAAATGTTCTCCACGTTTCAGTGGACATGGTAGGTTGAGAGTCGTATCTCTAAGACATTCAGGGATCGTGCTAACTATAGGTCTTAGGAAAATACCTTGGCTAATGTCCGCCGGCTCTTGAAGCCTGGTGGGTTCTTAGTCGTAGGCGAGCTCACCTCTACCGATTTGCTCTTCACCGGTATGACAGTCGGTACGCTACCTGGCTGGTGGATCGGTGCTGAGACAGGTCGCACTTGGGGCCCATTGCTTAACCTGAATCAGTGGGATTCAACACTGAAGAACACTGGGTTTGCGGGCATAGACACGGTAACACCGGACATCAGCGCATCGTTACCGTTTAGCGTATTTGTTGCCCAGGCCGTCGATGATAAGATCTCGATGCTGCGCAACCCTCTAGCTGTCGAAAAGCATCCTGAGGGTATAAACACCGATAATCTTGCTATTATTGGAGGAACCACATACTCTGTCAACAAACTTGGTCGGGACACTAGCGACATTCTTTCGTACCGCTTCCGCAACAAGCAGTTCTTCAACACTATTGAAGAGTTCGCTTCTTCTGAGATGGCAAACGCAGCAGCAATCACCGTCCTCTCTCTCACAGATCTAGATGAACCCTATTTAAAGAATCTGACAAAGGCCAAATTCGAAGGATTAAAGACGCTATTTGCTGCTGCGGGCACCTTAGTCTGGCTGACACAGGGTTCGCGAGAGGATAACCCTTATAACTACATGATGGCAGGCCTGATTAATACCATCAAGACCGAGTATCCCACCATGACAGCTCAGACTTATGACTTAGATTCAGATGCTGGTATTGAACATAATACCGCGGATGATCTAGCGCAAATGTTACTAAGACAACTTGCTCTCCGCCGCTGGGGTGACGATGGTGATTTATTATGGTCGACCGAGTCCCAGATCTTCATCAGCGAGGGCAAACAACTCATCACCAGGCTCAAGCCCGACACGCAGAAGAACGACCGATACAACGCCCGAAGAAGAGATGTGTTCGCGGCAGTCAATCCTATCAAGGAGGCTCTTGAGCTCGTGGGAACCAGCCAGGGCCAAGACAGGGCTTTAGAATTACGCAAGGTATCGCCCTTGGTTCATTCCCAAAAACCGTCGACGCAATACCGTACCGTAAGAATTACCCATTCGCTACTCCAAAGTGTTGCTGTCGGTACTGCAGGCTTTTTCAGGTTGTGTGTAGGGACCGACGTCCAGACCGGCGACTTAGTTCTTGCTCTGTCCGACTCCAATAGGTCTCCCGCGAACATCCCAGCATACAACTGCATTGTACTCCCTGAGACACCGACAGCATCGACACTCACGTCAGTCGCCGCGAATCTTATCTCAGAGCAGATTCTCTCGCTCACTCCAAAGGGAGCCACTCTCCTCGTCAACGAAGCAGACTCGGCAGTGCAATCCGCGTTACAAGCGAAGGCGAATTTCAAAAATATTAGGACGATATTCACAACCGCCACTTTCGGACAGGAGAAGAACAGCCACTCGGTCTTCCTCCACCCGCGCTTCCCGCAGCACGTTATCCGTTCGTTAGTCCCAACATCAACCGCCGTCTTCCTACATTTCTCGCGCGGCTCTCAGTCGGACGCGGTCAGGGACGTGCTCGTCAACTATTTGCCGCCAGCGTGCGTAAGACTCTCAGAGGAAGCCTTGCTCAGTAATGAGGTCAAATCATTCTCCGAGACCAACTTAGCGCAGATCTTGAAGAAAGCTTGGGATGGAGCTCGCGCATCCAGCTCCGCTGTGGTTGACCCCGTTTCACTTGAGGAAGTATCCAAGCACGCAGCTATCGGAGAGGAATTAACAATCTTAGACTGGACATCCAGCGCCTCCGTCGCAGCCAAGGTGCAAACAGTTGACTCAGGTACATTGTTCCGCGCCGACAGAACATATCTCTTTGTAGGTATGGCAGGTGAGCTCGGCCAGTCGCTTGCACGATGGATGATCGAGCACGGAGCCCGGTACGTAGTCCTCACGAGCCGTACCCCGAAAGTAAACGCGCGCTTTGTCGAAGATATGGAAAGCCAGCACAACGCCATCGTCAAGAGCGTGTCCCTAGACATCACATCCCCAGAATCACTACGCTCCGTGCACAAGACCATCACTGCGACCCTCCCACCGATCGGGGGCGTCATGCACGGCGCCATGATCCTCGACGACGAGATTCTGCGCAACATGACACACGAGCAATTCGTCCGCGTAGCCAAACCCAAAGTTCTCGGCGCTCAGCTCCTCGACGAGCTCTTCCACACCAACGCCACCCTCGAATTCTTCATCTGCTGCTCTAGCATCTCCTCCGTCATCGGATGGAGCGGACAAAGCAACTACGCGTCCGCAAACGACTACATGAGCTCGCTAATGTGCAACCGACGCAAACGAGGCGTCGCGGGTTCGACGATCAGCATCCCCGCCGTCTTAGGCGTAGGCTACGCCGCGCACTCCGCGGCCTTCGACTTCGAGTACATCAAATCGATCGGGTACACCAACATCGGAGAAGAAGACCTCCACGCGCTCTTCGCCGAAGCCGTGCTTTCAGGACGGCCTGGACAAGCTTCCGAGGTAAAAGCGCAAGTCGCGATGGGCGTGGACTACGTGCGCGCGGACCTAAACGTCCGGGAGGCGCATAAGCGCGACGTGCGATTCAGCCACTTCGTGGTGCGGGAAGATGCCGACGGCGGGGTTAAGACGCAGGGAGGCAAGGCCGGCGTCCGGGTCAAGGTGCAGCTGCAGGAGGCCAAGAGCGGGGAGGAGGCGTACGCGATTAGCCGGGACGCGTTCCTGGTGCATCTGAAGCGCATGCTGCGCATCCCCGCGGAAGAGAAGGTGGCTGATTCGCTGACACTGATGGAGCAAGGTGTGGATTCGCTCGTGGCGGTCGATATTCGCTCGTGGTTTATGAAAGAGTTGGAGGTCGATGTGCCTACGCTTAAGATATTGGGGGGTGGCACTATTGCTGACTTGGTCAAGACGGCGCTTGATAAGATGCCTAGCTTGCAGCCAGAGGAGGCTGTGCCAGTATCGGAAGAGACTTCGGCGCCGTCGGCTGCCAAGGTGGAGATACATGAGCGGACTACGAGCTCGTCGCCGAATACAGCGGGTAGCCCCGTCTTGTCTCCTGAGCAATCTAGTTCTTCCGGTACTCCTTCTGAGCCCGACTCGGACTTGACGTCTCCGCCTGCCATAGATGTCGTGGATAAGATTGGTACCATTGTCACTGTGACGGAGATAGAGGTTAGCGACGTTGAATCTTGAGTGAATGAGACATCGCTTGGGGTTTCTTGTTGTAAGTTAGTTTGGAATTCAGGAGTAAAGAGAGTGTTGTTAGTTATGTACGGTTTCTATATTGTTAGTTTAAATAGACGGATGGGTTGGGTATTATTTTCGATTTACCTATTCTATATATCTCTTAATAATAAATATGCAAAATATTATAGAGAGGATCTAGAAATCGCTTAGGCACTCCGTTTGAATGTTTATCTATAGGACTTCCATTCTCGGTAAGCGATTGGATTTTATATAAATCTAGGTAGACTTCATACCTTTCATATAGAATTCAAGCCCGGGAAGGTCTTAGAGATTTAGCTGAAGAAGTTAATATGTAGGTACGGACAGTGGTAAACTAGTCCCTAATTTTTGCGCGCTTCAAGGCGTTTTCATTTTCTTTCGTGAAAAAAAAAAATCTGTCGTGTTTAATGAAAAACTTGGTATTACACAGCGTCAATGCAATACGCCGGACTCCATACCTACAAAGGGTATTTGGATCTCGTTGATACAGGAGAGCTTAGTATTCGTCTGCGATTTCTTCCCTTTCGTCTTCCCATTCGTCCTCGTCCATTTGTTGACCGACTGCCTCTTCGGCATCACCCGCCAGCCCTTCACTATCCAACTCATCTTCCTCCATCATCTCGTCGAAAAGATCGCTATTATTACCATCCATCTCAATATCGTCATCGTCGTCATCGTCTTCGCCATTTTCTCCATTTTTACCGTTCTTAGCTTTATTCGCGGCCTTTTCTTTTTGCTTCTTCTCAACGTTGGCTTTCTGTTCCTTTCTCCTCGCATCCTTCTCCTGCTTGCGCTGTTCCCATCGCTTTTCAAGCTCTTGTATTTCCTGTCGCGATTTATGGATATGCTCATGCCACATCGTTTTGCCGGAACAGAGCCCTTCTTCGACTTTGGTCATACGTAATTTCATGCGAGGCCCGAGCTCGACGAGGGTGACACGCCGCCGCTCTACTCTTTCGTCGTTGTCAGCACCCTCGTCACCATTATCCATCCTAGCCGCGCGGGCCTTGCTCGAGAGTACTCTGCGCGGTGCATCCTCTAGGACCTCTACCTCGGCATCCGTATCCATTTCACTTCCGCTAGTGCCATCTGTCATGTAACCCTCTCCGTTTTCGCCGCCTATCATGTATTCGGAGATGTCCTCTAGCTTTCCTAAATTCGGAACGCCACCCTTTCGGTTCTTGGCGCCAAAAAGCTTCTCCGCAGCATCCAGTCTGCGAAGCGGTTTGGAAACTCCGGCTGGTTTTGTAGAAATGGCGTAGTGTCTAAAGTTAAGTACGAACGATCCGTCGTCCTTGTCTTCGGCAGGTTCCCTGTTCAGAAGGAGAACTCTACGTATCGATTTTAAAGGTGTAGTTTGTGGATTGATGCGAGGGAAAAGAGACTGGAATACGGTAGTGGTGAGAGATTCGAGATGTTTCGGAACTTTAGAACTGGCATCAGCGCCTGGCGTAGAGATATTATTCATGATTAGCTAAAGGTTAAGTCAATGATTAGTGATATAGAAGATATAGTTAGAGTAAGAAATATGTACCAGAGGTGGTGTAATATATTCCTTCCCTCCACCTTTCGGATGTCTCTGAGCTTTGCGTATATCTTTGCAAAGCGAGTATTTTTCAACTCGGAAGTGTAGCGTGGGTCCCCGTGGGGTTGTAGCTATGCGCAAATTCGTATTGCCAGATTCGGATCGTGAGAATAGAAGTAGATGAGTGACTCCGAGAGTACCAGTCATAGTGACATAGTCTCTCAGACGGTTTGCGCGGCGCTCTTTTAAACGGCTAGCGGTGCCGGGCTCCATGACTTGACGAACATCTTTTGCCAATTGACTGATGCTAGATCCAACCTCGCCGGCGCCAATTCGAATGACCATGCTCTTCGGATCTTGAATAGCCGAGCGACCTGTTAAGGGGGCCTTATGCTTGGGATTGTTGGCGCCCACATGGGTGCGCTTTTTCGTTCGATTCTTAGCCATTGTTCATAAGGTTGCGACTTGATTTTAGACAATAATGTAAAGGTCAGTGTTCATGTAAATGTTGCGACAGGCGCCACAAATAATGGGAAGAAGCTTCAATTTTTTTATTTTCTTATCGGGCAGAAAAAAAGTTTATCTTTAGATATCAAGTAGCCTCTACTAGTTCAAAGCAGATAATCTTTATGTATTGCTGTGTACTGTGTACTCCGTGGGGTTTTACGGTGATAAGATAAGATCACTAAAAAGAGAAGGCGGTCATAATTTTTACAGGTGCGGGATGTATCTATTTCACTTTTCTCACATCCAAATCGCAAATTTAACACTTCGCAATACATCAACAAATGCGATCAATACAACGAAGCTACTATTAAGTGTTACACAAAGCACAATACAATCAAATACATGCAACACCATAACTCTATCCAATATGTCCACCTCTAAACGAAGAAAAACGTCGCCTAGTACCGAAGCCCCAGAGTCCCCAGATGTCCCCGAGACCCACGAAGCTCATGACGAGTCTCACGATTCTGCGACACTCGATGAAGGTTCAATTGTCGAAGCTGCTCCGAAGACATTCAAGGACTTAGTATGCATCATATCTCCTTGAAACTCAAGGACATGAATCTAACATGAATCTCCTCTATAGGGCATTGTCGATCCTCTAGTCGAAGCGTGCCACTCCTTAGGTTACAAACATCCTACGCCAATTCAAGCACAATCAATCCCTCTCGCTCTACAAAACAGAGATCTTATAGGTCTCGCCGAAACCGGCAGCGGAAAGACAGCTGCATTTACCCTACCTATACTACAAGCACTTCTCGAGAAGCCGTCAGCTTTCTTCGGTCTTATACTCGCCCCAACTCGTGAGCTAGCTACACAAATTGGCCAGGCTGTAGACGCCCTCGGTGCCTCCATTTCAGTGAGATGCGCCGTCATCGTCGGTGGTTTGGACATGGTCCCCCAGGCCATCGCCTTGTCCAAGAAGCCACATATTGTTGTGGCTACCCCAGGACGTCTGCTAGACCATCTCGAGAAAACGAAAGGCTTCAAATTGTCAAACACCAAGTACTTGGTCATCGATGAGGCCGACAGACTGTTAGACATGGACTTCGGTCCTATACTTGACAAACTACTGAAATTCCTCCCAAGGGAGAGACGGACATTCCTCTTTAGCGCCACAATGTCATCAAAGGTCGAGAGCTTGCAGAGGGCAAGTTTGCGGGATCCTCTGCGTGTCAGTATCACCACCAACAGGTACCAGACTGTCTCAACCCTGAAGCAGTACTATATTTTCATCCCGCATATGCATAAGGACTCCTACTTGATATTCCTCGTAGCAAGCGAGTTCACTGGGCGATCTACTATCGTCTTCACACGAACGGTCTACGAAACCCAGAGAGTGGCAATTCTATTACGCTACCTAGGCTTTGGAGCAATTCCTCTCCATGGTCAATTATCGCAATCCGCGCGTTTGGGCGCTTTAAACAAATTCAAGTCTGGGTCTCGCGACATTCTAGTTGCGACCGATGTTGCCGCGCGAGGTTTGGATATACCTAAAGTTGACGTAGTCTTCAACTATGATTTGCCCCAAGACAGTAAGTCAATATCGTGTACCGATGTAATTCTAAAGTTCATTTTCACTAATTGGGATACTTAGGCAAGACATATGTACACAGAGTAGGGCGAACAGCACGTGCGGGCAATGCCGGTCAAGCCATCAGCTTAGTTACCCAGTACGATATTGAGATATATCAACGCATAGAAGCCGCGTTGGGCAAGAAGCTGGATGAATACGAAACCGACAAGGAAGAGGTGATGGTATTCAAATCCCGCGTCGAGGAAGCCCAACGCCACTCGCGTACCGAGATGAAAAACTTGATGGATGATCGGGGTAACAAGGGTTCGGTTTTGAAAGGTCGACACGCAGGTAGGAACGCCAAGAGACGGCACGACGCCATGGACGCCGAAGAAGGATGAAGACATTATGAGGATATACGAATATCAACTTTGACAAACAGAGAGCATAAGAAGGGGCGTTTTGATTAGATACCCAGCAGCTCAAAAGCTACCAAATTTCCCTAACTGCAGATTTCCAGTTTCTTTAAACAGTGAAACCTGCACGACGTCAATTACACATGCATCATCATCTATGTTCATATTTCAAATTATCCATTACTGAAGATACCCCACAACCTCAAAAGATGCAGAGAACATGATCTTGTCTCAATTCAACCTCCATTCAAATGCCATTGGGCATCATTTCCCAAAATCAAAAGTACAAAAGCCACAATATTTAAACGAGCAGCACTAAGAAATTAGTGAAACCAGCTGCGTGGTTCCCCCGAGACACTCATTAATCGTGGGTTTTCCAAACGGCGGGGGGGTACTTAACGGCTGGAATGCAAGCTATATAACAGTATCACACTCGGCGTAAACTGTATGTCTCTTATCGGTATATCCCGCCGAAGACTTTGAGGGAATAGCTTCACTTGAGCCATTCTATACCTTATATACTAGGTAGGTAGGTAAATAACTGGCCTTTTGTACATGTACGTACTTGTACATTATGCACCCCAGAGCAGACTATTACCTACCTAGTAGCTGTACAATGTTGATCAGTTGGATTTCTTCTTGCTCAAGCTCATAGTAGCATCATCAGGAATCTAGAGCTACGTAGTTTGATCTTGGGTTACACTTAATGACGAGGCTGCGAGGTTGTCCTTGTTCCAAACATCCTTGGAGTGAATGCCATTTTGGACGATCTTCATAATATTACCTAGGTATTCATCCCACCAACACCACTCGTAGTCCTAAAACCACATCGATGACTAGGTACCTATCAATGTTTCATATACACGATTATTTTTCCATCTACCGCGTCTGGCGTGTGTAAACGCGGGTTCTGTTGAAGGAATGCGTATCAATAATGTCTAGCAAAATATTGCGTACCTAGGTATCTAGGTAGAATTCGAACATCTCTTCCATCCACCCAACCACCCAGGTGATATCAACACGTGTTGGAGAATTTTAAAGTGAGGCAAAGAGCGGTGTCATATCAGTACGCCCTGAAGCATACGTCACGTCAGATCCTACTAAATAAATCCGTAGGACATATTTAACAGATAGTTGATACCTACCTAGGTATGTAAGCTTCTTAGACTGCCTTGTCATATCATGCAAGGAATTTAAGACGTAAATATCCTGGGCTATAGGAGAGGGCGTTTGATGAAATTCATAGGATCATCGATTAGATGTTAATTTGCGTAGGCGCTCGAGTAGCTTGTGGAAAGCGGCCGAGCCTTAGAAATGGGTAGGATGAGGGAGATGTTTGCTCATGCTTGACGGCAGAGAAAATAGCGGTCTAGTTACCGGTATTTAATACCTATCCATAGATGGAAAAGCATTTACTCCGACTAAGCCCGTCAGGCAGTAGTAAATTCTGAGATGCGCACATGGGGCAAAATGAGAACAAAGACATACAATCAATGAGGCCTATTTTCGAACGATCTGAGAGTAGTACTCTAACAGCCACTAAAGGTCCAAACTCAACACCACTCAACCAGCAGCCTATCCACAACCCGTCTTAAACTCCCATCATGAGTGGGCCGCGTGCCTTTTCATCTCTAACCTGAGCTCATCTCTCCCCGTTAGGCTGCATCCACTGGTCGGGTCCTCCGTGTATGCGACCAACCGGAGCACGATGAACAGCTGTCAACGCTCGTAGGGTCCTCGAGAAAAGCGTGGGGATGTGGGGTAAGTAGATCAAGAAAGCGCATGGATGAGACATAAAAGACTATCGCAACCCGGTCTACGATGCTTCCTTGAGTTCATCTTCTTGGTCGTATATCATGTGTACTTTAGTATAATTGATATATTATGGTTGCCGTAATATTTCCCTGTTTTGTATTGTGAGTTGCTACTATGTGATGATTTAGAAGTGTTACAATTGTATGTCACTAAAGTTGAGCAGCATCGCCACTTGCAATATCTAAAGTTTATCGAGTTTGAACGAGGGCAGGGCCTCTTGTGATCTTCTCCACGAAATGTGCTCTGGATTTTACGCAAGAATCCGTCTATTTGCCATCGATTAAGAAACATATAGCTAGGAAGACATAGGAAAGGCAAGGTCCAAAATGCGAGAATGGATGCGAAACAGGCGATGGTGAAGAAAGGAGAGCCTCAGGCGGTGATTATAGCGGCTCACGATTCTAGCCTGGTGCAAGGCCTAAGTATGAGGGAGTATGTCAGGGGACATGTTCTGGCCCGAGCTACCCGATGTGAGATGCCGATATGCTTAATCTTCGGCCTCCTCGCCGTTAGCAGCAACTTCTGTTGCCAGTTGCGCCTTTACTTTGGCGGGCACGTCGACATCGATGCCTAGCTTCTTGGGTTCATCAACGCCATTCTCCTCTTCGTCGCCTTCGCCTTCGCCCTCGCCATCAATTTCATCTTCAAATCCATCTTCTTCTTCCTCAAGCTCAAGCTCATCTTCTTCCCCAAGGCCATCTTCGTCAAACTCCTCCTCACCATCATCCTCGACGCCATTGTCGGCGACAGGAACAGGCTCGACGGGAGCATTAGCCGTCTTTAGTTTCTTCTTTGGGGGAGCTTGGGGTGGCGCGGCTGCATCTGGGTCTGAATCTGTTAGCTGTGACGGAGAGTGAAAGGCCATCCCGATTCTAACTTACGCTTTACACCATTGCCATTACTAGTACCATTGCCGTTGCTGTGGCCGTGCCCCTGCTCCTCTTCCGGCTCGCCCTCTTCGTCATAGTCTTCTTCGTCATCCTCGACATCATCGGCATCATCGTCTTCATCGCCTTCTGAGATGCTATTGCGTACAGGATCAGCCAATGCTCTTTAGAGTGCCTGACACAGCTTCCACAAGTCGAAATATCAATTGAACTAGATGACTCCATAGCGAATATGGGATGCCCGCGACAATGCGCCAATATACGCGACAACGTAGAATAGCTATACGATGCCGTCGCGTCTTTTGCGACAGGAGCTGTTCTTGCGACTGTTCCCGGCTCGCGAAGCTTCGGACAAAGTCTTGGCAAGCCACAATGATAATGAGGAAGCAACTTACTATTCTTCTTCCTCTTCACTCTCATCACTGGGAAGTGCAACGAGCTCTTCCTCCTCCTCGTCTTGCTTCCTCTTTCTAGAAGTCATGTTTTAAAGCCTGGGATGGGGCCGAGGGTGATTTTTTTATGCGGGACCAGGGAACAAGTCGGTAGTTTGATAAGTAGGAGGAAAAATTGGATGGATTTTCGATGAAAAAGATGGGAAAGGAGGAGAGAAAAAGAGAAGGAGAAAAGGAAGAGAAGGGGGAAAGCTGGGGGTGTTAGGAGGGATACGGTGGCCGTTGTGCTTGGGGAAAGGCTGCTCTGCTCAGGAAGGGGGGAGCAAAGCGTCGAGTGTGTGAGAGGGAGGGGACCGGTAAGCTGGTAGCTGGGGGAGCTTTGGGGGGAATGCGAAAAGCGAATGGGGAGGGGACCGGACGGGGGAGCTTTGGAAGCTTTTGCTTGCTTTGCTGCTTGCTACTACATTGCTACCACATTGTTTTTTGCCTACTGCCCACACTGCCCATTGCCCTCTGCCCGCTGTCCGTTGCCCACCTTTAGCTTCTCTCGCTCCTCTTCCTACTCCCCCCCCTAGTTGCAGGAAGGGCTTGAAAGGTGCCCGTCATTGTGGACTAGCAGCGTCCGTCCAAGAAGCCACCAAAAGTCACTCGAGAGCGCTGCAGGTAATGGTGTGGGACTCGGACCATCCTCTGGCCAGGGCTCGATCGGGCTCGGGAAGCTCCTCGAAATAGCGAAAAGTCGGGCTTAGTAGCTTTTTGGTCTTTGGCCAATTCGACTAATTTGACCGATTGATGACGATTGCGTGAGAGCAAGCTTCGAGCTCAGACATCACAGCCACACTTCTCACTTTTCTCCCCTTTCCACTTCATTTATCTTCCCCAACTTGGAAGCCTTCCCCTCATTTAGAGCATGAGCCACTTTGGTTTACCTGTGAAAAATGAAGCTTCAAATCCGCAGTCAATAATTTCCCTTTTTTTTTTTTTATCACGTATGAGAAAGAAATTTAACGAGAGACTACAATGTCTCCCACGGCCAATTTTCTGGTAATCGGTCGAGACATGCCGAAACTGTCATAAATCAAAGAATCGAATATTTAAGAAGAGACGTAACTTATCTTCGATACTCACCCTCAATGCATCCTGGAAGTCCTGCTATGGTAGACGATTGATCCGAGACGTGATCGGAACATATCATGGTGGTTGTGATATGAATAGGTAACATGCGAATGACCACTATCACAGCTTGCGAAATACGGTTGAACAACTCCACGGTCGCAGCAGCGGTGCATTTCCCGTATGCGGGGATCGGATATAGTCTCCCGCAGCATTTCCAAGAGAGGACAAGTCTTGATAATTTGTACTTGAATATGTAAAAACGTTCCTTTAGCAAGGGATTGTGATATTGATTGGCGTGCATCGTGATAGGTTGTTCGGCGAAAATAGAGCCAAGAAGCTAGGGAAACGCGTAGAATACGCGTCGAATATTCGATTCTGGATAAGCTACGATAGTAGTTTATCCTCTCACTCCAATCTTGTGATCATGAGGCCATAAAAGTCCGCACAAAGGTGTGATAATCTTTCGGACACAGAGGAATCGACTCTTAATACAGTCTTCTATATCGAGTATAGCATGTTGACGTGGAAGAAATATGCGGAACGTCGGGTTTGACAGGGTGAATCATTAATAGGCTACCAACAACATGACCCATTCTGAAGTTGAATAAAGTATTAAAGAAAATTTTTGTTGATGATTATGAGAATGAAGATCAGTTACTGAGCCTGGTTAAATCCGGGTTCCGGGGAGTCGGCCGAGGAGGTAGATGCGAAGTACCTAACTTGAGGAAAACTCAAAAGTACTTCTAAAAAGGCGCCCTAAAGGAGGCAGCTGGGATATAGCTGATAAAGTGGGTCTGTGGGCTTGCCATTCTAGCTGTGCCCCTGATCCATAGTCTCGGAACTACCTAAACCAGGTCTAAACCAGGTACTCACTACCCGAACCAAATTCTACCTCGAATTTTAGTGTGAATATTCGTGGATCATTTTTGCCTCGAGATTTTATTCAAATCGACAAAATTTTGAGACGATAAACTAGAGGATTCATAATTCTTAGCTTGTTTCGCTTATAAGAACCAAACACTGAGGCCTATTTACTAATGCCAACTTTCACCGAGATAACAACAATTAAGCACCTGCATATAGTACCTATGTTAATAGTAGTAGGTACAAAGGTATCAATCCACAATTAGCATCTGCATAAGTATGCGTTTACTATTTTAACATTATGCAAATGAATATATGTTCCGAAGTGGGCATGTGGATTAATAATATGGATCATGGCATATAGACCGTGGATGACAACTTGCACAATCTGACGATATGATGATATGTTGCCATGGGGATTTAATAACGATCTTTTTCGCCAGGCATAACCTTGGGTTATAACAACCACAATTACATGTTGCAGTATTGGTTAGCAAGAGATAGTTACCTACCTCTCTACTTCGAGAAAACTTCCTTGGCCTCATTACTCTTAATCCTGAAGCAGATACCTACTAGGTAGGTACTCGTATATAACTACCTAGGTACACTATAAAGTCTCCTTTTAAGATATCACTTGCTACCTTTAGGTTTGCTTAAGGCGTTGTAGTAGCAGTTTCTTCGGGATCTGACCGGTGATATACGTACCATAAAGATCTTAATTTGGGATTATCTTGGAAGACTGTCCTTACCGGAAGATACTGGAGGTATTCAGTGTAGTGTAAAATGTTTTAGTTCTTTGAAAATAGCTCTTAGACTAGGTAGGTACCTAAGATAAGCTATCATCTAAGCTGGTGCACCGGGTGAAGATGACCTCATATTCATCTGAAATAGCAAGGTGGGAGACTAGATCAGCTTTGGCCTCAGCGATATTACCTACCTACCTAGGTACCTAGGTAATATCTTTAACATTCGATAATTGAGTCCCAGGCTGGTGTCGTTATAATAGTTGATAAGGGGATGCATTTTTAATACCCGTAGTTTAAGCGTAATCTAGGCAATATCACGTGATCAAACCAGCCCTTCGACTCACCTCAACATTCTCTTTGTTTAATTTGCTGAAATCGTAGGATTCTCACTACATGCCTACCAGGTACATAGGTAATAATACGTGCGTATTTTTTTTTTCCGTATGGAGACTATTATACAACCTTGCCTGCTCGCACTATGAACAAATAGAAGATATTAAATGCTGGGTAAATATTTTTGAGTAATATTCTTAATTCATAACCTTGAAAGTTATGATGACAAACTTGGGAAATTGCAATGCTCTTAAAGCGAAAATGATGTCAGCTTAATGATCAGCTCTCCTTCCACTTCGTTACCCTTTTTGTTTTTCCAAGCCTAGCTGAGCCAATGACAGCTACCGGTTTTGTACCCGCTAAACAACCTTGTCCAATGGCGGACCACAAGCCGTCCCGCGTCCGCTAAAATTAATTTTGATTACTAGGGTACTTCGATCATAGTGGCTACTAGGTAAGTTCAACCTGGGGGTTTTCGCCCCCTTGAGTTTTCGCTCCCTAGCTTAAAGGCTTAACTATTTTAGGTATGGTTTGGTCAATCTAGGTATAACGCGATACATTGAAAAGTTTAAATACGAATCACTAAGCTCTAATTAGTTAAGAGGCTTTCGACTTCCATTCTGAGAATAACTCTTTAAAATGAGCCAATTAAGCTATGCCACTAGATCCAGTTGGGATTAGCCTCCTTTTAAACCGTATATAACACTTATTCGGATTAGGCTTAATCCTAGCCAGCCTGGCATTTTTCATTAGTTACTAAAACTGGGTCAATGAGAATACGCGTTTTCATTAGTTAAAAAGGAGCTTCTAAATCGACAAAGGTTTTTGATTGGTTAAAAGATCAAGAAGAAATACATTAAGTTCATATTTGAAAAAGTAATCCATAGAGAAATTATTATATCTGATTGGTCAATAATACCCACTTTTGACCAGGGAGCGAAAACTCAAGGGGGCCAAAACCCCCCCATTGAACTTACCTCTATGACACTTACAGGATGAGCGGAGGCTCCGGGTAAGGCTAGAATAATAATAATTATACAATTCTAATCCTATTGAATGAGTGAGAAAACTTTTCAATTCTGTTGTTTTTTGGGTTCCTTTAGAATCTTCGTGTGATTTATAAAATTGTGTTCTACTCCTTTCTTGCACCGTCACCACCATTATTAGTTTCCCCGACTTTTTGTGTAGCGGCTTCGATTGCTGGTGCAAGCTATCAAGCGTCGACGTCTAATTGGAAGAAATAAAAAGCAATCGTTAAAACCTTGGAAACCTTGACCCTACTGCATTAAGGTTACAGCAGCTGGAATTAGACTGGATTGGACCTACCTAGACCTGGACCTGGACCTGGACCCGACTCTTGAAAGATGCAATCGCGCAGTTGATACCTGCTCGAACCTGCATGTTTAATTCGAATGGACGGCAGGTGCAGCTGGTGCAGGAGTCTTTATACTTTCAGGTACTAGGCGGCTAGGCAGCTAGGAAACCATCACCCGCTCTCTAAACGTGTGGAGGCAACCTTTGACCGAGACATCCACTCCAATTAATTTGTCCATGTTCGTCCCCAACCTCTGAACCTCAGTTATCATAAGGCAGGTACGGGTACGGTCAGGTTTGACGGCTAAGGATAATTGGTACGGAATACATCTTTTAAGGTATCTCCATTTTTCCTGTCTACCGGCAGACCTTCCATCAATCACTTTTACAACCGTCAACCTTCGACAACGAAACATACAAACAAGATAGACCCATACTTTATTCTGTACCCTTCATCGCCCTGTCTCAGCTCCCGAAACAACTTGGAACGAAACAACACTTGGGTACACAGGACAAGCACACAATCGATTCCCGATTTCTTTCAACTGATCCGAGTCTACGAGTCTACCTACCTACAACGTCTACGGCCTGCACACCAACATACTAACCGTAAGTATTGTACACCAACAAAGCGGGAAGACGCATACCGCATACGCATATTGCAAAGAAACAGCCGTTTTCTTCACCACTCTGTCACCACTTTCACTACTTGTACTACATAGAACAAGTAACAACCGCCGGCATGGAAGACACCTAAATTTAAAATCATCAATCACCTATCATCCCCGTCAATTCTAGGAGAATTCCATCCACGACATTCGTTATACCTTACACCTACCCTCCAAGGACCATTTCATTCGTTCGATTGATCATCACCACTGTCTCGAAACTCGGTCTCGGAGTGCCTAGGACCACGCCCGTGCGTGCATACCCAATACAGTCCAAACGTCCAAACACTCTTTCAGGCTGGATTCTTTTATCATTGACGTCGTTACATATACATACAATCGAAAGTGCACCTACTATAGATGGAAACGTTGGCAGCGCTTTTTTGTCTCCCTGCAGGACTTGACACTACGTTGGATCAGACTTTTTTGTTCCTGGTTCTTGGGTGTTAAGCAAAGTGGAAGTGCAGTGCATTTGGCATTAGCATTTGCATTGGCGAGATTTGGGGAAGAGGTAGTAGTGGTTTTTTTTTGTTGTTGGAGAGCTACCAAGCTCTAGATTTCTTAGCCTTGAACAATGGCGCGAACATTTACAACGGCCGACAATCTTGACGATTCAATCATGTCAACGACTTCTGAACAAGCTGAACAAGAGTATGGTGGTCAAAGAAATACCGGGGATGATGGAAGTGTGACACAACCTGGTTCGAGATCGGGCTTAATATCAGATGTATCATCAGCTGGGATTAGCACTAGACAAGACCGTGGCGTGAAGGGCCGGGACTTTGAACTCCACGCCTCTACAGCCCATGACTCGAAACAGACCCCGGTTCGCTCAAATTTCCCCAACGCCAACAGCTACAGGCACAATTTCTACAATTACAGCAACTATAGCAACTACAGCAACTTCAGCTACTACAACATACAATCCGATTATCTCGACGACTACGACGCCGATGAGGACAATGAATTCGACGACCAAGCAAATACAGCCACAACTACTGCTTGGAATACACCATCTACCATCAATTCCACACCCTCGACAAAATTTACCTTGTACTCACATTCCAGCCCAACAATAGACGAACATTCACGCGTCCAACCATTACTTCACTCACCACCAATATCTCCCAGGTGGGATTCTCTCGGTTACGATCGACCTACCGGCCTTGCAGCTACTTCTCCGGCTGTTAGTAGTTTTCATAGTAGATACTCGAACGCGACCGATGACCTCCACTCTAACACCAATTCCCTCAATTCCCCAACTAGAGATGAATTCCCCCTGTCACCACCTAGGAAGATGACTACCGCCGACGGATCACGCGTCGACAACTTCTCCAGGCCGAGAACCGCGAGTATAAAACAACCCAATCGTGAAATGCCTGAAGTTCGACCCACCAATCATTCCACAGCTGAGACAAATCATCTCGAAACACCATCGAACCACCCCTTGTCCTGGCCCCGAGAACGCGGCCAATCCATATCATCAAATTTGTCTGCTGTCACCTTTGCCTCTGTTCCCGTTCGAGCCCCTCCTGATATGTATAGCCGAGATCATCCTCGGAGCAGAGGCAGACAATTAGGACCTTCAACGAGCCGGCCTCCTATTTCATATCGCGCCGAAAGTAGCGGGCCGGCCTTCACTAGGGACCCCATGCACCGAATGGCATCCATGCCAACCGAAGAACTTAGAGCTAGTTATCGATCCCAACTTTCGGCATCGACGGGACCAGGGACGTTAGCTACCGAAAGGAGTAGCATCGCAACCAAAAACAGCTCCATAACCTCGATTTACGGCGTAGTCGACGATAACTTCAGTATTGATGACGTGATGGGGATGTATGAGAGGGGCTTCTATGACGATTCGGCACCCGAGGAAGAAAACAACGATATGGTTGATTCGCGGCCGCCGACAGCACGATCGGAACTGAGTCGGAGAAAAACCGCCATGCTGGAAGCGATGACCGATCTCTTACCAATGCCTGAATCACCGGATAACAGTCCAGTCACGGAAGATTCAGCTGCTAGTTTCCGCGACCCTGATATTCCTGATATACGAGATTCAATACGAGATTCTATGCGAGACTCCGTACGACATTCTGTACAAGATTCTGTACGAGATTCTCTATCTGAAGAGGGCTTTGAGAAAATGTCCGAGAGTATTCTTGCAGATCCCGATACTGAGCAGGAGATTGAACGACATATTGATCATAACCCTCTCGAACTAAACCCTATCGAATCCGAACCTGAGGACGACTCGATACCTTCTCCACCTTCACGGCAGCCAACCGAGTTAACGATTCCTGAGGAGGATGATGAGCGAGATCGTTACGGCTTCAAAAAGAGCAATCAATATGTAAGCCAAGAACAGTACGACAACTGGAATGAAGAATACACCGAGTATTTGGCTAGACGACGAAAGAAGTGGGCTGCTTATTTGAGGGAGCATGGGCTTATGACCGACAACCCCAACCGATTTCCACCACGATCAAACAAGACCAAGCGATTTGTACGCAAGGGAATCCCCCCTGATTGGAGGGGTGCGGCTTGGTTCTACTATGCTGGAGGTCCGGCTGTCCTTTCGAAGCATACAGGCATGTATGACAGTCTTTTAAAACAAAAGGCCAAGGATGTCGATGTCGAAGCTGTCGAACGCGACTTGCATCGCACTTTTCCGGACAATGTCAAGTTTCGCTCGTCTCAGCCATCAAATACTTCTAGGGACAACCCGCAATCTCCCAAGGACGATGGAAGTACTAGCACGCTTGCCGAGATGCCGATGATCTCGTCCCTACGTCGTGTTCTGCATGCTTTCGCTATATACAACCCGCGCATCGGCTACTGCCAGTCTCTTAACTTCTTGGCAGGTCTACTCTTACTCTTTGTGGAAACCGAGGAACAGGCGTTTTGGCTACTTAACATCATAACGAGAGTATATCTCCCGGGGACTCACGAAACTAGTCTAGAAGGTGCCAATGTCGACCTTGGAGTGCTGATGTCTTCACTAAGAGAATCAATGCCTCACGTGTGGGCTAAGATTGGAGGTGAACTGGATGGTACGGACGCCGTGTGGCCGAAGGCTTGGAAGCACAGGCGCAAGTCCGAATCTACTCGACTACCACCCATTACCTTGTGCATGACTGCTTGGTTCATGAGTTGCTTCATCGGTACTCTACCCATCGAGAGTGTCCTCCGTGTATGGGACGTATTCTTCTACGAGGGCTCCAAGACTCTATTCCGAATCTCTCTGGCAATCTTCAAAATTGGCGAAGGCGAGATCAGGGCCGTGACAGATCCTATGGAGATCTTTCAGGTGGTTCAGACAATCCCTCGCCGGCTCGTCAATGCCAACGCACTAATAGAGTCATGCTTCAGACGTCGCAATGGTTTCGGTCACCTTAGTCAGGAGACGGTTGACCAGAAGCGACATGAAAGAAGAACCCAAGTCAAAGCTGAGCGAGAGAAGATGACAAACAACCTTAATGTACCTGGTGCCGACAACGATATTAAGAGAAAGGTTACCCTTTTTGGTCGGCGCAGAGAAAGAGAACCAACCCCTGCCGAAATAGTATAAGCCCGGCAACATACAACACATCACCCTAATCATCCATCACAATAAATCTCCTTTGTTTATTTTTCTTCGCATACAGTTGTTCGGACGACTGTTTTGCGACGTATTCAAATTCATATTCACAATCACATTGTGGCGGCGCATTAATTTGACATACGCAGCCGGTTTCTGCGATCTCGGATTTCGCCTCCATCACGACAACTCTTTTTCCCTTTTTTAGCATGCATGTATTGGCGTTGACGACATATCATGATATGAAAGTTTTGTTTTAGCAAGGAAATACCATAAGGAAGCAAGCATGCGGTCACCTGTGTTAATGATCAAAACAGGACTGGCCAAGGAATTTGTTTAGGGACATCATGGCAATCACATTATGGAAATCATATTATGTTTCGGAAGTTGACAAGTAACCTACGCTTCTCGCTTGCGTCAGAAGACAACATGGAGTTTCAGGGTATCTTATTGCGAGTGGAACAACAGAATTTGCATGTAAACCAAACTGGTTTGGTGAAAGCAATATGGACACAATCAATACAATCAAGGGAACCTATCCGCGAATGGGATTGCATCGGCAAGGTTAGGAAAACTAGAGTGCATATTGCATTATAAAGGGGTTATATAGCATCAATCTGGCGGCGTACCATGCATTCACTAACCGCACAAACATTAGCAAAATCACTCAGCCCCTGACTCGGGAGAAGCCTCAAAACTTTGCCCTAGAAACAGGACCAATACAATACAATGTTGTATGAATATCGCTGCTGACTTTCAGACTATTTTGTATTTGTGAAAGCTTTCGTGATGTTTCCGTTAACGTATTAAGGAACCTTGGAATCTATGCTCGTAATTCATGGTTGTATCCTCTGCTGCTACCCGGTTCCGGTCTCAGCCACATACGCAGTAGCTACCTCAGCTGAATGCATATCGTAAAATGTCATAGTAATCATAATTGTCGTGGATGCGCTCCCCCTTCGTTTTCTTCTGAATAGTTGCTTGCCCTCAAAGTATTACTAGCAATCCACGCAGTAATTGTGTCTACGCAGAAGGAGACGAGACGTCTGTTGGAGTTCCTCCACCACTCTCGTTCCCGCCGTATCAATCTTATCCGACCAGCCCAGTCTCACTAAGTAACCAACTACTTCTTAGCCACAGCATACCTAGCAACATAAGACCTAGCCGTCTTCTCAAACTCCCTCGGCGCATTCTTATACTCGTCAGCGATACGAGGCTCTAGGGGATCGTCGGGGTTAGGTTCGACTAGGAGCTGGCGCACGGCGTCGAGGACGGCGTGGATCTTGGACGCGGGCTTCCAGTTCTCGGGCTTCAGCATGCCGAGACAGATCGACCCCGTGGCGTCGTTCGTTACGTTCGGGTGGTAGATCCGTGTCGCGAAGGTTACTTGTGGCGCTTTGAACGGGTAGTCTGGGGGTAACGTGATGGAGAGCGCGAATATGCCACCGGAATACACAGTTCCTGGCGGCCCGATTAGGGTCGCAGTCCAGATGTGTAGGTCGGCGTCGGAGGCGCTGACGGTTATGCCGCTGGGCGGGCTGTTGACGCATTCGGCGAGTTCCTGGGGGTGAGGGTTAGGTTTTGGGGGTTTGTTGGGGAGATGCGATGATATAGACCTATGGGGTTGAGTACTTACCTTGGTAATGCGCTTCTGTGAGGTTGCCATCGTAATGCTCCAACTCCGTCGTGATTCCTTCTACGTGTATATGGTATGCGCAAATATCTTCGTAGTGAATAGTGGCTAGAATTGGTTGCTGTTGAGATGGAGCCTATTTTATTTTTCGGGGTGTAGGCAATGGACACCTAAGATGCAGCGCTTGAAACCTCCAATGCTCTAAGTTTGGTTTAGGTAATGTGATTGCCCTCAAGGTGTTTCAATGGTTGGAAAGACCAGCTGGGTAGCAATGATATCATTGCGGACTACTAGGTACAGCTTGCCCAGGCACCTTCTAAGCTCTGACTGGTTTCGGCTTCTCGTATGAGCTAAGGCGGGGCAGTTGCAGTTGCAAGAAAATGCCCCTCATTGCCCCACATACATCGGTCTTTAGATCCGACCAGACAGGGCTATGTTTAATCCCTGCTCTAACATAAGTGGGTACATCTCATGTTCATGTTCAAGGTTGTCTTAATTGTCTATTGTCAAAGATTCTATGAGACATTCTACGACAATTTGGACGCAGGGGATCTTATGAAGGGCTGTATGATTCTTATTGGTCTCGCTATGGCATAAAACCGGTTTAGTCAAATATGAGTTCCTGAAAGCTGCTTTACTTTATTTTTCATTGTTACGGTCTAGACCTTTCGTCCTGGCGCTTCATTTTATTACACTTCATAGACTAACCAACGTGTTTGAGTATGTGGAAACATGTATATGATTTATGCTCAGACAAGAGACCTTATCCATCAGCAAGTACTCTCGTCCAGTCAAACTTCCTCCAGCGTTTTCTAAATCCGTCGACTCGTGTGTCGGATTTGTGCCATCGGCCTTGTTTCTTGATGATATTTGGTTCAACATCCAGCATGCCGCCTAATATCTCCCTTGCAAACAGATCGCCTCTAGGCCACCGATTAGAATCCTCTATTACGTGGCCCAGCCCTCCATCCAAAGTAAACCATGCATGGAAGTAAGGCATCTCCTTAGCGATAGATCGTCTGAAAGCTAACTTGCCAAGACCTTCGCGTGCCTTCTTACCCGTGTCGATAATCTTCTTGTGTTGTGACCATTCTTCGTCCGCCGTGAGCATTGCCTCCTTAAAAAAAGCCGGCGCTGTATCTCCTTGATCGTACGGGATAGGCACCGCTTGCATAGCGGCATGCATATGCCTTTGAGGGGCTGCCGCGTTTTCGTAGAATACCACCTCCCGACCTTGCTCGTGGAACATCCGCGTCAGACACTTCATGAAATTGCGAATCTCCTCCCATTCGTCGTCATCACATTCCAGGAGATTATTTCGATGTTGGATAGGCACGATAACAGCACCGCCTTCGCTTAACTCGGGCTCTGTAGGTAATGTTAGATATACTCGCGTTGCTAACGAGACTATAGGGGCGATCGGTGGTTGATTGCGGTCTTCGTGGTGACAAAGTTGGCAATTATCTAGGATTTTATTGATCTTTTGGAATTCGCCCACAGCTTGGTTCTTAAGGTTAATCTCGGATTTCTGCACACGTTTGGCTAATTTCTCGGCGTTTTCGTCCATGTAATCGAGATCATCGTCGAACTTGACGTCCTTGGCAATTCGCTCCGCTAGGCGTATGCCATCTCCCTGGCCCCTCGTTCGCCGCTCTTCCCGAACCATATCTTCGATCGACATGTCTTCATTTTGCTCTACGAGTCCTCTTTCACGACCGCGTCTTGTCTCAACGGCCTTGACCTCTCCACGGGTTCCCGCCAACATGCGATTTTCCATGATGTTAAGGACAACCGCCTCGGGACCCTTCGACGCAAAAGCTGCGGCTGCCTCGTTGTATTCTGCCTCTAGTTTGGCAGCGTCCGGTGCCTTCTTCAGCTTTGCTTTCATCATCTGAGCTTTCAACCGATTCAACGTAGTTTGATCGATTTGTATTGCCACGCCAGCTGATGCCTCATCAGGAGTGACAGCGCCCAGGTCTACGTCTGTTGATTCTAGTGGAGTTTGTCGCTTCTCGTGAATGGCCTGGTTTAGCTTCCTTTCCTCAAATAGCTCCCCGCTAGGTTTCTCCTTGCCTACGTAGCCTTCACCGTAAAGTTTGCGCCGGTCTATCTCGATCTTCTCCTCACGCGCATCATCAAAGTCTTGCAGACTGCCGAATCGTTCTAACGCGACCTCATCTAAAGATCTCCCAGTCTTCTCAGCAGTATTGTAGACGCCGTTCAACTTGGTCATTCTCCACTGTGATCCGCTATCACCAAATGTGTAATCGACCTCGTGCTGTTCTGGTAATTCAATCTCGTCAATGGTCTTGCCACTATTAAGTTCCTGTAACTGGACCGCATTTATTTCTCGCTTGTGAATTTCCCTCTGCGGTGCCTCACTCGGAGGTGGAGGACGCTTAGACGATTTGGAGCCTTTCTGGGTATAATCAATATCAAGCGCAGATGGAGCTGTCATCCAAGAGTCTCGGGCAGGCTTTGAACTCGTCCCCTCTGATTTCTCCAAGTCTCCCGGAGTCGGCTCCTCGTCGGGTAACAGCAGGTCTTCCTTGGCATCGGATGCGTTTTTATGTCGATGCCGTCGATCTAAATCATCACGCTCGTCTCTATGGTGTCTGTGTCTGCTATGGTGCTCGTCTTCTTTGGAATGACGGGATCGCTTATGTCGATGCCCATCTTTGTCTTCGTTTTCGCGACGATCGCGTGATCTTCGACGACTATGATGGTGGCTGTCGCGATCACGGTCGCGGTCGCGTTCGGTTGATTGATCTCGTCGATGATGATGTTTATGCTTACGATGTTTCTTTTCGTCTAACCGTTCTCGCTCAGTTTTCTCTGCAACGAGCGACTTTTCAAATTCATCGAGACCGTCCATTTTTAGTGTTAATGATTTAGGTGATGAAGGTTGGAGCTTTGGTGGTTAATATGACGAAATGTTACTACGGTTAGGTATCAGGAATGTTATTTAAAAGAATAATACCGGTGGAGAATATTTACCTAAATATCGAATATATGCATTTGACGATGTATTCAAAATTTAGTTGTTCACCTGCGGTCACAAATTCGGGCTTAAATGACTAATATCCATTATAATATGTTGTCATCCTTTTTAAACTAAGTTGCAGTCATATTATGAGTTTCGTAAGGGAAAAAACCGGAATTGAAATTTTGGTAGGTGGGCAACTCGAACTGCCCCTGCTCGCACCCAAATGTTGGACAGGCGATGAGTCAGCAAAATTTTAGCATGGTTAACCAAAAACTTTTTCGTCCATTTTGCATTTTGCTAATTTACCACCAGACCTCTTGACCATCTCCCTCACCAATTTCCGGCTCCACAAAATCTTTTCCTTTCTTTTTTCTCGACTACATCCCCGGCTTCCACCATTCATCTTATTCAATCTCGTTTTCATACAAACAGTCGTCGACGATCGAATTCACTTTGAATAATCAATTATATCCAATCATTTGTTCACAACAGGATCACAGAATCATTGGAAGGAACGCATCTATTCAATTGATCGATTGATTCAGTAGCATCCCCGTCGGGGGGTTGCGAAGCTGGATAACATCGCCGCCATATGAACCACTCACATCAACCCCTTTTCATATACACCCTTTAACCGTTGAACTCGGCCTTACTTACTCTCACACATACTCTTCACTTCTACTCTTGTATTATACTCCCTTCCCCTTTACTACTAAAAATCATGTCGTCGTTTTTGAAGCCCCTCAAGGGTACCAGGAAGAATGGAGTCCAGTTCAGACCCAGGGGAACTGGTTCTGGTGAGCGTATCAAAGAGGTTTTAGAACGAACCCGTATGGAGGCGATGGGATTGAGCCCTACTCCGACACCTGCTATAGGAAAGCCCCCGGCCATTTCAGATCGAGAGCCTTGCCCGAATCCTGGTTGTCCCAACCCTACTGCTCCAGTTACGGATGGCTTTTGTTCTGCCTGTGGTCGTGAACTTGATTCTTCCAACATCGTCTCCGAAGTCCAATTTGGCGAGAGCTCGTCTGGTGCTGCTGTTGTCCATGGTAGCTTCGTTGGTGCCGATCAAGGTACTGTGAGCAGAAACTTAGGACCTCAGTATCGACGACTTGGCGGTGGACTTAGTGATAATCGAGAGAAGACTATTCGTGAAGGTATGCCAAATTCAGAAGCATTATCATTTTGAATATTCCAATGACTAACTTTGCTATATAGCACGAAACATGATGATCGGGTTTGCGCATCAGCTCAAGGAAGTGCCTCCGAACGCCGTTGATGCTGGTATCCAGATCTTCAAGCTTGTCATGGAGGAGAATTGGCTTCAGGGTCGAGGAATGGACAAGGTCGTTCCTGTATGCCTTTATACGGCTTGCCGAAGAGAGGACCGATGCAAAGTGATGCTCATCGACTTTGCCGAGCTAGTCCACGTAAGTGTTATTTAACCAACTCTGGCGTTTACTACCTACTTCTTTCTTCCGTAGCTAACATCATCTAGGTCAACGTCTACGAATTGGGACATGTGTTCAAGGACTTGAATAACATTTATTCCTTTCAGAACAACAATGTCAAGTCCATCATTCCTGAGGACCTTATCTACCGCTTTTGTTCAAAGCTCGACTTTGGTGACTTCACCAACAAAGTTGCAGCTGATGCAATTCGGCTATGCCAGAGAATGGGTCGTGACTGGATGGTTATGGGCCGCCGGCCTTCTGGTATTTGTGGAGCTTGCATCCTTATGGCGGCGCGAATGTGGAACTTCCGCCGCACCGTGCGGGAGGTTGTCTACGTTGTCAAGGTCACGACTGTTACAATCGAGCAGCGTCTCGAGGAGTTTACGGTTACGGAGAGTAGTGACCTAACTATTGAAGACTTTCTCAACCGGGAATTTCTTGAGTCCCGCCATGACCCACCCGCCTTCTACAGGAACACCAACGAGTGGCAAGAAAAACTGGAGAAGGATGGCAAGGTACGGAAGCGGAAGCGTATAGAAGACATCGACGATGATGAGGGTCAGCTAGACTCGGTCAACGGAACACCCGCACCAACCGACTCCACCTCTACCCCGAGTGCTACGCCGAGAGCTTCGTCTACTATATCAGATATGCCACCACCACCTCTTCCTCGACCACCTCCCGATACTTCCAAGATGCGTCAGGTTACCGAGTACCTGCCTAGATCTTTCGACGATACGGAGAGAAGAGAACTTGTCGCTCCATTTGACCCTTCAAAATTACCCAAGCCAGCTCGGAAGGGTATCTCCAGAGATATTGCCGATTGCCTGAATGCCGAGAATCCGGACGCTGATGAAGCAATGAATGACTTGGCAGAAGAGTTTGGCTCAGAAGGGATGCCTGAGAATGATCAGGAAGAAGAGGAGGAGGAAGAAGAGGTACAACAACCAACTCGAAAACGCGGTCGCAAGAAAGAGCCTGCCGAACCGCTACTGACCTTTAACGATGAGTGGGAGCGTGATGAGGCAGTGTTAGAGCAACAGATTAACGAGGTGATTAACGATCCTCATAGTGACGAACATAGCAAAGCCCTAGCTACAGCTGCGCATCTGGCGCACATCAAAGCCGAATGGGCACGATCTCTACTCCCACAGCGAGAGCTCAAAATGGACGAGGTTATTGGTGACGACGAATTCGCCGACGACCCGGAGGTCCAGTTTTGCATGCTTTCGCCTAACGAAGTGAAGATCAAGGAGAGTATCTGGATCAATGCGAACAAGGACTGGTTGCGCAAGAAGCAGGAGAAGATTTATCGTAAACAAATGGAAGACCTAGGCCCTCCAAAACGAAAACGAAACCGTGTAAAGAAGCCACGAATTGGAGAAGGCCAGCTTACGCCAGCCTCCACCCCAGGCGAAGCAGCTCGTGAGGTGCTGAAGAATCGATCGACTTACTCCAAACGAATTAATTACGATGCAATTGAGAGCCTATTTACGAATACTAAAGCTAGTGGACCTGGTTCAGTAGCATCTCAAGCCGCCACACCCGCCGGTAGTGTTGCCCCGGGCAATGAAGCACCTAACGAGGGAGACGACGATGAAGGTGCAGAGGAAGAAAACGAAGAGACATTTGTCGAGCAACCGACTGAAGTGTACGATGAGTACTACGAGGATCAGGAACAACCAGGTTACGATGAGACTGGATATGACGATACAGGTTATAATGAGGAGGGAGGATATGGCGAAGAAGATTATGGTGGGGGTGAAGAGGAGTACTACTAGATGGTGTACGCCGTCGCTAATCGGCCACCATCTGTGGTTATGTAGCTCAAACTTGCTGTAGCTAAAAGAAGTGAACGCATCCATGGATACAATTTCCAAGGAATACATGCGTTTTTTAAGCAATGAACTAATCTGCTAGTGTATTTCCAACATGGGTATAGGATACCTAAGTTCACTTCAGACATCATGTCATAATTCCTGGTGACAAAGGCGGTGATCAGCCCATTATTCCTAAGATGCTAGACGAGTGAGACTTACATGAACGACGATTGAATTGGGTAGATGTACATATACCTACTAGGTACCTACCTAATACCTAGGTCCCTATGCCTACCATTAGACGACGAAGGAGTTATCGTGACATACCAGCTGACCCCGATTCTAAGCTGTCTCATCCTAGATGTACCACACCGGAACAAATCACGAAAGCAGTAAAGGAACCCAGAGTTTCACAATGCATTCAGGCTACAGAGATTCTATTTATTTGCGAACAGAATCTTCAAAGCCAAGCCGAAAATCCAGACGCCCTCGCCCCTTTTTCCACTTGGGTATCTAGGTACATATCTACTCGCGCTGCAGCACAACCAACAACCCCATAATCCCGAGCATAACGGTCTTCAACCAAGGATGTTCGCTAAGCATGATAGTCACGTAGCCGACGAAGGGCACGTAACCAACAACGCTACCAATGATATCCTTGCGCTCGAGGTAGTCCTGCCCGCGAGCGTAGAGCTCGGTGTCGTCGGCGGCGTTGTTGTCGCCCTTGGTGAGCAGACGCGCGTGGTCGCCTGTGCCGAACTTACGGACGATACGGTGCACGATCGGGATTTCCTTATCCTTCACGTTATACACCACGACCTCGCCGACGTCGGTTTCTGCGAGAAAGTTCCGGTTCCAAAGGAAGAGTAGGTCGCCGCGTTGGAAGGCGGGTTCCATGGACCCGGAGAGTACGACGACGATGGGGGAGGGGGAGTCGGCGAAGACGGAGAGGCCTTTCCACATCTAGTCGTTTGGGTTTGGGTCAGTTAAGGGCTATGTATGGGAGCGCACGAGTGACGGGTGTAGGATTGGAGGTGTTGGAGTAGGAATAGGACTATGACTAGACGTACCATGAATGCGGTAGAGAGGATGAGGGCGAAATTGAGCAGCTGGGCGGCCGCTTGCCGCGGATTTTGGAGGCCGGACAGCATTTTGAGAAGTTCGGATCAGGGTAGTAGTAAGTTGAGAGGCGGCTTTCGGTTTGCTGGCCTCGATGTTTTTGAGGCCAGCTTGGTGAGGTCGATTCAATTGGGCTAAGCTGTGGGAAGGATGATGATGGAGCTTCAAGTGAAAGTGGCCTCAACTTGTTTGTAAGCGCGTTATCGATAAGAGACAGCTGTCGGAAAACTGGCAGGTCTTGGCAGTTGGAGAGATATAGTGGCCAATGAGAGCATAGTTTGATCTTAGTCTGGCTTGTTTAGGCAGGAAGCTGAAGCTACTAGGTAGGTAGGTATAGTTTCATAGGCCCAAGTTCCATAAGAAGTTGACGATGTCTTCGATATTCATATTTAACTTTATTTCAGTATTAGGACAACTTTCTTCACATCATGCAGATTTTCGAGCATTTCCTCAATGCCATTCTCTAAATTTATCCAATGTTTAAGAATGACTAACTACCTAGTACCTAAGTTATACAGTATTCTACCTAAGCAGGGACAATCTTCTTGGTACCTACTCAAGTCACCTTCCTTACCTACCTACATGCACGTAGTTACCCTCTCGCTCCTACTTCAAGTTAAAAATCATAAAACAACTCTATGCTTTCCCATAACTTAATATATGTATATATTACTCTCAGTATAACTAACTACCTAAATATAGGTTTATCCTCTTTCTCTTCTCCCAATGTTTACGTGATATGTTCCTTGATTTACCCAAGCCGTTCATCTTCTCAAACTCACCTTCTAAGCCTCGAATGGCTAGCCCCTGTTACCTTAAACCTCAAGCATATAACCTACCAAGCATTGCATACACTTCCTTAGATCATTACCGACTACATCTACCTCTAAGCTGACAGGCCCTATATACCTATCGCCACCATGTCGGAGACAACAGACAGAACACCTCTGCTTCCACATCCAGTACAAGCCAAGAGTCCGGGGCAATCAGGGCAATCAGGTGGCTCAGGACAGTCGGAACATCATGGAGGCCAACCCCCTCCACCAGATAGTCACGTATACTTGTCCTCTCCGTATCGTATTTGCTGATGAGATGATCTAACTAGGAATAGCCAATCTATCTTCGAGCATGCCATTCGTCATGGCGTATCATCGATCAGAGGTTACTCCTGTTGCTCCGTCTTATTTTCACTGGTTATCTCTCAGCAGTATTCGGCGTCTCGCTCAAATACAAGATCGACAATGTACTAGACGACCATACACCTTGGCGTATCCCATTCCAATTCTCGACAGTGTCCTTCTGTATACAATGGGGATGGCATCTACTAGTCACTGTCAGTCTAGTCACCTCGAGCGTTGCAAGTTTCTGGTTTGCTGACACGAACGGTGAAAACAGCTTTGGACTGCCATGCACCTTATTTTCCCGAAGGCGATCGAGATCAACCCAGATGACTGCCACGGACACCAATTCAGAGCTCATATTCTTCGCTGTCTTTCCCCACCAAACAAGGCATGTTGTCCTATTCGTCGGTTCTTTTTCAGCATGTTCTACACCATTGCTCACGTATTCCCCTTCATGAATACGTTGATTTATTGGGGTTGTCTCGTTCCTTCTGGGCATGGTGGTTTTAAACCACCTCATATGCCACATTCTCATACTGGCTACCCGTGCGGCAATTCAACGGCCAAGTTCCCCGGTAGGTTTTTAATTGTCTCTTGTCCTAGTTCGCTCGCTCGTGTAGAGACTTACTACATTATTAGATAAGGGGCTGTTCGAGCTGGAACCCATCGACTCGTTTAGCATCATCAATGTCTGGAGTATAACGTCAATCATTGCGCTCATCGAGATAAGTTTTCTCAACAGCATTCGCCGACAAACTGTAAGTGCTCATTAGGTATTTCCAACTTTACAACTTAATCCTAACTAGATATCAATCGATAGCCAATCACGGCTCATATAGCCGGAGTTATGTTCTGTAGCGGTGCGTACCTCGGCTGGGCGGGGCTTGGGAAACTCATCACTGGCCATTCGGGGCTCTTCTTCCTCGACCCTGAGATCATGCATGAAATGCCAGAGGCCATTGTTGCAACGTGTATCGCCTTTGTTGCCGTATCTCCCGGAGGTAAGTTCTAGTGATGTTTAGAAGTATTGACACTTGGAAACACGCTAACATTAGTTACCTAAATGATAGTCTTTTCATACGTGTACGGACTCATCGCGATGCGCGAGACGATAACCGCAAAACCATCTTCGTCTACCTACTAGGTAGACACGTCGTGTTAAGCGGGAGGCCGCATCTCTCTCTCTCTCTCTCGGAGGTGATCCGATTAGTTGATTTTCTTACAATAAGACTGTCAATGGTCTGTTTTCAATATGGTACGTGTGCAGATATGAGCATGGGAAATGGACGACTAGAGTAGTATGCGGTCCCGAAGATAACTTGAAGTAGGCCACAGTTGCGCTGTGGTTCACAGGACAAGTTTGAATGAGTAACTGCCCACTGTCCGGGTGGTGGATGAGAATGAGATAGATGGTGGTTTCACAGGACAACCTAAAATGAGACATTGAAATCATGATTTATGGGTCACGGCAAGCCTCATAGAAAGTGAAAGTGATTCAGTAGTTGAATATCCTCATTGCTTTAGATCGATATTTTGATATTTCGATATTGGTACATCCCACCATCCCTGTCACTATCTCACCCGACTTTTTGGACCAACCCCACGCTAAAATGCGGGAACAAAACGTTCCAACGACCTTGGAATCTCTCAACTTAATTCATCGAATACAACCTAGGACCTAGGTACTTTGCATATTCTCAATCATAAGCGAGAAATACCATCACAGATTACTATTCGCTGAAGACACTCATGGGTCAATGGAAAATGCACCAATTCATAAGCTACCTAGGTAGATATGAGGCAGTGTACTGCAGCATGATAAGGCGAGCTTGGAAGCTTGGATCGTCGCCAACACGCTAATCCAGCTGTCCAGTTCATGCTGTTCGTAGGAGCCACCAAGGATCTGAAGAGATCACATCTCCTACGCCATTTCTGCCATGCCACGCTGGCCACGATTGTAACAACCTCGGTTCAAAACATTTCTAATCTAGGTACTTTGAATCATCCCGACCCAATATTTTGGAAGATTCGTTATCGGAGAATTTGGCCTCACTTCCAGCCTGGCTTCGGCACTAACAATGATGCTTCACATGGAAGTAAATAATAATCCCACCCCCACGTGGCAAGCTGCCCAATCGTGCCTTGTTTATCTTCCCGGTCCGTTGGAGTCATAGGACATCTACGTCGCATCAACGACGGGGCGGACATAGAAGCCAGGCAGACATGGGCGATTCGTCGTGTTTCTTTCTACTCTCTCTACTTGCTCTGCAGCATGTTTATTGCCCGGCTGGTGAGAAGTTGTCGCTCAGGTTGTGTTGTACCGCAGCTGACGAAGATTCACCAGTCGAACATGGCCTATGAAGAGCCAAGGCTCATATTAACTGCCCAGAAGTGCAATAAAGTACCACAACCGCAAACCGGCACGACGATCTAAGTCCCAATTTAGCGAATCAACATGCAAATTCAGGGATCTAGGATGTTTAGGGTCTTTGCCGCTGTCAGTGGTGGAGGGTGTGGGATGCCAGCCAGCCAGCCAGCCAGCCAGCAGTCAGGCCAACCCGGGGAAGGTCGCAAAACCAAGGCGGCAGTCTAGTAGCGTCAAAAAGAAGGCTAGAGAACAGAGGGAAATGCCTGTAAATGCCTGTAAATTCTCAGTGTAAAGGAGGGTATGCGGCTAAAATATATTAAAAATATAAATATCGTCAACTTCCCCCCCTCAAATCCTCCCCCCCTTCTTTTTGTTCTTCCTCCCCCACCACAACCACCAGGGTCGCAAATCTACTTTAAGGATATCTCCAGATACATTCGTTTTCCCCCTTCTCGAATCGACTCTGGGATAGACTGCCCGGACCCCTGTCAATCATTTTTTTCCCCTTGTGCGTCGACTTTCACCCACCACCTTCACTCTCTAAGTCTATCGAAATCCGAAATCACCTTTTATACGCTCTTTTCGTCGCTCTCTAGCCAATTAATTCTCGTATATCCCGAACCCGAAACGACGTTAAACTCGTCAACACGCTGTCTCGATTTCTTTCCCTATTACGAATCACAACCGCCGACATGTTCAAGCGCTCGTTCCGGTCTGCGGACCGAGTCGACAAGTCGGCGAGGCTGAAGAAATCCAGCAACCATGCAAACAACTCGGTTCGGGATCCCCAGAAGCTAGCGAAACTGCAGCGGTCGCTCGAGGACATTCTTCCAGCTAAGAAGACCCTCACCTCTCCCATCGTCACCCTCACCGTTGGCCGAGAGGCGCGATTGTTCGCGGCCCACGAGGAGGTCCTGAGCCAGTCGCCCTTTTTTGAGAGGGCCTGCCGGGAACAATACCTCGAGGCGCAGGGCAAGAGGATTTCGCTTCCAGACGAAGAACCTGAGATCTTCTCGGCCGTCCTAGAGTATCTTTACAAGGGTGACTACTACCCCCGCTTGATGCACAATAAGCACCGAAACTCTTGGGAGCTCGAAGACGCCGTCAGATCTCCCGACCCCTCAGAAAACAATCGAGCTGGCCGCGGAGCCGTTGAGGCTACAATGTACGTCGCCAGCGTGGGGCAGTATCTCCTGAGAGATACAGTCGTCTACTGCGCCGCCGACAGGTTCGGACTCGAGGAGCTCAAGCGCCTGTCTCTCCGGAAACAGGGCCTGCAGAGTGGGATCGATGTCGGAACGATCCTTCGGTCGGCACAGTACGCCTACGACAACACGCCGGACACAGACTCGCGGTTACGCGCTCATTATCTCGCCCTGATCATCCGATGTCGCAAGACATTCAAGAGGAGTGGAACCATGCAAGCGGAGATGGAACGCGGCGGCAAACTATTCTTCGACCTATTCGTTGCCATGTGCAACCATCTCGACGACGTCGTGGACATGAGCAACGCTCGGACTCCTAAGACCATTTGAAGAGCTCTTGGATTGCTATAAAAACAAAAACATGTGTAAACTGAATATTGGGTCCCATGGGAAAGGAATACTATGGCGTTGGAATGTGAATTTTTGATATGCCTTACTTTGGCGAGGAACGGAACAGTCACCTGGGGAGAATGATTTTTTGCTTTTCCTTGTCTCTGGCTTCTCCCCTCAACTCAAACTCTCCCAGATTATAAGTCATCAGATTGGAACACCATTCGGGAGACTACAAAACTCCACTTCTCATCGAGGTTGGCCGACCATTTTGATGATGTTTTTTTTTATTTTCGGGGAGAGGAGGGGGTATGAACGTACACGGTTTGCTCATATCGTCCTCCCCATGACTTTCCTACGTCTAATGACCCAAAGGAACACGCATCTACTCAACTCATGTATTCATACGTACCTCCCACGGTTTTCTCAGGTCTACGAACTCAAGGCGTTTTGGATTATTTTCATGGACAGTTCGCACGGGATTTGCTTTTCTTAGCTTATTCGCTGGGCGAAGAGTCTGAAAGAGAAGAAACAAAAACAAACGGGTTTTAGAGGCTTGGGAAAGGGGAAAGGTTTGCGGCTTAACACGACTTTGCGATATTTGTCTTTTAACAGCGTTGCTTTTTATTGATTTCCCAGAAAGCGAGTTTTTTTTGCACACGGCGCAATTGATACCACCAAATTGTCAAAATCGGGAGACTCGCAAAGGGCAGCCGGGAGGACAAATTGAAATAATGCACCACAGGCTGGCGCGCCTCTTTCGCTGCCGTATCCATCTTCTATGTCTTTCACGAAAGCATACCGAAAAGCCAAAGACCAAAAAAAAGAAAAGTCCCAACAAACACACTCGCTCCATAGATTATCCTCCTCTTGGAGGAGAAACATGGAGCGGAAAAGCTAATGAACGAAACGGAGAGACTGGCGTATGCATGTGAAGCTGCATTGGTTCCGCTAGCGCGATGAGAAGCTGGCATCACGAAAACAAAACAAAATGACAAATTCCCTAGTCTTGACGACTAGCCCAGGCAAAAAAACAAACGACCTATCCCCAGCGGATAGTTAGCCTAGCTAAAGCCCTCGTCGGGGTGAGATAATGAGAGATTCGGCCACCTCAAGCTTTTGCTGTCTTCAACTTTGACTTAGTGAATGTGGTGTGCACGTGCTTGTTTGAAGTGTTCAAGTAGGTAAATGATGAAATTTCATGTGAGCTTACACGAAAGTGCGTAACCATAACACTGGTTAGGCACCTAATTACCTAGAGTCTCCGATAAGATAAATCTAGGTAGGTAACCTTGGATGCATTGCCTACTTAAGGTAAGATGAAGGGAAAGGAGATGTTTTTGGAAGCTTTTCATTAACCGTCAGAAGAGGAGTCGGAGCAATAAAACGGACCAAGGGAGCTGTTACCAACCCCCCCAACGTCCTCACAGATTCGAGGACTATAATTAAAACCTTCCAAGGTTGTAGTTATAACATATATACAACTTCCCATGCCCTACGCCGAGACTTACTAAAATGACATGAGCTCTTCGGCATATTTCTACCTCCAAGTCAGGCACAGACATAACCGTCTCTTGACTTATCTTGTCATCTCCATCGCGAGAATGGTTGATAGGTAGTGAAATGCGACGCGACAAATCGAGTTACCCTACCTACCTCCTAGGTATCTACCTAGGTAGGTAACAAAGCGAAAAAACGTGTATCAGTCTATCATCTATGATGTCGGTACAGCTTTGAGTAGGTGTTTAAATCACGATCTGTCCTTCTATCAATATATTCTATATCTTCCTAGGTACCTAGATACTTGGGTACCTAAGCGCAAGCTTCTTAATAATCGTGGAGAAGACTGAAGACGAGATCGGTGGATGCCCAGGTGAGTTCTCACGTCTTCAGCTGAATGTTCAGATCAGCACCTAGGCACCTAGTATAGGATCAACAACCCTAAAGGTTATAATAGATACCTACCTATTTATATCCATAGGCACTTTCAAGTCCTACTTCAAGCTCTTTGATGATAGCTATCTCCTCAAATTGATGCTTGATGATAAGTCATGATATCGTGGCCATCGGTTCCATGGGCTCTATCTGTGGGTAAGTTAAGAAATCCTACTAATATAATGTAAATGACATGTCATTATCGGGCCGGGCCAGTAGTACCTAGGTAATTACCTACTACCTAAGTTGAAAAGTGCTAACATTATTGGCGTGAGTCCTGCGTTACTTACCTACCTAGGTAGGTAGGGATGTGGACTATACCGTGGATAGAGGATTATATAGGTAGGACCTGGTAGGTAGGCATCTTCCCATAGAGAATCTTCCACTGGACTCAAACCAATGCTGTGTAGCATTTCTTGTATGTTGATGTGCATTACTAGTGTTAGCTAGGCAGGTACTTATCTATAATCTAGTATGTAGGTTACCTATATTGCGCTCTCCCTCGGTTTCCTCATTTCTTTTATATTTCTGGCAACCTACTGACATTCTGGCTGGGATGTTAATGGAACTTAACTTGATCTTCCCTATACTACTCGAGGCATCCTATAAGGACTAGACTCTAATCGCATCAGTTATGTCGTCCACCGTCGACCCATGTACATACAATAACTCAACAACGTATATAATTACTCCGAACCATCATGACGATGGTCCAGCTTATTGGAATACTCCCGGTGACCTCGCTAGGCTAGATTTGATGGTTTGGTCTCCGCCTTGCCGCTCTCGCGGGTTGATTTGCGGATTGCTTCTTACATACCTAGGTAGGTAGTTTAAGTTCCGGCATTGCCTGCAGGAATGCTAACCACGTGGAAGTACTGACGTATCTTGCGGTTATTGAGAGAAATTTGATAGCAACGACGACGACAGCTCCTAATTTTCCAAATCCCCCAAACGGATACAGCTTACGTGACCGACGTCCTGCAGATCCGGCTATACCTAACACCGGTATGTATCCCGTCAGTCCTTCCTGCAGATGTACCGCGACGCGACGAGGAAGGGAACTAGCTGATTTACCCATATGAGGAAGACATTACAGGCACTGTAGAGAATGCTCGTTACGAAGTTGACGAGGTAGGTTTGTCTTCCATTGTGACATATGGCCCGAATAGCGTGAATGCTCGGCGATCACAATTCATAGGATCATTAATCGCAGAAACAGCTACTTCAACTCTCCCGAGGGTTCCTCTCAGGAGGCAGTGGAATAAGTTAACTCAACCGCGATGAGTATCTGGGATGGCACCGATGTTGCATACCTCGAACGCCCACCTATCGAGTAAACTGCCACATAAGTTTTCCCGAGGTAAGTTTCGAGATACCTGAGCAATTAAAAGATATGAGTGCATCAAAAAGTGTTGATAAAATATGGCAGGGGGACAGAGTATGGCAGCAGGGGAATTGGAATTGGGAGATTGAATAATTGTTAAAGCCTCGTTAGGCATTTCGTCATGCTATGCATGCAATTAAGCGCTACGTATATACTTTGTACATAGATACGGGTTGCCCCACCACCCCGCAATCACTGTCGATCAGTCAAGTGGGATGGAAGGTTAGGGATCTAGTTATTCTTAGCACCTGTCAAACATTTTCGTTGTTAGTTCTTGTTAACTTCAACCTTCTTCTTATCGCTTCAACGTTAAGAATTCTAGTCGCCTATTCAACTTTTCAGTTACGGTCTTTATACCCACTGATAGTGTGCGACAGAACATGGCTTCTACATCGACATCTGAGTCGGCGGAGGCCTCTACTGCTTCCACTGCCTCCACTGCCGCGCCGTCGTCATCGACAAGCTCTGAGCCTGTCGCCATCGTATGTGTGGGCATGGCCGGATCAGGTAAAACGACCTTCATGCAACGCATCAACGCGCACCTCCACGGCCAACGCGACCCTCCCTACGTCATTAACCTTGATCCGGCTGTGCTCAACGTACCCTTCGAGAGCAACATCGACATTCGTGACTCTGTCAACTACAAGGAAGTCATGAAGCAGTACAACCTCGGACCTAATGGAGGAATTTTAACATCTCTAAACTTGTTCTCTACCAAGGTTGATCAGATCCTAAGTTTGCTAGAGAAGCGCACAGGCCCTGACCCGGCCAACCCGGCTAAGAAGCCTATCAATAATATTCTTGTTGACACACGTACGTACTCTTCCATTAGTTATAAGCTCGGCTATACCCTGATTACTAACATACTGTAATATAGCCGGCCAAATCGAAGTCTTCGTATGGTCTGCCTCAGGCCAAATCCTCCTCGAGTCACTTGCTTCCAGTTTCCCAACTGTCATCGCCTACATCATCGACACGCCACGAACCGCATCTACTAGCACCTTCATGAGCAACATGCTTTATGCCTGCTCCATTCTCTACAAGACAAAGCTTCCCATGATCCTAGTGTTCAACAAAACGGATGTCAAGGACGCAAACTTTGCCAAGGAGTGGATGACAGATTACGATGCTTTCCAAGCCGCCTTATCTAACGACGAGGCATCCAACGCATTTGGTGGCGTCGAGGGTGAGGGTGCTGGCAGTGGTTACATGAGTAGTCTCCTTAACTCTATGAGCCTGATGTTGGAAGAGTTCTATACTCACCTCAGCGTGGTTGGAGTATCATCAATGACAGGCGCCGGCATCGATGACTTCTTTACGGCAGTGAGGGAGAAAGCCGAGGACTTCAAGAAAGACTACCGCCCCGAGCTCGAGCGCAAGAGACAGGAGCGCGAAGATAAGAAGCGCAAGGTCCGGCAGCAAGAACTTGACAAAATGATGAAGGGCATGTCCATGAGTTCGGACAATAGCCGAAGTGGTGCGATAGACAGGTTGCCTAAAGTGGATGATGATGCAGATATGGATGAAGAAAGCGACGGCGAAGATGACGATGACTACGCCGATGTGGATGATGAATACGACCGCGAGGGTCTGCAGTCGAGATACGAGGCAGCTATGACGGATGGGAACCAGTCAACATTGGAGAGTGATGCAAGTTTTGCGAAGTTCCTACACACGCAGAGACATGACTAGAATGAATAGATGGCATTGGGGATAATTAGGGGGCATTGGGCATTACGAAAAGGCATACGGGTTTCACAGTTATACTGTATATGACGGCATAGGGGCGTACAATGATACCAAATTTCCGATTTGCTAAGAAGGCTCAGATTGCATTGATTCCTAGAAACTCCCAAACTCCACCTTGCTTAGGCTATTGGGAAAGAAGAGCATGCGCCTCATAATAGTACATTGATAAAGGGCATCCATATGTCCTCCAAATGTCCATGCCTTTCCAATTTTTGGTATCTCTTTCACGCAAGTAGAATGCCTATCGGGTAATTCGTCGATGAAGCTAAACTACTGGGCTCCCATCTCCTATTATAGACCTCTCAATTCGTTCTATTATTCGTTTGTCTATCTCGTATACCCATATCCTCAAGGCAGCCGTAGTAGTACCATTAAATTTCGTTCCAGTGCCTAGCCCCCCTTCGCATTTGTTTCGAGGTTCGAGATACTGCAGAAATCGTAGTTGACGTTTATCGGGCCTCGAACTGCACCATTCTATTTATCCGTACGTTAGTTCCTTATGTCTTCAATAGAAGGAAGAGAGTACAACAAGAACAAGCTTACCTCTTAGTGCGTTCTTTGTAAAGAACACGACATCCACACTCTTTGCACCGGATAGGATCGTTGCGCTTCAGAGGGAATTTGGTTCCACAGTCACCGCAGATGTAGTGCATAGTCGCAAGACCGGCATTGGGGTCCATGGTGTCGAATACATTGCTACGGCTAGCACCGGCACCTTGGGAGCTGCCGCCTGCCTGCGACGTGGGGATCTGGTACTGTTCGCGCGGCGTAGCCATGACGTCGGTGGTTTGTTGAAGGCGTTGGCTATGAGTGTAGACGTAAAGTCTTTTATTCGCGAAACCGCAATGAAAGTCGTTAGATTAACGAAATCAGTGGTATGAGTGGATTTTTGACTCAAGAAATCGAAACGAGAGGAATGGGGTATTATTTTGCACTGGATTGTGTCAATACCTAATTGACAGGCCAGAATCGACGCGGAAGATGGGAGTTTGTTGTTGTGATTATAAAGCTGAAATAGAATTTGCCAGGAACTACAGATGATGAAAGGACAAAAGAAAGGCGGTGACTGGGCGAGGGGCGGCAGAATTAAAGTTGAACATAAGATAACGATAGATGTACGAAATGCGGGTCCGTCTCCTGCCGTACCGCGGTACCAATCAAGTTTTAATTGGGACTCGGGAATGTACATAGCTCGGATACATCAGATTTGAGACGTCTCAGACTAACTCAACATTTAGATTTCACATCTACCCAAATTTCTCATGCTATTTCTATAAAGTTTTCCTAATTATATACATTAGCTAACATATTTGATGAGACATGGAATCACATATATAACACTTATCACCGTTTCCAGAATTCCCATAGTTGGACATCAACTGCATCCACAACTCCTCCAGCTCCTCCCGAGCTTCTCTTCTCCGACCCAAACCATGACAGATCCTAAAATCGTCCAGCCCTTCGACCCAGGAACATCTCCACCAGACTCGGAGTCTTGTCCCTTCTGCAATATATCCAATTCCTTCATCCCCTACGACCCCGAACATCCTCCCTCAAAATCTCCCGCCTTAGATCCGTTTAAGCTCGCGCCTCCAGCCTTCGTCGTCCTCTCTACACCCACGCTTGTCGCCTTCCTCGACATACTGCCTCTGTCCGCAGGCCATTTACTACTATGCCCGCGATCCCACCGGCCTAAGCTAACAGACGTGACACCATCCGAAGCAGCCGAGTTAGGCGTATACCTACGTGTGCTATCCGCGGCGTTAGTACGAGCCACAGGCGTTCCCGATTGGAACGTCGTGCAGAATAACGGTGCAGCCGCCGCACAGGTAGTCAATCACGTCCACTACCATCTGATCCCGCGCCCGGAGATCCGCGCCAGTGGGCGGTTCAGGGAGAGCTTTACTATGTTTGGGCGGGGTACGCGCGAAGAGCTGGACGACGAGGAGGCCGAGGCACTGGCTGAGAAATTGAGATTGAGTATCGCGCTAGTGCTAGAAGAAGAGTCTAGGAAAGGGAGATTATGAAATGCGAATTAATTTTGGTAATTTGTACATGCAACTAATGACGCCATAGGAGGGACGGACGACGTGAGGCGGTATTTTTACTCATTGAAGATCTATCCGTCTAGTCTAGATGCGTAACATACGTAACACGAGCGCACGTTTATATCCGAGACGTCAAATTACTCGTCATCACCGAAGAAGACCTTGATAGGCAACCAGTCGTCCCCGCAGACCTTGAAGCGATCCGGCAAGTGGTTTAGCTTTTCAATCTCTTCCGCCGTCAACTCCCAGCCGTCTATGTTGAAATTGCTTTCTATACGCTCCGGCGTGATAGACTTGGGGATGACATCCCAGCCCTGCTGGATACCCCAAAGAAGGAGGACTTGTTGTGGAGTCTTGCCCTTGCTCTGGGCAATGGCCTGCAACGTTGGGTCCTTGTAAAGGGGCGAGTTGGTGCTACCCAAGCAAGAATAACCGGTTAGGTGAATGCCCTTCTCTTTGCAGTACGCAACCAACTTTGGTGACGGGTTGTTGGGGTGGAGCTCAATCTGGTTGACAACTGGCTTGATCTAATGACATGGTTAGCCCATGCCAATTCTAGCTTCCAGGAGAGTCACGGCTTACCTTGGTAGAGGGGTCATTCAGAAGCTTCTCGAGGTTGATGATACCGAAGTTAGACACGCCGATGTTGCGGACCTTGCCAGTGCCGACCAGCTTTTGCAACTCGCGCCACGTGTCCAGAAAGTTCCAGTCATCGTAGTGCTTCTTCAGGTCATCGGGGCGAGTGGAGCTGGGCCAGTGCATGAGGTATAGGTCAACATAGTCGACACCGAGGTTTTTCAAAGAAGCATCGATACCCTCGGCTACTCGCTTGTGCCAGGGGTTGTCGAGCTTCGTAGTGATCCAAAGCTGCTCGCGCGGTACACCGGAAGCGCGGATACCCTCTCCCACCTCGGACTCATTGCCGTAAGCAAAGGCCGTATCGATGTAGCGGTAGCCGACCGAGATGGCGTGCTTAACAGCCTTGGCAGTCTCATTCTTGGGAGACTGCCACGTTCCTAGACCGATGGCGGGGATCTTGTCGCCGGTGGCGAGCGTGAACGTCTTGCTATTTAAGTCTTAGAGGGTGTCACTTCCAAACTTGGGCTTCTCATGCTTTTAAGCTAGATCAATGACATGGAAGAGAAGGGGGGACCAAGATATAAACTCACCTGGTGTTCTTGATTTCCGCCATGGTGGGAATCGGTGTCCAAGTTGAAAAAAAGTATGTTCCAGTAAAGACCAAACAAATAACGGCCAGGTGCTAGAACGAAGGTGTACCTGGATATTTGTATAGAGGCTGTCAAGCGGGGAGGGACCGTCCCGGAATGGTATTTTTTCTAGCTCTTTCTATTACTAGTTTGAACATGGTCAAGCATGTAATTTCCCTTCTTCCGTCTGTACGCAGGTAGGAAATGGTAGCATATGACGCATGGGAAATCCACATTATCATCATCAGAGCATTAGACAAGGTTCAAGTGTTACATATTCGCCGCCAAAGCAAGTTGTACCTGCCTACTCAAGTGGGGGTGGATGTGTACCCCCTCCTATCATCATCATATCACTTGGGCAGTTACTCATGGATATGTACCTACCTGAATATCTTCGGATTGCGACATCCGCCTGCATTCTTTGGATTGCCAGTATTATCATCTTTATCTCCGAGTTTATTCCCCAATGACAACCTTTGGAAACATTCATCATCAGCAAACACAATATCTTTATGATGAATGAAATCCCAAAACTACCTATCAGAACAGATATTATGTCTCCTCTAGATTATCTCACGATACTTCAATATACCCGTATACTAGTCAACCAATAGCACCACCCACTTGAGCGACTCTAATACTTGCCTAATCCGATCCTAAAGCATATCGATTAACGAATGGCGTGGTATGCGCACCAATGAAAATTCGCCGCTTGACAGTTAAATTGTGGATGGATGTGTTCCATGGAATCCATGGTACGATTCCGTTGTTCTTAGGAAACCTATAGATGTTAAGATCGTTGTCCGATGATATTATACGTATGTGCTTAGGTATACAATAGGTATATAGATAGAAGAGAAATTTCAAGGAGTTTAGAAGTTTAGAATTTGGAATGGTCATAATTGCACTCCCTCATGCTACTAGGTAGATACCTAGTAGGTACCTTTGCTTGTCAATGGTATTGGTGCTAGGTGGCTAGGATGTATTAACCCGGTCCTGACTAGCTTCCCCCCAGAATAGCCGCATGGTGAGCTAGGGTTTATTGATGCACACAAATGGTAAGGGTCCGCTTACTATATATCAAACTTTTTGCATCAAAAACTTCAAGTCAACACCTCATGATTCTCAAAAAACGAAGCATCAGTGGTTTAGTGGTAAAATCCATCGTTGCCATCGATGGGCCCCGCGTTCGATTCGCGGCTGATGCATTTCTTTTTCGGGTTCTCTCTGTCTGGTGTAATCTTTTTTTTTTCATTATTGCAAATTCAAATGGATGAAAGCAACAAGTAAAATTAGATTATAGCGTGAGGTCAGTTAAGAGTTTAATGTAAAGTTACACCACTTTTAACCTAGTATGATCCTAATACCTACATTTACATTAATATTCCAAGATTTCTTAAGCGCAGGCATGAAGTCTGGCGATTTATTGGGAAGTTGATTATACTAACTACTTCTTCTCTTCGTAAAGTAAGCACCTATCTAGTTCTACCTACTTAACCCTATGGTTATTAGTCCATTAAACTGATTACCTAGCAGCCAATTACCTACCCATATCGAGAAGCGTTTCAAAGCCAAACGGAGGTTCAAGGGTTCACGTACGCTACCTTCCCAGACTTGGAACCTTCTATACGCCGAAGGGGCAGCTTGCCTAAGTCGACTCCATCTAAAACTCTGAGGTTGATCGGAGACCAGTCTAAATGATCAGCAGCCCACTCGCGGTCATCCTCCGGTAGCTCAGCGATCTGCTCTGGAGTATAATCGTCGATCTGGTTGTGGATAGGCACGCCGCATGTCCTGCAGAACGATTTCTTCCAGATCCGGCGGCCAAAGGAGTAGTAACCGAAATTGGAACCGCCCGCGATGACGACTTGGGATTTGGAGGGATAGATCCAGAGATATGCGTTCTATTTTCGTATAATCGTATTAGCGAATCTAAGTGGCAGTAGCCTTTACAAGTAGAGAAGGGACAGTACCCGAGTACAGATACTACAATCGCAATCGAGTAGATTCGCTCCATAGGTGCTATCAATCGGCTTCGACTTCAGGGCTAGTGTGATAGCTCCACAATGGCAACCGCCTGTGTATATCTGAGCATCCTCAATCTCTGACGGTGGTTCACTGCCAGTGAATTTGGGTGGATTCCAAGTTGGCAACACCAGGCCATCAATTCTGGTGAACGCGCAAGTTCAAGTTAGCTTCCTCAATAATCCAAGAGGATTTCTGCATAAGTCTTCTATAACCTACAGTTTCGTCTTTAGATCCCATACATTGATGTTTTGGAACGCACGAATCTAAGATTAGGTACGTAAGGTTAGAATCATTCGTCTCAGAGATATGGGCGATGCCGTATGAAGAGACAGGCTTACATTTACATGAATATTAGAATCTTCACGGAGTAGATAAGTACCGCAATTTGGACAGAACTACAGCGAAGAACAAATCATTAATACCTAGGTAGGTAAGAAATCGTTTCCTTTTAGATTATTCCCTCTCGGGGTCTTAATGTGCATGCCAGGTATCTAGCGGGTAGGTATACCAACTCACCTGATGTTCGACATTCCCAAATTTGTAACCGGATAGCGTAGCCGGATCACCCTTGGTGAATTTAATATCGTCATTGTTCTGCAGGCATTTGTAGATTCCGTCGAACTTATAACAGTAACTACAATTGCATTTCAACCCATTCTTGATGTTCTCCGGAAGACTGATCTCGTAGATATAAGCCCCGCAGTGGCAGTTAGCATGATATTTCTTGAGACGTTGCTCAGACTCGGACATTTTCTCAACTATATTTTTTTTATTTGTTAAAGATAGGTACCTACTTAGCGTGTCAGACGTGGAATGTACCGAAACTTAAGACAGATTGGGGCGAATTGAGTCATTAATTCATGCGAGTCGGAAGATCTGTAAACTCCGTCTATATGCTTTTTTTTTCGCTTACGCCTCAAAATACCTAATTGTATCTTATTTTCCTAAGGTTCCAGATTAACTACCAGGTACTCTGCTATTAGAAATTCTCGAATACCTACCTAGTAGGTAGGTACCTACATAACTCTATACTTGAATTTATCTTGGCCATCTGTATAAAATCCCTTATCAGAGGGGATGTGTAGGTATGTTGTGTTCGATAGAGATAAATTGCTATCAATCGTGGTCTTTGACTACCTTACCCAGGTAGACATCAGGTCAAGGCGAGTTCTTCCCAACCCTTTATATGACTCTGTCCCTAAGTAATAAACCGTCGGCGTATACCGCCTTATGTATTTTCATGCCGTCCGAAACCCCATCGATACGATCAGATAGCCTGCCTAAACGCCCGCTCCTAAAACCCGCAATAGTACTTAACCATGTCATAATGCAAAGAACGAGTACCCCTCAGTTCTTCTGTCGTGATTCGTACGTCGCTACAGCAGCCTCTAGCTCGGCGAGATTCGTCCGTTCTCCATACGCATTCTCAAGAGCTTCGACGGCCTCCCCTCGATGAGCAGGTGTCGCGACGGCCATTGCCGGGACCATCTCCGCATTTCGAAACATTTGTTGTTGCTCGACGTGGTGTTCCTTCTGCCATTGCTCGGCCTTGATTGCCTTGTATTTCGTCAGACCATACCCGATTCCTATAGCTGCCACAGCCGCGGTAGCACTGTGTTATGTATTAGTATATATGTCATGATGGCGATAGGTGGCGTCGAGCTAAGCTTACATTCCCCTTTCAATGCGACCAGATTTATGTAATGTGGGTAGGTAGCTCGGATGAACAGGCGAGGCGGCCGTGAATGGTCGAGATGGGGTCATGTTCATAGGCATGTTGTTATTGTGTGAGAAGTCAAATAAGTAGGTAAGTAGGTATTGATGAGATGGTGCGAGGTATAGGATAGGTCGATGGAGGCTTGTGTATCTACGTTTCGGAGATAGCCTCGTACTCTATTGTATCGATGAATATTATTTGCAATGGTAAATAGGTATCTAGGTCACTGGGATACTGGAATAGGACAGATCGAAGTAGGCTGAGGGTGGTAGTTATATAGTAGGTGGTCATAAGTACAAAGGCATGTACATGTATAGAACGAACAGAAAGCTACAGTAGGTCAACCCCTTGACAGGCAACCTCAAGGTATTAATACCATGTGAGATTTGGAGACATAAAGCGAAACCTGGCCAGGCTTAGCCCACGTAAAAGCTTGAATACCGTCATGTTTCCTGGATCGTCCGGCCAAATTCACCAGATTCGAACGACATGAGCCGAGATGGAACGATGCGACATACGAAACTAAAGTGACTAAATGGAAAGCAAAAGAGAGAAGCGGGGAAAGATCACCGAGGCGCATATGCAATGTCGTGTGATCGTGGGGTCACTGTGGGCTTGGTTGGACGGTAAATAAAAAAACACACGGCTCTCAACTAGGCCATAAACTGCCTGGAATAAATAGGGGTCTACCGCGCTACCGGGACAGCCCGCGGTTCTTTTTAGGGTGTTTCCCCCTGAAACCTCCGACTACTTAATACCCCGGTAGTTGATACAACTTCTATCTTTAACTCGAAATACCAGAAATGAAACAAAGGCGGAGGCTCTTTTTCTTGTCATCTCGATATCCCAGGATAAACCCTAGATGAACCCTACCTACCTAGGTAGAAGGTAGATCGTTGGAGATGCTATGGATATCCCATGCACCCCATATTACAGTTCGCGGCATATCTATCCCTTACCGGTGCTCTTCCCGCATTGAGGCCTAACCATCCTTCAGACTACCAGCCTACCACGGAACCGCCAGTAAGCCATTGACATATATTCTGCAGGTGACGGGACTGAGCATAGCCAATCTAGGCCTTCGATGTTGCAGTTCTCCTATGCCAAAGGGATGCTATGCATGTGCTGAATCTGAGCGATTAAAGAGAAAGAATTCGCGTCCACATATGCCACACTGTAAGCTCACGATAATAGCATCCTTCCCAATCGGGATGGTAGAAGCGCGTTCAATATATCTACTAACCTAGGTATCTGTCCATCTTGTCTCAATCTGAAGCAAACATGAAGAAACTTATCTACCTAGAAGATGAAGGTCTTGTCGTTTGGCAAACATCAACGGCTGTTTTGAGACGGAGCCGAGGTACCACGCCAAGCTATTTAACGACTTGTCGTAACTTGGCTGTCGTACATTACTAGGTAGGTAGGCAGACAAGCTTCAATATTATATTTTGCTTACCTGGGTCGGTACCCACTAGGCAGGTAGGTACTCTCATTCGTCGTATGCTGTATCTATGAGATGGTGTATAAGATAAGGGTATCTAGGTACGCATCTCACACTTCCAATAAGATGGAATAGGTGCGTAGGTGGCTTATAACGATTTACACAGACCATTTGGTCCTAGCATGTGAAAACACCCTAGGATAGGTGTCTAGATGATTTCAAAATCAATATCCATGTAGTCGGAGAACTTGAGATTCTCCACGTAAACAGCTTGTCAAGACAATAATTAATTAAGTCGCACCATTTTCTCGCTCATAGTAGAAATGGAGCGGTATCACGGTGAAGCAAAACATACATCTTCTTGATCGTCGTAAAATAATTTGCATTGTCTAATCCACATCGAGGTACTCCAGCACCACGTTTTTGATCCATGCTATCTCGACCCGAGCACCACATCCGGAACATCATCATCGTCTTGGATATCACTACAACTGGCCTGTTGGCTTCCCTCAAGCACACGCTCATTTGGCAGTGTTGCAAATGCATACCAACTTGTGTTTTTTTCTCTTAAGGTCAAAGATCTTAACGACCGCCGGAGTGCAAAAAGATTATCTGCTTCTAAACTTGTCTTTGTACATAAATCAAGCAGCTGCAGTGCCGATCTTGTTCAAACCCTTGAGGGAGCCTAGGCTCAGGGCCAATCCTTGCGACCTGCTTCTTATGCGGACGAATCCAGTGATTGGTCCATCATCGCCCTCCTTTTCTATGCTCAAGTTTGCTAGCGCATCCTCACCTAGAAAATAATTAGTCTATTTTGTCAGATGCGTGATCGAGGTTGATAACTTACCGAAGACACTTCTGGCGTATAGGTTAGCACTCAAGAACTGGCAATCACCCTTCATACTAGCTTCCGGTGTTAAGCAGTTCATATTCGTGCAGGCCATCAACTGTTCCAAGAAGTCCCGAAGGCTCTTGGCCTTACTATTGATGTTAACCTTATTCTCCCATTCGAACTCAGTCCACATTGTGCGGAATTGCGTCTCCGTACACGTCGCTGGTTGGATGTAATCCATAATATCGACATGTAAGTCGTTAAGAATGACAACGTTAGTGTCGGTGCTGTGAGCTCCATCATACACAACGTTGCCAAAAATGACACCGGTATCCGTAGATGACACCTTGATAGTACATTGTACATTGTGGAAGTCGTGAGGAGCAAGATTTTGCGTTGTAGGTCGCTCTACAACCTTGAGGTCTCCCAGTGTAGCAAATTCAACAGAGAGATTTTGAAGTGTCTCGGTAGTTTGGTTGACCAACAGGACATCTAGAACGATATCAAATTGGTGTACCTTAACATACGCCTCGGCGTAAACGGGGTCGGAGAAGCCAGTGAGCTGAACGACGCGGCTTAGTTTCGATGAAAGATCCTCGGCCACAGACTCGCCACCGGTTGCCTTCTCAAGATCCAGTTCGATCTCATCGGTACCATCTCCCGAATTCTTTTTAGAGAGCTGTCTGATTTGTACGACATCGTCGACCTGTATGGCAGTCTTGGCCTTTTCAAAGGCCGTCTTTGCTGCTCGCTTCTTCTCTTCAACCTCAACCATAGCTCGGAAAGCCTTTCGTGTATCGTCGAGGAAGACAGTCTCTAGCTCCTTCCTTTGAGAGAATTCGGCTAAGGATCGAACACAGGACATTATTCTGTCGACGGAATCCTCGTCGATAGGCGCCTTGACGAATTGCGACTGGCCGACACGGATAATAGATATCATGATTAACATAGCTTCAGCTCTGAGGGCGTTTGTTCGAGCACGATCCGATGAGATCTCGGAGTGGCGCATGACCAGCTTTGTGAGGGTTGCTGAGAGGACAGCGGCCAAGTAGTAGTCACCCTCTAAGATTAGTTGTCGTAGTGGGGGTTTTTGGGCGGCTTTAACAGCTTCTAATTTTGCGGCGGCTGCCGAGCTGCTAGTGAGCGCCGTTTCGGTAGCGTATGTACCGTCGGCGAGAACTCGTCTTGAGCCTGATGGCGCTGCAGGCTTCGAGTGACCATTGACTTGCTCTTTTTCTTTCTCTTCGTCGCCGTCTACGTTGTCCAATAATCGCTGCTCGGAGGCAAGAATGGGAATCTCACCCAAGCTTGCGCGTATCCTCTTCCACGCATCTCGGATATCCTTTTCTTCGAGCGAGTACTCGCCAATTATCCAAATAATCCCACGGTAAACTTTTCCTGCTCTAACCTCGCTAAGAGTCTCGACCAATCGAGCAACAATTGATGGGCGTAGCTTAGGGAACTTCTCAACAACTTCCTTGACGAAGGAAATAACGTCGACAGCAGACGAGTTGCTGAAATCAGCAATGAAGTCCATCAACAAGTCCACGACGCTTGCTGCAACCTCGGAGAATTTAATGGCGCACTGGTGAATGGAGTGGATGAGCAATTGGCGGTATTCGGCATTCTTCTCGTATTCCTGGTCAACAGTCTTGGAAAGTTCCTTCTTAAGTAGTAGGATGACTTCTTCGACGTTCTTGCTCGATACCATCTCCAGCGCGATAGTGAGTGCCTTCCGTCGTACATCGATATCGGGACTAGTTAGCGCACGTAGAATCTCCATGACGAGATCGTCCAGCACGCCCTCATTCTTCTGTCGTAACTGGTCTACCCGGTCTAGAACGATAAGCTTCACATTGTTGTCGGCTTCTTTGATGCTTAGCTCGATGAACTTGGCCGCAGCCGCTTTGACGGCAACTGGGTTGCTCGTGAGGGCGGTCAGCGACGAGGCGGCTTCGTATACGACAGTTGAAGCTCCGGCCTCAAGAAGATCGAAGATGAGTCTCAAGTATCGAGCCTTATGTTGCGAGTTCTGGACGGCGTCTTTTCGAATGAACTCAAGCTCTACCAACTGTAGCAATTCCTCGGCGTTCGGAATTCCCTCGAAGACAGAGCTTAAGAATACTAGAGCCTTATCATGATCAATGCTAGCGAGCGCAGCGAAAGCATTGCGCTTGCAAGTAGCATCACTCTCTCCCTCGAGGAAGGCGGCGATCAGGTCGGAGGCGTCCGGGATAAGAGATGGTGAGTGTTGGAAGATGGAAGAGATGGCGAAAACAGCATTCTTTCGAACGTAGGCATGACGATGTTCAAGGCAAGCTCGAGCCGAGGAAAGTAGCGGCTCGATCAACTCGGGTTCTCGTAGCTTGCATAGGAAGCGCAACGTATTTCCTCGAATGTATTCGTTTGGGTGTTGAAGATCATTTCTAATACCGTTACTAGATAGGATATTATCAGTGACCCAGTTCTTCTTAGTTATGATTCAACTTAGCTAGGGCGAAACTCACCAAACAAGAATCATCTCCTGCTTTAGCTTGCCGGTCGAGTCAAGTTTGGGACAGATCTCATAGTAGAAGTATAACAGCTTCTTCAAGGGCTTATATTTGGAGGGCATGACGAATCGGATGATGTGCATAAGAAGCTGGGGCATGGGATCGCCGTTCAACATGACGGTCAAGATGCGCTTCATGGTATCAACTTTTGTCTCATCTGTGCCCTTCTCTAACTGCATGCGTAGATCTGACATAGTGGGAACATCTGCGGTATTGTCCTGGTGGACCAAGCTATAGGCATTTTCAAGGAAGGTCGCCATGCTGGGCAATTGTTGCGGCTCCCGACCGCGAGGAATAACTCGGTTCTATTAGGTTGTAAGTAGGTAGGTGGACCGACAGAAACAAGGACGGTTAGAGGAAGTTTAGTTTAGTGGTGGTATTAAAGAGTTCGATGTTCGGTCGAAGCCCAGAGTCGAGATACGAGGTATGGAATAGGATTGAACAATTACGCGGACCGTCTTGACGTTAAAGGGGTGGTTTGAGGAAGCCAACGCAATTATGCATCCCAGAAGGAGTGACACTGAACTCGTCAAGAATAGTGGTGGTGCGGTGGTGCGGTGGTAAAGTTGAAGATAGTAAGTGGAAATGTTAATTGGAAGTGCTAATAACCTTGGAATCGGTACAGGTTGGCCCAATATCAAAATAGCGGCGCACTACACAGAAATCTGTCCCTCCTGAAATGGATAGGGTCTAGTGAATAAAAGAATATGATTGGCTCATAATCGTAGCAAGATTAGATAATTCATTGCCGAAGATTAGCCACTGTCGCCTCCACCCAATCTTAGAATGATCCGTAGACCCGCACATGCCCACGGTTGTTCTAAGGCTGTCAAGTTTCGTACCTTTGTACCGTGCCTGTGGCTTGCACCTCTGGATGAGGTACAACATGCGGTAACCTAAAAACACTGACCGCTTTCACATCCCTGTTCCCCACGTCAGTCTAGATACGCCGCCCCACCAAAACTTTAGATCTGCCAGCTGCAATTCACTTGTTCAGTCTTTAATCAATGAAGCCTCGTTATTTACAGAATCGCAACAATTACCGAGTCCGAACTTAGAGATATCCCAAAAAGAAACCACCACTGTCGCTAATAAAACAAAGAGGGAATCGCGAGACGAGATACACCTCTCGTATCCAAGTAGCAAACACCCGCGACAACCCAATTCATCGCCAATATGGCTACGTCTGGAGAAACCTTCTACATCCGATACTAGTATGTCCAGTCAGGCACCTGACAAATAGAGCATCTCGAGGACTAACCCATTGCTACCTACAGCTCGGGCCACTCAGGTAGATTCGGCCATGAATTCCTAGGTACGCTCTCACTCGACCTGCCCAGCTCTGTCCGTACAAAATCGGATAACTAATAGTAGAGCAGAGTTCGACTTTCGAGTCGTTGGTGACGGAAGAAGCGCCGTTGCGCGATATGCCAACAACTCGAACTACCGAAATGACAGCTTAATTCGCAAAGAGAGTACGTCCCGTCGTGCCCCTTCCTCTGCTTTCTCTACCCGTCTTCCAACCCTTCTTGGATATGTAGGCAAGGAACGATATAGCTAACATAGAGTAGTGTGTGTGAGTTCGTTAGTGGTAGACGAGATCAAGCGCATCGTAAAGACGAGCGAGATTATGAAAGAAGACGATGCGAAGTGGCCTCAGAAGAACAAGGACGGACGACAGGAGCTAGAAATTCGGCTGGGTAACGATCATATATCCTTCGAGGTATGTTTGCCCGTCTTGCGCAAGTCGACTTGCCGATTGCTACAAATCACCGTACGCTAACTTTGTCGGAATGAAATATAGACAGCTAAAATCGGGTCACTCATCGACGTGACCGAGTCGGCAGACCCCGAAGGATTAAGGGTATTTTACTATTTGGTGCAGGACCTGAAGGCACTCGTCTTCAGCTTAACGTCACTGCATTTCAAGATCAAGCCTATCTCGTGAGGGGACAGGGAGGGAGATGCGCATATGCGTAAATTTATGATCATCATTATGTACACTCGGAGTACGGCCTTGACCTCCTAACTGTAATATACCCCCTCGCCGCAAAGTCGTGAAATGCCACTATTCTCGTCATGAACATCATGTCCCCAATTCAGGGGCGGATAAACTTGCATCCCTTCTGTGCCACATCTCACCCGATTTCGTTTTCCGTGCTATCTTCATTCCTGTGTTACGGATTTGAGATGCCAGCTAATACGGTCCCCCGACATGCTGCTGCTCTTATTTACTACCGACTAAGTGAGCAGTGGTGCTATTTACTATCAAACGGCCTCGAAAGGTCGGTCGATTATTCATCTATAGATGAAAAAGGTTGAATGCCAATTATCGAAATTCAATGTCGCCAAAACAGCCTTTATCCTCGACGTGCTTAAGTTCTAATTGTTGGAATCTAGTATGTAGCGTTAGCAGTGATGTTCTCTGTCGGTAAATTAAAACGGCAATAAAATATAATATAAGAATAAGGTGATAGATACGAGATGAAATAAATAGGTAAACATTAGAGAATATTAAATAAGGCAAACATGGCGCAAGAGATGCGAAATGTATCGACAATATGAAAGGGAGACTCACTTTTCACTCTTGGAGTGGAAATATATACCACTAACACTGCCCTCTTTTTGGTTGAAGCAGATGTAATAGAAGCCCTCGAAGCTGGCGCCATTAATAGTGCGGACGCGATGGTCGGGGACGAGGAAGTGTTCCTTCCAGCGCATGAAGATATTCTCGCGCTGGGCCAAGTTCGGAATCGCGACGGGTCCTCTGCGTACTTGCTTAGAGTACTGTCGGAAGGCCGAGAACTTGCCCCAGTGGTTCAGATCGATCTTTTCTGTCGCGCCCCAATTCTCGTGCTTCGTGATGAAGCCGTACTTGCTGCCGATGAGCTCGCCTTCGAAGTACGTCGTCAAGGTCGGATTGTCCTCCGTGAGGCCTAAATGTCCACTCGTGTGAGCGGCTGTTCCGACTTTAGAACGATAGGGGACGACGTAAAGCGACGCATTGAAAGAATGCGAAATGGATTGGGGGGAGGATATCAAACTAACCTTGGATCTTAAGAAAACCGCATAGAAACGATTCTCGCAAGTCGACATACTTGATCTCTACTTGTACATCATACACTTGTCGTTCCGACTGCTGAGTACCGTGGAATCGACTTCCCGGCCGCAGGAAGGACGATGGAGAGGTAGGTATTATCTTGTGAGAAGTTAGTGAATGCTCATCATTTATATATGCATCGTCATTGGGCGCATTGACATACTCGAACGTTAGAGTAATCAAACCCCATCGAAGGCGCATAGGCATCGTCATGGGAGCGACTGAGCGCCGTTCCGTATTCTAGCTTTTCACCGTCCGCGCCGATAGACGAGGCAAGTTCGTATGCGCCGCTCCGTCGCTGCCGAGTCGGCAAGGCTTCCATATCGCCCCTAGCCGATGCGTCATCATCGGCATCGGTCGGCTTGTACGTTGCGGTCGTGGAGTCGGATGGCGAATCGGCGCGGTCAGAAGAGAGAATAGTGGGTTCGGTTCCGCTCCTCGAGTCCGGTCTAGGAGACTCGGTGGCGGAAAGCAAATCTGAGATGTCGGACTGGAGTGCGGCGGGCGGTGGAGCACTGACGGGTTCGGGTGATGATGAATCGACTTCTTGGCCATCGATATTCATCGCGAGGCCATCTTGGTCTGGTCGCCAACTATTTCGAGCTGCTTCTTCGGGATCGGGACATGAAGAGCTATGCGTTCGAGGAGGAAGTTCAGGGGGCGGATTATTAGAGGGGGTAGGCATGCTGAGGCGCTGTTATGATTTATGTGGCGATGGAGGATTATACGATGGTCTGCCTTTGTCCTTCACTCTCGATTACAGGAATTAATCTCGAGTAACAAACGCGATGTATAAATGGCTGCGCGTGAGGTTAAACAAGAACGACCCTTATTTGTGATGCTGCTCTCAGATGAAATGTACAAAATAAAATTAATGTTAAAAAAAGAAGAAGAATAGAATAATAAAAGTAATAAACAGCCCGCACCAAAAGAGAGAAGAAAATGAATAATATCTCGTGATGTCGAGCAAAGAGGATGAGGTTTGGTCGAGTCGGCCTCTCAAATGGTAAAAGGGTTTAAAGCCGCCGAAACTTATGAAAGTCGGCTTGACTTGTTGCAGGAATTGTTAGCAATAAGTCTGGGGGTGGAGAACGGACCCAACGACTTTAACGCTTTCTGGCTGGTCGACAAGGGGGTTCACTCTGGGCAAGGGGGGCGTGGGAGAGCCGTGAGTCTATTAATAGAGCCTGTATAGGTTATGTAATGTTAGTTAAGTTAATAAATTTAATGAATGTTTACTAGGTAATGTCGAGTGTTTTAGTTTATGTAAAAGCACATGTCAACTGGAAGGAGAGAAGAAAATAAAAAAGAGGGGGAGAAGGCATCGACAATATAAGATAAGTACCTACTAAGTATAAAAAGGTAGATAATTAAGATGTATAAATCAATAATAATAAGATTAAATTTATAAATGAGTAACTTCAACTTACCTAACTTCAAATTCCAACTCCTGCCGCTCCTATCGCTAAGCGATCGACAATAAGGGATTCTTGACCGCTACAAAATCAATTGCGACTAGCTTACGCACCTGTCACACCTTTTCACGGCCGTTATAAAGCCTGAACTACTCCAGGTTTTAGTATTGCAAGTTACTATCACAAGCACTAGGTGATATATAAGGAAGCGAAAGGAACCTACTTACCTACCTAGTACTTAATCGCCTAGTACCTACTTATGAATGAATCATTTATACCTTAACTAGTTTCGCGTTCGGAAATGTTTCAACAAGAATGCTAATAGTTGATTCTTATGATTCTTCTCATGGGGACGGAACCCTATGTATGTCTTAGACAATACGTGCCATGTGTTGTATACATCCCAACATAACCCATTCATTCCGAATATCGTGTCTTAAGAAGCTTACACCTGTGGTACTTACTTACATACAATGTACATACCTTGGTGGTTAAGGAAAGTTAGTACGTCATGAGGTTTTTGTTGATAGAAAACTAAAAGCAACAACTAGACTAGAAACTAAAGCCCAATCCCAATTGCTCCGACAACTACATGACATCATCACCTTCAAATATTATATTAGTTCAGCTTCTCTACTGATAAAAAGTTACTCCATAGGTATTCAATGCTAGTTGTCACGTCTCATGCCAAGTCTCTTAGGGCGGCCTCGGGGATTATTTCTATAAACGTCAGCAAAATAATTACTCGGTGTATTTGTGGTTGGATTTTTTTTTTCAATTTCCATGTCGAATGAATGAATAGATTTGCCACAGGTCTCCATTGCGTGCCAAGGGTAAGGGAAAAAATATATCCAAGAGTGGGTTAGTCAACCTTGGAGATGGAGAGGGGAATATACATTAGTCTCCTTACCAGCGTACACCGGTCGTAGAGTTAATAGGCCTCTAAGCTACCTGAGGTAAAAACGTTAACCTTGAGGCCTCCATCTTAACAGGCAAGCGTGATACCGTGACGGGCCGTTGACGTTAACCTTGAGATGGGATAACGTTGTCTCCTCCGTTGACCCGCGCCTAGACCATCAAAGCTGGATTACTCATTGGGTGAATTCAGCTCTTGGTATGCCTGAATAAAGTCGGTACGGCGGACGGGTATGGTTTGGTAAAAGCACATTTCGCGCGTCTTGACCTTGGCAGCATTGGACTTTGAATGACCCCCGAGGAGTAATTGTCATATAAGTCTAAAGCGCATTTATATACACCAGCGTAAATTGTCATATTGGTCCCATTGATTTAATTTCAGTTTTTAACAACCCTGACTCCTTGCACCCAGCTTTCTCCGTAGATATCCTGGGTATCCGTGTTTTTGTATGCAAATAAGAAGCGGTAAGACCGACAATATTCTCTACTTAATCACCCCATGGCAGCATCTGTATTTGGCTACTCTATTTTGAAGCCCCGGAAATAAGCACGGCGGAACGAATTCAGGTCGTCTGCGGTGTGGCCCTTCACTTCCTCCCCCTGCTTCTTCTGCGCAAGTGCAGATAAATCAACTTGTGAGTCTGGCAGGCGGCTGTAAGTGATTAATCTTCGCGACCCTATAGATATTGTGAGATTGATCCCCTGTATAAGTGAATATAAGCCTCACATCTATTAAAGACCTGAGTACAGACGACTACAATACCCAAACACGGGTGCGTAGGCACAGGTATTTCTTGTTCTTCATCATTTGCTGTTGGCATCCAGAAAGATAGGCGGCCGTTATCCACTAATGTATCTGAAGCAAAGTTCAATATGTCATCTAACATAGCCGTAAAGCTGTATGGTTTCTTGGGGGGCACGAATGATGCATTTCTAATTCTGTTAGCACCTCAAAATTTTCTTCGGGGGTGTATCGTACCTGTAAGACTGCTTCCCCTTTTCAATGAGCCAGGCATCTTTCTCCGGGTCTCTACATCCGAGAACCTTCAATCCTTCTCTTACGCCGTAGGGTGGGTCGCAGACGATGCCGTCAAGTATCCTCGCTTTCCGCACGGGACTATTTGTCAGATCGCTAACAAAGACATCTCCTAGCAAGTTTTCTAATCCATACTGCTTAAAGTTGCCCTTTAGACTCCTCTTCCCTCCTTCACCCCTGACGCTACGGCCGTCGATATCACTTCCCCAACCAAGAGCGCCGAAATGCGCACATGCGATCGGGAAACTACCAGTACCCACAAATGGATCGTAGAAGATCTTTCCGGGCGCAGCCAAAGCGATATTAGCCGTGACCAATGCAAGTTCGGCATCCATAGAGGTCGTGCTGATATATCCTCGCTTCTTAAGATCATAAGTTTTGATCAATTCCCGTACACTGTGACCCACGAGACGGCCAAAATATACTTTTAAGGGATTGGGTAAGTTGCGTGGTACAGAATCGAACTCCCATTCTTCGAAGATGGTGAACTTTTGAGCCGGGTTTTTAAGAAGGATGAGACCATCGAAACCGAGATATGCGAATGAATTAATGAGATCTATTTTTCGCTTCTCCGAGCGAGAACCTTGGTAGGCATCTATATTGATTTTAAATGAGACCTCTTTATATTGAGCCCATAGATGAGAAGTGTCACTTTTGACAATAGCATGGAGTTCGTCATACGTCTCGGCGGAGCCCCAGTGCTCATGGATGCTTTGCGCTAAGACAGAGCGTTCTAGAAGAGCTTTGGCAGCATCTTCCGATGGCAGCTGGACTATACAGAACGGCGACTAGAGAACATGATGAGTAGGTAGGTAAGATTAGGTATAAGATTGTAGTATAACGGGATATGGTCCATTACCTCTTCGCTATAAGATAAAACCTCTAAGTTAATGTTGTTGACAACAGCAAGTGACTGTATCTCTGCCAGCCGAAAAGTCTCGTGAGACTGAGAAAAACGAATGAGGTACTTCATCACGAATTATGCGCCATAAACCTCTTGATAAATGCACAAGACGATGTAAATGATCCTGTTATTTTTAAATCTATAAGTCGCTCCATCTGGGATCCATGAATAATTTTGGTAGTTGTAGCTTGGATGGTCATGTTGGACTTTTTAGTAGGTAAGTAAACTTTAGTAAATGTGAATAGAGTTTGCTGGAGAAGCCCGATATGGAGATGTTGCTTATATCCATAAGTGCTCCTTTAGTGCAATAAATTCATCTTGATCCGGAATTCTACCCAGTAATACAGCATAATAAGATACCACAAAAATTTTGCAAGTGTCTAATCGCATACTCGAGCGTTAGTATTAGTGTAACTTCAGAGCTCACTTTTCAATTTCAACATCCAATATCTTGATCACTTCTCTCTACTACCACAATATTCATGTAAAACATTAAAATTACTATTCGCACGCGAGAGCGCTCTAAGTTCCTGAGACTGTTGTTTATTAGAGAAAATGTTCTCTTTTGCGACGCCAAGCGTCTACCAGTCTTCAAAATGTTTCGTCACCTATGGCGTAACGAGCCATCTTCAACCTGGACAGCTTCCGGGAAAAGGGAAACCGTGGAGCGCACTCCTCGCGCAGGACTTTGTACATAAGGTTCATTCATCGTCTATCTACCTATGTATACACCACGCTAATATAACCTAGATCGATTTAGTTCTCCCAGAAGAGCTATTGCAAGTTGTCAAAGATAAAATAACCGGAGATCCTAGTAGGGGACCACCTGTGTTTTACAAAGTTATCATGAGGCTTGGACAAGTCTTAGAGGGGGACTTTTTCACTGAGTATGTCAAGATAGGTAATTCGACCCAATTGCTCTCACATCCTCTATTCCGGGAATTTAACCATATCTTTAACAGGAAATATCATGATGCTCTCAGAAGGAAGGGTTGATTCTGATAATGTATTTTCCTTAAAAGAAGGTGAGTGTAAAGTACTTGATGGGCGAGGGGTAAGCTATCGGAGTTTTATAGCTAACAATTTTTTTATCATAATAGGTATACTCACAATGTACCTCGATAAAGAGGCGTATGAAAGAGCTGGGCTTGTTGGTAAACCACATGGAGTAAAGGGTAAACGTGGATCTAAGCCCCGATGGAGTAAGCGAACTCGTTTCAAAGCGGCTGCTATTACTACTAATTAATTCTTGTAGTTGTTCAATTCGATCTCCGAGATCCTTCGATGCTCCACGGGAAAAAGGGCTTCGATAGACTAATATATGCATGTAAAAATGTGCTAAATAGGCCTCTCACGTGGCTTTTCCACGAACTCTCTAAGAGTAAGGTATATTTACCACACTATGCTAATTCGCCCGCTAACAGCTGTATTTAAACAGCGCCTGTCCCAGATCCCCTCTCACAGTACTATCCTACAAAGTATACGTCAAACCCTATGATCTCTGAATGTCTTTCTATGAAAGTCCCGCCATTAAAACCCCCGCCAGCCATCATTTCTAGTCAAAACAGGATGGATCTGGAGGAATTCGTCACCGAGATATATGAGTGGCTGTCACTAGTTCGGCTCGGTAGCCCACGAGTGGATGTAGACGATAAGATAGACCCTTATTTGTCGTGTTATGCTGTTCCCGGCGACATGGAAGATGTTCGGAACGAGAAGCTATGTCGAGTCAGTTGGCAAGGGTTCATACCACCACAGTGGTGTCAACAAACCTTGGTGGACGTGATCCTTGCTCTGCCATCAAAATCATGGTTTGCGATGAGCGTAACATCGTTCCCAAAGGGTATCGTTGGAGATAGTGCAGATTGTACTATTCTAAGACCACCTAACTCGTCAGGAGAGTACTTCCTATGGGATATCAAGAAGCACGATTGAGAACCATATTCCAATACCTAACACATCAACCTAGCGAATCAATTTAAACTAATCTTGCCTCGGCCGGACGTTGCGGCTGGCCCAGCTCTGATCTGCGACGGCATCTTGGATTAAACGTCTCAGCTCTGCCTGTCCAGATTCGGAATTGAAGTCATCCCGCCCAGCTAATTGTTCTATTCTCCTTCTCAGTTCAGAATCAACTTCGATATGTTCCTCCTCAGCGGGTGCAACGGTGCTGGTGATGTGTATTCCCTCGGGTAGAGGTGGTGGACCATCCGTATGGCCGTTGATTCCATTTGTGAGATTGTGGACTTGGGTGTTGTCGCTAGTGGCCTCCTTGCTCTGTAGGTACTCAGCGACCTCCGGAAAGTCATCCTCTCCGGCTATCTTCTGGCGCGCCGTATATCCATCAGAACCGATGATTGCGATATCAGCACCTAGCTCTTCAACTAAGACTCGAGCAGCATCGACAGTTTCGACGACGAAGAGCGCGGTTTCTTCATCCTCGTCACGTAGATTAACATCAACGTTGAATTCGCGAATTAGGGCACGGAGAAGATCGAGGTGGTTGTAGCTTGCTGCTGCATGGACTAAAGAGTAGCCGTGATTATCTTGCTCCGAAGCTAATGCTGGGTTCTCTCGAAGGAGGGGTAATAAAGCCGGACTATTATCAGCAGCTAGGAGGAAGGGATTGGCAGCCATGGGGATTTGTAACAAATTGTAAAAGGAACAAAGAATCGATGGTATAGAAATCAAATTTTAGATACGCAAATGGAGATTGGTGGAGTTCAACTGTTCTAGTTCGGTATGACGCATCGTCCACTGCCCCTCGCTAGGTAACTGCCCCGCGGCAGTACCCTAAATTTATTGCTGACCGCCTTCCAGTTCTAGTGCATTGCCCCTCTAGTTTGCTCTGTAGCACCCCAAAATCGATCAGGAACGGTCCACTATTGGCTGTATCGGGTAGGCACCTACATACTTGGCACTTGCCTAGGTATGTAGGTACCTAACTTGAAATATTTTGAAACTTTGGAACTGTGAGATCTTACCAAGAACACAGTACAAACCTTGAACATCTTCTGATCTTTTACCACCAACAATCAGTGATCATCCAATCATCCTGAATCTATACTGACCATAACAACCAAGCTTCAGGTGACTCATGCCGATAGATCGGGGACATCCAAACACAGCCTCCTCACCTGCTAAAACTTGGCTTACCTAACTCGTCCCAATACTCTAAAAGGTCACAACTTGTTTCTGCCATATAAAATACTTGGTATTTTCTTACTATTAGGTATTGTTGATATTTCGATACTTCCTCAGATACTGCAGGCACAGGTGGAACCGTAATTTCCTGGTACCTACCTAGTAAATGAGATATTCTTGCCACAGGGTTCACCAATCGTTCAGCACTGTCAAACGACGACTTGTTCTCCCTTTCATCAATTTACCCCGGACTTCGCTATATCTAGGACGCCACAAGGTACAACAAACAACTCTCTCTGATGTCCCACAGTGGACTCAGTTTGCAGCTATTCGCCAAATAAAATCTTCATTTATCCCTCAACATAGGAATTACACAATCATGGAGTCCGGAATACCATACCGCGAACAAGAATCCCAGGAGGTAGCAAATCTTGTCCGAGACCTAGGAAACAAGGCTGGCAGAGGTGTTAAGGCCAGGAAGACCACTTACGAGATCAAGGGATCAGACAGTATCACTGTAGATTCTTGGCGTTTCAACGATTGGGATTACAAGAAACGAAATTTGCCTACTTATGCCCGAGGTCTATTCACAACAAGGAACCGTAGTGGTCATCACTCGATTGTCGCGAGAGGTTATGACAAATTCTTCAATACTGGAGAGGTCCGGGAGACCGAATGGCAGAACATACAAAACAAGACCAAAGGCCCATACGAACTGACTCTGAAGGAGAACGGTTGCATTATATTCATCAGTGGCCTTGAAGATGAGTCCCTTCTCGTATGCAGCAAACACTCTACCGGAGACCGTAGTGATAACGAGGTCAGCCACGCCAGTGCTGGTGAGAGATGGGTTGACAAGCAACTAGCTACTATTGGCAAGACTAGGGAAGAGCTTTCCCGGGAATTGAGAAGAAGAAACGTGACCGCCGTAGCCGAGCTTTGCGACGATTCTTTCGAAGAGCACATCCTGGCTTACGGCCCAGAAAAAGCCGGTCTCTATCTCCACGGTATCAACGTCAACGTACCTGAGTTCATGACCTACTCTAGTAATCATGTCCAACAGTTCGCCGACGAGTGGGGCTTCCGCAAGGTTGGGCTTCAAGTATACGATAATGTCGACGCTGTCAAGACTTTCCTGGAGAGTGTTGCAGAGTCAGGAGCCCACGAAGGTCGAGACGTCGAGGGATTTGTTATTCGCTGCAAAATGTCCGTCAACCCAGAGCAAGAACCTTACAACGACTGGTTTTTCAAGTATAAATTTGAAGAGCCGTACTTGTTGTATCGACAATGGCGAGAATGCACCAAGGCTTTGATCGCCGGCAAACCCGCCAAATTCAAGAAGCACGTTAAGATTACCGAAGAGTACTTATCGTACGCGCGTAAGAGACTTGCTGCAGACTCTAAAATGGCAAAGGCCTATAACCAGAATCACGGCATCATCGCCCTCCGGGATGATTTCCTAACATACAAGAACATGAAGGGTTCGGATGCGGCTAATGTCGAGAACGACTTTGGAAATAACGAATCGGGATCCGTTTCCCGAGATGTTGTACTTGTTCCTATTGCCACCATTGGCTGTGGCAAGACTACAGTTGGCATCGCCCTGACGCATCTTTTCGACTGGGGCATAATCCAGAATGACAATATACAGGGCAAGCAGCGCCCTGCCCAGATGGTCACAGCTGTTAAGAAGCTTTTACTGGAACACCCTGTCGTCATCTCAGATAGGAACAACTCGGAACGTCGGGAACGAGCCCAGATCATCAAGGACATCCACTTACAGCATAAGGATGCACGGCTAGTGGCTCTAAATTTTACCCATGGCAATATCGATGAGATTAAGAGAGTAACTAGAGAACGCGTATTGAAACGAGGAGATAATCATCAAACTATCCAAGCCGCTTCGGACAAGGCCAAGGTGATTGGGATTATGGATAATTTCATCCACAGATTCCAGCATTGCGACCCAGAGAGTGATCCAGATAACGGCTTCGATCTAGTCATCGATCTAGACCCTATTCTAGATAGCCGTGTTAATGTGGAGACGGTGATCAGGGAATTACACCAGAAGTATCCGTCATTGGTCACCAACATCCCCAGCGGTGAAGATATCGACGAGGCCGTCAAGGCTGCAATCGAGAATTATAAACCTGATCTGAGGCACAATATCCCCGACCGGAATAAAGGACGGGATAAGAAGCAGAATCAGCAATCTAAGAATCAAGAACCGCAGGCCCCCAAGAAGAAAGCACTGGAATACATGTCGATCTCTGTCCCCGCCAAGGACATTAACGTTGCCCTTGAAGCCGCGTTTAAGGGAACCGACCCCCAAACCCAGCGATTCTATAAGCAATTACAGCAAACGCGACGCATCCAGCCGCTCTTCCATGTGACACTAATGCACCGTGCCTCAACGAAGGAGCACCCAGAACTATGGCAACGGTATACGGCATTAGAAGCTAAGAACCAGGACCAAGATGGAAAGATTGGTGAATGCGACGTCCAACTAGAGCGTGTCGTATATGACCAGCGCATCATGGCAGTGGTCGTGCGAATCCTCGACGAGGAACAGAAATGGACTTGCGTTAACAAGGTGCCACACATCACAATCGGAACACGGGATGATGGTGTTAAGCCTAAGGAAAGTAACGACTTGCTTGCAAAATGGCTGCAGAACGGCAGTGGAGACAGTACAGGTATCGGCGAGAGATTAATCGAGGGCCAACCCGTGGTTAAGGGTAGCGTACGCGGCGTGCTGTCGAGATAGGAAGCCGACCAGCCAAAGCCGTCATTGGTGCCTGAACACGGCGAAAGTGCCTCTCGCGGTAACCGTGGCGGGAGAGGAGGATTGTGTGGAAGAGAGAGAGAAAGTGGTAGAGGAAGAGGTAGAAGTAGAGGCAGAGACAGAGGTGAAGGTGGAGGTGGTGGAGGTAGGGGTGGTAAGGATGGCAGAGGCAAAAGCAAAGGCAGCGGATACAGAGGAGATCAAGGACCAGACGGAATGGAAGACAGAAGCCGAGAGAACGGAGAGCAAGGGGACATGGGCCAAAGAGAAAGAAGCCAAGGTGAACGAAGTGGAGGGAGAGCGTTAAGTGAAGAACACGCCCAATCAATACTGGAATGGCGAGAAGGAGTCCAGCAGTAGGCCATTGCTATGTCTGTATAGGTATAGCCATGTTCATTGCAAATACTAGATATGGATTGAGACTATCTGAAGCTATTCCATACCTCTAGTGTATTAGAGAATTAAATGATAGTCCACATAAGCCGTACAAATAGGAAACAGTTCCTATCACATACATACCTAGGTACCTATTCTATTATTCTATTCCGATCCTGAACTTCGTCACCCTAAATTGGCATAGTACCTAGGTAGACTAGGAGATGTGCTGTTTGAAATCCAGAGATACTTAGTCATATGCGTATGACATCCATGTGTAGAACCTAGATACCTGAGAAGGTAGACGTTAAAGAATATGATATTTCCCATTTTAGACCCCAGTTTTCCTTGTCTTCCTTCTATCCCTTCTTTTCCCGTTTTGTATAGCATCATCTTTGTTTCCCTGGTATCTCAACTCAACAAGAGGCGACAAAAACTGCTTATCCCCTTCTCACAAAATTTTTTTTTACACGTCAATAACGAAAAGTTCCTAGGTAGGTAGATGAGCAATGGAAACCAACGCCGCTCAGGCAGGCAGGCTATTGGTAACCTCCGCAAAGGCACTCCACTGCCTCCAAGCCTCCCCGCTCTCCACCGTCCATCTTGCCCTCCTCACACCTTCCTTCCATCTCCCGCCTCCGGGCCCGGCCTCCTTTACAATCTTGCCGTCGTCCCCCGGTCCCATGCTACTCTCATCAGCATCGCACACGCCTGCGACGACCAGGAACGCGGCAGTGTTCATAAGCACAAACTCGAGGATCGGGTCGTCGCGGGGGAGCTCGTTTTGCAGCAGCTTCCGCAGGATCTCCGCATTCTCGTGGGGTTCTTTGCCGGGGGACACGGTGTCCAGCGGATGCGCGGCTAGGCCGAAGTCCGCTGGCTCCAGTGTGAAGTGCTCAACGTCGACGTTCCCGTTCGCGTGCTCAACGAGCTGCCAGCATAATGTCGGGCCTGCGCAGGATACCTCGTCTAGCTGCTCCTTGCCGCATACGACTAACCCTTTCTTAGCCCCGGAGAGCCGTAGCGCTTCTGCGAAGACGGGGCCTAGGTCGTCGCGCGCGACGCCGAGCATACGCGCTTCGATGGCGGAGGAGAGCGGGTTGCTGAGAGGCCCAAGGAGGTTGAAGATTGTGCGCCAGCCGATCTCTTTGCGTACGGGTGCTACGTGGCGCATTCCCGGGTGGAAGACGGGGGCGAAGAGGAAGGCATAGTTGCTCGCGCCGTAGACGGTGGAGATGGTGGAGGGATTGATGCGGTTTAACTGTGCAGGTTTGGGTTGCATGTTCATGAGAAGGTCCGCGGACCCGGATTTGGAGGTCGAGGCGCGGTTGCCGTGCTTAGCGAGCAAAAGTAAGGAGGAAGCGAGGATAGAGGAGGTGGTGGATATGTTGAACGTGTTATGGGAGTCTCCGCCTGTACCAACTATGTCGCACTATATAGGAGTGTTGTGTTACTACTGGCGTTGCTGACTAGCTAACGTATAGATATACATTTAACCCCTCAACGTTTAAGAGATGAAACTTACCAGCCCACCGTTATACTTACCCTCGGGCCTCCGACGCCTCGCAATAACAGATTCGAGACTGGTGAGGTCGATACCCGCTGCGTGAGAGCGCATCGCAGCTGAGGCCTCGGCGAGGACATCGGGGCGTCGGTCCAAGCCGGTGAAGTGCAGAGCCGTGAGTAGCGACCCGGTTTGTACGGGGCTGAGCTTGTTGACAAAGATGAGGGAGAGGGCGTCGGCAATTTCCTTAGCTGTTACGTTTTCCTTGGCGGGATCGGGCCAGAGGCGATGGAGGAGTGGCCGGATGTCCACAAAGGCTTGTTGGCCTTGGTCTACCATCGTGTTTACTTTAGTTAATTTCAAGCGTAGGAGAGTTATTAGATGGCCTATTCGTAATATATAGGCCCAATCAAGGAAGTTCGAGCTTATAGGTAATAGTCCTCTTTATGATTTAATGGTAGGTTCAAGATTGTTAAGATATCTAGTAGGCAGGTAGGTATAGTGGATGTACGTAAATACCCACTAAGAGATGACTTACAGATGCCCCGCTATCGGATAACGGGATGGAGGGGAATCCCGGCTGCAAACGACCCTTATTTCCATTAAAGCGGTGACGATTGGCAGATCTGACTGCAGCCATGGAAAGAGATATCTAGTACACAGTACTAGGTACGTATCGTTCAATATATATGGGGCTATCGTGCACGGGCCATAGCACCTTGGAAAATCAAATGAACGAATTAACTTTTGAAGCTTTTATGATATTAAATTTATAAGACTAGAATAAAGCCCGGTCCGATTCAAACCCCTACGACATCGATACAACGGCTAGCGAGGTAATAGGAGAGGTGATAAGCTTACGGGCTCTTCTCTCTGCCGCTGAAGATGCCGCCTCGAATCAATTGCTCGACGCGGAGTAGTATTAGTCAGGCACTCCAAAGAACGACGACCGCGACGACTGGAAGTTCTCAAAGACCAGCAGCTATATTATCTCAGACCTCAAAGACTCCCTCGAGATATTATGCTAGCGCATCATCCGTACCACTTGCGGCACTAAGACTACCCGACAACTATGTCCCGCCAACACAGCCACCAAGCGCACGACCACCCGATACACGGAAATCCCAGCTCCTCAGAACATACACAGCACTGCTGCGCTCGACACCTCTAGTCTTGTTCTTCCAGCATAACAACCTTACTTTCGTGGAATGGTCTGCAGTCAGACGAGAACTGCAAGCTGCCCTTAGTAAGGCGCCCGCACCAGCTGTCGGGCCTGACGGCGGAGTACCCGTGGATATTTCGGAAAGCATCCATCTACAAGTCATACGGACGCGCATCTTCGCCACCGCCCTCAAGATCGTCGAATTCTACCACGCCGAAAAACACTTAGATACATCTAATGCCTATACACATGATTTATCTACAATGGCCTACGAGACCATTTCCCAGGCCCCAATTAACGAGAACTCGGCGTACGGCCAGATCAGCCCTCTGTTGATCGGGCCCGTTGCTGCCCTGACCTTTCCAGCAGTATCACCGGCGCATCTCGCTGCCGCACTCTCGATCCTTGCGCCCTCTGCCACGGCATTCCCTGCGCCGATGCGCAAGAAGAATCCTGGGTACTACGAGCCCATAGCACAGAGCGGGTTGCAGAAGCTGATCCTCGTGGGTGGGAGAGTCGAAGGCAGGGTGTTTGATAATGACGGAATTAGATGGGTTGGTGGTATTGAAGGTGGTATGGGCGGCCTGAGGGCGCAGCTCGTGTCCATGCTGCAGAGCGCTGGTCTGGGTCTTACGACAGCGTTGGAGGGACATAGCAAGAGTTTGTGGCTCACGCTGGAGGGTAGGAGGACACAGCTTGAAGAGGAAAGCGGTGGGGTTAAGAAAGAGGAAGAGGCAGAGAAGAGCCCATAGAGTGTATGATACGCGTCATGTTTGTATATCATGTCGGACATATATAAAATAAAAAAACCAGCGTATGTGGTAAATCCATTCTTCTAACCAAAAAAAAGCCCACCTTACATGACCACCCACGTCATTCCTTAGTACCATTACTTACCTCCAAATATCTATCTAGTAGGTATCTAGGTGGACTCTTACAAGTTATGTATGAGACACCATAGTTCGTTTATCCAGAACCTGTCGGCAACCGAAGTAAACTACACCGTAAGAACTTAATAAATGCATAGAATACAGATATGCATATGCATTTACACGTTTCTGCTGCATGACGCCAACGTTCGCGTACCCCTGTCCTACCATCCAATCTCGTAGCAGGTGCTTGGTACCTAGGTGCCTAGAGCTTAGGTAGGTGCGTACCAGGTAGCAGCGTAGGTACTGTAGGTAATTAGCTGCAAGTCGCAATCGCATTTCAAGGTTTCGGTACTACTTGGGTAGGTAGCTACGATGGGAATTCTAAATTCTAAATAATCTAAATATAACCGACGCAACGTCATCCCGTTCTTCTTCCATTCCAATCCAAGCCAACCTCCCTTCTTGCCATCATTTAGACTTGCCTTGCCTTGCCTGGCGGCTATCCCAAAATGGACTTTGCTCCATATCAATCCTCCCCGCCCGAGAACAATAGACCTTTCTCTCCTCCTCGATCGAACGTGGCATCACCGCGCGCCTCCCTAGACAACCGACGACCGTATTCTCCTTCGAACCAGCAACAGAGAGGCTTCGCGTCTCCGCCACCGCTACAACATCCCCAGCCTCAGCGAACTTGGCAACCTACACTTCCCGGAGCTGCGGCAGGTGGTTATGTCCCGGAGGGTGGAGCATACGTGAGCGAGTTCGACACGAGCCTAGGAATACGGTTAGATTATGAGGCCTGTTTGGCATATCTAGCACTACCACCCTTAGGCGCTATCATACTCTTGATTCTAGAGCGGAAGAGCGATTTCGTGAGGTAGGTTTCCCTTCTGTATCCTCGGAGTATTGGGCCATTATAAGAAAAGGGGCAGCTTTGTTGAGATCACCCTAAAGAACTTTGGCTAGGATTGGTTATATCTCATCATTCACATCAATAGCGGCTATCAAAGCTCATTTATCCCCTATCTATAATTACTAACACGTCGCCCAGATTCCACGCGTGGCAGTCTAGTCTCTTATTCACCGTCATCTTCATCGTACATCTGATCTTCTCATGGTCAACATTCCTCAGCTGGGTCATATTTATTGCCGATTTGGGATTGATGGGTTGGTTGGCTTTGCGTGCGTATAGGGATGCGGATACCCTAGATAGGTAAGGAGTCTAGTCAACCCTTTTTCTAGGAGTGATATATGTTTACACTAGACAGATTCGAAGTACCTCTTTTCGGTCACATTGCAAGTCGAATACTAGATGACGAGTAAAGCCCACCGGTGGCCTGGTTTTATATCCATCTTAGAGGATTCGGGCTGAGTCTGCATTTCGCTGTATCATATCGGCTACCGCTATTGTTGTACATATACCCAAGTTGGTTTCTGTGTTGACATCAACTAATGTCATTTGTTGACGCCTGAATTCCATGGAGCATTAAATGCTATGGTTCTATAGTTATTATAGCTGTAAGCTTTAATAAAATGGCAGTCGTGCAGACCGTTTATGGTCATTGAAAAGAAATACCTTTACTACCTATCTAGTAAACCACTCCTAAATCATCCAACGATGATGAATAGAAGGACCACCAAGTTCAACTTTGTAGTGATCATAGGTAGGTACCTACCTACCTAGGTATCTACCCATAAATCATAGATACCTATAGTGAATATTACCTACCTAGTACAATAATAAATCAATGACATGTTATTATACTCTCAAGTAGGCAAGAACCTAGGCATTTCAAAAACTAGATGGAAGGGGTCGCACCCGGGCAATCACATATTAAACTAGGTACATAGGAATATTAGGTACGTAGATAATATATGAGACTCCTAGGGAGAGCTGTTGTCGCTTAAAGGGTAGTTCCAGCATTTACTTCAGTGTTCGACTTGGAAGCACCTACAATAACCGTGTCCGTTGAACTAGTGGCAGCCGGAGCACGCTCCATGAAAGAAGGCATCACGGGAGGGCTCTCGATGATCCATCCATCTTCATCGGCCGCCGCCCAACGTAGACAGCCGAGCATAGCTTCATTCCAGCGTTTGTGAGATGGCAGTTGCACAAACGCATAGAAAACGTGAGGAAGGCCAGGGAATATGTGAACATTTGTACGAACACTGAAACGGGATATATCATTATTAGCCACAAAAGTGTCACGAACTCTATTCGGGTGAAAGATAGGAGCGGTTTCGTACCCAGCGTTTTTCAACTTCGTAGCATACAACAGGCCCTCATCCCGTAGCGGGTCCAAGCCCGCAACAAGAAATGCCGCTGGTGGCATACCTTTCAGATCCTCCTCATCAGCAAGTCCTGGGCTCCATGTTGGATGAGAGGGGTCGATCTCGTCGCCTAGAAGGGCGCTGAATAAATTCAATCGCTTAAAATTAAGGATAGGGGCGTCTTTGCACTGCACCATAGACGTCCTCTCCTTGCCGGCGAAGAGGTGGTAGGGAAACGCCTTCCAGTGAAGTAAACTTGGGATGCCCAAAACCTGCCCCTTGACTCGGTTGGGGGCACCGGTCTCGCGAGCCCGACGTAGTTCGGACTGTACCACCTGAGCTGTTAGTGAAGCTCCAGCTGATATCCCGCCTACGACGATACGGGATGCATCAATTCCTAGAATTTCCGTGTGCGTGGCCACCCATTCGAAGCCGTCGAGAGCATCGTGCCATGGCGTTAGCCCTTGAACCTGCGGCGTGTGCCGGTAGCAGACATGCACGACGGTCATAGATAGTGAGTGAGCGAGCCACGAGCAGTTGAAGAGCTCCGTGTCTAATGCGCCAAAGATAAACCCTCCGCCGTGATGATACACGTAGCCAGGTAGTGGCTTAGACCCCAGCAATACCGGCCGGTAGCTGCGCACGGTGATTGATTGTCCGTCACGAGTAGGAACGACGTGGTCCTGGGTCGCGACGAGCTTGTTCAGGCCAGTGCTCTGGAAGAGATGTTTTGACATCGTCGTACGCGTCTTATTTGTATTTGCTTGCTGCATCAGGGGAGGCAGGTGGTCTTCTGAGATTCCCAGCATTACAGAGTTGGCCGCCGCGAAGGACTGCCACTCCTTGCTGGGATTTCCCCACGGAGTAAAATCCATAGGACCCGAGAAAATGAGAATTACCTATATATGACTAGTATCTATTAGGTAAGATGAAGAGTAGGTTAACGTATTAGGTAGGTAAGTAAGATCTCGAAATTTTGACATAACCTAAAAGCCTAGGTAATTATAGAGGTATATAAAAGGCCGGAGAACTGACCCATCTTGGGGTCCGAAAGCTACCTAGATTAAGGCTCTATGTTGACTTTGGGGGGAAGTTAGCTAGATATACTTGCTGTAGAATCTACCCGGTTCGGACCCAATTGGGGCCGGACATCCATTCCGTCAGACATGTACCTACCTACCTACCTATCTACTATGCTAGGAGGACTATCGTATGGGAAGATATTTCTGAAGATCTATGCACAATACGTAGCCCTAGGTAGGTACCTAGGATTGATTAAAAAAAGCAACTCATCTGAATGGTTAGTTGGCTTTCTCAACAAAGCTCCCAGGACTTGGTTCGAAGCGAATGAAACATTACATTAGGTATATTCCTATATGGGTAGGTGAACGTCGTAACTGATCCGAAGCACAACTTCAGCTCCATTTATAGTCCGCAGTCATTTTATTTCTCCGGATTCACGATTAGAATACATCACTTGCTTATCACGATTGGATAGCTGTTCTCGGTACTCACCAGTTACGATAACATCGGGAGTCAAAGTCTCTAATAATCTAAGTAGGTACCTAGGTAGGTAGTTATTAGTTAAAATATCAACTCAGCCGGTTTCTAGGAGGGAGGTACCTAGCGGTCGGGACTCAGGTTAAAATCCGAGGAGGCGTCCATAGCGCAATAGACTATGCTATTCTTGGTAACACGTCCATCCGAAAAAGGGACAGAGATAGGCGTCGATTGCGTAACCTACCTAGGTAGATACCTGCATAGGTAAACAATCTAGTTTTGACAAGGATCATCTATTCATGAGGGGCGAGAGCTAAATCTTGGAAAAGTGATTTATCATCATGAAATCGACACTAGAGCTAGGCATTTCCTTCGAATATTAGTATTTATTACCACAGATCCAGAATGACTAGATGTATGCTTAGGCACCTAGTAGCTTATTCAGTAGTTCAACAAGAACTTATATCGCAGCTGCCAAAGGAGGCAACTTGAATAGGAACAATGTCGAATTTGGTCCGACCACAGCCTCTATCCAGTCAGACGCGAGTTCATCCCTTCAATGGGATATGGCCCATGACCAGGGTTATTTTGATATCGCTATCAACGGCGTTCTGCGCAATTGTATTAGGTATTTCGATTGCACTTGCCGCCGATCCTGCCGTTGGGAGTTATGTCGTTGTTTGGACCGCCCCGCAAGCAGGTGCGGCTCTGCTTTGGTCCGGGATCGAGGTTGTTACGGCATATACGGGAGGAAAGAATCATCGGGATATCCACCCCGGTGCCCACGTGGCTGTGCACCTCCTTCTCTGGTTAGGTTTTGGTATCGGGGTAGGGTTAACAGCCTGCATCTTAGCATTCGCCGTTTCCTTCAACGACTTCGATCCTTACCCAGAAAACTATGATTATTATGGAAGAGATCCTGGACATGGGTATTATAGCGAGTACTATATCCACTCCATAGAGGCTGTTATAGCATTTCTAGGCCTTCTGATGTGAGTCTTCAGATACCCTTTCCTTCATACCTAGGTACCTACGCATGGAAGGATATTTTCATCCGGCTTCTAATTCTAACCATAGTATTGTACATTTTTCGCTCTTTGCTGGCGCTTGTGTGGAAATACTCGGATGTAGAGAGGCGAAAAATACGATGGTCGTTGATATATCGTCTGAGCATTCTGAACATCGAATGCAGCAACCGCAGTTGGTCCAGCTGCCCTTGAAGGACGAAAAGAGGGAACTTAGGACTAATGCTATGTGATCAATTCAATAGTTGGAGATAGATTTTAACCGCCGCCGACGAGGACATTATAACTTATGGCGTTGCATGCGCGCTAAGCAAAACACCGATCGACAGAAAGCAGCCTTGCCGTCTCAATTGTTGTAAGGATGGGATATGGGCTGAGTTGAAGACCAACCGACCAGCCACGTATTGACTTTACGATACCCATGTTGGAGTGGAAAACTGCACTGTTGTTGAGGTTACGCTAGACCCACCCACGAGCATCTCTATGAAGCAGAAATCGTTTGGTGGATCTCTCAGCGATTGAATGTTATGCAGAACGGCTTTTGCACGCTGTACGATATCTACCTACCTACTAGGTACCTATTCATATTGGTATCGTATCACAAGTGAGAATAAACGCCTAACTTGAATTGGCCCCATAGCTGCCATCAGCTACGTGTCAATCCGTGATGCATTCCATTAATGTATGCTACTATTAAGCATCGTAACATTTCATTCACCTACCTACTAGGTAGATAGATACCGGAACCCCCCATATTCTTTCGCCAAAGTCTCTCTTTTTATAGAGAAAGTATTATATAAACATTTCATGATAGTAATACAATAACCCTAGATAGGAGAAACAAGATACGTTATACCATTGTAGTTCTTTGAGCAATGGAGGTGAATTCTTGCACTAGTGGATCAGTGCATGACGTCGCCTCTCGATATTTGAAGGGCTTGGTAGTTGTATTCAAGCTCTTAATGGTACATTACCTTCACTAGTAACTAGCGAACATAGATATTGCAGTCGTATTTTATATGCGTATGTGTTGCTTTTAGCAAGTTTCTGACCAGGCAACGATACAATGATCCCTTGCCGAAGGAAAACAATCTTAAAAGATGCGGAAGTAAGATGATAATTTGACGAGTTGTGCCGTGTCTAAGAAGTAGCGAAAATTGCGACCAACAAATCAAGTTCCTAAGGCCTAGGAGTTGAGAGCTAACACGTACAAAATGAGCGATTAAAAAATTAGGTCGAAGTTGATTTAATCAAAGATGGTTTGCGGTGGCTAGTTGATAGGCACCATTGCGGTGAGAAGCGTATTGTCGATATCGGCCCTGCTAGATTGCGTAAATGCCCCTGATGATTAACTACGCCCAGAATAAATTTAACAGTGGTCGAGAAGCACTGTGACGAGGTCTCCGATCCTGATTAAACCATGGCATTGTGGATTCCCCGGAAATGGGATATTCTTTCCGATGTAACGGCCGCGAAGCCTATGCCGATAAAGGCCCTTTCCGAAATAAATGATCATTTCAGTCTGTAAGTTGAAGCCAGCTTGTTGATTATACTGCTTTTCGTGGCATGTAGTGGTGCGTGTGGTTGACTCCCTGCGTTTTTTCGTGGCCTCGTCCTCAATTCAGTCGATAGCGCGGCCAAGACATGTGGGATGTTGCGAGCCGTATTGACTTCTTTTGCTGCTGGCAACGCTAACAATGTGATGGTATACGTTAGCATTTATCCAGCCCAATACTCTACGGACCGAATTCATGTCAACAAAATAATTAACGCGTTTCTTGGTGTATTGAAAGCACGCAATGCATTGACAATGTCGCAGGATAGATGGAGTTCAGAGAGATATAATTTATGTCAAGAATGGGCGTGGGTGATCAACAATGGCGGTAATACTCTGGAGAAACTTGACATGTCAAGATTAACATCGAACTTGAAATATATCCCGTGCATTTAGTCGAGCCCGGGATTTCCGTCCTGATCCCGGTGTCCTTGGGAGCGAGTCGACCTACGCAAGGCTTGTCCCGGACGCGGCTTAACGGGCCGTTTCTCCATAAATGCCCGGTCAGTATCGTCAGTCTGTCGTAGGCGGTTTCGGTCTTTTGGCTGAAGTCTAGTCCTAACTTCGGGAAGTTGCAAAGGAAAGAAATCATGAAAAGAAAATCGAAAGCGTAACCTACCCCTTGAAAGGTCTGAGTTGGTTCTGGACCGGCTTCGTTATGCGCCCCTGGGTGTGCCTGTCATCGAGATGCACGACATCAAAGAGCCTAATCGGTAGGCGTATATCAGCCAAAACCTAGCAATAACCCTTTAACTTAAGATGCTGCATCTCCTAGTGGATCTGATTCTCTGTGCTGCCACATCGACGTCGATGTATAGCTGACTACGATCATGGTCGAGCACTCTCTGATGCAAACGGATCGCTAAGCTTCGCTTAGGATCACGAAGAAGCGAGGCGAAGGAGATAAAGAGAACGAGACGCCGTCCTCGGCCCCGGAATGAAACCCTATAGCAACTGGATAAGAAGAGAGATGGTAAAAAAGAAATTGCGTCATGCACTTGCTTTGCGTTGATATGGATCTTCAGAGACATGCACCGGAATTACAAATTGAAGAGCTTCCTTTGGAGAAAGACGGGCTGACCCCCGAGGAAGGGTATTATATGTTACAAGCTCCCCTTAGCTGTAGCCCAAACCGGGATGCCGGGGCTAATACGAGGTCGAGGGTTGAGATTTGAGCCTCCTCGCTAGGCAGGAGGAGGACGGGTATGTCATTGCCAATAGATGCTATTCACTTTTGCTTCTTCCTTTTTTCCTTCGCAGATAATTGGATGGCCAATGGCATTGAAGACGGACTTGGGCATCAAAAGGAGGTTCCTGATACTACCGTGGGGACTCATAGGATCCACGGCTCGGCCGTTGCAGTCTGAATAAGCTATGCATAGGTAGTTTTTAGAAGTCGATACCCGAGGGTGGAAAATCCGCCGGTTAGATCCAGCATGGGGGCGATCATTTGGATCGACACAAATGTCTCCTTAATAGTAAGGAGAGAAGAACGGTGACGTGAACCCGGGACCCACTAGGACAATTCTCGAATATGAATGACCTCATGGCAGATTGGTCAATGAAAGACAGACTGGACGGATAAAGTTGAAGATTTGGGGGTTGAGAGTATTAATCGAGACCAGTCTCAAAATACTACTGTCCCGTTCGTGCGAGGTAGCGAGGTAGGCAATCCGGGTATTTGCCGAGCATCCCACGCGTCGCTGCGAGCCACACACACCCTGAATAGGCGTAGCCCCTGCTGATCCGGAAGTGAAATGGAAAAAAAAGATTAGACGAGCCTGAAAGGATGGGAAGAAGTTCGTTGCTTGCCTTACCATTTAGCGATGGTCGACGGACAGCTAGAAGGATATACATACCTACTAGGTAATGCCTAGTTCTCCAGCTTTGCCCGCTAAATGCCTACCTACCTGCCTGCCTACATGCCTAGACCTCAGCCCCAGGTCCTAACGACAAGGGTCGGATACAATTGATAGGTATAGCGGCCAGCTTAGACATACCGGAAGCGTAAGGTGGATATGCATACTACCTAGTAGGTACCTAGGTAGGTAGGCAGTACTAATACCTATTAGAGTGTAGACCGGAGTAGGCGATGGATCCTAATTGCAGCCCAGCTCCTGACGCGTCTTCAGAACATTGTAAATGGACACGAGAAAAGTGTTTTCTTTTTCTCCTTTTAATTATTAGGGAGGATTGACATAAGCACGTTGGTGATGGTTGTATGGTTGTGTGGTGATGTTGTATTTAAGATCGAATCCTTCAGTCAGGTCAAATACTACATACTACATGCTAATAGTACATACTAGTAATAATAACCTTGGAACCTTGAAGAACGTGCCTGCTGCGTGTGGTCCTTACCTGCAGTTTATTTAACCCCTTTATTACATAAGATCTAATAGACTACTAGGTACCTAGGTAAGCAAACCTGGACCGTACGTGCACCTATCATTACTACTATTTTTAAGCATTCACTACCTACATACATACCCGTGACCTTGTACATACCTAGTAGGTATACGACATGAGGTACTTCCAGGTTTTACATTACTACTTAGTACCTACCTAGGTACATACATGTAGGTGTATGTATTATGTCCAGTGTTATCTGGACAACATCCAATCCAATATTCTCAAGTGCTGTAGTTAGGTAGTGTATTGAATTAACTGACACTTCAATGATTCAACAATCAATGTACATAGTACTTATTTCAAAATACGTAGGTGGAGGTAAATACATCTAGGCAGCCAGGCGCCTCCGATGATTTATTAATCTGTTCTTATCAGACAATTCTTTTTCTGCCTTTTAATCATGAAGTCGTCGGCCCTTCTTCATTATCATTTCTTGTCCTTGGTGCATAGTACATGTACACCTGCATTGGCCTTCAAATCCTGGTCGTCAGAGAAGGAAAGCAGGCTGCGGGTTGAAGAGATTTGAAGAAAAAGGAGAGAGAAAAGCGTGGCTTTTGAATCCCACCTGCTTTGGCAAAAGCTGGCACATAGTTGGCACATACATATTTCACCTACTTCAGGCACGCTACTACGGCACAGAATATGGAAAGTCACAGTCACTTTGGCACGGACACAGATTTGGCTTGGATTGTTGGAAGTGTGTGTGGATGCCCTGGATCTCACCGAGCTTCCTTTCCGGTCTATTGACGCCGTCAAGTTCCTTAAAATGGCGGCCTCGCTCATATTCCATCTTTCCTACCTAAGTTCTGCCTACTAGGTAGGTAACCTACATATATGCCTCCCTATACACATACAATATCAATCCGTTGAAGATGCAACAACTTGGCAGATTTCGAAGCAAACATGTCACATACATATCTAATCATTTCGTATGTGCTTCCTTTTCTTTCCCCGATACCCACCTCGGTATCGTTCGTTCGCCTTTCCTGCTTCACCATCGTGTCGATAAATGTACTAGGTACGTACTAGATATCTCATCATGTCAGACTTGGTCAGCATGCATGTGGTTATTAGGGCCTGTTCCAAGGATCGATCTATCGGTTTGCGTGGCCAACATTTGGCAACATTTTCTTGCAAGCGCCTAATAATAACAACAACAATACTATGTAACGACAGCGTACCTGACCTGACCTGACCTGTCCAATTGAGGACTTTTTGCACTTACATAGTATTAGTTACTAGGTAAGGTATTATTGAAAGGGCCATACGAAGCATCAATAAGAACCATACGAGGCGGCGAGGGTTGTACGGGTACCTACCGTAGCGTTGATACAGTTTGGTATTGGTGTCTCCGATACTGTATTTTTCCTTGCTAGAGAGGAATATTAAAGGCGTATTAGGGCGTAGTCGATGAGACACTAGACGGGATAATGGAATAAACGTGCAAGTCAAGTGGATACCACATAACTAGTCCCGCACAGTATGATGTACTGTATATGTAGGTAAGTATAGAGTACTACGTCCACAGATAGTAACTAGACCTATGCGCCAAGTACCTACCTACATACATAGGTACCAGGTGTGTATTGAACTGGCGCTAAGCTATTAGTCGGTCGACACTGCACGACGGTCCGCCAAAGCAGCCTCAGGGCTCCATTCAATCATCCCAGTTCTCCAATCTTTTCAATCTTTTTTTTTCTTTTTTCCAAGTTCCCCTTGTCGAATTTCTTCAGGCGTGCAAATACTTTTACAGGATCGGAAACTAGGACGAAAGGAGCAAGGAGTGGTTTCTTTACGGAGAAAACGCAACAAATGCGCCGACGACTCAAGCTAACTGGAATCTCGGCCCAGGGTCGCGTCGAAACACCTCAAACATCGCACCACTTGCAGCACACACTCATCCGTTCCTACGGCCTACTGCTGGCCTTTGCCTATGGGTGCGTGTTATGTTCGTGTGCTGAACCCCCCACCCCCCCTTCTTTGGCATCTGATCCCCTTGTTCCTCTCGTCTCGGCTACGCATAGGCACGTACATACATACATACCTACATATCATACCTTACTACTTGCCATACACTACATACACACTACATACGTACATACACATCCATACGCATCCACTTCCCACGCAATACATAACACTACAAGGAAGTAGGCAGGGTAGGTAGTAGGCCAAAGTAGGGTCAGGTAGAGCTACCTTAGCTGGCTGGTTCTCCTGGCTGGCTGGCTGACTGGCTGACTGACTGGCCGGTTGGCCCACGCCCACCGTTCGAAGGTGTCGAGAGCGTCCAAAGTCCACCAGTCCACCACGCTCCCCGTCCCCGTCCCCGTCCCCTGCCAGCCCTAGGTCGGGTTTCGTGACTTGGCCCCCCTTACGCAGCAGCCCAGCGTGGAATCGGGCGTGCCCCTGCTCAGATCGCGCCCCCATAAAAAATTGCAAATTAAAATCAAATCAAATGGCAGAGGCACAACAGGAACAGCCACAGGCTCATCAACCTCAGCCTGAACCCGTCTTTGCCGCCGCTGAAGAACTAGCCCATGCTCTCCCACATCAATCGCCGGGCCAGTCTTCATCACCACAAGCTACGCAAGAGCAGGAAAAGAGACAAGGGACGCAGGGGCAGGTACAGGTACAGGTACGGGTAGAGCCAAAGATACAGTTACTGTCACAGGCAGAGCCAGATGTCAAAACTTTCTATCACACACACGCACGCGCTCCAACTACAAATTTACGATCCCCAAATAATGCAACTACGGCAACACTAGTCGCCTACGCGCAGGAGCAGGAGTGGGCACGAGAAAAGGACCAGGATCAGGATCAGGACCAAAAACAGGGGCACCGAATTCCCTCTTCGAATCACTCCTCCAACGACGTCGCTAACCCGATCTCGACCTCAACCTCGACCTCAACCTCAACCTCGAATTCGACTTCAAACTCTACATCAACGACAGCCTCGCCTCTGAGAGTCTCCACGACGACTACCGTCGCTGCTGACCAGGCTAGTCTGCCCTCGGCGACGGCGGCCACCAACGGCGCTTTGCCTGATCAGCAACATCAGGAGCAGAAACAGCAAAGGAGCGTTGCGCCGTCATCGGAAGCCATGTCGAACAACCCACCTCATCACCACCAAGGGCCTCGACAACCAGCTAGCTACCCGACTCCGACAGCGTACGCGACGCCCGTCATGACCAGTGCGCATTACGGATATGCGAATCCGCCGACCCAAAGCCCGGACGCGTACCGGGCGACCGCAGGCGTCCCGAATAGCGCCATGGCATTGCCGAGTATGCGCACCTTCGACCCGGTCCAGCAGCAGGCCCAGCAACAGCAACATATGGCGATGGCTATGCCCGTTAACCCGGTACCTTCAGTCCCATCAATGCCGACACAGCAGCACATGTCTTATTTTGGACAACAACCGGTCCCTATGACAGCGAATAATCCGTATGCCTTACCTCCAGAGGCTTTAAGACCGCAATATGCTTTACCTCCAAGCGGACCGGGTAGTGTGCTAGGTGGTCGACATAAGAAGGTAATTGGAAATAAAGACATCCCTCCCGGAATTATTCTAATTTTTTTAATGTTTGCGACTGACCGTGTGGTGTTATGTGTTCTCGTAGGAGATCAAACGTCGAACAAAAACAGGTTGCCTAACATGTCGCAAACGACGTATAAAGGTATGTATTTTATTGTTATTATTATTATATTTTATTTTACGGGACCCTTTGTTTTTTTCTCTCTCGCCAAACCCCATTATCACGGCGGTGAGGCAAGTATGGGCTACAAGATTAATGGTTGGGTGAAGAATTACCTATATTTAAAAAGAAAAACAAAGAAACCAAACAGTTAAGGTGAACAAGTAAAGTTAGGATACCTACCTACATTGGGGAATTTGGTTCAGTTGTCTACCTTGTCTACCTGCCTTCAGAGCTTGAATATTTCTTCTGCAGACCTTAGCTTGGGTTCAGACCGTTTGATAAAAGGAGCGACCGACGAAGCGAGCAAGCAAAAGCAAGCATGACAAGCAATTGAGAGCGGAGCAAGCAAGTGCTCGCCTCGTACCAGCCGCAAAGCACCAAAGAACCAAACCTGGCTCCAGAAAATTGGCTTTTGTCAATCGTCCGGAAACTGCCCCCGATCTCCAAAAAAAAAGTAAAACTTCCAAGGTTCTTTCCTAAGCTTTGGTCGAACCCCAAAAACTCCAACGGAGCTTTGAGCTTATTGAAGCTTGCCTATCACAACCTGGAACATTCCCCTCTCTCTTTCTTTTATCCCATCTACACATTTACCACACCTTCATTTTACTTCTGCCACTATCTCACGGATTTTTACTATTTTATCCTCATACACCACACAATTGAATATTTCATATGCACACCCCCAGACGACCTCCGTTCCTCTTATTTTCTAGCAATTCCCCTTGTTGCATATGCATGTGTTGCATACACATTATGAACAAGCTATACTGAAGTTCAGTTACTAAATCTCGAATGCGATTTTCATAGTGCGACGAACAGCATCCCGTCTGCAAGAACTGCCAAAAATCTAAGCGCGAATGCTTGGGATACGACCCAATCTTTAAAAATCAGCAACAGCAACATCCTACGAATATTCGACCGGCCCCTAATAATTCAACTTCCGCTTCTGTGCCGTCAAGTCGACCTCCCGCCTCTTCCTCCACCTCTGCGTCCGCGTCCGCTCCCGGCGGTATTCCTCAAGCTCAATCTTCTTATTCTACTACCCTTCCCCCGGTAATACCTAATAATACCACTCCTACTACCGCACCATTCACCGGAAACCTGACAGCCGCGGGAACAGCTGCGTCGACGGTCAAAGGCGAACCTCTCGAATACCCTTCCGCTATCGATCCTGCTTTAGAGCCCGTCTTGGCAGCTACGAGTACGTCGACTTCTCATTTCCTAGCGACTAGACCCATCATCCTAAATCCTCTTGATTACTATTCACCAGACACTCCCCGTCTTATCAGAGGAGGAGGTGGCCCTACGTTCGTTCCCCTGTATTCCTCTGTTTTGCATCCTACACTGTATTCACCCCAGCAGCAGCAAACGTCAGCTTACAATAGGTTTCCAGCACGAAAGATGAAGGTCCACGAGCTCGTGGGCATGAGTGGCGCCATCCCTCCCGCCCTCGACTCGCCTCTAACTAGCGAAAAGCTAGCCGAGGTTAGAGATCTGTACGACCAGGTATACGCTCCCGGCCTGGAAAAGTTCTTCGAGACGGAATGGTACACGAAACCTCGAGGCATCGGTACCTTGATATCCAGCACCGCCGTCACCGAGATGTTGGCAGGCTTTTTGCAATCCGTAGCGAAGACGGATGCGAACGATGTTGCCGGCATGCAATATTCGGCCAACCTTGAATTCCGCGTGGTTTGGGATTTGACTTCGCTGGTGTACGCATCCGAGTACAAAATAAACGTGGGAGAGCAACTGCCATTTCCCGATGATGGGTCCGAGGCAAGAAATCGGGTAACGGTTTTCGAGGTCTTGTTATCCGGCGACTATCTCGAGCAGAATCCGCTCCAACCACCTCCCGCAAGCGCTGATATACGACTTCACCGAATTAGAGAATTCAAGTTTTGGTATTTCCTCGCCGAGTTTCTCCGTGTGAAGGATCAGCCAGGTTTAGACACCATGCGTCAACGTGACTATATTCTGGGACAATTACGCGAGCTGTTGGATGGGCGCGAGAATCGCGACGTTCTCTACTCTCTTGCAGTCATCCGCGCTCTTGCGCCGAACCTCCCTCCCGACTTCGAGAGTACCCTACCCCCGCACCTGGACGAAAGCGACCCCAAGAATAAGCTAGCAGTAGCCCGCAAATTTATCCAGGACGAATCTCAAGTCACCGGCGGCACTACCAACGTAGTTCGCCGTTTCTCTGAGCTTGCCGTTCGAGCTTTCATTGTTCCTGGAAGCAATATCATTCGAAGATGACGATACACCATCCAAGTTGTCGATATTTATTACAACAATGTATTAGTATGTTTATGCGAAATCGGATGGTCGTCTTGTTGATGTAGCATCTGGGAGCGCGGAATGCCTAAGTGGTAATTTTACCTTAGTACAGCATCATCGGCACGATCGATTATCCGTTTCCCTCACTTCCAACCACGCCCTTGATCCGATCGATTATGGATGGCCATGCTGTATTTGGAAGGTGATATTATGACGCATAGATCGCACCCGAGGGGGTTCTTGACTGGCGTTACGGCATTCTACGGAACACCAAAAAATGAGACTACGTTTACATCTTCTATTTTATCCTCTTAGTAGGGTGTACGAATAAGTGTTGAAAAGAGTATTGGCGACAAAAGTGGCGGTAGGATAAAGGGCGATTTGTGTTTCATTGTCAAGATAGGATGGGTAAAAAAATCGGTGTCCGAGACGGAATTCATTGATTATCGGAGCGACGGGACGAGGTTAACTTGCCTACCTGGGTACGAGATTCGGAACGGACTTGCTTTCTTTCTAGACGAGCGAGGCGATTTCTCTCTGGCTTGTAAGGCTTGACTTATTATTCCCCGTGATGCGAACCCGATCATCCAGACAGCTATAGGGAGCTTCTTAACTAATGCGGCATAGAGCTACACGGTAGATAAAAAGGCGGTCTTCTTCTTGTGTATAGTATATAGGTATCTACTGAACGTGTCATGACGGAATATAATGCGAGATCATTTATTTCATACCGGAATGGGAAACATCAAGTGCCTAAGGAGATTCGTAGTCTAAATTCGCGGCATGAGCTAGCCGTCCCTTTTCCTCGGGGCTTAGATGTATGAATTGTGGCCCCCGAATCTCTTTCGGAGGTATCTTTTTTCGCAGGCTCAAAATGGTTGTTAATTTCCGAATAATATTAGATATGTTCCGGATCATGGGAGATTTTTGTCTCTACCCTATCTACCTAGGTACATCTAATACTTACATGCCTACCTAACATGTACTACCTACATACGTTGTTCAATGTTTTGGGACGAGTACCGAGTACGATGTGACAGAATCCACCGGGTACCAAGTATAATGTCAGACAATGTGTATGTAATATCTACATGTACCTGGAAACAGTGACACCTTAGAGTTAATTTCTTCCTCAGGTAGGTACCTAGGTACGGTACTGAGTGCGAATAAACCTACGCCAAACTCATACGAATTACTCAGCTACGCCACAATGAATGTCACAAAATTTTCGGGGAACGAAAAGTGGACAGAAAAAGTGCACTGGTTGCTTCTATCTTCTATCCATATCCGGTTGACGGACAATGCTCAGCTCTTTTCTCTAGCTGTATAGGTATTTATCAAATTGACCATTGCCTTGGCCTTGAAATCTCAAAACGCCATGAGGGGAATCATGTCATGCATCAAATTGCCAACGCCGTTTTTGTTGAAAAAATTATGACCTGCCGGCACTCCTGGTCCCTTTTGATTCCTCATACCCCGTATCCCCAATGCAAGTTGATGCGTGCGTAGACTCATGCTTGTTGAAACACAGACCGATCTCGTCCAAGGACAGGATTCGGGTGAGTTAGTTGTAAATAACTCTCGAGTACACATGTTGATATCTATGTACGTCGAAGTAATTGGTATACAAAAGAGAAATTAGTAACGGTAGCTAGGTATTCTTGTTAGCAAAGTGATACACGAATCTTGGGAAAATAGTGAGGGGAAACATACTGGTCGCTCTTGAAAGGACCCTCGAGCTCCAATCCGAGGTATTCGCCTTGTACCTTGGTAAGGCTAGTGAGCTCGGCGTTGACGTGGGAAAGGTGTAGTCTGGCAACCTCTTCGTCTAGGATCTTCGGCAACACGTAGACACCGATGGGCAGCTTCTCAGTCTTGGCGAAGGCAACGTACTTCTGGCCGAAAGCCTTGTCCTGAGCCTTGAACAACATGATCTGTGCAAGGACCTGGTTGCTGAAGGAGCAGGACATGACGAAGGAAGAGTGACCGGTGGCACATCCGAGATTGACCAATCGTCCCTCAGCCAAAAGAATGATGTGTCGGCCGTTGGCCATGACGAAACGGTCAACTTGGGGCTTGATGTTCTGGACGCTCTTGGCATTCTTCTTCAACCAGGCAACGTCAATCTCGATATCGAAGTGTCCAATATCTAATTAAAATCATTAGTTACCCAATCATTGGAAAATCTAACAGATTATGTACGTACTGCAAACAATGGCATCGTTGGGCATGGCCTCAAAGTGCTCACCAACCAGGATATCTCGGCAACCGGTGGTAGTGACGAAGATCTGGCCGATGGAAGCAGCCTTCTCCATGGTAGTGACCTGGAAACCAGCCATGGCAGCCTGGAGGGCATTGATGGGGTCGACCTCGGTGACAAGGACGCGGGCGCCCATTCCGTGTAGAGCCATGGCACAACCCTTACCGACATCACCGAAACCAGCAACGACAGCAATCTTGCCGGCAATCATGACATCGGTAGCGCGCTTGATACCATCGATCAGAGACTCACGGCAACCGTACAGGTTATCGAACTTGCTCTTGGTAACGCTGTCGTTGACGTTGATGGCGGGTACGAGAAGAGAGTTGTTCTTCAACATACGGTACAGGTGGTGGACACCGGTGGTAGTCTCCTCGGAAACACCGAAGCAGTCCTTAAGCATGTCGGGGTACTTGTCGTGGACGAGGTGGGTCAGGTCACCACCATCGTCGAGGATAAGGTTGAGCTTCTTGCCATCCTTAAAAGCAAGAAGTTGCTGCTCTAAGCACCAGTTGTACTCCTCCTCGGTCTCGCCCTTCCAGGCAAAGACGGGGACACCGGCGGCAGCGATGGCGGCGGCGGCATGGTCTTGGGTAGAGAAGATGTTGCAAGAAGTCCAGGTGACCTCGGCACCAAGGGAAGTTAAAGTCTCGATCAAGACGGCGGTCTGGATGGTCATGTGTAGGCAACCGGCAATACGGGCACCGGCAAGAGGTTGGTCAGCGGCATATTTCTTTCGAATGGCCATCAGACCGGGCATTTCGTTCTCGGCAAGCTCAATCTCCTTGCGGCCGAAAGCGGCAAGAGAGAGGTCGGCGACCTTGAACTTGGAGGCGGGGGCAGACATTGCTAGGTAATCGTTAGTAAATCTTGATATTACGAAGCTCCTTAGAAGAAGTAGGAGAACATGACATACCGAAATAATTGATGAGCTAGGGTGAACAGCGGTGAAAGAGGGGAAGATGGGATGGAGGTGCCTAAGAAATAAATAGGCGGGGAGAACAATATCTATGTAAGACGAAGTCAGCAATTACTATCCTAGGGAGGGCAGATGGCAAGACAAATGACAAGCAGATTACGCGCCCGGACGCTGGATACTTACAAAAGATGTTTAAGGGGAGGATGGATCGGAGGGGCTTATTATGAAGGAAGAGAAAAAGTAGAGATGGGGAGGAAGTTTTAAAAGAGTCGGAAGAAAAGAACTATAAGAACCTTGGAAGACGGCAGGTACGGAGTGGGAGGTACTCTGTACTAGGTAAAGGCTGAATGGTCTGAATGGTTGGTTGGTACTAGGTAGTACTCCATTAGGTCCACGGGTTACTACCTGTAACCTGTAAGGAGAGTAGGAGCTTTTTGAATTTTTTTTCTCTTAACCATCAGCTTCGGGCAACCCCTCAGCCCCTCTTTCCTTAAGCCAACCCGTCGGACTTCGTAGGTGAGTGGTTGATGCTAGTCGGCGTAAGCTGAAGCTAGCCTATTTTAGATTAGAGGATTTCGTCCCTGAAAAATGCCCCTCATCCCGTTTCTCCTATCCACTCGGCAAATCTTTTCGTCTAATGTTGGGAAATCAATAACTCCGCGAGAAACGGATTATTTCTCATATTTCGCCGTCCTCACCCTGATGAAGCTTTTAATAGGTCAATCGTGTCTCAAATGCAGCCGCATCTCCCATTCTTTGTAGCGCTTAGGTAACTCCTGACACGGAAGGAATATCAATTATTATGGATGAGGCCGTCAAGGTACCAGGTATTGTACCTCTGTTACCTACCACTTATCTCTTTTATTATCTAGATACTCCTCGTCTAGGTAGGTATATACTACATAGGTACCTTTACCTACGGTATCATACACAGGATACATCAAGAATAAATGTCATCGTTTGACGAGTTGCCAAGGATGTTCCAGTTAACGCTACTCGGTCGGCTTTAAAAGGCAGCGTTCTTACTGAGGTTCAACACATAAGTAAATTATACTCTCAAAAACGACCTCTTAGATACTCACTTTGTTGATTTATTTCCCGTATAAACCCTAGCTGGTGACAGGTCAGGCATAGAATCAGTAAAACTTGATAGAATTAGCTCTACAGACCCCGAGAAACCTTAGAACGCCTCCAGACGCCAGGCCACATGCATCCATTTCCATTAACCTCCTTTATCCCCCTCTCGAAATCTTACTCTGGCAGAAGATTTCCCCTGACAGCGAACATCTTAGCACTGACACTGGCCGTGAACCCATCTATTTGCTTGCTGTACTGTTCGACTTGCTTGGCATTCAACATGCCTTCGAGTCGGCTGGGCTCCTGGGGAAGCTTGAAGACTCGTTGCCACTCGTCTTCTGGGAGTGGCTGCTGCTTGGCGGCAACTCGTGCTGCGTTCTCTGCCTTTCGCTTCGTTTGCCATGCCGTGATTTTGGCCTGCTCCCGAGCAAGTTGGCGCTGGTAATATTGGTGGTTGTTCAGCTCTGTATAATGAGACTCGATACTATCGAGGAGAAGATCGCATGTCTTCTCGAGGAAAGGATCTATCGACAAGTCAAGGATATCGGTCGATGGGTAAAGAGGCATCTTGATAGGGTCGCGTTGAAGGTCAGAAAGCGAGGTCGGCATAGCTAAGTCTGCGTCCGTCGGGGCAGAGGGTAGCTGGTGGAGGTAGGAGGTTAGAAGATGCGAGTTATGAACGTGGACTGGAAACTCGACGAGTATGTCCTTAAATGAGAGTTTTGACTTTTGAAGACTGGTGTTGTATTAGTGCTATGCTTTCCCAGGGAAGTAGTTAAGTGTGATCTAACCTCTCAGTTGTGAATTTTCCCTCTTTGAAGGCAGTCATGAAATTTCGCGTTAACTTGAATGCGCGAAGACTCAATGCACCCTGGGAACTTCGGCTAACATCGTGTACTAGCGCCACAGTCCGGTCGTTCTCGCGCTGATAGTGATACTGGTTCTCGATGAAGCTGGGGTTTACAAAGTTGCCCATGGTGGCGCTTGTATACCAACCAACATTGTTGGCATCGACGTTTACCTCCTTAAGGTGTCGAATCATATCGTTCTGGTAGACGATGTTTGCCTTGGCGCGCGGGGCAGCAGCAGCAAGCGCAGATGCATCATTCTGGTGGCCGCCCTCGACGTTCGCGACATCGACTGTTGGAAAGGGAAAGGTGTTGGTAATCTCGAGAATGCCATCCTTATCCATGCCGACAATAGATCCTGTAGCGGCAGTGGGGAAGCTGTTCGAGCAATGCTTGACAATTTTCATAATAACCTATATGCGATTCCCACATTAGCGATCTTTGATTTTTTACACGAAGTAATCCACGGACGGTTCGAATGATGATGGAGGGGTAAATAAGTAATAATTTGTAAGAAAAAAAAAGAACTAACCAGCGCTTCGACCTGGACCGTCTTAAACGGCACATCCTTTGTAGAATCTGCCATGATGACGGAAATATTCCAGCGTCTGATTTGTTTTTCTTGTTTCGGCGACTTTTAGAAAATGTTGGGTGAAGAGAGAGAGAGAGTTCTATTGTTGAAGGTGACGAAGTTGGGAATCTTGTTAAGATTTTGTGGTTTTAGTGGGATGCGCGATTCTTCGATTCTGTGGGTTGGAAAGTACAAGGCTCGGGTGCTTAGGAAGGTTAGACCGAATACTACCTAGGTACCTAGTAGGTGGTCATTCATTAAGTAAGCAGAGATTTGATATATGAATATCGGTTAAAATGTATCTATTTAACGATGGAATATCCAATTAAGCGTGATAACCCTCGGTTTTCAAAGCACATGCTGCCGTCGGCATCAATGCTCGACTTTAAAAAATAATAATAATAAAAAGGACAAACATCCCACTCTAACCCCCACGCCCAATGTTGTCATTCTCCATGTCGACATTCCACAAATAAAACATAGCTAGGTATTTAAAGAGCCTCAAAGCAACGTCGTCTCTTTCCTGTTCTAATTTACTTCGTCATATGCTCGAGTCTCGTCCGTACCAAGGTATATACGAAAGTCGACAACATGCCCTGTCATCGACACCTAGCAGTCAAAGTGGATTGGCTCCAGTATCAAGTATCAACCTTGAGCTCTCGAATTCAAGGGTACTACATAATTCAGTACTACTAGGGATCAACTACCCCAGCACCACGCGGAAATCTTTGTCAACTCTCTCATTTTTGCCACCGGAAAAGGAATGATGCTAGTCTCGTCGTGGGTTATCAATCCTCGATTAGGGGAGGGAAGCTAGACTTCCGTATCTATATTTTATTATCATTATTATCGTATCTTACTCGGAAGATCCTCTATCATATCTATTTCGCCCTTTCTCCCTGGAAAGAAAATAACCGACAACCCATGCTTTGCTGGAAATCACAAGCAAAGAGACGGATCAGACGCTCGAGATAGACGGCCCGCCGGCCGCGGATTCATCTCATTCGTCAATCCCGTCGCCTCTATCTCAGGTACATAAAGTCGAGCCATGCCAGCCAGTCATCATGCATCTTGGTGCAACCCTACGAGCTCATTCCCAGTCAATAATTTCCCAGCTTTGCACGTCATCCCGGATGATAAGCCTGTGCCGGTCAATTTTCCAATGCGAGTACAACGACCGTGTTGCCGCCGCTGCCTTACGATGTCCAGGTCCGACTCCTCCCTTTATCGCATCCTCTTGCGATCTCCACAGGCAGGTAGCCAGATTTCTGCCGTCCTTATCGGGATGCCCGAACCAATATCTGGTCTCTGTTAATACCCTCTTCCGCCTGAACCCGGACCCCAAAAAGGACCGGACACTTACTTCAGAAAGCCACCGCTAGCTACCGCTTCTGCATGCGCTACCTTGTCCAGCGCCCCCAGATCCTCGTACACCGTCGTAGGCGGAATCTGTGACCGAAAAGCCACGATGAAGAAGGAAGTCTCCTTCCACCTATATTCGTGTTGCTGTACGAGTTGTATCAAATTTTCAATGACCTCATCCCAGTTGAATGTTTCGGCGTATGGGGAGGTAGCATAATCCGACCGCAAGCATCGCATGCCAGCAAGTGCGCGAGCGAGCAGTGCATTCTCTACGTCGAGAGTTCTCAAGTCGAGAAGGTGTTCCCGCTCGGTATATGGCGACTGGACGAAGAAGTGCTCTCCATCATGTGCGAAGATGCCGGCGCTATCAGCGGGAGCCATCGCTATCTCATGTGTTAGAACCGTTATTGGTTCCTTCTCTTGAAGAGATGCATGCGGGAGCCCCGAAGGGTGTGGTAACACCTGATCTACAGCCATGCTGGAGTGCTTGATAAGATAGCCTCTAGTTGATGGATGGTCCGAGATGGTATGCGAGTATGATCTGGTGTTTCGAATTCGAATTTTGTTCGGTAATACTAGAAGGGTCTGGCGGTTTCGAAGGGGGGTCAAAGTGGGTTTTATGCTTAGAAGCCCCTAGGACATCCAGGTTGATGCAAGTTGAGCCGGTTCTGAGTAGGCTTCCAAGTTACCGGCTCAAATGAGATGAAAGACATGCCCAGAGAAGGTAAGAGTTATCAGAGTCACATACAGTCACATTGATAACGCAAACCCAGAGATCGTCTCAAGTTATCATCTGTCGGCGGTATGGCGAGCGGACCTAGCTGCATGATACATGCTTATAATACATGCTTATGTCTTCAGCATTCTTTGTGTCTGAGCTGGTTAAAAAAAATTCTGGGTCCTCCTTCATCCCGGGAACTAATCGCGCCATTCCGCAAAGCATTGATACCATCGAGCCGCCACAATTTAGCCAGCATTGAGGTAGGACAATCCAAATTCTCAAACATACTAAAATCGCAAATCTAGAGCTCAATAACATATATAGGTACTACGTATGCAAGCATATTTCTTGAAGTACATGAACTGACTCGTTTTGGTCTTTCTATCAAACTTTTTCCCGCGTTCCCCGAACTAGACCTGGGTTTGGGTCTGGGCCTTGCCTCTGTCCTTACCTACTAGGTGGGTAGTTAGGTAGGTAGGTACCTAGAGAATCGCTAATCAATCTCAGTTAGGTCTCATACTGGAACCCACCTTAGTGAGGCTTTACCTACCGGTAATAATTGAAGGACGCAATTTCATAGACAGACCTGGATCTTGACATATAACGTGTTTGGGATCGGTCATACGTTTTTGCCACATACCATATATCATTTATATCATTCACATCAATCATTTCTGCTATATCTGGGTATATCACCGCCTCAGATCATCGTCACAGCATTGACGAATCGGGTTTGGTCGGAGCAGCCTTTATACCCCCCTGTTGTCACATACCTAGGTACATAATACCTAGTATGTAGAGATAGAGAAGATGTCAGCCTGCAACCTTCAAGGAATCAACCGCCGAATAGGACTAAACACAGCTCGGTATTAAACGACCAACCTCTAACGAGCGACGGGACGCAACACTGCGATGAACAAATCGTGCATTCACGAGCTATCATTTCTGCAAGTAATTGCAACCCTCCAACATGCATCAGGGTTTGACATGTTATGGATACCTACGTACATTCACTATCCTCGCATAAAATGCCCAACCATTCTCGCCCTCACCTTATCCAAATCAGAGCATTTTGCGCATTGATTCTATATAGTCGATAGGCTCTAGATAACGCAAAAAAAAAAAAAAAAAGACACAAGTAGAAACAGGAGGATCGTTACAATTAACACGCACTAAACCTAGCTGATTTCTTTCCGAGAAGTTGCTTGTCGTCTCCGTGGGGATTGCTATCCCTCCTCCTCCTCCTCCCCCCCTCCCCTCAAAAAAAAAGTTATATCAAAGTGTCCGAATCCGTCACAACTATTGGCGTCAGTGAAGGGGAAGGATCTAAAAAGCAGAAATTCACTTTGGACGCCGCGCCGATGCCGGTTCAACATGAGGCAACATCTCGGAACACGTTTAATCGGATTTACTGCCTCGACCCCTTCAACCCCCCCATGCGGATGTAACATCCAGCTAATCCGCCTGAATTGCCCTTGCAAACCATCAGAACGCCATACTTTCTGCACGGCTGATCCAAGCTGTTGGTGTCGCCAAACCTCCGAAACCGCCAACCCAAAGTTGAACACGTGCCTGATCAATGATAGGTTCCTACCTAGTAGGTACCTAGGTAGGTATTGACTTACATACTTCGTACTCCCTGCTTTCGTGGTCTAGTTTACCTACATAATATGGATTTATGTTTATGCTATCGGGGAAACTTTCAACCACACCAACCTCGTTTAATGACATGCCAAGCTTCGTTACCCTTTAATAGTCTTAAATAGGGGGTTTCTTTTACCCCTTTTCATACCTACCTACCTACATAGCCCAATTTACCTCCCTATCTAGTCAATGTCATTCATCGTACCAGTCCCAAGTTGTTCGACAAAGATAGGATTTTATAATGAACGCCTGAATTTTCAGGTTAATCTGCCTTTTAATGTATTAATGTATATTAATAAACTACCTACTTAGATATACACAACGACCTTTCACTTATAAAATGGTCGACAAAGCATTAGATTTCGTAGCGATTCAGCTCAGTATATAATCCGCTATACTAATACCTAGGCACAGTATTACTGGTTCACATCAGCTGGTAGGTCTATTACATTACAGTGAACATGCTTTTTGGCGCTATCTAAGCCGTCAATTCTAAAATGCCGTTCATAATTACCTACCGAGTATCACTCATGATGTCAATCTAGTAGGTAGGAAGAAACGACGTCCTGGAGTAAATAGTTCGATACTCCCCTTGCCTAGGTACCTAGTAGTATCACAGTATATCACAAACTATCTACCAATAGGTCTATTATGAGCCTAGCTCCGACCCGACCCGACCCGACCCCTAACCACGACTAGATAGTCCTTTCAACAGACAAGATCTCTAATACCGAATAGTACGTTAAGTTTGAGGACTAACCTGATTAACGTACCTACAGAGACGCATCGTGTCATGTGTAGGACTTGTGTCAGACATCGGTCTTCCTCCAGGTCAGTAGCTAGAGGTCTATGGGATCGGGATTCGGCCCGTTGAGTCCCCGTGAGGGTCCTGTTGGCCGCTAGTCCTAGGAGCAGGACAGACAAAGAGCTTCACCTGTATGTATACCGTGTTCTCCATAGCGAGAGTGTTAGGAGCTCTTCGCGCAACAACGTCGTTGTTTCCTAGTCTTTTGGTTCCGCCTCGTGACAACTTGTTACCTCAGATGACTCGCTGACTCAGCTTTCTATTTACTTAATATTGACTCACCGACGATATAACAAAACTAACATTCCTGTCCTTACCTACCTACTCATCACTTTCCTTATCTAAATAGCAGGTTTTTGAATTGTGGCTGTCACGCAATAGTTGGCGATGTTTGGCATTTTCTCTTACATAGGTAGGTACCGGTAGGTACCTACTTAGACCACTAGATAACAACTGCCTGGCCAATAAAATAGGAGTTGATTAGAACTCTCTCGGTCATGGATTTTGACGACAAAGTCAGTTGATATCTAGTTTATGCGGGGTTCTCTGTGATGCCTCAATTATAGCAATTCGGTGAAGAGGATCATCGTCGAATTAGCGACCCCTTCTTTGGCCACTTGCTCTCTCTCTCTCTCTCTCTATCTCTCTCTCTCTCTCTCTCTCTCTCTCTAAGCCTTTTCAAATTATCAAGGACTGGTGATTCAAAAATCTTCAAGCCGGCTAGCTGATATTGCTCATTGTCCTTTCAGATACCGCTATGTAGGGAACCTCGAACAAACACTTTTAATCCCCGCTTACAAGTCTTAGAAGCTAGTGTTCCAAGTTGATTCTAACATAATGCTACATTCAAACCCACCAATACTTTACTTGGGCTGATTGGGCTGATTGAAGTACCGTTCAGGTATAGTGGGAATCTACCTAGACATTAAGATTGTAACCCCACGGGGAAGGCTTGAGGCCATCCAAATAGGCTGCACACGCACGTGGGAGAGGCTAAGTCCAGCAAGACAGGTAGGTATGGAAGGTGACGTAAAATTCTAAATAAAAAGGAGAATGACCCTTATCTCTCGTTCACCGCTATGTAATACCTAAGGCAAACAATAGACTATAAAAGTGCCTAAAATCTATTTTAGGCGAGAAAGAGTATCTAGCGTCTCCAAGGTCACAAGGCATGTCGAGATAACAGGCCTAATCGAGTAATGCAAACATACCTTTTCCACAGTAGGAAATAATAACTAAAGTTGGGTCACTCGGCCGGCAAGTCCGAACCCTTCAATACCTACTCCATATTTTAATGTTGAAAGACGAAAAGATCGCTATTTAAAATTTCACCGAAGTTAAGTCAAGGCTGTACAACGCGAATCGTATGATCCAGTCAGGTACCTGTCTATCGGTATAAGGGGTTACCCCTTTTGACATGATAAACACATATGTCCTCTACAGCCTTCCTGTCTTGTCAGCATTATTATAAGAGTCTTTGTTGGTTACCAAGAGTTTGAACATGGCCCCACAGGCCCTCTTCCACAGCCCCGTAAGTTATCCATATTTACTGTCTGAACTAAAGATGCAAGATGGTACGTAGCAAGCAGCTGTTATCTCAAGTGTGCTCAAAGAAGACATCATAGGTACCTAGGTAGTAGCTTCTATGTTCCTGGGCCATGTAATGAAGCTATGCTGTAGCCTGAACACAGGACTGGAGGGGTTATAGTGTGCCACATCGAAGATAAGAGCCTGGGGGCCAAATGCGTTTGATTTATGTAAGTGGAATTCACTGGAGGAGTTCATATCATTTTCCACGCTATGGTCTACTAGGTACAAACTAAATTCATTGATATTCGGGTGCCTTTGATCTATGATTATGCTCGGTAAATAATGTAGGGCTAGTCTTCGATAGATTAGAGTACCTATATTTTCAAGTTTCGTGTGGTAGCGACGTCTACAAGAAAAGCCGAGCTCTTCCCCAGGTTTTGAGAACGTATGTCAATTCTTAGGTACTGACTTGCTTGGCACCGACCTTTACCGTCGATTTGAGGTGATGAGGGGCTCGTGGTAGGTACGGAATTCATTTGTTGCTTTTGATAATTTCGAAACTTGCCTACATCTTAGATACCTAGGTAGGAAACCGGAGATATCATGCCGGGACATAGACCCGGTAATGCGGGTAGCAAACCACGAGGCGGGAGTTGAAGCAATATCCTCTTTCAGCAGTGGGCCATCTACGGTGGATACATCTATGGTTGACGGACAGACGGACTAGCTTTTCGAATCACCATCCTTGTTTTCTAGAATACCGTAGAAGCATGATTGTATCTGGAAGGTGCCATATGAGAACGCCACGTGCTAGGATACCATGGCCTAGATCGTCAGAACAATCCACCGGGGAGTATACCAGAGAGCAAAGATAATTATGGAGAGATAGCCTCGTCGGTATGGCCTATCCATGAGAATAGATAGGAGAGAACCACTTTTCTTTGTTGTGTGCGCTCATAGGCATAGCTATCATATCATCGGTGTCCGCAATGCTGATACTATGACAAAACCGAGCGCGAGAACAAGCATATAAGAAGAGAAGACACCCGCTCTATCTCTACCATAAAAAAGCACAGCACTTCATAACTCCTGAGACGACCTACACACATAAACAAGATTCATTTGATGAGATACCTGCAGAAGAATCCTAATATGATGTCTTTAATTCATCTCCTTTCTGTCATTCTGTTATATCCTACATATATAACTGCTGCTGGAGACTTTGTTGCATACGGTGATTTCAACTGCCAAGATCAAAAACTTGATATTTGGAGCGATGGGGTGCCAGTTCCAGACAGTACACTTCGGACGGACTACTCGATCAAAGATTGGGATAGTCATGCGGGAGGTCACTACTACGAGAATCTAACATTTTCCGAGGCGGCAAAAACAAACCACACTTTAGACCAACAGCCAATCCAGGTCGTGTGGTGGAAACTACAGGAAGCAGATCCGACTTGCCAGTATATTATAATGAAAGATTCCCCACGAGGATGGCAAGTTCTCAACAAGTTACCCGGGGACGAGATCATAAGAGCGGATAGGGAAGGTTGCTATTATTCAGCTCTTAGAGTAAGTAAAAAATTACTGATACTCCCTCGAATATTATACTATATCTACGAAGACGTGCTGACAGAGTGCGAAAAAAAGCCGGGAGATAGCTTGATTACTAGCTTTTGCTGTGGCCACGACGATTGTGCCATCGCAGAAATCGAGAAGAAACCTGCCGCCAACCCCCAAAATACTGCGACTGGTGAGGCTCCAAAGTGCTCACTTATAAATTCGTATTCTTCTACGCCTACCGTTGAAGATGGCCCTCAAATTGGCGTTACAAGAGCACAAGGTTGCGAAGCTCCGCCTGCATGCACACATTCAGTATCCGAGAGTCAATCATTTAGCACGGCAGTGTCGTATTTTAGATCATACACCTGGACTACCCAAACAGGGGTCGAAGTATGTTCACTAGGATCCCTATGTGTGAAATCATAGAAAAAAAATCAAAGACGGTTGCTGACGTATGAAATCTGTACAGGTGGGCTTCACATCCGGTGTCGATTTTCTCGCAGACGCCAAGTCGAACGTGGATATTACTACAAGCATTGCGCAGAGCTTTATGGACGAGACGGGGACTGCTTTAACGGTAGGCAATATCACAACGTCGTCAGAAGGGTCAAGGCAGGTGCCGGGAACATTCGCATTTTACTCCTTCACACCACAGTATAACTGCTGGAAAGGTGATGTGAGTTGTGGTAAAGATCAGGATGGGGAAGAAAAGATACTTAAGGGAATCAATTTCTGCCAGCCTATGATGTCAACTTCTGGAGATGCTGCAGGAACATTTAGGATGGTGTATATTTCGGACGGCAGATAGGTGCCAAGGTGTATATATGCAGGCGAAATGGCTGCAAGAATTTGAGAATGATTGCGGATTTATGTTGGGATTAGTCAAAGGAAGCTCTTATCATCAATATCATACCCCTTTCTCCTTGCTAGCCAAACCTTTGCGACTTCGTACGTCCCTAAATAGAGACCGCTGCCAACTGCTGTCCAGACGGCCCGAAGAGCTGCTCCTCTAAAGAGTCCAGAGATACCCCTCTCAGCAATAACTTCGCGCGCTATTGCGAATCCACCCCGTGAGTTGTATTTGCTTGTATCGCGTGGTGAGCTTATCCGATCGTGAGCACCCTGCCTCACATCTCGATCATTTCCAGCGAATAACATCATTCGTGTCTTTACTACATCCATAGGCGTCGTTATCACAGCCGCGAAGCTGCCTGCCAACCCCGCGCTCGTCCCGGTGATGACGCCGGTTTCAAGCAAACTATCCTTCTCTCTCGTGTCGAATCCGGTACCATTCCGGGAAACGCCGGACCGCTGCCCCCAGATCCGCGCTCGCAAGAATTCAAAAATGGGAAATTGAATAGCCGTAAAGGGTAAGTTTCTGGCCACAAGCGCGGTGTAACCAGAGAGCAGTTTCGGTCCGGCGCCGGCGCCACCTAGCTGCCTCAAGGCTTGAAGCGAGGCAGATCCTCGTGAGGCACCGGCGTGCTGCTGCAACATCTGCGCATTTTGCTTCACAACTTCGGAAGGGGTGAGCACTAAACATGACGCACACTCCGCAATAGCCGATGCGGCGGAATGTACGAGAGGTTGTGGGAGGCCCAATGGCACGCCATGTCGGCTGATGAAGGTCTTCACCGTTTCGTAAGTCGTGAAGAAAGTCCCCGCAGCTGGTAATGTGGCGACTATGACTATCCCAAGGCCTTGGTATAGGCCCTTAAAAAGCTGCCTTGACGGCAACTTCGTTTTAGTGGACGGGTCGGCGAAAGTATTGACAAAATCACGACTCTGCTGCCGGGTTTTGAGAGTGTCCAATGGGTAGACGATCAAGTCCACGACGAATGCTGCCCCACCGCCGGCCTAGGAGCATCGAATAGAATAAGAATTAATACATGACCTCGGCTTTTCACTTTATGGAAGAGGGTTGGGTAATTTTCAAAAAAGAAAAAAAAGCACAATAAAAGGAACTTGGATTGGATATAAAAATTCTTACCAGCATAACATCGAGATTTGAACTACCGCTCATTTTGGCTACTCACCAGCAGCCTGGAAACCTCGGGAAGTTTTGTAATGTGAAGTCTTTCGCTCCCTCGTTTCCGGTCTGGACATGGGAATTGATGAGATTGATAAGATTATGCACGATCTAGGTACAGTATGTACTATGTAGTGGAACCCCTGGGTTGATAGGTACCTACCTAGGGTACCTATGAGACCCTAATGACATCCATAACGATTGTGTATGACGCATAACTCGAAATGCAACGAAGGTCATGTCAGAATGACGTTTGTTATTTACCTAGGTACCTATGTTGTTATTCGTTATGAATAGGATACATACCCTTCATAGAATATTTCGATTGAATACCTAGGTAGGTACCTACCTGAATATTGTCCCACTCCATGACATAACCATATGGATTGCTGTGCGTGGATGATAAGAAGACGCTGGTAAAAATAGATAAGAATAGGAACAAAGAAAACTAGGTGTATTATCCATAACTTCGCATATATCATAAACGATGACCTACAAGAACTAGACCATATCCCGGGATACTACGTTGAATATCCGGACGAAATATGGCTGATTGGTTTTGCTCCGATTAGCACCGATGGTAATCCTCCCTCCTGCGCTAATCCATTTTATTTCCAATTGAAAACATTTATACGGGTATTATCGGTATGAGAAAAGGTTGGGTGCGCCTAAGCCGAGATTGATACGCCATAATATTAACTATTCTTACTAGGTAGTTTAAAAAGCGCACGGCGGCTGAATTGCTAAGAACTGGGTAGTTGGTTAGTTGGTTAGTAAGTGTTCTAAATATTTTAAGATTATTTGTCGACGACACGGCTGGGAAATATCGGTAAATTTTGACATCTCGTAAGACTGGCACGAGTATCTTGTATTAATGGTTTCGTTTTTTACGCCGAATACGCATAAACATATGGATATCATGAAGGCACACCACTTTCACCCTTAAAGATATCCCCTCTTTATAATCTCAACCATCCGTACCGCTGCTCCTAAACGTAGCACACAATGCGGCGTAATGGTGAGTTAAATCTAATACATTCTGCGGTAGACTTGTCGCTTGAATGATGGATCGAACTTTGACCGCGCCTTCTTCCTCGATAAGTGCTCGTATCGTGTGAAGGAGTTCGGGAGAAAACTCCGAGTACCAGCGGTACTGCCACGTCACAAGACGGATGACGGCAGCCACGGTATCTCGAGTGTTCTTCTGTTTCTCGAAAGCGCGTAGAATGCCGGATAGCGCTTTCGGGCTGAATCGCGCAGCGAGGCATGCTCGATACGCCTCCACTGCTTCATCGTGATGCTGGAGACGTTCTGCTAGGGCACCGAGGATTTCCCATTCCTCGGCCGACTTTTTGTACTGCATCGACTGTGCTCTGTATTGCGCCATCTGCGTTCTCCATATCGTGTATACGCGCAAATCCTCGTATAATACCATGAAGAGACTATCTAACCATCTCTCACATAAGCGCTTATTGTTCAATCGTGAGAGATGTTCGTCAGTAGTGGCGCTCTGTGGATTTGTTTAGCACCGATTTCGATTTATTTTTTCGAAACTAGGGGAAATCTGAGGATACTTACGGTATCACCATCTGCTTTAACCTCACCAGGATCAATAGTATGGGTTGGTTTTTCTACACTGCTCGCTTCTCCATGTCCATTCGTTAGGGTAGGCGCTGTCGAATCGGCGTCGACTGCACTTTTCCCATCTTCATCCTCTTCATCGGTATGCTCACCGTTCGTCGTAGGCTCCGGAGTACCGCGTAATCCATCAGTGCTTGGGTTTCGCATCGCCGACGGAGGTTGTGTGACAGGATCCTGCTTTTCGACTCGATATTCATCTTCCATGACGAAGACATTACTTCGTATTTTGAGGAGCTGGTCCCAGCCAATCTTTGCAGTCATCTCCGTGAGGATACCGTAAGCTAACTTGAAAGTACCACGATACGACGCAGCGCGAAGATTGAGCAAGCTGGGATCCACTTGTTCAGAATATCGTGATTCAGGTTCGCTGTCGATCTCTTCAAGACGTGTCTCGGGCAAAGTAGGGAGATAGACGTCCTTCGGCTCTGGCATAACGGGGGCATCTTTATCCTGGTAAGTGAACATTGGACACGAGTTAAGGATCGTGAGTGCGTTTTCCCAATCCTCCATGGCAACGTAGACTTGCGCTAACCTTGCCCAGGTGCCAAATTCGCTTGGCGCAGCAATGGTGCTGCGATCAGCACAGCCCAAGGCCATCTTGAGTCTCTCCTCCTTTTGCGCGGGGATTTCGGCCGCTAGTGCCTTTTTAAGTAGGAAATCAGCCTGCGCGTCGAGCATGACATAATCCATTGGGGAGTCCTTAAGCGCTTGGTATAGTATGCGCACACCTTGCACTTCCTCGTTGCCCATGAATAAGACCTTGGCAAGGAGGGAAGATACCTCGACGTTCTGCGTTCTTAATTTCTCGAAGAGGTTGATGGCCGAAGCGAAACGTCCGGTCGTATGGAAGTATTTGAGTAGACCTGCGGTTAGGTGATTCGATACATTATTCGGAACCTGAACTACGGAATCAGAGCCAAGTTGCCATCCTAGTCAAGATTAGTATGCTATCTCTAGGCTACCGTGTTGGGCATTTACGCACCCCTGAAGAAGAGACTTTCGGCGGCGCTTAGAAAACGATGCTCGGTCTCCGTGTTAGTGACGGGGTTGAAGCGCCTGACACCCATGATCTTCCTGATGGTCTCGCCGCTTCCATCGTCGGCGTACGAATAAGCACGTAAAACACTGCAGAGGTATGTTTCAAGCCATAGCTCGTCTGTCGCCTTTCGCTTCTCCCCCCTTTCGTCAACACAATAAGCCTCGACAGTACCGGGAATGGTAACGTGAACGCGCATATCGAATCTAGAGAAGGCATTGTAACAGCAGTATAGGCCTTCTACGATCTTGTGTGTGGCGACTTGGCCATGTTCCTTGTATGTGAGTGTGTTTATGTAGGCGGCGAGACTGGCTGAGGAAGATGCGTCGACACCGGTAACATGGTGATATACTCCTGTCTGGGTATAGATCTTTAGCACAGACTTTCTGGCAGTGGTTCGTGTAGATAGCGTACCTGTTTCCCGGTATTCCTCAGGTTCTGTTTTAAGAGATGAACTAAATCAGGAGGACCAAGTTCGCGCAATGATGCTAAAGTCTCTGTACGAGCATCGATTGATTCATGCAAAACCTCCTCTGAGATTCTAATCGAGATTGTTAACCGGGAACTGCAATACTCACTATATAGATAATTGGGAGAGGTGGATATCTTACTCTGGGACCGCCGGTGGAGGCATCGCTGCGGTAGCAGAATTTGGTTCGAAAGAGTACCTGAGTTGGTGATCTATGATCTGTGATCTGTTCTTTTATACTTCAATATTGCTTGGGTTATTAACGACAATCAGATCGAATTCGCAGGAACATAGTATAGAAAGCATCAAACGAGCGTATGGCGCCAACGAGGAAAAGGTTGCGCGTCGAACGTATGAAGTGCACACATCCGTCTATACCTTGGTCGGTAGGTATGATTTCGATGCAGTATGATATGATTAATACAGTATGACGGGGTCTAGAGACGGCGGAGCTTCGTGTTTGGATGTGTCTGGAATCTGGATTGACGAATTTCCTAGATTTGACACGCACAGGCCATCAATCTTTTGACTATAGCGATACTTTGATCGTTATAGCGAGGCCTTAATGTTTTGTAACTAGAAATTATCTTAAAGAGGTAAGGCGTTCTGGATGTACCTCCCCTGTTTCTTTTGTTCCACGTTACAGGCCTAGGGCCTAGCCTTGCATTAACTCCAGGGCTCTAGGTACATATTATGGGGACCTTCCTAAACATTTAAATGGTAATTATTATGTATGTACATAATTGAAGCTGGAGTTATCCGACCCCTGCTTCCTTTTCAGCCTTGTGCCTATGATTTAGTTTAATGGATGATTCGCGTCTCCGAGAATTTCTACGCGGGTAGCTACACCCTAGATATACACACTACCTAGTACCTACCTAGTACCTAGGTATGTATTAGATTATCTAATGTCTAATTGCCACCTACCTACTAATTACTAACTACACAGACTGACCTCGGAATCAACACAACTTAAACCGATATATCGCCAACAATTCAATACTTTCATACTCTTCTACTACGTACCCTCGATAATTAATGAATGACATACGAACTAACATTGCCCCCACTTTGGATTTCATCGCCAAATCATTATGCGATTTATCCACTCGTAGCAATTGTTAGTTGTAGCGACTGCGGGAGGCGCAAGAGACACTCGTCTACAAGATGGTACGATACTTAACTTGTTAATCCCCGATATACCCTTTGACACTAATAACGTAAATAGCCAGCCTTTTCTTCTATAAATGTCGAACCCGAGGAGAATATCGACGAGGAGGTCGATAATACTCGCGAAATCCAAATCGACGAGGCCCTGAAACGCTTCCAAACAGCCCTTAAGCTTCATGCACAAGGCCCCAAGAATTATGAAGATGCTACCCTAGCATATGAGTCGTTATTCGAATCGGATATCTTCCGATTTCCCGAGAGCGCGACCGACTTCGAACGCGCCGAACGACAGTCCGATCATCGCCATCTTGGCGTCGATGTACCCTTTGCGCAGCCACTCGACGACACCCAAGGCGACATCGACGGTAGTGGCAGTAGTCTACCACAGACCCTATACCTTGCATATAAAAACCATGGCCAGTTTGCGCTTGACAATATTAGATATCTGGCCAAAGTGGGAGGTGATGCAAAAGCTGTGCTGGAAGACAAACAGGTCCTTGCAAGCGCTCAGAAGGCGCTCTACGAATTTAGTTCGGCCCTGGATTTCGATCCGTCAGATGCTGAGCTTTGGAGAAGAGCTGCGCGTGTTGCCGCGTTTCTAAACAGCAGGAGAATTAGTCGATATTGCCTCGAAGCTGCTATTGAACTTGACGATGATCCGGCCGTCGAGGAAGTTGAGCCACCCTCCCTCGCGGAGGGATTCGCAGGTGAACAGCTGAAGAAGCTATTGAATGTTTTATCCGACGATCTCGCATTGTCGCATCCAATTATGATACCATTTCTTAAGAAATCAGTATCCGGCCGTCTAATGAAATATCTCGACCCTTTCCCATTCCTCCCGGAACTTACCGACTTGTCTGCGCCGCCAAAGCGCTTGTTAGCAGCGGGTGAGCAGAAACTTCAACGACTTATTATCAACGTCCCCGTAGCTTCATGGGCTGATCTAGGCATGTCACTTGTACACTCGGTCGCGACTGGGGGGATACCTGGGGAAGCTGTCACGTTGAACCTTCCCGACATACCTGAGACTCAGGACGATATCCAAATGCTTGTTGAAAGGCCAAAGCTAGATTTATCCAATGAGACTGCCGCTGCACAACCGGCCCCAGACAACAAGCCGGCAGCGTCATCCAAAGATGACCAAAGTGATTCTATGAAAGAGTGTGGCGCTGACAATGGGAACATCTTAGAAGACGCGCGGGCCGAACGCAGTGTCTCGGTCCTCTCTCGAAAGCGATCACAGTCCACAGCTGGACTACCCGACGGAGTTGACGAAGAAGTGGTAGATCAGAAGAGGAGCAAGCGAATTCGACGCCGTGAGACCGCTGGTGAGGTTATGGACACGAACACGCAATATGCCACACAGTTACAGCCATTCCAAGCCGCCGATCAGAATCTCTTCCAGATGACGCGTAATATGGTAGAGAACTTGGGTGTTACTGATCGCGATACCTTTGATCGGTTAGCTGAAGTCCTCGACTCTTGTGCGTCGTCTACCCGTACTGCCAAACTTGAACGGCCGGCTATGGTTGATCTGCGCGATTCGTTGATTAAGTTTAATGAAGAGAGCACGAGGGTAGTCCTGAACAAGAAGGAGGCCTCACCTATCGGCTTTTCATCCTTTCTTGAGCACTCGAAGCCCGGATCTCAGAATAAACGGGCTACGCCTATGTTCCACGAAACAAAGGGTCTGAAAGCTTTCTCCCAAAAGGTTAATGACAATTGGATATCAATCCAAGATGTTGCCTTTGAGTGGGTGAGCCATGTGTGCGAGACATATCTTACGAGCAAATGGTCGGATTCCACGAAGACTGCCGTTGTCCAAGTGATTAGCCATCTCGATGAAGACATATGGAACCGAGTGCAGTACGAACTTAAATACCTTACTTCATCTCAGGACCCCCATCAGACATTGGCTATGATCGACCAAATAGTTCAGATGCTATTTGAGCTGCATCTAGACGTCTACGAACGGATAACAAACCCCAACAGTGCCGTGGATTTTGCTATCCGCGTCGAAACTAAAGGGAGACTAGGCCGATGGTTCACATTTGCTTCGCGGATGAGTCGAGATCGTCCGGAGGGCGCGGACGCTTCACTATCCGCCCGGTTTCTATGGTCCGCTGTTTTTGCTGTTACATTGACAGAGGGTGTATCAAGGGACCACATTCTCCAATGCTGGAAGAGTCTCCGAGACAGACTTGTCGAGGAACCGGAAATCGTCGACATACGACTTCCAAATAATGCGATCATGCCAGAAGTCTCAGCTCATGCAGCTGATAGGGAGATATCCAAACTCACAACTATGGACTTCTTCCTCGGCCTATTCCAAAACGACCTCAGCGACCCCGTCTCTGTAATCGAAAGTTTGGAGCCGGTCCTTAATCCTTCCTCTGTTTGTGTAGCAATAGCCACCTCCACAACGTCTGAGACTATGGTGGTAGATGAAGACCCTGACGCCTTGGCAGCTAATCCCACTGGGTTACCGATTTCCCAGACCGCGAACCAGGGTCTACGGGATCTTTGGAAGTTCTTGCTAGGCACAAGCACAGAACTAAGATTATTTTTATGGACGCGACTGGGAGATGCATATAGTGCTATCGACTATACGACCAAGCAATTTTCGTGTCTTTTGAAGAGTATTGAGATGGTTATTACCGATTTCGAACAGGAGTCGTATTTGACTATGTCTACTGAATCACGTCGCCCTCTATTCCTAAAGATGCTCAGGTTTCTAGACGAGTTATTGATACAGGCGCTTTCGATGGCACTCAACGACCCCAAAGCTTTTGACATCATTGACGACGAACACCTTAGGTCTAGTATTTCGACCTTGGTAAAATTATCCTGTATGCTACATGTATCGTGCATGTATGAAGATGAGGTCCGTGTTGGCATGAACCAGCATGTTTCAAGTGGCGCGACTTTTCAGTCTTTCTTGACCAAACTCCGAGAGATGCAAGTTAGGAACTGGTCTCTGTTGTATACAATGCTCAAGTCTGGCATGGCACAGAACAAATCAGGGTTTACTACGCCGGACAATGACCTTGCTGATTATCTAGCGGCAATTCATCAAGTCCTAGGCCTCAGGAAATTTTGCAAATCGTCTAACAAAATTTTCCTCAAGATGATGCGGGTGGAATTATTGAAGCAGAACCTCATAGACAACTGGGAGGATTACCTCGGCCAAGTACTCTACGATCTTTATGGCTTGAAACTCGGTGTTGGCCTTAGCGAAGTACAAGACCATGGGTGTCCCCCTGAAAAGCTCGAGCGACGCAATACAACCGCACTTGTTGAGAGAGTATCCGTCCTTGCTAACCGTATGCCGATGAAAGATCTGCTGAAGTCAGACCTCAAAACAACAATCGAACACATGCAACAGGCCATTGGGCAAACCAAATCAAATCAACAATTTATACAAAATCTGCGGATTTTTAATCAAACCCTGCAGAGACCTATCCCACCACTCCGCCTGTACGAAGCCCTCAAAGGTAACATATCGATCGACGCAGTTACCGTTAACACTCCGGATAGCGCCTTGGCCAAACACAGATGGTTCTTTCTTCTAGGAATGATTGCATTCACCAAGTTTAAGGGCGTGGATCTCAACAGGAGGCAGACACCAGGCGCTACTGACGACCTTCGTATCGGCGCCACGTTCTTACGCCAGCAACTACAGTTCACACCCGATCAATGGGATGCATGGTTTAGGCTCGCCGAGTGCTTCGACTACGAGCTTGATGAATCCGTACTTTGGACAGCTGACAAGATGAATAAGGAGAGAGCAGAACTAATTAAGTACCAACGGAGTGCAATACACTGTTATACTCTCGCGCTATCGCAATCTCGGAATGCACCACCGGAGGCGCTTGGAGAGTGTACTGAGGATATACATGACCTATACCATAAGTTTGGTATGCGGATGTATGCTTCCAGCCGTGAACCATTTGCGATGGAACCGTTTCATCATTCGGAGCATAAACGATTTGTCATCCTCGAATCTGGTGTCGAATCGAAAGATCTTCATTCGCAAATGGAAGATTATAAAGTATGGAAGTATGCAGCTAGGCTGTTCAGAAAGGCTATGGAAGTCAAACCAAAACAATGGCAGTGAGTGAAACAACAATCGGATGCTACACAGGCGATCTAACAGCTATAGGAATCCGTATATGGTGGCCAAATGTATATGGAAAATGTACCAAAAACCACCAACCTCCCTCGATCATAGAGACAGACGAGACCGACCAACGATGCGGGCCGTCATCAACGCCCTCGAGAGAGCGGTCGAGGTTGTGTCTGCACTACCAAAACCGCGTCATGGACAGGACCCTATCCTAGAGCCCCACTACAAAATCGTGTCGATTTTGCATAAGCTTGTCATGCGAGGAGACATAACGCCACAAGAAGCAGCCGATGTACTCCAACGCCAGCCATACGCTATTCAGGATGGGGAACATGTTGATATTAATGATTTAGAAGACTGGGAGCCGTATGTCATCGAGACACTCAGCCATCTGCGAGAGAAAGATAGGTCTAATTGGCAACATCGAATTATCATGCGGCATGCCAGAATCTTGTTTGACGAGAATTCCGAAGAGCAAGGCTTCGTCCACGCAATGGCTGCTTTTGGCGTTCTCAGGGAGTCGATGCTGACCAAGACGATGGTGATGAACGTTTGGAAATGCGACGCAGAGCGGCCGGGTAGACACCATGTCTATACCGAACAATATGTTCGATTCGCCGTCAAACTCTTAATTGTCCTAAAAGACAGACCGAATTTCGAAGCTTTACTACGTCGCTTACGTAAGAAAGGCGCAGACTTCTATCACTTCAGCGATCTTTGGCAGACTTGTTGCATTTCATATCTGCGACTTATCCGACAAACGTATCAGATCTTACCGGTACTTGAAGATGATTTCAAGGCAATAAGTCCCGAAGAATTCGACATCATCGCCTCCCGGATCAGCGACTGGTCTTCCGACCCATCCTTGGCCCACCCTACGCTTAGTGCATTACGGGAGACCATTGAATTAAAAAAACTCAATGCCGGATTCATGAAGGCGGGCGCTATTGATGATTTGGTAACCGACTGTTACACGGCGCTGTATAATGAAATAGGGAAGTCTTTGCCAGGTCCCGCCATATCAGCTCTGATTGCTGAGAGAGAGCAAGCACGTGTTCGCGAGGAAGTTCGACAATCCGAAAAGGCGTTAGAATCCAAGTCCTCCAATCCGTTAAGCAACCTCTTGAATCCGCAATCCCACGAAAACTCGGGCACAGAGGGCGGTGCTGGGGATTCGGCCCCGGCGAACACTGAAGGGGTGCAACGGCCTCGTAAAATAGGCATTAGGAGAGCCGATATTCTCCGCAAGGCGGAACAAGCAGCCCTACGTGTCCAAGAAGGTCCGAAACCCACTAGCACCAAGTCTCGCGGTTCTGTCTCTAGCGGCAAGACACCTGCTGCGGAGGAAGGGAAGGAGGGTGAAGCGAACGACGATTTACAGAGTGATAACGGAGCAGCTGACGAAGACACGGAAATGAAAGATGAGGAAGCCGAGGCGGATATGAGCTCAGCTCCTGGAAGCGTCCACGATTCAGCCGACGATGAAAGTGACCTCAGCGATGCACCGCCAGAGGACGTCCTAGATGAGGACGAAGCTCAACAGTTGATGTTCCCAAACTTGACGAAGAGGAGTACTAATTCTGGAATCGAGGATACTGACAGCGAAGATTCCAATGCTGCCGGCACTTCGGTTGAGGAGGTGGAAGAGGAAGTAGAAGATGATGATGATGAGGCAGATGAGCCCGAGTAGACGACTACAAAGATTTCACAAAAGCTGATAGACTAGAGTTCATTCCCTCTATGGATTCTACTACATGTCACTCAGCTACCGACTAGACGTATGATCGGCGTTGTATCGGGCAAAGCAAAACCATCTGGGCTATGGGTTGAGGGAGTTCTGGTGTAGACAACAATTACCGGTAGTTTAGATTCCCAGAGAGCATATTTTCTATCCATTTTCTAGACTTTATCTAAGTACTTCTTAGCTACTTATTGAGAATAATTATATAGATGCAGGATATAACCTGTTTCGTTTTATCACATAGCATCCCATCGAATTCTCTACTCTCGCTCAAGATCAGCACTTCATATAAACAGCTATTCGTACGTTAGCATCGTATCTCGTTAATATCTAGGTAGGTGCTATTTCTTACCATTTGCGAACAGCGAGTAATTGTCCGCGTTCAAAACCGCGCGTTCTGGAGTCAGCGCCGAGCTCTCATTATACCCATAGGCAAAGTCATTCGTATGAGGGCTATAAACCTCCTCACAATGCGATATCTCGTGTATCGTCGTAGTGGCTTGATCTTGGCGATGGCACGCTTGCGGAAGAGGTGGTAGTGTGTCATAGAATAGCGGACACATGACTACGGTGTCAATATCCCACATTGTATAAGCGTTGAGGGGCCCCTCGGTTTCGCATATGGAGTAATAGTCATAACAAAAGTACCTCGATAGTCCTGAGTTTGTCGTCGAGCACTCCTTCGACACCGCTGTCAGCCGGTCGGCCACAATCTGTCGCGTCTCTGATGAGTTAGTTTTGAAGTACTCAACAAAGCGAGTCGAAGACGGGTCCTTCGCATCCGCCGCAGCGTCAAGAGCCAGGGTCACGCAGTGTTCTAGGGCAGCGGTACTAGCTGCTAGTCTAGTGGCATTGCAGCCGTCTTGGACCATCGTACGCGCTTCCAAGGGGCCAAAGCTCAAAGCCTTCGGCACCGCCGTAGCGATTTGTGCATCGACATATAGACTAACGCTATTGGATTGGAAGATGAGTGCTGGTCCAGATAGTGTTGTAGACCCAGCCGAAGCTATAGGTATCGATCCGGTAGCCGTAAATATATATGTTCCGGATTTGGTGAAATCGTGAATGGTAGCTGCGCTGATATTGGTGCTCACTGATTCAGAAACCCTCAGGAGGTGGAAATGATCAACTGTGAGGGCATCATAGTGAATGCTTGTGTGGATTCCCTTGAATTGGGCCTCCTTTCCTACAAAACGTAGGCATCCATTAGTAAAAAAAAAATTTAGAATTCGTCGCTGATAGGTATATACCTGATTCGTCTACTGCCAAGACCTTTTGTATGGGCAAATTTTCATCGAGAAGGGTGCCGACCTTCAAGAGATTCAGATCTGTCGACCCAACATTTTTAATAGTCGCAACCAATTCAGCTACGCCGGCTGTTTTTGCTGGAGCTAGAGTCACTTCTAATACCGAAGCTTCCTTCTTATATAAAGGCTTTAGAATGTGGGCATCGATAGTAGCAGCAAGATAGGCCGCCGCCAGAAGAATCTCTGTGTACCTCATAGCGAAGAGCTTAGCACTAAGATCGTTCTTCCGTGGAGTCGACAGAATTGAACTTCTTGTGCAGGAGATGGCACTATGTTGAGCATCTTATAACATTTAACCTAATCACTACCATTCTTATGTCTTGCCAATATTAGTGTTGATCTCCGAGTGGAGCAAAGCTCGTATTCGATGGCTAGGCCCGTCTGAGCAGTTCTACTGCAACGTTGCCGGGGGCAGGAGATTTCTATACGACGCGGATATAGAAGATGAAATACAAAGCATTGAAATAATAACAAGCTATCTAAGTACGACCTATAATTACCTAAACCTGTGTTAAAAAAATCAATCACCTCGTATGATATCCCTGCAACCATTTCCCCCATTCGCGCTGCTTTTACCAATCTCAGTTGAATGATGCGCCGAGCACGAAATAGAAATCATAACTATTAGGCTATTCAAGTCAATGTTATTTTGGCTACCGACAAGGTAGGTAACATCAGAGGATAATATTTGTTATGGTGTGGAAGAGTTCAAGCTATCAACTGTATCTTCAAGGTTATTAACCTTAGTCGATGTAATGTGATCGCCGCTTAAGGGCGGGATGGAAGATTTGATAGTATTTGCTTAATCTTCAATTATAAAATGAGAATACATCAAGAATATAAACGTACCTAGGATATATTGCTTTAAAATGTGGTTCGTCACAATGATTTATTATCGTGAGTATCAACTCGGAAATCAGTTTTCCTAAATCTTCCTTTTCTACCTACCTAGGTAGGTATTTAATGATACGCACACTTGATTATAGGATAGGCCTTAAGACGATCCGTTCGCTTTTATTCTCTTCTTTTATCTTATAAACAGATATACCCTTCTGGATGTCGTGAATAACGATAGAGTAGTAGGTAGTCTTGGTTATTATTTCTAAACCAACATACAATCCCGAGTTTATATCTGGCGACCCCTTATCCACCTTTTCGGAGTGTAAGGGCATAGTATAAGCAAATTCACTATAGCCAAGGTATTAGGTACATACCTAGGTACCTACCCAGCTACCAGGCAGTAATCTTTAACTTTTACTTTTTCAGAATTCGAAATTTCGTACCGCAACAGGAGGAACTAAAGGGGATAGAAACAACTACCCTACTGTGCTACGAGCTTTAAACTACCTACTCTCACTAGGAGGATACGGTATATAAAGGTATCTCTAGGAGATGCTCCTTAGGTATCTACTCTACTTTACGGCTGTGAAATCTAAACGGGTTGGAAACTACCTAGTATGTCTAGGTAGGTACCTCCTATATAAGACCTCTTAAAAGCTCTCACGGACCCCGATCCTACAGACCTCAAACACATCTGCAGGTAGTAGAAAAAATCGTGATTTACTCACCTTACGTAGAATCAAACGAAGATATTAGCATCTTAGTTGTTACTTCGTATCTTTAATATGGCCTTCACTTCTACGCATGGCTTTGCGTATATTTACAGGTACCTACCTGGTACTTAGTACGTAGGTAGGTAGACAGTTAATATGTTTCTTTGATAACTTTGATCATAGGTAGGTAGGTAGGTTATCATCCTCAAGGACTCGTCGCCATCAGTAAGTGCCAGGTGGGTAGGTAGCCTTGTATACGATATCATCTATGCAACTTAGGAATATAGGTATCTACCTACTTACTTGAGACAGATATTTCCACGTACCTAGTAGATACTGAAGATGAGGTTGTCTAGGTATTCAGTATGAGTTAAACCGGTGTTTATACAAAAGAAAATCGGAGAGCTTCAAGGGGAGACCCCTTTCCCCTTTCTTTGGGTTATTTGGAAACAATCAAGTATTCTACGAGTAACTACCTACCTACCTAGGTACACAGACATACTTAACATACATACCTAGGTACCTACCCAGCCAGACAAGTACCTACTACCTAGATAATTATCACTACAACAACGAAAATTAGATTTGAGAACTCAAGAATTTACCTACCTACTATGCATCTGCTATTGTGACAACGCATCAGTTGTACTTAGGTAGGTTTATTGTGTAGGTAATATTTGCGCACAAATATAGAACGGGTTGAAGGGCTCCTAGTGATATTGGGGGGAAAGTTCATGCTTAGACCATTGCTCGAATATAGGTAGGTACCTACCTAGGTACCTACTAGGTAGGTAATTATCTACTACGACCTATTTTCCGTTGCTATAGCAAGCTAGATATCACTGTTGCACGCCCCATGACATAATTATCCTCGAATTATTAATTATGGGCTCCTCCCTGTAGTAAGTGGAACCAAAGCTCGATATATCAAAGGTTTTACAGGAGTATAGAGGCACCGTTTACTTATGTATAGGCCAACAGGATAATAGTTCCATGAAGTGCTTCGCTCGCACCCCGCTGGAGAGGCCGTGTTGAAAGGTCATGTTGATTGGTAGTTACCCTTAAAGCCAGCGATCCCATTAGATATTACGTTTACAAACCTGCTCAAGATAATCACATCATGTCATAAACTTTAAGATGCACTTATAATCCGACGTCTAACGCGTCACTTATCCCACACATCGACTTCCACGACCCGACAGGTACCTAGTAGCTACCTATTGAATGGAGTAAACTACGAGTCTACCTACCTATACAATCTAGTTATTATGAATGCCTATAAAGGATGGTCCAAATAAACTTGCTTGCCTAGTATTATAGAAGGATTAGTTAGAGGTAAATCTGAGCATGAATTACTTCATATTGTGTATCGAAATGGGAGACCCGTACTTAGTAGCCACCTGCGGCCGGTGGAAACCTGCTCATATGTGCTCTCATCTGGGATACCATGGAAAGGGGGTGTATAGCGCACCTAGGTACCTGGGTAGGTATTAAAGATAAGCGCCGTTCATCTAGGTAGGTAGCAATTAGACGGAGATGGTCCTATTCCGGGGCAAAATACACGTATAGTTCTCATAGTAGGTACCTGCAGGTGTCTATACCGTCATGACCTAGGTATTGATCAACGACGAAATGGGTTGAATCAGATGGGTCCACACAACACGTACACCTCATGTTGGTACAGAGACCCATCTCCCCCCTTACCTAAATTTCGACGGGGCTATTATTTACTATATTAAAACTACATACACGTGAAAGGATTCTTAGGACTTCTAACAACATGCTATTTCGTGTTTTCGTGTAAGATATTTGGTATATCTGCCGCCCTATTATTAACTCGCACAACCTCATCGACAACTAGGTACCTCAGTCCTTAAGTAATACACGCGATGGAATACCGACACTCTCGAGTTAGCTTGTTGAGAGCTATCTTAGCTGTTGTCGAGTTTTCTATTGTTATTGTTACTATGTCATTACTGTGCTGTACCTATCCGGAACGATTTAGGAAGACACTATGGGAGATTGGTGGTCAGAATGGCTGGAACTCGAATCCGCGTCTACGAATTTATTTCTATGCAAATTATCAGCAGCCTCCCGAGATACCCTTAGTTTGGACCCAACGGTGAGTCTACCACTTTATTGAAGCGGGTGTCGCTATCTTCATCCCTACGTCCATAGCTCCTAATGCGCCTCCTAATCTCTCCCGAGGTCCCTAGTCTGAGCGAATCTAATTTGGCGATATCTGTTCTCGCTACTACTGTGTGCTCGTTACGGATAGCCTTGGCCTACTTTAACATCACACCGGGTTTTTCCCATCTTTTCAGCGCTATGAACGATATGCTGCTTTCGGGATTCTGGATGTATAGCGTTACCGCTCAGTCATCTAGCGACCTTACGGACCCCGACCATTTGAGTGTGCGACCGTGGTATCTAGAGAAGAGTTGCAGTATTCTCGATGAAAATGTCGTCGAAGTTTGCATTCTTGCTAAAGCCTGTTTTGCGTTTTCGGTTTTATCACTGTGAGTACCTCTTCCCTGACCTGGCTCGGTGGAAAGCTTCATACTAAACGCCACCTCACGATACTACAGGGTTGTTTTTTCCGCACGCTCTGTTGCTTCTATTTTATGGCTTGCATACTGGTGTGGGCAATTCCAAGTGTTTGATGGAGGTGTAGATATACTACGTGATCGATTCCAGAGAAAAATAGGTAGAAGTGGCGGGTTTACCATCGCTAGCGCGCAATTCGATGAATATAGCGACAGTGTCACGGTGGAAGAATCACAAATGAGAGAAGTAGTTTAAAGTTTTTCAGTGGAAGGCCGACGAGATGAACTGTTGGCTATCTCGTTATTGCGAGCTGAACTTCGTACTGGAACCAACCGGTACCTACCTAGGTATGCTTTGAAGTTTGAACGACTATTTGGGTAGCTAGAATTCTGACAAGTTCTAACCAAGATATTGGATCTTTCAACAATGAGCAAGTTATCGTGTTTTGTGACCAGTTACGTGTAGATAGCGCGTGCCACCAACCGGTATTGAGGGTATATGCATGGTGGAGCTGTAACCGTGGTTAGCATCCCTGCACGATTCCGCTGCAGAGGGATGGTCAGTTGATATATCCACACCCTCACCCCCCGCAATGTCCCTTTTAGATGCTAATGCCATAATTGAAGCGCGAATAGTGAGAGGGTTTTTTGAAATGATCAGATTCGAGTGTGTCCCGGTTGGCGGTTTTTATGGAGCTGGCCGTCATACGACAAGGGGGTGACCTAGAAGCTGCTGTTAGTTTCCGTGCCTACTCGCCGCGGGATGGGTGACGAGGAGTGGAAGCTTGGGTTGTGCCATTACTTACATAAATGCTTGAGGCCAACAGAGAAGTCTAAACTGGCGATCCTGCGCTGTAGTAATACTATTTCCTTTTGACGTCGATCTATTGGCTACCGGTACCATACCGCAAAGAAAACGACAATATGGATATGGCAATGACCGGAACTCCCTGGCTGGATCAGCCGGTGATGCTTCACTCTTCTCGAGCCGACTCGTGTAGCAAGTTCACCGCGGCGCAATGCGCTTATCGCAACTACCATTGGCGGTATTGGTACGTTTCTGATGGATGAAGATGTTATCGTGTTTGGTGATTAATGTAGCTGACCTAGAAACTACCTACAATTCCAGGTACGAAGCCGATCACGTTTTCGCTCTTTCGACAGTATACTTCTTCGTTGCAGTCATCGGCGTATGTTTTGTTGGATTCTACAGTCAAAGACTTGCTCCTGCGTCCCTCAGAGAAAAGGCGTGGTGGCGGAAGCTAGTAGCTGGCCTTCGCTTTCTGGCCTATCGTCGTTACGATGTATCTGCAATCCGGTGGCATGTACCATCCTTGGGAGTTAGCTTTTTGCTGTTTATCGGCGCGATTTTCTTCTTGGGTATGTTTGAGTTAGGTTTCTTTACGATCTTCTGACCTCCTGACCTTTCAACTAATACGGCTTGGGATAGCCATGACTCTTGGCCCGCAGCCCTATTACTGGCCAAACACACGGACACTTAGCTACGGCAGCTCGCCACCTATCGCGACTAGAACAGGTTGGATGGCATTAGCTTGTCTACCTTTCATGATAATATTGCCGACGAAGGCAAACATGATTGCGTCCTTGACTGGCGTCTCTCATGAACGGCTAATAGTGTTTCACAATTGGGTTGGTTGGGCGATGTTCGTCCTGGCATTAGTTCATACCTTCCCATTTATTGTCTTTCACATTTGGAAAGGCGACATGGTCAACATGTGGAATACGAGCGTCGTATATTGGACTGGCGTTGTTACTATAATCGCGCAGGCTTATCTGCAAGTTTTCTCCATTCGTTTTATTCGGTAGGTTCTTCAGTCGACCACTAGGTATCTAGCATAGACGATATATAACACCAACGCTAACTTACCTAATCAAAATAGAGACCGATTCTATGAATTCTTCAAGGTTACGCATTACATTGCGGCGATCGTATTTGTTGTGTTTTTCTTCATCCACTGTGACTTTCGGCTCAGTTCCTGGTCGGTTTACCCCTTTCCCCAGTTGAATATTATAAGCTAACTTTCCTTGGCAGGGACTATTTCATCGCAACTGGAGTTCTTTACTCGCTCTCTTTCTTATATCCCCAGCTTCGAACGTACTTCGAATTCGGATTATCCCACCGCGCTAGCTTTACGATGGTTTCGGATTTAACTTTGAAAGTGACGATACCTATCGATACCGCTTGGCGGCCAGGTCAACACATGTTTCTTCGTTTCGTCCACATGGGACTACACGCTTTTACTGCCCATCCGTTTACTATAAGTAGCTTGCCTCTTACGAGAGATAGCACGGGGAATTCTAAGCTCACATTTTACGTGCATCCCCGAAGCGGAATAACAGCCCGCCTTGCTCAAAGTGCGGTCAAACAGCCCGGGTTCAGCGTACCAGTGTTGATTGATGGACCATATGGCGGCGTTCAGGGCAGACCCTTATACACATACGACCATAATCTTATCGTAGCCTGCGGCGCTGGCGCTGGTCTTTCGCTACCTTTTGTAATGGAAAGTTTGCTGCGTTCCGCTTGGCAGGCTCGCACTGAGAATAAGAAACTTGTCAACAAGATCCAGGTGGTCATTGCGACGAGAGATATGCAACTTGTCCAGTGGTACAAAGAAGCTCTGTTGGAGTACCTGGAAGAAAACGGGCTCGAGATGGTACCTGAAAATCTCGATATCTCAGTATACCAGACAGGAAGGCCCGAATCCAAAAGCAACAGTACCTCTAAAGATCCCGAACGACCCAAGGAGAAGTTGAATGGAAATTCTGAGGTTGTTAGACGTCTTCCTATAAACGTTTTCTGCGGACGCCCGGATATCGCCACAATTGTGAGGGATGCGACCCTCCAGCCGGGACACGCGATTGGTATAGTTGCTTGCGGACCAGGTGAGGTTCTGAAGATAGTACATGATGAAGCAGCAGCAGCTCAGCTACGTGTAGTGAGGTCAAAGGCTGGTGCGCGCGAAGTATACCTGCACTCTGAAGTCTTCTCGTAAGTTGCCTACCACCCATTTCACCCTCCTATCAAACCATTACTAATAGTAGCTTCTCTCAATCCAGATGGTGATACAAATTTACTATTAACCAAATAGCACAAAAAACACAGAATACAGGTATCGTCTCATTAGCATTATTGGTGGCAATGATACCCATATGTCGCAGATTACCTAGTAAAAAACATGAGCGGTTACAAGGCGCGGAACGCATTCACGAACCCCTCCCCCTTAAAAAAGAAAAAAAGGGGGAGAGGGGTACTTGATTTACATCATCATGTCTTAGTACTACATAAATAGTAGTATTAGTACATGATCAATTAACGTAACAAACACTGGTGTAAAAAGAGTTCAAATTGGCAAACGTCGGCGTCATTGTGGCCACTCTTAAATAGTGTACCTATCTACCTAGTTACCTATCTAATATTTGATTTTGAATTTATCCCCATCGGACATCCAGAAACCCCCGATTATTTCCTTGATGAAATAGAAACCATGGAAGTTACCTACTAGGTACCTAGGTAGGTACTCAGCAATTCATGTAATACTTCGTCTTAGATACCTATGAGGGAAATATTTGTGGCGGCGACGTTTCAGGGTTAAATGACAAGGCCAAGTTCGTCTACCTAAGCTGTTCAAGTTATGTTCAGTTCTATACTCGCGTGGAATCATAGAAGGCAGATTTTCAATTGTAAGTACTGTAGGTAGGTACCTACGTCGCGTGGTAACTGATTGTCTCATTAACGGCAACTTGCATGTCTTGTATTGGAAACCAGGAGGGGGTGTGTATAGAGATACTTAATACCGGTAAGCCCGGCGATCCCTTCCCAGGTTTAGGGAACCTGAGAGAGTTTGAGCAGATTTATTCCTACAATTTCCAGAATTAGTTAGGAAGTCCGCTTAGCGGTAGACCCCGACCAGCCTGACCCAGGAAGCTGGAGATCTCATCAGCCTCTAATAACATAGCACAGCTGGGATGTATCATTTACTACGTGTGATTGAGTGAAGAAGTTACGAGTTACTTTCTCTCTAGCAATACTGCTACATAAACTTCAACCTGGGTATCTTTCCAATAACAGCCCTCAAACGCGGTCATCATCCAACCATCCAACCATCCAACCGCACCATACGACCAAGCATCCATTTTATTTCCATGGATAACGGTTATGAGCAAATATCTATTCGTCTAGATCTCCGAGCCCCGTCACTTCGACATTAGAAGTCATCCTTTGTAGTCTGTCGCAAGTCTGCAACATCAAAGGTTTGGATCGTCGACGATACACGGTATAATTGGAAAACACGCGCATATAATCTCAACTTTACATTTTTGGCCATGATATTTCGTATAAGACCCCAAAGTTAGGTTGGTATATTTGATTCTGTAATCACCCGGGCAAGCAGCTTTAACTACCTATTGACTGGAGTACATCTAACTTGGACATGACAGTTTAATATACAGACTACCTATTTGATCTATTATTATTAAATTTTATCTTGATGTCCCCCTGGGCCTGAGTCTCCTCTACCAATAACACCGTACCGAAACCGCATCCTCTAGCCATCAAGATGGATATGACGATGTCGACCTCGACAGCTATGGCGAGCATGACGATGACGAGTGCAAGTTCTATGGCGTCGTCTACCTCGGGAATGGACATGGGCTCATCTTCGTCCATGATGATGACCTCGGCGGATATGGCTATGGTGTTCTTTCAAAGTGTCACAACCCCGTTGTATTCCAGCGGCTGGACTCCGCAAGGCCAAGGCTCGTACGCCGGCACTTGCATATTCTTAATCGTGTTGGCTCTAGTCCATCGCATCCTGATAGCAGGGCGATCTATCATCTTCAATTCTGACCAAGCACTTCATCGGCCTCGCAAGAGTGCCTCTTCAGATTCGGATGATTATCCGGGGAGCAAGAGCGACCTAGAGTCGATGGGTAACCGTTTCAGGTCGCATTGGAATAGCCACCCGTTTAGAGTTGCAACTGAAACCGCTCGCGCGCTTCTTGAAGTAATAATTGGGGGTATTGGATATCTATTGTAAGCCTGACCTGATATTCCTCGGTTATGTTTACTTCCCCTTTATTGCAGCTAAGCTTTCGCTTCTAAGCATCAGAGATCGTAGCTGACACTTGATTAGGATGTTGGCAGTGATGACAATGAACGTGGGATACTTCCTATCGGTCTTGGGAGGAATATTTCTAGGTACCTTTGTTGCCGGCCGATTCGGCGGCGGCGACGATCATCACTAAGGTTACGATCTCAATCGTTGCTCGATATCATACGCATTATATCTTACAAATGGTATAAATGTCATGAATTTGGCGGAACGAGTGATAGAGGAATGCCAGAATAGGAACAGAGGCATATACTAAATTATCTAGATAGTTACCTACCTAGGTAGCCTTCTACGATAATGCTTATTGGGAACTAGAGTGAGAGCGTGCTACGTGCTAAGTATTCCTAATGAAAAACTCTAGCCGAGATTATTCGATACCTACCTACCTACCTATTTACCAACTAGATCTAAGCATATTTGAATTCCGCCATACCTACTAGGTACCAGGTAGGTAGTTTTCTTCCGCCTTTGGGCGTGTACATGGATAGGTACCTACCTACCTGGTAAACATCAAAACTATTCCGAGCAATATTTTATTACATACTACTTGGCAGGTGGGTAGGCACCTAGGCAAGGTTCACGGGTTTCTTCCTATCACTCTTATTGTTCGAGCATATCATGATTTTCATGAGTGGTAGAAGGATAACAACAAGCTTACTCTAGCTCATTTCGTCGAACCTAGCGGAAGCCGGTAGTTGACACAGACTCGACTATCATGACCGTCATTGTCCTTAACGTAACATTATAAACACTCGGCGACATGGTTACACTGTTAGAAACCCGTAGCCTCAGGCCACTACAAATGATTTAAGCACGATTTCCAACCAAGTAATGGTAAAGAAACCGTGCGCCTCGCGCTATTGATACTTGCCAACATTCTTTTCCTCTCGTGGAATGGTGTTGTTGTTCGTGATGAATACCTACCTAACTACCTGACCCGACCTCTGAAGCAGTGACATACACATAGGTTGCTCGATGTAGGCACCAACTGGGCAAAGAAGTAAACATCACAGGTGGTGCGCGAGTTCGTAGAAAAGAATATATACGAATCTAATTATTATACTTGACCCTAACCAAGGGCCATGCTTAGTTATTAGTTGATATCCTAAATGATGCTTCATAGTATCCATTCATTCATCAATGAACTACCTAGTAAGCCAACCGTGCCTTTCACCGTGGCCGCGCCCCAGTAACTCCTATAACCCGCCAGATCCCGACGAAGCTGGAGGCGAAAATGGGGTATTATCCGGAATCCAATAGAATGGTAATGTAGCAAATGGAAAGCATGCGGAATATCCATCGTGATTTGCACCAACAGATAATTATGGTGATTAAAAGGAGAAGATTTCGAATTTAAGCGGTGCTGAATCGGGGACGTCGTGATAATGTCAAATGCCACCTCGTATGGCGCGCAGTTAGGGGATGAACGTCTTTCTCACGGCTGATGTGCCTGGTTCGAGAACACCATCTTGCGGCGCAAATTTAAAACCAGGGTGAAAATCGTGGATAGGTCTGCGCGAGGGTATGGTAACGTGGAAGATAGCAGGGAGTCGACAACCATTGCTACCTGTTGAAGACTAGTGCATTCACAACATGGCCTTTCTTCCAGCCCTGGCTCTCCAGAGACATGTTCTCCTTAAGAATCTTGCCCATATAAGCCACACGCACATATTTTGTCGAAGGTAGCTACACCAAACGGTTAGATAACACCTGTTGATCTGGAGAGGGCTTGGAAGGGGACGTGGCGACTTACGCGGGATTCTTCGGCTACTCGCTTCGCAAAACTCCTCACGGTCTCCTCGGGACTCACGCTTACTATGACGTCCGGTAGATTCTCGCTGAGTCGAGCACGGACCTTGACCATGTTTTTTATATCCGCAACGCCTTTTCCCTTTTCCTCCCTCCGACGCAAGGCCTCATCCTCATCTATCTCTTCCACGGCATCATCCTCGTCTGTCAAGTCGTCGTCGCCTTTCCGTCTCACATCACTCTTACTCTTCTTCACACTGCTTTCCTCAGCTACGTTAACGGGATCGCATACGATCCATTCCGGCAAAGCATAGTAATTTCCTAGAGCATCGTACACGCCGTTCGACAGATCTCCCGTAGGTAGCGTCACCTCGGCAGCCTTGAGAATACTTTGCGCCGTAGCTAACGCGCTCCCTCCGTCGCCATCTCTGGACTCCTCCCCGTTTGAAAGGCTCTGATCGGCCTCCCACAACACTTCTAACGTCGCCTTCAAGACTTGCCAAACTTCAGCCCGTCCCGTAACCCGGGTGTCGAAGAAATCTTCTCGCTCAGTGTCTAACTGAGAGCGCGTCCACGTACGATCGCGCGCGACCCATTCGTGACGCCGAAGCGGCTTATCTATATGCTGCGATAACGGAGGATGGTGGCCATGTATTCGATGTTGATGGTGGTGGTGGTGCGAAAGTGGTTGTTGTGTGTGAGGAGATTGGGGAGGTTGGTGAGAGCGAGAGACGGCTCGCGAGGCCGGAGCGCTGTCGTCGGTTGTGGAAGGATGTAACGGCGGTGGTGAGTTGATGGCGCGCGCCGACGGTGATGCGGCGCTGCCGCCCGGATAGGGAGCGTTCGGGCCAGCGGACCTCGAGAAGCAACAGCCCTGTGAAGCTCGCTGTTAGTTGAACGTTAAGATGAGCATGTCATGTCTAACATTTCCACTGTTTTCTTAAAAGGAGTAAACTTGACAGATAGGAATTCGGTGATATTACCATTGCTTTTCTGCCTTGATAATGTCGAGCGACTCGAGATAATGATTGGTCACCCGAATTATTAGATAGAACCGTTTCAGCGCATTTTTATACGTCCGTTAGAAGTCCCTCTTATAACCTTTTTCGTTCGTTATAGTTTTTGCTCGGAAACCGTTAATTCGTTGTATCGTTAGCTGATGTCTCAGCTTCGAGCAGAAGTTTAGAAATGAGGCTTAGCAGATAATAACGGAAAACGAATGGACTAATCGATGGATCGGCATCTTCGCTAGCGACAGGACAGGGATCCTGGGTTAGCCCCAAGAAAATGCCAAGCTTCCCCCGCTAACCTTATTATTATTAGTAGCCTCTTACCTAAAAAACAAGGTTATCACATGTAATCTCTAGGTAGCTGTCGCTAGTATCCATTGGCGTGATGCTGTCATGGCTCTGGATAAATAGGTACTAGTAAGTAAATTTCTTTTGAGATGTTCATGTATTACCTAGGTATCTATGTATGTAGTCGATTTATATCGTATTACGGATCCGTTCGTACATAAATCTAAGCATTCCCAGTTATTTCACAATGCTCTTTCATTGTCTACAACCAAATCCGCAGTCCTTTATTAGATACGCCCACTCATCGCTCGTCGCCCCTCACTCATCAATCACCATAGATAGCCTCTGCAATCCTCGCTGCCGCACAAACATCTTGTCATGTCCTTTTGTTTTCCTGGATCGAGGGCATCATTTTCTGAGTCGTCAATCCCGTCCACATAGTCGAACGTCAGTTCCTCTCCTCTTGGTATATCCCTGATCGCGAATAACGCTAGATCATGAAGGTGTTTGTCCGCATGATCTCCCACTCGTGCGAAGATGCGCATATTCGGCTGACAAGAGTGGTTGACGAATCTGGTTGGACCCGACATGAACTCGCCATCTACTTCTAATGGCGGTCCTCGTAGACGCTCGTCGTATGATTCTGGATCTGAGAATTTGTCGAGCGCAAAGAGGTAGACATCCTTGCGTTGTGCAATGTGTGATTTGGCGCGTCGACGGTTAGCCTCATGTGCGATGATGATCTCGCCCATATACTTATCTACAAACTGCCCCTTCTTTATGTCTACCGTGCTTCGGACGCCCCAGCCGCGATTTCTCGTCCTAAAAACCTGCAATGGTATCTTGCGACCTCTCTCCACCACCCGGTTAGGACAATCGGGACCGCACGCGCAACTTTCGTGGCATTCGTAGATGGGATTACGAGATGCAAGAATCCTTGAACGTAGATGGCCAGCCTTGGTACCATGCGAGTGATATGCATAAACTCTCTTACGGGGTTTCTCGCCGTAGGTTCCGTCAACGCTTCCGTCATCAGAACTATCGTCCTCAACATCCTGGAGGCAATTACATGTGCCATATTGGCAGTCGTCCGAGTCCACACATTCACAGCCGGTGAGGAATTCCTTCTTAGTAGGCTCCACACCTTTGCCAATGATTGAGTTATCTACAAACCGGAAGTCGGGATCGAGCGCAGCATCGTCTTCAGTGTTTACAATGGTGACAGGAAACTGGACATGCGTCGTGAACGAGCGAATTTGACAAAAATGGCATCGCTGCTTCTCGTCTTCACGGCCCTAGTAATGAATTTACTATAGTCAGCATGAGTATATGTTGCGATACTGTAGGTAGAGATGAACCTTACGGGGTTGCTGTGATGATAAAAGTGCGGTCGCGTAACTGCGTCCATTTTGTGCCTAAACTGCCTAAAGATTTAGAGGGGGCAAGAAATCCGGCATCAAAGAAGAAAACAAATTAAGGACTTTGAAGCATCGATCACATATTGCCATAGCCTTGGTCAACGTAGAAGCAAGCTATGACCATGTGGGGTTTAAAGCTTCAAATGTTAGAAGCTTGAAATCTACCTAGGGAACAGGCGACGCGATTGACGCGTTAGATCAACTAAATTGTCTAAAGGGTACCTAGAAAGATGCTGCTAGCGCGATACCAATGGCGCCGATATGGAGGACCAATTAGGCTACTACGTAATTGTAGACTCTCCAGCTTAGAGAGGCACCGTTTCTCCCTAAGAAACATCCTAAGTTATGCGCTAAATTATAGTGGATATATCACCACCTACAGTTAATTAGGTACATACCTACCTACTTACTAGGCACCTACCTAGAATTCCACAATAACATTTATAAGTGCGAGATCTAAAAAGAACTCTTATCCATTTTCCCGGTTGGCAATATTAAATAACTAGGTAAGAATGTGTTTCTTCTAACATTCTAAATACCTAGGTACCTACCTAGTAGGTTCCTAAACACATGAGTTGATCGTATTCAAGTTCACCCACCCCCTTCCCACCCAGGATGGTAGTTGCAAGGCGCGAATCTTTTAACACCTAATTACATCTATTTTCTAAAACTTAAGAGTACGGCTTCAATGTTGGCTATATAGCAGATTCATAATATCCGGTCAATTACCGTCGTTTCGATCACGGGATTTGTATAGAGTACCTAAGCTAGGTAGACTATTCCAAGTACGGTCCATACAGCGGTAATCTTACCTCGCTCCTCAATTACATCATTTAATACCGTTTCCTAGTCCTCTACCTACTTAGTACCTAGATTAAAAAAGCGTTTTCAAGAATCCCATGGGAAAACGTGACTGTGATTCCTAGCCACATCATGACAAACATAGCCCAGATTGAGGCATCGGCCTATCACTCTCAGTTCTATGAAACGCTGGAAGCCCTACCAAAATCTCTTTCAGATCTCCTTACCACATATTCCCGCATACCTAAAGATCACCAGATTGACCATGTCGTCAAACTACGAGACGAGGCATATGCAGATTTTCCATATCCATGTATTGGGACCTTCAGGTTTCTTGAATTCGACCTATCAGCTCACTACGCATATCAAGAACACGTACTATCTCCGTTAAAGATGCCATTCCCAGATAATACAATCGAGCCTTTGTTTCTGGACTTAGGAACTTGCTTTGGCCAAGACTTTCGCAAACTCGTTCATGACGGCGCTCTCGTACGCCGGCTGTGGGCAAGTGATATCGACTCCAAATTTATTGATTTTGGGTTTAAGATGTTCAACGATGCAGACAAGCTGCCGATGGATCATTTTTTGTGTCCCGGAAACCTTATATCGAAGTCGCCCGACGATAAGCTTCATGTTCTAGATGATAAAGTTACCATATTGCACTTAACTGCGGTATTTCACCTGTTCTCTCTCGAAGACCAAAAAGCGGTAGCCGATCGTTGCTTGCAGCTCTTGAGGAAGGATACTGGTGGACCAGTGTTGGTATTGGGAGCCCATGTGGGAAGCCTTTCCCCGGGTCCATATCAGCGGCAAAATGTCTCACAAGACTATAGTCATAAGTACAGACATGACGAAGAGAGTTGGAAGGGATTGTGGGACTATGTTCGGGGTAAAGACGCCTGGAAAAATAAAATAAAGAATCTAGAAGTGAAGTCGAGGTTGCTGAGAAGAAACAAAGTGAAAGACGCTGAATCTGGCGAAATCACCGTCTTCACACGGCCAGACCCAGGAAGCAATTTACTTTGGCAGATGTACGAAGTTTGGGTCACATTCACTTGACCCAAATATTAAGATAGCGCTCTAGGTAGTCGATAGATGTCAATATTCTGTAAAAATTATTGGACTGGGAAAATGAAGTAAAATAATTGGCTAGAATTATTACACTCTTTCAAGGTTAGGATGGCAAAAATGATTTAGTAGGTAAGTAGTATTGTTAGAACTCTACCATTGCCTTCATGTTCACGATGGCAGTCTCAAATCATATGTACCTATGTCCTAGTCATAGCTTTGACGTCGTCTAGATAAACAATATCCGCAAGCAATCGGTAAGGAAGAGTGGAGAGGTGATAGTACAGACACTTTAATGAATAATTTCAAAGTTCATCTACTACACAAACATCTCTTGAGTTATGTCTGTGCAGATTCATGAAATAAACGCAACGTATTCTATAAAATCAATCAATACTCACGCGTAACACTCAGCTCTGAAGCCATACGCAACTCTCGTTAGCCTCCCTTTAATTATTAGGTATTTTAAAGTCATTCTTATGTCTGATCTTGATTTCTGATCTCTTAACCTAGGCTTCTCACCTCTCTATAACCAGGATTTTTTGGCTGGATCACGACGTCCCTCCACCAAATACCGGTTCGGTAGCTAATTACTGGCACCTTTGCAACCCAAGATAAAACTATCTACCTGGGTCGCTACTAGGTACTATCAAGAACGAACCATCCAAGAACTTCCTAGATCTGATCGGTATTATGAGGGCCAGCGCTACCGTGTCCTTTTTTATCGTCGCCTCGATAATTATGGGCTTCGCAGCAGGCGGATGCGTCTATTTCGCCGTATTCATCAATAATGAGTTGCATCCATACTTCGACCGGCACAATATGGGGTTGTACTCAAGCCAAGTCCACGAAACTTTTATCTATCTTATTATCTCGGCTGTGTTGCTTTGGCTTATGGATCTGGGACTGCTCTTGAAAGTAATCTTCGACGACTTTCATCTTGGTTGCTCTCGATTCCTCTTAGTAGCTGGCGAGTTCGTAGTTGCATGTTTGGCGGCGATGTCAATGAAGAATGGGTGGGGTTGGTGGGCGTACTTCGATGCGGCAGAAGGTCTTGACCACTTGACGAAAATATGCCATTGGCTAGCTGGCATATGCACAGCAAATATGGTGGTAATGATCCTCTTGGCAGGGGTCGTCCTTTTGGGAGTCAACCATAACTAGCTGGAAATGCTCATGGGTTGATTTGGAACTATAGAATTGTCGACTGGGTTCACTAAGTTCTCGGGAGTATGTTGGGATGAGGCAGAGATATTGTTCCTTGCTCCTGGAAGAATCGTGTTATCACTCATTAACCAGATTAACTAAGGATACCAATGTCTAAGGACCGACCGAATTAGACTGGCACTTCGACTACAGACTATACTGTTCCATGTTTGTAGAGTATGCCTTGATTAATGATGTTAGATATTGTGTAAATTGAAATAGAAGATGGTGTTGTCGTGATGTTGTGGAGACCTAACCTACCGACAAAGAAATACGAAGTACAGAGATAAAGAATCTCGGAATGGTTCCGCGATTGACCCGCGGCCCGCGGCCCACTTAATTAACTTACCCATTACACTATGGCGGGACTCTCACTGTAATTTTTTCCGCTGTCAATTGCCTGCTGCTGAAGAATGCAAAACAACTCCCACGAACACATTGCTCATACGGGTTTGTCGATAACAGATACACTTATACTATTTCTTCCACAATGGCAACCGACGAAAGGAATATGCCTTTCATTAAACATCTAGCGTCTAGCGGTTCGTTGCCCTCTAGTAAACTTACTAAACCAAACGTTTGTGAAGCTAACAGGATTTGAAAAAAAATTAGATCGCAAAATTCGTACTTCCGCACTTGACACTCTTCGCACGTTCTTGACAGCGCCGACGACTGCTCGAAAACTGACGGAATTGGACTACCTGAAGCTATGGAAAGGTCTTTTCTACAGTGTTTGGATGTGTGATCGCCCCATACCTCAACAGAACTTATGCGCCGAGCTTGCCGAACTCTTATCTGTACTGCCCACCCCAACCGACGACGAGTGTGTTGTTGTTATCCCGTTCCTCCGCGCTTTCTGGACTACGCTGTCCCGAGAATGGACAGCCATTGATGTTCTACGCATGGAAAAGTATTTGCTGTTAGTGCGCCGTGTATTTGGTGCAAGTCTTGCCTGGGCGGGAGATGGAAGGAAGGGTAAGAAAAGCCAGGAGTGGACAGGTACGCGCGTCAATCGAATGCTTCGATTATTGGAGGAATGGCCACTCGAGAAAACGGGTGATCTGGCTAAAGTCCCGGTTGGCTTGCGATTGCATGTCCTGGATATTTGGGTCGACGAGGCAGAGAAGCTCGAACTGCTAACGGGAGAAAGCGATGCGAGCTTAGCGGATTCTGCTGATTTTCTAGCTAAGCTGCGCCGCATCGTCGAGGCGCAATCTAAGTCTACTTGCAAACCCGTCCGAGATCGGGCTAAAGAATCTTTGGCTGACGATAGGTTGCCATGGAATAAAGTCAGTTCGTCAGATGAAGAAGAGACGGCCGAAGGCGGAGGGAATGACCAGGATGGCTGGGGAGGATTCGACGACTAAAATACCGGGTAAATTAGGTAGACATCATTCAAGTTATCTGGTAGGACCTGGAGTTTGGGCGTTTATTCGGATGGGTATATCCAGGTTTCAAGGACATTGCTTCCGGGATGGTTCTGAAATACGCTCGAAGGCCTGTGGAAGGCCGATATACCATTAGGCACACTACCTATAGTACACGCTATACATATTCTTACAAGACGACTCTGTACGTCTACTGTCGTCTCGGGGTATCTCATCATCAGCCGCCTCCCTCCCCCCATATTGATTTTATACGCTGGCTTTCTCCCAGTCCGATGGCCCGGCGGCTTCATACTTTCCGCTTTTTGATAATACAGTACCTAACCCCTGGTGGATCTCGACTTGGAAGGGCTCGAAAGGGACGTGCTCTCCGTCGATGCTGATGTAGCCATCTTTCTGGTTACGAGGAGTAAACCGGTAGGCGGCAACCTTCCGATACGATACATGAGGGTTGTCGAATAAGCGGCCAGTTTCAACTGATGTCAATAATTCTAAATACTTAGCAGCAGAAATATCGCCATCGTTCAGCACAACATCCATCAACCCATCATTAGGGCATGCTGCTGTGAAGAAGTTCGCATCGGGCGCCATCCAGGCCATCTGTTCGACGTTAGCACGCGCGTTACGCTTTGCGTGAGACAATATTCTAGTGCTCACATTCCCACAGTAAAAATTTCCTAATTTGTCATATGACGCCGTCTCCCAATCGTCGGGAAGCTTGTCATTGATGGTTCCAAACCTCAACGGTGGCAACCCCTCTCCGGTATCTGTATCACTAGACGTATATTCGCCCGCTGAAGATGCTTCTCTCGGCACATCGACCTCTCTTCGTGTCGTATAGTCGCCTTCTGTTTGTTCGCGCTTGTAGTGTGCCTTGATATCGGCTTTCTCTGCTATCTCCACTTTCATCGAGATATCGCATGGGTACACCCTCTTGCTAAATATCCTCTGCATTAATCCAACATTGAATCGTGCAGCACCAAGCCAGCGTAGATTTTCCGTCCCCAAGTCACACTCCGCGATAATGCCGACCGACTGGCTGAGGAAACTGAGCATCCGCGTGTTTCCCTGGGTGACGCTCATCAGGTCTATAGGCGTACTGACGCCCTTGACAATTGCTAACGCCGCATAACTCGGCCTATGCGTGCCATTGAGATTGCAGCTCATCGCGTTCCCGCTCCCGCATGGTATATGCGCCACAGCAATCCGGCGTAGAGCCTTGCGCGCATCCGAGCGTTTTCCTAGGCCGTTGATGCACTCGTACGGTAGCCCGTCACCTGAGCAAGGGATTACTATATCGTACGCGTCGACGTCGAGGTTCTCGCATATGCCAATGGCTTCCCCAGAAAACTTTGTTCGTACTATGTCCAGGGACATGCGCGCAGCCTCGAGTAGAGGCTTCACCTCGTGTTCCCAAATCTTGTCGGCACCGCCTGGTCCCGCATGCGGATTAACCAAGACCTTAGCACGTCTGTTGCGCTGGGCTGTCCCATATGCCCTCTTAAGAATGAGGTTAACCCACGTGTCAACCACGTCTCGAACAAATTCGCCGAGGGCGTAGGATAATTTAGCGGCACGGAGGTGTTTCTTGGAGACGGGGTCGGCGTAGTCGATAACAAGGAGTCCACTTGGGGTAATCTCTACCCAAAGCACGTGGTAAAGAGAGATCACGACTCCAGAAGGAGCTCTGCCAACGGCAAAACCGCATAGCTTTTGCCGATGCAGCTTCGCTTGGGATTTATCTACAGAATCGCGAAGCTACATTAGCTTTAGTTAATTTGATCGTTCATAGGAGTCTATTAGATACCATTGATGATTAGATTTTCGTTTGTTAGAGCGAGAGACACGTTATGCGGAAGTAGAAGAACATTATCCACAACGGTTGATTGGAAAGCTGGAGTAGAATCGAGCATATGGAGCCCGGAGATAGGTTCAGCAGCCATTTGTGGAATTCGACACTGATTGACAATAGCGAATGACGAGAAACAAAACACCAAAATAAGAGGTAAAATCAAAGCAATAAACACACATAAAAATAAAGTAAGATATCAGAGCCTTGGTACCAACGTTACAGGTAGTATCGCAGCCGAATATTCATAAGCACATGCGTTGGGAAATAGTATGTACTTCCAATTATTTCCAAGTTGTTTCTGTTCAAATTTCAGGTTCCGAGGTAACCTTTTGGAACCTGCGGGTTCCGTACTGCCCGTACTGTCCGCACTTACCAGGATACCAAAATACTCGCCATTTGATTGGCCAGTTAGTTGTATTAGCGTTACAGTTAACATATATACTCGGTACAAGCATACAAAGTCAGGTACTTCCATAAATATGCCTATATACATGTGTATATAATAGGCTTTCCCTAGGGCAGGTATGAGTTAACAGTTCTAGGATTATTCGTATTATGTATGTGTACATACTTTATAATGCGATTACTCGTTGCTACTCTATGCGTCGTCTATCCCGCCGAGTTATTCAAATCTTAGCTTGGTCATTTCTTCGCGCCGCTAAATTCCTTTCAGACCCCACGACCAAGGCGACGTGATTGCTCAAAGCGACAACTTCGCCTGCCTCATCTGAAATAACAACTTCGAGATCCATCCTCCCATTTTTAACACTTTTTGTCCGAACACGCACGAACAGCCATTCGACTCCTTCGGGTGGCAGAACCTTTTTAATATCCAGGTTAAGAACTACGGTAGGATACCAAAAGGGTGGGAAAGGTTTGTTGCCCTCCGCTTTGCGCCATAGATCTTCGAGAACAGAAGGGAAGTGGTCGCATACGAGACCTACACTCTCATTTGTGAACCTTTCTCCCGAATCGAGGCGTAGCCATTCATCAATCAAGCCTGAAATTACTTGACCCTTGCGAGGTAGGACGGTGCGGACTCGTTGGGAGATCTTGCGAAACTTCGGGAACGGTTTGTCGGTCTGTTCTATCCAGTTGGGGTCGTTACCACCAGTTAGGAGCTCAGCAAAATTGGCCGGTGATGGAGGCGGAGGCGGCTCCAGAGACCATGGTGTCTTCAGGGATAGGCCAGTCTCGGTGTCTATGTTCGAGTGCGTAAGATAGCCAACGACCTCATCGCGCCCATCCTGCGACAACACGACGTGGATAGTCGATGTCTGCCGACCGAGCTTGACATCGCGAACCACCAGAGTTGCAGGACCTTCCTGAGTTCGCCGTAAGAACTCGAGATGAAGCGAGACTGTATGAGGCTGATTCTGCGTCGCGAGTGTAGTACGAAAATGGGTTGTAGCTACTCGAAGAAAAACAGAGGTTACTACACCCCCGTGAGGAACTAGGTATGCAGGTCAGATCATAGCTTGCTGCGACAATACTAGAAGCGGGATTTTTATCACATACCTGAGCCAACACACCATTCCGTATTCAAGTTACTGGAATACGTATGTGAATCCAGGGCAGTGATGGCTGTAGCTTCTGCGAATGTTGGCGCCATTTCGAGAAAGGGAACAAAGACGAGACAAGAATACAATAAAACTGCATGAAGAATGAGCAAAATATATACCTAGTTATATACATAGGTATGTAAACAGGTACCTTTATATGATAGCATGAATTTGTAAGTATCTACATGGTGATATGTGTAAGCAGATAGGGGTAGTTATTGTTAAAAGACTGACAAGTATGGTTGAGATTAGTACATCGAGACCCAGGTTCCATTGAAATTTTAATGGGGCGAAATATCGGAGCCTCGGTAGTTTCCCCACATTCTTCTTTCGATTATCTAATCGACGTGCGACGTGCTGGAAAAAAGAAGCAGAAGATTCGCTACATGTAGGTTAGATCCAAATATACAATTCGAAGCTAGAGAACGGTTCTACACCCGACGTGGGACTCGAACCCACAACCTTCAGATAGACCTCATAAGCAGGACAGAGTAGAAGTCTGATGCTCTACCATTGAGCCAGCCGGGCTACGTGGTGAAAATAATACACTGAAACTATGCCTATATCATTAAGTAGGCCTTCGCAATTATCAGTTTCCCAATGACCCCGAATACCGCGAGAAGGAAACGCTCAAAATTCAAAACCTCCAATCACAATAGGACGCTATTAGATTTGCTTACTCGTTACCTGAATACTAGGTAGGGAGGCCGATCACGCCCCAATAGTATAATGTAAGACAATAAAATGAGTGTAGATATGCAGGGAAAATATGTAGTATATTTTAGTCACGTGGGTCTACAAGTAGGTACTTATCTAACCTACCTAGTAGGTAAATGCTCGATGTTAAGATAACATTATTGGAGTTTTATATCTCAATATCAATTCCCAAGGTAACTTACTCCTGAAAACAGAATTCATCCCAGGCGTTGCAGTAATATGTCACTTATCTTGACAGCTGCCCAGCGTGCAGACGCGGCCCGGATCGCGGAGATCCACATGGCCGCTTTCAGTTCCAATGCCATGCTTTTAGCTCAGTTCCCCACAACCGCTGTCCGGGACGCTCTAGAGAAGTGCATTGAATCAAAAGCACATGCCGATATCAATGACCCAAATATCACTGTTCTTGTCATCCGGGATACCAATACAACAGAGTCAGGAGAGAGTAAGCAGGATCATACGCACCAAGCATGCGGAACAATAATCGCTTTTGCTAAGTGGGCACATCCTGTGTCTATCAACGATGTTTATACTGAATCTCCGTGGATTTGGCCGGAGGGCACAAACTTGGAGGTCCTTGGAGAATGGACTCGGAAGACCGAAGAAGCACAAGCATACGCCGTAGGGGTTTCCCCATGTTATCGTGAGTAGAGAAAGACCCGCATCTGCATACCCCCATACGGACGATCTACATAAGGAATTAACCACGATCTTAGATCTTAGTTTTATCGGTACTGATCCATCGCACGAAAGGCGTGGGGCAGCAACCATGTTGATCCAATGGGGGATCCACCAATCCAAAAAGTATAACGTCCCCATCTATCTTGAGAGTACCCTCGTGGCAGCGCCATTGTATAGGAAGCTTGGGTTTGTAGAGGTGGGCAAATTCTCACTGAACTATGAAGTACCAGATTCAGGAATAACTCAAACCTATCAAGAAATCAGCTTTAGGTATCTATAAATAGTAAAATTATTCTAGGGTCTAGATATATTTACCTAGGTATTCTCATCATCCAACAATCTAGATTATATTGTTCTAAGGTCAAAGATCAAGGTGTGCCTACGTACTAGGTACCTAGGTAGCTACGTAACAATATTTGAAGTGGACACACCCCAATGACGACATCTAAATACGATTGCAAACTTGCATAGGTAGGTAGAATGCTGAAGAAAAATGTGTTTTCGGCATTTAGTGTGTAACCTAGAGTAGGTACTTCATGTTGGTTTTGCGAAATTACGCAGATCTTTTGCAGAATCCACATCCTCATTAAACACGGGCCATTGCGAATCCCCCGACACGCCCCGTGTCCCAGGGCCTTTCCTAGAACCAAGCGGAACGGGCAGTCCAGCTGGAAGTGGCTCGGAAGGCGTGTCGTTGATGAACAACACACGTAGATTCGGGATCGTTTGGGCGACGATCGACACGCATGGTTCTGCTAAGTTATAAACACATTGTATACACCTTCCATCTATATTATTGCATCAGTAATAAAACTACCACTTGCAGAGAAAAGACTTACAGAAATAATTGAATGATGCAACGGGATCCATCCCAACCATGTTGGTGGCTCTTTTGATGGCAATTATGCCAGCACTGGATTAGTTAGGTATTATACATTAGCAAAATAGGTACCTACTTATTAGAGGTATGGAAGTTTCAAGTCAGATGAACGGGGTTTGATGGTAAGCTTTAAAGACTAACAGTATCCCAAAACTCATAGCTAATGCGACACCGAATTTTTCTTGTTTTCTCATCCGGGTTTTCCAGACAATCTTCCAAGGAAATAAAGCAAGGAGGAAGTCCATAGCCGCTGAATATACTATTGACAATAGAAAGAAAGTTATTAGTCTAGGTACTGGTTGGAAAATATAAAAGTTCGTACAGGTACCTTAACAATATAACTTACCTACAACGGAGAGTGGTACGGCCATTTTGGCAGTAGAGCTCCAACATGGGCCAGGAATGTACAGATCGTCTTCATCCTCCGTACCACAAGGCCTGTTCCAAGCCGTGACCACGTACAACAAATAAGAGGCGTTGATGGAGATAAGGGCGTACCAGAGGAAATACCGACCTCGTCCGCTTTCTAGTCGCAGTAAAGTAATAGCAAAGGCAGACTTCGACCAGGCTGATGCGAGACCGCAGAACACAGAACACACGTTGAAGTAAGTCATGATCCTGCCGCTCCCTGAGATAGAGATTCCGGACCCTGGGGATGCAAATGCGCTAATGAAGCCTCCGGAAGTTGCAGCCATAGTCTAGGTTAAAAGGCGAATGTTAGTATTTGATCTTTAGCTCGGGCGGTTCCTCCACGGAGTAGCCTTACCCAGGCAGCTACAAGCACAAAATCATCCCACCTAGCCTCATTAGCACACATTGATATTCAGCTCTCGACATGTCCACATAACGTACCATAGAGGCCGCCGCCGGGAGAGTCGACAATAAAGTCTCAGAGCAAGAGCTAGAAGAGATACCCCAACCATAAACCAAATACCGATATGAATGGAGGTCTCTAGATTAACCATAGTTAACAGCCACTACAGCAGCAAGTTTGGATGCAACAGGGGATTGATAAATTCCTCCGAAGGCAGGAAGTTACACCCGTAAAGACGAAAAGCACTTTACACTCTACCTATATGAAATCATCGAATACCTAATGAGTCAATCTATGAAATATGAAATTCAGTCTGACAGCTTGGGGTGCCCCGCGGCATGGTACCGTTGAAAAACCAAAAGTACCTCGAAGGCCTTGGTTGTGGTTACACAACGTGAATCGCATGGCGCAGTCACTTGGAGATTTTATCTTACATAGACTTACGGGGCTTGTCAATCTTGAGTATGATTAGCTGACCGGAGTTATAGAAGGGCTTTGCCGTATTTCAATCGTCGCCCGGACATTATAAAGTGAGTCAATTGGCTTGCTTACTTCATATACATCTTGCAGGAATTATGCATATGATCGTTACATTGGAGAAAATACAAGTAGGTACATTTCGATACAATACATTGCTGCTAGCGAGATATGTAGGTCTTCCATCTCACCTAATACATGGCAGTGCCATGCCCAATCACCGCCTGTACTGGGCAATTTATAAGGACAACAGGGCGCTTTTTGTGAGCGAAAAATGTAATTATCTGTAATTAACTAGGTAGGCAAGTACCTATGTTCAAATATCTTACCGAAACAATTTCTTTATATTTCTCCCGAGTAGGATCATGAGTGCTGCTATCTGTCTTTCTAATATTCCCCCCTTGTGCCGCTGAGCAGTTAGTGACAACCTTGGAATAATAGGGAAATACCTCGGTACCTACCTACCTACCCCGTATTAGGTCTGGGCTAAGAGATACTTACTTAGTAGTGATCTGTACCTAGGTACACTGAAATTTACCTGTCAATAATCCCTATATCCCAGGGAGCCTAACCACTGAAGAAAGACACCACACGATACGAGGTCCTTTTAGATAACACGGATTTGACTCCCACATGAGGTCTATTGGTTAAGATGACTAACTTGAAGACAACGTTGAACGAGTCTGCGGTTTTACCAGGTTACTGTTTATTGGGGCCATGCCTATATAATGTCTCATTTATGGCTACTTATGATGTATTGTCCCGTATAAATATTTCAATCCTTCCTTATTTCTATCCTACAGTTTTCTTGATTGCACTACCGTCAGGGTCCATTTGCCTGAACATCTCGTTCGAGTCAAACCACGTTTTCAGCTCTGTGACTTGAAATTCACTATTAAGATGAGCTACAGTAACTCCCTCAATATCAATCAACTGCCCTTTCGCCTTGACCGTGACTTTCTCTCCATTGCTTGTGGAATCGGAAGGTCAATACCGGAGCAAGGTTTTGGTATAGCAGAGTGAGACTTACCTGTTTTGGCCCACATAATCATTCTTCATCTCACCCCAGTGCCGCCACTTGAATGAGACTACAGGTGGTCCGCTATGCACCTCTAGCACTTCCCACGCAAAAGCCGGCATCATCCTCTTGAACGTCTTGTGACTAGCAGCAAAGTCGGAGTGTTCCGGGTCGTAATATTTGCAAGGAGAGATGATAGCGTTGTAAGTACCCACGCGAAGCATATGTTCTGCCGAGCAAGGCTTTAGATCATTGACGGCAAAGGTGAAGGTCTCATGATCGATTGTCCGCCAGTCTGAAAGGCGTGTTTTGAATGACGCTTCAATCTCCCAATTCTTGACCAGGTTTTCAACCAATTCGGGCAGACTACCGGCTTCGTGCTTACGTCGCTTTGCTATCGGATATTATGTTATCAGCTTCATATATTTCAGTTAGACGAAGGGCGCAATTCTAAGGTCACCTACTTTCTGAATAGAAGACTCGGGTCTTTGAATAGTCTGGTGGTCGAGTATTCCTCCACTCAGCATCGACATCTCCAAGCACGGCATTTGGATCTTTCATATAATCAGGAACGGATGGCTGCGATGCAGCTTCAGACTGAGGAGCAGCCATGATGACAACAAGGACGATCTCTTTAGCAAGGGATATTTGAAACTTATGGTGACAGTGATTTTAGGAAAGTCCTACGTTTTGAAGAAAGGGAAACGTGAGCTATTTAGTAGGTAATACGCCAGCCATTTTCCACGAGGGGGAATAAGACGCCACTAGTTTCAAGAATAAAGAAAGACGCGCAATTCCGACTAACACCGAGTTGGTGGAGTTGTCTAGGTACCACGGCATGTTTGTGCGACGGAGTACTGCCTATACGTTCTATATTTAATACCTGTACTAACCTAACTATTAATACGCAGTGGCCTATTGTGCTTCACCTAAATTAAGAGATGATGAAAGGGGTCGGTCCAGCCTTCTATCTATCATTCCGAACGGGTCCGGATGAAGATTTTGCCATCCGATTTGGCAGTCTCCTCTCCATCTACCACTCCCGAGGGCTCATAATCTACGTCATCCCACTTCTCCCTTGAAATAGTCATCATTTCTGTCGCTGTCTTCTCATCATTGACGAACGAGTTAAGAGAGGCATCCGGGAATACTTTGTGAAGCAAAGCATACGCGCAGAAGCTTGAGAGAAACCCGTAAAGGTAGCTCATAAAATACAACTGGGTTAAACCATCCGGAACGATGACGGATTTGTTAACTGCTGCAATAAACCCTGGAAGTGTGGGAGCAACTCCAATAACCCACTAAGCAAAGGTTAGATAGAGACCACGGATACGATGACCTGGAGCAGATACGACTTACAGCAATCGGGGCACGCCAATTAAAGCCAGCATTGTACCAGTAAATACTACCCTTATCGCCACGGTACAAATCATCCGTCTTCATTTTCCTCCGAGTAACCAGCAAGTAACTCGAGACCATCATACCTGTCATTGGAGCTAGAAAGATGGAGTATGAGGAAAGAACAGTCAAGAAAATTGTCGACGTGCTGACCAACTTCCACGGGTTGACGATCACGCTGAAAGCCATCGTGATGTACGCCCCCCGACGAATATTGATGTACTTTGGAAACGTCGCTGCCAGGTCGAATCCACCGCTAAGGGCATTTCCTGGGATATTTATCCCCACCTGAGAGATGACTAGTGCGAGACCTGCGAAGAAAGCGGCCGCCCGTGTTCCTGCGGTTGGGGAGTCGGTGATCAAGCGCGAAAGAAGGGTGGGCGGATTCCAGATCGCCTCCCCGCCAAATCTATTTTGCGTGGCTGCCGTGACAAGAATTCCGACAACGGAGCATCCGATGCCGTATATAGGAAAGGGAATCGCTTGGCCTATGATGGCGTGACGAGGGCGCTTGGCGAAGCGTGCGTAGTCGTTCTGATTAAGAATGCCCGCAGCGATCGATCCGATGGTCGAAACGACGCCATATATCATTAGCCAGGCAACACTACCAGAGCCTCCAGTATTCGGCAGCGTAGTGCTGGGACTGATCGTATCACCGAAGCCTGCCTGTCCCATGGTCGCGAGAGCCCAAATGAGAAAAACGATGAAGAAGACCATGGTGATAGAGCTTGCGAAGATGAAGAATCGTTCAAGCTTATGCGGTCGAATCCAGGCGACAGGCAGACTGATGACGCTAAATACGATGTAGGCGACGAATTGCGCCGTCGTCATGCCCGTGTCTTCAGGCATGTGGTTCGGGATATGCTCTTCCAAGTTGACATCCCAGGATTGGAGTATCACGTAGACACAAGTGCCGCCCACCCAGGCATTGAAGCCATACCAAACTATCGACCGTTAACGCTGTCGCTTATCGTAGCGTACCAACATTACCTACCGAGAGAAAGGAAGATGCGGTTCCAGATGACGAATTGAGATCCCCACATGCCCCATACAGCGCGATTGGCGACGGGAAAGCCGACTGAAATGTGAAGTTAGCACGCAGAGGAGGATGGAAATGAGTAGAGCTGACGAACTGTTGTAATAGGCACCCGGAAGAGAGTTGATGACGCAAAATGCGGCCGCCAGGAGATTGCCGATAACAATACAAATGATGGCTTGCCACCAGGTCAAACCTAGAGGGATCAAGGCGCTTCCGGTTAAGTATGTCGCGATACTAAAATTGACAAGAAGCCAGTAGTTGTTGAATACCACTATAAGAACGGGAATTAGTACCTAGTGGCTTGTTTAGGTAGGGAATTGGCTCATTTAATGCATGTCTCGGCTGTATTAATTCCAAGAGAGTAGGAATGATACTAGAAAGGGGAACAAATAACTCTGGATGTTACATACTGAACCCCCAAGTGCGCCTTGAGGCCTCGATAGGGCGGATATCGTAGTTCTTTCTTCTCTGTCAGCACCTATCAACCCTAGTTAGACTCATCAGCTTGGCACTCACGATCCATCGGCAAACCGGGGTCGTGTGCGCGACCTGTAGTCTCTCGGTCCAGGACACCATCGCAAGAAAATGACGCTCAAGATGAACGTCGTCGACCTAGATACCAATACTTAGGAGGATATAGCAGAAGCATGGGAGGATATGGGAGACTCTAGCTTATCTATCCGGCGAGGTTGTCGCATCGGATGCAACCCAGTTACACCATGACGCCTTGTTATCTGCGGATCTAATTCCAATTGTAAGCTTCACGGAACACACTGGGTATAGCTTGATTAGTGCAAACTAGGGGGTATGATTTAGGCCATTTAGGTGATTTATTGGCTGGCAGTAGGGACCTAGGCGGCCTAGGCGATCAATAGATAAGGGATCTCCTGACGCCGCGGACCCAACCCAGGCTTGCGGTTATTTTTCTGTATTTGTCCTAGTGCAGAACTGTCGCTGGAGGTAGCTAATAGCGATAACTGGATTTTACTTGCATATGTACCCCGCGTTCAGGCGTGTTCTAGGGGCTGAGGGGCTCGGAACCACTAAATAAGGATCTTGGATTCATCATGATTAACATGTATTATCAGTATTGTTCTATTTATCTCCCTGTATTTTTACTTTTTAATAATACCTAGGTAACTTCTAGACTTATAGCACGCTTTTTCTACGAGCGAAGGTTATAACTTAGAATTACCCTCACCAATCATATAATATTCTTTTCTCTCTTCTGCGGAGGGGTTGGGAGACACTTAACACCAGCCAAGCCATTGGCTTTATAACTTCTGGGAATTTGCCCTTCACTCTATAGGTATTGTTCGATGTCCCCGTTTGATATAATAAACGAAGAAGTCGGCAACGAACCTTGGAAGATATTATGAACTCTGCTAGCGGCGCCTTCACCTACCTACCTACCTACTTACGTACCTACCTACTAGGTAGATAACGATTGCGGTGGACCAATCTAGATTTGAGAGTACGGATACTACCACGTGGAATAGTTCGGCAACTAGGTAACTAGATGTGTTGAAATCACGATACCCTCATTTTATTACCAACACTACCTAGTAATTGGAATTGGTAACCTTAACGTTTTGCCATCATTCATTATCACTACGCTTAAATTTCCCTAATCGGTCGAAATCAAGTGGGGAACAGCTCATCGCAGCGCTCCGCGCGTCGGCGGATAGATTCCCTAGCTCGTCCCTTGGCGATAGGGAATCTTTCGGGCTGCCTTCGGCTCCACCCCCGAAGCATGCTTCACTATTCTGATGACTGCCAGGACAGCCGCAATTTGTCCATGAGGGATTACCTCCAAAACCTACCTGATATAGATCAAATTCCCAGCGACAATAATAGTTCGGATAGTCACTGAACAGCGTTCCCAGTAAAAGCTCAGTCAAGGGTGACGATCGTTTACTGTACTATCATCTACCAAAGTTTTAAACTTCCCTGAAGTACGACGCCAATATGTATCGTATAGGCGTAGATGTCGGCGGTACCAATACAGATGCTGCGATACTAGACATCACGGCGCTAGACTCTCCAAATCGCGGCGTCCTAGCATCTTGCAAGTCGTCCACTACAGAGGACATAACATCCGGTATTACTAGCGCTATAAGCACGGTCCTTACCAACTCGAATGTCCTCAAGGCGAACATTCTAAGCGTCACCATCGGCACTACACATTTCGTAAATGCTCTAATCGAAGCTGATACCCGGCGACTAAGTCGCGTGGGCGTCGTGCGCCTCTGCGGACCTTTCACGCGGCAGATTCCTCCCTTTACTGACTTCCCCGTCGGCCTTCGAAGAATTATGGACGGTGGAGCGTGGTATCTAAACGGCGGCCTTGAAATCGACGGGCGCGAGATCTCTCCACTTGATTCTACCCAAATCAAGGCCTGTGTCGAGGAACTGCGCTCTAGAAACGTCACAGCGGTAGCTCTTGTTGGCGTCTTCTCGCCCCTCGACCACGAAGGCATCCATGAGGAGGAGTGCAAGCGTCAGATGTTAGCATTGAATCCTGCGTTAAATATTGTATGCAGTCACAATATCGGCCCCCCAGGATTACTCGAGCGGGAGAACGCAACTATCTTGAATGCGTCAATCCTGGCAACAGCGAGAAAGACTGTCCGAGGCTTTAAGTTGGCTATGAAACGATTACAGCTCAACTGTCCGCTCTATCTGTCCCAAAATGACGGGACACTTGTTGGCGCCAACGAGGCGGCGGATTTCCCCATCAAGACGTTCGCGAGCGGCCCCACCAACAGTATGACCGGAGCAGCATTCCTCGCCGGGCTGGACAAGCCGCGAGTCCCGCAAGCTGACAGCGAGATAACCAGCTCCATCAAAGAGAATCATCAAATATTAGTTGTGGATATTGGTGGAACTACTACCGACGTGTGTGCGCTGCTTCCAACAGGATTCCCACGCCAAGCTCCGAATTTTGTCGAGGTTGGCGGCGTTAGGACCGCGTTTTCCATGCCGGAGGTCATCTCTATTGGCCTAGGCGGAGGAAGCAAGATTGGAATCGATCCAGAAACCGGCGATGTCACGGTTGGACCCGACTCCGTGGGTCACTTTTTAACCGAACAGGCTTTGGTCTTCGGCGGATCCGTTCTGACTGCTAGCGACATCGTGGTCGCATCGGGAGGCGCCGAGCTCGGTGATCCTTCCAAGACTTTAGGAGTCGCTACAAGCACGGTATTAGCCGCAAAGGATAAGATAAAACAGATGCTTCAATCGGTTATCGAAAAAATGAAGGTCTCCGAAGCACCGGTGCACGTCCTTCTTGTTGGTGGCGGTTCGCTTCTTGTCACCGACGATCTAAAGCTTGATAACGTGGCCGAGTGCCAGAAGCCTATTCATCACGATGCCGCCAACGCAGTTGGCGCAGCTATTGCAAAGGTCTCCGGCGAGATAGACGTCATAGAAATTCTGGAGGGGAAAGACGAGAAGACAGTTCTTAGCGCCGTATGTGATAAAGCAACGCAAGAAGCAATCCGTAAGGGCGCAGCTCCAGAGGACGTGAAAATCGTATCGATCGACAAGATTGCATTACAGTATACGACGAAAAAGGCGACACGGCTGATTGTTAAAGCGGTTGGGCAGTTGGCCATCCCTGATTCCAGACTAATCATACCGCCGGCCGAGGATCAACAACAAGGGGAAGAGGAGGAAGAAGAGGACGAGACAAAAGAGGGAGTCAAGGAACATGTATCTGATGCAGCCGAACCAGTTGCGAAGCCGTCACTCAAGACAGACCTCGACACCTACAGACCTGAAGTGCGAGACAAAATATGGTATCTCTCAGAGGTTGATCTCGAACTCATCGCAACGGGAACAGGCATTTTAGGTACTGGCGGTGGCGGCCCTTCTTATCACGAACTGTTGAAGGGCCTCAATGTTTTACGGAGTGGAGGATCCGGAAAGATGCGGGTTATCTCGCCGCAAACCCTCAAGGATTCTGACCTGGTTTGCTTTGGGAGCTGGTACGGCGCTCCAAGCGTGATTAACGAGCGACTTGCTAGCGGAACCGAAATTGTCAATGGGGTCGAAGCCGTGAAGAGCATACTTGGAATTAAATCATGTCAGGCAATCATGGCAGATGAAATGTGAGTCACAGAAATCGAAGGTCTTAATATTTGTTGTATCTAACCGAAGAAGCGGCGGTGGCAACGGAATGAGCACCTTTCCTACGGGTGTCCACTACGATATCCCCATAGTTGATGGGGACGCGATGGGACGGGCGTATCCCACGATGTATCATTGTGAGTTCATGCTTCTAAGGTCGACTACTCGAATACCAATTTTCTAACTATATCAGCAACTCTGTATATCAACGATGAACCCATAATGCCATGTGCACTCACCGATGCGAGGAATAATGTCTCAGTCCTAATGGTGAGAGAATACATTACATCGACTTGGAGAATATGCACTTACAGTCTAATAGCAAGCCGAATCACCTACTCGCGTAGAGTCTATCCTTCGGACAACAGCCGTGGAGCTCGGTTTAGGCTGTGCCGTCTCAGCGAGGCCATTGAGCGGCGACGTTATCCGAAAATACGTCGTCGAAAACACCGTCTCCCAAGCCTGGTATCTTGGAAGAGCGGTACACCAGGCGAGGAAATATAAGAGAAGTCTCACAGACGCCATTGTCAGTTACACTTCCTTTTTATTAAATATTTATAGCCTACAGCTTATTAACCTTACTCTAATAGTTTGCCAGCACTCCCGGTAAGGTGCTGTTCATTGGTAAAGTCATCGACGTGCGGCGTGACATCGGTGCTGGTTACACTATGGGGAGTGTCTTGATTGCCCCCTTCAACGCCGACGAGTCTGGTTCCAACGCCGTCGACAGCGAGCAGCGGCATATGATAATACCATTTCAGAATGAGTATTTCTATGCAGCCCACACAGACTCAAGCGGAATTAAGGAGAGCGAGATTGTATGTACGGTGCCTGATCTTATATCCATACTCGGACAAGATGGGGAAGCACTTGGGTCGCAGGAATTGCGGTACGGCTTGCAGGTAAGCGTCATTGGTATGCCGTCGCACCCCTTATGGAAAACAGACCTGGGGCTCAAGGTTGGTGGACCTGAGGGATTCGGCCTGATGATGCCTTTTCAAGGGGTCGGAGAGTACGCACCGCCTAAGAGTGTGATTGACGAGTATGATATATGAAAGTTTCTTGCCAATAATCATATGGTAGATAGTGTACCTATCCTACTGCTGCTATAAAGTAAAAAGTGTACGAAAACTTAAACGAAGTTATTCGCAACCATAATTATATAGTACCATAGTGGGGACATTCCACTCATGAGAATATTTCTAAATGACGTCGAACTATTATGTATATGGGAATGATTTACAGGTAATATAACATGTATAGCAAGGGCAAGGGTCAAGGCCGGAGCTATCGTTCGTGAGGACTTAAACTAAAATAATAATTGTTAATTCATTTCTTAGGGTTAGGGTTAGGGTTAGGGTTAGGGTTAGGGTTAGGGTTAGGGTTAGGGTTAGGGTTAGGGTTAGGGTTAGGGTTAGGGTTAGGGT